GGAACATCCCCGAGTAGCGCCCAAGTATCTGTGGCGTTCATCTTTGGGCTGAAGCTTCGTAAACGCTCGGTCAAGCCGATCATGCCTCGATTTGTTCACTGCTGGCAAAGGACGTTGGTTGGTGTGGAGGTGCGCCTCAGCTACTATCACAGCGCCCTTGAATCAGTGATTGGATGCTTCCTATCGAGGAGCTCATCTCGACTATAGAGACAACAGGATGAACACGATCGTCGATCGTCAACATGTAGGACTTGTTGTGCGAGCCTGCTCACGCTTCGTGCAATCAGTGATGCATCACAACATCGCCGACCAAAAGGGTGGACTGTCATTTTGTCAACTAATCACGGCTTGGGCCGATCACTCTAGATCGCTCTGGGTTGCGCCTGCACGACGACTTACTTCGATGGTAAGCGACTTTGCGGATGCGAACAGTAGCTATGCCCTGAGAGGAAACACAATATCCACGGTGTTGAAGTAGAGCCTAATGCGTGCGAGGCTACTCTGATACTGCATTCATTGAAACTTGGTCGACAGCTACGGTTCTGTCAGCCAAGAAGGCGAGCAACTTGAGCGTCGAGACGTGCCCCGGTGAGTTTTCATCACGCACAGTGCTTTCAGCATCGTTCATCGACATGACCTTTTCCTGATTACGAAATTAATTTAATCTTGATAACACGCACGCTCGACTGAGCATGTCGAATTATCGGCTTGGATGCGACTATCCTGGAGTTCTTCGCGATTCCAAGGTAACATCGTACGATAATACAGTAAATAGAGGCTCCTGCAGCGTCTTCGGGATGCCTCTTCGGCCTTCGGTTGATTGCGATCCTCGCAGCTTCCTCGTCATATCATACCACCACAACCGATAACCCGTATCCTGTCGCAGATATCCTTATGCAAACTACAGCTTCGAAACTTACTGACATATGCCAGCAAGCAATGCTAGTTTCACGAAGCCAGTATTTCCACGAATCGACCAGACCCTTCACACACGAATACGACCTGCCTCGTCTACTTGCTGCACATACTATAGTAGGCTTACTCTCGGACATGGCTCCCACGTTGCCGCACGGCCGTCAGTGCCTTGGGCAACTGTTCCTGGGCATGCGAGTGTGCGCCGCTTGTCGGAGCAAAACATGGAGGTATGCCTGTAATTGACGGGAATAGTATACACATGGTGAAACAAAAGGCCAGTGCCATTCGGCCCCCAGATTGCTCACACTCATGACTAGACGAGTACGAAGGGCTCTGAGCCTGATATAGAACAAGTATCATTTGTCTCTGACCTAAGATACAGGTGACTATAGTGATTGTTCAATCACCACAGCTAACGCACTTGTCGGTCAGTACGCACATTGTCCATGGTCGCAGCGTTTGCCAATCTGGTTTTTCCGTTCCCAAAGCGTCGTGTATCTATATTGCGCAGCCTCTACCACAGGCCCGGGTCACCCGTTGTCACAAAACCGAGGAAACCTTCGGTTCCAAGCGGCAGTAGATTGCAAACAATATAACGGGACATATTGGTACTGCAGGGTAAGGTTCTGACTTGCGACTCTATGGCCCTCTCGCCTAGAGCATGATTTTCCTGACCGACTTGAACACCGGTCTCCGTATGTGTATGCCGAGGGGGTGCAAAGTGGACAGGGCAGCTACGGAATGCTACACATAGATACGAGGAGGCCTCAAAGATGTACGAAGCCGTTGGCAATTACGAGGGCAGCGTCAAGGCCGCGTGGGCAGACATGCAGGTAAGCAGGTATTGAGTGTCGAGGTACTTGCACTACATGCGGAGAGGCACACGAAGCGAGTACCCGACAGTGCGGAGCCGGAGTACGGGACGTCTCACTGGCGGGCACAGATTACCAAGAGAAATCCTGTGTGACACAAACTCCCGCATGCGGCAACTGCGAATGAACGGGGAGAAGAGCCGAAGCGCCATGTGGAAAGGGGACTGTCCTTGCAGGACCAACGTCTCTGAAACGCATCGCATATGCGGGCAAAGCCAGAAGAAGATTGTCAAGTATCGCCTTGCACCACGCTGTCCCTCTGCCTGCTCCCCCATGGAATTCCCCGTCGACGAATTGATGTTAACCATGTTTGCCAGCCTCTACTACGACCACTTGCTGTCGTGCGAACCATGCACGTTCTCGCGTAAGCCAATTCAACACACTGTGTACACGTCTAAATTTAGGACGCGCCCTGCAGCCTACACAACTTCGGGGCGAGTTCGCGGCTGCACTCGATCCTCTGAACTCGCTACTGCGCCGTACCTGTACAGTGAATGCCCAACACAGTCCTAACATCCCCTCCCCAGTCCTCGTCCTGCACGTGTCTGCGGCACAGCACAGCATGCTTGAACCACTGCTGTGGGCCCTCATCACCGAGGCTCGATCCTCACCGGCGCTGAGGCTGCAGCTGGGTAGGGATCATCAGATAGGACCGACAACGGGCGTCATACCCGTAGCAATCCGTTTGTCACGAAATCTCTTGTCGCGCCGCAGTCGTGTTGTTGGACGCACAGGGCGCCGAGGAAGCTCGGCGGCGGGGCGTGATTGGGTGCGCCCCGCTGGTTTTCAACGGCCATCGTGAAGCGACCAACGAACGAACGGATGGAGCGCTTGCTTCGGAGCGGAGCATCCTTCCTTCGATGAACGAGCGGAGTTTCCGTTACGTCTCATTTCCTCTCCTTTACTCGCCTCGCCGCGCGCTTGCGATGCCCACCCGGGTCCTCCATCCGACGTCCTGCCCTGCACAGCTGTGGCTGCCCAGCAAGCGACCCGACACGAGTGCAACAGCTCACAAGTCGGCCCACAATCCATCGTGGCAGGTTGGTTGCCTCGTCCGCCCTCGCCACCGCGTAGCCTAGCGTGAGCCGAGCTGTCAAAATCTCCAACCATATCCGCTGCGGCATAGCTGAATCGCTCGCTCGCTGCCCCCTCCTCCATCGGCCGGCCCGTACGTACATGTACGTCAAAATCGTGCGTTCAAAACCGTGTGCACGCTCTCGCTACGCCCTGGACTCGCTTCCCGTTGTTTGCTCGTACCGACCGAGGTACGTGTGCCGTTTCGGCCGAGCTAGCACCCGACGTCAATCGTTGCTGCGTTGAGCAAAGACGGCGGGTGTGTGTCCGGGCTCGCCAGTCGCTGCGAAAAAAATCCGAGCCCCGGGGTGCGTAAGCGTATGCACGACGGACTATCAATAACGGGAAGTGATGTGTTGGGGGTGAGTTTTCTTGCTTGTGTGCCGAGTGCCTTGCAAAGTTCCAATGTGGGTATGCAGGGGCGCCGTGTTGAGTAGTCATGTGTGCGATGTTCAGGGTGGTCGTGTTTGTGGAGAGCTGGGTTTGTGTATTTCGGCGAGGCAGAGGGGAGGAGAGCATGGTGATTGGGGTGGGCGAAAATGAGTGAGGCTAGTGTTCGGGATGAGCAAAGATGAATGAGGCTGGTGATTGGAGTGAGTGAAGATGAGTGAGGCTGGTGTGATTAAGATGGTCGGTGTAGTGGACTCGGTGAGCACGCTGATGATCGAACAATGGAAGCTGAATAGGAGACTCTGGGTTTTCGTTGAGAGAGTTTGATGAGTTGAGGGTGTGCGAGGAGCCCGAGTCCCACTCACCTGTCTGTTGAAATGTAGGCCACGAAAACTCGTCCGAGTTCACAGCCTGATGTACGATGCCATAGATGCACATTGAAATGAAAGAACTAAACTAAACACATGCATCAGTGATTCTGTCAGATGTGTATCCTGCTCTACCTGATTTCGTCTTCTTACTCACTGCTTTCTTGTACCGTCCTGTCGTTCAACGAAGGCCCCATCATCGTTGAAAACCTGCTCCTTAAAAACTGGTTATGCGTTAACTCTTCTACCAAACCATACGTATTTCTACCACCATGTTCTATAGACCTTGGCCAGTACTCTCCTTGGACGAGTATCCTATTCTTCTACCTGAACGTACAGATATATTCGTTCGTGACGGACCCTCCAGCTAGCACCACCCACGCCGCTTCGAGCCTGGAGTGAAGACTCAACCCAACGTCTCTGTTTTGGTAGAATCGGCTTGCGAATGAATCTCTGGAGCAAACCTTGACAGATATTTACGTCCGCTCCCTCCTTTCATCATACACTCGCTGGAACGTTCCACAGTCTCAGTCGACGCAGACCAGAAGGGAGTCTTTGAGAGATACTGTGTGTCCCGACCGAAAGGCTCGAGCATGTAATGCTCGTGCTATCTGTCCGCTGACGAGACAGGACATCCCTAAAGCCAGTCTCTAGGTCCATCTTCAGATTCACGCGAATCGACACCTTCCTTCTCTCGAGACCTACGCGCTCATCCTGTAGCTCTCGCAATCATCTCTACACGTACAACAGCCTACTTGCAATGGCTCCCGAACTGACTGCACTGCTTCACCGCGTCCCGAGAGCACGCTCAGACCGAGACGTACCCTTCAAATACACATGAGCATCGTGGTCGTCTGATGATCTGATGATAACGCAAAGGCACGAACATCGCGAGTCATCGTGCGAAGTCGACGGCCAGGCATTTACATGAGATACTCGTGCGAGTTCAAGGTAGTCGTGGAACACGTTCGTATGCTCGTCCATTGGCACAAGGACGTCTAGGATGGTGAGCCACAAACAGCGTGTTCGACTCGCACTACAGGTCAGGTCAAGCGGACTGGAAGACTTGCATTGCCATGCGGCCTACAGAGTCATATCCGTGCCGGACGTGACGGGACCTGGACGCAACGTCGATAACGGTGTCGAGGCTCTGTATTGAGGATGAACTAAACTCAACTTCTCAATCGTTTCGACACAACATTGCAGCAGAGTGGAAGGTCACCTCGCGATAAGTCTGAACGCTCAGAGTGTAAGCTATATCATCAGAATTAGACGAGGTATCTGCAAGTGACTACTCCAAACGCCTAGATATCCACCTCGTCCTCGTCATATCCCATCACGCTCGTGCCATCGTTCTCTTCTGATCCTTTCATCGGCCATATTAGATCTTATACACGATATCATCCGAGAACATGATCTTGTTCCTCTCGCTCAGTTCCTCGAGCGCTTTCCTCGCCTCCGCCTCTTCGAAAGGCTGCCGTCCACTCCCGCCGCCCAGCCTCGAGTTCACAGCTGCAACCAGGGGTTCTACGTCCGCAGCATCGTTTGCGAACAGAGGCCCGTCGATAAGCTGGCCGAGCACATTTTGGAATATTTGCAGACGCGGAGGCGTGATGCTCTGCGAGTCCTGCGATTCTGTCTGTGTTGCAGGCAGTTGGGATGCCGGGCGAGAAGACGCTGCGCTGAACTGGGAGGAACTCGCACCGGCGCGACCACTAGATGCAGTCTTGCCACTTCGTTGGGTTGTCCGCTGGGTTTTGGGTGTCGTGCTGTAGAGATCCTCGTTGTCTTCTTCTTCCTCTTCATCCTCATTGGCGGGTGTTTGTGTGGTGCCTGTCTGCTGGCTTCGAGTGCTAGGACCGTCCGTTCTCCGCGTAGCGGTGGTTTCTCTCTCGTCACCATTCTCATCGTTATCGTCATCCTCTGACGATTCATCATCCGTGGACATGGCATCTGGGTCACGGGTGACGCGGCGGCGCTTTCTCCGTTCCGTTTCAACAACTTCTTTGAACAAGGCGAATCGAAGGATCTGCTCAGCAACGTCGGCGTCTCTCTGTTCTACCCGCTTCGACAGACGAGATTTGGCATGCGCAGTTGAGAGACGGATGAGTGTCTCCAGCGTACGGGCGGTGATAGGCGAAGTGCGACGTGTGCCGGCATCAAGTTCGTCGTTACGTAGAGCCGAGTACACTGTTACAATGTGGTCTGCAGCGCCTTTGGTAAGAACCGGCTTTTCGCGTTTAGCGTAGGCAATGTACTTCTTGATGAAAGGGATGGAGAGAACTTCGGTCCTTCGATGCGCGCCGCGCCCAACGGTAATCGTTACGCCAGAGTGCAACATAGGGTTGAATTTTTCATACACTTCAGTCGACTTATTCGAATCTGTGTCAGTCTCCAAGCCTACACCCAGTAGTTGACCACCGTCTTCACGAACAGGAAGTCCTTCCTCAGCACCAGGTGTGCGGTAGCGATGCATGCGAAGGACGTGTTCGGACACCTGACGATCTCGTGCGTCTTCGATATCATCCGTGACAACAAAGAGCAAGTCGAAACGTGAAAGGAGGGAGTCTGGTAGGGCGATGTTGCGGTGCGGGTCCTTGTGGATATCGTATTGACCAAAGATGGGGTTGGCGGCTGCGATGACACTGCACCGGGCGTTGAGCGACGTGTGGATACCAGCTTTGGCGATGGTGACGGTCTGCTGCTCCATGACTTCGTGAATGGCCACACGATCGACATCTGACATCTTGTCGAATTCGTCGATACAAACGACTCCGCGGTCAGCAAGAACCATAGCACCTGCTTCCAGACGTCGCTCGCCGGTTTCCTTATCCGAGGTCACGGCAGCTGTCAGACCGACGCCTGAAGAGCCACGACCAGTAGTGGCAATAGCCAGAGGAGCAGTGTTGAGAACGAAGCGGAGCAACTGTGATTTAGCAGTAGACGGATCACCGACCATGAGAATGTTGATGTCTCCTCTTAGATGGGTGCCATTCTCCAAGTTCTTCTCCTGACCACCTAGAAGCATGAGTAGAATGGCCTTCTTGATGTAGTCATGACCGTAGATAGATGGAGCCAAGGACTGAGACAATAGCTCAAACACCCTCTTGTTCTTCGCGATCTTGTTGATATTCCGGATGTCCATGGCAGTGGGAACAACCTGAGCGATACCGCCTCCCGCTTTCGAAGACAATAGGATGACATTATTAGCAAGTATAAGAGTGCGAAACGTGGAGCTGCCAGATCCAGCATTGCGGTTACCGAGGGAGCGGTAGATACCCACAAGCTGGATTCTGTCTCCGGGTTTCACACGGTCCACAAGATCGTCGTCTAACACCACGTCCACAGATCTGGGAAGCTGGCCTGCTGGCGCTCGTTCGGGCATTTCTTGAATTGAGATTGTTTGGTGATCCCTGTACACGCAGTATCCGTACTCTGTGATGAGCTGGAAATAGTTAGCTTTATCTTCCTGCGCATTTTATCTTTCCCTATGCATACCGGATTGCCCTCATCGTCCTCTGTCGGGTATACGCTTGTGCTTCCGGCACCCATAGTCATCGTTTGATCGACATACGGTCGGTAGTGGAACTTTTGCTTCGTTTCGTTGTAGTGCACACTCTTCACCACTTTTGGCCGCACCAATGAGGTCTTTGTCACAATGCCCTCCAGCGATACCATGTGGTTCAGCTGTTGCGAGCCGAGCGACCGTGGGTTGCATGAAAACTCGCCAAAGCTTCCAATGTACGCGCAGTAATATTTTGCATCGTCTGATCGTTCGTGCTTCGGCCGATCTGGAAATGTTTCGACCACCTTTTTGAGAGCGTCGTCAAAGGCTTCCACGAAGGCGAAGGGCTCGTTGAGGAGGCCATTGGCGAGCTCTCGATTGTGCGATCGGATTTCGTCGATACTGACTGTCAATCTTTTCTGACCGCGGTTGAGCATGTTAAGGATCTCGGCGCGGTAGCTGGGGCTGTTAGTGTACGTTCACTCGGGGGATTGTGTTCCCAGTACCTCCGCGCGCTATCATCCTCTATTGCTTTGTCAGTCTCGTTCTCGGTGTCTCCATGATTCTAACCTACGTGCGGGGTCCAGAAACTCTTCAGCAAGTCTCCTGCGCCTGTCCTTGTCCTCATCTCTAAGGGGCGCCGCCATTACGAAAAACTGCGGGGTAAAAACAGTGCTGCGTGTGAATGACTATGCGTAAATGCAGCAGACACAATAGGAAACTGGTATCAAAAGCGTGCGGGTATCGAGAAGTGTGGTGTCGCAGCAGCAATGGCAAGTACGTTACGAGGGGCAGAAATCGGGGCTGGCGCTTCGAAAGCGCGTCGCGTCCACAATTGCTTGGCATTCACGCGTTTCGCGGATTCGCGCCAAGCCAATCAATTGTCCTTTCTAGGCTAGCATGACTGGCCCGGCAACCCCACACACTGCACTGCACACTGTGCAACCTTCCGTCTTATCTCACCTTCTCGCAGCATCTGTTATATCCTATGACCATGCCAAGCCGGGGCTAAACCCACTTGTGAGACCAGATGTGTGAAGCCATGCTTGAGCCACAAAGAATATTAATCCCAGCTATTACTTATGGCTAGCTCTACGGTACCTCGCAGGCTGGACCGTACCTGTTAAGGAACGGGTTTCTGGTAGCCAGGGTCACACTCCATAGCTAATGATTCGACGATTGCATTGACGTAACCATCAAGAACGCTCCACACCAACGTCAATCGGAAATAGAGCGGACTTTGCCCTTACATCACCGTTAACGGCGGCTTATAAGACCTGCTATAAACTATTTCACTCTCTGCTCAGCCATCACAAACGCTGAACTTACAATTTTGTCTAGCCTACCCTATTGTCTACCATGCCACCCCGCGTCTTTTTCATTACCGGAACATCCACCGGCTTCGGCGCGGAGCTTGTCCAGGTCGTCCTCAGCAAGGGAGACCACGTGGTTGCGACTGCGCGCAACTCCTCAAAACTTTCTTTCAAAGACGCAACCTCTTCTAACAGTCTTCTCGTGGATTTGGATGTTACCAAGACCGATTCAATCGACAAGGCCTTCGACGCAGCAGTCAAGAAGTTCAAGCGCGTAGACGTTGTTGTCAACAATGCCGGATATGGCCTCTCGGGGCCATTCGAGACGTTGTCCGACTCCCAAATCAGGAAGCAGATGGAGATCAACTTCTTCGGACTGCTGAATGTGACTCGGAAGGCTATGCAGACTATGCGGGATCTGAAGACTGGAGGCGTGATCCAGCAGATTACGTCCATCGGCGGTCAGCAAGGTCAGTGAACCTTTGACTTTTCTCATTTCCTAACGGACGCTGATATCTCACAGGTGTGCCGAGCTTCAGCATCTACTGCGCCTCCAAATGGGCCGTCGAAGGCTTCACCGAGTCTATCTCCAAGGAAGTCAAACCTGAGTGGGGCATTAAATTCACTTGTATCGAGCCTGGAGGCTTCCGAACCGATTGGAGCGGACGATCCATGGAGTTCGGCGAGAACAGGACCGATGCGTTGCATGAAGCGTATGACCACATCGACCCAGAAAAGATCGCTTCCAATAGGCACATGAAGCAGGCAGGTGACCCACCAAAGGCCGCGAAAGTGTTTTACGACCTGGCAGTGATGGAAAATCCGCCGTTAAGAATCGTCGTGGGCAGCGATGCGTATCAGGCCATCAACAAAAAAATCGAAACCTACTCGGAGAACGTCAAGAAGTTCGAGAAGTGGAGTAATAGCACTGACGTAGACGAGTAGTCACGAACAGCAGTCGTTGGGTCGACTTTTGCTCTCTGTTGACCGCTCTGTCCTGTCAAGTGTACGCATAATGAATACAATAATGGCCAAGTTTGATGAAGTCACTGGAATCTCGATCTGTTACCCGCCCAGCTTTCCATCATAGCTCTTCCGGAAAAGCTACAAGAAGACGGTTCCTGGTCGTTCGACGGCGTGACTTCTGGCCATGCATGATTGACCCGATTGCACCAATTCAGAGTTCAGCTCATCGCCTTCAACGTTGTGTGCAAGTCGCTTCTAATATCCTACATCTTTTCCCAAGACTATAATATAGACCTACACACGTTGTTTATGATTGGCTCTCTACTGCGCCGAAAGTCATAGTATAAGCATGAACACAGTGATGCACACAAGGCTAAGAAACGAGAGACATCAGCCGCATTGAACAATGCCATTCTAATTCCAAAAAGCGCTACAATGCCTCACAGTCAGCTTATCCTTCGAGCTAGCCCTTTCCAACGGACTCTAAATACGATATCAGAATCGGCTTCCGATAAACCCTCAAGGCTGTCTCCGCAACATTAGACGACATTGCTGTTTATGTAACAGACATAACAAATTTACCACAAACCAGGCAGTTGAGTCTCAAAGCTTCGTTCTGGATATGGGCTTTTACCACTTCTATCTGAATCATGGAATCAGATCTGACCAGATGTCTTCATGATTGAGGTCTTACTTCAATGCGCTGCAGGAACGAAACCAATCGTCGCGACATCCGGAATCATAGCTTTCGAATCAGCGTCACAACCAATAGTCTTCAGATATTGTCACGGACCCCAATTAAGTTTGAAATAAATGGCCAGCGTCAGGGCGAAATTTGCCCTTCATCTGCGGAGCACGACTGAAAGGGCAGCTGCAAGGATACCAGAAGTGGATGCTTGTCGCACGATCCCTATACTAGCTAGCTGCCGAAGGGAACTACAATGGACATCTCCAAACCCTGGCACTTCAGCTTCCACCCACAATCCATCCAAAGCGATACTCTTCCAATTGCTTGGGTCTTCAATTATACCTTGAGATGAGGCTATTGTGCGCCTTTCGAAGATCTAGACTGCGAGCGCTCCTCGACTTGAAAGGTCTATCCCAGAGAAAACAGCCTCGCTTAGCGCGAAGGCCCGACTGGCATTTAATTGGGAATCCTTAAGTGGTGAAACGCCCGTACCTACGCCGCGAACATCAACTCTAGGACCTCGGTCGCACTGTCAAAACTTCCACGCGAGATGTGATAGGGGTGCAGAGACTCTTGGTGTATATTATTCGAAGCGGAGCTTGGGCTGTCATAATGTAATAAGTTGTTCTTCCAGCCTCTTCCTTTAGTCTGCGACTTGTCCGACCTATTCGTTCACTCCTTCGCCGTCATACTCTCTTTTCTTTCGCGTTGAAAGCTTTCTTGAAGATGAAGGCTACAGTCTGGGTGGCTTGTCTGCTGTCTTCTGCCGTTGCGTACCCTTCGCTTCAGACAAGGCAAACAGAAGACCACTCATGGAAAGCGCCCACAGCAACTGACCGTATGTCGTACAAAGTCTGGTCGTATCCAGTAGAAGTACTAAAACTGCCGTCTAGGGCGAGCTCCATGCCCGATGCTCAACACCCTAGCCAATCATGGCTACCTCCCCAGAGATGGTTCAGATATCTCCATGGAAGTCCTAGTCGCAGGACTCAAGAATGGAGTCAATCTCGGAGCGGATGCAACCAAGCTTGTGGGCGCAACAGCTTTGCAGGGCTCAACAACAGGAAACGCTAGCACTTTCCATCTTACCGACCTGAACAAACATGGCTGTAAGACTCAACATCAGCAGATGCGTGATGGAGAACATGAAGACTGACCATTTGCAGTGATTGAGCACGATGGCAGCCTCAGCCGGAACGACATCTTCTTCGGCGACAACCACAGCTTCAACAAGACCATCTGGGCTCAGACTGCATCCCACTTCACCAAGGCTACAATTGATCTTGGCACGGTGGCAAAGGCTCGCAAGGATCGCCTCGCTGCCGCAAAGGCTGCCAATCCTCAATACGAAGGCGACGAACAAGCCAGCTTCATTGAATCTGCGCTGTATCTCAACGTAATGTCCAACGAGACGGGCGTCACGGCTGTTACCAAATGGGTAAAGACTTTGTTCCAGGAGGAGCGGTTACCGATTGAGCAGGGGTGGAAGAGACCAAAGGGTGAGATTACCGTCGCAACGATTCTGGGTCTTGTGGGATTGCTTGGTGTAGCTTCTGCATAGACGGAACCTTAGTATTCTGGAACACAGTATGTAAAAATGTAATAACTTCACACGATGATTCTCGCTGTGAAATTTACCAGCAAGCACCTGGGTATCGTCCAGCGAAACCCAGAAATGGCCACTTCATTATCACAGGATCCAACTAGTATCATCCAGCCCACATGCCCTCACATGCTGTTTTATAACATTCAAAATCGCCTTCTTTACGCGACGCCAGTACGTAATCGTGACCTATTGCCCTCAATTTGGTCGATGTCACAATCCAATACCCTGGTCACAATGATAATATGAGAGAAGTGGACGAGAGCGATTAAAACCGATACATTGCAGATCTGTATTAAAGAAATGCATGTTGATCATGCCACGATTGCGCTACGTTCTCTCTTTCGCTTGTTTAGCTCGAAGATAAAACAACCTAATGTACACTGACATAGCCTGCTTATGGTTGCCACACCGATAAGATTATCGTGCAACGCCTGCTTCGCCACAAATTTCGGTGCTAGTAGATCAAGTCTTATCCAACACTGGGCTTTTCTCAGCCAATTTCGAAAACATGCAAGATGCTCACAGTGCACGAAAAAGGGGGTTCTTCGCAACCAATCGTAAATTGCTACACCCACGGTAACCAGGGAAACTGACAGTGAGTCACCGAGTATCTTATGTGCATTGCCTGTCATATTGTACAACGCACGCGTTCCTGAACGTAGTCTGCAGGGATAATTGTGACCGTGCGCCAGGGGAAGCGACTTCAAAACAGGCATACCCAAGTCGCGAATGCGGTCTGACGTTGATATCTCCACTGAGCCCCCTGTTGCTACACTTGTGTGCTCAACGTATGCAAATGAAAACAAGAGTCTCTGCTGCAATATCACTACCAGTAGTGCTTGCCAAAAGACGGTAACTCGCCCGGCGCATCGCTGCACCGCCGACTGAGCTCAGGTCTGTCTCATACCATAGGTATACAGAGACCCAGCCCCACAACATACTTTTCTGCCAACACAGTGTCGAGAATAAATATGGCCCACATGTACACCTGCCCGTACGTGCGGACAGCGGAGCCGGGCTCCGCAGCCAGGAATGACTCCTCTTATCTGAGCCCCCTTCCTTCGCAGGGGACTTAGGACCTTGTTTCTCATCTTTCTACGCCTTGCATGGATTTCACACAAGCACAACTAATCATATATACCCCTTCACACCCGCCATAGTGACGCTCCCTACCATTGAATGCTGCTCACACTACACCGCGACACCTCACTTCTATCCGCCATTTGCACCACTATCTCAGAATGCTCATACGATCGATATCGCTCCTCTCCGCCGTTGCCCACGCATCACCAATCCTTGTCAAGAGACTGTTTCCAGACCCAGAACCCTGCTTGGGAAACTGCTCCTGGATACACGACCCAAACATCTATGTCGAGGGAGGAACGTACCACCGCTTCAGCACGAGCGGAAACATCGCTGTTGCGACGGCGGACAATTTGAACGGACCGTGGACGTATCAGGGGTCGTTGTTGGAAGAGGGAACGAGAATCCAGGTTGATGTCGGGAGGCAGGATATTTGGGCACCGAACGTCGTCAAGATCGACGACACCTTCTACTGCTATTACAGCGTCTCCTACCTCGGCTCTCAAGCCTCACAGATTGGCTTCGCAACATCAAAAACACTCGAAGTAGGATCTTGGACCGACCACGGCAGCCTTAACATCGCACAATCACCGTCCTACAACCTTATCGACCCAGCCATCTTCCAAGAGACCTCGGAAAGCCCCGTCCACCTCACCTTCGGAAGCTATTGGGATGGAATCTTCAGCATGCAGCTCGCCTCTGAGGCTTTAGTCTATAAGCGTGACGAAGCAGTGAATATCAGAGGCGGACCTTCTGGCACTCACGAAGGCCTCCAGCAGAAACGCGACACAACTGCAACCGGGCCCACTTCTTGGACGGACGGTTCTCTCAACCTGAACAATCTCATCCGCAACACCACCGCAAATCCTGATGTTGTAGAAGGCGCCTTCATATACCCGTACGCTGGAGAATACTACCTGTTCTTCAGCGCCGGTAACTGCTGCGCCATACCTCCAAATCTCGCGCCGCCCGGCCACGAGTACAGGATTCTGGTCTGCAAAGCCGCGACACCGGCTGGGCCATTTACGGACAGAGACGGACGGAGATGTGATGAAAGTGGGGGAACATTAGTGCTAGGCAGCCATGGCGACGTATACGCGCCGGGGGGCCAGGGGGTGCTGCTCGATGACAAGACGGGGAGGACGGTGTTGTATTATCACTATGGTGAGTGAAATTTGCATGGAGTAAGGGAAGTTTCAAATACTAACAAGTGTCAGTGAGGCCGAGCGTGGGGTATGATGCGAGCCAATTCCTCTTTGGGTTTAATTACTTGGAGTGGGTGGGAGGCTGGCCTGTTGTTGCGTAAGAGGCGTAGTTTCTCCTTTGTGTTGATGCGTTGGAACGGCATTGAGAAACTTGTTCCTAGAGCTAATGTGGCAAAGTCGTAGTTCGAGCGGGTCGACTTCGAGTGTCTTGGGCGGAATCAGGGGTATAATGAGCGCGACGCAGAAGATGCTAGGGTTGAGTTTCGAAGGAAGACCGGTGGCTTGAGTAGATTTTAGGGTACGCTGAATGGGTCCGGTAAGACGTGGTGGAACTCTACAGGTTTGATGTTTTGGCGGTTGATATACCTAACGTCGGAAGGTTTACGTTTTATGAAGCACACGAACACGAAAAGCAACGACACATCAAATAGACGAATACATAATTACGATGCGCCTCATGTTCGCGGTATATGAAGTGACTTATCATATTCGATATGCGAGCCTTGAGGTGGCGAACGTGAAGCATCAGATATGAACCTCCTATATTATCAAAGGTTCGCGCGCAATCAGCATCATGCATGCATCGACAGCTAAAGAGTCAAATCCAAGCGTTTTGCAGACGACGTGTAACCAGTTGTGCCCCAACCCTATGCTTCTGCTCATCGTCATTAGATGCTGATATACCTTCTCATGTCCACCCTCAATTGCGCAGAAACCGAAGTCCAATATGGACGTTGCCAAGCGCGACTTTGGCTCCAGGCTGAAACTCAAAACTTCGTTCATTTACAATCAAACTGTCCCGTCTAGGAAAATGACCTCCTACTCTGCATTGCAAAACGGCTTGTAATCGTTCGAGCAACAAGCGCAACGACGGTCTGCTCCTCTCCCCGAGCGACGCGGCTTCACTGCATGCCAAGGCTCGGTGTGCAGTAAAGGATGAAAGATTCGACAATTCTTTTTCCTGGCTTTGCAGGAGTCGCAAGGCTTCCGTGCTTTGACCCCGTACTTGCTGGCAATCAGCCTTGCTCTGCCGATTGCTTGTGCCCGGCCAACGCACAGACTTGCCAATGTTCTGCCGGATGTAAGAAATTCGTCTCTGGTATTGTCGGTCATGGCGAATCCTCTGTCTTTGACAAAATTCTCCGGGGTTGCATCTGCTGGGAGTGCAGGATACACGGTGGGGTCACGATTCGGAGCGGTGTATTGAGACACTGAAGAGCGAGTGCGCTTGCCAATGGGCTCTGGCTCGGCCTTCGACTTCGACTTCGACTCTGTCTTCTTCTTCGGTTTCGCCAGCAGCTTCGCATCTTCAAGTTCGTCAAGTGCAGGTTCTAAGAACGAAAGGTCAAGAAACTGAGCTTGACCGCTCTGGAAGTGAAGACCCGGAAGTCCACTGGCTCGCACCTAGTCTCAATCAGCGCAAGGTACGGTCGCAGTACGTATGGAAACTCGCCTCTTTGGTGCTGTAATTTCCGATACCCGCTTCAAGGAAGCTAAGGTCCATGGTTGGTGGGACATGATCCTGGCATCCTACGCTCGCAATCGTCTTCGGCTCGAAATGGGCGTAGAGATAGAGCTCTTCAGTCATCGTGAAGTCATGAGTGAAGTAATCACCCTTATTCCACAACTGAGGTACCACACGTGCAGTACATGTCGATGCGCCAATGTCGAGCGCCGCAAGATGGAAATGCACATCCCAACTGTTTCCAGGAAGTTCTTGACCAAAAAGGTCTTGCGCCAGACGAGCAAGCTTCTAAACGGCTTGTTAGCTGGGCACCATCAGCTGTTATGAGATCCTGTCGCACTTCGTAATCTTGAGCATAGCTAGGCGGGACCCAATTGTTGATGTCCGGTGCTTCAGCGCTGCTGAGCAGAATCCTCGGTGACGCCATCTTCCTGAAGTGTGCTGTAGGATACGAGGTGTTGAGGTGGTGGAGAAGAGACGACGGATAACCGTCACGACACAGAAACGAGGGGAGGTTCGCGCGTGGTGAAAGTGAACGGAGAAGGAGCGACCTAATCATCGTCTTCTTTCGAAATCCACTCTCACTTTCACCTACACTCGCTTTGATCTCACCGCTACATCTGATCTCTGATTTGAATCAACAAGTCGCCATCTCCACCTGGCATATACAATTTGGTTCGTCCCTAAGATGGACATGTTGATACATAGACGGAGAAGCTGGTCTGGGAGAATCCACTAAGCGCCCCGAAAAATAAGAGATTTGAAGAGGCGCTGGCAAGCTTTACTGGACTCACCACATTTCGACACGAGTACGCAGCGTCAATGTATGGTTGCTGGCTTACTCGCTGCGAAGGGCTATAGGTTTATCCGAACTGGGTTGATGAGTCTCTTCTTAGCCCACACTACAAGCGAGCATGCTAGACAAGGGATTCCATAAAAGCGACGTAATAATGTATTACTCAATGCGTGTCAGTACACTTGACTAAGGGATCTTTTTGGTGGGTCCCTCATAAATTAGGTGTTCATATTATTACTAAATAATTCCGTCTTTACGATCGGTGAAACTACATTTTGGTGCGGACTGGGCAGAGTGACCTACTCGCTTAACCATGTACTCGTACTCGCATTAATTGCCAAGAAACGCTGCAGCCTCAGTCTCTATATTTCTCTGAGCCTTGCCAGCTCTGATATTCTAAACAAACAGATTCTCATTGTATGAAAAGCCCATACATGATGTCTTCCGTTACACCTGCATCAGCAATTCGAGGATTTCTGCGGATGATCATCACGAAGCTCAAATTGCCGTCTCCAAAATACAAGGCTATCTCGGAATTAGGCTTGAGAAAAACCGGTCTAGTATATATAACGCAATTGGCACTCCCCGTATTATGCTCGGGGTTTCTTCTCTCGTAAGTCTCGTTATTCCCTTATTCCTCTTACGCATCTAGTGTATAGCACTAATCTCTTACCCCAAAGGGCGATAATTCTTGGCCTTATCCGTGAACGATGGCCACTGACACCCACGACTGTTGGTAGTATTGAAGTCGATGCAGATCTTCAGCTCATCATGCTTGGTGTCGTGAATAAGAGCCTTGATGTCGTCGTACAAGCTGTTCTGGAGCACACAGGCCTAATTTACAACACGCTATGGATGATACAGCCTAAAGTGGGAGCGACGATGCAAGACACGCTAATAAAAAAATGAAATGGTCAAACCGTGGGCTTCTATACGTGCCTATACCAGAAGGCGACATGCAGTAGGCTTGCTCGGCTGGGGAACCATCGGTCGACTGATACTCACCCTAGCTATCTCCGTTTCTGTGATTCTTCTTGGTGCCAGCTTGAACACCATTGGTTGGCCTAAGAAACGATGGTACCCGGACCATGGACAGATCATGAATTTGACTGAAAACCCTTTTCGAGACCTCACGATACATACGCCGTTCATGTCAATCGATCAAGTGAATTGGGCTGCAAATATGCGTGTAGGACTGGCTCTGGTCGGTGGCGTGCCATAGCTCGATGAGAATGGTGATCTAGTGCTTACGGGTGGAGCGGCGGATGAAATTGCAGGCGCGCTCGCAGCTTCCACGGCTTTCTCTGCACTCACACAACTACCGGGGGCCTATAACCGAGTCACGGCGGACTTCGCATCTGTATGGAATACACCCGACTATACCACCGGTATACAAACGCGAGTCAATGGAACGACTGTGCAGAGCATCTCAGTCCAAACGCAGCGTATTTACAACCTTTTCGAGTGGCACAAAGCCTATGGAACACTGTTCGCTAGAACCGCTACCGGCTTCCACGGAATTGTTCAGATGACGGTCCCTCAATTGAGAACCATCTGCAGTGAGCCGGTCCGCGATGGGCCGCCTGACAACGGTATCGAGACTGTTCAGCCTAACAACCGTAGTGCCTCATTTACTGTACATGTCGGATCCAGCAACGCCCTAAACTTTGCTGGGGCTGCCTGTATGCTCACACTCTCACAAGTCTTGGTTCCGGTTGAGACATGGATAGTCGATATGCAGTTGCCCCCTTGGATCTCCATCAATAACATTATGGCCCCGGTGACAGCACAGCCAGCACCAGTATCAACGGTTTCTAGTAATGCTTTGATAACTGCGAAGCTCGCCACGCATTTCAACTCTATCCTGCCAATGTTAAATGGACAGGTTCCCAGTTTCGGCATCGTTCCTCATCTTGCCATGGCTGCCCGAACCCTACAGACACAGCACTCTAGCTTTACATCCGACACCGCAGCTCTTGCGCCTATCCTTGCTACCCTAGCTCAGCAGCAGCTCTCAACTGCAGCATGGACATTCCAGATACACAATGACACCTTCGTGTCTTCAGCACCTGTGCATTGGCAGCTTTATGGGTCAGGACCCCGTATGAAATGGGAGTGGATCGCTATCATAGTTCTGTTTATTGTCCTTATCGCCATGATAACTCATACACTCCTGCTCGCTATATACAAAATCCAGCCTGGCCCCTGGTTAGAGCTTGGCGGCATGCTACGCACGGCACACAAAACACCACTAACTTTAGATTCAGTGAACGAGGTGCATAATGCGGACCCTCCTGATGGACGAGAAGATGCTGCTAAAGGCGTCGATAATTGCGTCCGGTTCGAAGTGAAGAGCGTTGACAAACAATGGCCGGAGCTAGTAGAACATCGTTTAAGAAGAAGAGTTCAGCACGCGCAGGCACATTCGATAAGTCGGCCAACCAATCCGATACCATTGCCAAACATTCCATCCAATAGCCTGTCGCCTGCTGTTGCTACATCCACTACTTGTCAAAATACTGCTCCTGAGCCTCCAAATATTACGGCAACAAATACCTCTAACGCGATTTCTACGAGTTCCTCCTTGGCCTTACCAGCAGAAGTGGCGACGACAGCGCCATTACGCAATCAGACACTTATCGTCCCAGGCGGGCCCACGACTTCGCAATCAACCTTAGCGGAAAGTCCGTCGGCATCGCAGAACCCGAGTCCGGCGACGAGTACCGTAGCTTTGTTACGCGCTTCAACGTCTTCATCTACGTAGGGGAGAGTAGTTTACGAGTATCTATTTTAAATGCCGAAACACGGTGCTCTTGCCAAGACTGGCTCGATGATGTGACGAATGAGACTGCTACATAACCCACGCACTACACAGCTCTTCGTTCTCTACGCAACGTATCTAAGACATTGCTGCCTTTGCTCGGGATGAAATGAATACAGTTCACTTGTCGAAGAGCTCACTCTTCCCTTCCTTTGTATGACTGAGGGTTCCTATGCCGGTAGGCGACTGTTCAGGCTTCCTGCCAAAACTTCATCACACTTCTGAAAGACGTCGTATCTTAAATGTTCAGCTGGTTGCCAAACACGTGACGCGGTCGCACTCACCCATAATCATGAGCAACATGCTCAACCATGTTCGTGGGCACGCCTGTTCTTTGTTAAATGTTTTGCGCGCCTCATAACGCCCTCATCAACTTACTCGAGCCCTGCGGATCGGCATACCGCCGAACTTGTTCCTCGACTTCTTTCTCTCTGCCTAACTTTACGTTGGATAGAATTTGTACGCGAGCTACGCGATCCGCTCGAACGCGTTGGAAGACTTCTAATCGCTCAGGCACCAGTCCGGCATCATCGGTATCCTGGAAAAGATAGCCTAGAGCTCCACCGTCTTCCATGGCCGACACTGCACCTTGTGCATTGAATGGTAGCATCTACATCCGGTTAGAGAAGTCAAAGAATAGGAGGATCGTTGATTACCGGATGCGCAGAGTCGCCAATGAGTACTATGCGATTGTTGTACCAATTCAACAGCGGTTCGTGCACAAATAATGGCCAGCACTTCGCCGCCGACGCTTGTCTTCGAACGTTAGGCTAGGTTCACATGAGGATAAGACGGATAGACGTACTTGATCATTCCAAGCACCTCCGGTGCAAAATGCTTGAACTCATCCAGCATTGCGGCTTTTACTTCTGCTCAAGTCTTTCAGCATTCATCTGCAAGGTTGTTCGCACATCGACTCACCCTCTTGATCATTACCATTCACGTCTCTTGTAGGATGTATGCCTACGTAGTTCTGCGTCTTGCCGCTGATTGACCGTTAGCCTAAAAGCCTTGGGTCTCTTAGGAAAACACATACTCTCTACATTCGTACCAGATCATATACCTCACCTTCGTGGGGTCCTGAGTATCTTGCAGCGATCCGACATCAGACTTACCCTTCTTGTCCAGCGTCGCCGCGAGCCTCGGATCAGCTTTTAACACTTCCGTGTCGAGTAAAAAGCGGAACGCACTCAATCCAGTCGCTGTCGGTGGTCCAGCTGCATCGGTTACTACCCTCTGCAGCACCGACTTCAGTCCATCCGCAGCAACAACAAGATCCGCCGTATGTACCGAACCGTCCTTCAGCACAATCGTACCATCCGTTTCCGCTGTTGCCACCTCGGAGCTCAATCGCAACCTCACCGGCCGGCCTAGCCCATCCTCTCCAGTCGCCAAGCGCAACAACTCTTTGTGCAGATCTACGCGGTGTACTGCCCATAGTTTCGCGCCGAATGTCTCTTCCGCTTTGCTCACATCTACTGCCGCTGTCTGTTCTAATGTCTGTCCATCCATGACGTTGATGTTCTTGAGGATAATGGCACGCGCATTTGCGAACGAGAAGCCGAGTCTATTCAGCACTCGCGTTCCGTTTGGACAGACCATTAGCGCGGCGCCTATTTCAGCGGCGAAGGCGGATCTCTCAAAGATCTGCGTTACTTTAGTATCGTATCGAAGGTATTCAAGAGTAGAAATGGTAAAGACACTCACTTCGACATCATGACCGGCTTGACGGAGGGCTACCGCCGCAGTCAACCCTCCGATCCCAGCTCCTACGACAATCACCTTCAACGGCATATGCGTTGGGATGGAGCTCAGACGCGTCGATTGTAGAATATAAAGGCTCAGAGCAATGATGCGAATAGTTTGCCCCAATAATTTTATGTTCGTCGTTGCTGACAGGGATTAGGATAGCCCACCGTTGAATTAGAAAGCTCACTCCACTCGCCTTGCTCGAGAACCAATTGTCTCCGTAAGCTCTTCGGGGCTCGCCCTTATTCTCGCTCTTGTGCTCGCTGCTCAAATGTTCTGGCGGGGCCGGCGTCGCACGCGATTTGGCGGTTGATTGTTTAAGTTGCGTCGTCGGACTCCGAACAGCTCGGCACGTAACTCAATACCGCTGTTACTCATGCAAACCATGACACGGATGAAGTATACGTCATTGGAGCGATGCTGGTCCATGAAGACGCTGCAGCCATATCGTTTTCGCTTAAACTAATCGAATGACACCTTCTTCAAGCTGCTTGAAGACCAGGGACGCAGTGCCCTCTTCTTCAGACCCACATTAGGGCACGACGCACATACTGTACAAACGTACAAACCGTATGCGCGGTTTCGAGATTAACTTTTACTGCCGGTGTACGCGTCATTTGCGGCGGATGAGGAAGTGGTGGAGGTAGGCTGCGTGTTTCGAGAAGCCTGCTTTATCGCTTCGATTCTCTGCTGGTCGAGGTGGTCATCGATGCGATCATCGAGCATCTGCAAGATACGCAGACCCATTGTCTTATATTCGCTGTCTATCTCCTCAAAGTCTGCCTGTCTGTCCTCGGCTTTTCTTGCATTGTTTGCCAACCTGTTCTTGGAGCAGTAATGACACGGACATAGGTTTTCGTTGGGTATAGCATGTTCCCGTACAAAGTGGCAGAACCGACAACCGCACACTTTGATTTTCCACCCGTGTTCTTCAGAGACTTGCACTACTTTGGCATGGAGTTCTTTGTCGTCGTCGCACTTACGCCATGTCCGGTACAGTGCTCGGTCGGATGCACATGGTGCGCAAATGCACAAGTGTGAGTGGGGTAACGGGGCTGTCACCCATACTTTGAAATCGGTGTACGCGAATCTAACGGAAGCGATGTTTCTCTGAAGACTAGAGAGGGAATGCATGCCAAGAGCACTACTTATTGACCAGACAGTGCTCTTGAAACTATTCGCTGTGTGACTGTCAAGAGCGGTCGTTGCGCCTTGCACAATTTCTTCTGGCCCATGAAGACCCATGTATTGCAGGACCGTGTCGCTGCATTTCATAACCAAGCTATCCCAAGCGTTTTGGTAACGGAGGATTGCGCCTGCGCCGAGAACTAAGGCGCTACCGACCCAGGGAGCCCACGCACCCACTGCATCGTTGTCCTCGCTATGAGGGTAGGTCAACTGGGTTACTTCGAACCCAACAACAGCGACCACTACGATTAAGGGAGTCATGAGGGTTAGAACTACGCCTGTGAGGAAGAACAGTGCTGATACAGTCTTCGCGATGACGTACTGCCATTGGCGGACCCCTGTTCGCGTATCTTTGAAACCAGAGCAAGCAAACTTGGGAGTAGAGTCGCTTCTTCTCGCCTTGAAAGTTCTCCAGATAGCCTGAAGTATTATCGGATGTATGTTGAGTAATCGAAATAGGATGTGGCGCATCTGTCGGAAAGTGAACTGGGTCAAGAGCAATGATAGCGCTCCGAACAACGAAATGGCAACTTCCATCACCTGGACCGGATAGGTCGTCCAGAAAAGGAAATCCATCATGAAATTGCTGCTCACAATGTCGTACTGACGCTCGGGTAGTATGAATGGAACCATGGACGCACCAGATCTCATGGGCATGCTTGGTTCCAACAGACCACAGAAGTTCACGCACTGACAATCGCGATACTTTTCCGTCGTCAGTGGTGCTTTGGTCGCGCAGACGGTAGTATTTGTGAGAGACAATGGGCAAAGAAGCAATGCAGTACCCCTGTTGAAGCTATAGCTGCGGGAATTCTTTCCCTCCGCGTGGTAGGAAATCGTGAGTAACACAGGGGCTAAAGCTGTGAATATGAGCATGCTCCAAATCACCACAATGATCTGGGCCTTCGAACGTCGAACGTTTGTGGACCAGTTGAGGATAGGCACGGTCAGAACGGTCGACGCCATCAGTATTGGATAGGTATGTTCAAAGTCCGGATCTCCTTGTGACTGTCCAGATCTGCTATACCCGAGGTGTGTTTCCCATCCAAATTGCGTAAGCATAGCTAGGGCATGCACCGCTACCGTAGCCGAGTATACCATAGCCGCGCCTGATGCTGTAACAGCCAGCCAGGTATGCCGCCGAAATAGGATGGTGAACAAAAGTAGGAAGTAGAACGAGATCCGCATCAAAGTGTCGTAGGTACCGCTGATCGGATGGATGCATCCTACTTGAGTGCTGTAATAATCTGGTGATAGTATCATCCTAGCCAGAGCAAAAATGTCGTCGAATGCTTGATGTTCCGTTGTGGGGAATTTAATCGACGCAATATTGTCGGGGAAAATTGTCAGATTGATGAGTTGCGAGATGTTTCCGACGGGAAGCCATTCGCCCCAAACCTCGCTCATCAGATTGACTGTTTGGTTCTGCCACAACTTCCCGTCCAGAGTGGCATTGGACCAGTTTTTCTGGGTAAGCCAGGTTTCGTTCACCGGTACTGTGTATGTCGTCATGATGTTCGATCAGATCTTCTTCTGTATCAGCCTGCTGACTTCGTTCGCGAGGATTTTCTGTCGGCACTCTGATCTTGTGCTGTTAGGCAACGTTCGTGGAGAAAGCGATTGATGTGACTTGTTGGATCGCGAAGGGCTGCTTGCTACATAGCACTGAGAGCGCAGTCAATCTCTGCATCGCCTTCCTACTTCCATCATCCGCGAGGTACGTGTCGTAAAGTCCTCACTATCGCCGGGCTGATAGGTTTTACAGTGAAAATAGGTCGCCCACTAGGCAGAAAGCTGACTGTATGAGAAGATGCTGTGCTGTATTACCAAGGACCAATGGAAACGAGCGGATTAGCTGTGCAGCAACCATCAGCCTCGCTATGACGAAGCAGCTGAACCTCCGACAGCCTAGCCCTACGCATTCCGACCCCAAACGTGGAACCTTCTGCAACAGCAATATCACGACATACTCAACTCGACCGCTGCTGTCTCCAAATCATAAGATGAGTATTACTATCGGCTCGCTTACGCAGGAAGACTACCCCCAATGGGCGGCCCTATGGCGCCAGTATCTCAAACCCACAACTCTTCCAGAGTCGCAATTCCAATCTACTTTCGCGCGTCTGGTAGCCCCAGACGGTGACATCCACGCTCTAGTGCTTCGCAATACCTCAACCGCTGAGCTATGCGAGCTTACCCACTTCACCAAGTTGCCCAGTCCCTGGTCAGAGGGCGGCATCTGTTATCTCAATGGTAAGTGCATCTCCGTTGGAAACACGTTAAGCAGCAATAGTGGTGACACGCAATAGATCTGTTTGTGATCGAGAACGAACGGGGCAAAGGATATGGGAGGATGCTGATGGAGGGAGTCGCTGAATCTGCAAAAAGAATGCATTGTCTGAGGGTAAGCTGGTGTACGCAGACGGACAACGTTGTAGCAAGACGGCTATATGATAAGTTGGCGACTTCTAAGGACGTGTATTATAAATGGTACCTTGAAGCCTGAATGAGGACTGGGGCGGTGGTTTATGCCCCCAGAGAAGGCTGCCAGAGCGAGTGCTGAATTGGGCGTGGAGTTGGCAGGAATATCGGCCTTTACATTACTCTTCTGCGTCTATACGGCCTCGGAAGTATACCAACATATATCTATCAATGTCTGAGTCTCGTAAGTCTCAACACGTCCACTTCGCAAGACCAACACTCCAGTTGCCAACCCTCCACCGACCGCCACTCACCGTCCACCACCCCCAACACCTAAACATCGCCACCCCAAGACCCACTTCCCTCGCCCCCTCCCCACAATTGCGCAACCTCTAGAAGACTTCTCGAAACAAAAGTTGAAACAAACCAGCCTTGATCGACGCTAGCCCCAACGCTCGCGCACCGTGACTGACTCGCAGGGAAAAGAAGCTAGTGAGACTTTTATGACAACGGTGGATCTGGATATAGGCTAGCATTACCAGGGTCAGGGGCCTTGTATATGCGCAGTGACAGGAGGAAAGTATTGTGACACGCTGTTTTGTGCTGTGCTGTGCTGCAGAGTGTGAAAATCAATACTCGAGCATCGGATGATAATTGAAGATTGATACCCAACCAAGTGAGGCAATTTCGCCCAAAGTATATTTATCGATTAGGCTTCTCCATTCGATAGACTAGACTACTTCATGCCTACTCTATCGTAGCATGCCCTCGTCCTTGCACCACAAAGGAAAATCCCTGCCGCGTCGTGATATCGCGGCCCGATTTTTTAGCTCTACCAGTGAGCCCTTGTACCAAGAATCCATGCCAGATTGGCGCTCTAAACGTAGAAGGCGTGAATGGTAAAACATAATGTGGTAATGATACAGTATACGAAGCAGACAGGTAGCACAACATAAAGAGAAATACCGAGAAGCCGAAGACAGAGGTATCATGCAAAAGGAAAGACGTGACACGTGATGGAAACATAAAGCGCCCAAAGAAAAACCGAAGTAGCCGGGTAGATAGACGCCGGCGCATCCTTGCCAGAATGGCGGTATATAGTAAGGAAACAGAATGACAGACGACTCAGACGACTAAGGCCCGGGGCACTTCGACCGGAGGCGGAGGCGGCAGAGGCATGTTTGGGGGAGGAGCCGGCGGTGGCAGACCCATGGCGGGCATACTGCGTCTAGGGGCGAGGTTCTTCGGGGGAGCGAGCTGCTGTCCATGGCCTCGGAGAACAGGAATGCTCGGACTCTTGCTTAGCAGGGTTGTTGGCGCAGGCGCAGCGGATGCGCGGTTCCCAGGGACAAAGGAGGGTGTGCTAGAGACAGCACGGTTTCCTGGTACGAAAGATGGTGTACTGGACACAGCGCGATTGGGCCGGGAGGATGAGAGGAACGGAGCGGGATCGGAGCGGATTTGCACGGATGTTGGACGGCGGAGTGGCTGTCCTATTGGTTGGGTGTTCTGGAATGATCGTGAAGGACTTGTCTGACGGGCTTGTGTAACGGGGCTGGTGATGGTGGAAGAAGGCCGTGCAGGCTCCGTAACGGAACGATTCACATTAACGCCGAGCGGAAGACGAGCTGGCTTGTTACCGGGCGTAAGAGAGGTGCGGCGTGGTACGATGACTGATCCATCAGCGTTCTGGGTTTGCGGCCTTACTGGGAAGGGGCGTAAGAAAGGCTTCGGTGTTGCTGACACGCGGCGCTCTATATGGTGTGGCAGAGCGGCAGCGGCATTGGTCAAGCTGCCAATGACCGTCGATTGAGGGCGCTGAGCCGGAGGGGTTGGCAGTGGAGCTTGCGGTGGTGGCGATATCGCATTGAGCATCCTTCCTGGAGGCGCACTGGAGCTCCTTGGCGTATATCGCACAGGGAGGCCATGCTGAGACTGAACAGAAGCCCTGGGCTGAAAATTGCTCGTAGAGATAGGAGCAGGTTTCGTCGGGTTGAGCATTATTAGATCTGATAATGGTGTTCCAGCTTCCAGTTTAGACCTTGGGTCAATCAGCTTCCTTGGCTCAGTCGCAGTTGGTGAAGTCGGTCCATAGATTGAGTGGCGCTTAGGCGTGCGCGTAATCTGTGCGGATACAGAGTTATCTTCATTGGTGACGGGTAGAGGCTGCATGGATCTTCGGCGGGTGCTGCTGTTCCCCGGATGCATATGAAACGACCTGAGAGACGTCTCGCTTCGGCGCGGCTCTGCATCTACTGGGGTTGAAACTTGTGTGATAGGGGACGGTGGAGCTGGTGACGGGTCTCGCGATGTATTTCGAGTACCGGCACCTGATACAGAAGTTGCAGTGGACATGTAAGAATATCGCGATCTCTCAAGAAGCTGTTCGAGTTGAACTTGCTCATGGGAATCCCTGCTTGTAGCGATTGAAGGTGCCTCGACAGACTGGCGGTGCAGGCTTGGCAGAGAAGACTGGATGCTGGCAGAGTCGACAATGCTTACAGTCTTCTCTTTGCGGTCATTCTCCCATTCAGACGTGACAATCTTAGGAGAATCCGAATACTGCGATTGCAGGGGCGAGTCAACCGGAGTGATGGTACTCAAGCGACTGGATCCTCGTTTGATCGGTGGCCGTTGGTATGGACGTTCTGTCCAAGTTTTCCCCGGAGATTCGTCAATCGAAGCAGAGTTTCTGCTAGACTCACTGCTTGCCTTCTTGCCTCCGAGGTTGTCAATCTCTCTTCGTACCGTTGTCATCCATGACTCCATTTCTTCGGCGCTTTCCATTACTAGCAGAAAGCTTGATGCATCTCTTCTTGCAGGAGCCCCTAACCGAAGTCGTTGAAGGAGCGAATGCTTTGGGCCTTCACCTGCGGTGCCATCCTCGTTCGCGCTTTGTAGGATCTGTAGAACCCAATGCTTGCCGGGTATCAAATCGGAAGCAAATGCTGCGGAATCCTTGCCCAATCTGAGTACTTTTTCGGGAAGTCGATCGAAGGGGCCCTCGCCTGAATACTGCAACACATGGCCAGATGTCACCAAGACGTAGATCTTATTGGTCAACTGCGGTGCAGAATGCAGGATGGAGTCCAAGCGTTTGTGGGTCTTCTCAAGTTTCCTATGTTCGGAGGCAGTCTCTAGTGTAGTTGCCAGGTCCCTGTGGCTGTCCATTCGCTCACGCATCAGTTCCGCCTGCCTTCGCTGGCTTTGTGTCCGGATGAGCGCATCCGGAGAATAGATGCAAGCTTGCACTGTTGCAAACTTGACCGACTGTGGATAAGCTTGGAAAAGCGGTGGAGGGTCCCAGTCATCGCCAGGGTGCTGTGCAATGCTGACCGGTCGCATAGACTTGGGTCGGAGGAATTGGCTCGATCGCATTCGGTGCACTTGTTGGGCCTGAGGTGGGGGATTATGTCGGAGTGAAGATTTCGGTGGTGACGCTGGTCTAGGTGGTTCCTGCGGTTGCATTGGGACAGCAAGGCCAACCTCTATGTGACCTCTCGCCCTCTCCACCTTGGGCTTACTGAATAGATTGAAGAGAGACATCCTGCTAGAGTTCTTCCGCTCAAGTACCGGCGGGGTATTAAGCGAAGTCATATTTGTGGCGCTGGGCGACGATTGAAGGTTTTGCTGGAGGAGGTTTGCGCTGGACCGATTTCGCCGCCAGCGGGAGGTCGAGAAGCTGTCATTTGGAGCCATGGCTTCTATCGCCAGATAAGAGCCTCGGATATCAACACATGAACGTGGTCACGAGGCTGAAGGTGTTCGCAAGGAAGGGTATGCTGGGCCGCGTAACGTTGGAGTAAGCAAGCTGAGTGATACTCGCTTGTACGAAGAACAGTTCCACAGCGTGGCACAGCGACTCAGACAGTGAGGTATAAGGAATGCGACGAAGAGGCGGTGTATGGAGATTGATATGCCTCAAAAAGAAAAAAGCGTGTCACTGTTGCGTGAGGTGGTTGGAGTATGTCCGAGCCCGGTTTCAATGGTAAACGAGGCGGAGAATTCAGAATTTGCAATAGACCCTGTGAACGATTGTGAAGCCGGCGGGGCTATAGCATTTGAGAAACCTATATCAAACGAGGGGACAGGACATGTGTCCAAGAGAGGGGTACGGTGCAGATATGCGCGTAGGAGACGACGAGCAGAGACTGAAACGTGCGAAGAAACGACGAAGAGCACCGTGAGTGACGCGGGCAGTGGAGGCCGTCTAATGGAGAGGGTCGCAGGGGGTATTCGCAGGGTTGGGCAGCGCGAGCCGGTGGGCACGCTCGGGCAGCGCAGCGGCCCCTTTTCAGGCCAAGAAGGCTAAGTTGGGCGATGGCGTTCGGGTTCCCGTCACACCAGCCGGAGCCTATCTGCACCCTTCTGCACTATGGACCGTTGGCTTGTTTTGGGCGTGTTTGAGCAGCCAGAGGACGAGTCGAGGTGGTGCAGAGCTTTTTATAAAGCACGCCGGCGCTGTCACTGAGGAATGTGGTCTTCTCGCCGTCGCGTCGCCACACGCGCCGGTCGGTGAGGCAGCGCCGTGGGCTCTGTGCGACCGGAAGTCGATCCTCCATGGGGCCCGGCGTGATGTGACAAATGAACCTAAAAGCTGCCGGGCGAGGTTTTGTTGAAATTGCCAGGGCTAACGCCTCCGTCCACGCCGCGCCGGCAACCTTCCGCGAGGTAGATGGTCAGCTCCCCGAACAGATAATGGGAGCCGCTCGTGCTTATGGCAGAGGAGGCCCCGGTGGTGTGACTCAATGTACCTGAAGAAGCGCCGTCGACCATGTGCGCATTCTGTATCACAGTCACAGAATGCTCTTGGCCATGAGGGCGCCATGCGTGTTGCAACGGTGGGCCTCGGGCAAAAGAATGGTTCACGTCGCTTCTGCAGCCCAGGGACTCGGGCGAGGGAGGCCAGATGCAGCACGGACGGCGAACCCAGGCGTAGGGTAGGGTAGTCTAATCACGCCGCCATGGAGCCATGCATGCGCTGAGATTAATCGATAGCGGGCGCGGGGTGCTGAGATGCGGACACGTCTGCGACGCCTGCGGTCCGTTTGCAGCCGTTGCGCGTATATAGCGGCGCGCATAGCATAGCGTTCGATCAATCTTAGAGTTTATAAGTGAAGCCTGAGCCCGAGCGTACGTCAACCGAGGGGTGAGGGTCCACTGGGCAGAGTGTCAGTCCTCTTCGCCTGGCAGTGCCTGCCTCTGCAACGCCTGTTCTGAAGCAGCACACGCAGTCATAGGCGATGGCGTTCAATCTTTGCGTGTTCATGTGCATGCAGAGGCTGCGGTACCGAGTGTGTCTTCGTTCCTCGTTCCTGCGCAAGCGTCCAACCAAGGTCGGCGCTTTCTTCATTTGATCAGCCGCCATTTGCTACCCCGCCTCCCGCCTAGAATTGTCTCTCCACCACGGCACGACGACCGCGTTACCGTACTTTTCTACACTCCCCCAACCTGTGCGTCATACCCATTCCGCCGTGCCCTACAGTGACCCCCGCCTTTATCCTTATACCTTTTCTTCTCCGCCTCCGCCATGCCTCCGGATCTGAATTCACTACCACCTTCGTCACCATCGCCCATAGCCACACCCCTCCAGACAAGAGTATCGCCCACCGATCAACAAACTCGCACCATGTCGCAGTCGCCCTCGCACACCTCGCCGCACTCCCTCGCAGCAGCAGCCACAATGAATGCTGGCATCCAGAATGAGGATCTGCGGCGGCAATCCTCCGGTAGCATGCGGAGGGAAGTAGAGCGGGCGCGGCGCAGATCTAGTATTAGGATGAACCTCAACCTCAATGACCCCGGGATCCCTGCCCCAGGAGAGATGCAGAGGAGTCCGTCATCGAGGAGTCGAGGCGCACCGTGGCCTCACAGCCCGCACCATGAGCGCGCGCCGAGCCTGGGAGAGCTGCACCAGGAGCTGGAATACGAGCAAGAGGGTCAAGTGGTAAGTTAATACCGGGCCATAGTCTGAGTGGCTCTCGTGCAATCCCGACACAGAGTCCTTGGAAATATGATCGCGTGAACCACAGTTACTGATACCCCACCAGAACCGCCTCCTGAACATGATCCGCCAACAACAGTCCCAAATCCAACAACTCCAGTCCCAAGGCCCCCACAATTCCACATCTGCAGTTGACGACAGCACTCCCACCTCCGAGCGCTCCATGTCCATCCCTCATATTCCCGTCAACATCCCCTCGACCTCGCAGACAACCCTGCCCAATCCCAGCGCCCGCTCCCCTTACAACACAATGTCCCGCCAGTCCTCCTTCGCCGAGCGCTCGAGAAACAGCTCGCAAGCCGTCTCGCCCGCGCTGCGTCCTACCTCCTCACATGGCTTTGCCCCGCACGAGAGTACAGAGTTCCTGCCGCCGAGCAGCGTAAGCACAAGGGATGAGAGCGCATTCTATCAGGCGGAGACGCAGAACTTGACGAGGGAGAATCAGATGCTCAAGCAGAGGATACGGGAGTTAGGTGGGTCAAGTGTTCCGATAGTAAAATGATCAATACTGACATTGGCAATAGAACGACAGCTGTCCGAGGCCAATCCCACGAGCCCCGTCACCCATTCGCCGGTCACAGCGTCCAACTTGCATAGTAGCCCGCCGATCAGCCGGCAAACGACGGGCACTACCTGAGGGAGCGGTGAAAAGGATTCAGCTCATTATTTGTTTTTCCAATGTATTGGGGCGGCGATCTGCTACTTTTCTGGTATAGTCATCACATGCGAGCATCGGCCGGGCGTTAAATATCTGGGCATGGGTTGCGGATGCGGTACGCACAGCGATTGGGTTATGTTTTTCGGGGAGGTATGGCGGGCATTGGGACAAGACATAGGTACTTGCGGTCGTCGGTCCTCATACCGAGGCGATTTGAATTCCAGGGTTACAGTAACGCGAGAAGAGTGTACACATGCTCCTCAACGTGATGCTCCAGTCCCCTTTATGCCTTCGACAATATAGTTTTGCAATCACCGAAGTATTTACATGTGGCAGATGAAGTACAAACCTAGACAGACCACACATGGTTTCCTTTGAACGATGCCCTAGGTTGGGAAGACTGAGAGAATCAAACACATCAATATTCAGGGATATACTACAGAAGCTCTCGGCTTAACTAGCCCGCTTCTCAAACCCATATACTACCGGCGATGCATCCGGGAAGACCTTTCCCAACCCACTCACGCCCTAACGCCTGCTCCGGATGCTTGAATGAAATGACTTCTTACGACGAGAACAGGAACGGGAACGCGAATTCTACTCGTCATCCTCCGCCTCTTCTACCGTTGCGCGCGGCGGCCGCTGGGAGACCGTACCTGTTGGAGGAGCAGCTTCTGATCCGGTAGGCTGCGGTGCTGACTCGGCTGCAATTGGGACGGGCGTAGGTGCGGGAGCTTGGGCTTCGGGCTGAGGAGTTGCAGTGCCTGAGATGTTTTTCTTGCCTTTGGCGGCTTTGCCGTTGAGGGGCGTTCCCGCTGCTCTGGCGGCGAGTTTGGCGGCCTTTTTCTCCTTCTTTGCGCGCTTCTTGTTCTTGATGTCCTCGGGTGTCTGTATAGTGTTAAAAATTGTCGTCACTAGTCTGGCAGATGTCTTACCTCTTGCCATGCCCACACTGGTCGGAAAGAGTCGAAGAAGCCTACATCCTCGAAGAGATTCGGGTACAGCCACAGACCAGGAGGTGCCGCAAACATGGTGACAATAAAGAGGATCAACCGGACGATAGCCATGGCGAAGAAAAGACCGATGAGACCAAGCATGCCCATAGAGATGTACCACACGCCTAGCCTCAGCTTCATGGGCCACAGAGGGAAGAGCACCACGGCGAGGATACCAACGAGCGCGCCGACCGCGTACAGCTTCTGCTTCCACTGTGAGCCCTCGTACAGCCAGATGTAGTAGCAGTCGTCGTTGGCTTCCTGGTGCTGCTCGATTTTGACAGTCCAGAGACCCTTGACCCGCTTGGGTTTGGCATGGTTGTGGCCTTCATGGGCTTGATCGTCGACTTTTGAGACGCGAAGGGCGAGGAGCGAGAGAGGGAGTTTCTTGAAGGCGTTCTCTGCGGTGACACGGTCGTTCACTTTAGGTAGGATTGGGTTCTTGGAGCAGGCTTTCTCGTAGGCTGGGGACATGAGGACACGGATTGCGCGCTTGACTGTTATTGCATTAGCTGCTGCTCGGCGTGATTGCACGATTCTCTTTTCGCCATACCTTTAAACATGTCCTTTCGCTTCTCGTCGTGGATCACCGTACGGGGCTTCAAGTCCTGGTTCTTCAACCAATTTGCAAGCGCGATCGCATCTGGTTGCGGCGGTCCCGGTTGGATCGGCTGCTGCTGCTGTTGCTGCTGCTGTTGTTGCGCCATCTGTTGCTGGCGCAATTGCGCTTGGTGTTGCGCCATGGCCTGCTGCTTGAGTTTGTTGATATATTCGGGGACGGTCATTCCGTTCTTCTCTGCCTCGATAGCAAGCTGGCGTTGCATCTGCTGTATTTGCTCGGGTGTGGGCTGCTGGCCGGGTTGCGGTGGCCCTTGAGGCATGCCTTGAGGCGGTCCTTGAGGTTGCCCTTGAGGTGGACCTTGGGGTTGCCCTTGAGGCTGCGGAGGTGCTTCTGAACTCATATTGTGAAAAGCACTTGGGACTGTGCGTAGAGTGGGGAAGGCGGACAAGGTAGCGGGCGTTGATCGCAAGATCGCGCCTGGTGTAAAGATTTCTCTGGGTGAGCAAGAGCGCGTGGTGGAAGCCCGTCACTTCGTTGTTCGGAAACATGCCACATCGCCAACAATTAGCGGCACCCATCGGCGCCGGATTATCTCCAAAGGCCGAAGCGTAACAAAAACTTCGACTCCGCCCGCCAAACATCCATCACTCACTCAAATGTCGCGAGATGACTTCTTCGCAGCCACGATGAACGCTGCACTAGGCGGGATTATACGTACAGCTTGAAACGACTGCCATGCTTGTTACATTGAGAGTCTAAGAAGCTGGCAGCCACCCTCCAGTGCACCGCCCTCATTGCTCCAATCAACTGCATGAATAGCTACATTCGTTCTCACCTGGCGGTGACGCAAGCGTGGTAAGTGTACATTTTATGCTAACAGGTAGTAATTTCTGTTCCGGCTACGAGATGCTTTTCGAAGCATCAACTGCAAACATCGAAGACTAGCTCTCTTCTACTACGCCTTGCCGTGGCGGCGATCTGCTACCATGTTATGCATCTCTGCGATATGGCGCCAGCACTTTTTCCCTCAGCAATCAGAGGTGCACTCCCAATCAATGTCTGTATTACTGGCGCACAAGGCGGCCTCGCAAACACTTGACGCTCAGCAACTTGCACTCTGCTGATCGATTCGGCATCCGGCAACATCTGAACCAGGATCTTCTCCGTACTTCCCGAAGCTTAGTGAGCTCGGAGACTTGAGCAACCTGAACACAATCGGAAGGCGGACGGTCCGTGGCAGCACCAAGAAGCCGTCCTACGGAAGCCCACAGCGTTCGACGAACGACGGGCGCATGAAGACGAGCGTGATGTAACTTCACCAACACTCTGGGTCATACTTCTTGTTTTCGGACTGGACCATGGTTTGACCCTATTTTGGATGTGAAGGAGAGGAACGACCTACTACTCACCGCTGCACCGGCCTCTGGCAATGGTGTAGTGGTCCATCATTTACGGTCTACATATGTATGCGTAGCGTGACGACATGGAGGGCCGCATTGCTGGGCGTTTCAGCTGCGCATGTATAACGTGAGCCATGAAGCATGTACCTGATACTTGGTCAGCGGCACAGATGAGACACTTGGACCCGTCGCTGCCAGCATGGGAAGGCGAAATGGTGATTTGCGTGCCCGATGGCCGCCAACCCCGATGTTTGTCAGGGAGTCAACAGCGGTAGAGGCGCGGGCTTGCAGGGCCCTCACCGATCTGGCAACAGTAATCTAGGCTAAACGGTTCGCGGCGAGCGGTGCTTGTCAGATGCTGCGGGCGCCCCATAATTAGAGGAGAAGGGTGTTCTTGGTGTTGGGTCAAGGGCCGAAGGTGGAGGAGTCTTGTGATATTGCATGCAAGCTTCAGCACGCTGGGCAACGGCGGCTCAGTTGCATTGCAGCATTGCGGGCAAGCTTTCCGGCGGTGGCAAGAGCGTCGACGGCGTCCCCTGGCTGCGTGGATCGCTGGCCGTTGAGTGGTGAGGCCGACGCCTGCGCAGCGAGCGGCCTGTACGCCACATCGCCTTTGTTTCGTCCATGCAGCTGGGCCTAACACAGGACTGCAATGCCGGCGCCAGAAGACGCACGCTGGACGCTGGAGTCGGCGAGTGTTGCGTGGCTGCCCCAGAGCGGTCCCGACGACGCACGCTGGTAGCCTGCAGTTCGCACAGCATCTCCCAGCCAAGGCAGCGCGGGAGACGGCAGCGACTCGACGTGAAATGCAGGCATGCCGCGCTGATAGGGCGGAGCGACGGCCTGTTGGCGTCCAGGATCATGCAGCCACCAAAGCTCGAACCCATCCATAGCGCCTGCCAACGCCCGCTGGATCTCCCGCGTTCAATCTGCACATACATGTAGTCTACCCGTCATCCGCCCTGGCCTGCTTCAAATCTCTGTGCCTGACTCTGCGTCTGCACCTCTCCACGACGAGAGCAGCACCAGCGGGGGAGCATCCAGGCAGCACGACGCGACTGCGCCTCGCATCCTCGTACGCTCCGAGCCCGCCGTGGTGTGCCCGCAACGCTGCACCGCATATCGCCCAGCCCGACCCGACACACGTACGTACAGCCAGCCAACCGTGCCCCGCCGCCCCAGGCAGATGCCAAAGCGCATACTGTGAGTTGCAGCTGCCCTGCTTTCCTGCAAACATCCCCGTTTGCCCAGCCGCCCTGCACGCGGGCGGAGAAGCATTCCGCCAGCGGCCGCTGAGGCAATAACACGTTGGCTTCCGCCCTTGCATCCCTCCGACGAGAAACACCAGAAGGTGTGGTTTCATCGCTGACCGCTGACCGCTGCCCGCCGTGCAGACCACTCCCCTTCCGACGCCGTGAGCCCCATCCCACGACCCGCACCGGATTACGCGCCGTCACCGCGAGGAGCGTACAAACCGACGAACCTACCATCACCCTTCTTATTCGCCCGGGCTTCTGCTGGTTTCCAGTCTGGAGCTCCCGGTGCTCGCAGTCTTGACCACGATTCATAAGATATGTCATGTGCGGTAGGCGGGCGACGACTTCGCAAAGGCATAGGCACAAGCCGGTCTTGGTGAAAAGCGTCTAGCAATTAAGCAGCATCAGCCAGGGCTCCACAGCAGTTCCCGTGGCCTGGTTGCTGTTTGACGGTTCTGACAGGCTTCGTTGACGCATTCGACTTGCTCAAAGAAAGAGCACACCTTCGCCGTCTTGACACAGACGGCTACCACTAATCCCCCACAAGCGTCCACAACGGCATTGTCCACCATGACGATGGTCCGACAACATCCTCCGCCGCTGCCGCCACCGTTGCATTCACCGCTGGGCCCTTTCCAGCAGCCACTCGCGTCTCCAAATGGCCAGTTACTCCGGAGTGCTCCAGGCTTCGACCAGCGAAGCATGGCTCAGCAGCTCCCCCAACAGTACGCTTATCCGCTGTCGCGGCACAACTCGTACCACTCACAAGGCTCTGAAAGTGGAAGGAACACGGTCAAACCACCAGAGCACATGCTACGGCGTAAGACACCGAATGGCATCCTCGCAGCAGCTTATGATGGCACTTCGGTGGAACAGACGGAGAAGCCTCATGCCACAAAACACATCATACTACCCGTCACGGCTGAATCAAGCATTTACGGTCTCAAGCAGGATTTGCCCCTCAGGTCCCCTAGCGTTCAGCATGATGCGACGGTGAACTGGAGTCCCAGTCTGTACTTCCAATCAGGCTCCGGTCGAGCTCCACCGCAGATTGATTCGATGCTAAACCAAATCCCTCAAATACAGAACCATCCCCAGTATCAGATGTTCGGTAATCCGTTCGCTGCTGGCCCAGAACAAATGATGCAGAGCCCTCTAGGCCCGACCGTATCGAACGACCAAGGACCTTTTGGCCCATATTGGCATGATGGCACTTTCATCCCCTATCGTCCGGCTGCTATGCGAGACCCGCGGTACTATAATCATCACGCACCTAATTGGACTCACCCACAACACAACGCATTCATGAACCATGCATACAACAACACTTTGCCTAATATGCATATGCAACCGCATCCTTACCAACTACAGCAGCTGCAAACCCCTTTCCCCCTCCTTGGTAGATCGGCGAACGACTACCCCGTTTCGTTCCAGCATCCTCATCCAAACCCCGCCTTAGATTATCAAGACCAACCGTTACCTGTACCACCCAGCCACCGCCCTCATCCGGACTACTCGCTAGCTTCCAGTCAGACCACGCCTATTGCAGATCAATTCCCTGCACCAATAACGGCTGAGTTCGGTCCGCAGTCACTGAATGCGCAGAGTCGAGAGAAAATTTTCGCCTGGGCACATACGGTGTACGTTGACCTGCTCAAGTACCTGCAATCAACCCGCAAAGCTAGGGCACAGCACTCCAATGGCCAACAACACTCCGCACCACCACATATCTACCCGAAGCCCCCGAAACAGCCAGCTGCAAATTTCTCCAGTGCCACGAGTAGTTCTAGCAACGCGCACGCATTCGATGCCTCGCAGACGGCGACGTTCGACTTTCACCCGCAGCCGCACACGAATAGACATTCATTCCATAGACCGACGCACAGCCGCTCTTCATCCGCCTGGGCCCTTGGCCGAGTCGATTCAAATATCAATAGATCGTCATGGTACCCCTCACAAACCTCGCAAACACCAACATTCGCAAATCCACATTCAGTCCATCCACAGATTGCCGGTATGGAACCATTACGCCCTCTTCGCCGTATGTCAGGTTCCGTTGCTGGAATCCATCAAACGCGCAATGAAGTGCCCCCAAGCTTGACAGCAGCTTCCGCGCTGGATGCTATTACGAAGCATTGTGAAAAGAGTCAATGGAATTGGATAGATGGCATTCTCTTGGGTGGATGTCTTGCTTACGCGCTTGGGGACTATCAAAAGGCGCACGGGTGGTATAAACATATTTTGAAATTAGACAAGGAGTAAGTTTGGCGATCTTGGCCTTAGGAAGACCTGCTAACATATGCAGCCATGTCGAAGCTACTTCCAATCTAGCAGCAACTTTCCTGGCTTTGCATCAGAAACAAGAAGCCGAACAATACTGGAGAAGGGCGGTGAAGCTGAGGCCTAGCTATTTTGAAGCTGTTGAACACCTACTTGGATTGCTGTGCAGTAGTCACAGGAACAAAGAAGCCGTGCAGATCATTGAAGAGGTGGAAAGCTCGTTGAAGTTGGTCAAGAAAGGGGAGGTCTTCAAGAATATAGACGGACAGAGTGAGTGCTCGACATCAGCGACCGAATCGCCCCAGTTGTCGGAAGCCTCAGATCGGCCGGTATTCGAATACGACACGGAAAACGAATCACTTCCTAAGGACCCAGAAGAGATTGCTGGAGCAGACCAGCCAGGCTTCGGTTCCAGTGGCTACGCCGTCCCTGGCTGCGACAATGGCCGCATTCTGGCCCTGGTGCATGCCAAAGGCAACATGCTGTATGCCCTTGGAGATAACTCCGGAGCAGCAAAGGCGTTCGAGAATGCGGTGCTCATCGGTGCAGGCTTACGAATGCAGGGTATTGACGGTTTGATCCAGCACATTCTGTCTGTCGTGGGCTACGATGGCTCAGAACGCTCTCCTGGTGGTCGTCGCACTCCTCCCTCCAATGATCCTATCTTGCTCCCTCCTGAGCTAGCAGACAAAACCGCGAAGCTTTGCTTCCCGCCAAAGGGGGACCTGCCAGGCCTTGAATATGTTCCGGGCGAGGGGATGGCTCGAAAGGCTGCCATTTCAACTACGAGCAACTCTCTCTTGTCTTTGGCCAAGATCTTCCAGGACGGCATGGCAACGAACTCGCCTAAGGCCACCGCATTCCAGAGTAATTACGGGGTCAGGGAAATCCTCGCTTTGTATTACTTGTCGCTCGCTTTGCAGCCAAGTCCTTCCACGGCCAACAATGTGGGCATTCTTCTCGCCAGTGTTCAACAGTCCGCTCCCTCCAAACGCATCCCGGTCTCAAACACGATGCAAAAGCCAACGGTCCCAGGCTTGGTTCCAGGCAGTGGCATAGCTCTTGCACTCGCGTACTACCACTATGGACTGATGCTTGACAGCAGACACGCTCATCTGTATACTAATCTGGGTAGCCTTCTGAAAGATATTGGCCAACTGGAAGCGGCGATTCAAATGTACGAACAGGCAGTGGCATGTGACAAGAACTTTGACATTGCTCTCGCAAACCTCGCGAATGCTGTCAAGGACAAAGGCCGCATCAGCGATGCTATTGTGTACTATAGGAGAGCCGTGAAAGCTAGTCCGGACTTTGCAGAAGCAGTCTGTGGTCTTGCGAACGCGTTGAACTCAGTCTGCGGATGGCACGGAAGAGGTGGTATTGCTGAAGATCGTGGTTCTCGAGATCGTTGGCATGTGGACGAAAATGGCATGCTACTTGATGCTAGGCTATCAGGAGCAAGGAGCGGCGGCTGGATCCACAAGGTCGTGAGCTTGGTCGAGAAGCAATTGTCGGACGGTGAAGACTGGGGACGTGGAATCATGGACGAGCAGTTCATTCAGGATATACTCCGGTCGCTTACCTTAACAGACAACTCGACCCAAGACCTGCAAGAGAGACAAAATCGCGTGCGAGGCGTGCTGGTCAAGTGGCGAGGCCACAAGTGGGAAGGAGCTCGCCTTGTTCGTCTTGTCGAGCGTGTTATCCGAAGGATCTCGTGGCAGTGGTATCAAGACAAGTACAAGTACCCCAAGGAACGACCCATGGCAAGCTATCGGCGACCTCAGCTACCGGCAGCATTGACTGTGCCTGCTGCTCCCACAGTACTTCCTTTCCATACCTTCACCTGCCCGATGTCGGCCAAGCAAATCCGCTTGATCTCCCAGCGGAACGGTCTTCGAATATCTTGCTCGACATTAAGGGCACCGTGGCTGCCTCGGACAGTGTACGCTCCTCCGCCTCCGCCGGCTCCTTATTTGAAAGTTGGATACGTCTCGTCGGACTTCAACAACCACCCTCTCGCTCATCTAATGCAATCGGTATTCGGTCTCCACAACAAGGCTCGAGTCAAAGCCTATTGCTATGCTACCACAGCTAGCGATAACACAGCGCATCGCCAGCAGATCGAAAGGGAAGCGCCAGTATTTTACGATGCGAGCAATTGGTCTGCCGAACGCCTCGTCAGTCAAATCATCAATGATGGGATACATATCCTTGTCAACCTCAACGGATACACCCGTGGTGCACGGAACGAAGTGTTTGCTGCCCGTCCAGCCCCCATTCAAATGTCATTCATGGGATTCGCAGGAACACTTGGCGCCGAGTGGTGCGACTATCTGCTCGCTGACGACACAGCTGTTCCACCAAATACTCTTCGCAGCTGGCGCAGGAATATTGATTTGGAAGACGCTCTTGTTGATGACAACAGTGGTGGCGAAGACGAGAACTGGATCTACGCTGAGAATATCATCTACTGCCGCGATACCTTCTTTTGCTGCGACCATCGGCAGAGTGCTCCGGATGCTCAAGAGGAACAGCTAAACTGGGAGGAGGAGCAGAAAAGGAGATGGAACATGCGGAAAACAATCTTCCCCAATCTTCCTGACGACGCTATCATCCTAGGTAATTTCAATCAGCTGTACAAGGTAAGCTGAACACATCTTCACTCTTTTTTTTTTGATCTAACATCTGTAGATCGAGCCAACGACCTTCCGAACCTGGCTTCGTATCCTCCAAAAGGTCCCCAAGGCGATCCTCTGGCTGCTCCGCTTTCCCGACCTGGGCGAAACCAACCTCAAGCAAACGGCACAATTATGGGCAGGCTCTGAGGTTGCCAATCGCGTTATTTTCACAGACGTTGCCCAAAAAAGCCAGCATATTGCACGAGCCCGTGTCTGCGATTTGTTCCTCGACACGCCCGAATGCAACGCACACACGACCGCCGCCGACGTTCTTTGGTCAGGCACACCGTTGCTCACTCTGCCAAGGTACAACTACAAAATGTGCTCGCGCATGGCAGCTTCGATCCTCAAAGGCGCGCTCCCGAAGAATCAGGAAGGCTTCCAGGCTGCAAAGGAACTTATTGCAGACAACGATGAAGACTACGAAACGAAGGCTGTTCGACTAGCCCTCAACTGCAAGTATCAAGACGGCCGCGCTATAGGCCGGTTGAGCCAGCTTCGACGCACCCTATACGAAGCAAGATGGAGCAGTGGCCTGTTCGACACGAAGAGATGGGTACGAGACCTGGAAGAAGCATACGACATCGCATGGAGGAAGTGGGAAAGGGGCGAAGGCGGCGATATTTGGCTGAAGAAGACGCCGCGCCCCATCACCGCGACGTAAACTCCCCCCACCATCTATTACTATCTGGAACCATGCATCTACGCATCGTTGGGATAGACTCGTCCTGCCGTTTTGGCATCTGGCATTTATGAACATTCTGCCTCCTACTTACGTACGGATTACGTTACTGTTCGCGAATACCCCCCATGAATTGGAAGTCTTGTTTTGGGCATATTGGAATGCCATTGAATAATACACTGGCATTGAAGGCGTTTAGCGGGCGATTTAAGAGCGGCATATGGACCTTCGCTGTGTCTGAAGTGGGAGGAATCTTTGAGGAAACATTTTATCCTAATCACTATCTTTACTTCGTAGCATTTTTGAGCGAACAATTTTTACCGAAGAATTATGGGCAGTTGCTCATCTCGTACAGAGGCAACCGAGACTTTACCCTTGCAGATTCAGATTCAGCGCCGTGTGACTGTATACACTTGCATGTTGCAGCAAATTTGTTTCTAATACATTTGGCCAAAAATTATTCTTTCTTCAATTATGTCTGTTCTTGCAATCGTACGGGCGCCTTTCAAATAGCCTCACAACGTTCGCACGAATAACGCCCTTGTACATTTGCGCCAGAGCCATCTCACACTCCATCTGCATTGCCCGACTCAGTACGTCAAACTAACACACCTCCCATCCCACCCGCCTCTTTCTATCACGTTCTTGAAAACCCACGCACCGACGTCCTTCCGCCCAACTGTCCACCCAATAGCCGGCCCAACCTCCCTCTCCACCTTTTCCTTCTCCCCTTGCACACCCCACTCCCACCCCGCCCTCACCTTCTTCACGCCTCTCTCCCCATCCACCAAAGCCGTGGGCCTCACAATGACAAAGTCTCTGAAATGCTCGCCTTGATCGTCCAGGACGATCCCCTCCATGCTGCGCTTGTCCGCGTGCGGTTGCGCGGCTAGGACGTGGTATAGCGGATGGTACAGCCATGGGATATCTCTCGTGCGACCGTTGACGCCTGTCGAGCTAAGCGCTATTAAGAGAGGTTTTTGCCCTTCGGAGGTAGTGAGGTTAAGCGCGTCCAGGGCGGAAAATATTGCTTTCATGCCGGAGGTGCAAAGGGTAGGATCTGCTAGGACGAAGGGGGTTGTGAGAGAGAGCTGGAAGGTTGGGTATGCGCCGATGGAGGAGTATATTGTGTCGACTGTATGGGACTTGTTGAGGGGGGAGAGGAGGGTCCGGGCTACGTCGGATGGGTTCTTTGCGTCGCCTTGGATGATTGTGAGATTGGCTTTTGTTGTGGAGGTTGGGATGTCGTGGTCGGATGAGAGGAGGGTGAGGAGTTTGGAGGGAGTGCGTGCTACTGCTGAGGGTTAGTCGACTGCGTGGTGTTGAGATGTTGTGGTGGTGGAGTAGGCGGTAGATAGATATGGTAGACGTACATGCTGTGCAGTGGTAGCCTTCGCGAAGGGCGCAGGCGAGTGAACTGCCTGCACATCCACCAGTCGCGCCGAAGAAAGCAATGGTTTGCTTTGGGGCCATAGTGATCGGATGGCGCTGCGTCAATGGGTATATATTCCTCGTTTTGCAGGTCAGAACGATGAATGCGAAGTGCTCTGAGGATATTTTTGGCAGTCGCTGCGTAGTGATGAGGATGGATGTGGTCGCTACGATACTCGAGGCGGTGATGATGAATCACATTGCACAATCTCCCCTCCTTATATACACTTCCTTGATCTCCATTAGAACCTCCATCGGCTTCGTCCGTCACCATTGCGCCTGTCTAGCCTCCGTAGCAACGCGACGTGATTCCCGCCGAGGCTCCTCTTTTCCTTGATCGATGATCCAATCATCGTACTTCAAATTACCTATGGCACTCGACCCTTTGCAATCTAGTCCAAATTGCTCGAAGTGTAGTTCACGAAGGTTGTCAATGAGCTGAAGATGCCACGCCGGAGGCTTTAACTTACCGGGATTTCTGCGCTAGTATCGATGCTGCTAACCCATGATGTACTAGGCGCCGCCAGGTCGAAGTTTCCACCGCGTCCGAGCTAAAATGGGGCTGAGGTCCACCCACGGAGAACTCTCAGATAAAGAACGTATGTGGAATAGTCTCCACGATCTTCTCCGAGGCACAGTTTATGATCAAAGGAGGGCTGCCGCAATGCACGATGGTTGCAACACTTCCGGCTCAGACTGCACTAGGACCGGACCACGAGAGATCCTACGTATCTGCACGAATGCACGATGCTAACCGAGTTTGTGCTAGTCGCAGCCGGGTCGAAGCCCAACTCGAGTTACATTCGCACTCAGCCTTCTTGCCTTGAGCCTTTTTGCTCTCAAAGCTTTCCAACCTCTATCACGACCACTCCCAGCAGCCATCATCTGCTGAGCAACATCAAGCCGTTCAGTGTGTACCTTACGAATGACTCACTTCCTGTTGGGACGTACCTACCAACATGCGACTCTTACATTTCAAAAATGGGGAGCTGAGCTTAACGGATGATATGTACAATGATGGCGTTATTCCGCCCTATGCTATCCTCTCTCATAGATGGGGAGACGAGGAAGTCAGCTTTGAAGAGATGACTAACGGACGGGGAAAGACGAAAGCAGGTTATGACAAGATCCTGTTCTGTGCGCAACAGGCTGCAGCGGACGGCCTACAACATTGCTGGGTCGACAGCTGCTGCATCAATAAATCAAACAGTGCGGAGCTTACCGAGGCTATCAACTCTATGTTTCGCTGGTACCAGAACGCTGAGCGATGTTACGTTTACCTCGCAGATGTCTCGGGCAGCAGTCATGATCGAAGTTGGGAATCGGCATTCAGGAAAAGCAAATGGTTCACCCGGGGCTGGACACTCCAGGAACTTATCGCCCCAAGCAACGTTGTATTCTATTCGAAGGAGAAAGAATACCTAGGAAACAAGCAGTCGCTCGAAGGACAACTACACGAGACCACCAGATTACCAATTCCAGCTCTCCGTAATCAACCATTAAGCAACTTCAGCATGGAGGAGCGCTTCTCGTGGGCCGCTTTACGCCAGACCGGACTAGAAGAAGACATGGCGTATTGCCTCCTCGGCATCTTTGAGATTAACATGCCCCTTCTGTACGGTGAAGGAAAGATAAAAGCAATGGCGCGGCTTCGTAAAATGGCTGAACACGCTATAGAGGGGCCTTCAGGCGCTTTGCTCCAACAGAAACTCTCTGGGCTACGACAATGGCTCGAGGTCCCCGATCCTTCGGCGATACCCTCGAAAGCAATAAAGGCTCGCGTTCAAAATACTGACCATTGGATTCTCAAGAACACTGCGTATAACAACTGGAAGAATGACCCTGCTTCGGTCCTATGGCTGTGGGGTAAGCCAGGATCTGGCAAAACGGTAGTCAGTACTACGGTCCTCGAAGACGTGTTGCAGCGCTGTGATCGTAGCCTCGGCGGAGTTTGCGCACATTTCTACTTTAACTACAAAGATAACCACGAGGAAGGTCCAGAGCTAATGCTGCGCTCTTTGATTGGTCAACTCTCCAAATATTGCGTTCAGATGCCTGGATGCTTCGACTGGCTTTTCGCCTTGCGTGAGAGAATGGGTCCTCGGCCACTTCATGAGTTTGTAGAAGTGCTACAAGAACTGATTCTGGAGTTTCCACAGGTCTTCATACTCATCGAAGGTTTAGATGAATGTTTACAACGCCCTGAGCTATTGAGCGTGCTTCTACCAATAATAACGCGGCAATCTCCGAATTTACACCTTCTTATGATAAGCCGGCACGACATGGAGTTCCAGGATTTCCTAGAAAGCTTTTCGAACAAGGAAAATACCGCAAGGCTCGAGATTGGACCACATCACCAAGACATCCGCCAGTATATTCGCCACAGATTGTCTAGCGAATCACGCTTCCGCAAGTGGGCCGGCGATGCTGAGTTGCGGCAAGAGATCGAGGATCATCTGGTAGAGAAAACCGATGGACAGTAATACATCCTTAGTAACAAGGAAGCTCTTGAGACTGATTGTCATCGCAGATTTCGATGGGCTGCATTGCAATTAGATTCTTTGGCAATGTGCCACGATAGAGCGACACTGCGTCAATCTCTCGCCGAAATGCCAAGGTCGCTATCTGAGACATACGAACGTCTCCTCTCCTCCGTAATAGAGAAACATCCCACGTATGCGATGCGTATCCTTCAGTGGTTGACGTCTTCAGCCCGACCACTCTCTGCAGCAGAGGTTGCTGAGGTCGTCGCGATTGACGCGGAGGGTTACCCGGCGTTTGACCGCGGTGAAGTCTTAACAAACCCGCTAGAAGCGCTCAGTATCTCTCCAGCTACCTGAACCGAGCTCCTATGAATAACTCCAAGCCTTCAAACTCGCACGGTACTGCGCAGAGTTCTGGACGTATCACGCCCGAGAATCAAAAGAATATATCGATAGTACGAGCCATATTGCGATAGACCTTTTCTCGATCGAGAATCCCGTGTATCTGACCTGGATCCGGCTGTACGATCCAGACATGCCTGGAATGGAGCCAGATTTTTCCAAGACCATGGCTCAGATAGCACCCCCTCTTTATTACACTGCATTCTTGGGCTTATTCAAAGTGGTGCAACTGCTACTTGAAAAGGGTGCCGACGTTAATGGAACTGGCGGACGCTATGGTAACGCACTCCAGGCGGCAATGGTTGAAGGCCATGAGTCAGTGGTTAAGCTTCTCCTCGACAACGGTGCCGACATGGACGCGCACGGTGATCGTTAGAATGATGAACTCTGAGCGGCTTTGAAGAGAGGTCACGATTTGCTTGATGAGGTAGCTAGTCCGCGCTACGGGAGTGACATGCACCGCACTTTCTCAACATCAAGAGAGGTGATGGCTCGAAAGCACCAGCAACTTTCATTTCTTGTCTACTGCGCCGTCCTTCGCTCTAGCCGACTCTTCCTTCTTTGCGTCCAGCTTTACGATGGCCTCCTCAAACAACATCAAAAGATGTCTCCAAAATGCCCTCGCTTCCTCCGTTTCTTCCTCCATCTCGGAATAATTCCTTGCAAGCCCTATCGGCACGGACCCAGCTTGCCTGGAGTAGAGTCGCGGATCGGCGCCGTGTTCTATGAGCAATTAGATGACTGGAAGGTTCTCGATTATACTTTTACGGCCTGGCATATGGACTTGTCTTAGACAAGCGTCAAGAGGACGTCCTTCGTTGTGACCAAGGAAAGGCTCGGTGTCGACTTGGTTGACGTCCGCGCCGTTCTCTATAGCAGTGCGGACAGCGGACAGCATTGTTGCGACGCTGTGGTTGGATATTGGTTCCGTAATCAAGTGTGATCTTTGTGGGGGTTGGCCGATTTGAGTCGAATCATCTGGTGGTGGAAGCTGCGATCCCTGTGACATGTTGTCTGTAACAGCTTGATGTGCTACTTTTGAATATTTATCTTTTCTTTTTTTTATTACTGAAGGATGTACTTGAAAGCGAGATGCGTGATATTCTAGAGAGCGAGCGGTATTTTGCATGTTGCAGGCGACTACGCCGCTTTCCGCTCTAAGGCAACAGCTACAGGCACCATGTCGTTGCCTTACGGATAACAACAATAATTTAGTTAGGGACACACATGGTAAATTTTCCGGGCAGTCCCTAATGTTGCTAGACTACAATATCAGGACGAGACTTGAGGCTCGATTATGCTAGCAGACAATATTAATGTGTTATTGCGAATGGTACGGCGTCCCCCTTTACAATCATTCCGTTCTCGAACTTCTTCCGAAACACGTAGGCCCGCGACATTATAATTATGATGAACTGCCAAACATGCCTGGCAGGCTCCTGATCGATCTCGGTGTCGAGTCTTTCCGAAAACGAGTTAGCGCGACGAAAGTCGATGAACGCGACCCACGAAGCACACCTTGTCTACACCGTATCAATCCACCGACTCGAATCGAAGACCCTCCAGCGCGAAATGTCCAAAGGGAAGGCGTTAACGACGCGTGCAAAACCTAAAGCCAAAATAAATGCCGCGTTATCACCTGCTTTCACAAAGCCCACATCACCGCAACTAACAGCGATACCTCCCACACGCGCTCATTCAGCTGCGTACCACTACCCGCTCATTTTGGATGATGAGACCGCAAGTAAAGATCTATTAGGATGGTTTGAGGGCATCGAGGAAGCGAGGAATATGCCCTGGCGCAAGAAATGGCTTGATCCTGCTGAGTGCGAGGGCAAGGAAGAAGACTTTGGAGCGTTGTTGGAAAAGCGCGCGTATGAGGTGTGGGTCAGTGAAGTCAGTAAGTTCGCTCCAGTCCACGAAGCGCATAATTGGCTATCATTCCGGGTCTTTGATACGACACCAAACACGAATGCAATTGTACGCGGTGACGCGTGGTCACGTGAACAGTCGTCGGCCCAGATACATCATGCACACAGTATACTAAGGCTGCGCAGTGTTGCAACAAACCCGCGTTTCAACAGTAATCCCATACTTCAACAATTGGATTTCGAAATGGCCAACCGTTGAGTCACTTGCTCAAGCCTCCCACGACGACGTCCTCTCAGTCTGGAAAGGCTTGGGTTACTATTCACGTGCAACGCGTCTCCACGAGGGTGCCAAAGCTGTGATCTCAATGCAACCCTCACAATCATGCAAGATCCCCAGCGGTGTTGTAGAGTTGCAAAAGATCCCGGGTATCGGCAGGTATACAGCTGGCGCCGTCTCGAGCATCGCGTTTGGGGAAGCGGAACCCGTACTCGATGGGAATGTGGCTAGAGTCCTGAGTCGACAACTTGGCTTGTATGTTGATGCAAAAGATAAGAAGAGCACGGATGCATTTTGGGAGGTAGCAGATCAGTTGGTCAAAAGCGTGGCTGGGCATCCCGAGAAAGGGCGAAGTAAAACCCCCGGACAATGGAATCAAGCAATCATGGAATTGGGCTCGACCATCTGCACTCCAAAGCCGAAATGCGACGAGTGTCCGATTCGCAGAACTTGTAGGGTGTACGCTGAAGGGGAAACACTTTCGATCAAGAAAGCGGCAGCTACTGAAGTGCCGGACATCGAAGACGCATGTACGCTGTGCCAGCAGCTGGACACTGAGGACCTAGCCACAGCGCCCGAAGAACATGACGACGACGAAGATGATGTCCCAGCAAAGCCGGCGAAAAGACAGAAAACAGAACAGAAACAGTCGAATAAGCTATCCAACTACTTTACCTCGAGCGCTCCGAAGCCAAAGCCCGCAACACCCACGCCCTCCACATCCACTTCCTCCCCTCCTCCATCTACGAAGAGAAAAACTCCAACAGCGACACCAGCACAAGCAAAAAGGATAGCGATATACTGCTCTCTCTTCCCCAAAAAGATGCCCAAAAAAGCCGTCCCCGAAGAAGACGCCGTAGTCTGCATTATCGAAGCCGCACAGGAAGATGGGCAGAGTAAATGGTTCATTGAGCAGCGACCGGCGAAAGGTTAGTTTTCCATCTCCGTCTCACAATATTCGATGCTAATAGATTGAGCAGGTCTCCTTGCCTCCCTTTGGCAATTTCCGCAGCAAACACTCCCAAATACAGATATGGCGCACACCGCCGCGACACGTAAAGCCGCTGCGCGAGCCTACGTCGAAAGTCTTGACCTGGGCGCGGTTATAAGTAACACTGTGCACTTGCAGGAACTCGGGTCGTTGGTGCATGTGTTCACGCACTTGAAGCTGACGATGCACGTGGTTCACCTTAGGTTTGGGATAGATGGGAAGATGCTCGAGGAGACGTCGGGCCGGAAGTGGGTGGAGACGGAGAAGATGGAGGGTGAGACGCTGTCGACGGGGATGCGGCGGTGTTGGGATCTGGTAAAGAAGAAAACAACAAGCGTGTTTGGGTGATTGAGATGCATATGTACGACGGTCCAAGCGCTGGGTGCAGGTGGGGGTCGCGTTCATCAACATTCATCATGACGGTTGGGAAACTCATGAGCTTAGTAGTGTTGTTTCCTACATATACTATCATGTACTATCATGTCGTTTCAACATTATTAACAGTTAGGAACGCTTGACCCTACCTATGATATAACAGGCCGGGAGTCAAGTCTCGAAGCCACCAAAATGTACCAGAAGCGCTCTGCTGATCCATCAACCAATCAATCAATCAGAGTGCCAATCGCTCCCGTCAGCCGTCTTGACGGTCCCGTCGTCCGTCTTCGCAGTCTCATCCACCATACGCGCTAACCTCGCGTTCCGTCTAGTTCAAGTCAATGTCCACTCGTCGTCCTCATACCAGGTGGGACTACACACTTACTCCTCCCTCGCGACGCTATCACTGCTCTCGCCCTTGTCCTCAATCTTACTCTCCTTCAAGGTATCGCTCCCCCAATTGGCCTTATCCCTCAACTCGAGCAAAATCTCCTTCAGCTCCGAGACTTCCTGCTGTAGCTTCCTCACTTCAAGCACCGTGGTGTCAAACTCCACATTCGGCTTCGTCTGCTGCACCTTCTTGTCCCACCCATCAGCCTCAAAGTCGCACTCGCCCATGACCTGCTCCCACTCCTGCACAACATCGTCGTCGTCCTCGCCGCGCTTCCTGTTCGTGCGCACGCTGTGCGCCTGCGTCGTCTCCATCCACGCAGTTATGATCAGCAGCGGGCTGTAGATGAAACCCATGACGTAGTCGTTCAGGCGGTTGTAGGTATCTTGGGGCATCCACCATTCAAACGGCAGAATGAGGCAGAACATCTCGATGAGGTTGAAGGGGGCAATAAAGACGTTCTCGTCCGGCGCGCGCACAAATTGCATGGTCTTTTGAGAGAAGAGCGCCATGTACTCGTCGATGGCGTTCTCGGTGATGTCCTCGTAGGCGGAGTTGTACAGCGCGATGAGGATGTTGAGCAGAATTACCATGACGACAAAGGTGAAGATGTAGTATAGGATGAGGCCGAAGGGGTGTGCGAAGCGCTCGAAGCCGTCGAATTCGGGGCTCTGCATGATGGCGTTGAGCATGGCTTGGATGACGAAGCCCGAGTCTTGCAGGGAGTTGTCTGTGAGGTCAAGGCCGATGAAAGCTTGCAGGAAACCGATTATGACGACCAGCAAGAGTGCAAAGAAGATGAGGGACTCGCGCATCATGACTTTCAGGACGACGAGCATGGCGCCGAAAAAGCGGAAGGTGTCCAGGTAGAGTAGGAGACGCATCCAGAACATGGGGGCACCGAAGGCGAGGAAGTCATAACTTAGTTCGTTAAAGTGTGCTCGTTTCTCTTTGTCGTCTCCTTGTCCGTAGGCTACCATGCGTAGGATGAACGAAGTCGCGAGTAGGGCGTATAAAGTAGTGTTGAAGACATTCCAGAAACCAATGTAGTAGCGGCCTACTTTCCACAGTTTCGCCGTCTCATCGCATATGAAACCAAGTGTGAAAATGTACAGCAGAATTTCTACAACATCGAGGTCACCCGACGGGTTGATTGTGTTGATGGCGCCCGTATAGAGAGCAAGGAAGATGACGGAGACAGCGATCTGGAGGGCATTTTGGTACCGCGGCACCCGCATGCGGTCGGGGTCAAAGTGCGACCAGTAAGACGTGTTTGTCTTATTGTCATAGTGCACGAAGCGACTAGGGTCCTCGTCATCCTGCACTAACCAGCCCTTCCACAGATGATGTATGCACTTCTGATAGCCGGAGGATCCAATGACAGTCAAGGAATGCAGATCGACAGCGCGCTCGATAACATTGGCAGGCACTGTGGGTTCGCCGTCGACAAAGATAGAATATCTCTTGAGCAGGATGTGCTCCATGAGGTAGTTTTGATCTTCCTCGTCCTCAATGATAAGCTTGGCCAGCTTCTCAGCAGCTGTGGCGCGACACTCGTGCAGGTCGGCATCCCAGAGTTCAGCCAGTGCCTGTCTCTTGAACCATTTCTTGACCACCAGCAGACAGTATACCACGCATGCGGCGTATTGTTCGCCACCGGCTTCCTTTGCGGTCGCAACGACGCCTGGAGTTATTATATGGCTATGCGGTTTGACGACGAGCTCTTGCTCTAGCTCGCACGGTACCACTTGCTCGATCTGGTGCTTGAGGCGGAGTGCGACCTTGGTAACCTCCTTGGGGGGTATCGGCGGCGTCGGAGGACGTTCGCGGCGCGTCGGCAGCACTGAGAGCTGTTAGATCGCGTACTGATTCATACATCGGGAAGGACTAACGCGATCGCATTTCATCTTGGAGGCGGTGTCGTCTATCATGGCCGTCTGAATCGAAGAGCTTGCCCCATCGTACCATGGCGGCGGGGAACTTGGTGAAGCTCCGCTAGCTGTAGTAGCAGAGGTTAAGAAACGCGGTCCTAAGCGAGTGCAAAGGTAATCAATCAAGCGAAGGGTCTACCACAAAGGTCGTGAGGAGAGATCGGCACAGGTCATAGAATTGGTGAGGAGGTTGGCCTTTTTGTTGCGAAACTTGGCTGCGCTAGGCCTGGTAGCGGAGCTCCAGAGCAAAAGCAAGCTTCGTCATATCGCGATCGACCCCACTGGCCCAAGCTCCACGTATCGCGTGGACCTGCAATCTTCACGAATGTTCCCCTTTCGTCTCTTCCCTCCATTCGAAGGAAGTGTTCGAGGACTGTAATTGTAAGAAACATATACAAGTTGCAACACCTTTTCGGTGCGCTTGATATTCCCGCGAGCAGATGCATGATAGCGTACACAATTCACGCTGAGGCCAGCCACGACGCCTTGTCCAAAATCTCTACTGAACGCCAGATGCTCACTTTTGACGACCGTTTCGAACCAACAACCACCACTTAGTCCGCCTCGGCAACACCGCCCTCGTCGCTCGTGCTCTCGTCTTCGTCGCCGCTGACCTCCTGGTTCTCGCGCTCTCTCTTCTCCATGAGCGCTGCGAGCTCTGCGTCATCGTTCTCCGTGACGGCCTTCGGTGCCATCTTGACTGTGCAGTCGCCGCCTGCATTCGTTATGTTCGCCTTGATGTCCTCAATCGCTTGCTCAAGGACTTGGATGCCGACGTTCTTGTCGAGACATTGGGACGTAAGGACTGCTAAAATTAGCGATGCGCGGTGAGCATCGAGCGGGGCGCAAGCATACCGTATAGCGGCGGTGATACCAGCTTCACTTTAACCTGTGTATCTTGTGTGTTCTTCGCCTCAGCGGTGCGCAGAGCCTCCTTGACGGCGTCAATGCCCTCATATCCGAAGCAGGTCACTGTAATCGTTAGCTCTGTACCGCGCAAGCGTGTTGCGAAGCCTACCCTCAATATCCGATCGCACCTTGGTAGGCTGCGGTGTGAGCCTCTTGCTGATATATGACTGCAACTCGTCTTTGATCACATCGTTGGGGAAGGTGACATCGTTCCACACTTCGGGATTGGTGATGGAGAGCTTGAAGGCGTCGATCGAGTGTCCGTATTTCTTGTTCAGCGGCCAGCCAATGTTCTCGTATAGCTCCTGGATGGGGGTGTTTGTCTTCTCGGCGACGTGGCGCATGATAGAATGCACCATCTTTGACTTGTTGTACCGCTCCTCACACTTGATGATGTCCTCGGGTGACACACGTCGCTTTGACAGATCAATGTAACCCTTGTCCTTGTCCACACGCAGCACCACCACGACCTCGTTACGGCCAACGCGAATGAGCTTCTGGATCGAACGGATACGTCGCCGCGAAAGTTCGGAGAGTAGGATCATGCCGTCGATGTTGTCTGCAAATATTAGGACTGACCAGTAGTACTCGTCCTTTTCTACTCACCATACTCAAGCAGCTTGACGTAGGCACCCATTTCCGCAATCTGCTTCACGTTCACCATGACGAAGCTCTCCACCTCAGGGTACTTGTCCTCATAAAACCGGCAGTTGGTGAGAGACATGTTTGCGACTGGCTCCGGCTAACGGAGGCTTGCGGATATTCGGTGTAGGGCGAGTCGTAACGGCGTCTGCGGGGTGGAAAAGGTGGCGCGCGTGGAGGACGAAATCTACTGATGAGTCTTGTGCGAATCGCCCCGCGTTGTTGGTCTGCCAAGGCGCTAAGATAAAGGCCGCTGCGGGATCGATTCGACTTCGAGGAACCTCGAGCGAGCTCTACCATGACAACATGGGATACCAGCGTATCGTGAAGAAGCCTTTTGCGGACACTTAGAACAAAATGAAGCCTCTTCCAAGTTACTTTCCGATGCCGAACTCCTAGCACGTGCTGCTCACTCCCACGAACTTCAGCACTTACTGCACCCTAGCATGGCTGAATCGAGCAGTAACCTATTAGCACAATCCAAGGGGTTGCTTGGTCAGGCGCCCCTTAGATCATTTCGGCTTACCCATGGATAGCTGAGGTGAGGCTCGGGTATCCACAACAAGAAATCGCCTTCTTAGCGGCCTGCATAGGATTACAATATGTTGCGCAAGCCGCCTTGCAACATGACGAAGTCGAACAATCATCAATTATTGTCGGCATATTGACCACAGGTGCATCCTTGGTCGCCACTCCAACGACGGCGTGTAATTTACGCCGTTCATCAGTAGAACAGCTAGAGAGGGAAAATGAAGAACACTTGTTGGGCCACTCGAAAACCAACGCTTCGGTCTTTGACGATGCAACCCATCTTGTCGAAGACGCCGGAAGAACAATCCTTGCGTTCCCGGGTTTGGTTTAAGTCACAGGCCAGGCATACGCACTCACACTTCAAACCGGAGAAACTTGAATAAGCTAAATATCACAAGCATACATTGATTCTCGTTGGCTTCTACGTTCCGCTCATAACAACGCTTTATGCGCTTTCGTGCATCGTGGCCCATCGGCCGCTTATGGCACCATCTTACTACGACCAGATAGCTCTTTCAAGGATGTCGAGAGCATTCGTGGCTGGATGACAGCGATCAACATCCTCAACGCTATTGCGGGTCCGACCACCATCCCAATCATCACTACGCTTGTTGCCCAAGTAGCAGCGGTGTACATTGAGTGGCATGCGACTCGAGGAACGTTGTATCCAAACCAGCTCTTCGCACTAGTAAATCGTTGCTAGTACTGCGGCAAGGACGGCCATCATGGTCGTAGGTATACTCGACTGAAGGGACGAGGATTCATAAGCCTCATATCTTTAGCATGGCTGTGGTAGTCATGTCGGCGTATCTTGCGGTGCAGCTGGTGGCGCCGGCTGCGCTGACATGGCAGATATACCGAGCACCATCAATGATAAGCTGGTTGTATACGAATTCGGTGGCTAGGTTTCTAGAGGATGCAAAGGAAGATAAGGGGAGGGTAGTGCGAGCGCAGGTAGCCGACAGGTCTACCAGCACTACTTTCAGGGAGCAAAGCAAGATTATGGATGCTGAAATGGATATAACGAAGTGTAGCTACCTCGTCGACGCGTAGAGGTAGGCCTGCGACCTTCAGGGTAGATACTACTGGATGGTGACTGCGCCAAACATTTAGCGGGCGAGGTGTCAACAATGATGTCATGCGTGCCATAGGTCGAACAGGTATTGGCTTGCCCACTCAAACCTGAACCAGACCGCCCATCAACAACCATCTCCCAAGCACGCCAAGTGACCTTTACGATTAAATTCCCGCTCCCGTAGCAAGCTATGGCGCCTTCACTGCTCAGCGTCACTGTTACCAGGAACAATTACGAAAATACTCCAGAGCATCATGTGGTCACCAAACCATCAGCATCCTGGACATCTATACTCGGGCCATTGACCTCCACTTCGAACAAAGAGAAGATCATCGGCAATCGCAGTAGGAGTCGAGATAGATCGCAAACCGGCAATGATAGCATCGCGAGCTTTAAGAACCCATGGCCAAGTTTTCATAAGCCCACGCCTCAGGAGACCTGGAACTCACTGGCTTTCGGCGTTGATGAAGATAGAAGCATAGATCTTGCTGCCTCTCATGTTCCGGGAGCGCCCACGGAAGGTTCGACAAAGGCGGATCGAGACAAGCAAGCCGCTCATTTGCTGGGTGTCGAGAAGCCGGACTTTTCGTTCGATGGTAATGAACACAGATCTAAATCAACATGGTTAGGGCATGCTTCCATGCTGCTTCAATTGCCATCACTGGAAGCCGACGGAACACCAGTACGAGTCTTGTTCGATCCGATATTCTCCATGAGATGTTCTCCCTCTCAGTCTGTTGGACCAATTCGATCATATCTGCCTCCATGTAAACTGGAAGATTTACCTCCCATTCACATAGTCCTCATCAGCCACAACCACTACGATCATCTGGACTACGAAACAATTAATGGCCTTTGGACGCTCCACAGATCGACCATACGTTTCATTGTGCCATTAAAGAACAAGAAATGGTTTACGGAATGCGGCATCGCAGCAGACCGAGTGGAAGAGCTTGACTGGTGGGAGTCTTCAACAATCACGGCATCAGGAGCAGATGGTGCTCGACTCCGAATCACTTGTACCCCAGCACAGCATGGTAGTGGTAGAGATGGTGCAGATGCAAACATGACGTTGTGGTCATCCTGGTACCTGGAACATCGAGCAACCCATGGCGACCCATACAGAGTATTCTTCGCAGGCGATACTGGCTATCAATTCCATGGCGACCCAGCATGGCCTCCCCAGCCACCATCTCCTGCAATCAAAACAGATCCGGAACCATCTGCGGCGCCAAAGCGACCAAACACCCGGCGCACACGCAGCAAAGAAGCAAATGTCCAGCCTACCGCATACCCCGCATGCCCTGCTTTCGTGGAAATTGTAACTCGCCTTGGGTCGCCTCATCTTCTCTATTTACCTCTAGCACTCGGCGCAACATGGGCTTACTTCAAGGGCTTCTTCTCTAATTACCTTCCCGACTCTCTGGATCCGTTTCCGCGGCATAGTGCTGGTATCGCAGGTGCAATCCACATGCCTCCCTGGGACGCAGTCCGTGTGTTGCGAGAGATGACGGATGATGCGGCCAGCTCAGAACGACCCATTGCCGTTGGCATACATTGGGGTACATTTGTCACAGACCAAACGGAGGTACTAAAGACGCTTGGCCAGCTGGAATGGGCTTGCAGCCAACACAACGTGAAGTTTCTTCGAACACAGGAAGACTCGCAGGACAAAGGCGGGCAGCGAGCACATTTCCTGGCCTTGAACCATGGACAGAGCGTGGTAACTTAGTTTTGTATAGCGCATCCTGTGTGGTCTATAAAATTGCCATACGATCATGTCGCTTTCAAATAAAGGAGATTCATAGCTTACAAACTCATGGGCGGGTTCCGATTCCTACGACTACTACTTTGTATGTACTCGGCCTTCGGAGCATATGATATCAGACGGCAAGTGTTATAGATATTGACTAGGGAAGTGCCACGCAAGTAGGGAAGGGCAAGCCTACGGAGGTGGCCCACCCGCCCTAGATCCACCGTCACTCTCACAATACGCCGTGTCGCAACGGTCCACAACAAATTTCGATTCTTTCTCTGTCATCGGTCGGTCACTCTTCGACGATACGCGGGTTCTGTACAAAGTGCACGAACTGAATGCACAGGCTTGTTCGTGCGGATAGTCGAAACGCTCCTTACTACGCGACCGATTGGGCAGGTTTTATACCATGGAGTTTCAGGAAGCGACCAAGGTCTGCATTGCATCCGACACACTATACTAAATACTGACCATATCCGTTCGTTGTTCACCGATAACTATTTACTTGAGCACGGAATGCCGACTTTGCCTTGTTATTGACTCACAGCAAAACATCCACTCGTCCGACATGCGTCCCACGTCTCGACCATGTTCTTCTATCATCGTAAACAAGTTCGATTGCATTCAGTACAGACCTTGCGACATGTAGCGACATCGGCAGACATGTTGTCAGTGTTGCAGGACCTATCCGAAGCGAAATGAATCGTATATCTCGAGCCCGGTAGGCTGGCAGCCTCAATGTGGCGTAGCTGTTGGACTGCTAAACGATGCTTCTCACTCGAAAATCACGGATGTTTACCGCGAAGCCCACCCGCATGTCATTGTGCAACGGCATGTGTTGCCGCCCGTCTCTGCATACCCGTGCCTCATGGACATGGCTGACAGCATGGCTCTAGACCGTTAATGCCATATATCACATCACTCGCTTTGCATATAAAATTACGTCGACGAGGGCAATGCATTCGGTCGGTCTGTGCTGAAGAGTATTATTGGACGAGTCTTATACCGCCGCTCCTTCAAGCTCTCGGCCGATACCAACTCACTGCATGGCAGCCGCCCATGCATGATAACTTCCAGTCGATGTGCTTCCAAACGCATGTAAGGCGCAACTACACGACATACGTTCTGTGTTTCGAGAACAAGCAGTTGGAACAACTTTTCTGCTATGCGAGCCTGCGCTGGTAGCCTCGACACAACTCTTGTGTTGAAAGTCCGCGATCTGGCTCTGTTTCTACTGAGCAACAGGAAATGCGGTAGATCGTTCTTTGAGCAAAGCGCTTCACCTTGGAATCACTGTCAGTCCCTGGAACCTTCAAGGGAATACCGAAGACTATTGAGCAGCTCCGCAACAGTTCGTCGGTAGACTTTCGGCCTGAGCGCAGCCTTGGCCCTTGTTTCATGACCGCTCTGTTATGTTCTTCCTTCTCATCCAGCCGCCGCTCCTTTGCTCCGCGCGAGATCGCTGGTCATAGCCCTACACGGACCCAAATCGAGACCAAGCTCCACGGGCAGACAACGACTTCATCCCTATTGGGCTCTGTCTCGACTTGTAGAGTTTCTTTACGGTTTGGGGCGCATGTCCATTGATTACATTGGTCTACTTCGGCCCCAACTACTCCACGTTGTTAGCGATCCTGCAGGGGTTGACAAGGGAGCTTCGCAGTGACCAATACGAACTCTTCGCGCGAATCCTTTGTACTACCAATCTGTGTCCATGCTGGATAAACATCATGTCGCGACAAGCCACCCGTTCTGGTCAAAAATCAATAATTCAGTCTGACCCCTTGGATGCTCTTACTCTCCTTTGGCCTCCGATCTTAGCACTCATGACGCAATGTTCATCTTTTCACTCATCGCATTCGCGCTGCTACTTTTTGTAGGAACTATCGCTGGGTCCGATACTCCTACCGACCTGTCAGGATTCCCTCAGTGCGCGGTAAGCCTTTTTCTCTCCAGCAAATACCGTCGGACCCTCCGCTGACAATAGGATAGCAAACATGCATCAGCAACAACCATGGCGATTGTGCCCTGCTGGACATGGCATGCATGTGCAACAACCAAGTACCCACTATCTTCAGTTGCATGCAAGGCTCGTGCAATGCGGAAGACCAAGCTACGACGCTCAAGTTCGCACAAGAACTCTGTGACCAGGTCAATGCCACTACCACAGCGAAGATACCTGGGGCATCGAAAACGGGAGCTACCACGCTCTCGACAGCCATATCAACAAACACCGATCCGGCTTCGACCCCTTCATCACCGTCGGCGTCTGCATCCTCAGGCCTGTCAACAGCAGCTATGGCTGGTGTCGGTATTGGTGCTGCACTCGGCGCAGTGGCGCTGGCGGCTGGAGGGTTCTTCTTCTGGCGGCGAAAGCGCTCGCGGGCCTCGAATAATGTTAATGCTCCTGCACCGAGGGAGATGGACCAGGAATACACGCTGCCTCCTGCATATGGGCAGAAGGGCGTGATGCACCATGTGCACCACGAGGTAGATGGAGTGCAGTGGATGGAACTGGAAGCGAAAGAAGCGACGCGGTTTATCCGGTAGCTTATCGCGTTAATATGAGGGTATCATAATGTTGGAGGGCCCACTAGGGATCTATCTTCAACAACGGCACGATAGTACTGGGTCCCCGCGGGCCTAATCTTCGTGTCGTTGCCAGGTAGGGAGGGCATTTCACGTTCGCAATTAAGGCACTGTAACAGTATGACGATGACATCAAAAGAGCAGGACTTCCAATGGTTCCTTTCATTTTCGCTAGAGGTGTACGATGTCGGTATGTCCAATCCATCAATACCCCTTTTCACAACCTTGCCTTTCAAGTGCCAGAACGCTACGTGAGCATTCGCGTCCACGCTCGTTCAGCCCCCTTCCATTACGCACGCGCTGTCACAACAGCCTCCTAGCATGACCGATATCGTAGGTACATCCCGCGATGAGAGACCTGTGTTCAACATCCTGGATCACTAAACATTCCCATCTGTCAGTGCGGGAATCTACATGAAGAGGAGAAATAGACTTACAGTTGATGCCGCTTACAAGGCACCAAGGGCAGCCGCAACAGCCGCACCGAGAAGACCACTGCCAGGGAGCAGCATACCCGCCGCGCCGGTAGGCTTCGACTCGCCGCTCGTCTCGGTCGCATTCGCAGAGTGGGTGTGGCTCGCGCCGGTGCCCGTCTCGGTGGTCTGGTTACCAGTCGGGAACGCGGTGGTGGACCAGGACGTCACGTTGATGGTGGTGACGGAGGGGGCGACGACGGGCACGGAGACAGTGGTGTTAGGCGGGGGCGTCTCGGTGGGTTTGCCGGCGGGAGACGTAGTCACCAGCGTGATGGCTGTCACTGAGGTCGAGATCGTCACCGACGTCGAGGCCGGGGGAGCTGGCGCGCCGTTGATGGGGATGCAAGCGCCGTTCTCGCAGGCGAAAGCAGCGGCTGGGCCGGTACAGCAGTTTGCGCCGCAGATTTGGACGCCGGCCGCGCAGTTGGCGGGGCCTATACGAGCGTGTTAGTATGAGCTGAGCAGTGTGGTGGGATGTACCGCGGGGAGGTAGCTCGAACGTACCTTGAGCTGAGGCGAAGGCCGCAAGAGCCGTGACGCCGACGAGGGAGAGAGGGATACCCATTTTGATGAGGGGATGATTCGATGTAAAGCTAAGAAAGAGCTGGGGAGATTGACGGTCGAAGAGACGGTGTCGAAATCGAAGTTGAGAGAGAGCGTGAGGTTCAGGACAAGGAGTGTTTGTGTTTTTATGAGCTGTGCCGGCGGGGCGGGGAGAAAGTTTTTGCGCGTGGTCGAAGCTCCGTGTTGGCCAGGTGAATGGGAGGTAGGTTGAGGGACAAACGGTGCTGTTTGCTTGGGACGCAGGTTACGGTTGGCGTACAAACGTCGCGGTGACGTCGACTGGTTTAATTCTGTGCTTGTATATGCCGTGAAGGGCTTGTAGAAGAGGTTCTGCAGTAGAGGGGCTATGTACTTTGTGTATACAGTGAGGTTGAAGACCGAGTGTAGCCGATGGTCCCTCAGTTTACGGTGTACAAGAATGCTCACACCACGTTATAGCTTGGATATCTTGCCCCGGATATTGTGTATTTGATCCCGAACATAGACTAGCTGAGTCGGTTATGTAGGCATTGCTCAAGAGGTTCGGACAGGTACACCGAGGTTTTCTGACGCAGTCCTCGAAAGAGTTACCTGCCCGTATGAGACTCGCACTGCGTAGTACAGTCATTTCAATGTTCATTGGTGTTCATCGAAAAGGATTTTGGGTACCATTGAGCGTAGTGATGCAAGATACTGCTCCCCGTCTGCAACATATTACAGTCCTCTTAGTAGCGAATACATGCCAAAGATGGTCATCTGTGCTGACCACCCGCTGCTGGGCAACGTTGATACACAGTACCACAACGGTACACAGAATTATAGTAGTTACGTCACTGCCTAATAGTAAGGATATAACAAGACCACTTCACGCCGCAAGCCAGTAGGGAAATATACTCGCATCGCAGTCACCATGTTGAGGTTGCAGGTCTTTCCACAAGTGACCTTTTCATCTATCAGTCCAGCTTGATATCCTCGGCCTAGTCACTTGACCTTAGCACATATGATGTTCGCAGGCGCAACTGTCAAACGTCCAAACGATGCCTTGGGCCCATTCCAGCCTGTCTCTACGCCCCACATATAGGGCTTCAACGACGCACAGCCTTAGCCGAACAGGCGCCCCGGTGATCGCCTTAGCCGTGCGCGCCAACGGCCGGGAAGCGCATCCTCGAATCCACTCAAATCCACTGATACAATGTGGGAAAGGTTTCACACGGCTGGATTCGTAGCACGTTTGTTTGGGGGCGATGTATTTGATATTAAGAATGGGTCGAAGGCAGTGCGCGAACGAGCCACTCGGGGCCGATAGATGGTCAGACCTGCGTTGCTGAACGGATGGCATGTCCATGTGGACTATTTGAAAGGAGAGGGACGAGGCGACCATGGCGGCGTGAACTTGTCCGCTTGCGCTGACCCGGAGCGCCAGTCATCGTCGGACAACCATCTCGCACGACGACAATCAGCAGTCGCGGTGATGAGGTGCGGTCACTGCGGTGCAAGTGCTGCGAACGGCTTTCCGGGGTAGGGCCGATCACCCTTACTCATACACGGACGTTCTCCCTGCGTGAACAGCCAGCCCCCATTCCTTGCCCCTCGATTCCGCTCGCGTCTTGCGAGCTCGCAGGATAGACCTGAAGTTGAGAGCATGCAGCGACGATCGCGATGGTATAAAGATGGCCACGGCAAGCGCCTAATACAGCAGACAACGCGCAAAACGGGGCAGTGCAAGAGACGCCGCTGAGGCTCACAGGCGCACTTGTGCCTGGCTTAAATAAAGACGGGCGCTCATCGAGGCTTGGCTGCGGGCGCTACTGTTACAGCCCTGGCACTCGACAAGCCCCGATTGGCTGTGCGACGGCGCATCGCGGGCACCCTGAGCGCCGGGTTTCACAGCTGCTTTCATTCATTATGCGGCTGTGTGCTGCGCGTCGCCGTGTGTCGTTTTGCTTTGCTGTCGCTCTTTTTACCAACCGTACCTGAACTAAACCCTCCTTGACTTTGCACCGTGTCTTCAGTTCCTTTAAAGAGAAAAGAGAAAGCGTGCAGGAGCTGCGCATGGCGACCGACATCGAGCTGGGCAATGTCAGGGGCAAGCCCACGGGTGAGGCCCCAGAAGACACAGACTACCGACCCGTCAACTGGAAGCGCCTGTTCCTCACGCCCAAGTACATCCGTACGTCACTGCTATCGATTACTCCACCTCTCTGCGAGTACTGACATAGTGGTTGTAGCATGGCACATCATCGGCATAGCAGTCCTCGTATTCACCATCTACATCACCGTCCACCACGATGCCGTTGTCGAGAAACTCCGTCCGTTCTCGGAAAGCCTGCGCGATCTGCCTGCCGGCTGGCTCATCCCCATCGCCATTCTCTTCGTCATCTCCTTCCCGCCGCTGTTCGGCCATGAAATCGTCGCGTTACTCTGCGGTGTAGTCTGGGGTCTGTGGATAGGCTTCGCAATCACCGCAGCCGGTACCTTCCTCGGCGAGAGTACGTTACCATCCCCCTGCTCCCCATCATTCAATCAACCACCCCACTAACACCACGCAAGTCGGCACCTGGTTCGCCTTCCTCTACGCCTTCCGCCGCAAAGCCGAAAAGCTCGAGCGCACCAATCTCAACTACGGCGCCCTCGCCCGCCTCACCCGCGACGGCGGCTTCCTCATCGTCCTCGTCATCCGCCTCTCCGCCATCCCCTCGCACTTCTCCACCGCCGTCTTCGCCACCTGCAACGTCAAGTTCTGGCACTTCTTCGTCGCCACCTTCCTCTCGCTGCCAAAGCAAGTCTTCCTCGTCTACCTCGGCGTGCTCCTCGTCCAGAAGAACGAGTCAAACGTAGCAAAGAACGTCATGTTCGGCGCCGTCTTTGTCGTCACCGTCATCCTGGGCATCTGGATCTGGATGAAGATGGCAAAGGTGAAGAAGGTCCTGTTAGAAGAGCAAGCGCAGCGGCGGGCGGCCAAGTTAGAGGAGGAGATGCGCATGGCAGACAAAGAAGCTGAGCAAAGGAGATTCGAGGTCAGCGAGCCGCAGGCGGCGTATGCGATGCCGCAGCAGATGTCGATGCCGAGGGTGGCTCCCGGCGAGTACGTCGTGAGGCAAAGCTGGGGGCTGCCGGAGCCGCCGCCTGGACGGGCGTTTTGAAAGTAATGTCTAATGCGGTTGGGGCCCTGGTTATTATGTCTGCATCTTTGGGTAACGAGGGTTGCATAGGGCGGCGTTTTTTGTATTGTTTCGTTTCGTTTCGCACCTTTCATTTGTAGTATATACTTAGCTGACCGCTGTTGTACAGTGTCGCTGCTGCAGTTGCAATCGAACTGTGAACATTCAGATGATGTGCTTGTGTTTGAAATTACGGCTGACCATGTCCGGATATGCTGGATATTTGGGTACAAGCAAAATAATACTATGTGCAACAAATTAGTACGCAGATGTAGAGACACGGCAGTGTATCTGCACCAAGCGAGATGCCAGGCGATGGTCATGTACCAACATAGGCTAGACCGCAGGGCGCACCAAGCGTGAGAAATGGTGCGAGGAGCGGTTTCGATGGCACTATCATGAAATACAAGAGTTTGCTTCCCGTCAAGAATATGGAGTCATTATCGTTCTGCTGCAGCGCAGAGCGGACGGCGACAGAGAAGTGCTCCTAGGACATGAATGGTGGCCGCAATATACTATGTCACGATTGTTGCTTTTTTTCCGACCAGTCACTCGTCTTGGGTCTAGGTGCATACGAGTCTTGAGACATAATCTCTATTTCGTTGACTGATACTATGTCTAGTCTCTATCGCAAGTTTGAAATATTGTCGAAGGAACATGTACAGGTCGGCATACATTGATGAAGAGCATCATCGCAAGATTATACACTCCAAGGAAGAGTCTAAGGCACAATGATACGATTTCGCGCAGAAAGACTCATGAGCAATACAAGACTACTCAGCCTGGGGCATACCCCTGCATTTCTACTATCATTCTCAACCCACCTTCACTGTCACCGTCTCCTAAGTGACGCGGACGTGCTTTAACCCTCACCCACACAGCACAAAAACAACTCCCCGGCCAGCACACCAAACAACCGCTCGCTCACTTTACCTTCGACGCAGCAAACCCCACTCACTCAGCCCACTGCAATCGCGTCACCGCAAGCATGCCCTCCATCCGCAAAACCACAGAGATCCACAACCCCTCCGACATCCTCGCGCGCGCATCCCGTCCGCAGTATAGCTCGAATCACCTACCGCGCCACCGAGACTGGCGCCACACTACAAGTGTCTTCCGCCACGACGACGAAGACGATCCGAGCTACCGGGGTCGAGAAAGCACAGTCTGGGACGAGCTGGACTGGGACGCGCAGATCGGCGTTTTCGGGAAGGAGAAGAGGAGCTACGCCATGAAGAAGGTTACTTGGGATCAGAGTGTCGAGGACAGGGAAGAGAAGCAGGAAGTGGCGTTTACTGAAATTGAGGACAGACCAGAGGAGCAAGAAGTGCCGTTGCCTGAAGACGAGGGCGGCCTGGGAGAGCGGGGCTGGGTTATGATGGGGCTTGATGGGGTGATGGAGACTGGCACGCCGGAGACTGTTGATGCGCCGGCGCGACTTGTGAAGATTGAGGATGTTGGCGGAGTACTGGATACATCGAAGATGGCAGGTAAAGTCGCGCCGAGAAAGATTCTCAAGAGTGCGGTCCAAGCCAGACGAAGCCATCGGCGTCCTTGCTCGCGAGCAGATGTTGTTGCGGGTTTTCAGCGAAGTGAAGAGCACACTGGCGCGGAGGCAGAGGAAGACGAGGAAGCGTGGGTCCAAACACGAATGGTTGTTCGCTTGAAATTCTCTTGTCGAGGATCGGACGAGGTGCAGCGGATACTCGCCAATGAGCCAACGGACGGAGAGACCCAAGCTGTGACGCCGGGTCCTTCAGGGGCGGATGCATTTGGCGAAGCACCAGTCATCCTCGCCGAAACACCAGTTATCCCGGAGACTCCCCGTGCAAGTCCAAAGGTGGTCGATGTCGACACTTTGGATATTTCAACGCCAGAGTCGACAACTCCGTATACGCGCGCTCCCGACACTGATCGACCATTGCGATCAATCGCTCCCTTTGAGCGCCAATGGTTCGACGAGACGCAGAACTTCAACATGAAAGAAGTCGTAGCAACCTCGAGGGCCCCAGGTAGCGAGCATCTTCCTCTCTCAGACTTCTTCAACTGGTTTCCGGAGGCTGTTCCAGTGGACGCAATCTTTCCTCCCGGCGTCCCCCTATCAGCAAAAGAGATCATGGCGTTCTACCCTCACCACATCCGCTGGAAAGGTGTTACTCTGCGCCTGGTCAACAACTCATACTTTGGTGAGACAATCACCGCCATGCAAGCCTTCTTCCGCGACAAGGACAAGCATCCCCTAACCATCACCAACGTCAACCAATTCTTCCGGGACGCTCTCAAGACTGATTTACCCCACTTCAAAGTTTCCAACTTCCAAGGCAAACCGGATCGGAATTTGTACACTGACCACCTGAAACCTCTGAAGCTCCTCAATGGGACGCGCCATGGGTTTGTTGTGCCCACCTTCAACGATTTGCTGAGAGGTCTCGTGTACTTGCCCGCTGGACTCGATGCGCGGGGTCTGACGCAGTGTCTGTCGTGGTATCTAAACGTGCGAGATACCTTTACTCCACGGCTGGAACTGAACGCTCTACACACACAGTCGCTTATCCGGGCGTTGCGTATGCCGCTGAAGACCTATGGGCCGCAGAATCTCGACAAGCGGGCGTTGCAGGAGTGGAAGGACGCTGGACAATTCGCAAAGAGGCGCCTCGAAGACGAGGCAAAGCATTCCGACACTGAGAGCATCGATCGCTCGCATGAGCAGCTGAAGAGGTCGAGGGTAACGATTGATCCCGAGGCAGAGACTCTGCATGTCGGTGTGGTGGTGAAGCTACGTCATGTGCTCACGTTCCCATACCTTGCTATTGGTGGAATGATGTGCACGGCTCTCGAGATGGGCATTGAGAAGGCTGAAGCACGGAGTGCAGCGAGGGAGGCGCATGAAGGGAGTCAGGGCAGTGAAGAGCCACAGACTGGTGTTGCTGCCGAAGAGAAGGAAGTGGAAGATACGACGGAGAAGTCGGTGCAAGAGAAGGAAGGATCAGCGGAGACGATTCTTCCAGATGAGGCAGGACCGCGATATGATGACAAGATGCCAAATATTATCTCACCGAGCATGCCTGCGGGTTACAAGATTCCTAAGAGGAAGCGACCTGTAGTTGAGGAAGCCACGACGGAATATGAGTCCTCGCAGCGGGCAAGTCCGGCCCCTGGAGTGCCGGGCGCACCACTTGGGCCACGTGCAATGTCCATACCAGAACGTCGCCATGCTATCGCTCCCCGTCCTCTCACTTCCACTGCGCCATGGGGACCTAGCCGCGGAGCTCTACCGTTCTCAGGCCCTACAACTGCACCAGCATCACAGTTCAGCGACCGACGTAGTCACGCTCCCGATCAATACCATTCAACACCGTACTCAAGCACGTTTTCCGGTCATCACCGTCCATCGCCATATGCGAGCACATTCTCCGACCATCACCGTCTACCGCCCTACTCAAGTACATTCTCCGACCATCACCGTCCATCGCCATACTCGAGCACATTTCCCCACCTTGCTCAGCGTAGCCATCATGGTTACCGGGACGCATCAGGAAGAAGCGCAGTCGACGGTCCCCAGCACCACTTTGACGATAGGGCAAGGTTCCCGCCACGCAACGCGCGATACTCGTCCGCTTTTCAGCCTGAGTCAACTGCGCACAATGCTTCAAGCTGGTCGGAGTATAGCAGTCGTCGAGAACACTGATTGTAGATGTTAGCGGACTTGCTTTTATTGCGGCGGCTACGAAATGGATCAACTCATCAACGGTCTGGATTGGGTAGGGCCTTTCCTGTACATTATCGCGGCCTCGTTGTCTTTGCCCCATTGAGTCAAGGCTTGATCATTGAACTTGGGTGCGATCATTTGATCATCTTCATAGCAGTAATAGTTGCATTCCGTTGATATCTAAACCTTTTCTCGTATGAAGGGTAGCAATTACAACTCCTTTTCCTCCGCTGGGGTTTCCATCAACGCTTCCTTTACCACGCTGTTCGCGACCTTTCATGCTTGATCGAATGATTTCTTTTGTTCGGGGCTCGCATAGCAGGTCACGCATCTGCCTCATGGGTGCCAAGGCCGCGGCTCTTCAGGCATGCATGAAAGAGTAGGTACGTTGCTGACTGGGCCATGTGGCTGATAGCAAGTGGAGGTGTCTTTAGTGTTCCACGTTCAGCGAGCTAGATGCTCGAGAGTGATGCTCGCGGTACCGACGTCTTGGCCTCCCACGAGAAACTCGCTTACCCCGCCGCTCTGGAAGTCGAGCTGAAGGCATTCATCCGAGATGTATTGTGTGGCAAGTAGCTGAGAAAGAGACTGAAGGTATGCGCGTGAGACATGTGGTCATGGTGGTAGATTCTGATCTGACTGTCAAATACACGAATCGAGAACGGCAAGGTCACACTCTGTTGACTTCAACACTGGCTGTTTCTAAATTCCTCAAGATGAAGCAACCTGAGGCCAGATTGAAGCTGTGAACAATCGCCTATTGTCGTTGGCTCGCCTATCGCCACTCGAAGCGGGCCGTGTATGGGGGGCTGTTTGCCAATTGTTTCGTGGCGCCTTGACTAAGCGCCGAAGCACCATGGGGTACCAGAGCTCATATACCAACCAGCATCAACATGTGAAGCTAATTAGGCGTCTGATAGAGGGTTTGCAATCGCCGTACATTGAGCCCGCCCTGGTTTCTTTGTCCCGTTGAGCGCTGTTTCAAGACCTCCGACATGTTCAAACGATATGCGGAGAGGTTATAGCGATCTAGCCTTACGATTAGAATATTGGTCGGCTCTAGAGATTCTCTCCGGACAGTTCTCCGGGTGTGTCGAGCCCCATGGTGACCGACATCTGGAAGTACCCGCTATCGGTACCAAATCCCACGCACCGCTCTCTTTCTTCGTGTGGGGCAAAACCTACGGTAGCGAAGAAAATGGCGGTGGGGTAACTTGTGGTACGCTCTAACAAGTCAGAGCCTTGGAAAACGTTTTCGAAGCGCAATGAGTAGATTCGAGGATGGCAACTATCTGCAAGCTTCGCAGGTTAGTTGTAGCGAGGCTGCAGCTTGCAGATTCCAGATCGTGAGTCCAGGGACCGGAGAACAAGACTTGCTAAGTCAAAGCTTGTTGAGTTAAAATGTTGCACGATAGTATTATGTTTCCCGTCGGAAATGAGGGTCTGCGTTATGAGTATATAAGTAAGAAATTTTTCGAATATAATGGCTCAATGTATCATAAGTAAAATGTGTCTTCTTAGCTCATAATATCGATTGCAGAAGTGAAGCTGTATGTCTAGGGCTCTCAATACAAAACACATATTCGATTTGAATTCATCGAGTTCCGAGTCGTGGCTATGACTTGATTAAGAGCTGATGTTTCACATGCAGTTAGTAGTAACATGTACTACTTACACAACCATGTGCTAACTAGCTACTGGAGGTACAGTAGGCACATCGGCTCGTACCGTTATCAGAATCAATCAATTCTTGTATCCAGTCCGAGCTATCGAAGAAGCTCAATTGGTCCAAACTAAACAGTGGTACGAACCGACGTGACTACCTACTGTACTCACCAGCTCGCCAGTACATGCAAGCCTTAAAGTCTCCATTAGACAATAACAAAGAAAAGTCGAAGGGACGCCGCTCTTACTATCTACCAAATTTGGTGTCCCGGTGGCGTCGTAGCAAGCGAGCTGAGCACTGTAGTCTCCCCCTCATCAGCTGCACTGTCCATGGTTCGCTACCAAGCAGAAATATGAGGATCAACGAGTTGACAGTCATGGAGGACTTCAACCAACTATTCGTGGCAGCCACCGCTTCGCTGACATATGTACTTGAATTGTAGCTCAGCCCCAATGGCGACACCAACGTGCATACTCGGGTAAGATGCAGACTTTAACGCAAGAAGCTTTCGGGCGCCGGTAGAAGTACATAATAGTGAGCTAGACAGTACTGAATGGGACCGATCAAAAGAATGAGGAACTGTGCGGGGCTTCCGCAGCCTTTTGTAATGTATCGGATATCCAAAGATATATAAAGAAAGACCAATCGAGACACACTTTGCACAGAAACCTTCTCAAACCCACGCATAGAAAAACACTCACACTATTATTGAACGAATCAGATATCTTCCATCCCAAAAATGCGTTCGTTTACCTCAATCATTGTTCTCGCCGCCCCCACCCTCATCGCCGGGCAGAGACCACCTCGAAACATTACCACGGGCGTGAACGGCGACGCACCAATCATCAACAACAACCCCGCGGGTGCAAAATACACTGCTACCTTCCCCGCAACAGGCGGTAACATATCAGGCACCGTCACCGCCGTCTCAACCTCCAACGGCACTGGCGTAGTCTTCACCGTGAATCTCACGGGCCTACCCGCATCTGCCGGCCCACCATTCCGTAAGGCTCAACCCCCTAGAATATTGCCTTACATTCCCCGTTGACATCGCCCTCGCTGTCCGCCCAGCTGTACTAACACCTTGCTCCCTCCAGCCTACCACCTCCACGTCGCACCCCTCCCCACAGGCGGCAACTGTTCCACAGTCCTCGCCCATCTGGACCCCTACCGCCGCGGCCAGTTCCCAGACACGCCCATGTGCGACGCGACGAAGCCTCAAACATGCGAAGTGGGGGATCTATCCGGCAAGCATGGGAATATCACGGCGCTTGCATGGCAGCAGAGGTACCTTGCCGCTTCCATCTTCCTGTGATAGGGGACATCTGCTGATAATAGATTCAGCTACACGGAGATGTACGCTTCTACGGTCCCGGGGATTGGGGCGTTCTTTGGGAATAGGAGTATTGTGATACATAGGTCTGATGGGACGAGACTTGCGTGCGCGAATTGGGTTAGTGGGTAGGGTATGCTGGGTGGAGTGAGCGAGAAGAATGGATTACGTTCTGGTTGTTAGCGGAGCTATGTGATTTCGTTGTTCTTGTTGTCGTGGCGGACGGTCAGAAGCGAAGGGTTTACTCTGGAGTATCTATGACTTGACATACGTGGCTATTATGTATTTGACTGTTATGTACTTTATTATTATGTATGTGATTATTATGTACTTGACTATTGGGCTAAAGCCTCTCATATTCGTTATTTTCGTTTGACGCTCGAACAAGGACATTAACACGTTTGAACGGCTGATCGTGAGTCGCGAGTCGTCTGTCGTTGATGTAACAAAAGACTGATCCTTTCTCGTACGGTGTGACGCCGAAAGCGTTCCCCGTGGTCTTCACAACACGACAACTCGTGTGATTCGGTTAGTGAGATCCGGAAAACCGCTGGCATGATCTGGCGATCTCATGTAGGCGACATGCCGACCGATGTTTGAGCGCGTTTTCGAACGAAACTGTCAGTGCAGTAATCTTTGCAATGCGATTTTTGAGTGAGATAAAGAAAAGGCCGTGACGCCATAGTCATTCAATAACGACTGTTCTTGTTACATGTATCCCTCCGTGCGGTGGTTTCTCATACTCTCCATTAAGTTGGATCTCGTCTTCCGATATCCTACTGACGACCGTCGCAGACTGCTGCGTCCGGGCCAGATTCGCCACTGACTCCCCGCCCTCATGGCGCCTGTTAAGAGTAATGCCCATTCCCGACCTCTTGCTGGCATTTGTTATGTGTCGGCTGGATCGGTAGGACCCCGGTTTGCGACCCATGCAGAGCGCGTATATAGGCTTCAGAGCAGGTATAGAGCCACAGACAATGAGCAGGATGATTTCGATACTGGGCAACGGCCATTAGCTGTGCACTGCGATTTGAGATGATGCACTTACCCAGTCCAGAGGAACAGTTGGAATGTTTCCCAGGTGATGTCGGACCTTGCAGTGAGCGTGCTGAGTTTACTCGCCTTGATCGCAGCGCAGATGCCAGTTCTATAGCGTATCAGTATGTGAAGAGTCAATTGTCTGGTTCGTCAGGCTTACATGCTACCGCAGCCGAGTAGCGCACACAGCGCAAGACGCTTCTTGAGATCGGTCTTCAAGCCCCATACAAGCGTTACGGGGATCGCAGCAAGATAGAAGTCAGTCAAAGAGTGGACTGCGGCGCCGTAGATCGAGAAACTGCTCTGCACCCTTGGATCCCAGCATTTCGTCTTCTCTTTGAGAGATTCATCCCACAGAGCAGCTGCGTCTTCGCATTGGATGAAAGTAAACAATATCATCAGGATGGTGTTGATGGCTGTCCATACGACAGCAACGTATAAACTCCATTTGCGAAAGACGGACGCGCGATTAAGGAGACGAAGAATTAAGAAGGCGATAGCGATTTTGCCCGAGCCAAGACAAAATATAGCAAGTGGTTGGGCGATCCAGTTGAGCTTGATGAGATATATCGTATGCTCCGGATCTCCTGAGAGGTAGGCGAGATGTCGGGTGCCACCATCGAAGCAAAACATAGATACAATAACAGTAAGCGGCACGAAGACCATCTAGACGGTGTCAGTACTGGCTGCTTGCTTCCGGATAAGGAGTAGGGGAGGTTCGTACCCAAGTGATCAGCATACACCAATCGTCAATACCCACACCGGCAATACTGAAGCGTGCTGTCAGCCTCGAGCCTACGAAGACGAGCGACACCAGACATCCTGCGATATAGACTGCGGCCAGGTGCGGACCGCGATCGTAGTCGGGGTAATCGGGCACTGCAGCCATGATGGAGGTGATGAACTGGCGGAGAATCCAAAGCACTCAGAAGGACCGCGTCCCTCGAATTTTGTCCAGCACTCCTCCAAGGCATTGCATAAAAGGGGAGCGATCTCCAATACATATGGATTCCTGCCCCGCTCGAGCAGGGCTTGGAACCATCACCTGCACCAGGGTCGCGGTGAGCCATGAGTCGCGAAGGGACCGATAACCAATGTTTTGGCAGAGTGTGACGACTCCCAGACGGGACCTAGCCAGGAACAGGTTGACACGATGCTGGTACCTTGGTCTAGGCTTTGCCGTTAAAACCCAATTGGGGAGGGTCGCGACTGAAACGGGGATCGGCACTGCACAGACCCCCCCGTCCGACGTCCCTCGACACGTGCATTAGTGCTGTGATATGCAAGAGGTCCAGAGGTCCATTGGTTGCCACGTGAGGGGAGCAGGGCGGCCTATCTGGGCTTGTGAAAGTATTTGTCGACGATCTTGAAAGTTGTCAATGCTAGGTAGAACGGGGGCGGCCGATGGGCAGTGGCGGTAGATCACAGCCGATGCCGCTAGGAAACTCTACATGTCGATACGAAGCGGGGGCGCCATGCGAAAGTTTGATCCACGCTCTCGAGAACGTCGTCTCCGCTAGAAAGTAGATCATGTCGTCGCATGTGTCTGACAAAGTGCCGTGCACTGCGGGGAGAAAGGCGCATCGGTGATCTTCAGAAGATCAATCCGGATGACATGTCTGAATCTTCGTATAGCAGCCAAGCTATCTTTGCTCCACGAACATGTCCGGCAGTGGTGAATTAATAGACGAAAGTTGGACAAGGCATGATGATGGCTTCAGGTCGGACAATGCACCTCTTCCGGTTGGTTTTGATAGCGAACAATCTGAAGATGGCTTTCCCTTCTTTGGATGCAGAGCAAGTAAATATCATTCCGCCTTCATAGGGCTCAGGTGAGGCCTGGAAACTGCAGCAAGCCGCACCTTGCACCAGCGAGTCATAGTCTCGTGCAATGTTCCAGATCAGGGTACATCTTCCGCCACACAGATGATGGAAGAATGCCGACGAGCTGAAGAAAGGCACGTGGAAATCGCGTACTATGGTACAGTGAAGGGTCGGATCGTTGCTTCCGTGGTTTTCGGGGCTTCATCACCACGTGGTGTTGCAGGTAGCCGCGGTCTTTGTGGAAATCGCGTTATCGCTGTCAGACCCACCTCACTTGCGACACTCGTGAAAGGGATCCATGACTAGTATTCTCGACCGCTGCTCTGGACAGTGGTTTTGATCTTCCACTCTGCCATGTTCCTTGGGAATGGGACACTGACCAACTGTCAACACTGTGGCTCCATAATTGTCGTCATTGCGGAGGAGTTCTATAGCTCGATATCTTATAGTACCAGCCTGTGGCTCCATAACCGCCGTCATTCCAAGAAGTAGTTCTATAGCTAGACATCTTATAGTACCAGCTTGTGAGGCGAAGCGCGTATGCAGGTCCTTCACCTCGCCGCTGGGGCAAGATGACCTCCTAGAACTGGCAACTCCGCGGGCATCGTCAGATAGGGGTCTGCCAGTGAGAAAATCCTTCAAACATCCCAGGCTCTTGAACGCGGCAGGGGTGGCAGTCGTCAGCCGCCGTCGGGCATCGCATGCATCTCGTGCTTCATGGCGGTCTCATTGCGACTCAAGAGAGTCCGGGGAGTTGAGACGATAACATCTTGTTGATGATCAAGATCGAGCAACGGCGCGAAGTGCTAGCGTTTAGGAGAATCAAACCAGTGACGAGCGCCGAAAGTCTAGCGGTGGGGCCTTCCTATTCTAGCTCTTTGCACCGTTGCCCAGTCTGAAATTGCCAATAGGAAATCCTGGCGGCACGGCAATGCTTCCTCCTCAGAACGGAGAGTTTTGGTGTAGATCTTCATGGACAGTGCGCGTACCTGGACTCTTGCCCAGGATGCGCCAAGCGTGCGTCATTCTCATAATCATACGATGTGCAGATCAGATTGTAACATTTTCAGCACTTGTGAGCTTTGTACATGTTCCAGTGCATCTTTGCTCGCTATTATCGATAGGTTGGTGGGAGGCCTGCAAAATCATCCCAATAAATAGGAGAGCAAATCAACTTGACTGTACCCACAGGCCCACCTCATTCGTCCGCGGCGCTCCTCTCGAAGACCTTTCCTGTAGATGTGCAAATTGTACCCGACCACGGCATGTTGAGCAATGGAGAGGCCATTGCGGGAGCCCCTGTGCACATGGCAAGAGTAGGTGGGATATGAAAGAAGAATGATGAGTGCATCGCCAATTGCCGCAGCCGCTTTTGATTGGTGCGTCAGCAGCTGCCTCCCAACAACAACAGCCAATACTGTCAACAATTGCGTGTTCAATCTTTGTTACCTGATTTCACGTGAACGCTTCTTATGTTCTTCGTCAGTTCGGCTCAGACATGTGTTCAGGTGGAGAGCTAACGTACAGCATCGCAATCGGCAGCTCCGAGAACAGCCACCGGTTAAGGTCGCGCTTGAGAAACTCTCAGCCCGCCAGAACATACCACTTGTTGACTCGAGAACGAGCAAAACTCAAAGACCAAGAACAATAGCACGAATAGATGACCAGACAGCTAGACGTACAGACGCCGCAAAGGTCGCTTACAGGATACTATAGCTCGACGGAGAGTGGACCGCCGTGCAGCTTGCAGCCGCATGTACATGTACAGTCCCACCTGCGTCTCTACATCGTGAGGAGACCGGACAATCTGTCACCGAATATTCCGTCCACACAATGACGCCGCTGCCGTCACGCGAAGGAGTTCTCGGAAAGGCATTCCGAAGGATGGCTTCTACTGTTGGGGAAAATTGGGGAGACTTCACAACCCCAAGCTCGACATATCGAGCATTGTTTATACTGAAATCTTGACACTGCAACAGCAATCTTAGAATTCCGCAAATATGAAGTTCCGCGATGGTATGCTTCGAGAATGCGTGGGGCGTGGGAACCAACGCTAATTGCACTCACAGGCATGTGGCTTACGAACGATGCGTTCACGGTCCAGTACGCAGAAGAAGTCTACACCGTCACTCCCCGCGAAGACAACAAAGCCGTAACGCTACTCTGTCCAACACGCAAGATCTTTTCCCGCGGCGACACGCTCAATCTCAGCAGCATTTCCGTTGAACTCGAAGCCCAATTCGACGGCGTCATCTCGTGCGAAGTAACACACTTTTCCGGCGCTCGCCGATTGGGGCCCGACTTTGATCTGTTTCCGCATGGCAAGCCAGGTGTGGATGCACAGGTGGAGAAGGGTGAGAAGGGAACGACCATTACCTCTGGGGCGTTGAGTGCGACTATAAGTGGAGATGCGCATACCTTTGACGTAAAATTCCATGCAACAGGTGGCTCGAAAACCATTACTTCACTACAGAGCCGTAGCGTGGGTTTGGCTTATTCTCCCGCATTGACGAGCCCGAAGCAGGTAGAAGACATCAGCGACCGGAAACATTTCATGTTCACGCAGACTGATCTGGCCGTTGGAGAGACAATCCATGGACTAGGCGAGCGCTTCGGAGCGTGGAATAAGATCGGTCAGAACGTTGAAGTCTGGAACGAGGATGGAGGTACCTCCAGCGAGCAAGCCTACAAAAACATATCATTCTGGCTCAGCTCGCGCGGCTATGGAGTCTTCATTGACACACCCGACAAGATTGATCTTGAGATTGGTAGCGAGCGCTGCTCCAGACTACAGACTACCGTCGAAGGGCAGCGCCTCAAGTGGTACATCATCTACGGGCCTACGCCGAAGGAAGTTCTCACCAAATACTCGATCCTGACGGGCAAGCCTGGGAAACCGCCAGCATGGTCCTATGGTCTTTGGCTATCGACCTCCTTCACAACTTCATATGATGAGAAGACAGTGCGCCACTTCGTCGAAACGATGAACACGAACCGCATTCCCGTCGAGGTCTTCCACTTCGACTGCTTCTGGCTGCGTGCCTTCCACTGGACAGACTTCGTCTGGGATCCCGAGTTCTTTCCCGATCCGCAGGGTCAAATCAAGCGAATGAAAGACGCCAAACTCGTAAACAAGATCTCCGTCTGGACGAACCCCTACGTCGGCCAAGCATCGCCTGTATTCAAGTACGCCGCCGACAAAGGCTACCTGCTGAAGAAGACAAACGGTGATGTCTGGCAGTGGGATTTGTGGCAGACGGGCATGGGCATTGTCGACTTCACGAACCCAGAAGCGTGCACCTGGTTCGCAGGCTGCATGGAGAAGCTATTCGACATCGGCGTCGATGCTATCAAAACAGACTTCGGAGAGCGCATTCCCACAAAGAACGTCCAGTGGCACGACAAGACCGTTGATCCGAGCAGGATGCACAATTGGTACGCCTTCATCTACAATAAGCTCATCTACGAGACACTGCAGAAGCGCTACGGCGAGAACGAAGCCGTCCTTTTCGCCCGTACCGCTACCGCAGGCGCCCAGCGTTTCCCACTCCAATGGGGCGGCGACTGCGAAAGCACACCCGCAGCCCTCGCCGAGTCGGTGCGCGGAGGTCTGAGTCTAGGCCTTGCATCGTTCGCCTCGTGGACGAGCGACATTGGAGGTTTCGAAGGCAAGCCCCCGCCGTGGATCTACAAGCGTTGGGTTGCCTTCGGCTTCTTGTGCACGCACAGTCGTCTGCACGGCTCAAGCTCGTACCGCGTGCCCTGGCTCGTGGACGACTCCTCGACTGAGCCGGAGAACTGCACCGACGTCTTGAGACACTGGGTTCAATTCAAGCGCCAGCTGATGCCGTATCTCTTCGCGCAGGCGGAGGAGAGTATTGCGAATGGGTGGCCGACGAGCGTACGTGCCGTTGCGCTTGAATTTCCTGATGATCCGACAAGTTGGTACTGCGATCGCGAGTTTATGATCGGTTCGCAAATCCTTGCAGCGCCAGTGTTTGAGGAGGATGGGACTGGTGAGATATACCTGCCTCCCGGCCGGTGGTTCAACTTCTGGACTGGAGAGGAGGTGCAAGGGAGCAGGTGGGTGAGAGAGAAGTATGGATTCCTGCAGACGCCGTTGTTTGTGAGAGAGGGCACTGTGCTGGTGCTAGGACAGGCGGACGGCGAGGATGGATTTGCATATGAGTGGTTGAAGAAGGGGGGGACCATCAAGACCTATGGTGTCAAGGAGGGCGACAAAGCTGTGTTAGTCGACAAGACTGGAGAGCAGAAGGGTGTGGTAGAGGTTGGCAGCGACGGACAGATCAAGGCACCCGATGTCCTGCAAGGGGGGTGGAAGTTGGAGAATGTGGCATAGACAGCGGCGGCTCCTACTGTGACAGAGCATGCATACGAATGATACAATCACAATTCGCCGATTGCTCATCAGATGAAGTCCCATAGAGACACACTTGAACAAGATTCAGGACCACAATTAAACCACAAAATATCTTCAAGATAGGTTACTATTACTATCCAACTATTCAAGCGTCTACATTTGCCATGCACGCGTCCAGGCTCTGTGCCTTTCCAACACCCCCACAATATCCTCCACCCCTTACACTTTCTCACGCTCAAACCTTCTTCGTCTCCTCGTGCATAATTTCTGGCGCCATCTCCTTCTGATCCAGATGATCAGGCAGCGTCCCCAACGCCCTCTCCCCAAACAGCAAATCAATCTCCTCCAAACTCAACTGCTTCGTCTCCTTCCAGAGGAAGTAAACCGCCGGCAGCGTAACGCACAGATTCCACGCCACAAAGATGAAGTAGAACTTGTACGTGATGTTTGCCAGCGCAATAGGAGAAACTTGCGACCACACGGTGCTAACGAGCCAGTTACCGATACCGGTGGCGAAGGCAGAGCCGCGGCCGCGGATGGAGAGGGGCATGATTTCAGAAGCGTAGACCCAAGAGATGGGGCCGAAGGAGCAGGAGAAGATGGCGGAGACGCTGAAGAGGAAGAAGACACCTGCGATAGAGAGGGAGTTTTTGCGGGCGCCCGTGGCGCCGGGGACCTGGGAGCCGATGGCGGCTTCGCAGACAAGGGCGATGGTGATGGCGATTGTGCCGAACAGGAGGGGCTTGCGGCGGCCGACGCGGTCGAGGAAGAAGATGATAAAGAAGGCGTTGAAGACGGGGCCGACGACGTTGTAGATGCCGGTTACGAGGAGGTTGCGGTGACCGGTGATGCCTAGGTTTTTGTACATGACGGTTTGGTAGTAGCCGATGACGTTGATACTGGAGGCCTCTTAGAGAAGAGTTATGGGAAGGGGAGGGAGGTACGTACCCAGTCATCTGTGTAAAGACCTGCATGAAAGTAGCATGCAGCAACCGAGTCCGCCACTGCTTGACCTTGAACATGATCAGCCATCCCGGGGCTGTAACAGCCTTTTCGGCCTCAATTGTACTCTTGATCTCGTGGAACTGAGCTTGAATATCATCATCGTTGCTACCGTTGTAGTGTAGTCTGCGCAGCACCTTCAGGGCTTCATCGGAGCGATCCGTCTCGACGAGGTAGCGGGGCGACTCTGGGAAGAACATGATACCGCAGATGAGAATCAGGCAGGGGATACACTGGAACCCAAGAGGGAAGCGCCAGGAGAACGAACTGGTTTCGGGTACGTGGGCGGAGCCGTATCCGACCCAAGTGGAAACGATGAAACCAATACCGATCATTTGCTGGGTTATACCGACAATAAGACCTGTGTGAAGTCAGGAATGAGCCCAATCTATGTTTCAGGGCCGCTTACCTCGCTTGGACGGATGAGCACATTCAGATTGGTAGATCGGGACAGACATGGAGAGGACGCCAACCGCCCAGCCAGCCATAATACGGCCCACAAGAATCATAGCTAAGTTCTGAGCTCCAGACTGCATCGCCGCACCGACCAGGTTGATAATGGCTCCCACGAGTACCGTCCATCTACGACCAAGGCTGTCCATAGTAAACCCTCCCCTGCTCGCCATTAGCACTGTCACGTATCCAGCAGTTCTGCAGACCTACATGAAAGACCCAAACACCGCACCACCCGAGAACGTCGAATTGATTGCGCCGATAATCGCCGTCTCGGGGCTCGTGTTGAAGAACTTCAGAAAGTGAGGTGACTGAATCACATCCGTCATAACACCACTGTCATATCCGAAGAGGAAACTCCCCGTACCCGCGAAGATGGCGAGCGCGATGTTGAACGCGAGACCCATGGCGAAGCTTTAGAGCTATTCAGCTCCACCGACACACAATGCTCAGGTCAAAAAAGGAAGACGAGGTGCGTCTGCGCGAAAAAGCGAGTAAGACGGGACCTTGGACATATAAGATGCAGTGCAACGGCCATGGCCACGCAACGGCGTCCGTCCAATGGCCAACAGTCACATCCTTCCCGTCCAGCCACCGGGTTCTAGAGGCGGAAGACCTCCCTAGTTTCCAGGACACCAGTCTCGCGAGCAAGGCGTGCAGCTCACCTGCTCGCGCGTGATGCACGTTCGCGCCAAATCCTGGGGTTCAACGAGACCTGGGGATGCGCGAGCGGGGCGTGATCCTCCCCGCCCCGGGGCCACTGTTTCCGCCAATCATTCACTCCTCCGCCTTTTCCCCTGGCACATCTTGTACCGAAACCTGTGCAACCTTGCCGAATTCCAGAAGCTGCTTGTGTGCGTTCGGCGTCATACAGCAAGAGCGCCGGGGAAAACAATATGCGGATGCAAAGCGATCGGCGCCGTCGCGACGAGAGATGAACTACTGCCCTTGCAGACGGGCCCGGCAAAAGAGGTGCAGCAGCCATTTCCTGGTCGACGGAGAAATGTTACTCTAACAAAAGTGCTGGCTTGGGAGCTCCATAACTATGGAGGCCTCCGCTGCCATTGCGGCGAAGTCGTGAGACGCAGCACTTCGCAATGGCCTCCTCCATCATGAGAGCCTCGCTCTTCCTCCTTGCCGCGGCGCCAGCTGCCTCGTACGATCTTTCTCGCAGGCAGGCAGCCGCCAATGCCACGTACAGGGACCCCAATGCCTCGGTGGACGACCGCGTAGCTGATCTCCTCTCGCGGATGACCATTGAGGAGAAGACTGCACAATTGGTTCAGGGTGATTTTTCCAACTGGATCAACACGACATCGAATGCCTTCAACTACACCGGCTTGGCCTGGAACATGGCCAACAGAGCTGGGCAGTTCTACGTGGGATACGCAATTCCCCCGGACTGGGTCGCTGAAGGTGTCAGGAAAGCCCAGGATTACCTCGTCAAGAACACCACGTTGGGTATTCCAGCTTTCGTGCAGACCGAGGGTATCCACGGCCTGCTCATCGGCAATGCCACTGTCTTCAACAGCCCGATTGCACAAGCTTGTTCGTGGGACCCAGAGCTTATTGAGCAGATGGCTCGCGTTATAGCCGACGAGTCCAAGACAATTGGTGTCAACCAAGTTTTTGCTCCTCTCGCAGATCTCGCTCGCGAACTACGGTACGGCCGTGTCGAGGAGACATACGGCGAAGACCCGCACCTGGTCGGTGAAATGGCATACAGCTATGTGATCGGAGTGCAAGACCACGATGTCAGCGCAACAATCAAGCACTTCGCTGGATTTTCCGCACCTGAACAAGGTCTCAACACTGGCCCAGTGCACGGCGGAGAGCGCGAGCTTCGAACAACTTGGCTGCCGTCCTTCAAGCGTGCCATCATCGATGCTGGTGCATACAGCATCATGGGGTCCTACAACTCTTACGATGGCATCCCCACCATTGCGGACTACCACATGATGACTGAGATCCTCCGCGAAGAGTGGGGTTACAAGTACTGGTTGACTTCCGATGCTGGCGCGACTGACCGCATCTGCTGCGCCTTCAAGATGTGCAGCTGCACGCCGAGAGGCGGCGGCCAGAAGGACGCCGTTGACAGTGAAGCCATTACCCTGTACGCCCTCCCAGCTGGAAACGATGTCGAAATGGGCGGAGGCAGCTACAACTTCGCCAACATCCCCGAGCTTGTTGAGGCCGGAAAGCTTGACATTGAGGTCGTCGACACAGCCGTTGCACGACAGCTTCGCGCCAAGTTCGCTCTGGGTTTGTTCGAGAACCCGTACCCTGGACTGGGTGCCAGCAATGGTACGAACGGCACAAGCGGCTTTCCTCACAAGACCGAGAGTGTGAAGCTTGCGCGAAAGCTCGATGCAGAATCGATCGTCCTCCTGGAGAACAAGAAGCAAACTCTCCCCTTGAAGAAAAATGCCAACATCGCCGTCATTGGCCCGATGGCCGACTTTGTCAACGTAAGTTCCAATATGCCCTTGGTACAGAATAAAGCACTGATTTCTTTAGTTCGGAGACTACGTCGTCTACCGCTCGCAATACAACGCCCAGAACGTCAACCCGCTGCAAGGCATCCGCAATGCCTCTACCGGCACCGTGACCTACGCGCAAGGCTGCGAGCGCTGGTCAACCGATGAGTCCGGCTTCCCGGAGGCCGTCTCGGCCGCCGAAGCCGCCGACGTCGCCGTAGTGGTTGTAGGAACCTGGTCCCGAGACCAAGGTGAGCTCTGGACTGGCCTCAACGCCACGACCGGCGAGCACATCGACGTGAACGATCTCACGCTCGTCGGCGCCCAGGCGAACCTCGTCAAGGCTATCATCGACACCGGCAAGCCCGTCATCGTTGTATTTCAGAGCGGCAAGCCTGTGACAGAGCCCTGGATCTCTGATGAGGCGTCGGCACTAATCCAGCAGTTTTATCCCGGTGAGCAGGGTGGTGCTGCGCTCGCAGACGTGCTCTTTGGAGACGTCAACCCCTCGGGCAAGCTCTCCGTGTCTATCCCCCACGATGTCGGCAGTCTTCCTGTCTTCTACGACTACCTAAACTCGGGCCGATTCGCTGGAGGCACTGCTCCCAACCCGGGAGAGATATATGACAACGGCACGCTGAAATTCGGAAGCTCGTACGTATTTGGCACGCCCGAGGCGCTTTACGAGTTTGGGTACGGCCTTTCGTACTCTAACTTCACGTACTCCAATGTCTCGCTGTCGAAGAGCACAGCTTCGGCGGATGACACCATCACTGCGAGCGTCAGCATCACCAACACATCGCCTGTGGACGGAAAGGAGGTCGTGCAGTTCTACATCCAGGACGTCATCGCCTCGGTCGTGGTGCCTAACAAGCAGCTCAAGGGTTTCAAGAAGGTGCTCGTCAAGGCAGGTGAGACGGTCGATGTCAGCGTCGACATGGAGGTCAAGGACTGGGGTGTGTGGGATATCAGAATGAAGTATGTGGTCGAGAAGGGAGACTTCATCGTGCATGCCGGTTCGAGCTCCAGTGACTTAAGGGGCAATGCGACGGTGACGGTGACGTGATTGGTTTGTTTCACCAGCCTGGATAGATTGTAGCATAGTACACTTCCGAACTCGTCCGAGACTTTTTTTGTACTGCTACCAACTAGCTAATTATGGATGCTGATAGTGCTCGCCCAGAGAATGCCTCTTTGCGGGCTATGCCCGCTAAACACACCACACTAGAATTGTCAGCGAGTTGCACCTACCTGAATTCAGACAGATCCATACCAACGACCGACAATCCAACGACGAGGATAGTGCCTATAAGATTTCCAAGCGAGACAGATATCCGCGTGTGACGGAGGGTGCTTAACAGACCCCCAAGCTATAGGGATAGCCGTGAATGACGAGCGAGTTCAGCCTGATCGCCGTGGCGAACAGGTCGTTCCAATCTCATCGCTCTCTGTTCTTGTCCTTTCCTTGTTTCTTTAAGCCGAACCTCACTGCTCGATGGTGGACAAGGTACTGTTTTGCGGTTCCTAGACTTCTTGTATGCTCGCGGGGTGTTCCCCGACTTGTATTTTGGCATGATGACAAAAGTTGCCTGATGGTAAAAGATAGCCATGTAGTCAGCACATGCGTAGCAGGCGAAGCAAACTGAGGCTATACCGACACTCAGCTACTGGACAGCTGGTACAATAATGGGAGCGACTGTTGATAAATGTCGATAGTGATACCGTGATTGTTATAACGATGGTTGGGTGCGCCGTTTGGTGGTGAAGAGAAAGAGGCGACAACAGAGGCTGTGATTATTACCAGTAGCTGTGATGGTAGCTGCCATTATGGCTTGAGGAAACCGTAGTGGGTGGGAAAGAGCTTCTGGAATAGCTGGCGCAGATTGGGTAGGTAGCATCTGTGTCGTTGCTCCATGATGGTAATGCATTAGATTGGAGATCAAAGTGTTGTGTGTTGCTCCATCCCTCATGAAGTTTGGCCATCCTTTCTTTCTGTTTTCCAAACTTGGTAGTGCAACGAGGGTCGCACAGTGGTGAGAAGGACAAGGCTTTGACTGAGTTTCCCGCACTCATGAGCACGGTCGCTGCCATTTCGGCCCTAGTAATGTGGATACTCCTGCTTCAGTTATAGACGTCTAGAAACTGTGGCGTATAATTTCCTCATGCCGTCTACTGCCAGATCGTAAGCAAGCAGTTGTGAGCAGCATGAGTGAGACGTTCGCTTACCTATGCTTCGTTAGGAGGGGTCTCGACCAGGAACGACCCTGCTGACAGGCGCCACAAAGCAGATCATCCTCGGCCGTGATTGATGGTTTTTTAGAATTTCTGCCAAAAGGAGAAGGTTCAGATCGGATAAGGTGCGGCAGCGCAAGGATGGTGCGTGAGACTGCGCGTGGGTAAATGGTTCCGTGACTTCGGAATGCGTTTCAAAGCTGTTCAAATGTTCAGTCGTTGAATGTCTCACGTTGTACTCTATCTAACCTGACATGCACCGCACACCACGTCCTTTCATACGTTGGACAGGGGTTTCTTCCTTTTTGGGAGGCATTTCCGAGCTCGGTTAGATGCGTCGATCATGAAGTCCGTCGGTGGAGCACCCAGATCACGGAGGTTTGAAGCTCGAGCATCAGCACATTTTATGGCAATACGAAGCCACATTATGTGTTCATGATTGTTGTCTATCGCTATCTGAGCAGAGACCGGTCCAGCCAATGTACGGCTGTCGTACCCAGCCTGTGCTGCTTGCAAGTCTCGTCGGGAGCGATTGGCGCAGGGATGTGTCGATGACGTCCGCGGTCGGGACCGAACCAGGCTTCGCAGCTGCTGGTCCAGGCTTCAATTGCTGCAGCTACACGGCCCTGCTTTCCCGTAGCATGCATGTACGCGTCGCTCCTTCATATTTCTTCAGTGTTGTTTTTTACTGTACTATGTTTTGCTCTAGCACGTTAATGTAATACCACGATACCGCACGCGGCACTTCTCGCGAGACAGCTGCACGCCACGAGCCAACAAGTAAGGGCGGGCTCAGATGCCCGAACCACACCCACATTCATGGCACCAGGCCCCTGAGATCGCGTCTCTTTCGCCGGACTCGTACACTGCGCAGCGCCTGGTCGGTCTTCTCGCCACATTAGAGCCATTGGCCAGCAGCTGACACTCTTCGCAGCAACATGCGACGCCCGAGCATCTCTACCTCACGTCGCGCCGCTTCTTCATCGGACCCATCCCAGTGCGCAACCCCGCCATGCTGCAACAAAAACACGCGCTGATACAAAGACACAGGAGGGTTGGCTGAAAACACACCGCCGCGACTGGTATAAGCACCACCTGCACATCAACTATTCGACACGCGCAGGCACCTTCTCGTCTGCCGACCGCCGTGGATCGCGCGACCGCCGCTTAACTGGCATCGACGGCCCCAGCTCGTCGGCCTTGTTCCAGCAAAGCTTCCCCCAGCCCGAGGACGTCGAAGCAGAGGGGGGCGAACAAGGGCAGAGCGGACCGGCTAGCGGAACGTCTGCAGGCAAGGGACAGGCGCTGCCCGCACTAGAGATTCCTCGTGCTTCTACGCGCAAGGAACATGTCCAGACACCGGACGAGGAAGAGTTCGTTGATGCAGTCTCGGAGCCTGACGAGGATCTGCGCGTCTACACTCATCAGGAAGAGCCTGAGGACGAGGCCCGCCCGGCTACAGCGCGCCGCCAGAGCTCCAAGACCTTTGTGACCGCCTCGTCTATACCCCCTTCCACCACGGAAGATGAAGACAACGAAGCCATCCCGTTCCCACACCAAGACCAAGGACAGGCAAGTGGCTTACAAGTTCCTATCGCGACGGGAAGCAAGAGCTCAAGCAAAAGACCGCTTTCTACCGTGGAGAGCACCACAGCTGGGCTCGAACCAAATGCTGGAGAGCCCTCGGTAGATGCTGTGTCTACTACATCATTGCTGCGCAAGGCTGACAGTCAAAAGGATGCGTCCCCTGTCGCTGAACCCATTTCTCCGGCAAAGGGCATTCTTGCGAAGGCAAAGAGGAAGTCGCAAATGGGATCGTCAGACTCGACTGGATCACCACTCGAGCGCGCCGGCGAGACGCTTTCCCGCAAAACGTCCAACCTGCGTAACCTGGTCAAGTTCGATATCCCTGAAGATTCGAAGCGCGCATCTATTCACTTGAGGGCAAAGCAAGCGCAGATGACGGTCCAGCGGGCGTCAACGAAGCTCCGAAGACGGAAGATCAAAGATGGTCTCGTGGTCAAGATGGAGCGCATGCTGGTACGGGTTGATTCGGCAGGAAAAGAGGTGCCGGACGACTTCGATGAGAACGCGAGCCAGAAGATCGACTCCAGGGTCAAAGACAAGTGGAGAGAGTATATGGTTGTCTGCCGGCACAGTGAATCGGAGGACGCTGACTTTGTACTGCAAATGTACAAGACTAGGGTGCGTGCAGCGATGCTTGGATATGGGCAAAGCTTACAAAGTTAGGTCATTCCCGAGATCGAAGAGCCGAATGCCAGCAAGCAGGCCGCGTATCAGATACCACTTGGAAAGAAGATCACGAAGGTCAACCTCTACTCTTCCTTGGACAAATCTGTCGTCGTATGGATGCCGGTATCGCGAGGCACTCGAATCTTTATCATGCAGGCCCGAACCGCTTCAAATGCGGTGGAATGGTACACCTTCCTGCGTAACGTCATGGGCTGGCGCCGCGCATCGGAGCTTCAGATTAACATCCCGGACATGAGTGTCAGCCTCCGCATTTCGGACCCCTTCAGGAAGCTCGAAGAAACTCAGAGCGAGGCTCAGGAAGCCAACGACTCTGATAACGAAGAAGCCATTCTAAAGACGATGCAGGTGGAGCAGGCAGTTGCTCAAGCGCTAGTCGTACAGTGTCTTGATCAGCTCGAGGGTTCGCCGGAGTGGGCGGACATACTCGATTCGTGGGCTAAGAACCAGCGAATAGGACTCGCTTGGAAGCGATACGATCGTCTCGAGTGGATACACGGTGCAAATGAGCGTAAGATGTATGGCACAATAGCCATGGCGAAATCGCACGAGCTGGAGCTTCGGCCTAAGACACATTACCCAACCACGGCGATAACCCGCAAAAAGCAAAAGACGCTGAACGAGCCAGTTCCGGTAGAAGGATTCTTGATTCGACTGACTAGTCAACGCGGAAGGGCAAGGCGATTGGGTCTCATGTACCACAAGCAGTTATACTTCGCTACGCACGATCAATTCCTTATCTTCTCGCGACCGACCAACACCACGCCGCCTCCACCGCCTAAGATGCCTGTCTCGGAGGGATCAGCAGTTCCGTCAGCTCGGACCATCAAAGAACGCACGCCCGATACATGGGCTGTCGACCCGTATCCTGTCAAAGATGACCATATCGAATGGTTGTTGGAAGGCCACTCAGGTACTCCAGAATCACGGAGACTCCATGACGAGGATGCCGCAGATGAGGCTCAGCGCAAATTGCAAAATTTGCTCAATTGTGACGGATACATCAACCTAGCCAACGTTGTGAAAGTACGCAAAGCGAGGCTTGGAGCAACACCAGTCGATGAGCACATCGACACTGGTTCGGACGTTGATTTCGACGAGGACGTGGAAGATGACACAACGAGGGATGATGGTGTTACAAAAGAGGTCGACATCGACCGCACGTTCGAGCTTATCATGCGTAATGGTTTGATCATTCGGTTGCAGGCTGCCGACAAAGCCCGTCGAAAGGAATGGATCAAGCATCTCCGCGCCCTAGCAAAGTACTGGAAGTTCCGCACTGCGGCCGACATTACGCTCTACAAATCCACGCGCAGCCGCAACCTTAGCGCGCTAAACATCGACGAAGAAGCTGAAGCCTATATCGGGCAGTTCGCCAGGAAATGGGAGGTCACGCAGTCCTATGCATCCCCCTTTCTCTACAACATGTGTGGCATCGCGGAATGCCGTGCCATCCACATGAGCGGTACTCTCTACCGCAAACCCCGAATCCACGCGCCCTTCACGCGCTGCAGTGTGCTCCTCGCCGCAGGCACCCTGCTCATGTTTCAAGACGTGCTGAGGACTGGCACGGGCAGGCAGCTCGCGCACATCCACCATGAGCGCATGGCTAACCTTGACCTCCGCGATTGCTACATCTACTCCGGCCTGCTCACCGAATCAGACCTCCTCTACCAGAACCAGACCTTCGATTCTAATAAGCCCGGGCACCACGCGCTACCGAAGATATACCTCGAAGATGGGTGGACGAGTACAGATGAGGATGTCATGACGACGTTCGTGGTGTGGCACGGCAAGAGCAAGAGCTGGTTCCGTGCGGAGGAGGGAGCGGGTGAGGGCGAGCAAAACAGGAAGATGGGGAAGAGGACGCGTATAAAGAGGGTGGCGAAATTGGGGAGCAAGGGGCGCAGCGTGGTGTTCCGGGCAAGGAGTCGCGCTGAGAGGGACCATTGGGTTCTGGCAATTCAGAACGAGATAGAGCGGGTTCAGGGGAATCGTAATGAAGACTTCAGGATCCAGGAGAGCGCGCCAAAGAAGGTGGGTGTTGAAGTTACGGCGAATCGCCAAACGAATGAGGCGGCTGCTTCGTCTTAGGATTTGGATGGTTTTGGGGTGGATTACGGACTCGAGCATCTTAGCGTTTCGCATGTTTCCTTGCATGTTTCTCATCGTATTATACTTAATCACCAGATTCGTTATATTGATACGAACACAACACTCACGCATGGAATGCAAGCTTCGACGAGCTTTCAATTATCCTGTAACTCAATTGCAAGCACACTTACGTCGTGCATTTCCCTTCAACCCCATCCCTTCCCTCATAGGGTTTTACCGGTGGCCGACATGTCCATTCGGGCTCCGACGAGTAGTTATACCGCTTCAGTCCAGTGAACTCGGATACATATGGTTGTTGGTGGGTTATGTTGACCGATGCTGCCCTCCTCCGTCATCGTCGGAAGCAAGCTCGGATGACTAATGCCAAGGCTTTAACATCATCCGCCACACCAAGCAGTGTCGGAACCTGGGCGGCTTCCGTCTTCTCACTCTTCATCCGACACACGTACTTGCACCCGGGACTATTACCATGCAAGTAACCACAAAACAAGCTATGGTACCAACCCATACCAAATGACGACCGAAACCGCCCCTGCCGAAAAACGACGTCGGCTCGACCGTGTGACCGCAGCCTGTGATCTCTGCAAGAAGCGGAAAGTCAAATGTGACGGGGAACAACCGTGTGCATACTGCAAACGAAAAGATTGCGCAGACAATTGTACATTTTCAGGTCCTAGAACTCGCTCTGTTGGCAACACGCCGAACAAACATAATGCAAATGCAACACTAGATATTCAAAACAGGGCGCATAGCGAGGGCAACACACTCCGACCTAGAAGCCGCGACGGGACGAATCAGAACCAGAACCAGATCGGATCTTCGCTCTCCCCTACGACAAGCAGGGACGATCATCATGAAGACACAGTCGTTCCACTCGAAGGGCGTATCCTCCGTGACGCCCAAGGCAAATTCATCTTCATCGGTGACTGTGCGCCACTATCTTTTCTGCAGACAGTGAGATATCTTATCTCATCCGAAGTTGATCCCGACGGGTTTACAGTTCCGGCGGCACGAGACTGCATCATCGAGATCGCTCGTCCAACAATATCAAGCAGACCCCAGTATACCTCGGTCAATGTGCATGATGTGCGGCATCTGGTCAACAAGTATCTTATCGCCACGAGCGGTCTCGTAGAACTTTTTGAACGTGACGAGCTTGTACGGGAATTGAAAGCATGGGCTAGTGGCCAGCTACAGCACTCAGATGACGCCGCCGCCGCCGTTTTCTTTTTAGTGCTTGCCATTGGCGCACAGGAACATGACGAGGGCAAAGCCGACGCTTGGTTTGAACATGCGAGAACGGCTCTGTCAAAGAACATGTGCAACAGCATGAATGTGGCGACGGTTCAAGGCTTCGCTCTTGTGGCTATCTACATGCTGCGTGCCTTTCAACCGAACGGAGCATATCTTTACTTCTGTAAGCCAAATGATAATGATTCTGATTCATGTGCTGTTACTGATCGTACAGCTCTTGCGGCGCGTACTGCATACGCCATCGGTGTGTGAACTTGGGTCTTCGTGGGCACGTACTGGTCTAATCGCGTTATATAGGCATCCATCGCACCGAAGTCAATGCTTCCTTTGGCGATTCGATCCGGACTATGCGAGATCGGATCTGGAAAAGCTTGCGCGTTGTCGACATGCTTATCAGCACCAATCTTGGTCGTCCCCCATGCACATCCGACGTAGACTGTACTGTCAAATACAGCATCATGCAGATGGACAATGAAGTGGCCGCTAACATACTTGACGCCAGTGTTCAGATATTCATGATCATCGAACGTGTAGTGGTCGAGGTCTATTCACGAAAGCGCATCTCACTGCGAATAGCGGACTTTGTTTCCCGTCAACTAAAAGGTTGGGCGTCCAACTGGTTGCAACCTTTGACGGAGACATTAAACCCACCTAATCGTAATGACACGGCACTTGTTGCACTGGTAGGCGCCTGCTCAACGCTGTGTACGTACTACTATGGCATCATGCTGCTCACAAGACCGTTTCTCATTTATGAAATTTACGACTATATGGGAGCTTCAATGAAGGGCGCCCGTACGCAGGGCGAGCACGCTAATAAGCAAAAGTACGCGGACGCCGCGCTTGACGCTGCAACATCCTTCGTTGATACCCTTCAAGCTGTTATTCGCACCGGAGCCTTACCGTACAGAATGCCGCTCATCGTGTAAGTCATCCCATCGATGGCCTAGCTACCGATGTTGACCGAAAGTAGATCTTGGTTATTCACAGCTTCCCTTGTTTTGGCAGTTGGCACCCTTGGAAATTCTGGATCAATGTTCGTCGAGAACTGCGAATCGTCTATTCGATGCTTGGAGTACTTCAGCAGTATAGACCCACACGCTGGACAATATTCTCGTATCGTCCAGTCATTGCTCAAGCTCACAGCTACACATGTAAAGAAGCGTGAGATGCAATTACGGATGCAAAGGAAGCAAGCTTCTTCTGAACTGTTTGGTCTACTAGCTTCGGGCACCAGTCCGCCATCCGAAGATTCAACCATAGATCGCTTCCGACATGTTGCTGAGCCGGCCACATCATATTCTACGGAGGCACCTGCAACTACTACAGCTGCTTTGGACTGGACTATGTATGATGCTGATTTCTTCGCTTTGCCATGGCCCACCGAGTACGATCCAGGCCTCCAAGATTTTCTTCAACCTGGGACCCACAACTCGGATGGTGCATCTGTAGCGGACATCCCGCTCTTCCCGATCTATGATCGGCAGGCTGACCAAGGGTTCCTTCCATAACGAATGCCGCCTGGCTCTAATCGTTATAAGGATCATCTTTTGACGGCAGTCTCGTTGGTCTCATCTCTCGAGGTTCGCAAAAAGGGTATTAACTTCGTGCCCCCTGTGCCACGGAGCTCCTGAGTCTGAGCTTCCAGTGCCATCTTAGTTGAAGCGGATGCGATGTCCTTCCGGACTACGCCGTACTCTAGCTTGGGCATGCGACTGGGAATGATGATATACCGGGTGACTAGAGCAATGTGCTTGTCTCTGAAGGCACCTAGCGCCGTTATTGCATCGTTGAAGGCGGCTGTGAGAGCAACGTTGTCTTCTCGGCTTTCAACGTAGCTGCGAATATTTGCAATCGACTCGATATCTTCCAAGAATCTTCGGTGAGGGCCGGGCATATATTTCCTCATCTCCGAATGGAAGCCTCCGGAGCGAGAATGGTTGACAGACAAGATGGCATCGAAGAATTGCAATAACGAGCTTTGACCGTTGCTGCCTCCACGATACTTCCTCCACGAACCTTTGCCATCTCCTTCGTCGTAGAAGACACCATGGGTCAGACCCGCAGCCTCCATGTTCATACTGCCTGCTAAGAAGGGTCGGATCGTGTGGTAGAAGGTTTGGGGGTTGCACCGCTCATCCATGCGTTCAAGCAAGCACCCGATATCCTCCATGCTTTGCGTAAAATATTCCAGAGCATCGATGATAGTCGGTACATCGTTAGCTTCCACTGCTTCCAGAGCGCCAAGCATACTATCGATGAGGGACCCTGCTCTCGCCTCCATGGCACAGGAGATGATCAAAAACCAAGACTCATCGTCCGTTCCAGTGGCCGTCTGTAGAGCCTCAAGATTGTCCGGATGTGTGATGTCCGCGCCTGTATGGAGTATTCTCCAGTTCCACAGGTTTAAAGTTGCGTACGTTGCGATTGGCGGTACTTCGAGATGTTCGGATGTCTGGAGGAAGGGGATAGTAATGGCAGGTGGAAGTCGCTGCAGCTTTCGTCAGCAAATTCCTGATATATGAGTCTCTGCATCCTACCTGAGCTGGTTCTGGGCCGGTCCAGATATATCCTTGGGCAATGAGTGCGAGGATCGAACAAGCTCGTTGCCATTCAGCCTCGCTGCTCAAGTGTACGGTATCTAGCACAGGTAAAACATCGACCTTTTCGCGGATCTGCTGCCTCTCAATAAGCTTCGGTAGCTCTTCCATTATCAGTTCCCATGGCTGGTAGTATCGTTGTGGTAGCTGCTCTAATGGTGCTTCTTTCGGCAGGAAGCCATTCTCGGAGATACCATATTGGGGTAGAGCAGCCCGAGAGGGCAATACTTCAACTCTGTGAGGACTCATGTTGGGAAGTATGAAACACAGACGAAAACAGTAGCTCCTGAAATAGTTTATTGGCTTATAGAGGCGCTTTTGAGTGAAGTCTCCAGAGTGAATCTGTTTGCTTCCCGCGCTACTGATTGCATTTTATTATATCCAACGTAATGACCCACTTTGCCTGCTACCAACTTCGTAGACCGAAAGTTGCTCGGTACTCCTTGGTGAGGGCCGCTGACCGACGGAACGGAAGACCATCGGAACTTCAACGCTTGACGGAAGCCAGTTTTCGCGCTACTCCGCTATCGGAAGGTCACAACGGAACATTCTACGCTGCACAACGGATGCAGAATAATGACCTAAAAGAGGTTTCCCCATCATAGACGTAAGTGCCTGCCTATCGTGGATATATATTGACCGCGGCTCCTCCTCTCACGCCATCATTCTACACTACGCTTACATTCTTGACTTGAAGAGGACACTATGGAGGTAACAAGCGCTATTCAACAACTGCGAGAGGGGCAAAAGCCAGAATGGCCAACAGCTTCCGACACTCTCGACTTTGCACAGTCTCTTGACCAGAGCGACCACATCCAGAAGACATTTCGATCAGAATTCGTGGTTCCGACCAAAGCCCAGCTCAAGCGAAAAACACTCAAGGATGATGAGAAAACAGCAGCTTCAGCATCAAGCACAAAAGAGGAGAGCATCTACTTTTGCGGTAATTCATTAGGTCTGCAACCAAAGGCTGTAGGTGAATACCTAAACGCATACCTGAAGACATGGGGATCTATTGCTGTTGGGGGCCACTTTACCCAGCTCGAGGACTCGCCTTTAACGCCATACCAAGATATGGCTGCCGATTGTGCGCGAAAAATGGCCCCTATTGTCGGCGCATCACCATCAGAGATTGTTGCCATGAACACACTGACCATCAACTTGCACCTGATGATGGCTGCATTCTACAAACCCACCGAGAAGAAACACAGAATCATGTGCGAGTGGCGACCATTCCCCAGCGACTGGTATGCCATCGAATCACAGATCGAATGGCACGGTCTGGATTCCAAAAAGTCAATCCTTCCTGTAGACCCGGACGACGGATATCTCATGACCACGGAAAACATCTGCAAATTGATTGACCAGCATGCCGACGAACTTGCATTGATCCTCCTCCCAGGCATCCAGTACTACTCCGGCCAACTCCTCGACATCCAAACTATCACCGCACACGCCCACAGCCATGGCATAACCATCGGTTGGGACTGCGCCCACGCCGCCGGCAACGTCGAGCTAAAGCTGCACGAATGGAACGTCGACTTCGCCTGCTGGTGCACCTACAAATACATGAATGCCGGCGCCGGCGCCATCGCAGGCGCATTCGTGCACTCGAAACACGGCGACAACGGGTCCAACGTCGGTCTCAAAGGCTGGTACGGCCACGACAAGTCCTCCCGCTTTCTCATGGATAACAAGTTCGTGCCTACGGCCGGCGCAGGGGGCTTCCAGTGCTCGAATCCTAGCATCGTGGACCTCACTTGTCTGTCCGGCTCGCTTAGCGTCTTTGAGAAAACGTCGATGGAAAAGCTAAGGTCGAAAGCACTGCTGCTCACTGCGTACGCTGAGCATCTTCTCTCCGCCATTGCGGCGCGGAATCAGAAAGACGGCCGGGACCCGTTCGAAGTTATCACGCCGAAAGATCCGAGATGGCGGGGTACGCAGCTCAGCGTGCTGTTGCAGGAGGATTTGATGGAGATTGTGAGCGATGCTTTGGTGGAGGGCGGCGTTGTCTGCGATAAGAGGAAGCCTGGGTGCATACGGGTGGCGCCGGTGTCGTTGTATAATACGTTTGAGGATGTGTGGAGGTTTATGAGGGTTTTTGAGGGTGGGTTGGAGAGGAAGGTTCGGACGCCTTGATGTGATGCTGTGAATAGAGTTTTATCAGCAAAACTGGAGGCAATACTGAAAATAGCTTATCAGTCTGCATAGAAAGAGGGCTGGATGATATTGAATAAGACAATTACGAAGTAAACGTTTGAGCTTATTTGATCTTGTTGTGTCTATGCTCATCTAGGCCTGCTCGAATATGTTCCTTTTGATGCTGATTCCGGAGCGTGGCACATAAAGATCAATAGTTGAATCTGGGTTAGAGGATGCTACTCACCATGCAATTCTTTCCACGGCATATTGATCAGGGCTGGCAGAGGTTAAATCAGCGCTCGGTCGAAATCCTCATTCGGTGTTGCCCACCGCTTCGTACAAGAACCACAGCCAGCATCCCGTCTCTACAATAACAGATAGGCGTCAGCCATGGCTCGTATGGAAGAATGAATGCCCGCTAGATCCTCCTCTTCCACAACGCCTGGGTATAAAAGATATGCGAAGGCTAGTTGATCAATAAATATCGTCAACAACAAACTGTATGTATTCATGAGCATGTGTTTTCGGAGGTAAAGGGCATTTGCTTACAAAACACCTCGCGACACTCCGTCACATATTCAAGTTCCGTCATATCTATCCACCAGTGTCTCGCCAATAACCACAATCTTCAACTTGCTCGGTTCTGAAATCGCTTCCTCGCTCGCACTGATTTTGTCTCCTACTTCTGTCTCGCTCACAAGCGCATAGAACTGCTGGAAATGCAACTCATCGCGATAAGTGCAGTCTGACATGCAATCCCACGTTACAAGTTCTGTGTTTCCCAGCAGCACAAGCGGCGCGTTTTCATCATATCGTGATGCTGATACAGGCGCGCGCTGTGCAATATCGCTGCCTACGCGGGCGGGATAATGTCGCACGCTTTCGACGGGAGAGTGCGGCTTCGTGAGTTCCATAAGTAGCTGCATGTGCCTTTCCCAGGCGTCTCTGAATTCCTGCGGCGTAGTCCCTTCCTTGCGGTGGATGAACGTTATACATCTGTACGGCATATTGTGCTATTGTCGAAGGATCGAAAGTCGAGATGGAGGGTTTAGAAGAACACTGAAGCTTTCCCAGGTCAGAGATTTCGTCTCGACATGCCCTGTAGGATCCCTTGAGTTTGTAACTGTGGGTCGTGATACGGTATTGCCAACCGTGTTGGTGCTAGTTTTCATGGGGAAGATGCTGGGGCGACCAATCTCGGGATGCGGGTCATGAGCTAGGGAATAGCTCGGGTGACCAGCGCTCATCCTTCATATTATTTCCGCCTTCCGCGGGCTTGGTCAAGACATTTGTGGATGAATGAATCGTTAGCCCACATCTTTGCGCACGAGAAGATGAATGTCCATCGTATTACATCAGGCCAGGGTCCAGGGCTTCGGGAAAATGCTGATTTGTGTGCACGCGCAGGGAAGTCTCTGGATTAGATAGGGGAAGTAAAGGTAAATGTTATTTTGTGGAATGCGTGATCGAAATGTCCAATGGCGAAGATACTGTTGTTGATGTGAGTGATGAAACATCCAGAGCTTTACTGTTCTGAGATGGGCATTATTGAACGGAGTGTGCGAGTATTGGAGGGCGGAGATACCCGCAGTACATATTGTCGATTTATGACGCTTCAAGCGTTGATATTCAAGGGATGTCCGAGATGTTAGCCTCATTCGCCCCTTGCGTATGCCGCAACAATATGCATCTTGAGTGGATCGAGATTTCTGTACACTTGAAATTGAATGGTTCAAGCAGCTCCTTCGCGGGTTTCAAGGCGCGTCCTAGGGAAACATTAATCAGAAATTAAAAAGAATGGTACAGTAAGAATGTAGATATGAGGCTGCGGTGTGCTGTGAATAGCTGTGGCACCTCAGGTGGTACGTTGTTCCATGGTGTAAGTGGTTCCTGATATTCTCGGGCCCGATTTTATTGCACCAAAACCTTGCAACATGTATCGAGCGTCCCGATCGAGCGGATCTCCGACCAAAAATGCAGATCATCTGCATCACATATGGTACGTGCGCGACTCAATCCGCGGCTCATCCATACATCGGATTGGGAGGGCTCCTCAATTCCGACGGAATGTCTCGTGATAATGAATCTCATTCATGGAAATACTCACTACTAATGTTTCTCATATTCCACTTTACGACTGCCCTATAGGAATTATGAAACAGCCCCACAGGACTGACTAGCTTACACAAGACCATCACCTCGCAAAATGAGGCTGTCAGGGATGAACATATCACCCATGACATGCAGCTATAGTCAAGACCAAATATTCTCCTCCAGAATTTGCTTACAGGGACAGTTGTAGCTGTTTAATAGAATCGATGTGGTATTGGGGTTGTACCCACCTGAGAAGCTTTTTGACTGTAATTGCAACTTTACAGAGGATAAAAAAAGGAAAAGCGGCAGTCAGAGGAAAAATAGCCAATGCAACTAATGGAAGGAGAGCACCATTTGCAACGACATCTCTTATATACACATGATAGCTGTTGCTATGAGATAGCGAATGTCACCACGACGACTCGCGTCGTTTCGCATTATTGAGCCTTCTGAGTGCCTCGTCCAACTTCTTCTTAGCCTCCTCGTACTTCATCCTGAATTCTTCATGCTTTGCTTTTGCTTCTTCATACTCCTTGTTCGCTTTCACATGAACTCGGGTTGCCTCTTCAATATCATTTGGTCTGTCGCGAGAACCTCTGTATCCACGTTGGTATCCTCGCTGACGGAAAGGCGACTCGTATTCGTATGCATGACCGTAGCCGCTGCGCGGCGCTCCTGCTATCTCGATGGTATGCAGTGTGCATGTCAAGCTATGATCCAAGACTGTTCAGTACTTAAAACTCGTAGGCATTGCTGTCTTGATGCCGAGTCGTTATATGCAGCATATGTATTTGCTTTCGTGCAAACGAGGATACGGGTTGAGCCGCAATAGCTTGCGCGTGTCTCTCCTACAGCTAAGCCATTACTGCCTGAAAATCACCTGGCTTAAACCTAAGAGATCGATGCGTTGATATCGTTGCGTTTCGCTTGCTGCAAACCTGGCATGGCCAATCGCATAATGGACCAATACATGCATGATATACGCGATCCACTCTACATGAGCCTTGTGTACAGCTCGTGCTGGCGAGGTAGCAAGCGTCGAACAGCAAACCTCTTGTTGTCATCGCGCAACTGTTGGGCTTGCGTTCGCAAGCACGACCTGAGCAGCTCTACCACTGTCGAGACTAGCTATGACCATTCAGCAGAAATCAGGGTTGAAGATGTTCGGTTCGCAGGATGGTGAGTACAGGAGGCTGTCACGACCCGCACATCCAGAGTTGGGGCGTCGCAACACCAGCTAGCCCCTTCTGTCGTCTTTTGCTCTCCATCCTTCGCCCACCACGTAGACCCCAATCATCATCCCTGCCACCCGCACGTCGTCTTATCACTGCATCAGCACGTTTTGTGAGACGCTGCACAGCGCGCAGCTTGGCTCAAGGCGTCCACTTTGCCATATAAACATGCCCCACCTCCGACCTCATGTGCCGACGAGGCTGAGCGTCGCAATAACTTCTGGATATCACCCACCTCGACGCCATGGCCGTATGCACAATTGATGGAAACAGCGATATGTACGGGCTGGGCATCCGCCTTGGGTACTATTTCCTGTGGTATGGAGCGATCCTCGCAAGGTGGATGGCGCCTTCTGAGGTGAAGAACGTCGCTTTTTCAACCGATATGTTTGTGGCGGCAACGTTCCTAGCGCTCATTATCCTCACGGAAAGTGACATTGACAATCTCGAGCCAGCCGAGACGTACATTGTTTTGTTGCTCATGTTCGGCGCTTATCTGGCCCTGGTACCCATATACGTATGGCGATTGTTGACAGCATGCGATCCCTACTGGGTAAGTAAAGCGTGGTTCATACATTGGGACCTTTCTATTGCGGTCGTCGTGCAATCGTTCCATACACGAGATATCGGTGCATTTCCTTTGGTGCTGTCTTCGCATCTGCGGGTTCCTGACATTTGGAATGTGACCGTGCAGGACCCAACCCGCTACCCACGTGTGAATCTTGGAGCGATGTCGGCCAATCTGAGTTTCATACTGCTTATAGGAGTTCTGGTCTTCCAATACTGGTTCTGGTTCGATCGCGTCCCGGATCTGGATCATCGCAATTGCCAGCAATATGGCTTCGTCTTTGGCCAAGTCCGCCTCAACAGCAAGGTTTCGGTGGTGCTTCACGCCCTGATGTACTTCTGGCTGGGCCTGGTATGTCTCTACATCTTCCTCCTGAAGTTCAGGGCCTTGGCGGGATTACCGGACCCAGGAGTGGGAGGGCGTCGACCGAAAAGAGGGCATATCGAGTTTCTGCAGAATTTGGATGTTTGGATCAGGATTGTCATTGCGCTCGCCGTGACTGTTGCTACGGAGCTTACGATATCCTGGAACGAGATTGGAGGTGTTTTCTCGCTGTCTGGTGCCGGTCAAACCATCCCGTTTGCTATAGGTTTGACTGCGATCGTCCGGATACTTTACGTGGCAATGAAGCCCACACAGGTTCATCAGCCACATTCTCGACCGAGCTCCGTCAGACAAGTGCCACAATCGTTCCAACGCAGGCCAAGAAGGGACACAGAGTCCACCATTTCCCGCCCTTCTCGGGTCTATAGACGATAGGCTGTACAGTAGAGCAAGTGCCGCGTGGCTAGGATGGTTTTCGCAATTTCTGTATTGGGAACAGGTTTCGCAGTGGTCTGCCGCTCAGTCCGATAGCTAGCCAGCTAGGTAAGATCAACGAGTAGGAGAGTCTTTTCACTGTGAGCCCGGCCTCAAAACACGGTCTTGAGACTTTGTTCAGTCAACGAGAGTATGACTTTACTTGGATTGCTGCCTTTGTACTTCTAAGAATAATGACAATTGAGAGCAGTAACCAACATACAGAAGGGTGTACTTCAATACACTGCCATGTTACCGTTCAAATACGAGGAGGCATTCGAGATGTCACTCGCGCAAGATGTTGAGGTGTCGATGTCTCTTTGTTGAGTTAGTGACCAATTAACCCCACTGTTAGCCGCCGCTTGCTGACCGACATTTTGCGAGCCCACAAATGCGCTACCTGCAGCTTATGATACAAGAAATGTTGGAGTGACAGACATGGTGAGTTCATTCTAGTTTTGAGATAATCTTTAGCACAATATATACTTTTATACTCTTAAGAACTGTCCAATCATAGTCGGCCTGCTGGCGCAATGGTAGCGCGTGGCCCTCCTAAGGCCAAGGTTGTGTGTTCGAGTCGCACGTAGGTCGTTGTATCAAACGACTTGGATGGCAGGTTTGATTCCTGCGCCGATTGACTTTTTGCTTTTTTGGTCAAGGTGATGGATGACATGGCTTCCAGTTCGCCGCAAGGATTGTTTTGAAAAGGTCAAAGTTCCCACACAGCTTCCGACTAAACAAACAGCAGTTCAATATGATATATCCTGACTGTCAAAATTACATTGAGACCCGATCGAGGGTATCCATAACTAATGTTGATGACGAGTCAACACGCACGTACATTCCGGACCTCCGTTGCCAGCCATCTGGTGCAACATCTGGACAGCACAAGCGACGAGTTCTTAAAGATTACCCACTGTGGTCCTTGAGACCTTCATGACGAGTTTCACCCCTTTTCGTACTGCAAGGCGATAACTCTCAACTTCATCTTTTGAAATAATACTATTTCGCTAGGTTAGACAGTTTCAATTTCTCTCTTCTTCAGCGTTGATAGCTGATATGCCCAGACAACCCCAAACAACTCCATTACCTAGTGTGCTACTGAACGATGCATGAAGCGCCCAAAGACCATACTTCCAATGAAGATACCCGCAAGAATAGACAGAAAGTAGCCGACATTCATTGTCATAACCACGATCATCCTGAGGTGATTAGTGGGAGCGAAATGGCACCTGGGTGGGGCACTCACAGAAGGTAGCTAACACCTGCAATAACCACATCCATCGCGCCAAGAGCCACGGCCTCACTTGCTCGCCACGGCCGATATGAGCCCTTCATTTCGTCCTTGTATAGTGGCGCCTGATCGTCACCTTGACTAAGAGCGATCCTGGCCGAAAAGCGGTCGAAATTGAAGCGAATGGCGATGAGAGCGCGGAAAATGGCAGCGAATGCGATGAGGAAGATGCAGCTACCGGCGTACTGTCCTGCAGAGGTCGGGGTCCAAGCCATAGAGAAGAGTGGTGTTGTAGTTGAAGAGAAGAAGGTCATAGCCATCATACTCATTGGCATCATGGTGCTCGTGCTCATGTCCATAGAGCCAGACGTCGCACTCGCTGTGGCCATGGGCATGGACATTGACATGCTAGCCATGTCGCTCGTTGCAGTAGCCATAGACATGGAGTCCATTGCGAAAAGTTGTATAGTTAAATGACTGGATAAAGTGATACTCAAGCACGATGGAGGTGGAATTAAGGAACCACGGTGCTGGGCACCAAGAGGCAGTAGCAGATGGACCCAGAGCCATGTGGCAGTAGTGCCGGTTCCCGAAACTGCATGAGAAAACGCGAATCCTCGTCTGACTGACTGTGCAGGAATGCGGACAGCTTGGACGGTGATTGGCCAAACGCGAAACTTGCTCAAATGCGCGCACCACCATAGGGACTGTTTCCCACTCTCGCTCGCTCTCCACGAAGCTCCCAGCCATTAAACGATTGCTTATTTCCGGCCAGAGCCCTGCCGCGCACGCTTTTGAGCCATTTGCTCGGCACAAAGCTTGACGGATGCTGCTTAACCCCAGCCGCGGGCCCTTCATACCGCGCCCTGCTGCTGTTGACTCCACATCAGATCTCGCCGTCTTTTCAAATTCTTAAACTTCGCAGCGTGCGAGTGATCAAGTGTAATTCGTTGATTGGAAGCGAGTCTTCTTCAGAAGCCGTCAAGATGGAGATGAGCATGGCGTGGCTAACATATCCACTGGCATTGCACAGCAGTCGCGAATTTGACTGCGGTAAGAAAACCACCGAGCAATGCGACTGGTATAAACAGCGCTGGCATTTCTGGTATCTTTCCTCAAGATGGTTCCACCGACTTCGACGGTACGCTGACATGTCATCTCAGGTATATTGCCGACTATGTTTTCGCACTATCGACCGTCGCATTCTTCATGACGGCTATAGGCATCTTCATAATCGGTCACTTCCTCTCCTCATACGTTCTTGGTTATCGTCGTTACCGAGGCCCGGCTCTATGGCGAAAACTCATCGCTATCGTCCGGTATATGTCGTATCGCGGATTCCACGTTAAGGCACTTCGCTGGAACTCGGCTCCAGTCGGGACACTGTTGTTAGGACTGGCTGGACTCGTTTTCTTCTTTGGTAAGGCTTCATTGAAACAGGTCACAGCGGGTGCAGAGTAGACTCGGATACCTTCACAACGAACGTTCACAGAAGCGTCCGAGTTCTCCCTGGATCATTGTGGTTTAAACCCAACCGAATGAAATGTGCTAATGTATTCATAAGGCATGGACTTGGCCCCACAGCCTTACTACTGGCCGGACACGATATTTGGTGGCTCGCCGCCGCTTGCAACTCGATCCGGATGGATGGCTTTGGCTTGCATGCCTTTCATCTTTGCAACCGCGAGCAAGACGAATTGGATCACACTGGTTACTGGGGTCACTCACGAACGGCTGCAGGTCTTCCACCGATGGATCTCGTATGCCTTCTTCGTGCTCGCGCTTTTGCATACGTTCCCATTCATTGTATACCATATTCATTGGCATACTATGGAGGAGCATTTTTCTTCAAGCTTGCTTTTTTACTGGACAGGCATTGTCGCCCTCATATTCCAGGCTTGGCTTACTTTCATGTCTCATAGCACGATTCGGTCAGTCATGCTCCCGCTTTCACAGTTGTTTGTCAATAGTTTCAGGCTGGACAATGCAGTCTGCAAACTGTCAATCGCACCAAGCTAACAAATTCGATAGCTCCCTGTTTGGCTACGAGTTCTTCAAAGCCACGCATTTCTTTGCAGCCATTGTCTTCATGATCACTTTCTTCTGGCACTGCGATTACACCCTCACTTCCTGGTACGCCCCGTCCTCATCTTGAGTCAGTAGCATCCTCTAAATCATGAATAGGGACTATTTCATCGCCACCGCTGCTGTCTATGTTCCATGCTATGCATACAGCTGGTTTCGCATCATTTTCGAATACGGATTCACGCAAAAAGCCCGAATTCAAGTTGAAGAGAACGGATTTACACGCATCGTGGTCCCCGCTAAATTCAAGTGGACTCCGGGACAGCACTGTTTCCTTCGTTTTACGAGCTTTGGTCTTTCCCCGGCTCTGTCATCGCATCCATTCACCATCTGCTCCTCGCCGTCCATCGACCCTGACACGCCATCTGAGCTTGTGTTCTACATTCGTCACCAGAAGGGTTTTACGAGCAAGTTGTACCAGCATGCGCTAGAAAATCCTGACATCTCGGTGCCTGTACAGATTGATGGACCGTATGGCGGCGCTAATTTGCAGAAGTTTAGGGACAGTGACCATCTGCTGGTCATCGCTGGTGGTTCGGGTGCTGGCTGGATTCTACCCTTCGTTGAGCGATTCGCTCGGGCGGGTTTGATTGAAAGGAATTACGGCCATGAGAACCACGGCCCTGAAGAAGCTCACATTGACACCGAGAAAGCCCCCGCGACCGAAGTTCATGCCGCAGGTAGCATCTTGAGTCCGAAGTCCCTGCATGTAATACTAGCCACACGGGATTCAAGCAGTCGGAAATGGTTTCTTTCATCTGTCAGCGGCCTTCTGGCCAAGTACCCATCTTCGAACGTCCGTGTCCAAGTATACCTGACAGGAGAAGCCGCAAAAGAGGCAGATCTACCGGAGGCGGCAGAAGCGCAACTTTCCACGTCCTCCTCGGATGAAATTGAGATCCACACCAAGGGCCACGATGTTCATGTCCCGGGCAAGGAGCTTGAGGGCCGGCCACAGCTCGCATCAATCATCCAGGAGGAGGCTCTCAAGGCAGCGGAGGCAAATGAGTCCCTTGGCGTCTTCGTGTGCGGCCCAGAAACAATGCAGAATAATGTACGCAACGCTGTTGCAGCAGAGAATTTGAAGATATTGAAGGGGTCCAAGATGGACGGAGTATATCTGCATTCAGAGCATTTTTCTTGGGCATAGATCGAGTCACGTTTAGCAATAACGATTGATTGAATGAGCCTTGCCTAGTTATTTCGAGTGGACGCTGCGATCGAAGTCCGCTTACGCTGGTTCTGCAAGACCGGCGTTTTCGCGACGTCAGTAATCGAGGATGCGACGTGGAAACAGATAACTTAAGTGATTTCGGAGAGATGACGGAGAGCGTGTTGCTGAAGCTTGGGCCACCGCGTGCATCATCACGACGCACGGGCCACTGGTGTTTTACGACGGTGAATATGATCAGCGGTCATCGACGGCTTTCGCTAGCGGGAGGTAAATTACCCGATTAGGCAGTTTACCAGAAAGCTGATCATCACTCCCAGAAAGTTCCTCCGTTGCACCACGAAGCAGTCAATCGGGCTCCACGCTGACTGAGTCGACGCTAATGATGGAAGGACGTCGCAAACATTGTCTGCGTAGGATTACACATATTCTCTTCCGAGACCCAGAGACAGATTGCATATCTCAACGTTGTAAAAGCTGTGTTTGATCCTCACGACCTTTCGCAACTGGGCGATGACGTCATACTTTCTGTCCTGAATTTCTAGTCTCCCCATGCGAGACAAGTTTACGACACGTGAATGTCACAGCTTCAAGTAACTGCTCAGCAGTAGGTCTACTTGAAACAGGGCAAGTGCAAGGGGAAAGCGGGGTTGCCTCGGTAGCCTCCACATGCACCTCACAACAACCGACTCTCGGCCAACTTCGTTATCTCAAGCTCGACTCAGCATGTAGCACAACTTCAAAGTGGCATGAAAATGCTCGTCTGAGTAACTTGGAACCCAATCCCGGATACTTCCAGACCGGCCTCTGAGATCGAAGTGAGATGGCATCTTCAGCATACGGCAGCACGCTGCCGTGGGCAGAGCCCAGTTGGTAGGAGTCCGGATACCTGCTCGATCCTACACTAATGCACTGGCAGGTATACCGGGCGCCCGACACCATATTATAAAGAGAGTCACAAGAGGTTGCGCGATGCTGTGAGACAGTGGTGCGAAGAGGTAGGCCAAACTTGAAAGCATAGTCCGCGCAACCGCTGCGAAAGCCCTAGGCCATGTCATAAGCCGTCATCGACAGTCACGCAAAACTACGAATCAATCTGACCTTGAGCAGCATATTGCGCCCTATACGGAAGAGTGGGTGGCTGCCGGCGCGGTGCCGCCCTCTTTGTACACGGCATGCGCAAAGGCAGGTTTCCTTGTTCCGATTGCTTCCGGCAAGGCGATTCCAAAGCAGTGGTCTAACTATCCGATCATTGGCGGCATCAAGCCCGAAGAGTGGGACGGTTTCCACGACTTCGTGTTATGGGACGAGCTCATGCGCGGTGGCAGCATTGCTTCGCTGTTCATCGGTCTTGTAGTTGGTGCACCACCACTATTGAAGTTTGCGAGTAAGCAGCTTCAGGACAAAATCTTCCCAGAGATCTTGAGCGGAGAAAAGAGAATATGTCTTGCAGTGACGGAGCCGGCGGCTGGATCTGACGTCCGCATGATTACCACGACCGCTAAAAAGACTCCAGACGGGAGGCATTATATTGTCAATGGCGAGAAGAAGTGGATCACGAACGGCATGTTCTCTGATTATTTCATGACCGCTGTGCGTACAGGAGGAGCGGGAGCAGAGGGCATCTCCATGTTGTTGATCCCCCGATCGGAAGGGCTACGAACCCGTAAAATCGAGGTCATTGCTGGGCCCCTGTCCTCGACCACTTACGTTACTTTTGAAGACGTAAAAGTCCCTGCCGAGTACCTCATCGGGCAAGAAGGCCAAGGTTTTCGTCAGACGATGGTCAATTTCAACCATGAGCGTCTGTGGGTCGCATTCCAAGCCATCCGCGGCTGCAGGATCGCCCTGAATGATGCGTTCCAGTGGGCTATCAAGCGCGAAGCTTTTGACAAGACGCTGATTGAGCAACCTGTTGTGCGAAACAAACTCGGAAATTGTGGGAGACAAGTCGAATCCTTGCAATCATGGACCGAACAAATTGTGTATGAGCTGGAGCACTTGAGCGATGCCGAAGGAGCCCGTATTCTAGGCGGAACCACTGCATTGCTCAAAGTTCAGTCGGGTATGGTCTGCAAATATGTTGCAGAAGAGTGCCTGAAGATCATGGGAGGGTAAGTTGTATGCAAATGACTATCGCAGGCTGGACTGACAACAATAGTCTCGGTCTTACGAAGACCGGTCAAGGGGCGAGAATTGAGGCGTTCTATCGCAGCGTGCCTAGTTACGTTGTGCCAGGAGGCTCGGAAGATGTCCTAATCGATCTCGGTGTACGTGAGGCACTCAAATTGCATCGCCAAGCAGAAAAGGCAAAGACCAAGCTGTGAAGCAGGTTTGTGTTCGGAAGAGGTATGCAATACTTCCTTCCATCTTGCTTTAGAGTTGCTATCTGTTGGGGCTGAGTTGGAACATGTTGATTCCATTGTAGAGGACGGCGTTACGTGTTGTGGCAGACATTAGTATCTCCGTGCATTGTATATATGTCTTCGCGCATCAGATTGCATCTGGGCCCTATTTTGAGAGCCGAGAAGGCTATACTTCATGTCATTTCGACCATAATTCTTCAAGCCGGTCATCCCTAAAGAACGCGCACGCCGTTCCCGAACGGCGGCCACCGATCCAAACTTAAATCGGCCAGCGAAGTCAGGCTGATCACATAATTATCACACCCCCGTATTCACCACGCAAACAACTTCAATCTCATACAACAGACCTTCCTTCGCCAATGCCTGCACCCCCAACCTCGTACTCGGAGGCTTCAATCCCCCCAACCACTCTGCATATCTCTTCGGCCCCTCTGGATCTTGCCCCTGCCCGCCTCTCAGCAAATCAACAACATACTGCCGCACCTGCACGATATCTTGCTTCGTCGCGCCGGCTGCCTCAAGACACTTGTCTACGTTGGCGCACGCGAGCGTGACTTGCTCACCGAGGGTGGGCGGAATATTTTGTGTAGAGCTGTCGTAGCCGATCTGGCCGGCGATGGAGACGAGGGTTGAGGTTGAGGAGAGTGGGATTGAGGAGATTTGAGAGTAGGTGGGGGCGAAGGCGGGGTTGGTGGGCGGATCGAAGTAGGAGGGCTTGGGGCGGCCATTGAAAAAGGACTTGATTGGAGTTGGATATTTTCTATGGCTTCGACAAATGTGTTGGTATGGATTCCAGATTGAAGATGTGAGTGAAATTGAGTGCAATTGCTTGGAGATGCTGCTTCTGGATATTGTAGTGGTTCTGCCCAGGGGACCTCGGTTGCACCTGCCTGATAGGACTCACTGTGAGATACACTACTAGTTTCGTGAGAGGTTGTAGTTTGCGAGCATCTCTGGACGTGATCTTACATCAGATTAGATGTTCTTGTTTGAGCTCACCTATAACCCTTTCGCAATCATGACCGAAGTCTTCCCCTGCTCTTGATTGGCTCTTCCCAGCATCGGACGTCTGTCATGTTCTCCGCTTGCTCCGGCCTGAATGTTCAAACATTGCGAAGCAATCGACTACTGATCAGTATGTTGTCGCATCCAAGAGGAATCAATCTGCTCAAAATAGAACAGTATGTTGAACGATGTCGGCGCTCTGTAACAGTGGTTGTGTGCTCCCGCTCACGGTGTGGTCGCCCTCCGTGCTCTGATTGGTCCCTTGGTCTCCGTCACATCTGCGGTGTGTTCGACCAGTCTCGAGCCTAGAGAGGGTGCCGCGGGCGCCAGAGCATCTGGCCGCTGTAGCACTTGGAAGCCTTCGAGATAAAATCCATGGAGATACACGCGTCACGAAGAGGAATGCGGAATACCATGTTCCTATGCGCGCTTTGACCGCGGTCCGGACGACTGTCTCCCCGCTAACGCCGACATTCGTATGAACGCGTCGAGGGGGAGGAAGAACAAGCAGTTGACCACTGCGCACATTGCTGGCCGGATCAAGCTAGAAAAGCCTACTGTTAGCGGGCTAATTCCCTGCAGGTCCCCGTATCTCGACAGCAATAGGATGACGGGGTGTTTATCTGGCCGGTCCGATTTTGGTGGACCGCCGCCTCTCCCGCATTTCGTAGTTAAGTCCGCCACAACGCGGCCTGCCATGTCACAGTCTCTCTCCCCCCAGCACTCGGTGCGCCATCCATACGTCCGCTCCTTTCTGTCCGATACTATATAACTTCTGCAGCTGTGGTGTCCTCGGGGATGAACCTGAGGCATCGCGCTGCAACCACCACCATCGCCACCCTGACCGCCCCAACTCTCTCCCCGCTGCATCTACTGCGGCGCTACCTGCACACACGACCAGGCGCACGCAGGGCACTTACTAGAACTGTCAGTTTTGGAGGCGCAAGCTGGATTTCGCTGAGTCTATCGACACCCATCAAGCTCGAAGCGCGCGACTCTTCGACCATGGCGGCCCCGCAAGACGATGAGGAGATCAGAGGGAGGATGCAGCAGGCGCCGCTCGCCTCGCAGAGGGCAAAGGATCAGGGTCAGTCGCAGCAGGGCAGGGTCGCGAAGTGGTTCCCGCTGGGCGCAAAGGAGGGGTTCAGTCAATGGGTAAGCCGCCCACCAGGGCACCATTCGCGCCGCATGCTAATTTCTTTGAACAGTGGGCAGGCACATCGCCCATGGCCACCGAGCACCGCGTCCTTTCCTTTATCCCATACCTCCAGAAACCGCCGACCCAGACGCAGTCCGGCTCAGCTCCTGCGTCCGCCATGCCCTCTGCTGTCGACTTAACTGCTCCACCGAGAAACCCGGAAGCCCACGCTACAACATCGACTCTGACCGATCCGTACGGCCCGCGACAATGGAACTCGGAAATGGTGGCACTGAGCGGTAAAGACCGCGCATTGAATGAGTTTTCTGTGCAGCGACTGGGCGAAGACGTGGAGAACAATCTGGTGATGCTTCACGGATATGGCGCGGGGCTGGGCTTCTTCTACCGCAACTACGAAGCGTTATCACGGGCGGAGGGCTGGAAGGTCTACTCGCTGGATCTGCTAGGCATGGGCAGGAGTAGTCGGCCTGCGTTCAAGATCCATGCAAAAGACAAGGAGGGCAAGATCACCGAAGCTGAGAACTGGTTCATTGATGCGCTGGAGGAGTGGCGCATCAAGCGAGGACTGGAACGATTCACGCTTCTAGGGCACAGCCTGGGTGGCTATCTTGCCACCGCCTATGCACTCAAGTACCCAGGCCGCTTGAACAAGCTGATTCTCGCCTCGCCAGTCGGAATACCTGAAGATCCATACGCAGTGAACGAAGCCATGCCTGAACCACAGGAATCTACCATGGGGAACGAGTTCACTCAAGATGCTGCTACCACGACCACAGACAACAATAACTTCATGAAACAACGCGACAGCGGCAAGGATACAACAGACACACAGAAGGAGCCACCACGCCGGCGCTTGCCCGGTTGGGTTTCGTATGTATGGGAAGCCAACGTCATTTCACCGTTTTCTCTTGTGCGCTGGAGTGGACCTCTGGGCCCGCGTCTCGTGTCAGGCTGGACGACGCGTCGATTCTCGCATCTACCGGAAGAGGAGGCGCAGGCATTGCACGACTACAGCTACTCCATCTTCCGGCAGCGCGGCAGCTCAGAGTACGCACTCGGATATCTCCTCGCTCCCGGTGCGTTCGCAAGGAACCCACTCATTCGACGGATACAAGGTGTAGGGCGTCAATGGATTCAACCACACGACGGCGCGATCGTGGATGGCGATGCTCCGCCAAAACCATCTTCCACTTCACAACCCGCCCCTCCCGGTGCGGGACAACGCGAGAACGGCATCCCAGTGGTCTTCATGTACGGTGAAGTCGACTGGATGGACGTTGCCGGTGGTTTCGCCTCGGAAGAGAAGATTAAGCAAGAGCGCATGCGCATCCTTGAGAACGCAACGGCCGAAGAGCGCAAGAAGGACAACGGCGAAGCAAAGGTTGTCATAATTAACAAGGCGGGTCACCACGTGTACTTGGATGGTTGGGAGCAGTTCAATCGCGTTATGCTAGAGGAAATGGCCGATGTGAAGCGGAGAGAAGCCAGGCGGTAGCATACATGAGGGAAGCACATTGGGTTCGGCATGGCGTTTGGGATTAAGGTCGCCTTGGGTAGAATCGGCATTTTGGACACTCCTGCATGGCATTTTCTTAGACTTTTAGCGTAGACGAACCGTACACGCATCAACAAGTTAAACCAATTCTAGCCCCTTGGCTCAAGACAAGATCCAGCACATCCTTCTGGAAACGTCGACCGTACAGTGTCAGGCCACAGTTCTAGGTTCACATCACTGTCTATTTGAGTTACCCTGTGACAAACATATGGTCCGATGTACAACGTGTGTGCAATAACACTGGAGACGCCTGTCCGTCAACTGTCACAAACGGGTGAGGCCAAAGAGACGGTGAAGACAACATTTGGCACTTGTCTTTTAGAACACGGGCGGGGTGGACTAGCATTGCCAGCAAACCCTTGCAACACACCGCACTTTAGGCGAGCTCGAGCCGCCGACATCACAGACATCCGATCCACCCATGTATACCAAGCTGTGCCGCGCTGCCTCCCGCCTTCGCATCACCGCGCACACGTCTCACAAAGCCTTCAGGCTTTACTCGATTGCTAGACGACAGGAACAGGGCTCTTCTGAGCTTTAGCCTGACACCAACTCGAATTACCCACGGCGCACTATCACATGCCTACAAGAAGTGCATCACCACTGCTCGCAAGCTCGTCGAGGACGCGTAGACAAGCGCAATGGCTTTCCCAGCATCCAACCAGGCCCTCGACCAGATCGTGAAGGGAGCTCCCCCGCCAAACACAAATGTCCATGACGTCGCCGCCTCAGCCTATGCGAACCCACCGCCGTACTCCGCTCACCAACCCGCGTCGACCGCCCACCATGACCGCCTCGCTTCCCTTAAGACACCGCGCGTGCCGTACCCGCCATCAGACCCGACATCTCTCCTCCCCTCCTCCCCGCCGCAGATATACCTCAATCTCCTTATCCTCGAAGCCTCGCTCCGCAGCCAATATTTGACTCTCCGCGCACGCAAAAGGCAAAACACGTTTGTCTTGACACTACTGGCAATATGGATTGCCTTCTTCTTCTACCTCCTGTGGCTACGGCCGCGAGAAGACGGCAAAGGCATCGGCGGCTCCAAATACTGGCTCGTCGACTCATTCCAAAAGATGTGCTTCATCACGGGCCTCGTCACCGCGCTGCTCTTCTGGGCGACTGGGCAGTGGGAGCGCGGCATGCGGTGGCCGCGGCGGTGGATCAGCGTTGCTAATCGCGGCCTTCGTGGCACGAATGCGAAGATCGTTGTGATAAGGGGGAGCTGGGCGCATGAGGTTGCGGGCTGGCTGGCTTTCATGCTGCCCTTTAGCGGGGGACTGTGGGGCGGCGAGACGGGTGGGAGCAGCTACCATTTTGTAAATCTTTCGCAAGAAAAGAGAAGTGATCTCTCGGAGGGCTTTCCCAGACACAGAATCGTCGAGGACGGGAAAGAGTATGCTGAAGAGGACATCGCGCCGGGCGGTGATCTCATCAAGCTTATCTTGTTGCCGAAGCCGTTCACGCCAGACTTCAGAGAGGGATGGGAAATCTACCGAGCAGAGTACTGGGGCAGGGAGAACGAGCGTCGCGGCGAACTGAGACGAAGAATCCGCGCCCGACAGCGTGAAGTTGCTCGAGCTGAGGGTGGATGGTTGTGGTGGACTGGATGGCGAGGCTGGAAGCGTGCAAAAGGGGCGACCGGTCGAAGCAGCGACATTCACCACCCACACCACCAACGTTCGCACTCACATCAGCTATCCGCGTCAAACTCCTTCAAAGAGCGCAAGAGGAGGCCCAGCGTACTCAGAGGCCGAGAAGGCTCGTATTCGCGCTCCTCGTCCCGAAGCACCACGCCCACTCCTGACATGGAAGACCGTCTGGCATCCCACTCCCGCGAGCGCAGATGGAGCAACAGCACAACAGGCAGCACAGCCTCGTACACCTCGTCCCGCCCTACGCGAGGTGCGAAGAAGCCCTCTTTCAACCTAGGTTCCGGCCCCGCTTCAGCAGCGCTTGCTCGTCAGCCTTCGTCCAGGCTATCGTCCAGCAGCAGTAGACCAGAGAGCAACAGCCGACCCGGGACCCCCAACGAGAGTTTGCCCTGGCAGAGCAAGAGAGCTAGCACGTTGAGCACCACGGAGAGCGCACGCGACTACGAAGCCGATGCAAGTGGGTTCGAAGAGAGCAACATAGGAAGCATGGGGCCGCCACCCAGACCACAGGCCGTGCGAAGGGGAAGCGGGGAAAGGGGCAGTGGAAATGTGTTCCCCAATGCGCCGAGTGCATGAAAAGGTGTTTTTGGTCTGCTTCCTGTTTGGTTTGATGATACCTTGCATATGCATTTTGCGGTTTCTTTTAAGCATATGATTGATGGCTACGGGTTACGAACACGACGTTGAACGCGAAACGTTCACAATGTACATCATTCGAATCTTCTTCAGATCTTTTCGATTCTTGCAGATATGAGAATTACGCGCAGCTACAATACGAGTGGTTATGGTGTTAGAGTGTAGGTGGTCCACCAACCTGCCTCTTGTGTCACATCTAAGATCAACCCCAAGAGCCCACTACATGGAGCGCATACACTTGTCTATTTCAAGGTCGAATGTTGTGTTATTCAGACTGCTGTGCAAACTCAAGGTCTTGATCTAATACCGTACGGTCGTAGTTCAAATTTACGCGACTTCTCCACCGCGACCCTCTACCTTCCACCATGAACGCCACCCACGCAAACAAACATCCTCGCGTTCATCTCCATGCCGCGGAATCATACCATGGCTCATCTTCCAAGCAAACCGATTTCAAGCGAATGTACAGATCACACTCGTTTCAGCAGGTGGCACGATAAGCCAAGGCCATCTAATCTGCATCAGGCATCTGCATTACAAGGTCCCGCATCCCCCAGATCAGCATGGTTACGTAGGAATGGCTAAATTGCCTACCCGTATTGAACCCGTATCGAACGACCCTGGCTAGGAACGCGATACAACTCTTGTCGTGCAAGGATGGAGGTTGCGTTAAAGGCTACGCAGGGCCACTGCAACTGGCTTTTCCGCTTTCCTCCCTCTCGTGTATCCTGTAGCCTGTCTACTTGAGGAAAACGCATCTGTGGTGTATAAAGTTTGTAGGAGCATCATTTACATGATGGCGAGGCACAATGGACGGTCGTTTCCGCGCGTCGCACTCACGACCGCACTCCTAACCACGGCTTTCGCAGCACCAGCGCCGCGCCTTCTCCGCCGCGCCTCAACCGACCCCTTCGCCATTATCGACGAGCAAAAATGGGTCAATCCAGATAATATGACTTGGGGCGACTTCAAGGCGCCGCCGGGAACATCATGGTCAGACCCCTCGCGCCAGGGCCGCGACCGCAACTTCAACATCGCAATGGTCACGGTCGACTATCCAGATTCGCCGTTCGTCATGACGCTCGAGCCGGAGTCAGACATCTTCGGCAACCCGCAGGCTTTTGCACCAACGCTTACCAGAGATGAAGTGCCTGCATTCTACAAGGATTTGCTGAACACGCCGAATGAGTTGAACAAGGGCCACACAATCCACGAGTACTGGATGGGCGACTCTTTCGGGAAGTACGGCGTCAACTTAACGGTTTTCGGACCCTACAGAATGCCGAGCAATTCCTACCAGTATGGCGTAGACGACGATCCAAATGGCGGTTTCAACGAGGGCGCGTGTCCCGGCGGTCAAGGGAAGTGCGGCACGACAGTCGACTTGCGGACCGATGCCCTCGGAGCCTGGCGCCTTGAAGTAGGTAACGAGACAGCCGATGCATTCGAGCTGGCTTTTATCCTATCCGCTGGCCAAGACGAGTCTTCGACCTGGCAGGAGTTCGGCGAGATGAAATTCGCATCGCCGGAGGACGTGCCTGAGGAATTTGGTCCACCGGCGAATAGCTCGCTGCCGAACTGGGCGCATACGCGGTATGTGAACTGGACTTCTTGGGCTGCAGCATCTACCATCTGGCCAAATGCTGGAGGCGGTTCGTCTACCCAGGGTGAGAGTTCTGGCATGGCGACTTTCGCTCATGAGCTCTCTCATCTCCTCGGCATTGGCGACAACTACAACAACCCGTTCAGCGATCCTGCGAGAAGATCCTACACAGGGCCATGGTCAATGCTCTCGCGTGGGAGTTTTAATGGACCTGGTGGTAAGTCTCTTGCGTACAAAGTGGATGTCTTCCTCTTTGTGTATTTATCACTGACTTTGTACGGTAGGGCCGCACACACGCTGGCAGATACCGCCTGTACAGGGCGCCTCCATGGGTTCTTTGCACACAATGCGCGACAAGCACCAGATCCAACTCATTGATAACACGCCCATTCTGCAAATCTCGCGCTCCGGCCTTGCTACGTCTGGTCCCGTCATCGCGGAGATCACTGCGCGCTCGGTCGACCCCGGCACGGGGCTCATGGGCTTCAACGTCTCCTTCGGGGCATCCGGTGACTTATCTCCCAAATGCAACACTAGTACCGACCCTCTCTGCGATGGTGGGAACTTTAACAACTACAACGTCGAGGTCGTGGACCGCATGGGCGCCGACAGCTTCACGCCTGACTCGGGCGTCATGATATCCAAGACGAAGGACAGCGACGCGCAGCAGCCGTTCCAGTGGATGATCGATGCGAATCCGGAGGACGCACATGTTGTCGATTTCTACTTACCTAATGGCACGGCAAGGTACTGGAGTATTGGCGACTACCGGCAACTTGTAGACGCGCTCTTCCATGCGGGGACAAGGAGCGGGAGTGAGTACGAGCATGTGGATGAGGCGAACGGTCTGCACTTCTACGTGCTGGATATTAACCGCGATGATACCGGTATTCTGCACTACACGGTCGGGGTGTCGTCAACCGCTTCGAACACAACGGCGGCCTCATACGGCGTGGAACTCGGCGAAGGTACCGTCGACGCAACGAACTCGACTAGTGCTTCGTGGTGCGCCTTCACGCTGAAGAATACGGGTACGGCCCCGTCCAATGCGTCTAGCGTGCATCCGCAGGACCTCTCCGCCTACCTGGGATCAGACATTTACAAGCTCAGCGCGGAAGTCGAGGGTGAAGGATGGGCGGTTGAGACGCCGAATGCGCTAGCATGGGCGAAGTTCGGCGAGGAGACAACAGCGAGAGTTGCTGTTGGTACGACTGGGGGGTACCGCACAGGTGGCGAGGCCGTGGTGACGCTCACTGTGACGAGCGAGAGTGATTCGAGCGTGAAGGCAAGCGCGACCTGCAAGGTGGGTTCGTGAGGGCTCACATTGTAGTTTCATGTACCATAAAGATCCGAAGAACTCGAAGATTTACTGCTCTGCTACTCTCGAAGAATCTACAAGGTCTTCCAACCCCGATGTGTGCAAGATACACTCACTCATTATTCCCAGTCGCCACTCCCCAGAAATACGCACACCACCCACCTATCACAAACAGTACCAGCGCACCAAAACAGGCCATCGAGATCGTCTTGCTCTTCCCATGACCCTCCTCGAATATCCGTTTTCTCTCATTGAGCACGTCTCCTCGGGCAATGCGCAGCTTGCGCGACCACTGCAGGTGCTGGAGGTCGATGAATTTCCAAGACGCAACGAACAGCCCTAGCGAGACTGCGACTGATAATCCTGAGAGAACAACATATACGATGGTCACACGGTCGTAAGAGTTGTTATCAGCGTCCTGGATTACGCCGGTTATGACGCGGACGATGATGTTCATGCTGCGAGAACGGTAAGTTAACATGGGATGAATCTGATGCAACACAAATAAGACTTACGCGTTGTTCATGGTGATTTTCAAAGCGTACGCAGATCCGAACACAGAAGGCTGCCACATCGATGTGCGGATGCTGTCGATGATGGGGGTGGGACCAAAGCAATATGTAATGGCGAAAACACCAAAACTTGCCGCAGTGCCTGTTGTCGCACTGGCGAAGCAAACGAGAAGCATGGAAATGAATATTCCAACGCCACAGAAACACACTTGATTTATATCAGCAGGTGAAGCCACAAGTATCTGGGAGGTGCTCCTTACACAAGGAGATACGATGTCCAAAGAGGTCTAGAAATACTCCGATCAGCGGTACCAAGAAGAATCCTAATACAGTATTAGTATGCGGAGATTGAACTGGGAAGATTTGTGCGCATACCGGCATATTGCGTCGTAGCAGAATACCATCCCGCAGCAATCGAGTCCGTCCCAAACCGCTGCTCAGCCATCTCCGTAGCATTCTGCAAGAAGACAATCGCCGTACTCGTTTCGAACAGCGAAAACGCCATGATAGCCCAAAACGTCCACGGCAACTCTAGCACCTTCCGCAGCTGAAATTTCTTGCTCTTCTCCGTCAGCCGCTCACCCGTCGCCGGGTCCTTCACACCGTGGAATCTCCGATTCGCAACCTTCGTAAACCAGTAGAACACCCCAGTCATGACATTGGTGAACAAATTCATGAACACCGCAACCCAAAACACCCACGCGAAGTCGCCCGTCCGTTTCGCAATGATGTTAGCAGACGCCTTGCCCGCAAACGCACCAATCTTGCCCACCCCCAGCTCAAAGCCTAGCGTAGAAGCGAACCCATTTCCAGGCGCAAACCACGATGAAAAGACTTTGTACTGCGCGACCTGCGTAGCAATATCCCCAAGAGCGCGTACCACCCGACCAGCAATCATAAACTTGTACGAGCGCGTCTGCGCCGCGCCCGCGACGAGAATCGAGCCGATGGAGTAGATGACGTTGCCGTAGAGCATGGCACCTAACCCCTAACATTAGCCATTTGCAATCTTGTGAAGCGGCACTTTTCAGAGCGGCAGATGCATACCCGCGCCCCCAATCCTATCCGTAACCAACCCGCTCACCAGCATCAACGCTGTAACCATAAAGTCCTCGCTCGCTTCCAGCAGCGCGAATTGCTTGTTGTTGACTTTCAGCTCTTTCTTGATCGTGCTCTTCATTGCGCCTGTGATGCCGGAACTCCATTGCGAGCCGAAGCCTATGGCGGTGACTAGGAGTATGGCCATGATCTTCCAGCGTAGAGGCGCTGGAGTGAGGGTGCTAGCGACGGAGCTGTCATCGTTGGAGCTGTCATCGCTGCGAGGTTGGATTGTGGCATCGGCTATCTCTTTTGAGCTGTTTGTCGTGATGGCGACGCCATATTGTGCGGGTTGGTGTGTGTCCGCCATTATTCCAATAGGATAAAGGCACGGAAACCGTATATTTACAAGAACGCGAAGACTGAAGAAGAATTGGAAGTCCCTCCCGGCCAAGCTGGAGCGGACGATGCAAGATTTTATCCATTTCTAGAGCGGTTCGAGAAAGCATCCAGAAAGAAGCCGAGTTCGGCCCATACGCAAGACCACTCGATCTGATAAGATCAAGCGTCTGCGTAGTGAACGGAGTGGACCGATTTCGAGCATAGCGGCATCCGCGCACGTGGGGCAGGTTATCAGACGAAAATCTGATAAGATTAAAATTCTGCCTAGTGAACGGAGCAGAGCATTAATATGGGGATGCCAAGCCCGATTTAAGGATAGCCGGCATGCCTCTGCGTTGTACCTAGACGTTACATGTACTAGTGCCGTTATACGTTCCATTGCTTGAGTCATTTGGATATACCGGTACACGTGGAATTGTGTTGTAAAAGTGCCCTGACACATCGAATCATGCCTCGAGAGGGTGCAACTTTGACCATCGAGGTAGCCGGCTAGGCTTGGTGACGGGTAACGCGGTAACGGTACAAGGCAAAAGTGGACAGGACGCGCCATCAAACCCTCCGAACTAGTGGGCATCGTTTGAGCCGCGTGGCTGGGTCCTACAGTCGGAGCTGCCAAGAATTGAGGTGAGCTTCGGTCGGCAAGGTGCAAGTAAAACTTCGAAAACTAGCGTCTACACTTGGCAAAGCGGGAACACGATCCTCCACCTTTAGCGAATGTACATCTTTTGCACGAAGCAAGGCACCGAAAACATGACCGAAATTCTCGACAATGATCCATTTGAAACATCTCTGTAGAAGCTCTTCCACGCTCCGATGAGTCGCAGCACACAATACTGTAACTTTGCGAATTACTAGAGCAATGTGATATCGCGAGACTGAAATTTCCATTGATCCTTCCTTCATTCAGGCCTGATGTCGGATCGAGAGTCTTCCACTGTCCAGCAATAGGATTCAATTACCGATTTCGGATCAGCTATTGGCCGTATGCGTTTTTCAGGAAAATCGATCATGTAGCTTTCTTTCTCAAGCATGTCGGCCACTTCCCAACTATCCCAGATGCCCTCCCGTCTTCGATATTGGCGTAAAAGACCGACGACACGCTGTGTCAGGACCGGATCCTTGCTATAGCTAGCAGCATGGAACATCGCAGGAATGGTATCGCTGTCCAACGTAAACACTGGCCGGGCTAAGCTCGCAGCCTCGATGCGGTACGTTTGTTCAATCACGTCAATATGACCATCGCAGAGTCTTCGTAGTCCCTCGTCCTTTGGGTCATCTATAGGATAAAGTATGATATCCCACATGTAGCGTTGAGCTGTGAGAACAAAGATCTCCCGCTGAACGTCCATCGGGAGGCCGTTGAAGTTACCGAGGGACGAGATCAGCAAGTTGAATTTGGCTTTCCAGATTCCGAATGGGACAGAAAGCTCGTCCCACTCTTCGTCAACGCCACAGTCATCAAAAAAGTCAAGCATCTCCAACGACTGCCTGATTTCGTCGTTCTGGCTATGACTGCTATATGCCATCTTAACGTCTAGGTCCCACATGGCATCCTTGGCTTCCGCAAGACTCGTAAAAGGTTTCGAGGGGTCGTCGAGCTCAATGAGAGGTTTGGCATGCGACGTCATGTTCGGTATGTCGTGTTCCTGCGGGGGAATAGACGCATCGACGTTCAAGCGGAGCAAAACGGTTGCAGTTTCTTGGACCAGCTGCCGCACATCCTTTGGAGCAGTTGAAAGGTCTGAAGCCGCCAGGAGCCGACATCCAGCTTTTATATGACGGACTGCTTCGTCAAAACGACCAAGCATGTACTCAAGGCAGACGAAAAGCAAGCAACAGATCAAGAACCTGGCCTCGCTATCCCCTGATTTGGATGCTTCAACGTCGAGATTTACCACCTTCTTTATGGCTTCATTGTACAGGTTGATGGCAACACGTTCGAAATGGGTCATCGGTGCGTTCGCACCTTGTGGATGCGGTTGCGAGAGCTTGTCGAGATAGCTTCGATGGGCTGCACCGAGGGCCACAACGACGTTTCGTATGACGGAGTCCTCATGACACATTGGTAACACCCTGCGGAACCAGAAGTCTTTGGGGTTGGCGACTCGTACAAAATCGATGATGGTAATGGATCGAAAATGATTGAGAAATATCCCATCTGGCCCGTGGGTATCGAGATCGAGATGAGCCCTGGTGCCTAGGCATATAACTCGGGACTGGTAGCGGGCCAGACTCAACTCGTGTGGCTTTGTCTTTGTCTTTGTTATTTGCCTGCTTGGAGGCACATCCCTCTGAGCAGCTGGTTTCTTCTTCCTTGACTGTATTGGTGCGTATCCGTCGCACTTGTACTGGTCGTCTCTGCACCGACGGCAGGTTGGTTTCTCTTCGTCGCATTTCTTTCGGCGTGTTCTACGAGAGGGTATTAGTTAGCTCAATTCAATGTAAGACCAGTACTGACTCTGGGTTGTTTGACTTTCTACTAGCGCATACTGAGCAGACAACCCAGGGTAGACACATATCACAGAAATGTATCGATCTGCTTAGCAACGAGGTGCTTTACGCACTTGCATCTGAGATCGATCAGATGTACTTACTTGCTGCGAGAAGTTAGCATGAACACTGAGGAGATGAGGTCAACGTTTGGCTAGTATATTGAGAACGGAGTTTCCACCTGAAGAGAAATCTCGAGCAAGCATGAAAGGGACAAAGTTACACTCCAGTCGGTCCAATACATACCAAGTAATGCATCCGGTGCGGACTTTGGGCGAATAAGTGCGCATTCGCGGGCGGTTTCTGTGTACGAGGGACGCAATGAGGACATCTCTGCGAGGAGCGCATGGTAGGTTCGTTAGACTGTGTTCGCGCGATTTGGAACTCATATTCCCGCTTCACACTTAGATTCCTGATGCCATTGTTCTGTAGAGAGGCGCCAAGTAAGGAACAGTTAAGAGGAGTTCAAGTGGTAGTTTTGCACTGCCACAGCAGAGGCACAGCCGTGGAAGGGCTGAGGGCTGAAAAGGGACGCGGTTCTCTCAGTGGGGCCAATCGGCGCAAAGCTGGCCAATCTCTTCAAACCGCTAATGCAAGGCTTGTCCCAACATAGACAAGAGTAAAAATCACTGACCATAACCCGCAGTCCACGGGCCACCGTGAAACATGTGTTACACACCATAAACATTTTCTCTGTTGAACACATGCTTTCTTCCATTCCATAAAATATGTCGTCCATCATAACTTGGTCCTTTCTCATCTCGCGCACATAGCCTAACGCCATGTCACGAAAAGGATCTTCTTGATAGAGTCACGAAGGAAATGGTGTGAGGTTGTGGTCGCAGTGCAAGATGCGCATCTGACCTTGACCCTGCTCAACAACTTCAGCTCGGGTGAGTCATTGAAACGAGATGGGCGGTTCAATGCCCAAAATGGGAAGGTGACCAGCCGGGAGCTTGCATTTTAAGTTTCTCGGGAAGAGTCTTCTTCTTGTTCCTGGATTGATTCACTCTTCGCTAATCGGTATCGAAGTACTAGAAGCTCCACCTCAGCCATCCGTTAGCGTGATAGGCATACTCCAAGGCACACTCAATCGTTCAACGAAGGAAGCGAACCACACATTGAACGAATAAAACAATCGAATTAATGTCGCTGCGGTACCTAGAATTTCGCGCTCTCCCAACCGAAGACAAACATTATACCAGCCAGGTAATGAAAAGTGACGGACAGAATATAATACACTACCAATTGCACATGACCACTTCGTGGTGGTCAAATGTATTCCCGTCAGGTCCACATGGCGTCACTGCCGACGGATCCCCTTTCTTCGGGTCTGCTTCGCAAGCAACTCCCTCGTCTGGCAAGCTGAAGCAGAACAGCCTGCCCAGGTTCTGTTCGTCTTGGGATTTGTACTGACACCATTCTCCATCAAACTGGAATCTCAATGTCCCAGACGGGAATGGTGGATTCTGCTTCAGGTCGTCCCGAGCTGTGATTGGATTCTGATCGGCCAGAATGCCGTGGATATCCGGTCCGTTAGGGTTGAACTGGCCACAGACTGCGTTCTGACCTGTCTTGGTGTTGTACAACGCCCAAGTGTAGTCGACACCTCGTCGTCCATCATCCGTAAGTATATTGCTGACCCTGTAGGATGATGGACAGCGCTCTGTCGTTAGGCATACCGCCTTCGTGTTTCCCCTTTGAAAGGTCATTTGGTGACCAATTTTGCTTGAGCCAATCAACGATAATGGTTCCAGATATCCTTCTCGCATTTTCCCAGGCCGGCCCACATAGTATAGATCTATGGCAATCCACTTGTGAAGACACATGTCACGAGTCAAATCGCGACGGTATTCATAAAGCTCATTAGGATATGAGCAATTCAGAGGCCGACAACACTTTGATTTCTTTTTTTGTAGCTACAAACTAAATCTATCTAGAGATCCGCCACATATGGTAGTACCCTTCTGTCAAATTCCGGTGGAATGTATACCAACAGACATCCATCCCGAGCTCCCCCACACCGCCGTCAGTCGCTCACTTGGGGACAAGGGTCGACCTCCTGGATATGAATTAACTGGCCCAGCAGCGAAAGCTGAAGGCACTCCAGCTGGGTTCCGCCGCGCCCGGGTAAGAAAAGATGAAATTTGGATCCCGATGTCTACTATCATTAAAGGGCCAAAACGGGCCGTTACAGTCAATTCCTCCAAAGACAATGCATGCAGAGCCTTGGTCTGGGCCGTACGAGGCGATAGAGATCGCAGCTGTTGCCCCGTTAGCTATGGTTTCGCAATATTCTATTTCGTCAACACCGACGGCAACGCACCTTCATGCTCGTCGTTCTCCAAAGCCACGTTCTGGCAACCATCATGCGGAGGCCTAGAAAGTTAACACAAACGACAGTCGATGTCACCAGAGTACTCGCCACCAGTGGCAGCCACCGTCCCACTTGGTGAGCCAGCAGCCCCAGAAGCCGCCAGACCCGCCAGCGATCTCGGCGAGTCCGGGTTTGGTCAATTTGAGAGATTGGCGGGCGCCATCGTAGTCGAACGGCTTCACGTCTGCCGTATTGTCATCTTCGAAGAGCTGACCAAGAGCCATGGCATCAATGGTCGTGCATAGGACGGAGAGAAGAAGGAACCGCATGTCAGGCGGATCTTATGAGTGAAGAGGTCGTGTCAAAAGCTTGGGGTATGCGATTTGATCTTGAAGGATCGGGTGAGACTGGCCCTGATTTGGAGATTGAAGTGAGTCGAAGCTGTCGAAATGATGGTTTTATAGACTGGTGAAGGAGTAGCGTGCGCCAACCGTAATGAGTAGGAGCGTGCGCGCGTGTGCCCTTCTTGTACACCCTGATGCCACCGTTAAACGTAAGCGCTAGGTGAACAATGGATTCAACTAATTATGTGCCGCTGTTTCCGTGCCTCAGTGCTGAGTCTGTACCTAAATCTCGCCGTCACGTTTCGCAGTTGTACGCGAGCTCACTCAATCAATCAATACGTTACGCGCATTCTCATCACATACTCCACTTTGATAGGACACCAGGCTGTCAAAGGAGACGTTCCAAAGCAATCTATCTAATGATTGAGTGAGTAGATTATAGAAATCTAATAAGATTGACAGAACGTTGACCCAGAGCCGTCAAAAGGTAGGGAGGAACTTCTGCAATGGACTATAAATAGGTCAGAATCTACACTCGCTACTTCATCGGCATGTGGACTTCTTTATCATTTTCCCTCTCTTGGCGGCATCTCTGATCACCTATCTCAGAGTAATTACAACGCGGGCAATGCCTTCCAGGACACACAAGCTCGATTACGTGCCAATGCCGGTGGCTCAGTACATCCATATTTGCACATGTTGGCGATTGAGAAGCGTAAGCAGTAACGCCCAACATATAAATATCGTCATTTACGCGAGAAAATGTGTGACACGAAGCCTTTGGGAACTGAGATCCTGCTTGCACTTGTCAAGTACTACTGTGATCCATTATTGGTACCATATAATGCAGACTATAGTCAAGTAGTCATTGGCATGAGCACGCGTAAAGTCCATGATGCCTATACGAAAGCTATCCCACGTTTTATCAAGTGGCCTTAGTTGCGCCTCTCGATGTTTTGGGTCTAAATCCTAACATCGGACCGTTGAGGCCTCATGCCTGTAGTCAGGTGTTCACAAGTTCTGGAATCCGATGACCTTCCATAACACAATTCAATCATAGTGGGGTTAGTCCAGAACAAGGTCGCTCATGAGCCAAGGGAGGAACTCGATGTATTGACTATAGTGCGAATCTTTCTGGCTATGGCGTGGATTTCCTGATGGCGATGGAAATACGATCCGCTACACCATCTCTTTGAAATTTAAGGTGTCAGTCGCGGTATTTCAGACAAAAAATGCCAAGGACATACCAAAGTGCGTATGCTTGTGGCGCAGAATTCGCCGTAATTTCTCATGTACCTCTTTTAGACAACGGATGACAGGCCCCAGTGCTGGTATAGCTCAAGTAAGGCTTTCCGCTCAGTTAAATTCTACATGTATAACTACCAGCGCATGACTGCGAGCAGTAGAACTAACAAAGAGGCCATAAGGGAAAACTTTATCGGAGCCAAAAATCCTTCTAATACACATCGCCAGCATAACCGCAACACCCAATTCAAGATAACGTGAGAGCCTTATCTGCCTCCAAGGCCTTCCTAGGCGTAGCATTTGACAGAGCTGATATTGTTTGCCCACGTATCTCCACCGTCAGCCGAGACCGCACCAGCAGGCAACATGTTGGCAGCGGTATTATCACCGAACCCTGTAATGTCAAGACCTCCAGCAGAAACGCCGTTCGGTGGCACGTATTGCGCGCCGTTGCATCCGTCGTCACTACAGGAAACCCATCAGCTCGGCCGCTCGACCACCTTTGTTCAATTCTTGCGTGGTACTTACATGTAGAACGTACAACCATTGCCACCTTCTGCCAAACGGAGAGATACCGTTTTGTCACCGCTGTGATTACATATTTTAGTGTTAACTCAAGCGTGATATGCGGTGTTGGCCTTACAAGCCGATGGGACCAAGGTCGAAGCAGTGTTCTTTGGCTTCAACGCATGCGCATTCACCTTCCATGTAGGACTTCGAGTATAGAGCGACCCAGCCCACACCCCAGTTCGTGCACTCATTACAGTCGGCGGCGTTTCCGGACGTTTGCCATCCTGGACCGGCGTCCCTGGGGAAGTTGCTAGGAGCAGCCGTCACGGAGGCGACAAAGACCGGAATGAGGAAGTTGAAGAGCTGCATAGTGAAGGTTGGAGTGTTAGTTTTCGATTCTGATGCTGATGAATTGTGCTGGAAAAAGTAACGAATGAATGACTGAAAAAGCGACTGAAGGAATGAGCGAATGAGTGATTGAATGAGGGTCTGGAGAAACCATCTGTCCAGGCAGAGCGAGCTCTTATGTAGACCGCGTTCAGAAGGTGAAGCTCTTTGCGTACTGACAGCAGCCACGCCGCAATGCTGTACCTGGTCGTGAACATTGTAACATGCGAGTCTGTCGGACCTCGGACATGAGAAGTGCTTGTGTTGTAATTATTACTCTTTGCAGACTGCTCACTCAGCATATCACGGTGGGAGGGAGATATTTTAGTTCCCTGAGCTGAACTGCACGCGATGTAAGACGATTACGGTGATTCGATGCGGCGTGGTACCAAGGGTAGGTAGCCATGGTACTTGTGCCTTTAGTACACCGTAGATTGCCGAGCCAATGAAAGCGCGAAGTCCAATAAGCACTGATACGGTCTGTGTGAATCGCGGCCTGCAGAAATTCCTGGGTCCATGTATGGAGTGTGACTCGGTACCCATGGTACCTGTTGTGTGAGTGTGTTCAGTTCGAAGCGGCTCAAACATGTCGAGTAAAGGGTGCTGTAGCCTCGCGGGCGATGGGCGCACTTTTGGCGGTCGACGATTGTGTAAGTAAACGTCGGAGTGACGTTGCGGCGTAGTGCAGGTTCGCGCCGCTTTCGGGCGTCGGATTTCGGTGCCGGGTAAGCAAGCTTCAGTATTTCCATGAGCGATGCAGAAGCGAGAATTGTTGAGATTAATGCAACGTGAATTCTCTACCGCGCCTGTTTGACGAAAGGGTAATCCAAATACACAACTGCACCTTACAAAAGCTCAAACTTTTCACGCCGAGGATAGCCATCACTTACACTTTAACGCACCTCAGCTGTACTCTATCTGCATCCTTCATTCGCAATAACAGCTGTAAGTCGCAGTCATTTAGTGCCTTCATCACTCTTGCCCTCATTCTCTCCTCATCCTCACCACCCGATCGGACCACCTCCAGTCTGCAACTGCATAATACAAGCAAGGACGGCAACAAATTCTACTTGTGAGAATTTCAGCCCTGGACAGACTTGGGGTCCGTCAGCCCATGCAAGATATGCGCCCTTTCGTGGAGTGACCAGTGTTTCTCCAGCACTTGCTGTACGCTTCTCAACCCATCGCGATGGCTTGAAGCGAAACGGGTCTGGGTAGTGATCCGGATGGTAGTGCGTCGCATGAATGCAGCTATGCACTTGCACATTTGCTGGTATGGTGATGTTGCGATCGGACGCGCGGAGAACCTGGAGAGACGACCGTGTACCTTTTTGTAGGGCGGGGATCGGAGAGTACAGACGTAGAACTTCGTACTGCGGCGGGTTAGCCTCCATGGAGTGACTTGGCAAAGCTTTGGCGCCTGGCGTCATCGCAGGCTGGGCGATGCAATCGTCGACTTACCATGACTGCCTGGCATCTCACAAGCCTTGGGAACAATTCGTTATATTGCCATGTCTCTGGCTTCGTGTCTTTGCAAACATATCTGGCCTCCTGTGTAAGCCAGGTTTGGACCTCGGGATGAGCAGCAAGGAGGAGTATGGCGAAGGCGAGTGTGTTGGCTGTCGTATCGTGCCCCGCAAAGTTGATGACGAAGATGTTACCGAATATCTCGTCGACCGAGAGACCCTTTGTACGATCGTTCACACCTGAACGGCCCGTAGAATAAGCATCTCCAGCTCTGACCAACGATGTCATCAGGCTACCCGACCCTTTCGCGCCCTGGTTCAGTGACTGCATCTCTTCGTCGAGCATCTGCCGCATGTAGCCTTGAAAAGCGGCTGCTGCTTTTCCAACCCGCTGCCACGATTGTGGAAGGAAGCGAGAGGACAGCAATTTAGGACGCAGAACCAGTAGCAATAAGGCATTGTCAAGGATGATCTGCAGCGCATCACGGTATGAAAGTTTAGCGTCGCTGTGTTTTTCGTTTCCCTTCCAGTGACGAAAATTGAAGGGCTTGTTGAATCCCTCTGCAGCAAGAACATTCAGCGATAGAGTTCGAGTGTCCTTCGAAAAACTGTGGACTTTATCTTTTGTCCAAGCTTCGATGAGGTCTTGAGCTTGCTGAAGTGATTCTGACCAGACAAAGCTCATGATACTTTTGTTGAACGGCGCAGCGAGGACTTTACGATGACGAGCCCAATTTTCCGCTTCCGCGGTCGAGATGCAAGGTCCGAAGACTTCGAGGATTTCTGGTCGGTGTGAGTTCATAAAGTACTTCGATGGTTCGGGTACTGCACCATGCATCCCGAGGTTACACATTGTACGCAAAGCCTTTGAAAGGGCCCTTTAGGTGGAGATAGACGCGTATTCATGTACTTACTGTAGGGTTCTGTTGGTCTAGGGAAATCCATCCGTCTAGACAGAACATCACCGATAGCTTCTGGATCGGCGAGTTGAATGTAGATACCAACGGGTGTGACGATGGCCCATACCTTCCCTAAACGCAAAAAAGTGTCTGCCTTGTCTTCGAAGAACCAACCTCGGCGAGCATACGTCGTCCATTGTGGCAGGACTCCCTTAACCGGCAAACGGTCGAGCACTTCCCAAACATGAGACTCAAAAATCTGGAATAGAATATTAAGTGGATCAATTGGAAGGCGGAAGAGGGGGATACCAATAGCTCTGGCGCGCCTGTAATTGAGCTCAAGGCAAACGAGGCTCCATGTAAGGTATCCGGCCGCCAGAATGAGAAGTAATAAGGCGAACATGGCTACCGACAATATGACTCGCTCTTAGCTTAGCTTGAGTGCTAGGAAAACACAGAGAAGCGTGAAACGAGGCAAGTGGGATTGGCGATGTCATAAATAGGTTGAGTGCCGGACTGCTGCCTCTTTCGTGTGAGGAGGACGCACGCGAGTGGCGTTGGCCGTAGCACAATGATCGAAAGAAGAAATCGGCTCGCAGAACGCTGTGCCGCAATTTGTACTCCACCGCTGCGTTGCTTTACATACGTTATTCGGGAACAGTCAGTGTTGCGAATATAGATCCAGTTGTTTTGACAATATTACAACTCGGGGATATTGCTGACGTAGTTGTAAATAAGGAAGGCGCGTCGCAGCACCGTCTAGATATGCTCATGACCTGAAAAGTATCAATGTTGTCTTCAAAACCACTGGCCGTGGGGTACGGCCTGCAACAAAGATCTGAGATCATTGTTTGTTTTAGATCTCTGACCACCGCGATCCTGACCAAAAGCTCCTCACAATTTCGGGAACCTCACACGTAGGAACTGGCTCGGCCATGCGATATCCAACCCAAGCTGGTGCGCTACTTTCAACACCCACTCGGGCTCGCGCATAAACTGACGCGCGACCAAAACAACATCAGCCATAGGGTCCCCTCCGCTCAGCTTCTCCGTCATCTCTACCACGGCTTTTGCTTCCTGGTCAAGATCCGAGTTTCCTCCATCCACTCCATTACCAGCACGAGTAGCACCGCCTTCCTCGAGGATGTCGCGAGCTTGCTCGGCTTCCGTGATAAGGCCCACGGCACCAATGAGAAGCTGCTTGCCGTCTGCTTTGACAGCAGCGCGAACACGGTCCGCAATCGCCACTTGGTAGTTGTTATGCATGGGGATCTTCGCTTGCGGGTTGTTACCCGCGCTGCTAACGTCCAGAAGATCGACCCCAAGTTCCGGAAGCAGTTTCGCAAGGCGAATGGTGCTTTCGACATCCCAGCTCCCGTACTGCTTGCCCAACTCGCTGTTTTCGTGCCACTCTGTAGCGCTGATGCGGAGGAAAAGTGGCATTGTCTCTGGAACGACCTTTCTTATCGCCGTTAATATTTCAATCAGTAGGCGCGTTCGGTTGTCAAAACTACCGCCGTACTTGTCCGTCCTCCGGTTCGAGATCGGAGAGAGGAATTGGTGCACGAGATATCCATGCGCGCCGTGGATCTCGATGACATTTACTCCCGCTTTGACTGCTCTTGCCGCTGCGCTCGCCCAGTCCTGTACCACCTGTGAGATGTCCTCCTCGGTCAGTGCTCGCGGCGCCCAGAAACCACCCGTCTCATCAGTACTTGGGATTCCATCCCACGTCCACTCCTCTCCGCCCATAGGACCTACGACGTCGGCAGGCCACCCTCCAATCTCCGCTCCAGCTCTTTTACTTATCTTAGATCCAGGCTTGGAGGAGGTGGTCCATGGAGCTGCAGTACTCCCCTTGCGTCCCGCGTGCGCGAGCTGAATTCCACTCAGCGCGCCTTGGCTCTTGATGAAGTCGCTCACTCTCCTTAGTGCAGGGATCTGCGCATCAGACCACAGCCCTGGGCAATTGGGAGAAATGCGGCCATTGGGTTGAACACCTGTTGCTTCAATAAAGACTAGGGAGGCGCCTTTCAGTGCGTAGTGCCCAAGCGTTGCGATGTGGTAGTCTGTCAAGGCGCCAGTCTCTGGTCCAATTGCAGCAGTTGAGTACTGACACATGGGCGCGACCAGAATGCGGTTGCGTAGAGTGGCGCCGCGAATAGTGAGAGGCTTGAAGAGCGTTGGTACTGGAGTCGTGTTCTTTGCATTTGGTATGCCTGAATGTCGTTGTACACAGTTAGCTTACACATATCCGTCAAGAGTTTCATTTCCCTAAGTCGCGCCAGGGATATGTATGCTATGCAGTATTCAAAGATTTGACAGAGGTCTTCAGACGTAACCATCCTGCACCCGAAGATACGTACCAGGTGTTACGGCATGTTCGGGTGTGTAGTATGGAATCCCCTGCACGCCAGGGTTATTGTTGTTATCCCGTGTGTAGGACATTGTGGTGTTGTGTTGAGTGTCCTTAGAGCTCAGCGAGGGCCCGGTAATTAGATTATCGCGACGAGAAGTTGTCGAGCGCACCGGGTTTATGTATCAATTTCCATACAACAATCGGAGTGTCAAATTGACTTTAGGTTGTCGAGGCGGCTATCCCACGATAACACATTGATTTGTAAGAGAACTATGTTTTTAAGCGTGAACTAAGCCTTACGTGGGAATACTGCAATGACGTGCTGTATTACCGAGGCTACTGCTTACCGGCTAGGGTACTCTTTCATCCTTGCCCCACAATAAGCACAAGTAACAGGAAACCAACAGCAGAAATGCAAACGGGTATCAAAATTGAAATGGAAAGTCGGCCACCATAGCCTACCAATGCCGCACAACAACTAGCCAATCGCCCTCCCTGATCCCCTGCATCATCGCACCTACCCTCTTTCTCTTTAAGCCCTCCCTCGGGCAGATATCTTCAACAGCATGCTTCCCATCAAAGTACTTCAAAAGTGTGCTCCAGTGCGCCCTCAGATCTGCGTCTGTAAATCTCTTGCCAATAGCTTCTAGCCATCTTGCCTCTACGGCGTTTGCTCTTTGCGGACAGAGGATTAAGGAGGCTGTAAAATGCTCTGGTGAAGGCGGTGGAGATGGCGGAGGCTGATTAGTGGTTTGCGTCGGCGAGGTTGGTGAAAAGGGTAATGCACGTGAAGGTGACGGCGATTTCAGATGCAAAGGAGAGGGGCGATGAGGTAAATTCATGGCTGATGGTGGGAGCGGATAAGGAACTTGTAAGGGTGATGTAGGACGGCCAACTCCATTGTAGGGTATGGTTGTGCGTGCAGAGCTAGCGCTCCCAGCGTCGCTGGATGCGCGCGCAGGACTACCTCTCCAGCCTGGACCGCTGCTGTTGGCTGCAATACGCGGACTAAGTATCGTACTGGCATCCATCTCTTCATCCCCCTCTCTATCGCGTCGAGTCTTTCGAAGAGGTGTTCCAGGTCGCGCGCCTCCAACAACTGTGCCCGCCGACAGGAAACTTGACCGTTTGTCCGAGCGCAGAGAGCCTGCAAGCGATTCGTTATCCTGCAGGTCTTTCTTCATGCGCTCCTCATGCTCCATATCGGCTGCGACTTGTGCTTTGATTTCAGGGCTAACGCGCACCCAGGCAAAGGTGCGAAGCTGCGTAACCCAGCCGCCGCGCATGAGCCAGGCGAGGATATCCATGTACGCATCCCGATGCTCAGCTGTAGGTATCAAATATCGATATTCTTTAGGCTTTTGAGATAGCAGGCTGAGCATCTTTGGTAAGCTAGGGAGGGTCGGGAAGCGTTGCGCATATGCCACCATAGCAGTTTGTAGAGTCGACAAGTCAGCGTTGGGAGACACGATGTAGGTGTCTCGTGGGTGTAAGGGGGTTATCAGTCTTGCGCGACGCCAGTATACCAAGTGGCTGGCTATGTATTCCATATCCTGCGCATCGATATTGTGTTTGAGTGAGATCTTCAGCAGTGACTTGGTGGGCACGATAGTGCGGATATAGAAAGAGAGAGCTGCGGCGTTCGCCTTCTCGGCTTGGAGGTCTTTGAGAATGACTTCGGGGTCCTGGAGGAGTAAGAGAGCCGCGTGCTGGGTCATGGGAGCTTCGGGTTCATCATCGATTACTACATTGGAGGTTGTCAGCCAGAGACCGGGCATTTGAGGTTCCATTGCATTTGGCAGGTAAGGTGTGGAATCCGCTTGAGGAATCTGGAACGACGTGTTGAAGCTCGCGTCAAAGTGGATATGGGCAATCTTGTCTGTCGAGATGGCATCGAACATGGTGGCAAGTGACTTCGCTAACGGTGATGTGCTGATGATCTTCCTCCACGTTGCTGTCAAAGACTCCCCGTTTTCCTTTGCGCGCTGCTTGATGTCGATGATACGTTTCGACTCCTTCCACACATACTGAAATCGTGCTTCTTCGTACTTTAGCGCCTTGGCGTACTTCTTGGTCACGTTGTCATACATGTCTTTGACACGCATCTGGTGTTCTAAAGCGGGTGGATTAAGCACAAATACAACGTTAAACATGGACATGTCAGGGGTGTTGTTCGTGGTGGAATCACTCTTGACGTCGGACCCAACGTCAGACGCCGCGGCCGAAGGCACTGCAGAGTCCATGTCGTGGCCATAGCCAGCCTCAAAACCTGGGGGAAGTACAAAGACATCTTTCTTCTCTGGCCGCTTGTCATCCCGCGAACTCTCTTGTTGGTCCGAAGCATTGGCGGTGAGGTTGGCCAGTAAGTCGCCCTCAAGTAGGCGCTCCTCTTGCGAGCGGTTCCGCCTCTTCTTGCGCTTCTTCCACAGGCCGTCGTCCCTCACGAACATGGGAGCGCCTACGAAGACGATGCTCTCGACGCCGAGCTCGAAGCGCCTCTTGTTGAAGGCCTTGGTGGGGCACAGCATCTTCTCCAGGGCGTCGACCTTGAAGCCCAGCACTGTCTCCCAGTCACGGTCGCCGCCCTTATGCTTCCCGTCCTTGTCGACCTCGACGCCGTCGCCGTCGCCGTGGCCTTCGACATCGTCCTCGTCGAAGCTCTCCTGCCTGCCCCAGGCGCCCGCAGCAGGCCGCAGCTTATCTCGGTCGCGGTGGCTCGCAGCGGTTCGCCCAGACCCCCGTCCCCCGCTTGCCCTGCTGCCAGCCTCATTGTCGTCATCGGCACCATCCGGTTCGGTGCTACTGTCCCAATCGCTGTCCGAGGCGTTGGACTCGTCGATGCTGCCCGTTGTCGTGTCGTTGCCAAACCAGGCGGGTGCCTTGGTCGCCAAAAGAGCCGCGGCCGACGGCGAGATGGGCGGGTAGTGGAAGACAAGGCGCGGGCCCAGCGAGCGCGACTTGGTCACCAGGAGCACCGCCTGCAGGTGCGAGTTGGGCGGGAGAGGAAGCTCCATTGCCTGCGACGCGCTACGGCATGCGCATCTTTCTTCTCCTTCTTTCTTTCGTCTTTTTATCTTCAATCCTCTTGCTCGACCCTCACATCCATTACACGACGCGTACTGCTGCTTTCAGCTTGTGGGGGTTGCAATCACTGGCAGCGTGGCGGGGACCTTGGTCCGGTTGCGAGGAAGCTTGGGCCACTCGGCTTTTGTCCTCCCAAGTGACGTCCATCAAGCCAGAGACGTACCATCGAGCCACCCACCAAACTAAAACACTTGAAAATCATACTTGTAGCAAGCACCGCCATAGAAAACGTAAATATCATGGGTGTCTCTGCCTTCAGCGACAATATGGACATCAGCCGTACCCTTCAGGTCACAACTTTGGATGCTCATTCGAGAGTGGCTTACCTCAGGGTCCACAATCACACATGGTATCTGCTGATCATTATTCACCGACGTGATCATAGCCGACCTTCATCTTAGCGCTAGAGCCTGTGTAGGTATCCGGCACAGAATATGGAACCTCATCATGGTGCGGGTTACCCTAGATTTGGCATTGGATGCCTGACCTGAGAGCTTCAGCGGATAGCAAGCTTACACTAACTTTTTTTTTGATGCAAGAACGACTCACCGTATCAGGTATATGACATTGTTCTATAGCCTTCACTGACAATCAATCATGGTGAAGTGCAGCTTCGAAAGATTTGAGATGGATTATTGTTGAGCTGCAGTCAGTGACGATACGACATCGATCTTCCTTGGTGGTCTAAATGTCTGAAACATAATTAGAATCAATTTCTCGCCATTCCTTCTTCTTTTTCAAGATCCGCGTAACTGTGCATCGCCACAGACAGCCGAATCGTCTTACCCATGCCCGTACCAAATTGGCGCCGGTCGGTCCCTTCTCCGCATGTTCGCCAACTGCGCCACTAGTCGGCCCAGAAAGCCGCTCGCCCGTGCACAAACCCTATCCTAGAGTATGTCTAAGTGGTCTCGATGCGAGCTCCACATGGTCATTATTAGCTAATAGACTATGATCATTCAAGGTGGGAAATGGCGGTGTCCTGCTCAGATCGCCGCCAGGTTTACTTCTGTCCTGGACGTCTATCTTCAATCCTCAGTTCATATCTGCGCATAGGTGAGGATGTTGGATAAAAATCTTCATTTCTGTTGCGGCGACCATTGATGGCACGGTTTGATTCAATGCCAGTTGTACCAGTTGATGCGGCATCGCCGCCGCGGTCTCTAACTGTGGTGGTGGCAGGAGCGTCAAAGCTCTTACCGCGCGATGGAGACAATCGTACGATTTACGCAGGAGAGCCGCCTCGTGACCGTACCATATTCACAGTATTATCTCTATTCTGTATCATAGTGCTATCACTGCTGCTAGGTACGTACATACCGTGGTCATCAAAGCTCTGTACTTATTTTGCCCCACAACGAGCATCACAGTAACTGACTATTGACCCGATACTTTCTGGACATTGAACATTCCTGAAGCGTAATGGCTGACGATTTGCAGGATCTCGATTTAGTCGGCTACGACGCAATGCCGTCATGAAGCGAAACCTCACTTCCATGCTCGTTCTGGCTATGTACCTATCTGTCCTGTCCTTCATTATCTGCTCCGCAGTCATGCTGGCCGGCCAAGGATTGTACAACTACGGATTATGCTTCAGTGCCACATGGATCTGCTTGATTCTGTACACTCTTTCGAAATTCATAATGTCAGTACTGTTCCTTGTCAGGAGTATTGGTACCCTGTGTTACCCAGGGATGAGCGGTGCAGCACTTATACTATTGACCTAGTACTCTGCCTGTGGATGAGTTGCGCCATGCTGACAATTATAGTTATGTCTTCCTCGTTGAGCGCATTCACGTTGTTCGCGCGCCTTTTGTCCGCCGCAGTCACGATTGGCTGTATCTATCATGTCTCGTCCTGATGTCGGTGTCCTTTCTAGCTGTCGCTATCAACGCGTACTTGTCCCCCATCATTACCATGGAACCAGATGATGGACGCTGCCATATGGGCATACCTGGAAAGGCTTCGATTCCGTTCATGTCAGTGGACATTATCGTTGACGTCGCCTTGACGAGCGTGTTCATCTGTCTCCTGCGCCCGCTGGTCAAAATGCATGGACTGAACAGAGTGTCGAACGTGGTTGGAATCCCAGGGTCGCAAAAGCCTAGAACGGAAAAAGAAAGGCATGACACTGCGGTGCAGAAAAACATCAAGACGCTGCTTTGGAAGAGTTTGATTGGAAGCCTGCTGATCATGATTCCCACCGTCGCGAATATGGTTCAGTTTTATATTACGGGCGGAAGGGAATTGGCGCTGGTTTGCCTAACGTTATGCACGATAGATGGTAAGTGCCAATCTCTTTCTAAAAGACCAATGCCCTGGCGAGTCACTAACGTTTTGCAGTCAGTTGGGATGCTGTGGTCATCCACTGGCTCACCTTCGGATCGGCGGAGCAAGAAAGAATGTTGTCACGAGCCACACCACCTTTGGACCTCCGATCGAAGAACAAAGTATCGCCAGATCCGGAAGGGCTTTGCCCCAGCTGTAAAGTGTATAAGGCCACCCCATCAGATGTAGTCGTATCAACTGTAGCGACACCTTTAGAAGAGCCGACCCACGCTCGTCTCACACCATCCACTTCTCATACGCTTTCAGTCGACTTCCTACGAAGGACCACGTCTAGCGACTCGATATTACCAGCGCAGAATGGCTGAAATGAAACCGTGCATACATCCTCATATCTCAAATCATAGCGTTTTGCTGTCAGTTTATGCGGAGTTCAGGAGTATATGCATATGCCCACCATTTACCGCTCAAATTGAGGAACGTAAACAGGCTGCGATACCCACACCTTTTCCGCTCACATCTAGACCAAAGCAGACTTCGAAGTTTGTGCACTTGTTGAAAGTACTAGTTGCGGTCTGCCTCAACTAGTGCAGGACCCGGTCTCGTTAGTTGCTCTTGGACAGATTAGAGCCTCAAGTAGGTCCCCACGGGCCGCACGAAGATCATACACTTGTGCACCGTCCCGGGCCTGCGGGAAGTGGGATTCGACTGCGGACTTATCCAATGAATGCTTCGTTCAGCGGTGCGTTTACGCCACATGTCGTTGCTATGAATCAAGTTGTCACATCGCGCGTCCACTACATGTTGACTTACTGGATTGACCAATCGGGTCAGCGCCATGACATGGTCAGAAGCTATCTCACCGCGCCACACGCCTGTGCGGACCCTCTAATCATGGCTTCAAGCCAGCAACATCGCAATATCAAAGCCATGTCAACTGAAGTGTCGGCGGCGATAAGTACTCGTTGAACGAGTGTCTACATTGTTCGATTATAGCGAGCAGGTGCGCAGCTGTTATGCTGACCTCTGAGATGAACCCAATTACCAATGCGCGAATTTACCGTGACACGGATAGCGATCCGCATACTGGCATCATAGAAACCACGGAAAGGACAGAGCTTCACAAGCCCATTGAAGTGACATACCTTTTTGAGTGGCATGTTCGTCCTTCGTATGTCTTCTAATACGGTGATCTTCATCCATTGCCTCAACAAAAGTTTGGGTACTGGACAGCTCATTCTAGGATAAGTCGGGGTACTTCAACCTTTGACAAATTATACGACTTTTTCCCGCAGTATTCCCTCTCATGGCGCAGCTTCCTTACGACCTGAAGCTGGACATTATAGACAGGGTACTGAACTCCTCGCCCAACCTCCATCTAACTTTTTTGACATAGCTGAGCAACACAGATAACAGCTCCTTCGGACTTGCGCGCTCTATGCCTCACGTCCAAATCATGGAGAGCAGCAGCAGCTCCACGCCTGTTCGCACACGTCAAGCTGAAAGTCCACGAACGACCCGACGTGCACAATTTCCTCCGAACTGCGGCGCAAGGAGCTCCACTCCATGCAACGAAGAGCCTGGACCTCATCTACGAACCACAGAGCGACCGTCTCGATCTCGATTTCGACGCGCAGATTTTCTCCATCCCGGAACGGGACCGCGACATCGATGCAATTTTACGTTACATTCCTAAAGATAAGCTTAAAACGTTCCGGTGTGCACTCTAAAAGTTTCCTTTGTTGATCTCTTTACATGATGCTGATTTCATTGCTAGTTTCATAACTAGTGGCAATGGAAAGCATGCCATGAGCTATCGATTGATTGCGCGACTTTTGTCGTGCCAGTCGTCGTTGAAGCACATCAACATTCACATATCGGCGCGCGATCCTGAGCCACTTCTGATGGCGGAGATAGCTCAAGTCGCGGATCTATTGAATCTAGACACTCTCCATATCGAGTGTAGTGGCTACAGAGGACGGCATCGATTTCTGGGATGCCTCTTAGAAAGAAGCCCAAATTTGCGGCGTCTGGGTCTCGGGGGAGGTAACGCATCTGTTCCATGCGCACTCGACGTGGTGACAGATGGTACATTCCCAAAGCAGAGCATACAGGAGATTGTCATTCAAAGAGAGTGGTTGGATCGCGAATCCTTCTGTCAAATCAGCAAGATCATAGATTTTACGTGTCTCAAGCGTCTCATTCTCTGGCAATGCATCGACGAACCGGTCGACTTTCTCTGCCAGCTTGTTGCGGCGATTGAAGGCAAGATATCGCCTATGGAGCACTTCGCCTTGGATACGTCAAGTTTCGGGACGCGACCATATGGTATTATTCCCCTGAGGGAACTCTTCGGAAGCTTTCCACGGTTGAAAAGCCTTCATCTGGGCGAATATGGGGCGGGTCCCACTATACTGCTTACCCTGGCAACATGTCTTGATTTTCTGGGCAAGACTGTCGAGGTGCTTTCGATTCATGACCACTGCCTGGCAGCCCCTCTGGGTCTCGAAGAGATCTCCGTCTTGGGTCATCGGCTGCCTTTGCTCAAGAAATTAGGACTTCAGATTGATGAGTCTTGGCTTGGTGTCACACCGAGAGGGAGGAGATATATCGTAAGTATGCAAGGTCTCGTCTGTACTGGATTCAAGCTGACAAGTGGCTTACAGGCGGCGCTCATACCACTCAGACATCTACGGATACTCCACTTGCGGCACCCTTATGCGCAGTGTGAACATCCTAGCAATGAGAGTTGCTATCCGCCTCAGAAACTAGCTGATTTTGCATTTCGTCGCCTAGAGAACCTACAAGTTCTTGTAATCAGTCGTCAGCATTGTGACACGAGTGGCACAAGCAAACCCAATTATAATGCCCGGCGCATGGTATATGTCAGAGATTATGAGCGTAATCCACGACATAGGAGTTTAAGGGGGACGCCAGCGAAGCCACTTGCGAAACCTGTCAGTATGGAATGGTTGCGACACAATGAGTCGGACTTGGGAGTGCTCTATTACGATCCGTTGACACCGTGGCGTGGTGGATGGCCTGGATGGCTGGACGAAGAATGATGATCCGTACATCTACTACAAACCCAGATCAAAGGTTCCGCGTACTTTATTGCTGAACCTGGATTATCAAAAGCACACCGAAGCCTCTGAAGCCATACTGTATCTTTCCCATGTTCTTCAGCGTTGGAACTCGGAATCATTCAATCAAGGGCATGCCACACGCTTGATTCGCTTGCTTTATAGCGTCAAATGAGGGCTCCAATGGGTCACCGGCTACGTATTAGGATGTGCACTAATACCCAACGAGAGACCTTGATACTAAAGCCATCGCGCACCTATAGGTCATGCGACCGTTACTGGTCATGACTTTCACATTCAACGATCATACTGGACATCTAACGCAACCAACATGCCACCTTTTTTTTTTTTTTTCGAAACTCGTCGTACTTCGATCTTGACTCCGCTTAAGCGAACACATCCGTAGCAAACCTCTCATTGCGCAAGCCCTCCCACCATTCCATCAACCTTCCCTCGTCCACCTCTCCACCCTTCTTCCTCACTCTCTCCTCCCTCGCGACTCTCAGACAAACATCCTCAACACCTTTGCCCACCTCGCGGCTCCCGCATACGAACAATTTTGCCCCCGCGTCAAAGAGCTCGACTACCTCTTTGCGGTCATGGTAGAGACGATCTTGCACGTACTTACAGCCTTCCGAAGAGTTTGAAATGTCAGTAGAAGCACGAGAAAATGCGTAGCGGAGTGACACAGCGCCAAGTCTCTCCCAGCGCGAGAGTAGCTCGGCGTATAGAAGGTCGGTTTCGGGGTTGCGACAGCCGTAGAAGAGTAGAGCGGGTGCAAGGGTGCGACCAGCTGCTATTTGTGCGGCACGCTCTTGAATGAAACCTCTAAACGGCGCGAGACCTGGACATGGAGATATTAGCATATGTTTCGACACATTGTGTTCTTGTTGAACTCACCAGTTCCCGCGGCAATCATAATTACGGGCACATTCGTTGCATCCTTTGGCAAGTGGAAGGCTTGGTGTGAGCTTCTCACTGCAACGTGGAGCTTGTCTCCCACGGCTAGGCTGGACAGATAGTTGGACGCCACGCCTACAAAACGGCCCTGGCCGCTAAATGCGGGCTGGTCGACGACGGCAAAGGTGAGCGTGACATTGGCTGGATTCCAGAGCGGTGACGATGATATCGAATACTGACGTACGCGCATCGGAGGCAGCATCTTCAAGAAAGGGCCAAGTGGCAGGCACACTGAAGGGAAGCGTTCGAGCAAATCCAGCACGGATACCCGCTTCTCAGTTATCTCAGCGGTGAAAGCTTCTGTAGAGAGGCGGACAAGCTCGCGCTTTGCGGCTTCGTCTGAAGCAACGTCAACCAGGGCGGTAATATCGCGTTTTGTTGCGGGCTGGGCGAGCTCCACATAGGCTCCGAGGACATCATTTGCTGAGATAGGTGTGTCCACTGGCAACGTGGTAGGACTCGACGATGTGATGGTGAGCATACTATCCCAAGCTAGACCGAAGTATCTCATCGCGCGAGCGACATTCTCTTTGGGATTCACAGGTAGTATGGCAAGGTAATCTCCTGCAGAGTAGCTCATACCTGAAGGCAGGCTGACTTCAATGTGCCGCTTCTCAGGTGCATTGGGTGCACTGAGCACTTCCACCGCTTCTACTCGTGCTTCTCGGACGTCTTGGCGAAGCATCGACGAACGTGGAGTGGTAACCTCGATGTCAAGACTGGCTTCGAACGGAGTGAAGTCGGACGAATCGGAGGCACCATAGCGCTCTCTCACGGCTGGCCAGAAGATCTTTTCTTCCCAGGCTTCAAACTCGGTGAAGATATCGCCCTTTGAAGCGTCGGCAGTCCCCATGTCTGCGATTCTTGTTCCACCTCGCTCTTCTATAGCCCTGTCTATGGCTTTTGGGACTTTGTGAAATGTTGTCGCCCAATCCCGGTGACCGCACCCAAAAACCGTGAAATCTACATCAGTAAGTTCCGAGCCCGTCAAATTACCAAGCCAGGTGACGAAGTGAGCGGCGTTGTCTGCGGGTTGCCCCTCGTAAGACGCCGTAATAATGGCAACCGGTCTATCCTTGGGTAAATTCTCTTTCACAGCGTCCAGCGTGTCTACCACCGCGCTGAATCCGTGATTTGGAGCGTCGCTAGCGAGACGGTTCGCTAGTGCTTCACACGTCCCAGTATTTGATCCGTAGTAGACAGCCATTGGCTTGCCCTGAGCCGCCTTCTTCTTTGTCGCCTGAGCTTTCTTCTCGCCTGCATGCTCGCTGATTGAGGTGGACGCAAGAGCACGCTCTAGCGTGGTAGGACTCATGTGGTTTCGCAGATGAGCTCGCATATAGAAGCCCTTGGGTTTTATTGTGAGCGTTTGCTTGATCTGGAGCTGGTAGGAGGGGTCTTCCATGGTGAAGTTGAAATTCTGTAGCAATATCGCCAGCACCAACAAAGCCTCTTGCCAGGCAAAGGGTCGGCCTATACACGCTCTCATTCCATTTCCAAAGGGCTTCCAGGAATTAGGAAACTCCTTGTTGCGGCGCTCGAATGCTTCTTCTAACATCCGCTCGGGGCGGAAGTCTTCTGCGTCTTCACCCCACACAAGCGGATCGCGGTGCACCTTCGGTAACACTGCAACAATAGGAACGCCCTTTTTGCACTCATACTTTCCACCCAGTGTTGTGTCTTGTTTGGCAGAGAGACCGATTGCTGGGGCCGTAGGCTGAAGTCGGAGGGATTCGCGGAGTACAGCATTCAGATAAGGCAGCTTGGTGAGATGATCGACTGTTATTGGGTTCTTCCCAATGACCTCATCGACCTCTTTTTGCGCTTTCTCATAGGCGCTTGGACTCTTCAGCAAGTAATAGAACGTGAACGATAGGAGGCCGGAGGTGGTTTCGTGGCCAGCAATCAGGAAGGTTATCATGTTGTCGATTATGCTTTCTTCGGTCATCTTTTCGCCCGTCTTTGGATCAACACCATTCAACATGCCGTTCAGTATGTCCTTCTTCTCCGTCGGGTTCTGTTTCCGCTTGTCGATGACGTCCTGGCTTACTTTACGAAGTAACTCCACATTCTCCCAATACTGGGCAGTCTCCGAGCGGTAGAACATCTGCGTAATGGGGTCGCGGCGTGCGCGATCTCCACTGACTTTCAAGAAATCAGCCATCGCCTGGATGAAGGGGTGCATGTGCTCCGAATAGTAGGAATTGAAGCGGAAATCCATGGCGCACAGTGCAATTGTATCCAGAGTCAATCGCGTGAAATCATCCGTTACTTGAATGAGCTGCTCTGGGCCCTGGCGCGCCCATTTCATGACCAGTTGGCTTGCGATGTCGTGCATCTCGTCGAACATGTTCCTGATGGCCAAGGGGCCTAGCGCAGGGAGGAGGACTCGGTGGGCGATTCCCCAATTTTTCTCCTCGGGTCCTCTAGCTGTAAACAGCCCATCATGAGTACCGTTTCGGACCTCGTTCAGAGAAGCTGCTATAGTCTTCGAAACTAAAGATGGGGGCTCAAAGTCAGTGTAAGTTCACAAATCAAGGAAGTGGGTGAAGCAGGTATTCTAGCCAGCTACTAACGTCTGAAGATTTCAGACTTAGAGGTGTAAGGCCTGGAGTCTTAGACAATTGCTCGGCATGAACACCCACTTAGTACCCCGACATTGCGTACATCGCTCTTCATTGCTGACCTCATTCATCAGTGCCTGCGAAGCGATTACGATGCGATCGCCGCCGATGTTAAATTTCCATAGAGGTCCTAGCAAGATGAGTTCAAATATGCTCGACGCGACGTTCGAGCCTGGAACACGAACCATAGATGTCTGTCAGGCGCATAAAGCTCAAAGTCGGGTTTTCACCATCAATATCACCCAGGTTGCCTATGATAGGCATACCTGGTGGGCCCGGTATCGGTTCGTAATCCATATTGAAATTTCAACTGTCGTGAAGGTCGTAGGCGTCGTGAAGAGCGTTGCAATGTGCTTATCCGAATGGTGTCCCCTTAAACGGCGGCGGACATTCAGTATATCTTTATAGTGTGATGCAAGGCTTTCCTATCCACAATGACCCCATGCTCCCCTTACGTGCGAAATTGTGCATGAGCAACGCAGGGTTGCGTAGACATAGGTTGTCCCGCTTCGCCGACTCCGAGAGGGTTCGCCTTGTTGAGCGATGACGCTGCGGGACATGCCTCGGTGTAAGATGCAATTGCTGGCTGTGATTGGCTTAGTGCTTTGACTAAGCTCAGCCTCGGCGCAGAGCCGCAACAACTGCGAAAATAGGTCGCGGAAAGCGGTCACGGAGCTCGGCCGAGCGTTTCGCAAAGGTGTTCTCGTTCGACCAAGATACGCCAAGCGATGCTCTTCTTCAGAGCCTCGGCTGATGGCGAAATGATAAGGGAGAGCGTGGAAAGGGCTTGACTGGCTTTGCGGACGCGCCGTTCTTCACGTGAAATACAACACGTACCGTGGGACTACCACGCTCCCTCATGACGGAGATTTTTGTATTATGTAATTACGCATGTCGTCTCAAGTGCTATGTATCGACATTTACAATTAGGGCGGCCGGTCACCCATTGGGCAGTCCATGTATATAGCCTTCGCTCCTGTGGTATCATCGCATGGCGTATCGTCCCTTCGTCTCCTCCCTTTTATCATATCATACACAAGTACAAGCTCGTCTCACAAGCATCTACAGCCTGGCAAAAATTCCAAAGAACACGCCGAACCCGACAAATGCGGCCGAAAAGCTCCAACGCGCTGATCCACCCTGCGCAGAAAGGTCGAAGGGGCTTCCGTTGCCGATGTTCGTTGCCTGAGCTGGGGCAGAAGAAGCAGACGACTCTTGTGGTTGTGATGGCGCCGCGGCAGTCGACGCAGCGGCATCTGCATTTGAAGTTGCAGCGGGACTGGCGGTCGGCTTGCTCTCAAGCGTTGAAGTCACCATTTCTCCCGTCGTCATGGTACTGGGGCCCATGACAATCGGAATGAGTACTTGCAGCGTGTTCCCATTGTCATTTGTCGTCGTCACTGTGACTGTGCTCGTGATAGTGCTCTCTAGGCCGTTGCCTGATTCTTTGGAGGTCTTGGGGCCTTGCGTGGAGTGTTCGGCCCTGCGTGTGGATGACGGGGTCGCTGACGTTGTGGCGGTTGCGCAAGCGTAGGCGCTGCTCAGGATCTCGTCGGGAATCTCGTCGGGAATCTCGTCTCGAGTGGCTTTGCAGTACATCTGTAGAGGCGCGAGGAAGCTGAGAGCGACATTTAATCCGTCTGCATTACAGTCCCGCACCGCGCATTCGACTGCACTAGTAAGGTAATCGCCATCCTGGCTGGACTCGCATATGCCTGTATCGCGTCAGTACGCGTAGTGCAGAAGACATTGAAACAGACTGACAGCTCTTAGAGTCGCATCCACTGCTGTCCAAACACGTTTCCCAGCAACTTGGAAGCCCATGAACCCAGTCCCACCCGCCTCGACCGTGCGCGACAGCTCCTGCAATAAAGTTCACTGCCACTACCGACGCAGTTGCTGAGAACCACATCGTAACGTCCGGGAAGGAGTGAACAGGAAGAACGTGATAGACCACCAATGTGGAGAGTCGAGACTAATGGTACAGTCCACGGCTGCCGGCTCAAGGCTGCCAGCAGGTCGCCTGCTTGTGCTGAGCCCCTTCACGGTGCCACGGCATCACCGCCTGTCGCTCACAGCTTTCGCATGATTATGCCATGATTGATCTACGCGAACACCGGCGATCCCTCTGCAACCAATGAAGTGGCGTGTCTCGTTTTGGGAACGTGAAATGCGCCGGTCCCTGTCTTATTTCGGGCTGCGCTGGCGTTTCAGGTTGAGCGGACCATGCACACAGCTTTGGACTCTTTGGTAGAGAGCTGCCCTTATACATGATCCTATAATACCGAACCCAATAGCTGGCGATCTCTAGACGACCTTCATGTTGGCACGAGAGGACGGGTCTCAGTTCTTTCAAATGTTGGTGCGTGCAGTGTCATGTTCTCCAGAAGTGGAAGGGCGGGGACATCCCCACTTGGGGCCTAAAGGCCGACCGGGGAACACGAGATCACGTGCGCGTTCTTTAGCCATGGAGGCCTCTTCACAACCATGGACGCCTTTATGAACATCAGCTACGACCGCCTTTTTTTTTTTAGCGCGGCTGTCTAGTCGTGGATGGTCCTGATCTGCCTCTTGCGTCAACGTAGACGTCGATTATGCAGTATAATATCATCTCAATATCTTAAAGACTCATGATAGCTTGAGTTTACCTATGGCAGGTTATTGAGAGTTTGACTTACAATTAGATTGTCTAACAAGCTCAAGCTGACCTCCTTTAGCTTCTCTCGTATGCAACGCGTAGATCTCGATATATGTCCGCACTCTACTCCAAGAGCCGGTGACGGCACGAAATGGTAGCCTCTTTCAATCGCGGAGCTGCTCGGTCGATTGAGATCCCCAGCTTACCATCGGTGCGACTTGATCATGCGCCAACTGCATCACAATGGGTGTGAGAGGCGTCGAGTGGCAATTACATAGCTGGTACGAACAGACTAGGAGTGGTCAGAGAAGGCAGACGAATAAGACTCTACTCGACATCCATCCTAGCCCACCCGACCTCAGCAGTCAAGCCGCCACCCACAGCAGCAGTCGAGCTGCCTCTGAATCTAGTGGGTCTCTTACTCCGACGCCATCAGGTGCAGCCCAAGCACGACACACTACTGCTGTGAGTAGGCCGGACAATCTTCTATAGCACTTGGACTAACACAAGTGTTGTAGATCCAGCCAATCCCAACCGAGGGTCCGTTTTCCTGTTGTCCCAAGAGGCGTCAACCATCCCAGAACTTTAAAGGGTTATCATATCACTGTTTGGTGATGCACCCAGGGCAGATTGTGGACCCGGATTCGCCCTACCCGAATGGGACACAGAAAATACCGTGCCCAAGACGATGCGGCGCGCTCTTCCCTTCGTATCACGCAGCTAACCATCATGTTAAACCGAAGTTCGACGAGTGCCCTCTACCTGAGCCAACATCCTGCCCTTGGAACAAGTTTAGCGGTTGCCAGTATATCGTAAACACTGCTCGAGCTGTTCTCGGCCATGCGCTTTGCCATACACACGATCCCCGCGGGCCATACCAATGCTCTCGTAAGTGTGAACATTAATCATTGTGGATGTATATAACGTCGTTAGATCCTGGCAGTTGGCAGATAACAGACTGGTTATTTTGATCGTAGTTTAGCCCCTCGAGAGAAGCGAGTTCGCTAGTGAGTATATTGAACCCGAACTCTTCTAAAGAGATATTCTGTGGAGTAAAGACACCCTTGCAAGCAATCTCTGTTCGGTCAAGCGGCCGCCTTACTGCCTCCCGCCGCTGTTGCTGTCGCACGCACGCCAGCCAAGACTCTTCTGTTCAGTTACTCTCATGTCATTCCCGAATGCTCAATGGAACCTCTAATTACATCATTGTGGAGAATTATTGGGACAAAATCTCGCAGTATGTGGAACAAGAAGGCTGAGCACTGTGGATGCAGGTACAATACCTTTTCTACTGCCCACACATGACTGCACGATGCGCGATTGTAGAGAAGGCCGCGGATGCGATCATATCGAGGGTTCCAGTAATCGTGCATAGACTCGTCGGCGCGTATCTGTTTGCATATACAAGAGTAGATGACTTGTGATAAGATGTTGCAGTTGCCGGAATAACATGGGCAAGAGCAGCAATTGACAGCTAGCCACTGCCGAGATGAACTGCCAGATCCTATGCAGTGAGCTTATACTGCCATGTCAATGTTGTATAACATACATATGTATACAATATGGCGCCATGCTCATGCTCTATAGTGCTATGCTACAACCGTACTCATACAAGACACATTAACACAAGTAAGAAGCGGATGGTATGTACAACGCGCTTTCCTCATCACACCGTCCTTGCCTACTCCGAGTCCTCCTCCAACCCCTCCCACAGCTGTTTCTCCTTTTTCGGCCACAGCCCGGTAAACCAAGATGCCCCTTCCTTACCAATAGGCATGCTGTTCGCTCTCTCTTCTTCTTCTGGAGTGAGTTCGAACTTCCTCATCCGTTCTCCGATTCTTGGATCGATGACCATGTCGTCTAACCAGACCCTCTCTCCGTCGTCATCTTTCCTCTCCTTTGCCGTCTTGTGCCACTCCGGCTCTTCATGCGTGAGCAGCCGCTGCTGTTCCCACTGCGACCCTTCGTCATTGTCCAGGCTAGCTAGCTCGGAAGAAGTGTGGTATGGTCTGTATGCGCCAAGCACAGCGGCAACAGTTTGTCGGCCCGCTTCGTCTGCAACCTTCCGCCGGTTAAGGAAGCGATACATGCGAATTGGGAAGTTGAAGAAACCGAGAAGGTGCGGGAGCGCGACGGTGGTGGACGGGCCGAGGGCTTGTGGGCACGTAGACGGAAGTTGTGCTTGTGAGTATTCGGCGGTTGTGTTGAAAGGTGGTATCTGTCTCTTCTTCTTCGGCTTCGTCTCTTCTTCTTTGGGCTTTTCGGCTTCAGAGGGCGGTGATGAATCGTGAACGGTTGTAGGGGCAGCGTCGTCGGTCGGCGCTGATTCCGTAGGCTGTTCAGGAGTTGTTGCTGGTGCGGAAGCTGGTGGAGCTTCAGGCGCAGGGGGTGCGGGTTCGTACAGGTCTACAGAAGGTGGAGGGTCCAAAGGCCCCAGCCATCCCTCATGCATACCTCTAACATACTCCTTCCAGGTATGTCTCCCAATTACTATATCGCCTGCCGGTCCGTCCCATTCTGGCACACCGGCCCTCTGTCTCAGATCTTCTATGATGTCTTTTGTGTCGATTTCAGGCTCTTCCTTCAAGCTTTCTCCTCTCTTCCACCTCAACCTGCGTATCCTTTCTGCCAACCCTGCCCTGACATCGCCCTCTCTTCTTCCCTCCACCGCATCCCAATCCAGTGCCGCAGCAACCAGTATCGGCTTGACGTATTCGTTGAAATGGTCGCGCGCTGCTACAAGTCCATCTGCCGGCGGCGCAGACAGGTAAACAGTGAGCTTACGCGGCATCTGACGCTCGTACACAGGTTCTTTCGCGATGTGTTCGACGGCTTTTGTCCATTTTTGTTGTATGCGCTTCTTTTCGCGACGGTCATAGACAACAGCGGCGGTCCACGAGCCGGTAATGGAGAGAAATATCATCCAGTTTCGCGAGGGAAGTCTCCATCGGAAATTGGGAAGACCTAGACTTGTGAGCATGGGGAGGTAGATATGGACAGCGGAACAGAGACGCACCCATCATCCTCCACACAGGATTCGGAGGCTTTGGTGGCTTCGCAGCATTTTGCGCTGGATTTGGCGCTGGCGACGCTTTCGCGTCGGATTCAGCCATGCTGTTTAAACGCGGAGTGATGATTGCAAGCCCGTCTTCATCGGCGCGACAAAAAGTTAGACGCGGAGGACGGAGCTGTATCGGCCCGATGTCCCCCCTGGACTTTCATCATCTTCTCGCTAGCGCTCGCTACGGATGACCCACAGAACCCCACACCCAACCAAAAGAATTCTCACTTGTTCCACAAGACAAAACCCTCGCAAAAAAGGAAGCTTTTCAGCTATTGGCGGTACTGGGAATCGAACTGTTGTTACAGTCAGTACACTTGTTTGATGCGTTGATAGATCCTCTCAAGGAGAGGGCCAACCTACCCCAGGCTGGCGCGGAATTATCATGTGCTTTCCACAACGCGACGTCATACCACTAGACCATACCACCGTGGTATTTGTTGGTGAGTCGCAATCACCTGATTGATGGAGGTGCTCAAAATTTTGCAATACATATACCTGGTCAAAAACTCCACAGCAGCGTTAGAATACAGTCTGCCGAATAATGTGACGCTCATGTCCATGTTGTGTCATCGTGATGCAAAATTGATTGGTATGTGGGACGATGGGATCCACTTAGACGATTCGCTCGGCTCACAGGACCTTCACGTGTGTACCCCTTAAGCAGCAATATTGGTCGAATTAGGAGACACTAGACTGGCTCATTTTAGTGTGAAAGAGAATCGCCTCCTTAGAGTAACACGGAAATGCAGTGAGTTGCTCCAACGAAGCACCTCCAAACCATACACCTCACTATGACAATTATTTACAAGAAGGACTGATCAGCGCGCCATTTCCATGCATTTTTGACACAAAATAATCAAATTCGTTCACCATGGCTCACGCACTCCAAGCTACAGACGCTGCCAGATTAAACATTTTAATGATTCTGCGCCAATTGATGTCTGCAAAGCTTGCTGCATTCCTAACCGATACCCATACACATACGATTTCTAACTCTTGTCCGCCCTCAAATAGTTCACACCTGTAGTTCGAATCGCCAGACACAAGGTCATTGTGGCTCAACACGGTGAATCGTGTCGTCTTCCGAACGGCAACTAAGCTGCGTATGGTAGGATACAGCTCTTTCTCACAGCTCAAGTTGATGGGTTGCCTGGCCGCGGGGATCGATAGGTGCCTCGCTCAAATCGTCTGATACTGCCACGTCTTCTTCTTCCTCCTCGACATCGGAAGTGATGACAAGGTGAGCGGGTGTGACCGGTGGTGCTGACGCTTTCTTCGGACGACCCCTACCTCGACTGGATTTAGGAGTACCCGCTGTGGCTTTTGCTGCGCCCGTGTCTTTCTTCGGGCGGCCTCTCTTTGCCGGTGTGGCCGAAATTGCCTCTTTCTTCGGACGACCTCTTGCGCGTTCGATTGTTTTCGAGCTTGCTGCTGTAGTATCATCCTTTCTTGGTCGTCCTCGGCCTCGGCCAGGCGTACCGGCAGCAGGTGCAGATGATTTGGAGACGGCGTCTTTCCTTGGACGACCTCTTGCGCGTCCGGTTGGGTTCGAATTCGTAGCTGTGGTCAATCCCTTCTTTGGTCGGCCCCTGCCCCGGCCAGGGGTTCCAGGAGTTGGTGTAGATACATTCGGGACGGCGCTGTCCTTGAGTTTGGCTGTACTCAGATTGGGTGTAGATTGTTTTCGTGTAGCAGTGGTTTCGGTCCTATCTTTTTTCGGTCGTCCTCTTCCACGTCCTGAGGTCTCGGGGCTCTTGGCAGCAGACGTTGAGCCCTTGGGTCGACCCCGGCCACGCTTCGCTGTATCAGAGTTTTTCGACACCGCCGGTGGTGTAGCCTCGTCTTTTCTGGGCCTTCCTCGGCCCCGTTTCGGTTCTTGGGAAGACTTCGGCATTGCGGTGTGTGCGTCTGTTTCCTTCCTAGGACGGCCGCGTGGACGCTTAGCCGGAGGCACGTCGCTTTCTTCCAATGGGCGCTTTGCCAAAGCTCCTTTGGACGACATTGCGGGTGATTGATCACGAGACTGCTCGTTGCTTATCAAAAAATTAGAGGAGCGGCATGCAAGAGATGCCAAAAGAGATGGCCGCGACTTGGTGGACTTGTCCCAAAACGCCATTGCCGTTCTAGTCCAGGTGGCTGGTCCCAGCCACACGTCATGGAGACTCACCATTTACTGATTTGTTGTAATAAAGTGCTCCTAGGCGATGGATCTGTACGTGTAGGTTATCCATATAAATAGCATACCCCTAGCTTGTATCGTGTTTGCGATTGATGCTTCGCAGCAAACAGCCACGGTCCTCCCAAACCTGCTATAGTGGTTGTGAATCTAGTTGATCATGATGAATCAACACCATCCTGGGCTCTAAGAGAAGCTAACAGGCTTTCCTTAACCGTCACTGTAGGGTTAAAGTCGTGTGAAGCATTTATCAGCGGCTCCCAACAAAGAATGTGCATGATCTATCTGATTGAAGACCCTGAACAGCATGTGAGGTGCAGAATTGACTGTTTTTTTGGGGATTGTGGCAATGAACGACCTATTGTACGTGGTCGGCTTTCACATTGGTCTCGTACCTTTGATAGTGCAGGTGTTAAGATGGGTCGAAGATCAGCACTCACAATCAAAGCACGCTCGCGCCACCAGCCCACGCAACTACCCCGCCATACCCACATGCATGGCTGCCCCTCACCTAAACGCGCAGCATCTTCAACGCGCCTTCTCTTCCAAACACTCCCTCCACCTCTCTATTACACTCTCTTCAAACCGCCAACATGTTTAAGAAGGAGTATGCGTCCTGAAATGCCCCATTCTCTTGGTTCAAATCGCTAACATACGTAGTATAACCTCCGGCGCGAAGTCGAAGGTGAAGTCTTCAGTGCAGCGCACCATCCGCCAGAAAGTGCTTGACGCATATCCTCTCCTCGAACCGTACATCGAGGATATCCTACCCAAGAAAGAGCAACTCGATCTCGTAAAACTGTATGTTTGCCTACCCACCCATTCCTCGTTCCTTGGCCTTCTTCACTCCTCTGATACTTCATTTACCGCATGCGCGTTGCTAACGAAGACGCTTAGACCAGACCGCGTATCCCTCTACACCCTCCAATCGACCCCGCTCTTCTTCCAACACATGGATGATGCCATCCTACCGCACCTCACGATCGTGCACCGCTACCCGAATTGCTTCCCTAGACTACGCATTGATCGCGGTGCCATACGTTTTGTGCTCTCCGGTGCGACCCTCATGGCGCCTGGTCTGACCTCTCCGGGTGGCCGCTTGCCTGGCGATCCAAACGATACGGAAGGAAGATATGGCAAGGAAGAATTGGAAGCGGGCACGCCAGTAGTGATTGAGGCCGAGGGCAAAGAGACAGCGTGCATGGTAGGTGTGCTGAAGGTTGGCACGGCAGAGATGAAGAAGACAAAGAAGGGTCAGGCGTGTGAGGCGGGGCACTATTTGGGGGATGGGCTGTGGACGCTGTCGTTATGAGTAGGATTAAGGTGTGTGGCATGCTTGCAATCGTGGACCTAAGGGGATAGATACGAGGAGGCCTTAGAGATACCAAAGGAAGATTTTGAAGGAGAGCGTATGATTTGCATATACAAGACGGTTGTGAAGCTTTTTCTCGGCGATATGAAGGCCGAGTGCATCGTCCATCTCCGTGGCTTATTGCACGAGAGTCCTGATATTATCCTAAGGGTGCTCGTGTGTTGATGTTGAGGATAATTTATTCGTACAGCGAGCATCCGAGCAGGAGGATATTCGGAAACATCAATTGGTATCATTATTACGGTCTAATCATGTGGTGATACTATCGTTCAACTCTTTCCAAGGATCACTCCAGCAAATCGGCACTCATGGCAACCTTCCGCAAGCACCGAATCATGATGAGCCACCAGCACCCCGGCCGGCACCACCTCGACCAGCGCCACCCATGAAACCCCGTGCCCTGCGTATGTGTATTAGCGACTTGGCCGAAGCAAAGTACTGAAAAGGCCGGAAGGAAGAGACGAAGTGTCAAGAACTTACATCTCTGCAATATTGGGATCGTTCATCATGGATGCGAGGTCGGGCATTCCACCGCCTCCTGCACCACCTCCACCAGTGAATCGCTCCGCCATCTGCCTCAGTTGTGGATTGTTCATCATGTTGGCCAACGCATTGGGGTCCTGCATCATCTGTTGAATAGCGGGGCTTTGCATGGCCTGCTGGATCATCGGGTTGTTCATCAAGCCCGCAAGGCCGCCCATGCCACCTGCACCTCCCTCATCACGACCTCCTTCTCCTGCTTCAGCTCCTCCTCTGCCTCCTGCTCCGCCGAACATATTCGCTAGCGAGGCAAGATCAGGCATACCACCCATGCCGGCACTGGGTACACCACGCGATGCTTCCGACTCAAGGGCGCCGTCGTCGCTACCCTCCTCTTCATACTTCTTCTTCGCCGTCTCGTACCCACGACGCATAACGTCCGATCCACCGCCCTCAGCATCCATGCCCGACTTGTACGCCTCCATGGCACCTTTTGCGTCGCCGAGGGGAGAATTTCGCGAAACCAAGTCGTGAGTACGCTTTCGAGTAGCTTTTATCCGCATCGACGGCCGCTTCGGCATCCTTCTTTGCGTCGATGTGGTTGCCAGCGCCCGAGTGTGCGGCCGCACGGTTCGATAGGTAGATCGGGTTCTTCGGGACGATGTCAAGAGCGGCAGTGTAGTGCTTGACAGCAGCTGCATAGTCCTTCTTCTTCATGGCCTCATTGCCCAAGCCCTTGAGCCGCTCTGCTTCATCCTTATTCACACCACCGGGTCCAGCCTTCACGTTCTCGGATGACGGTGTTTGCGGCGTCGCGGGTCGTGCTTCCGAAGCCGAGGAGGAACCCTGTGTGGTAGCCGTTGTTTTACCCTTCAGCTTCTCATACACGTTGTATATGGAGAGGAGGTTCTGGTCGCCGAGGGCATCCTTGACCGCAGCGCTATCTGATAAGTCGACTTTGAAGGCTTCGCCGATGCAATTGGCAGCAACTTCAAGCTGTTCAGCGTCTTCGGCTGCGACAGAACCGTCGGTTTGCGAGGTCTGGAGGAAATCGAGGATTGCGAGCGCAAGGCGCTTCTTGGACTGTGCGGATGATGCCTGGTTCTTCTTAGACACAGGGACCGTTTACATCATGGCGGGGCTAGGAACTCACCATCGCGGCAGATCGAGGCTGTTTAGGTGGGTTACACAGATGAATTGATCTGAAGGTGGCTGCGACGAGAGCTGGAGTAGTTACGCAGAGAACCGTGCGATGGGTTGTTGAGCGTCGAGTGCCACGTGTGGAGGGGTGCGGCGGGTAACCGATGAAGCTACGCGAAGCTTCTCGATCCGCAGATAGTTCGCGGGGCAGCGCCAAGAAATGCGAGCACGTGTTGGCTCAGACCCGATACATGGACTTACAGTGACCGATCATAAACAAGGACATCGTCAGGGAGGCGTAAGTGCTATTGCAATACTGGCATTCCAAGCAACATGATCTTAGATACGAGCCTTCAATCGACCTCCTCTTGCATATCCAGCATGTCCTGGACCCTGGATTCAGCATCAACAACCTCGCTACGACTCTGCACAGATCGCCCATCGCGCCTCGATATCGTCCAGATGCGAACCCGCTCCCAGAGCAACCAAAGACTATTTGTGTCGATGTTGCGAAGCGCCATGAGAAGCGATAGACACACAGCAACCTTGAACATACTGCTCTCAAATTTGCGATGCTTTCTAAACACTTGTGCCCCTATTGCTCCTCGGAACAGAATCAGACATGCGAGCAGCTTTAGATATGGTCGTAGTCGGTATACTGGAACCATGCCAAACCGGCGCAGGAGCGAGCGTTGAATATCGACACGTTCGACTTGCACTAAGACAGTGTACAGTGGTTTATCGTTCCAAGGAGTTTCTTCGATGATGCATGCTGTAACCAATAGCATCTCAGTGTGGGCCGACCTTTCGAGACCAATCGCCAGCATACTGGCAGTCTCATTGGCTAAACATGTATTTCTTGGCAGGTTGGGAGGCGGATGGACACTATGGGAGCTTCTGAGAGCGATCCTATCTTTCTGCCCTTTAAGGTTCAGATCTAGGGTGACTCCATTTGGGAAATTTGTGTGCGTATACAGAACCTTTAGAGGCTCCAATGAACAAAGAAGCCCGGTGTCTTTGTGAACCTTTCTGAGATTAGAAGAGTAGCGGACATTGAACCCGGCGTATATCATCTGGGTTTGGTCCAGAAACAAACCATGAATTGCCAAAAAGGCACGAGGTAGTGGGGTGGTTCCAGGAAAGTAAAGTTGTTCGATTTGGTAACCGTATTTGTCTAAGACTGGTTTGTGTGCTTGCGCAGATATCTCAGTATCGCTGTAAAGTCTACTAAACCGAGTACGGCCCCAGCGGCGAACGATGATAGCCGGCCGCTTATCTATCCTTCCATAGCCTAGAAGGGCATAGAATACGTTGGGCAGTGCTTCGAAAGGTACCAGCGGTAGTTCAATTTTGATACCCACGTTTGTCAGGGACCATGGCGTAGGGGTGTCTTCGGCCGATCCTGGATTGGAGGGCTTCCATCGGAGGTGTTGCATTTCGTCCATTTTGGACTTGTACTGGTCATACCTGGCATCATCTTGGCCAGGGCTTGCAAATGATGCAAATAAGTGAGGGCTCCATGCGAGGAGCTCGCAGTAGCTTCCACGTGTGACTGTGTTATCGGTCCAGGCAAACAAACTATGATCAGAAGAGCTTTGCATGATCTGCTGTTGTAGTCTTATAAATGCGTGGTCACCTTCCCCATAAAGCAGAGGCATCGAGACTTCAAAAAGGCCGAGCAAACAATATGCCATATCTTCCACTCGAGTAGTAGTACGTTTCGATGCCCACGACATTCGCTCTGCTATTGTATGTGATCGTGGATGGAACCATTCAAATACTGAAGGACTGCATATACCAGTCACTTTTTCGAGGCTTGGAAATAACTTTGGGTCAGTTTTGGCCCCCAAATATTCCCAATCCTTGGAGTAGAAGTCCACCTTGGAAGGTGCTAACAGTTCTTGTAGCGTCCATCCTCTTGTAAACCACATGCTTTTAGGGAGGTCCGATAGAGTATGCACATCGTTTAGATATGCATAACAAATCGTCGATTGATGATAGTAACGATACATTGAGTTGATGTCCGCCGATAACTCCACATGATTTGTCTTATCAATGCAGATAGTGTCGGCCCAAAGATAGATCAGTCCCTCCCTCAAAGCTTGGTGACCGGCGAGCTTGATTTTCTCGAACCCCTCGTACCTGTGGGCCGTGCCATCTTTCATTGTCTGGTACGTTGGCTCAGACCCGGTTTTGAGCCATCTATGAGACAAAATGGCATAGGAAGGGGTTTTCTCGTTGAAGTCTTGTAGTTTCAATGTTGTACAATTCAGCAGCCTCATATAGGAAGTAGTTTCGAGCGATTTTCAACAAAGTTGCTATAGTTGGCTTCCGTGTTCCGAATGCTGAAGTAAAACAAACGCTCAGAATTCTGAATGCCGCCTTGAAGTGTGCGAGGAAAATTGAAATTGGTGGTCACCGTCGTGAAATCTGAAAGCGATCAGGATCCGAGTGTTCATCGAGACGTGAAAATGGTGTAGTGGCGCGGCGGTAGCACGGTGCAAAGACTCGTAGCGACGTTGAGGATCTCGTTGTTGTAATGATTTCGAATGTTCCAACGATTTTAGAACTATGGTAAGTTGCACAGTGTCGCAAACTTTGCTTGTGGCCGGATGATGCAGTGATCCTTTTTGTACGTGAAAGTCTTGTGTTTGTGGATCAACGTACATCAGGCTGCTGATGCCTATCAGGAGGAGGCTGCTGCAGGTGCCGCAGCGCTTCGCTAGGATCTTAGGCGCTCCGCGTCCCCTTTCGGATTTATCCCTGCTCTTACTGACGCAGAACCAATTCCCTGATCAGTTCAGCAAATGGTAGAAAAACAGATTGAATATCATTCGTGTATCGCTAGTATGGCTCCATAAAGCGATCAATCCCAGAAGCCTCTCAAAGACTAGTTTCCAATCTGACAAGGCTGAACGTAGTACCATTGTGTAGGTGGAGGTATCTGGCATGCGAAGAAGAAAAAAAGACCGAGAGGCTGAAAGGTGAGACTTATGAGCAGTGATAGCCTCTCTTCATAGAGTGAGCTTTGAGATGCGGAGTCGCGAGACTGCTGTCGGCGTGAGTCGCGTCGTTCCTGGCGGCCAATTTCGAACAGCAACAACTGGAGTCACTAAGAGGAATGCCTAGGGAGCTTAGATTCAATAACATTTCCCATGCTACAATTGCACTCAATCGTTATAACCTGGAGCTCTCCATTGGGTTGCTGCGCATGCATGACCCGCAATGACCGTATCCTTACCGACTCCTTAAATCGACTCACCCCGTGCGCTCTTCCTGTTCTCCGATGCACTTCATTCTACAGGCATCCTGCACGAACGCTTACCCAGAGACCCTCTGATCGCCCAGATGGGCGATTTATATGAAGCCTACCGAGAACATCTGGCGGTACTAAGCGAAGCTCGTTCATTCGTTCACCCAGAGCACATCACTAGATATTCAGGCCCGCGCGAAGCTCCAATATAAAACGCGTGCATAAGCGTCAACCCTCTCGAACCTTCCACATATTGCATACAGGTCCAGACTCTACACCCTGGGGATTCAACTCCACGAAATCTCACATGAGTATGCGCCTGCAATTGCAAGTCCTGTTTGCAGTGTCTAGCGGAGGTATTCCTCCTTTGAAAACGGCGTACATTTATCCGTAGCAGGGCATGAACGCCGTAAGCCAGCACCCTGGAAGCGACCACATGCAACCAATAACTTTTTCCCGCTTACGGCTGACGTCCGCGCTGGAACAATGATCCCGATAGCTCGGCACGTACGCAAACACATGTTTACTGCAGCCCTGACTAGGATGTATACTTGCAACAAGCTGCTATTGGCCCTGTGATTGCTTACTGTGAAGCGAGTCTTCGAGCTCTAGTATTAGATGCTTGGCCTATGTAAGGAACGGCTTCGATAATCAATAGTAAATTGCATGGTTGGAGGATGCTGATGTTAAATAGCGCTCGTGCTGGCGAATTTGTGGGAAGATCATCTTTGTTTCTGTGGCCCCGCGAGTTGCGACCTCTGCGTCAAGATGGCTCGTACTCCTCTTTTCGTTGCGCTTCTTGCTGCTGTCAATTGCGCCGCTGCGGCGAAGTGGAAGGGCGAGGTCAAGAAGGTGGATGGGGCTACGTACCAGTGCAAGTGCTACTCGGACAACTCGTGCTGGCCGACTAATGCGGAATGGAACGCGCTGAACAAGACTGTTGGCGACGCTCTTCAGATTGCAATCCCACCGGGTGCACCTTGCCATAAGATGCTCGGGAACTCGACGACCAGCGTGTACAGTGAGGCGGCGTGTGCTGAAGTCAAGGCGAATTGGATCAATGAGCAGTGGCTGTAAGTAAAGAGCTCCGGCCGCAAAGATTGTGACTAAGAGACTCAGAACCGACCACCCAATTGCGAACCTGTGGCCACTGTACACCAACAACACCTGCCTGCCAAGCGATGACCCAAGCATTCCATGCACCAGGGGATTCTATGGTGAATACGTCATCTTGGCGAAGACGAAAGAGCAGATTAAAACTGGTATCGACTTTGCACGCGAACGGAACCTGCGTCTCATTATTCGCAACACGGTACGAAGATGGCTTCGGTATGTACCAGGAACATAGCTAATATTTGACAGGGCCACGACTTCATGGGACGCTCAACAGGGTTTGGATCGCTGATCATCAACACTCACAGCTTCAAGGACGTTAAGTTCCTCAAGACGTATAGTGGACCCGGAAATTGGACTGGTAGCGCTGCTCTCGTAGGTGCCGGAGTGCAGGGGCGTGAGCTGTTCCGACACGCTTTTGCTCAGAAGCCACCGGTTGTGATTGTTGGTGGAGAGTGTCCGGTAAGCAATCATCCGCCGATATAAGATCAACTACTAACACTCCGAAAGACTGTGGGATGGGGAGGAGGATACATCCAGGGTGGTGGCCATGGTCCACTTACATCTATATACGGCATGGGTGCTGACAATGTCCTCTCATTCGACGCCATCACCGTGAATGGCGAATACGTTACTGCCAACGCAGAGGAGAACGCCGATCTCTATTGGGCCCTGAAGGGGGGCGGTCCGTCCACCTTTGCAGTCGTTGTATCGATTACAGTCAAGACTTTCCCGGAAGTGCCAACCGCCGGTACAATCATCAACATTAACAGCACGCACACCAACGATTCGGCAGTCTTAAACAAGGGATTCCACATCTTCCACAACTTGGCGAACCATTACACGGATAACGGTATGTTCGTTTACTTCGAGTTGGGACCTGGACCTGGGAGATTGCATATAGCTCCGCTAGTTGGCCCTAATATGGATGAGATGAAGCTCAACGAGGTGCTGAAGCCTCTGTTCGATCAGCTGGACGAAGCCAAAATCCCCCACGACAGGCACACCAGAGCCTTCCCCACGTTCTTCGAGTTCTACATCGACATGTTCGAAGATGAACAGCCGAATCAAAACTCGATCGTCGGCGGGCGTCTGTTTACGCGCAAAGACCTCGACGATGGTGCTGACAAGGTAGCTGACGCCATCATCTTCGCTAGCAACAACCCCACACCAAACAATGTCGGCTTGTCGGTTGGTCACATCGTCGACCCTGGCCACGGTGTGCCGTACGCGGACAATGCCATTAACAACAAGTGGCGCAACTCTAGCAGCTTCGTCATCACAAACGTGATCGTGAGTGGCTTGGAGTCGTGGGATGAGAAGAAGCAACTCGAGAATGTGCAGACCAACGTCGTCGGGAAACGGCTTAGGGAGGCTGGTCCTGATGGTGCGACGTATGTGAACGAAGGCGATCTGAACGAGCCAGACTGGCAGCAATCGTACTGGGGCGACAAGTATCCTAGGCTGTTGGAGATACGGAAGAAGTGGGATCCGAAAGGAGTGCTGTATACCAAGACGACGCCTGGTACCGAGGACTGGGAAGTTCTCGATTACGGAACGAAGCTCTGCAAGAAGGTTTCGTGAGCACTTTTGGTATGAGCGGACTGCAGCCCTCTTATCTTAACGTATGTGAAGTAGCTATAAATCTACATCTTGACATTATGACCAGAGTCGCGTGATTGCTGTACCATGTGAGAGGCGACGATCTAGGGTGGACATGGCAAAGACATTGGTGCGCGGAGGTGATGTTATAACAGGGATGATTGAGCGATGACGCCAAAAGATCAAATCTAGACTAGCGGTCACATCACAAGCTCAAGGAACACCGACTTGCACTCCGCAACAGCATCGCGCACGGGTCCAGCTCACGTATCACCAGCTACTTTGCTACTCTCGCTCCAGAACTCGGTTCGCGAATTCTTTGTCGTTGCAGTCCATCCGTTCTCGGCATCACCGCTCGTTCCCCGGCCCGCCTCTACATCATCCAGACCCCGGCACCTTGCAGGCACCCGTTTGCGACACTCCCGCGGTGTTCACCACCACTGGCGCGCCCGATCCACGCTGCGAGGACCCATGGTCCCCGTTCGATGAAAGCGTTACGAGCCCCCTCTCTGTCGATTGAATGCCTCCGGTCCTGAACCCCTTCCTGCGGGCCTTTTTCCGTAGCACTCTCCCCAGCCAGTGCTCACCAGTTCAGCACCACGTAAGCGCCTCTATTACTTGCTTGCTGCACGTCCTAGCTAACACAGAAGAAAGGTCCTCCTCGTTCCCACCACCGAAGTCCTCCTCACCTCCCGCGACCGCGACACGAATGCCTCGTACGCCGACCTGAGCGGCTCCGAAGAGTTTCTGGCCAGCCATGTCCTGCGCGTCCCGGGCGGCGTGGGCCCCAACAACCAGGTCAAGGATGGGTCAACGTTCAGAGAAAGCCGGGGCAAGGCAAAACAGTATTCGACAGCGAACGGGAGGACGGTGATAATCAAGGACGCTTTTGTTTATAGCAACAAGGGCTTCAAGACACTGAACCAGGCACAGCTGCTGAACGATATAATATTCTTCCCTGATACGTTCGAACCGCAGCCATGGCTGGTCTACTTCATCTCGCGGCCGCTCATTGGAACGTACGATGCGACGCCGATAATACCTGCCTCTTTACCAGATCCTACCAAGGAACGCGCACTGAAACATCCGCCGGCGGGCCCGTCCAATAGCGGTCCGACGGCGTCCATGCCGCGGAAGAAAGACGTCAAGTCCTTTGGAGACTTGTTGAACCATTTCCCCATGATCGCGCGGCAGATGCAGCCGGGCCTTGATAGGCTCTTCACCGAATTTAGGAAGGAGTTGGAGAAGCCGCTTCCGCCTACGCCGTCCCGAACGTCTTCTCTAAGCTCGCGGAGACGGGGGTCTGTGTCATCCGCAGAAAGCGTTCCTTTGTCGTTACACAGTAGCATATCCGGTCCCAATGGGTTCATCTCGACGTTGGAGATAGACGACGAGGAAGACCTAATGCGAAGGTCGTTGGAGACAGCAGTCATTGCGGCGATAGACCTGTTTCAAGGGTTGGACAAGCAACAACTCTCTCTGCTTGGTGCGACGACCGATTTGACTGGCCCCATCGTGGAGCGCATGATCGAGAAATACATCACCGAACAACTGCATGCATTCATGTTTCCTCGTTTACAGCATATTCGAAAGTCGGACGATGCCGAGCTTGAGATGCGGATGCGACAAATGACTGATATCGACATTTCGCAGGTGGGCATCGACATCGGCCATGGCCGGAAGGGCAAGAATGAGCTCTCAGTGCGCTTGTCCAAAGCTGTCGAAATATTCAAGAAGACGGGCGTAGCTGGCAGTCCGCAGGAGATGGTGGAAATCCTCCTTGCCGTGCAAAAGAACATCACAATGCCTGAGGCTTCTTCGACTTCCGGGAAAGGTCTTCTGAATGGCGATTCTTACTCGGAAAAGAACGATCACTTGCTCACAATCAATGCAGACACACTAGTGTCTCTGTTGCTTATTGTGGTCATACGATCCCCAATCAGGAATCTACAAGCACGCTTGTCTTATATGCGCCATTTCATCTTCATAGACGATGTGGAAAGCGGCGAGATGGGTTATGCGTTGAGCACCTTTGAGGCTGTACTCTCATACCTGGTCAGAGATTCTGGGAGTTTGCGCAAAGCCAGCCGGCGCAACAGAACTTTGTGGCAGGCAACCAAAACGGGCGACCTCGCAACACTACAGGGTGTACTCGAGCCCTGGAGGTCTTTCCACGAAGACGCTTGGGCTGATTCGGACGAGGACGAGGACATCCGCGAAAACGTTCGGCCTGTCAGGTTCGCACCAAGCGCCTCGGAGCTTTTAGCATCAGCTGAAACAGCCGTCAACGGAGACGCCGGATCTTCGTATAAGCCCGGCAGACTGTCTCGGCTCCGACACAAAGGCGAAGATGGTCCTCTAGCTCATATATTCCCCTTCCAACGAGCTCCAACCCCTCCAGTACTAGACCTTCCAGAGCGGCCAAAACCCAAAAAGAGGGTTTCGATGGACACAAGAAGTATGTCTAGCTCCTCGGCAGTTTCTTTCCGATCGCATACCACACTGGGGTCCCGGGGCACAGGCATTGAAAGCGATACATCGATAGAGAAGCTGTCGAAGACGCAGGGCTCAGAGGGCGAGTCCGTCTTGATGATGGCCATTGAACATAAACAAGACAAGGCGCTGCAGTACTTGCTTAGCCTTGCCGAATTCTACGCGCCCGATTTCATCCTCGAGGACTGCAATAACGAAGGTACGACCCTACTCAGCGCGGCCGTACAAAGTGGCCACGCGAAGACTACCGACGTCCTTCTCAATTGGATCCTTGAAATAAGACCAGCGGAGGACATTTTACGAGCGTACCTGGCAAAGCAAGACTCTAAAGGCCGCTGTGTGGCACACTATCTGTTCACCCAGCCACTCCTCATCGACCGAATCGGTCACCTCGTACCTTGGCGACTAAAAGACAAAAATGGGCAGACTCCGATGTTTGCCCTTTGTCGATCTTACGACCATGATCAGTATCGTGACATGATCGACAGGGCACTCCACGCCGCTACTCGAGCCCAGCATGACGGTCAACCATTACACTTGGACGAGCACATCGACAACAAGGGAAACAGCCTCCTTCATATCGTTGCAGACCCTCAGATTGCAGTCAGGTTGCTATATCGGTGCGACTCGGATGTGAACGCTCCAAATGACAAGCATTTTACGCCGCTCATGGTAGCCAGCAAATATGGTCGCACTGAACTAGTTCGTGTCCTGTTCCAGGATCCAAGGGTTAATTTGTCCGTTAAAGATGTCAGGGGCCTTACAGCTGTTGAGCTCGCCAAGGATGATGAAGTGCGCAACCGAATCGACGACATGGTCCTGCTATCGAACGAGCCTGGCCCTGATGGTCGCACGACTACTGTCGTGAGATCATTCTTTGTCGAAGACGGAAGTATCCGACTCGTTCTCAAGTCTGGTGCGCCCAATTCGAATGCCACCATTACCGTCACAACCTGCCGGCGCTCCCTTCAAGATTTTGAAAGCTTAGCCAAATGGCTAGCGCAGGAACATCCAGCATCCTGGCTTCCGGTCATAAACAACCTTGCATCTCCATTCTTGATACCCTCACGGCCGTCTCGCTCCGTACTCCGGGATATCCAACTCCGGCTGGATGCTTTTCTCAAGATCCTCCTGAAACATCCTACGTTTGCGACCCATGAGATGGTCTGGGAGTTCTTCCTCGTTCCAGACATCGATCCAGCGATGCTCGCAGAAAGATCCACCCGCAAAGCGGAGCTGCTTGGTGAACGCATTCGGGAGGATTACGCTCCCATCTACGATGTTCGCGAAGTGGAATTGTTCGTGCAGCATGCCCGCGAATCCGTTCGCTCTCTACACCATGCATCGAAATCTGTTCTACGCCGGACTAACAAAATGCGTGCCACAGCCACCGATCTTGCCGACGCAGCAAAGCTCGCCAACACTGCGATACACACTCTGACCTTCCTGCCCGAGGCTCACTTGAGAGCTTTAGAACGGTACACCAAGACTCTGGTCCAAAGTGAAGCAAGCCCCTTGGCAGGCTTCTACTACAATGTACACGCCATTGCGAGCACCATCAACGCCATACTCACCGCTTTGAACCGCCCCTCCACGCTCATCAATTCCATGTCTGCTACTCAGAAAGCGGTCGACCGTCATTCCCTCTCAATGCGCCGATCTGATCGTTGGCCTCTTGGTCTTCTGGATGACGCTCGCTCACGCATGCAACGCGATGCGCAGGAAAAGATGGAACGTGCAAACGAAGAGCTCTCCGGCTTGGGTAAAGAATTGCGATACACACAACAGGTTGTCGCGCAAGAGCTCGCTAGCTGGCAAGAAAACCGCGTGGACATGGGTCGGAGAGCACTGAAGGAGTTTGCGCGGAAGATGGTGGTGACTGAACGAGCGAGACTGGAGAGTATGAAGCGTGCTGTGAGAGACTTGGGAATCGGTGGTTCGAAGTCGCAGGCAGTCAGCAATGGTGTAGCGCACGGTGAGGATGATTCCAGCCTCGAGACCGAAATGCTTGCGAGGAGAGGGAGCATCGAAGATGTGACAGACGAGGTAGACGGCAGGCTCGCTGCGGATCCCGAGCCGGATGCGATCAATGGCGATATCGACGCAGCAGAGGATGAGCCCCTGATCCCATTGGCATCACCGTTAGAAATTGATGGTGAGATGAACGGCGTTATTGGGGCGGCAGAGGATGAGCAGTTACTGCGGGCCTCATCTGAGACGGACTGAACATGGTATGAATGGGCGTTTGCATAGGGATCTTCTCTTCTTGTCTATAGGTTCTCACTTATTCAGATATGGGGGTGGATAGGAGCGGCATTCCGATACCCCGATCTTCGTGTCCCACCTTCTGTTCAGCGATGGCGTTCGCACAGGACGGAACAGTGGGCACGCTTGAAGCGTAACGTAATATCTAGTCAGTACATAGCTAATCTCCCTGAGGCTACGTGAGCGTCGAGCTGTTCAAGTATTCTTCTCTCGTGTCATGCGTTCATCCAAGGATAGATCTCGCACCCTCGCCTTCGATGAAGCAACAACCTAACCAGGCGATCAATACCAAGCTCCCTAATGTTTCATTCCCCGTCCAGTATTGTCTGCAACAGCGCTCGTCATATGATGTACACTGTGATACCATAGCTACAACGTACTAATACTTCCTTACCTTTTACAATCTACCCAACGTATATGGCATATCTATCCATTCGTGTAATCTACGTAGCAGAGAGCATCCGATTACCTACATAGTAGGTGCTCACTTGTCTATACCAATTGCCAGATGACCAAACATCAAACCACATGTTGCGTAAGTCATGCCACTGGATTCCCGTGCTACGTGTCCAAAGTAAGCCGCGACCATGACCTCGCACCCAGCACCTACAAGCACTCCATTTTGCATCAACCTCGATCTAAGCACCCATTCCACGACATAACAATAGCATTTCAGTACGGCACCACTACATAGCAATTCCGTGCGCAGCAGATAGTATCCTTAATTTCGCGCGACGTATCTACCACACCCATGAGCCTTCGATTGAATCCCACCACATGCACTTGTGTAAGTAGGGACCCCTTAAGGAGGTGCGAACGACGGATGCCTCCGATTCCAAATCGCAAACACATCACATTGTCGGTCAGAGTGCCCAGCTCCGCGTCTTCCGCAACATCCACAGGGTCGGCTAACTTGCTCCGACGATGCTACGCATCCTTGTCCGGAAGCCGCGGGGCTACTCGTACTGAGTTCAAGCCGCAGGGCTGTTTTGACACCTCATGCAGCCACGGAGGGCGTAGGCACCGAGGCGGCGACGAGACGGCCCGACCTTGCGGAGTGCTTTCGATGGGAAGGCGTGTATGCAAGGCGGAGGCTTGGTGCCCCGGGGGCCGCGAGTGCACGTGGTGGCTGCTGCGGACTCACAAGGTAGAATGCATCAGAAACGTGCTCGTTCCACAGCGATGGGATGAGTCACCCAAGCCGTTTCGAACGTTGAGTCAGCGACACGTAGGTCGTGAGTAGAACAAGGTTGGAAGTACACGTCGACAAACGTTAAGACACAGTATGAGTCTGAGGAAGTATGAGCCAGGTACACTCAAAGACAGTCACTGCGATATTAGTCACAAATTTGGGTTGGCTCATGTGTACAGTCACTGCAAGGAGTCATGTTGTAATGAAGATAGATATATATTAAGAAAGAGCCCGCAAGACTTGGGCTGAAAGGCGAATACTCGTCAGTGAACTACTAATGTAAAGGACAGTAAACAATCGCACGGTCGACAGATGTCGACGCTAAGCACCACAACCGGTACCAGGAGGAGTCAATCAACCGAAGGGAGACTACGCTCCGGCCGGAGAACATAAAAAGCACGTAAAAGAGAAGGAAAGCAGCCACGTCGCCGGGGACGACGGGCGTGGAACTCATCACAAATGAGACAAAGAAACTTTTTGGTCGAGGCTGGGGTGGCTGGCAAGGCCGATCTCACCAGCTCCTCAAAACCATTGATACTGATCCGGACCGACTCCGGGAGGCGCAAATATTCATGATGGGGAATACCCCTGAGCCAAGGCGATCTGCTTCCACTTCTCCACTTCGGCCTCTAGCTCTTGGTTGCGCTTCTCAAGTAGGTTGACGTGGTCGAATTTCCGTTGACGCGAGTCACGAGCGGCAAGCGTATTGCGCGCTCGCTTCAAGGCCACCTTGTCATTGGGGTCCACCATGATGGAGGGGAGAGGTCCTTTCCGGCGGCGGGGCTTGGTTATTGATGCATTCGTGGCGGGTGAGCCGTTGACAGATGACTTCCTCCTGTGGGAGTTCGCAGACGTGACGATGGGCGAGTTAACGCTGGAGCCGCTGGACTTGGTTGTGTTGCTGCTGACAGTGCGCTCAAGAGCCGGAGCGACTAGGGGAGCAGAAACCGCTGGCGCGGCACCCTTATTGTCCTCCTCTGGGAAGAGAGAGAACCAGTTGTCGGCTGGCATGTACGAGTCACCCTGGAACATGGGCGATGTCTCGAAACTGTCAGTGATGAAGGGCGACTGGTCGACGTCTGGGGAAGTAATGTTGGTGAACGTCGTGGAAGGTGGCGCAGACTGAAAAGGGTCCGCGAAGATGTCCTTGGGAGACACTGTGCGCGTAGAGCCCGACACCGAGTGGGGGTTGATAGCGGTGAAGGCGGTTGGCGGTGCCTCCCAGGACACCTCGTGCCCGAGGCCAGCGAAGAGGCTGGCCCCGGAGTCGAACGAGTTGTTGCTATTCAAGTCTGCTTGAAGCGTGAGCTTGAGCCTCTCGTGCGCAAGAACAGCGTGAGTCCTACCTGCCATGGATGCGACGTTGCTGTGTTGCTGGATCTGAGGAATGCTGTTACTAGAGCTGCTGAACAAGGGGACCGGTGGACGTTGTTGTGACTGTGGCTGTGGGAAAGCTATGGTTGATGTAGGCGCTGAGTTTGCGTAGAAGGGCGGGGTTGTGTTAAACAGATGCCCAGGTTGCGGTACGCTCGGTGCACGCTGCGGCCGATGAGGGGCTGGAGCCGGCTGGTCGTAGAGCACGAAGTCGTTCTGCGGACGCGCGAAGTCGGTATGGGACGTATTCAGTGGTTGCCGTGAGGCGTGGGGAGCTGGTGAGGAAAGCCATGATGACTGGTATGAAGCCGTGGTGGACGACGTAAAGTCGAACGGGGGGTTGGAAGGTAACGGCGAACTAGAGCTGCACTGGGCGGGGCTGTAGTTCAGAGGTTCCAAAACGGAAGACTCTGAGGTTGTTGGTTGAGTGGGGTGGTGGTTAATTGTTGAGGAATCCAAGGTGTCGGCTTTACGCAGAAGCTAGAAGGCAGCCATTATGTCGGTTGCCTGTGTTTCTTTGTAGTGTGAAGTCGTGGTGGATAAGAGGAAAAGAGGAAACGGGTGCCTGGCGCGGGGCATTGGACTTTTTGTGCGCGCCGAGGGACGCTAACGGGTGTGAGTCACTCGCAACGCACAGGCAAGAGACGCGAGCTGCGCCAGGACGCTGCCGTGTCTCGCCCAATCACCGCCCCCAGCAGCGCCCCCAGCGCTGGCTGCCCCATCCTCGATGCTTCCTAGCGACCACCGAATGCGCGACCGGTCCCATCGTGAGACGCCGCCGGCAGCAGTCCCGCACACACGAGCGAGCATGCAGGGCGCAAGACGTCCGTCTGGACGAAAAGCGCGAATGCGCTCGCTGTTTTGCCCGCTGCCTTGCTCCTGTCTTGCCCTCTCGCGCCCTCGCCCGCACCAGGCTCTCGCTGCCGGGCTGTTACTGGCGGTGCCAACATCAGGCATCAACTTTTTGATCCGTAGGGCGCGAATCAGCGGCCGGCGCACCCTAGCTGCTGAGACCAGCTGAGCCCTTGGAACCGGTGGAGTTGATTACGAGCCGCTAAAGCCGTGTGCTGCGGAATAAGGATCCAAACGCCGACGGAAAAAGAGAGGGCGGAACAAACGAGCGCCCTTTTTCGCTGCTGCTGCTGCTCCGACTTGTTGCGCATGCGGCGGGCTGTCCGTGAGAGGAGGCCTGCTTGGCGACGCAACAAGTCGCAACAGGATGGCGAATCTCCGAGTTGCGCGTGCGCAAAACATCAAATGCGATCGAGCGGCGCAATCATCGGCGCGGCGCGTCGTTTCGCGTCCCCACGTTTCGCGCAACAAGCGGTGTGTTGAAACGGCGTCTCGAGCCAAGTATGACTCCTCAGGCACAACTCAATCTATCGAATCCTACTCAGCCCCAATGTATGCACTCGCCGTTGATCGCTGGGGTGCATCGAACCGCAGCCCACAGCCCCGTCATCCCGCGTTTTCCAACACCATGTCCATGTCATCAGCTACTCCGTACAGTATTCCTTATCCGTAATTTGGAGAATATCCCGCACATCTAGCCAGTGCTGTTGCGTCTGCAGATTCGCACCTTCCTCCTCCCACGCGGCCTTTCATCCACTTTGGACCGCTTCGTGCGCGGCCGAAAACCCCGTGATATGGGACACTCCTGGGCAACTTCTGCTTCCACGCTTACTACACAGCACACGTTGTCGTCGTCTGCAGACTTGCCGAGGCATGCAGGTGGGATATCTAATCAAACTGCGAAGAATCATGGATTTACATGCATCACGGGTACCAAGCTTCTGGAAGGTGCGCGTCTATCACGCCTTAACCTGCCAAACATACCCCAGGCGTTCGTTCTAGCGTATACCTGGGCTCGTCCTGAACAGGCCCCGGTGAAGTCAGGGTAGGCGCTATGGCTACCGGCGTCCTGACCAGCGGCGTCTCATCACATCGCTCTTTCATAAGCAGCCCTGCTTGATAATCACCCTCGCACACTCTCCAAGACCCTTCAACACTCCAATTCCCAGATGTTGCGTAAATATTCCTCGTTGGATAGTTCGTTGATCATATCGCCTGGGATATCTTGTCAAGGGAAAGCTTATCAGTCTCTGGGGCATTAGATAGCTGCGTCCAGCTCCGCGCCCTGAGCCCAGTCGGTCCCTCCGACACCAACAGCTGCTCGGCGCGAGCCGTTCAACTCCGCCGTGGACTGTCCTTGACCTAACGGCTGCTGAACGTCTAAACGTGATTTTGAATCGGACGGACGGAGGCCGTCGAAGCCTGTTGGTGCGATTGCATGGTATTCATCTTCGTTTATAAGGCTTCCTTTAATATCACAGCAGCAGCGTTCTACGGTAGGCTAAAGTGAAACGAGAGACTTTCCCGGTGCCAAATGCTTCGCGCTCTTGGTGCAGTCAGGATGAGAAACGTCCTGCCTAATGCAGTAGTGTGTGCTTGCCAGTCTTGAAGTAGCGGTGCTGTAGACGGCGGAAGATGGAGGACGGAAGACAGTCCGACGACGAACTACCGTATAATTATACGGTTTTACTTTTTGGTCTGACATGGTCAAGCTGACCTGGCGGCTCTAGCGTCACTTAATTAAAGTTTGATCTGAAAGGCCGGCGACACCGATATATGTTATATAGACTCAAAATGGCATATTAATAGCTCCCTAGGCGGTGATGTCTGTTACAAACATAACGGAAGACATCCACTGTGCTTGCGAACATGATTACCACGTACCAACTATGAGTCTTCGAACCATCAACTGTAAGCTCATCCTATTTCTGCATACATCTACTTGACACTGGAAGGCTATACGAACAAAGATGCAAATCCGCAGAACATGCAAGTCGCTTAGTGGTTTCGAAGGATCCTTCTTCTAAGAGCCCTTCGCCAGGTTTCCCTTCGGGGTCGATTATCATACGACGTGGCTTTGAACAAGAAATCTAATGCAGCCGTCCGATTCGTACGTTGCACGCCTACGGCTCTGATCCAGTCCTGTGCCGCATCCCACGTTTGATCAGCCAAGGTAACGGCACGTGGCCGACGAGGGCCGACACAAGGGAGATACAAGTCGCGCAAGTCTCTTGCAAAGGTAAGATAAGGGAAAGCGATCCTAACGCTGGGTGAGCCTATGTCCGGGATGTCAAAGGTGATGTTGCGTATCCATTGCACGTTTGGGGCGTAGCGCTGAAAGAACTTGATCAGAGTGTTTGGATTGCGAAACTTGAATTTGATTTGTCTTGCTTGAGGCTCTTACTAGAACCGTAAGGAATTTTTAGACGATCAAAGGGGCTTTGATTCACTGTGCTAACACAGTCCATTGTTGGTGCTTTTCTGAGCGGTCCAAATGTGGTAGCTGCGATCTTCACTGCAGAAATCGATATAGACGATCGACAAAAGATCTTATAGAGAAAGGAAGAGCTCAGTCTGATATGTGCACGAAAGCCGCGACCTTGTCACCGTGTCGGACAATTCTCAGCCCAGGGGAGAAAAGCCGCAAGCCTACTGAGATCAATCACACTACGAAGCTTCAACCTGAACGAGATCCCACTGCTCGTCGCATGCACGCGTGAAACTCATTTTCATGTCACGACAATGAGCAGTACTCCCCCCGTCGGAGTAGCAGAAGTTTAGGCCGGCTGTTCTGGGAATAGGCAGGTGTTGTTACAAGGCATCCGTAAGCTCCGACGGCGGTGGTCCAGACGCGCGGCAATCAGCATGAAGCCTGCATGCGCTGTACCTGTCGAGCGTCCTCAGGGGCCTACCAAGTGGAATACCCGAACAATGAAGTGTGAGGTCGTCCCAACGGCGGTCGCGGGGCCCGAGCGCCGCGCCCTTGCCGAGCAAGCGGTAGCGTGACCCGGCGCCATGTCGGTGCCTTGGGGTGCTGACACATTGAGAACGGCGGGCGAGGCGTAGCCGTAGGGCTGATCAAGTAAAGACGCCGTCGCTGCTTGCTACCGTTCCTTGTCAGCGTTACTTCCACCGTGGTCATTTAACGAGTTATTCTCTCCTACAGCTTGTCTCAGTCTGCTGCGAGGTGGGGTGGGGTCCTACAGAATCTAGTCTTGGCCTTCTTTGTCGTGTCAGAGTATATCATTAATGGTGGAAATGCAAACCGAAAAGCTGCACGCGGCTTGTGACGAGTGCCGTGAGTTGCGCAGCTCCCGCCATTGAATCCAAATTCAGGCTAAAACACCAGGGCAGGTACGAGGAAGCTGAAATGCTCGGGCAACGCACCCGCATGCACTCGCTGCGAGCGAGAGAAAATAACATGCATCTACTCTCCACAAAAGCCAATGGGCAGGCCCCGGAAACGAAGAAGAGAAGATGTGCCACCCGAAGAAGCTCCAGACGTCCAGCCCGAGCCCAGTCCTCCCATTGATAGCTTCACCATACCGACATTTGGAGATGGCGGTTTACTTCCGAATACCGACCTCGCCTCTGACCTCTCTGGATTTCCGGATGTAGCCATGAACAACACATTCTCACATAGTATAATACCACCGTCTTATATCGAGAGCTTTGGACCTTTGCCAGCATACGAGGCCAGGTGAGTTTCATCCGGATTCTTGTCGTTCAACGTCTGACGTCTGGCCCAGTCATGGTATGGATCCAATAGACCCGTTGCTATGGGATCCGCCACTGAATGATTCGGATCTTACCCCTCAAGCCAGTTCTACGCCTGATCAACAAAGTACTGGCCCGTGCAGTTGCCTCTCTCTCAACTACCTTGCGCTTAGCGACCTTCAAGCCCTCAAAAACTTTGCGTTTCCTGCTGTCATTCCACGCATTCGACCCGCCCTCCAGACCGCGTCAACCATGATCAATTGTACCAAGTGCCCCATGGAACCTTTTAGCGCCATCCAAAACATGCAGTCCTTAACCGCTCTGCTTACCGCAATCGCGGAGCGCTTCCATAAAATACTCGCTGGAATCGATGCCGAAGCCATTCGACTCGAGGAAAGGCAGGAAAAGAAGACGTTTCGTGTGGGCGACAATAGTCCCGAGAACATGCATCTGCATACGGGAACGCTAGACTGTCCCATGGGGTACGATATAAATCTTGACCCCCAAGACTGGAAAAAGCTGGCGAAGCAAATGCTCAGAACAGAAGTAATTGGAGGCGGGCACAATCCGATGCCGCTTCTCGGGTTGGTAGAAGAACTGGAAAAGCGGCAACACAGATGGCACCACGATGTTAGCATGCATACTGAAGAGCGGAGGAAGCTTTTCGGAGCCGAGAATTTGTGCAGAAATAAAGGCGATGAAGCGATGTGTTTAAGGATGATTGGGCACATCCGGATTATGGTGGAGCAAATGAAATGGGAGTGAACGACATTGGGTTCTTGGTTTGAATTGTCGGCTGTTTATTTAGATGCTGGATATCCCTCGTTGAGCTTATGAGTTCTGCTTCATCGATCTATTGGTTTTTTTTAGTGAGCCTTGACTATAACTTCAACCTATATTGATCCCACCTCAACCGGAATCGCAAATGATGTCGGGAAGGTATGTCTCCATCAAGTCGGTCTGACAGCTAGGTGAAGACACTCATAAATCCTCCGTTTGTATATGCAACATGCGTGAACTCCATCCACAGTCCGCTGTTTGATATGACCTCTGATCTGGCATCTCGCTAGTACTTGAGGAACCTTACAGATCACCATCCCCAGTGTTTCATAGTTTGGGTATTCATAACCCATGGGCAAACGTACACACACACGGCGTAAACGAGCGCAGTTGTCGCAAGGAGAGACATTAGAAGGGGTGTGCGGAACATAGCCTTCTTCTCCTTCTACAGCCGAAGGTTAGCAGTACTCCGCATTGATACCTTGGCCATGCTCACCTCAGCGGGACCCTTTTCCAAATCTTTCGACCTTGACACAGCCTTGATCGACTTAATGGTGAGGGAAAAGTCCCCTTGCTGATCTCCGAAGAAGCTACTGCATGTTAGCGATCAAGAACAACGACGAAAATCCCCTCTTCTGGCACGCATACCTCCTCATCATGATACTGAACCGTTTGACGTTCTTCGTATCGAATTCCTTGGCTGTCTTCTTCTCTTTTCCGCGGTACGTCGGCTTAAGTTCTTTCCACGGAATGTAGACAAACGAGCTCTCCGCCTGCGCCGCATCCTCTGAAACAGTGAAATCGTACTCCCAGGAAATGGTCGCCTGCTCACGCCCGTTGTCTGGATTCCTTGGCAGCAACTCATCTTTTAGTATGAACGTGTAGCGCTTGCCATCCGATTTGCCTAGGTTGAGAATGATGCCATCGTAGTTTGAGACATCCCACGTCCTATCCTCGACTGTGGTGCGTTGACTTGCAAAGCCGGCTCCGCCCAGTGTTTTGATGTCGAGATGCCCGTGGAAGCGTGCTGCGGAATCTGATGTCTCCAGATACGACTGCGACTTTCCGCCGCGTACGCGATCGTCACTTGCGGTCCAGTCTGAGGCTTTCCATGGCCTGCGGATGGTCAGCCCCGCGTCCAGTCAGTCAGCGCACCGGAACTGTGCCTACTTCTCCCCGCCGAACAACACGAGTTCCTTGTCCTTGGCCATGTTGAATTAAGCACTGTTGGGACGGTGAACAACGTTAAGAGTTTAATCCATGAAGCCCCGGTCGAACTCATGATCTCATCAATTCCCCGATTCTAGCGTCCGTGCATCCGACCCGCTTTCGTTACCGGCGACAGCGGAGAACCACTCGAGTAGCCACAAGTTCCACAACCGTACCTTTACGTCCGTCGTGCACAACTTAACGACCTCGGCCATGGACTTCCGACCATTAGATCGCATGCTTGATACGGATGAATCGCTCAAAGACCAGCCATATCGCCCTTTCTACAACCTGTGGGCACCGAAACCCGTCTTGATCCATCAGTACGATCAAAGCCCCCGTGAATACGAGCGAGCGCGCAGCTAAGGGACTCAGGGCCAACGAATATGACCGCGATGCTTTTATAGAGAGACCGTGGCTCGGAGTTCTGCTATTCGACAACAACGCTTCTGACGCCAGGGACCATGCCGCAAATGAAAGGAGTAAGTGCTCAGCTGCAAAGATGCCGTGAAATGGGTTTGACGATGTGCGTAGCATTCTTATCGTGGCTGAGGCTGTCGGTGTACATGGCTATTGTCTCGGTTGCCATCATCTTGAACTTCCACCTGAAGTCAGAACTTACCGCTATTGGTGAGTTGCAATTCCCATCAGTAGAGCGAGGACATGCCCTGCACCCTCTGTTCTACTTTGTTGCACAGAACCGTGACAATCTGGTTATGGAATCACGAGCCTAATGACATCAACTGACTGGATCGTCACAGAACGAAGAATATCGCTTCCATTCGGTATTATTTTCTGGATCCTCTCGGTAGCTTGCCTGGGCTCTGGATTGGCGAACTATATCAAGACAGTGACCAGATACAGCCGACGCACGGCTTTGGTGCAAGCTGGATGGAAGACGCAGACAGTATTTACAGTGGTCGCGACAACTATTGTAGCGGCATGCATATTATTCCTATCTACGAACGCGCAGACGCGTCGATAGTCATATGAGTAAATGCCTGGAACTGGATGGCTTCAAAGAACGCCACGTCTGGGTTGGTCCTAGCTCCGCCGTACTCTTCTTAATATATTTCCTGCACACGAATCGTAACTGGTATCTCCTGTGGCTTGCCTACATCCTTATGACTATGCTGCTGGGTCGAGTAAAGCCCAAGTCACATCGTCGAGAGTGGTGTATATGAGTCCTCCCTCGAGCAGTTCGTCGCCCGCCTTGGCCACCTCCGCGGTATCGAGGCCTAGCTCAGAGGAGATGACCTGATAGTGAACGCCCTCGTTATTGTCGTTTGAATTTTGAAGGAATTTGTACACCTGTTGAGCCACTTTGCTGACCTTTCCGAGGTTTGGTGCAGCTCCGGTCTCCTGGACAGCACCATTCGCTTGAGCTGCACCGCCTGCATTCTCGGATGCACCCGGAGGTCCACGAGTATAGTATAGATGGACTGATGTGGCTTCGAGCAGGTGGTATTGTACTTCATTCATGTCCTCGACTGGGCGGATGATCTGCGCGTTGACATGCCGTCGGTCGTGGAAGCTCTTTAGCTTTCCCCAAGCTCGACAGTAGGCACCTTCTATGAGCTTTGATTTCAACGGACTGGTCTCCATAGCATCGGCATCGTTCCACTGCTTCACCTCGATGCTGCCTGTGCCGTCGTCAAGCTTGTATGTGATGTTCGTCGTTTGCGTGGCGATGTTGCGTATTTGCCCGATAAAGGTGAGCTACGAGATTTAGACCAAGTCTATAAGAACACCCATGCTAGACCTACCTGTGAGATCTTGTTGCCATCTATCTTGAAGTCGTCGCCATCAGGCTGTGCATCGAGGACCTGCTTAATGGTGACGGGCCGGAGTGTGTCTTGAGCATTTTCCTGCAAGTATCATTAGGTACAGATTGCGAAGAGCTATGTAACGGAGACTCACACGTCCTCTGCTGGGGCTATTCTGGCTGCCATCGGGCATGAATCCACCACCACCGCCGCCTCCGCCGCCACCGTACGAAGTATAAGAGGTCTCGTAGTTGTTGTAGCCTATGAATGTCAGTGAAAAACAGTCAATTTTGGATGGTAACATCGTACTCATTGTGTTCTATGCGTAGGGTGTGTTCTGGTGTTTGTCGCGCTGATCAAATGCTGCAGGTGGGGCGCAGAGACGCGACGAGACGCGTCCAGATGTGGTAGGCGCGACCCCACGTACGCCAAGATTTCATGGCCCGTGCGAGAATTTCGAAAGTTCGCTAACTTTTCAACCGTCCGCAACTCACGCTTTCACCACCGGCCCGCATATACTGCTGGGGTGATTCTCAATACACCGTACGAATACAGAAACGACCAATACGGCGGCCGACTACACTTGAAATCTCCCCGTCGCGCTGCACCAAGAATGGGCCCTCGCGCGGTCTCGCCGGCGCTGTCTGAGAATGAGTACGATATTGGTGCGGCGCTTTTCGGAGAAAACGAGAACAGCGTAAACGAGAAGGGATCTATTGAAGACCTGGGATTAGATCTGGAAGGTGGCAGCCAAGATGGTTCGGACGACGAGGCTTTCATCGCCGCGACGCAAGCTGCTTCCAACAGGAAGTCTTCAAACTTGAAGGGGCACACGGTCAAGAAAGGAGGAGGCTTCCAAGCAATGGGTTTGAACGCCTCACTGCTACAGGCTATCACGAGAAAGGGATACAAGGTCCCGACCCCTATACAACGACGCGCTGTGCCTCTCATTCTAGACCGGCAAGATGTAGTGGGAATGGCACGTACTGGATCTGGAAAGACGGCAGCGTTCGTGATTCCCATGATTCAAGCGCTGAAGACCCATTCGGCGAAGTTTGGTGCTCGTGCCATCATCATGTCACCTTCGCGGGAGCTGGCTTTGCAAACATTGAAGGTCGTCAAAGAACTGGGTCGCGGCTCTGATTTGCGGACTGTTCTCGTAGTCGGCGGAGACAGTCTCGACGAACGTATGTATCTTTCAACACAGATGCGGCGCATCAAATGCTGACTTGGGCATCAGAATTCAGCTCCATGACTACGAATCCGGATATCATCATTGCTACCCCTGGACGCTTCCTTCACTTAAAGGTCGAGATGTATTTGGATCTCTCTTCCGTAAGGTACATTGTGTTTGACGAAGCAGATCGCTTGTTCGAGATGGGTTTTGCGGCACAACTGGCAGAGATCCTTCACGCATTGCCAATGTCAAGACAAACTCTCCTTTTCTCGGCCACGCTTCCCAAATCCTTGGTTGAGTTTGCGAGGGCCGGCCTCCAGGAACCAAGGCTGATCCGTCTCGATGATTCCAAAGTATCGCCCGATCTGGAAAGTGCCTTCTTCATGGTGAAGAGCGGAGAAAGAGACGGAGCTCTCCTGTACTTACTGGATAAGGTTATCAAGTTAGCACCTGGTGAGACAGAGGCTGCAAAAAAAGCGAAGAAGTCGGAGACTGCAGGCGGAAGCAAGAAGCGCAAGCGGGCACCTGATGCTCCCAATCCTAGGGAATCTCCAACACCAAATTCCACAGTCATATTCGCAGCTACGAAGCACCGAGTTGAGTATCTGGCTAGTCTGCTGAAGACTGCAGGGTATCCTGTTTCCTACGGTAGGCATGTCTTGTTCGTTTCTCAACTTTACGCTAACGTCTCCTAGTGTATGGCAACTTAGACCAGACTGCTCGAAAAATGCAAGTTCAGGATTTCAGGGCTGGCTTAACAAACGTCCTCGTAGTGACCGATGTCGCTGCGCGTGGTCTGGATTTGCCATACCTTGCGAACGTTATCAACTACGACTTTCCTTCACAGCCTAAGATATTCGTACATCGCGTTGGAAGAACAGCTAGAGCAGGAAGGAAAGGTTGGAGCTACAGTCTAATCCGAGAGTCCGACGTGCCATACCTGATTGACCTTCAGTTATTCCTGGGTCAACCTCTCCTTTCTGAGAAGACCCCTGGGAAAAAGCCAAATTACGCCCAAGACGTAGTGGTGGGGACATTTATCCAAGACGAGCTTGAGCCTGAGGTCGAGCTTGTCAATAGACTACACGAGGATGACGAAGATTTGGCCAATCTTCAGATTGTAGCGGGTAAAGGTGAAGCCCAGTACACAAGAACGAGGAACTCCGCCAGTAGCGAGTCCGTGAAGCGCGCGAAACAGCTGTTGTCAGCACGCAGTCTGTCGAACACACATCTCCTATTCAGTGACGACGTGCACGACACGTTGCGTGAGAAAGAGAAGATGCTGGAGCGAATCAGCTCCTTCCGACCCACAGAGTCAATATTCGAGATCGGACACCGTGGCACGACCAGTGAAGCAGCTGAGATCATGAAAAAAAGAAGGCAACAGATAGATAAGATGAAACAGAAGCAAGCGACCCGGCCTAGCGATATGTCCGATGGCTCGTACGGAAGATTAGCGCCGTCGGAGGATGCGGACGTTCTCAGCGTGGCTTCAAAAGACGAAGCGGATCTCGAAGATGCGGACTTGGCGTCTGAATCAGACGATCTCGAAATCTCCGTTTCGCAGCCAACCGCCCGAAACGCGAGTAACGATGATTGGCAGAAGTCCGAGTTCTTCATGTCGTATGAACCGAAAGGTGTGAACGCAGCTGAGGAACGAGGATACGGTGTTCACACAGGGTCGTACAACACGGCTCAACAAGCTTCCAACTTCGTTGAGAGCGCCAGGGCGGCGCAAATGGATCTCACGAATGATGAAGTACGGGGTTTTGCTGAAGCCAGCAAGGCTAGGGGTATGCGTTGGGACAAGAAGTCCAAGAAGTACGTTGCCAAGGCAAACGACGAGGATGGCTCCAAAGGAGCAAAGATGGTCGTGGGTGAGAGTGGTCTCAAGATCGCTGCCAGCTTCCGCAGCGGGCGGTACGATGACTGGCGCAAATCGAACAAGATCGGTCGTCTGCCACGTGTCGGTGAATTAGAGAAGCCAAGCCACGCGGCTGCTCATGGTGGTGGTCGCCACTACAAGCACAAAGCGGAAAGGGCACCCAAAGAAGCCGATCGATACCGAGACGACTATCATACCCAAAAGAAGAAAGTTACGGAGGCGAAGGACAAACGCATTGGGAAATTCAAGGATGGTGGCGCCAGGAATGAGCTCAAGGGCGTCGACGATGTCCGCAAACAACGTCAACTGGAAGAGAAACGGAAGGCAAAGAACGCCAGGCCCTCCAAGAAGCGAAAGTTTTAGGCTTAAGCCTAAGTCAATATATCGTCTCATTCTTGCATTAGTTGCGACTAGAGCGCATGTTTCACACGCCATAGACGGCCACATCTTCGGCCAAAATTGAATCTGAACCTGATCCTCAGCCTTACCAGACGCCATCGGTACGTACCGAGCGCCTTGTACTACCGTGCGGCGCAGAGACTACAGTAGAATAGGGCGGCATCGGGACTGCCTGGCGCCGTGAAGCGTCCCACACGGGCTTACATCTCTCACCGCCCAAACACATGCTTACCGTCATCATCTCCACCCAACAAACCCTCGCAGTCCCACACATCGGATTCGAGCCTCCTGTTGCACGGATGGGTGTGCAAATATCGGTCATTCGCTAAGATGGACATGCTAATTTCGCAGTATGCAGTCCTCGGCAGATAGAATTACCAATAATGATACGAGACCCGAACTTGCATGGCGATTGGGGACTTCTCGCATGTTCCGTAGGTGCATAGATATCGCCCGGATATTGCACAGTGGATAATAAAACGAACGCGACTGCAGACCCCCATCTGACAGTGTGTCACTCCAGGATGTGCCATTCGGTACGGGCGCAGATATCCGATATATCGCCGTCCGTTGTATTGGCTCGCGACACCTCGAAACGACGCAAGAACGCGACGATTGTGGCGAAGACGCGTGCTGCCACCTTGACTAGAGTTGACACTGACAGCAGCCGACTATTAGCGGCGTTCGCTAGGTTTAACGTGGCACCACGTAGACTGTCACGATAGCCTCGAAAACCCTGATTCAATGTCGGTCTTTTCAGACTACCGCAGATGGGTCCATACACTTGGCCTGGGCCATGACTTACGTACAGCAACATTGACCAGCATCAAGGTTCTTCTAAGCGATTTTCTAAAGAAAGAAGAAAGAAGAAAGCGGACGAGGATGACGTGCCGTGCCATGTGCAAGTGCCTTTTACCCGCGCCTGCAAGGAGAATTTCATTTGCGACGCTTCCGGGGCGGCAGTGGACCGGGGGTATGCTAGCAGGTCAATAATTTCCAAGTTCGAAGGAGTATTTTCTGCGGAGCTCCCCCATTAGGGCTAAGAGCAAAGTCGGCCGGGCTTCGAGAAGACGCCACGAACGTACAGGTTTCCGCATCTGGACGCAAACGTACGTTGGCTGAGGGGTCGTTGGATCACGTGGATGCCGAATCTCTCGATTCAGTCTCCTCGCCCAAGCCACTATGCAGTTTTCCAGCATGTTGAAGTCTCCGATGTTCGTCCCGCACTGCCTCATTGGCACCGATTTCAGGGTAATACCTGCATTGCAAAGGTACAGATCATTTAAATGTTCAAACCTAGATCCAGTGGTCCACGTTCACACAATTCTACTCCAACGCTGCCATCGGACACATGAAGTCTACGGCATCGGCAATAAAAGATAATCACCTAAACGAGAGTAGGGGAGGCCGGTCTTAAGCGAAGATGGGCCGGCCAAGGAAGTATGGCTCGACTAGACCTACGCGACACCACGCTACAACTGATTTACTCCTCGGAAATTTACCGTTCTGTCACGCGACATGGCCAGGAAGGCCCCGCACGAGGATTGCTCGCTCGTGCCGATAGGTTTGCCATGTTGACGCGGCGGATTGCGTCGGACGTTTCTAACCCACAACAATTACGATGCGTGTACGAAATAATGCCGAGGTGAGGTCGTTTGGCCAGGGTGTACTACGCTATGTATGGAGGAAGAATTTCGCCAACCGATGGATGTGGACGGCCCGCACCCAGTCAATCGAAGCATGGCGCGTGCTTACCGGGGGAAAACATTGGCTTGTGGCCTTCAATAAGCACCCCGGTCAGCGCTGAGCTACTTTTGGCACAAACGTGGGTTCGCAGATCGCGCGGTTGAATCCGTACCTTTGCGCCCCTGAACCCGACACGGATCCTGGGATGCGCATTCGAGGGGCATGACGTTTGCGCAGACTCGAACCGCTCGCACTGCAGCATGTCGTGCTTTTACTGCCAGTATCCGCTGCATAGTCTCCGCAGAAGGAGCAGTTCGAGAAGACACTACGACAGCAAACGATCTACCGACAACAGGGCTCCGCGGAGAGGTTTCGCAAGGCACGACTTTCCCGCATGCTCGTCCGTCGGCTGGCCACTTTGCAGCCTCGTCTGAGGATCCAACAGAAATGAGACAATAAATGATCTAACGCTGACCTTCTATTAGCGGTGTTTTCAATATTCCCGCTGCCGTTTTTGGCGCATGCTGCTGAAAAGGCTAAAATCCCGGTCTGGCAGGGCTTCCACGATGCTCGCAAAAGTTCCGTGCGGCTAGGCTCGCTGTGTGGCACGGCCGCCGGACTGTGAACAAAGACCACGTTTTCTCAGCACTACCGTCTTCCTTTTTCATAAGCGAACGCCCGGAGACGCAGCTTACACATGCCATGTTGCGGGCCCGGAGTAGCTGGCGGCCCTTGGCGGCGTTGGATGTCCCCATATGTGCGTGCGTCCGTTGCTCGTTCTCGAGCTTCCAGAATCGCGATCGAAGCATGCAACAGCCGGCTAAGCGAGCAAGGACAGACAAGGGCTACGACTTCATGCACCTATATGTGTATGTGTTCATAGAACAGCGCAAAAGGCAGGCGCCATTCCAAATGACAGAGCGGAGTCACGACGACCACGGGACACCATGGGCTTCGTCGGCGTTGCTATTCTTGTCCGCAGCCAATCTATTCCGCCCTCTATCCTCAGCGGCGGGTTGATAGAGATCGCTAGGGTCATGCACCCGCATCTCCGATCTCAAGCTTCTTACTGAAAAGTGTGCAGCGCGCAAAACCTGGGAGGCTGCTCGTCAGGCCCTCTGTCGTACCTGCAAGTGTGCTGACGACACTTATGTGAAGCCATGGGCTATCGTCATTGGTCGCTGTAGCGCCAGCTATGCTATGAGGCGCGCCCCTAGGATCATTGTTGCCGTCACATGCATCACTCTTCACGTTGCGAGATTCGACGATAATTTCCACGAGAGATATCACAATATGTGTGCCACCGCAAGGCTCGGCGCGGCTCCACAATGTCCAAGCTTCCCGGACGCATGAATCAGGGCAATCTCCGCAGCGGACGTTTCTGGGTGATCGTCGGCGGCGACCGGGGTCGCATACACCACGCCGGAACATTATGGGCGAGATTGCACGTCTGCTCGATGTGACGACAAGCCACACCTATAGTTTGGCAACTATGATCACCATTTCGCATAGCGCATAAGACTGGCAATCGTTATTTAGAGATAGACTTTGCTCTTCCTGGTGCAGCAGCAATAAAGAATACGCCGAGTACGAGCACCATGGTGCTGGCTCGCATAAAGCGAGAATCATTAGACTGCGGCGAGACCGCTGATGGACGGCCTGCACACTACGCATTGGTGTTGCTCTACACACGAGCCGGTTGAGAAGCCATGTCATATGTGGCATGCTTCGCGACCGTCGACCACGTGGAAAGAAGCGCGGGCCCCTCGTGATACGGATGTGCAGCGCGGTCCTGAACGTCGAAACCGTGATGCCATAGAGTTGCTACCACACAGCCACATGATTCGGCAGGAAATGGACGAGACTGAGACTACCATGGCGCCCCATGGACAAGGGCAGACCGGGGAGTCGTGCCGAGGGCATGAAAAACGACGGCGGCACATGCAGCTGTAGTGTCTGCCTCCGGGCGGCACAGTAAATGCTAAGTCCCGTCCGTTGGACGCCCACCAGCGCCGGCGCGGTGTAGTCAGCTATTCACTGCCAGTTGTAAAATTACAGCTCGACTTTCAGCAGCTACCAAGGCGGCTGCCACTGCATCGGAGCTTTGTGTGAAGGCACACTCCAATGGCGGCCGGACGGGAGAGTTTGTGGCCAATGGCCCACGCCCCAAGACAGGTCGCCAGCGCTTCGAGGGCACTCGTGCTGGCGATATGGGAAGGGTTCAAGCCCCATCCGCAGGGCGGGTGGATCGACGCAGTGGCTGACGCCGTGCCATATCCGTTTCCGCATATTCTGCACGCAGAGGTCGGGCGCGCAGTTGCAGCGACGACATTCGAGACCCTGCCTGCTTCGGTGCCGGCAGCAGCCCGGACGAGCGTACCCACGCGCAGGCGAGGCCGCTCTCTGGGCACCGGGAGCGCCATCTTGACAGGCGTGCCAGTCGTCCGGGCCTGTCACTGGAACCACCTTTCGCGGCGGCCATGATTGGCAGCGCCGGTGGCCAGCGAGGCGACTGGACTCTATGGAGCACTGAAGAGGCGCCTGACATGCAGCAGCCCACACACGAGGCCCGCTCGCGCTGTCGGGCCTTCCGGCGCTGGGGACGCGGCCTGTCCAAATCATCGACGCCCGCCGCCGTCGACGTCTCGATTTGCCCTCGTCGAGCGCAGCAGCGCCTCGCTAGCAATCGCTAGCCGGGCGGTTTGCTCTGCAGGGGATGCTGGTGCGCATACGCGAGCCCTCCAGGCCGCTCCCCTTCCTGGTGCCGCGGGCCATGGCCCATTGCCCATGCATCTTGTCCACGCCATGCGGCCGCGGCTGCGCGACTCTTGGGACAGGCGGCATGCTTTGTCAAAGAACCATCAGCCGAACAACGAGCCAGCATGCCGTCGCCCACGCCGCCCCTGCCAGCCCGAGCTGCCCATAGCCCGGCGCTCGCTGTGGCCCCGTGCTGTGGCTGTCATCCATCGCCTGCACCCACGGCAGGGATGCCCACATAGATCTGTGAGCAGAAGCTTGAGAATCGATCGAGGTTATTACTGGAGGATCTCCGCCGAGCTAGCCAGAGATTCTCTCTCCTGCGTTCAGTGCTGCTCGCACGCACCACTGACCATTGGCTCTGTCATCCGCTCTCTCACCTCTTCTCCGACCACCTCCCCCAGCCCTGTCGCGACGGACTGGCTCTGGCTGTTCCCTGCCACGACGGGAGGCTCGCGTGCTTCTTACGAGAGCCGCGCTGAAACAAGTCCTCCGACCGCACTGATCTTGAACGGACATTTCCAAAAAGGTACCGACGACTTTCCTTTCTCCGCCTTGAGCGCCTATCCCTGCCCGGACTTCGTAATTCGACGGATGTTTCTGATTCTCCGTGAGGGGCACCATATGTAAATGTTTTGGCGATTTCGGTCTTCTCTTATGTGTGTTTTCTGCATGTTGTCGTTGTAAAGGTCCCAAGAACGTCACTTACCTGTACTCGACATGCAGACGCAACAACCCCCCATTTTCGAATCGTACCAACCACGGAAACTGAGCAGGTCCACGGATCCATTCAACATACCAACTATTCACACTGAGCATTGCGCTCCAGCTGCAGCCGCAGCGTTTGAGCACTGCGCTGGTCGAGCAATGCAGAGTCTGTCCTTACCTCCTCCGACTTCACTTCCTTCCTCGCCATTCGGGCGATATCAAGAACTGGGAAGCGGTCTGGTAAAGTTTCCACCACAGTTCAGTCCCGGTAGGCCTGAGCAGCACAGCTACCCATCTCCTCCCATGTCCGATTCTCTTTCGCCCGCTCGCCGACCAGCCCACGTTGTCGAACCCGAAGGACATCCATACCCACCGCGTCTGCACGAGCCCCGTCCGCATCCACCACAGTCGTCGTTGCTTGACCCTCGATCGGCCACTGTTCCACAGCACATCACGCAACAGCGTCCGTTGTATCCTGGAGAATCCCAACACAGGGGTCCACCAATGCACTATCAGCAAGCCCGCGCTCTTGACCCTGTCTACGGATCTGTGCATGTTCCGCAGAACTACGTATATGGCTATCACCCTCCTAATGCTCCTCCGTATCTTGGAAGCCAAGGTGTGGGTCCAGGTCCCCAAATCCAGCAAGGCGCAATCATAGCACCGCAACCATTGAGGCAGGCGAAGCCAGCAAGAAGAACCAAGGCGCATGTGGCTTCTGCGTGTGTCAATTGCAAGAAGGCGCATCTGAGCTGTGACGTCCAACGCCCCTGCGGCCGGTGTGTAGCTTCTGGGAAGCAGGTCAGTAAAACCATAGCATCTTGACATGCTTTGGTTCGCTCTCACGAAGGCAATCATCTCTGACATGAATTTAGGATACATGTAAGGATGTACAGCACAAAAAAAGGGGACGACCGAGGCTGAGGGACGACAAAGAGTTTGGAAGGACCGAGGAAGCTCGCACGGCGTCTACGCAACTTCTAGGATCGTTACCACAGTCCGGGCCTGACACCTTCGGCCAACAGTCTCCTTTCGCGACCGTCCCACGAGCGCCCGAGCCATATCGCGTGTTGACGTCGACGCGTGAGGAAGAGAGCTCGAAAGCTCGTCTACAACCAGCCGCTATTACCACGGCGCATTCGCCTCGAGTGGGTAGTTTTGGCGGGATAGTAGCTTCGCCATATTCTGAGGGGCCCAATCTAGCGTATCAGTCTCTGCCCGTAGCATTTCTCGATCTGGACCTCGTCATTCAAAAAACCAACCAAGCTTTTCAAGATCTCATCGGGTTTCTTGGCGATGCTCGCGGTAAAACTTTGGTGGAGTTGCTTGAAATGCGGCAGCACGATGTCCTGCAGCAGCTGCGCACCGAGTTTCGGATGGAGCGTGATGAGCGCGAGCCCACTTATATGGCGCCTATTACACCGGTTGGACAGGATCCTATGCAGCCCGTCCTGCAATCGGTTGCGGACAAGGACGTCGACCAAGTCAGCCACGGATTTACGCAGAGGTCCGTGCTTCTCAATTTCCGTCTACCTAACGGTCAGTATCAATCTCTTCAAACGCAGATCCGACTTGCGAAGACTTCGTTGTACTTTGTGACGCTGGTGGTCCATACACCTCCCAGGCCTGCAGGTCCGCAGCTTTTGACAAAGCAATTGGCTCCTCCAACACCGGTCCGCAGTTCCCAGACCATGTCAGCTCCTACGAATGCACCGCCCGGGGAATTCGGCACGTACGCTCTGCGACCAAACTCGTCTGCTGGTTCCGCTCCGACATCCCCCTATTTCAACTTTAAATCGGTCAGAACATCGCTTCCGACCATCAGTTCCAGCTCCTACGGGGGTAGTCCCTCCTACGGCTACCCTCCAACAGCTGGTCCCGAGCAGGGATATTTTCCGACTTATCAGCCGCTATCCCAGCCGGGAGCGTACCCCTCTGGCTACCAGCCTGCGTCGAGGACAAACTCTGTTGCGTCCGAGGCCCAGCGCGGGCCGGCTCACCCTGCTCGACTGGAGGGGCTACAACTACCGCCAATTCGCACCACGCCTGCTCTAGGGTCGCCCTTGGCGCAGAACTTTGGTGAAAACGCACGATTGCGTCGGCGTGCTTCTCCTTCGAGCGCAGAAGCGAGACCCGATACGCCAGATACCGGAAAACGAAGACGCCTAAACATACACGAAGTACTGGAATGACAAACGAAAGCAGACGGCTCAACAGCATGTATCATCCATTAGACGACTGTAATACATGATTGCTGTAATGGTCTTTTTTTCGATCCGTGAAAGGGAGACTTGTATATACGTACCTTTTGGTTCTCGACGAGGCCGGCCTTGTCATGCGCGCTTGAAACACAACGACTTGGAGCGCAACCCCGTTACCCTATGTTTGATTTACTTTCTTTTTCCTCCCTTGCATCTTGGAGGCGTCTGTCGTTATAGCATGTTTAGTGGCGGGACAGCAGAGATACCACGGGCATCTTCATTTCATTCGTTAGACTTTAGTCCCAGATTGTTTTATCACCTCCCGAATATGTCGATATCGCTTTCGCTATCGAGTGCGTACATCTTGGAGAAAGGGCCTCAGGAAGAGCTGCGATGGGTCTGTTGCAAGAGGGGAAAGTGGGCGACGATGACCGCGAGGGCATGCGTCAGTGCGTCCGTGGGACAGCACGTGGGTGGCTTCTTGCGGACAGAAAAGCCGCGCTGGCTTGTCCGGGTCGTGATTGGCCTTCGGAGAATTTCGATCGATCGCCATGCCCTGCGTGCCTCATCAGATCTCAGGAACCAAACTCGGCCAGGAGGAAGTTTGGAAACAACAAGGAGTACAGTGAAGGGACGGGACGGGCGACGGACTCTGTATACCCTTTTTTCTCTTGTTCAGTAGAATGTAACAATAGGAAGAAACGAATGAGACGGCAAATGCGTGTGGATGGGAGGCTTATCGTCATCTGCGCAGCTGGCTGAGTAACGTTACAACGGCTACCTTACCCTCGCACAAGCTGGAATTCTGGCACGTTGATGCGGAGTGTTTCATAGGAATGATTTACTTTAGACTTACGCGAGGCCTGTAGCGCTGCTCATCATCAGACCATGCGGAAGAATCTTTAGCCGATTATAACAGACCTGAGGTATAACTCAGAGCAGCACAGCTGAACAGACCTCGGGCCAGCTACAAGCCTGCCAGCTAACAAGGCATTAATTAGCAGATCAACCAGATAACCGTGTGTCTTAGGGTAGCTCGCTCTATAATATGTACTTCAAGTGCTGACTTGATACTGCATGGCCGACTTCCACATGGACGCGAGAGGCATAGTCGACCCTCGTACGTATCTCGGCATGGTACGCAACAGTCATTTGTCTTCTTCTGATTCACAACACATAGAGGTCGCTGCGAATTATTTGATGAAATGTCGATGGTGTCTCTTTAGTATGCACGGCTTGTCGAAACAAGCTTCGTGAGTGTATCATATGCTACAAGGGTGTCCTTAACCACGTGCTGCACGCAATGGGCACCTAAACCTGAGCGCCATGGCACACCTTGTTCAACTCCACGCTATACAGCAGCCTTATCCACTACTGAGTAAGAAACCCATGCCCGTGAACGCCATGCCCGAAACAGACCCTTTTCGATGAGCAGCAACCTAGCCTACGACCTTCAGCTTCTTCTTTTTCTTCTTGCCGTCCTCGGGACCCTTGCCCTTCTGGAAGTCCCTCCAGCTGTTGATGCGGGTATCTCGCGTCTTCTCCCATGCATCCTCGTGCTCTCTCTTGCGCTTCCGCTCCGCAATTTCTTCCTCCTCCTTGCGTTGCGCCCGTCCCTCCTCCCGCATCTGCGCCTCCATCTGCCGCCTCCTCCGCTTCTCATTGTCCATGATGACCCACGTCGTCTTCTCCCGCCATGCTCTCGCAAACTCATCGCCGCGCGTCTCCTCGTCGTCAGCCGTAAGCTTGCGCTCGCGCATCAGCAGCATGCGCGCGTCAGAAATGTGCTCTTCTAGCTCCGCACGCAGCTTCTCGTCCATAAGCGTGGTCTGCGCCTTCTTCAAGCGGTCAAAGGCTTCCGGCGCTTTGGGGTTTGTAGTCTTGTCAGGATGTATGAGGAGCGATTTGTTGCGGTAGGTTTTCTTGATGTCGGATTCGGGGACACCGGGCTGGAGATCCAGCACGGCGTATGCGTTGAGCTTGAAGACGGCAAGGATACGGTCGATTTCGCCATCCTGTGTATGTGAGTATAGTTGTCAACGATCTGAGACCTGTCGGCGCGCAGAAACGCAACAGACATGCTATGCGATGATGGAGAAGTAACGTACCTTGTCCAGCTCCTTGCCGGCAGCCATAAGCTCGGCTTCAATGTCTGCATCCTCATTACCCATGATGTTGTTGTTTGTGGGTGTAGCGAATGTAATGTGGTTGTCTTGGTCCTTTCTGGTGAGAGTGAGCGGACCTCCGAGCACTACGAGCAGTTCCCCGCCGTCTGGCCGCGCACGGGCCTTGGAGATCTTCGTCTCCAAAATTTTTGGCCGCGGTTTCGCATAATCACCATAATTCACTATTCACGTCAACATGGTATGTTGCCTCTGGAATAATGCTACAGACTGTATGCTAATTGTAATAGGTCGCGCCTGGCATCACAGGCCGTACCAGGCCGACGAAGGTGAAGAAACAGGCAGGTGCGCAGAAGAGAAAGCGCGAGGATGTAAATGTCGAGCAGCTGGATGAGGCAGTCGCCGAACTTGTGAGTGCCGCGAGTACACTTTCGACGTGGTTTACGCAGACCAACTGACTTCGGTAGGACCTCAAAGATGGCTCATACAAGGACTTTACCGACCTTCCACTCTCTGGCGCAACCAAAGCCGGTCTCAAGTCAGCGCATTTCTCCATGATGACGGATATTCAGGCGAAAGCGATACCGATTGCTCTGAAGGGACATGATATACTGGGAGCAGCAAAGACCGGCAGTGGAAAGACTTTGGCCTTCCTCATCCCCGTCCTCGAAAATTTATATCGATTACAACACATTGGACCAGATGCTGGCTTGGGCGCGTTGATTATCTCTCCAACGCGCGAACTCGCTATACAGATCTTCGACATCTTGCGTAAAATAGGCAAGCACGGCCACATGTTCGCAGCTGGTCTTGTCATAGGCGGAAAGAGTTTGGAGGCCGAACGAGAGGCTCTCACTAGGATGAACATCTTGGTCGCCACACCCGGCCGAATACTGCAACACTTGTCGCAAACCGTCGCATTCAACGTGGACGACCTCAAGATGCTCGTCCTGGACGAAGCTGATCGCATCCTCGATATGGGTTTTCAGAGAGACGTTGACGCTATACTAGAGTATCTTCCGAAGGAGCGCCAGACCATGTTGTTCTCAGCCACGCAGTCCAGGAAAGTCTCCGACCTGGCACGCTTAAGTCTACACGAACCGGAATACGTCTCCGTGCACGCCGAGGATAAATCAGCCACACCGAAGACCCTGCAGCAGAACTACTTCGTCTGCCCCGTCGAGGAGAAGCTGGACATGCTGTGGAGTTTCATTCAAGCTAGCAAAAAGAGAAAGATCTTATGTTTCTTCTCATCAGCGAAAATGGTCCGCTTTGTATACGAATCTTTCCGCCATATGCAGCCAGGTATCCCACTACTACACCTCCACGGCCGCCAGAAGCAAGGGGCTCGGCTGGATGTCACCACGAAGTTCGCGAACGCCAAATTTTCCTGTTTGTTTGCTACGGATGTTGCAGCGCGTGGTCTTGACTTCCCCGCTGTCGATTTCGTGATTCAGGTGGATTGTCCCGAAGACGTGGACACTTACATTCACCGCGTCGGTCGAACTGCGCGCTATAACCGAGAGGGACGTGGTGTCTTGTTCCTAGCACCAAGCGAGGAGGAAGGTATGCTGAGACGCCTCGAGGCCAAGAAGGTGCCTGTCGAAATCATCAACGCCCGGCAAAAGAAGAAGCAGTCTATCAAGAGCCAGTTGGTCCACATGTGCTTCAGAGACCCCGAACTGAAATACCTCGCACAAAAGGCCTTCATCACATACACCAAGTCTTTGTACGTGCAAAAGGATAAAGAGGTTTTCAATATCAAGAACTACGATCTAGAAGCCTTCGCCGCTAGTCTGGGTCTTCCAGGTGCACCGAAGATCAGGTTCCTGAAGGACGACGACGAGAAGAAGAGGAAACATCAATCTCGGCAAGAGCTCGAGGTCTCTGCTTCGGACGATGAAGAAGAGGAGCCATCAGGCAAGAAAGCCAAGACTGTGCGGACGAAATATGACCGCATGTTTGAGAGGCAGAACCAAGATGTTCTTGCAGACCACTACAAAAAGCTTGTTCAGGATGGAGAGACGGAGGATGGATCAGATGAGAATGACTTCACTGGCGATACACAAGCCGGCAACGACGAAGACGACTTCCTTGCTGTCAAGAGAAGAATACCAGCGGACGAAGAAGGGGCGACTGCGGAAGGCGCAGAGCACGACGACCCTACCGCTCCTAAAGGGAAGGTCATCAATCTGGCCGGTGCATCTCAACCCCTTATCGTTGACAGCAACCGCCGCGAGAAGCTGCTTAAGTCCAAGAAGAAGCTCCTCAAGTTCATGGACATGGGCAAGAAGCTCGTTTACGATGACGAAGGTAACGCTCATGAAATCTACGAGCTTGAAGACGAGGATGGCTTCCGAGCGAAGGGCCTGCCTGAAGAGCAACGGCAGAAATTCCTCAACGCAGAAAGGGACGCTGTTGCCCAGGCTGATGTGCTGGACAAGGCAGCAGCGAAGGCGAAGAGGAAGGAGAAGGCACGGAAACGGAAGGAGCGAGAAAAGGGTGAGATGGATGGGGGTGATGATGAAGGAGGCGTGGAGATTGCGGATGCGGACGAGGATGCTCTTGCCAACTTCAGGGCGGATGCCGCTTACAGTGACGATGATGAAGACAACGAGCAACCTCAAAAGCAGAGCAAGAAATGGTTCCAGTCAGATTCTGAAGAGGAAGCTGCACCTAGCAAGAAGCGGAAGAAGGCAAAGAGCGCCCGGCACGTGGAGGAGCCGCAAACGCTGGAGGACATGGAGGCATTGGCAGCAGACTTGCTATCCTGACGTTGGTCAGGTTAGTCTACGATATGCATGCACTAGTAAATTCTCACGGTGGTTATATTGTATCCCGAATTTATCACTTTAGCCAAGCCTTGTCCTATACGCTATCTTAAGTGCTCTCAGATATAGGGTGCAATTGCCGAAGAAGTTCATCGGATGCGTTCCACTACCGTGCTTAAAAGGCGTATATTTGCTCATGTTATGCCCGGGACCCACCAGCGGAAATAAATATGAGGTCTTGGATACATTGTGTATGCATCTGGAACCCTTGGCAACTGTGTCTTTCTACACTGCTCCGAGCGCTGTGGTAGCCTCTGGATTCATCATACGACACTCGTAAACAAAGACGCGAAGCAATCCCTCCTAGCACGGAGCAACCCGCCCCATCATCGTACACTTGCCCATCTATTGCAGACAGACCCAATGCTTCGCCTCTAGCCGCTGACTCGCAGCTCAGTGGATCTCCTATATCGACGGCTCCAGCCCCGTTCCCAAGCGCCCGGTAGTCAAAAGTCCCAAAAAAAAACAAGCTTCACTAGCTAAACGATCGTCTCCCGCGCCGTCAGTCTGGAGCCTCACTCTTTGGGACGCTACGTCTGCCTAACGCGATTGATACATGCCCACATCGGGACTCAGCCGGCGCACCTGCCACACATGTGGCAAACGTCAAACGGCGCCCCAAGGGAATTAAGTTTACGCTTCCCCCTTCCGCGCGCTGCCACCACTGCACGCGCGGCTCGTAACAATGCGTAGCGTAAGGCGCGCTCCTTCGGTCCTTTGTTCAACTTTGTTGGTGGCGAACATTGATTAGCAAGGTTTGGGGCAAGATTAAGTTCTACATGGTCGATCGGGGGTATTTGGGCATACGAGGGGATTAGACCGATTGCGAATGCGAACCGTATGCATGGCACTTGTGCAAGCGCGGGTGGATGAAAAAAACTTGGTATGGACTTCTCCAGATTTTCGATCCGAAGCGCTAAATCGTCGATTCGAAATGCCTAGTTCGGGCTGGTACTGCGCGTAGATCCGATATGTTGTAGTTGTTCGACTGGGCGTTAAACGGTACAGAGAGGTGAAGGTCTTGATCACTTGACCAAGCAGGAAGGCTGTCCTTTCAAGAGTAATCTTTCAGATCTTATATTCCATTGGTTCGATGACTGTCGGATCTACCTCCTGTGACTTTTGTTGATACAATACAGTGAATTGAATGGTCGAAAACTCACAGCATACGCTAGGGCTCCTCGGAACAAAAAAAAAGGTCCAGAAGAGAACTTTCAACGACAAAAGATCCGCCGAGCACGACATTGAAAGTCGAAGTGTAGCTACATAGACACCAAGAAGGCCGTTGGATGGCTTGAAGTTCCTTTCGGTCCGGAAGGGAGCCGAAAAATTCTCCGCGCTCCACATCGCTTCAACACCACACCAATTCGAGCAAAGACCAAAAATCAAGCAAACAAAAACATACAACAGCGGGTATTCGCTGCTGGTCACCCACGCAACTACTAATCCGCCGGTACACTGCTTATATATGGCTGAGCGGACGGGAAGCCTAGTTTTCAGTGTCCTATGGTCGTATGTGAAAACATTTGACAATTGATGCATACATAACCCAGCACAGCTGAAGCATTTCACGTTCTTGCCTGCAGTTTGAGACTTCCATTTGAAATCTCGCTTCAATGAAAAAATTCTCCCTTCGATGTTATGATCTCAGAACATTGCATGCCTCCTCTGTGTCGTTGTCAGATATCAAGCGCGCAACATCCGCAAGTTCGGATAAGATTGTGAGGATAATTGAGCATCGTGAACTTTGCTAGGTCTAGTCGCATTTCAACACTATTAGGCAGTAACGACGATGTCGCTGTGACGTGCTGCGGAAGGTTGAAGGGCATAAAAGGTGCTTGGTGAAGTCACGCGTATGACCAGTGACTTGTCGAGGTCTCAGGAGCGCCTCCGTAGTCAAAGAGTTATACCTATTGCACGAGGAGGCAGCTCGCTTTGATCCCTTCTCCTCTCTCGTTCCAGCTTGAGAACATCTCTCCAACAAGAACCATCAACCTTCCCAAGCATTCGGAACAAGTCTATATATCCATCCCTAATCGGCCAGCAACAGATACCGTGCGGACGGTATTTCAGCTCCTCCAATGTTGTCTGCTTCAGTGTTTCAGACATCTGAATCTTATTTAGGTTCCTTTTCTCAATGTACTTTGCCATGGAATTTTCCAACTCAGATTGTTGCTCATCCTGCAGATTCAACGAAACAATCAAAGAAGCATGCGATGCCAGTGTATCCCCTAAATCTAGTATACTAGACGGCGACCTCGGCAGATTTTGCGGCTTCTGTCTCTTCCAGTAATCGACAAGTGTATAGTAATCGATAGAATCGCCGACAAACCCGTCTTGCTCGAAAGTCCCTAAGATCTCCAGAACATAATCGGCCTGTATCATCAGACTCTCTGCTGGCTTCAGAACAAGCTTGGTTATCAAGTCTTTATGCTCTCGGCGGACACTGAACCACCGGTTGTCCCTTAATTGTTGTTCAAGATACCGTACAAGAGTGCAGACGTCATACGTTATTTCGAAGACATCCCAATGGAAGAATTTTGAGGGGTCGGCATCTGTCCTTGTGGTTATGGTGGTATTCCAAGGAAACAAGCGGCCGGTATCTGTACTGATTATGTCGAGTTCGGCATGGAATGTGATGAACATGACGAACACGAGAATTGAACGGAGAAGCTTTACCGTGTCGAGTTTATTCTCGGTCAGCAGAATCAATCGTGGATAGGCGAAGGCACTGTAATCACGTTCCAATTGAGATATAGGGGTAGACCTGATCACAGTTTTCTCGATGGGCTTCTGATCGCTACTGCTGGTGGGTTTGGAAACGGTGTCCTCGCTGAGCTTTGGAACAGCATTTGTGTTGGGCTTCGAAACAAGATCTTCGGTGGTTTTCAAGCCCGTGCCTTTATTGGACTTTCGAATAAGAGCCTCTTCAACGACATCTTCGATAAATCTGGTATAAGGAGGAGGCGGTATATCAGAGTGCTCCATCATCTGAGCGGTTCTCATGGCTTTACGATATCTCTTGGCGCCAGCCCATATTCGCTGTAGCACCTTCTTCATCCTACCTCCAAAGGCACTACTCGCGCGAGGTGTCGCCATCATTGGAGCGAGCTCTGTGTCCATGATACATCTGGGGCTACCATCAGCCGGGCAAGCTAAAGTCGGGGTTTCCATCGCCGCAGGCTTTGACTCTTTCTTAGGCAGAGAGCAACTGATGGTATCCAGGCCCTCGTGTTCTGACTATACTTCTGATGGGTTTCGTCGTGGTGCGCACTTATCGCAGACTCGAACTCTGCAGAAAGCTCAGGTTTTTCGTTCAAGCTGTAAAGCTTGCAACTTGCTTCCCGAAATTTCGAAACGTACCTCGAGTTTTGGAATAGTCAATATTTTTTCCTGGTAATTTTTGGAGAGATCCGGGCTTCTTATATCTTTTCAGGTCTTATAATTAGCAGACTTGGTGCTGAGTGTTGGGATTACAAACCGCAGTTGAACCATAGAACGTCGACATCAACCTCCACGGGTCTGGGTCAAGGCAACCCCAACATGAGAGTACCAAAATCACAAGTATCGCTTAATGCGCGCTATACTATACATACTTGCTTTAGGCCTGCCGGAGGAAATGCAGGAATTCATAATTCATCACAGAGTCCCGATATAACCAATAATACCGTTAGATATTGCCCCCAAATCGAGTGACCTTTTTGCGGGGCCGTCAAAGGCTGCCTAGCGACCGCAGGAAAACACAAAACCTGTTTATTTCATATCCGCACATGCCACCTACCACGGCTTTATATCATACATCTGTCCTATAAGGCCTTCTATTTTTTTAAGACCATACTGGGTATACCAAGGGACCAAAAAACGCGGGTCAAAATCGCCCCAACATCGCAATTGCTCTACGACCTCGAGCTAACCTGTTATCTCTCCAAATCTCTTGCCGAGGTCCCGAGCGTCAAGCGGCATCTACCGATCTCCTCGATCACTTGGGGCTTGTATAGCAAGGCAGACCCATGGATACGAGTGGAGCTTCTTAGTGAATAGATGGGCATTTTCATCTAGGAAGCGAACAAATATGGCATTAGCTCTGGGGACTTATACGCAGCGCCCTATAGCATGACGGGCATGGCGTCGTCCTCGAATATCAGCAGGGTAACAGCACTTTAAAAAGAAGACACCATAGAAACAGAATGCTGTTAACAAATCTTTTCGGAACAATTCTAGGCGTACAACTAAAGACACAAACAAATTGAATTGGAACCGAACTCCCTGAGATAGACAACGTCTTCCAAGTGTAAAGCTAAGTGCCTCCGGGGCTCTCTGCACCACTACTTGCCTGCTGGTCCTGGTACCACTTTTTCGTCCTCGCTTCCGCTTTTCTCAATACCAGCCATTTCGCCAGCTAGTGACGATGTAGAAAACAAGAGCAGATTGGCAGCCTTTATCGGGTCTGTATGGGTAGGCTTCGAGCCAGGTAGAGTGTCCCGAACAGAGCCTCGGGCTATCCTTTTGGGCGGCTTGCCATTCGCTTTCCAAACTACATTGATACTCGTTCCGCCGTCCAGGTTGATAAGCTGCTTTAGATCATATACTTCCATCCTCAGCCAGATTTCGAACCACTTCAAAATCATGTTTCTCCACCCTCTCATGGTCAATCTATCACGCCGGGAATCTGCGGTATACACGAAGATATATCTATCGCCATCCTTCGCAATGGCAAGGGCGAGACGCTCGTTGGGCTCGCTTGCGTGGGAGAGACTGCCAGTGATCTTCTTAGTCTCGTCGTGATACACCCAGTCTGGGCCGTTCGCAGTCCACAGCTGCATAATTCCCGGTCCGCTGTGGAGGAAGGTACTGTACTTGCGTTCCAAGACAATGCCCGCCAGACACAGGCAGCGCACCTGCGACGACTAGCACGTCGCGTAGATCTGCGCCGTCGCTGACCTTGAGCTACTGCCTGCTCGTCTGATGCTCGACGAGGAGTAAAGCACCCCGTCCTATGACACGCACCACGATGAGAATACCTAAGTCTACAACTCCATTAATAGCCATGTAGTCGTCGTCGCGACCTGTCCGCCAGGCGAGACAGGCAACGTCAACGCTGGGCGCTTGATGTTTAAGACGTTTCGCAACATCCGCGTGCAGCAAATACTCAGGCAGTGCTATTGCAAGCTGAAAATCAACGGCATAAACACCAATTAGAAAGCGCAAAGTCTACACACTCAAGAAAGCGTGTACAAGTTAATGCTAACAAACAGTTTAGTAAGAGTATCAAGGCAGCGCTTGACCGAGCAGCTATTTTATAGGCTCAATAAGCAAACATCACAGTAGAACGGCAGAACAGTAGACCAGTAAAGTAGCAGAAGTAGCTTGTAAGCAAATCGCAATACTATATGGGGCGACGATTTGGGGTATACGTGGACGGAAAATATATCGGCTAGCTTAATCCAAATGCCAAGGTGCGTTGCTGCCTTCAGCATTACCGACAGTCAGGATTCTACATCTCATCTAATGCAGTCGTTCCTTTACGGTATGATATTTTTTCTTACATACTTTGCATGCCCACAAAGTAGCTTGGCTAAACCCAATCGTTCCACTTATCACAGCAAACGATCCAGTCGGATCAAATGGCGCTATAATCGTCGTAACCATCCCAGTCTTCTGTATAGTTATAGGCATGGTCGAACAGACAGCGAGATAAAATCAAAGGCACCTGTATAGATTTGTTAGGAAAGTGAATTAAATCAGGAAGACGCTTAAGGGTACTTACCGCTAGCTTGCTAATAACAACTTGAACTTCCAACTTATAAAATAGAAAATGGTGTGTGTCTAGATACTATATTAGCTAAATTGATGAGTTTCAGAGAGATGTTGTCAAAGTTGTACTTGGCCTGGATTAATATAAGCGTTAGTAGTGGTGAATATTGGAATAAAGCTTGATCTGGACACGAGGTAGTGACGTGATTTGAGGACACCAGCAAGATCTCAAATTCCAAGGGAAAATTATTGCTTTGAGCACAGGAAAAAAGGGGGATTGTCTGGGCTTGGTCGAGATTAAATACACGCAGTAAGAAGGGGCTCGTTTCTGTTGAGATTTAGGGTTACACCAGAATAAGCACGATTTGTGCGCCAAAACTTAATTAATACGAGCTTCTTCGCATTTGGTACACAGCCTTGTCAAACAACTTCATTGGAGACTTGTTAGCCAATAGAGCACTGCTACGCCTTGCATGACTGCCCCGCTTGCCCTTTTACTCGGCCACCTCTAGCCTCTCTTTTCTGCCTTATTGGGCGCCTCCTTGTACCTGTGAGTCATTTTTCTCGTCACACTCCACATCATATTGCCTGTTCCGTGCAAAAGCCTCTGTCTCTACGAGCTGCGAAGGAGGGTACTCATAGTCCAATAGTCCAATTCAGACCGTCTTTGTTCTTCGTTAGACAATTACAGCGATTTCTATCAACCCGTATCTCTATTCTACCCATCTTTCTCGCAAAATCAAGTATTTGGTCTCTCCTTTCCAAGTAGCGGTCCAACTCTTCTTATCGCATCATGTCTACTCTCTCACTTGATCCTTATCAGGAATTGGTCGTGCTCGATGGACCTGCCCACCCTGGACATACGCAGCCACTGCCACGTCAGCAGCCACTCTGTACCACCAGTAGGAAGCTACGCTTAGCATCAGCCCTCTTTTTTAAGCTACCCTGGGAATCCCAAGCCCAAAAGATCCCGTGCGGGTGCTAGGCTGAGGTTAGGCCATCGTTTTGTTGAGGGCGGGTTGGAAAGGTGTAAGAAACGACAATACAAAACTGCGGGTGTATCGGCGCTGGCCACCCTAGATCCATTCCTGGTCCGGATCCTCTACAGAGGCATATGGGCAGACTTGTCAACAAGTAAATCAATTTGATTAGTTTGTTTGACTTGTTTGCAAATAAGCAAGTCAAACAAGTAATTTGCTTCACAAAGTTTCCCAACGTATCTCGAGTTTTGGAATAGCGGGTTTGCTTGTCTTGTAATTTAGAGAGATCCTGGGCCTGTGAAATCTTTCTAAGTTCCATGATTAGCATGAATTTGACTTTGTGCTCAGTGTTGGGATTACAAACCTCTACTGAACCACGGAACGTCGACGCCAACCTTATCGACTACCTCCATCACTTCACACTACCATGTTTCTGATTACTTATATCCTAACGCAGAGACTTGCACACACGAGAAGAGTAATACTGGATACTACATAGGAAATAATAGGAAATAATAGGAAATAATAGGAAATAATAGGAAATAATAGGAAATAATAGGAAACCTACAGCTCCGCTTTTTCACATAATTCTTCGTTTTTAATTATCTAGTACATATCCTATCCAATCCTTATATGCGGACTCCTACAGTACCTGGTGACACGATTCTGCTGGGTGAGCGCATCGTTATTCTCCAAAATCTTCCTGAGTATACGCCCTACGCAACCTTCCGGGTTCTTATTAATGTGTGGAATGCCCCGTGCCTGGAATAAGACATTGCCTCATGAGGTATTTGTCCGTAGTCTAATTTCCCAATCAGAAACCGCACAGTGGAATTTTGTTTATTCGCCAGTTCCGGTGAGTCCGTCATTGAGGGGGCAATCTTGGGGGTGTGAGCATCGATTAAGGCAACTGTGTCGTGATGTCCGATGCACTGAAAATGTGGAATTGTGGCCAAATTGTGCTTGCTACGCCGCACACATAGAGCAGAACTCATGCGGCACACTCACTCACATGCAATCAATTACTATATTAGCCCGAGCATGCAAGTCCGATCAAAGTGTAGACATTCCACCACCAGTGCGTTTTACGCATTCGGTAGACAACGTTTTGGCCTCTTCACGCGGTATATCTATCGGTTTCCGAGACTGCGCGCATAAGTCGTCCTTTCGTGCCGGGAATATATTCAAGGGCTATGGCCGTGATGGAATACTAAATGACTACGATGTCGGGCCGGCATAGCATGAACGGTCGACGAAGCGTTCAATTTTTGGAGCACATTTTTGCGCTAGCGCGCCATCCCGAATCTGTGAGTTAGAAATACCTGGCTACCTCGATGTTGAGTTATCTCGGTAAATGGTACTCGTTTATAAAGCGCGCCTAGCTATTAGATGCTTATCAAGTGGCTATTCCTTCGTGATATTGTGATCAAGCCCTGGATCCTCGTACGGTAGTGACCCGACTAACCGTATCCGATTAGTGTGGCGATTGTCACCAAACATAACTCTGCCCCACCTACTGAGCTTCTTCTCTACCTATTTGGCGTGTATCAGCAAATACAACCCCGAAACTTGACACGCGCTTTTCGCCCCAGGATATCGTCGGTGGATGAAGATATCATACCCCCCCCTCCCCGCTTCACTGCAACTACGGCTAGTATAAATTTTCAAAGTGTTATCTGCTTAGCAAGTCTTCCATTTTTATACAACGTCCCACGCGCAACATGTCAGCCATCACCGTCACGCAACTCCCGCGTGAGCTACGGGATATGGTATGGTCAGCGGTCGCTGCTGTTCAATATCAACAGTAAGTAAGATCCACTTACTTTGGCAATGGCCTGACCATCCGATCTGGACCAATATAGTGACCGTCAACTCTAGTATGGCTGATGGCTCCCCAAACTCCTGCACAGCCCCGGGTGCTACCGAGCGCCTACGACAAGCTTTTGTTGGCTACGACAACCTACCACAGAGTATAGAAAGACAGCCTCTTAGGGTATACGTTAACGAAGATGGATGGAAACTACGCCTTCGTGTGAATGAGTTTCAGACCCTGGTAAATCGTTTACCTATGGCCACAGTCTGTTCGGAGGCGCGGTCTCATGCAACCGATTTCTGCCGCAAACGAGTCGATATTGTGGATTTGCACTACACCATGGAGTCCAGCGATAGTGGAGTTGAGATCCGCGACCATGTTTTGCAGCCGACGACAGTGATGATCACCAACGCGAAGGACGGTCCTCGAGGCTTCAATTCTGCAGATCAGTACGTGACGTCCCAGTACGAAGTAGGAATGTCTCAGCTAACTTCATACTCACGATTTTAGTCTTGTTAGCATCGTTGATCGTGTTTTTGGTAGCTGTGTTGAGCAAATCGTCTTTAATCCTTGGTTCCACTGCTCTGTCTCCCTAGAACGAATATATTGGCCACACATTGGACAAACACGGGATCGGAATAGAATGTAAGTACTGAGCCTTATTTTAGCTTGTACCCGCAAGCCTAGGCACCATTTTGCACGCTAGAATGCCCACAGGGACTATACCTTCATTGATGATCCAAGCCATGTTCGATCTATCGTTTTCATGAAGCTGGATGGAATTATGCACATAAAGGAAGAACTGTTTAACGAAGATGAAGACTCTGAAGTTGCCTTAAAGGAGTTATCATACCAGCTTCTCAAGTTTCATGAGATCTTGGAAGCTTGCAAGCAAAAGCAGAAATTACTGCGCCTGCGAAGCTTTGAGCTGCAATTACACACATACTGTTGGGACGAGATTCTGTTAACACACGTCAGGGCAACAGTCAAGGATAATATCCTGTGGGCCAATTGGGGAGAATTTCAATCTGGCTTTAACCACGACTTTTTAACAGACGAGGACAGATGGTGACTGTGTGTGATGGTATTTTGCGGCGCAACTATGTTGCTCTGGTACTTTGAGCATACATCTTTAATGAATCAAGTTAATCACGTTTGGTAGGCCAGTTATTCTCTTTGGCTTGCAGCAAAAATGAGCAAAATTCCATCATATCTCCCTTACATTGGCGAAATGCAGACTGTTATGTACAGACTGAGAACAAAAGTCTCAATACTTTCGACTCGTGTATTTCCTATCCCAGGAAAAACGCGGAGTACTGTACATTTGAAATTAGGGGCTCCTTTGTGGGAGCTTATGTTGGTAGAATAATGTTGTTGAATGGGGACGAGTGGGGATAGGCGCTGTTGCTAACCATGGTCGCACCTTCAGGTGCTGGGACGGTCCTTCTTATTGTTAAGCTCAGGAAGGTATTCCTGCTTTAAAATTTCAGGGCGTTCTTTCTTGCATTAACATTTGGAGCCTTAACTCTGGCAGCTACTTACAGGAGATAAACATCTTGCGTCACTGCCCAGATTCCCTTCTTCCTCAACAACAACAGTATTTCGATTGCCCAACATACAGCACCGCTATAGAAGCTGTCTCGACTATTACTCTTTCGAAATACTCTTGTTATCATTATTATCCTGTTGTATACTTCAGCGACAACACTGTCATCATGTCTACTCCCTCCTGGACCGATTGTTGCCCAGAGCAGGACGTCGAACGCTTTTCCGAGCGCAGTACTGAGCGCAGACAAGTTTTTCAGGATGCTGCTACTCGACTGGACACCAAGATTCCACCTTCGATATGGGCGTTCCTTCAAGTCGCCGACCTGGAGCTAGTCAAGCAAATCACCCATAGCGGATTCTCGTGGAATACGATGAAGGAAGGTAGCATAACAACCTGCTCTTCAAAAGTTAAAGACGCCCTGCGACTTTGGAAACAGAGACCAGAGGAAAGGATGACGGAGGACACTACACCAGCACCGAAGCGCACGCATTCCAAGGCTTTCTCCAACAATGCCTTATCTGAGTCTCCATCGCACCGCTCCCAGATGCCGACCTCCGAGACAAGAACTAGGTCAGGAAAACCACTGGGTGCCCCAGAGGGCAGCGTTAGGCGTGACGTTGGGATCGCCAAGCGCAGCAAAGAAAGAGACGGTAACCTCTGTGTTATCTCCAAGATGAGTGCGGCCCAAGCATGCCATATCTACCCATGGTGTGCTTTTGGAGCGCAAAGTACGGATCGTGTGGCCAATTTTTGGGGGGTTCTGAGGTTGTTTTGGCCCAAGGACAAGGTGGACGCCTGGCACGCCAAAATATTCCACGATAACGGTACACCACACGGAACTGAGACGGTCGAGAACATGATCACCTTCACTGCGAGCCTGCACAATTTTCACACAGAAGGTGCCTTCGCGCTGCGACCTGTACGCATAACGGCCGACAAAACTCAACTCGAACTAGAGTTCCACTGGCTCAAGAGACAGGTCCGCGATTCAAGAGCAACGGTAGATCTTTTAGAGCTACCCATGTCCTCTCGAGGCCTGACAGATTCCGGACATGGACAATACCTATGTTATCTGGACAACGGCGTTCCAACCCGGCTTGTCAGCGGCAAAATATTCACTATGACGACCGACGACCCGGTTAACAAACCCCTTCCAGACCCGGGCCTCTTGGAGTTGCAGTGGCATCTCCAGCGCATCCTTGCGATGTCAGGCGCGGCGGGGTGGAAGGAGGACGACTTCGACGACGACGATGATTCCGATCCACCTGGGGAATTTGTTCAACAGTGGATTGAGGATACGTGGGAACATCGTCAGGATTGGGGTCCGTCTCGAGACGGGTCGGTCGACAATAGTGATGGTGCATACTGACCTACCACTCGGGCCCATTTCTGAACATTGGACACTGAACAAGAATCAGGCACCCATCGTTACAAAAGGCTCCGGAAAGACAGCGCGACAACTCCTTCGAGTTTTCTCGGCACATGATCACCGATGATTTGGTGCATGCAAATTCCGACTTGTTCGGACATCACCTCCTCACGCAGATCAGACAACAACAACGAGACTCGGAGCGTGTTTTTCCTCGGACTGAGTAACGACAGGGGCCCGACTTCCTGACCTCCTACTAGGTGCTGGGGTAGTGTCCAAGTGAGTGGCATCATGGCGCTGTCTGTTTGCTGATTGTGCACATTATTTTTTTCGCGCCCATGCTGGGCGGTTGTTTTTTGCTCGAGCTTTGAAGACTCTTGCGTTTTTCTTCACCTCAAATCGAAAAACACGGGGGCCAAAATCCTACTCTTACCTCCTCGCCGGTGGTCCCTGGAAACTAGTGTGGCAACACCTAGGCTAGCAAGAGAGGTGATGACTACATAGCTCAGGACCGCCTTGTACGTTGGCCAGGCAAGGAGATTGAGACACGTTGCTGTTCTTTTGTTTAGGCCTTTTCCCACGAGCAGGCCGGCCGGTATCGCCGATCCTCACTTCCAGCTTGCCCATCGTCGCGACCAAGGAGCTTATTGCGTAGTTATTTATGGTATGGTACATATACAGAACTCTAGGTACCGTGTGCTAACCAAGGATAGACGATACGCATGTTGGTAGTACAGAAACTCTTATCCACGTACTTTTCGACGCTTCTCACCCAACGACGACAATGGTGCACGATGCACGATACACGCTGAAGGAAGCCGATTAGACCCTCCTCCACAACGACACGTTCTTCGCGGCTTCGTTTCTGCCAATATTCCTCGGTGGTGGACGATGAAACGGAGACCTTTTTTTGGAGACATGGAGCTTTGCTTAGGAGGCAATTTGGCGCAGCCGGAAGTATTCTGGTCGCCGTTTCCGATGTGACGCACGAGAGCGTATTCTTAGGGGTCCATTACGATGACTTCCCCACTATCAATTTCGTCAACCACCGAAAGAGCCGACTTCGACTTCTCGATCCAGGCCACAATGCCCAGTCGGCCCCACCTGCTAAAGCCCGAACAAGAATGAAGTGCCGATCAGATCAAAGGCCTTGCCCTGGCTAGAGCACAAGAAGGGAGAATCATTGAATTCGTATGAGGGGTTAGGCGGAGCTGGAGAGTAGAAAAGATCGGATGCTGTTCTTCTGTTCTTAGATATGGTGTAGTGGCATGGTGCTACAACGGCGTACGCGTATAGTGTAGTTAGTTGGGCTATAATTTATCAGTTACCACTCTCCGTGACCGACCTCCGTAGTTCCACACCACCTTTCCGGTGCGTTCAAGTTTTTCTATTGCAAAGACATCTAGAAATATGTCACTGAAGGTGTCGGTCAAGCCACATGAGGGGTTGACCATAGCGGTCCAAGCAAGCGGCTGTACGGCTCCATGTCTCCCATTAGATCTGCGTTCCATGTGATTCTCGTTCAAACACGTACTAAACGTTTGGCATCGCACTCCAATGTGGCGTGGCCTTGTTTCAGGATAGCTGGCTTGGCGAGAGTAAAGTTGGGGCTTTGGGAGCTGAGAAGGGTATGTTGTATTGGGCAATCACATTGGTGAGATGGCACTGGTAGGAGATGGTGCTATCAAGAAATCCTGGGGAGGATGTTTGTGTTTACGCATGAGTAAGTCGCACACAGCAGACTGAATCGGGTTGTATCCGTTGAATGAAACCACTCGGGATTGTACACAACCGCTGTCAACCACAGAGCTACCATATAACCACTTCCAGAGCAACGCCCGACAGCCAAGTAATCTCTGCCTGCGCCCCCTGCCCCAGCGTCAATTCTTCCGTCCCCACGAATACGACTTCGTCAACAAGTACGTAAGCCCCATCGTAAGCAGACTCATCGCCAGCCCACCGATCCACGACGGCTCCGCGTCTTCCCTCATCGTATCGCCGCTCACGAAGAGCACGACCCACGCTTTTTTGCCCAGCCCTAGTACGCTGCCGGTGCACCAGCAGCTCTCGTAGAAGCCGATGAGTTCGAAGATGGAACTTAGAATTATCCAGAGGGCGTTGATGACGACGATGGATTTTCCTAGGTACCGCGTGAGGACGGCGAGGATGCAGAAGAGCTCGTGTTGAGCGCTGCGCGAGGGGGTGGGGGCGGTCGCGGGCTGGGGGTCTGTTTGAGTTTGGAATTGCGTTTGGTACATTAGCATGGCGTGGTGGGAGAGGAAGACTGATGCGAGGAGTAAGATGTGGGCGGAGGTGGCGAAGATGCCGTAGAGGAGGTAGCTTCCTGAGCGGCATCCGAGGCCCTTGACTTCGGTCAGGTAGGCTATGACTACTGCGGAGCCGGTGACGCCCCATTGGAGGATGACGGCTACGAAGTTGGAGATGAGGAAGTTTTTTATCCAGTCGGAACTTGAGCTGACTTCGTGCCAGGTCATGTACGGAGCATGGGCGCTTGGAGGGATGATTGCTGGGGCTGTTTCGAGCTGGTTTGTGTTCGTGTGACGGGGGTTTTGGTATCCGGTCGAAGATGCCTGTGATGCGGCTGTGGTTGAGTCGAGGGCTGAGCTTCGGGCTGAATCTTGTTTGTGGATCTCTTTATCTACCTGCAAGTGTTGAGCCTCTGTAGCCGGATCGATAGGATCGAGAGGGATTCCTTCCAAGGGTGGTTGGCTCAAGGAAGGAATCTTGTCTTCAAAGGCACTGACGACTCTGTTGCGCAGCTTCGGATATGTCAAGATGCGCGCATAATTAAAAGCCGGGCCCTGCAGCTTCTCGTCACCCTGGACGTCTCCCAAGAGTGCTTCGAACACCTGGTCTGGGTGATTCAGGAAGCCCGACCTGGCTTCAAGTGCCTTCATAGGCGTAGTCTCTCCAGAGTTCACTTCCCCTTGGATCGCGTCCCGGACCGAGTTCTCCCGAGATTGCACCCCGGCGGCCATCCAGCCTAGTACAACCGGTATCAGCCAGGTCCAGAGCGTACCGGATGAAAGCAAAAGAGCTTCCGAAGGCTGACCAAGCGACGTGACGTAGGATCCGATAATGGTGAGAATCCACGCAATGACGGCGAATGAGGTCTGGGCTACAAGTGAGAATGTATACTGCCGCCGGGTATTATGGAGACGTTGTTGCGCAATGACCCATCGATCACGGAGCTTTGCCGGTTCTTCGTTGAACATCTGGTGGAATTGATCCTCCTGTATCCTGACAGGCGACTGCTGGGACCCACAGAGGAAGTACTCGGCCGCGTTTACTGCCTCTGTCATCTTGTGCTTCGTTTTCCCATAGAATTTGGCCTTGAAAACCTTCGACGTAGAATGCGCGTTGAGGGTCGTGGACATCAGAGAGAACGTCGTCAGCATCGGGCTTCCCACAGCGAGACAAAAGCTCTCAAAGTTCCCGGATACGGAACCCGTCTCGTAGGGCAATTGAGCAGTTAGGCCCAGCCATGGGAGTAGGTAGTTGGTCACACCGGACGTGAAGATCGGGAAATTGAAGACCTGCAATGTTTTAGCATGTGTCCAGTCTGCACGAAGTTGTCCAGTCGCCGGGCATACCATAGGGAAATTCTGCCTGCCGCAATACGTCTGACAAGTCTCCACATCGATACCCCATGCATCCCATACGCCCTTTGCCAGTTTGACAGGCTTGTAGCCGTTCTGGGTAACGAAGCCTTGGGCGATCTCCGTGAGGTTGTCAGCTTCCAACAGGCGGCGCACACACTTGGCTGCCCATGATGAGCCTTGACCGAGCGGTGTCAAAAATTTCGTCAATCCTGATTCGTTCATGCTGATGAAGAAAAAGGATTTGGACCGGGATAGAAGGAACCAAAGGATCGGGCCGTCTTTTCTATCACTTCTTAAGAATCAGGCTGTCAGGCAACCGTGTGCAGCCTGGTCGGTGTGGAAGACCGGGCGGTTTATTATTCCATGCGACACCTGGGCAGGCTGTGATAAGGGCTGGCCCTCGTGTCAAATGAGCCATTTCAGCTGCAATTGTTCGGCGAGGTCTCACAGTGGTGGCTGTGCTCTCTATGAGGGCACAGTGGCGCATGTGATTTGGTATCATTGTGTTCATAAGGTCTGTGCTGTAAAAGGAAATGCATTGTATGAGTGATGGAGGGCCGCAGGCAAGTGAGCCCCCACGCGCCCTGCATGAGCCTAGCGCGCAACCGCCCTCTGACGTAGAGCTCAGCTCTGGAGTGCCCTAAACCACGCTCTCTCACATCCTATCCTCTAAGCCGAGTCTCTCTGCACCCCCTACCAAACTAGGTTACCAACAGCGTACACCTACACCTATTCACCTCGTCTCTACATTTACTCCGCATACAAGTACAAAAATCTCCCTCTGTAGCATCTCTCATAAGTATCTCCGCGCGCCTGGATCGACGCACGCGACGATTCGCCTCAACCTTCTGCGCATAACTTGTGAGGCAAAACAAGAAGAGGTGATACACGAGATGGAGGTCAGGATTGGGGTTTCATAGGAAATTGCTCCATTGTGGTATATCTTGCTTGGTTATAGCATTCTATGAGAGTTATGTGGATCTAGATCTAGGATGCTCATGTCTTCGTCTTGTCTATACTCTAGCGTATGTGTAAAACTTACTACTCCTCTTCATGTCTTTGGGAACCTTCTTTATCCTCGAGCAAGTAAGAAACATAAACGCCAAAGGTGGTTCGCCCGAGCCTCAATAGGGCAAACAGACCCAGATCCCCGATGGGATAATCCAACGCCTAGCATATGCAACAATGTAACGAAAAAGGGGAAAGGGGAAAGGCAATTAAGCTGCAGCAGGCACCCCCTCAGCCACAGGATTCAACTCCGTAAACGTCTCCGGCCAAATAAACGCCTTCTCCTCCTTGGGCGTCATCGCCGCAAAAAGCGGAACATTCTTCTTACTACTCGCCCTCCGCCACATATTCGCCCTCGGGTTGAAATTACTCGGCAGCCCCTTACCCTGCGTCTTCGCCTCATCGATCTTAGCCACCTTGATGACCTCGCGCTGGATGTCGGCGAAGGTGTCGAAGGGGATGTACGGCAGGTTATTCTCGACGCAGTACTCTTCGAGGCGGAGGCCGCGGCGCGCGAAGAGAACGTCTGCTTCGCGGGCGGCGGGGAGGTCGGAGACGCCGTCGCCGATGAAGATGATCATGGGGATGGTGCCGTCGTCGCTTTGGAGGCGGGCCTCGTCTTTGAAGTCGTTTATGGATTTCGCCTTGTCGTGCCCGAGTTCCGTGTCGTGGAGCCAGACGGGCTTCCACTGGCTGCCGTCGGAGGAGATGGTGGCGTCGTTTGCGACGATGTCAATGTGCTTGGAGTTGTCCTCGCCGAGGAAGTGGTCGAGGACGCGGCGGAGGACGGGCTTGAGGCCCGCGGAGATGACGTTGAAGGGGATGCCGTTGTTGATGCAGAATTGGTGGAAGGTTTTGAAGTCGATGTCGATTTCGAGCGCGGTCTTCATCACTTCGAAGCCATCGTCGAAGGGGACGTCGAGGGAGCCCCACATTTCCTCGGATACATCGCGGAAGGAGCGCTCGCCACTGTGGATCTGCTCATCGAGCTGTTGTCGTCGTTCGGTGCCGCAGCCGAAGGCGTTGAAGAGGATGTGGCCGGTGTCTTGCATGAAGATTGTTCCGTCGAAATCTAGACCGGGGTCAGCACTCGTCCTCCTATGCGATTGGAAATTATTGCAGCATACCTGAGAAGCAGATGATCTTTCGCTTGGTGCCGATGTTTGAAGGATCGACAGGAACGTCCTTCGAAATTGGCATGGTGGGCTGGGATTTGGCCTCAACGGCAGGAGGGTTAACTGCGACAGGGGCCATGGCGATTGTTGTGAGGGATTCTTGACGATGGGAGAGAGGAAAGAAGTCTATTTGATGTAGCTTTGTAAAGTAAGTACCATCACGGGCGATATGGGTCACAGCGCTTTATAGCAGGACTCCGTCGGGAGCGGCGCGCTGGGGCTTCGCCGCTACTATGACAACATCGTGGACCTGCAACACCCGTACTCAACAGCTTTCACGATAGCAACGGCATAAGGAGCCAAATCCCACGCTATTCGGCCGCGGATAGTGCGATAGCGGTACGCCCGAGTAGGTACTTCACGGCAGGGTGCTCGGGGCAGGCGTTGTGATTGGAGCTGAGGCCACGATAGCGCAGCAGAATGCACCTCGACGTCACTGATGGAACTCTTCAGACGCGGCTCTTGGCCAGTTCCATAGTGGGGCTCTGCTGCAACTCCTCGTCAATGCGGCTGGGTTACCGCCTACGGCATGACGCTCTCGTTGGCGGGGGGCCTTCTGCTCACTGGGTCGGACTCCGATGTTGTCGTAGACGGTTCATTGCCTCTGTTCACGATCCCACGATCCCCTCGATCCACCCCACAATCCCATACAAATTCGGAGAGTAGCGGCGAAAAACTCCGTTGTGGAGCAGAGCCTCACAATGGATCTCGATTGTCCTTTCTCGGCAGCAACTGGTGTGTGCGCTGTGGCAGAACCGAGGTAGTATAGTAAGCCAATTGTGCTGGGATCTTGCAGGTCGAGCGTGCTCCCGGGGATGGAAGTGCACAAGCGTTATTTAGTAGTGTTGATGTGTGCGTTCTGGCCGAGTCTTTAGCCCAGGCACGTCAAGGGTCCTATCGATCGACGTTCGCTTACTGTGATGGGATAGGCCGGATGCACGTCAGCCTCCAACCTGCGCTAGTCTTCTTCTGGCTGCGTAGAAAAGTGATCCCATACAAAACCGGCTCAGCTACTACAGGACGTCTCCACTTCAGGACCGTTCTCTTGGAGATGGCCTTGACGACCACGAAGGGTTTCCTTGGTGCATTTGATTGGATATGGGTTCCATCGTTTGTAGGATGAACATCTTTCCAACAGCGTTGAGGATGAATCGTATCGCGAACGACAGTCAGCCATTCTTACTGAATAACAACATAATAATCAACAAGTAGATTAAACCTCAACCATTTGTGATCGTCTAGAGTCACATACTTTTAAACAGGAAAGACTCCTATGCAATGCTAAAACCAACACAACAACCACCCTCCATCCCTCCCTCCTTCCTCCCTCCTTCCTCCATCCTAACCCCCACCAGCCGGCACAATCTTCTTCCCCTTAATACTCTTCCACTCCATCCCAAAACTCACCACCGCCGCCACACTCGCCGCCGCAATACTCAACGCCATCGCCGTCGTAATCGCCTTCGTATACGCCTCCAGCACACTCGCCAGATACTCCCCCGGCACCACCATCCTCACATACGTCGCTCCCGCCTCAATCACAGTCTTCGGATTAACCTCAGGTGCATACCGCGGTATCTCCTTCGCAAGACTATTAATGAAGATGTTCTGCGCGATCGATATGGCGATCGCACCACCCAGAGAATTGAAGAACATAACCAGCGCGTTGGCGGTAGGCATGTCCTTCGCGCTGGTCACGACTTGCACTGCGACGAAGGGGATCTGGACGGATGCGCCGGCACCGAGGCCCGCGATGATCTGGTAGCCGATCCATTGGGAAGCGGTGGAGGAGACTTTGAGCGTGTACAGCATGCCTGCGCCGACGGTGAAGAGCGCGCTGCCGGCCCACATGAAGGGGGCGTACCAGCCGACTACGGTGATGAGGCCGCCGACTACGATGGAGGATAGCGTGAGGCTGCAGAGGTAGGCGATTGTGCGGATGCCAGAGCCTTCGGCGGTGGTGCCTTTGGAGGCTTGGAAGTAGAAGGGGAGGTAGAATATGTGGCTTGGGCAGTCAGTGCTTGTCTCATAACACTATGTGGAAGTGAGGAGGAACTTACGTATACAGCGCCATGGAGAGGAAAGCCGTAAAGGCGCAGCTTACGAGAACAGTCTGCTGCTTCATAAGGCGCAGCGGGATAGTCGCGCGGTCTTTCTGCCAGATCTGGATGCCGATGAAGACACTGATGATCAACCCGAAGCCTAGCAAGTTGCCCCAGACCTTGGAGTTCTTCCATGGGTACACTAGGCCGCCCCATTGCAATGCGAGAAGCAAGCACACGATGGCGCAGATGAGGAAAACGGCGCCGATGATGTCGACCTCTTTTATCCGCTGCTTGAATGACATGTGGCTGTACTGTCGTTCGGGGTTGGAGAAGAAGAAAAATACGACTGCGAGAGATACACCGCCGAAAGGAAGGTTGATCCAGAAACACCTGGGCTGGTTAGCTACGAATGACTCCGGGCATTACATCTACTTACCATCTCCAGGACGCTTTATCAGTGAGCGCGCCTCCGAGAAGAGGCCCAACAACACTAGCAATGCCGAACATCGAGGAGAGTGCTGCAATGTAGATGGCACGTTTGCGCAACGGTACTGAATAGCCAATGATGGTCTGCCAAACCCGAAGGTACCAAGTCAGTGTCTGTCTCAACAGGTAGTGATGGTACATTGCCTCTTGTCTCAGCTAAGCGAGGGAAAGATCCTTTTCTTGTTTTATAAGATGAAGACGTCTTCCTTTCGCTTGGTAGATAGAACGTATCCACTTTATACTAGAGACTCACCATGCCTCCCGAGAAGAGAGCTGCAGCTCCTGCCCCAGCGATGGCCCGACCAACAATGAACATCGGGCTGCTCGTCGCAGCAGCACATATAACCGAGCCGACTTCAAAAAGCACCAACGCAAAGAGGTAGGTGTACTTGACATCGAAGTACGTATAGACCTTTCCGAAGCTCGGCTGCAGCGAGCAGGTGGTGAGCAAGTAGGATGATCCGTACCAGCCCACGTCGTTGAGCGAGTTGAAAACAGTTGTGATCTTGGGAATGGCAGTAGCGATGATGGTATTATCCAGCGCGATGACGAAAGTTGTTAAACAGAGGCCTAGAGAGAGAATGCCGAGCTTGAAGCCAGACAGGTATTTCGATTCGTCTTCTGGTTCTCCTTCTACCGACTCGGCATCAGCTTTTGCAGGCGGCTCTTTTACGTCCAGCGCTTGTGCAGTCCCATCTTTTGTTTGTACCTCTCGCTCCTGCGACCGTTTTGCAGTGTCGGTGGCATCCCTCTCCACTTCAGCCTTCTCTTCGCCTCCTATCGTTGCATTGGGCACCTCCTCTTTCTCTGAAGTTGGCTTCTCATCATCCACTGCTCTTTTGTCTTCTTCTGTGTCGGTGAGACGACCATTCGCCTCAGTCTCAAGAACACCCATCTCTCCCTCTGCGCACCGTAACACCAGTCGCACAACCGCGTCGGCAGAAGAGCACAACCCGGATAAAACGTTGCACCCGCCGGAAATAAATGTGCTCGCAACGCTCTACACCTCAAACCAACTCAGCCCAGTGTTCGCGATCAAAGTCAAAAGGTCGTTTCCTCTCGCGCACCGTTCAGTCGACGTTGACCCTAATTGCCGTTTCCACGCAAGGCTCGAGGTAAGGTATGTACAAAGATCCAGCCGAGTGGGAAAGCAAGCCCAACACGCAGTCTACTCCTCCGGATGGCCGCCCCTGTATAAGGACCCTGTATAAAGGCCACAACCACAACCACGGCACCCACCCTCCCGCGCACGCGAAATGAACTGACCGACAGGACACCCGACATGACACCCACCGTTGGCCCGGCCTGACCTTCCTTTCCTCACAGTGCGCACCGTGCCCACACGAAGCAGGCTTCGAAGCGACGTCCGGATACTCAACTTACCGAGGCCCTCCCCTCAGATGACCATGCGAGGCAGAAACGCAGGGAAAGCCACCCAATGAGCGATGGGCACAGCGGTGATCCGACCGTTTGGGTGAACGGCCGGGGCCGGGGTTTAGCTCGCTTGGATTGCGCGCGTTGCGCTCTTTGAAAACTCATGTTAAGTTAGTAAGTTGCATCTGTGCTTCAAAACGAAGATCCGTGAGAAGTAGATGGGAAGCTAGGCGCTGGAGTAGAGCGTCAAGCACACTCCTAACATCACGTTGAGCATGATCGCGCCGTGTGCATCTGGAGATCAGATGAAACGAAGGATCTCCAAACATCGGTTACGCTTTCCCCACACCAACCCGTTGCTGATCCCAACATCACAAATGCGCGGTGTCGCGACGGTACCGTTACCAGCTGCGTAGCTCCGGGTGTCACTATCTCTTTCTATTTGCAGTAAACGCTACCACCTACGCGAATAGGCGCCCGCGAGCAGCTTTCCCAGAGCAGGAGGTAAGATGGGCGTTTCGTGGTTCGGAAGGTGTAAGCGAGGTCTAGACGCCGGGCGCCCGTATAGGCCGTATAGCGTATGGTCTTCTGCATGTCGAAGTTTTCTTTGTCGAAAGTAGAAAACGTACAACGTGAGCATGTAGGGTAAGCAAGTTGGTTGTAACAGTGATGGAGGAACATGGCTGCCTATGTAGGCTAGCGCACCTGCAGTACGTCCAGAAGCTCCTGCTTCAACAGTATTTGGCGAATCATTCCCGTATGACACAGGAGAAATCATACGGACGCAGACGTCACGACAACATGTAAGGGCCTTTGTGCAGAGGTAGATGTTGGAATGTTACCTGGAAATGTAGTAGTGGGAATACTCGAGCAACGGCCTGAGTTAAAACAGCGATAGGGATGCTTTCCTTATTTTGAGTGTACCTTCCAATGACTTCTTCTGGCTAATTTTGCTCTGGGCGGCAGATTCGGGAACGGGTAATGGTGATGGGCCCTGGCTAATGAACAGCTCTATAAATTTCATATTCCGTTTCTTTTACTAACGAGATATCCGAAGAAGTGAAAGGAGAAAGGGAGGGATATGTACAAACGAGAAGGGGGCTCTGGCCCAGACGTACAATACCAGAAAGAGAACAGGAATCTCGAAGTCGTTCCAATTAGACACAATCACCCCTCAGACATCAACCGCAATCTGCCCCCGTCCTAAACCGCCTGCTTCTCCACCTGATCCGAAGATACGAGGGTTCAACGTTCGCGTTCTCCCGAGCCATACTGCAAACCAGGGCGATTCGATATTCCTCACTTAAAATATGATCAGTCCTCCCGTTGCCTGACTCCGACTATCAAAATGCAACACACCTTCTTCGGACACCCAGTACACGGATGTTCCACTTTCACAGTCGTCAAGATGATACCCTCCTGGCCCCGTGGACATCTCCGCTGAATCATCTGCGCATTAGAACACATCTGAATGAAGATCATCTCAGTGTGACCGCAGCGGTGGGCGTAAGCATGGTAGAAGCACATGTCGTTGGATTGGACGTTCTGGCCTTGCGTGATCGGTGTGCAGCGATCTTGATGAGATCGAAACCTGATAGGAGGCTATATTCGCTTGATGCGATGTCTGTCATCAGCAGGTCAGCAAAAGTACATTCTTCACCGATATGAAGCGCACTGCAAGGATGAGAACGTGGCAGCGTACCTGCGTCGAACCGACGTGCCTTGGCAACGACAGCAGATGCGGCCCGGAGACGCGTCCGGCGCAAATGCGGGACAGAGAAGGAGAGTGATCAAGGTAAGAGCACGAGTTGGTCGTGTGATGGGTGAGACATCTGTGACCAGCTTCTTATATGCTTAGGGCATCCATTTTGCATATGTGACACTCTTCGCTAGCTGAGTGTGCAGTTTGATTGCAATGCACGCAGGTCCTATAGCTATAGGTTCATCGTGGGTCTGCGTTACTGCTAAGCAGCGAAGCTACTGAGACAATCGATGATGAAGGCCCACCGGTATGTGCTTCCCGTTTCGAATCTTGCGGTGTCGCAGAAGGCTGATTGCGCTTTCAGAGGATATTCCTAACTGGACAGGAATGCAATGGCAAACCGCGGCTTCGGCTCGCTTGTTTACGCGGTACAATGCGCGCAAGTCGCCCTCGAGTGACACGATCGCGTGGTGGCTCGGTATGTAGCAGGTGGATCCAGGTCCTAATTGGTAGGCGAGACCAGCGCGATCCTTAAATGGTAGTCGAAAACGTTGTTGTGAATTTGGAGATGTTTGCTCTTCCTCAGCTACCGCTGCCTATTACTGTGAAAAGCTCCACTCTCCTGCATAAAGATCCCACTACCATCGGCATGCGACAGAACATTCCGCGTATGCATATCAACGTCGAGTAACAACCGTGTCGCCGGTGAATGTTAGAAAAGCGTGGAATTAGTCGCTAGTGAGTCCAATCATATGGGACCTCAGCTTCCCCAATATTGCGTGTGGGGATGAAATATTTATCCGAAGTTTGTTAAGACGCGAAGAATCGCATCGCCCCAAGAATACGTGGTGCTATTACAGACCAAGCCTCAAATCTGTCTTCGGATAACTATTTGCCGGTCATATGATGGAAAGAGAGTCCTGACTTTTGACATCACTCCAGCCCCCCGAGTTTGGACCGGAATTGAGGTTAGAGTTGCTTTGCTGTGATCTCTACAGGAATGACGTATTACGGGTGGATGGTGTACACAGTAAGCTTCCGGTTAGCGAATCGTGTATAGACGGAGCGATAGCAACAGCCCTGTCGTGCCACGTCGTACCTGCACGAGCGGACGTAGTCTGGATTTTCGGAAAATAGATGGAGATATGTGTTTGCGAGCTCATGGTGCCGTTGCCAACAGCCCACTCTCACCTGACCAATCACACGCAACCGCTCACCGCTGATTGAGGTCCACGCACCTTCTGATGCGAACCACTGCAAATGCTGCAGGCTGGCAAATTTGACAGGAGACCGTTTTTCCGCTGCTGGATCAATCCTATGAGAGTCCGGTGAACGGCTGCACGGGTCCCACTGAGCAGAGACACTGGTTGCATATGGATTTTGCCTGATAATACTTCAGGACCGCTGCGATTGAGACATGCTGTCAGCCTGCATTTGATGGCCGCACTGTGGGGTCCAGATAGTGAAGCCATCGCCACATTGCGGTCGCCGTCGGTGTGCTGGCCATGTGGCTGCTAAAGGCGCGGACTGTCCTGTCTAACCACCTCTGGTGGTCTAGCATACCAACGCCGTCCGAAAAAGAAACACAGAACGTGTGCGCACTGCAGCGCCAGTCGAACGTTGAAGGGTTGCGTGGCTATGATCCAGGCGATCGCGGAGCTGGCTGGCCTGCCACTGCGTGCTGGCAGGACCTGGAACCATTGCGACATGGCCGGACACTCTGGAGAAGTTGGTATCGCGCATCATGGCATCAATGCCAGCTGGCAACGACGCCCCATTCTTGCACCTTTTGAGGACAAGCGGGCCATGCAGGAGACAGTTGCGGTTAGCGGAGAGGTCGACGCTTGACACGTCAACCAACGCAGCTCTGTCGGCGCTGCAAGATTGACGCAGGAGCTGCACTCCGGAGTCCCACATTGACTGGGCGCAGATGGGGGATTATAGTAGCACCGATTGCCTATGCGTCGCCCTGTCAATTCTTCCCTCTCGTACTGTTGTCGCCGCGCGCAATTGCTACTGCGTGGCCCTCGCTCGTTGTCAACACCAAGGCGATTGTCGCGAGACGGAGACGACCCCGCTGCGGCTCCATAGACGGACGCGCCCGCCGCCATCCCTCGTGCGCGCCGCAATTGCAGGTTCCCTGGTTGTGTGTGCCGAGCGCTCAAACGCGAGCACTGACCGCTCCCACACCGCCTGCCGACCTTTCGCTTTTTATACCGTCACAGCTCCTCGCGCGGGCGACCACGAGGCCGGACGACGTCGCAATGCGCTGTCTGAGGCTCTCGAATTCGACCTGCCAGCCTCCTGCACCTCCCGCCTCATGATTGACGCTTGACGAGCCCGCCGCACCTCTTCCCGAGTCGCCTCACCCGTCGCGCGCTGCCATTGGCTCCCACGTCATCTCGCTGCCCACTCGAGCATCCACACCATCTGCCTTGTCCCTTTTGGGGTAATCTGGAGTATTGTACGCCCAACGCACGCAGCGAAGTGCTTCATTTTCGAACCCTGATGCTGACAGCTGTACAGTCCCTCGGAGTTCCCTGGCGTTGCAACGGCCGTCTGTATAATATCAGCCCAGTTTGGGGTCCGACCACATCAGCATACTTACACCTTGTACCATAACAACTCCCACCCTTAGCACCTAATACAACACCTCCACGGAGCCAGGCAAGTCGGGCATCGAACCTTCATCACCGAATATCGAGCGCGGGCTAGTCACGAGGACGACCATTCACCACCGACTTTTGCGCACGGTGCCACTCCTGAAACGGATCAATTGGCTGGAAGCGCCCCCAGCTTTGACGCTCATCTGATCGGCATCGTCTTTGGAACCCATTCGATCCAGCTCGGGCCAAGTCGCACTGCGCCGGTTGGGAGATACGGCGCGGCGGTCCAGCGAGCTTGTTGATGGTGAGTGCTGCTTTCCGTTTAGTAGTAGCCGAATTCCTTTCCTTCCAGCCATTTGCAGGCGCCATCAAAAGCCTTGTGGGAGATCAAAAGAAGAGAGTGAATGAGCAGAGAGAGCGCGAGTGTGGTCACTGGAAAGTGGTTGGAGCGTGGCTTCCCATTCAATCCGGTGCCCGCGGTTGCTCTTTCCACAACATCCTTCACCATCGCTCTTTCCATCTCAACCAACTTGCTGACGTCAAGCAGCCGCAAAGAAATGGCTACTTTGGACTTCGACCAGAAATTCCTTGGTCGGATAGCCAAGCAGACAGCAGACCACCCGCTTCTCTCCGCCTCGCTCTATCAAATCCTCGGACTTTCAGTCCTTCTAGCACGTCGACTCGTTCGAGCGAGGAAGCTACGCAAGCTCGATACCAGTCGCGACACGCCCTCCCTTGCGCTCTACCAGCACATCCTCTGGTTGTCACGCGAGGGCCTATCCATCCTAGAGCTTTGCGTGTTACCGTATGCCCAGGACAATCAACATGGACCAGAGTGTAGGGTCCTCAGCGTCAAGCTGCGAGCGAGTTTCTATCACATCTTCTGCCTGTTTCACAATCAACCACCCGTCACAGCAACAAACATGACGACTACTGATCCTAGGACACTCGGCGTACCCGCATTACCCCTATCCGAACGGAACGGCAACGGGCAGCGCCCTAGTGACGCATCGAATCTTTCGCCCTCATCGAAGCGTGCTGGTAAACAGCCTATGCTGCGCGAGCCGATCGACTCCATGGTCTCGGAGACCTCTTTCGTCACCAACCCTTACGCAACAGGCGGCCCGGTTGGCACACCTTCGCCCGGACCTCCTAATGCGCCTCCTGGTCTTCATCCTGTACCCATTCCCCAGCCATCATCGTTCATTCTCCCGCCTCTCAATTTTGTGCCGCTAGCTGGTGGATACTTTACGACAGCCAGTGGTTACGCCACGCAATATCTTCCCGGCTCGCACCCATTGAGATTATCGGTGGCACTTGAGCACAGTGCTTTTCTTTGGGACTGTATGCACGACCACGAAGAATCTCGCCGCATAGCCCGGCGGGCGATCAAGGATGTATACCGCGCGCAAGAGGCAATGGACGATGGCGAATTCGAAGACGCAGCTGAACTTGTGGGTATCCTGGGTCGCATGATGAAGCGCAAGAGTTGGGAGGCCACACCACGCGTTGGAGGTATGGCAACACCGGAGCCAACCGCGCCTGCCACTCCGGGTGGCGTACAGCCAAGCGGTGATGGCTTTCAACGGAACGACAAAACAAACATGCCCAGTCAAGGCAGTCCTCAAGGAAGCCGGAGACCTACCGGTGGCCCTTCTGCTGCCTACCCAGTCACAGAGGCTCCGACAGCTCCTCATCGCAGTCGTTCGAATTCTGCGACCAAGGCCAGCCCCAGGCGCAAGCAAGGTGGCAGCCACGAGGGCACACCGCGTTCTGATACACAACGTTTCCCAAGCGGGACCAGTCAGAACACCACGCCACGTACGAAACATGTCAGTGTTGAGAGTGGTGCCAGCACAACGCCACGTGGCCCACAAGGAGGACGGTCTCCAGCAACACCCTCGACTGTACGAAGCGTACATCAGCAACATGGCAATGGCTCAGCAAAGGGAACACCAGTGATAGGAAGCTCAACACCCGTTTCACCTAGCGCAGCGGCGTCGCGAGCCTCGGACGCCATTCGAACCTCTCCCATCCTTCGCCGATCACCGCCTCTGCGACGCTCACCGCGTGGGTCACCGGTGCAAGACTATTCCCACAGCAGGCCGGATCAATGACAATTACAAGGGCGTGGTGGACATGCAGGAAAGATGGATGTGCAGTGGACAATACCTGATGTTGAAGCGCAAATGGTTCTCCGTCCACCGAGCGAATCGCTATCCATCTCCGTCACGCCCGAAGGCCCTCCATACACACGAAGGCATCCGAACATCTAACACCTTAGACGCGAAGATCACTTATCTCCTCCCAGGTATCTCAGCAACCTTTATACCTTGCATACTATCGCCACTGAGTGTTGCCCAGTGAAAGCAACCTCCCTGTATTATATCGGCGTTCCCAGGCGTACATACCGGATTTCCCATTTTTGGTCACGAAAAGCTTCCCACCGTGGGCGGCTACCTCATTGTTCCTGTTTGCTTAATACGTTATTTGGTTTTCGGGCCATCGCTGTGGCTCCTCCATTTGGATCTCATTTACTTGGACTTGTTTACGTTCATGATACCACTCTGTTGGTCGACTACTTCATCGGACACGGCGCTTTGGTAGATATTCTTGGACCGTTGCGATACAATTGGATACTTTGCGACCGATTCTTCATGGCTTCCGTCATGTGCTACCTAACATTGACTTGCCTTCAGATTCACTTGACTAACTGCTAACCCGTTTTCTCAGCTTTTTGAGGTTGCTGCTTTGATTTGCTACTTCAGTGCGTTACTTGACTGTGTTCACGCAACGGGTCGATATCCTGACGTACTTCTCCGTTGCAGTCTCCTTAGCATCACACTTTCGGAGCAGTTCTCACCTGCTCATCTATCGTCGCGATCCGCATTCAAGAAGCGCACTACAAGTTGCTTTGATTATTCCGCTTTCACTGACTAACCTTCACAGGCCTGCTTTGATCAACGTTAAGCATGATAAGTGTATTGTGCACACTTGCCAAAGGCCAGCATTGCTCATCGACAGTGAACCTCACATATACGAAGCAAGATCAAAGTGATCACAGTGATGGGTGCCAGTCAGTAGTAGTCTTACGTTCCGTACATTGCAGTGACGCTCATGCGCCCATCGCTGAGATTTCACCCAACCCAAAAGCATCTTCCAATCTCCACTATCGACCTTGGTATAATACACTACAAATGCCAGCCCTCGCCCTACTCTCCCCCACCATCCGCACTCTGCGCCTGCGCCTCCTTCTCCTTCTTCCACCGCGCCGCATTCGCCAGCAGCCGTGCCATATTCGCCGCACTCTTGTCGTCCGACGGGAACACATAGTCGACGTACTCCTCGAAGCTGTCGTCGTCCAGCTTCCTCCTCTTCTTGACCTTGCGCGGCATCTGCTTCGCGATCTTCTCCCTGTCCTCTGGCGCGCCGACCTCGTCTTCGAACGACTTCCACGCCGCGAGCAGCGCGACGCGCTCTTCTTTGAGGTCGCGGTCTTTGAGCCGCGTGTGTGCAGCGTCGAAGACGGCGCGCGCGCGGGCAATAGCGGTAGGCGAGGGAGGCGCGTCTTCGTCTGCAGGGGCGTCCGGCTCCGGCACGCTGAGCTCGAATTGCGCCCAGCTAGTCCACACTTTGACGTGGTCCGTCCGTTCGAGGAGACGCTTGTACAGCGCACGCGTGCGGTCGTACGCGCCTTCACCCTCTTCGAAGTCGATGTACGCTTTCCAGAGCAGCTCCGGCATATCGAGCTGGGGTTCGTCAACCGCAAGCTCGAAGATGGCGCGCGCGCGCTCGAGGTCGTCTAGTCCGCGCTCTAGCTCTGCGAACTTTATCCACGTTTGCGTGTTGGATCCGTTGAATTCGATGTATTTTTCGTAGAGCGTGCGGCAGCGGCCGAATTCGAAGAGCTTCATCTCGAGCTCGATGTAGCCCTTGAAAAGCTTGTCTTTGGGGCACATGCCTATTGCTTGGCCTAGGAGCTTTCTTGCCTTCGCAAGTTCGCCCTGTCGGAGCTCGAAGTGCGCGGCCATGAGCCACACTTTGGCGAAGGTAAAGCGCTTGTGCGGGAGGAGGCGGAGGCATTCTGTGTAGATTTGGCGTGTGCGTTCGATGTCGCGGGATACGGTTTCTTCGAAGATGGCGTAGAAGAGCCAGAGGTAGATGTACCGCCGCCAATGCCGCTTTTCCTGCGTAGGCGGGATTTGTGCTATGGCGCGCTCGTAGACGTCGCGCACGCGGTCGGTGTTGCCGGATGCTTCTTCCAGGCGCGCGAAGTCGATCCATGCATCGTAGTTCTTGGGGTTCTCTTTGATCTGCTCTTCGTAGTGGACTCGTCTTTTTGAGAGGATGACGTCTTCGATGCCTTCGCGGTCGCCGTATTGCTTTTCGAACTGTGTAAATGCTTTGTGTAGGTTTACGGCTTTTGACCGGGGCATGCGATCGAGGGCGAATTTGTAAATGGCTCGCGCGCGCTCCACCTCTTTTAGTTTGGCTTCGAACTTCGCGTACGCCATGAAGAGCTTCTCGTCCATGAACTCGTCGCCCAGCGTCTCAACCGCGGTGCCGAAGACATCTCTGACGAGATCGCTTGTACCATTCTCTTCCTCGAACTTCGCCCATTTAATCCAATTCTTTGGCTCCGGATGCACGACTGTGAACCGCTCGTAAATAGCTCTTGCCTTCTCGAATTCTCCGTGTCTTTTCTCAAGCTTGATATACGCCGACCACGCCGCCTCTTCAGGTTCCCACTGCATCCAGCGCTCAAACACCGTCCTCGCACCCTCGATATTCCCCAGCGTCTCTTCCATATACACATACTTATACCACAATTTATCCACGCGCGGCAAAATCGTAACCGCACGATCAAACAAGTTCCTCGCATGATTGATATTCCTAGTCTTCATCTCCGCCTCACAGTACCTAATCCACAGCGCCACACTCGTACTATCCACATCGAGCGCCCTCTCGAAGATACTTCGTGCTCTGCGGAACTCCTTTTGCTCGAGCTCCCACTGGGCATAGCGCATCCAGTTGTTCATGTTTATGCGGTTGCGGCGGACATAGTCTTCGAATTCCTTGCGCTTCCGCCCCTGGAACGCGTGCAGCTCTTCCAGGTCAGCGAAACGCTGCGTTGGCGCCTTGAGCTTCTCATCTTGGCGGTCGACGGCTTCGCGGAGGAGTTGTTCGGCGCTGATTTGGATGGGTGCTGCGGCCTTGTTTTTGACCCGGGGCGGACCTCGGGAGGACTCCATGGTGGGATGGGCGGATGTATGAAATGTGGGAGTGGGAGCGCCGCAGTCGGAACGGCAAATTAGCGCGTGGGAGTCGACGCGCTCGTGGCGCTGCGAAGTTAGTGAAGTGATGGAAGTTGGAGCTGGCGCGGGAAATTCATAGGGCTAGGCGGTAAGACACGGCAGAATCTCCATGCTAAGAAAGTAGCCCTGTGCGTCACCTCTGTCGCAACTTCACTTTTCTCGTTTATCAAACAACAACGCCCACGAGTTCTCTCCTGCGGCCCCACCGCGCTAGAGGTACGTTATTGCTTGCAGTTCTGCGACGCCACCACTCAACCACTGTTCACTAGGAGGTTTTCCTCCGGCCGGCAGCTAGTCGCCGCCGTTTTTGCGACGCAGGCAGCAGAGTGTGCCACCACTCGTTCACTGAAGAAGGAATTACGACCGGTGGTCTTGCGCAAAAATGTCGACTCTAGAGCAGGAGCTCCTCGCCGATTTTGCGGATGTAGGGTCCGATGAAGAGCAGGTGGACATGGGAGGAGACTACGAAGATGACCTGGCCGACCTCGCGAAAGACTTTGGCGGCGGCGCATCCGGCGACGAAGATGGAGACGAGGATATGGCAGACGAGGAAGCCGACTACGCAGCAAAGCAGAAGAAACAGAAGGGACCTGCCGATATCCGGGGCGCTGCGAACCTGATTTCTAAACTGAACCCCATTCTGAAGCAGATCGAGGATGTCAAAGATAAGATGGAAGAGGTTATGGACGGCGAATCGATTGAGGATAATCCCGAATACCAGCTCCTCAAAGACGCCAACGAGAATTCAACTCAGATCGATGATGAGATTACGGCTGTGCACAAGTTCATTCGCGATCACTACTCACTCCGGTTTCCGTACCTCGAGGAGCTCATCAAGAATCCTGTTGATTACGCTAGGACTGTCGCCATCATCAAGAACGGCCCTTTGGACAGCATCAAAGAGATTGCTCAAAGTTCAGATAACATAGTCGGGATACCGCTGAAAAATATCTTGGAGGGCCCTCAGCTCATGGTCGTCACAGTCGAAGCTTCACGAGCAGGGGGACGAGACCTTAACGATGCAGAGCTTCAATCCATATTGGACGCTTGCACCATGCTCCTCGACCTAGACAAGGCCAAAGGCATCCTTACCGAATACGTGCAATCGCGCATGAGTGTCTTCGCGCCCAACCTCACCATCTTAATCGGCTCACTGACTGCCGCCCAACTTATCAACTATGCCGGCGGCCTTGCGGGCCTTGCAAAAACACCTGCGTGCAACATCCCCCCACTAGGTTCCAACAAAGCCACCGGCCTCGGCTTCGCAACCAACGTAGGCATCCGCCACCAAGGCTTCCTCTACCACAGCCCATTGCTTCGAACCGTCCGCCAGGATCTGAAGAAACAAGCCATGCGCATCGTCTCCGCGAAACTCATCCTCGCCGCCCGCGTGGACATGGTGCACCAATCGCAGGACGGGTCCACAGGCCAAGAACTCAAAGACGAGTGCGAACGCCGCCTCGACAAGCTCACGGAGCCGCCCAAAAATCAGGGTGTGCGAGCGCTGCCCGCCCCAGACGACAAGCCCTCCCGCAAGCGCGGTGGACGCCGCGCAAGGAAGGCAAAAGAAGCCACCGCCATGACGGAGATCCGCAAAGCGCAGAACCGCATGGCGTTCGGCAAGGAGGAGAAAGAGGTCGGCTACGGCGCGGGCGACTCCACACGCGGCATGGGCATGATCGGCGCAACAGACACAGGCCGCATCCGCGCGCACCAGATCGATCCCAAGACGCGCGCGAAACTCTCCAAGAAGAATCCTGGCTGGGGCGGCGACACCGCTCTCAACGGTGCAAACACGTCGCTCAGAGGCTTCGGTGCCGGCGGTACATCGACAAGTATGCGTGCATCCGGTCTGCGGACGGGCGGCGTGGGCCTTCCTGGTGCGGGGACGAGCTCCATTGCGTTTACGCCTGTGCAGGGGCTCGAGCTTGTAGATCCGAAGGTGAGGGAGGAGATGAATCGGAAGAGGAAGGCGGAGGAGGACAGGTGGTTCAAGGGCGGGACGTTTACGCAGTTGAATGGGACGAGTACGGCAAAGGTGGATAGCGGGGGATTCAAGGTGCCTGCGTTGCCGGCGAAGAGGCAGAAGTAGTGGTGGGAAGGAGAAAAGAGAAGGCCGACTCGGTGCATGGAATTTGGTGCATTTAAGGCGCTTAGGCGGATACCAGCTATTGCATTGGGTGGCGTTGGTAGGAGGAAGGGTTGTGTAGCCCACTGGGCTCTTAGGCAGCTAGCTGCTTTTACTCGGATATCATAACAAACATGTTCAATTTTCCATTCCACCTGCATGCGTATTTTGTTTGTTTATTTCAGTTCAACTACACTGTTCAGGCCGCTGTGTAGGTGCTCATTCGCAGTTCATACCTCCCCGTTCCTCTTCATAGCTTCAGACAAGTACTATAATTCATTCAAGAGCTCATTGCTCATACCGTCTATGTGGGACGTCCCTATCATTCAGCTTTTGGCAAAACCCAGGCCAGACAGTCGCGTGCCACCCCAACGCCGGTCCCATGCCATGACGAAGAAAGCATTATCATCTCATCACGTTCCCGCAAACCGCCCTCTATGACTCCCCAGGCAACAGATTGTTCTTGACCGCAAACATCTTCGTGCTGACGCCCGCCGTGAAGCCGTCAACCTGTCTAGCATACTGCTCCACCTGCCGCGAGTTAAGCAGCGTCTCCAACCTGCTCGGCTCCTGCGGCAGCTTGAACAGCCTCTGCCACTCGTCCTCGGGAAGTAGCGGCTGCTTCGACGCCGTCCTTGCCGCGTTCTCGGCTTTGCGCTTCTGCTGCCAGGCTGTGATCTTTGCTTGCTCGCGGGCAAGCGAGCGCTGGTAGTACTGGTGGTTGTTGAGCTCCGTGTGGTGGTTCTCGATGCTCTCAAGAAGGAGATCGCATGTCTTCTCGAGGTAGGGGTCGATTGAGAGGTCGAGGGAGTCGTAGTTGGGGAAGAAGGGTGGTTCGGGGGTGTTGGGGTCTTGCTGGAGGGCAGCTAGGTTGGTCGGGAAGGAGAGCTCCTCTTTGGGGGCGTCGGAGGGCAGCTGGTGGAGGAGGGAGGTGAGGAGGTGGGAGTTGTGAACGGTGACGGGGAGTTCGACGAGAATATCGTGGTACCGGAGGCCGCTCTTTTGAAGGCTGCGATTGTCAGTACGGATTTATATTCAGATAGTTTGCGTTCATACTTGTCGGTCGTGAATTTGCCCTCCTTGTATGCTGCAACGAAGGCAGGGGCGAGTCTGTATGCGCGCAAGCTCAAGCTGCCCTGCGAACTTCTGCTAACATCGTGTATTAAGGCGATTGCCCGCTCATTCGGGTCTTTCTGGTAGAAGAACTGGTTCTCGATGGTGTTCAAGTTGACAAAGTTGCCCATGCTTGTGCTCGTGTACCAGCCGACGTTGTTCGCGTCGACGTTGACTTCCCGCAGAAACTTGATCATCTCGTTCTGGTAGGCGAGGTTGGCCTTCGCGCGGGGCGCTGACGCGGCAAGGTTCGCGGCGTTGTTGTTGTTGCGGTGGTCGTCGCGGTGATCGTCCGTAGCGGGGGCATCGATGCTGGGATAAGGGAAGCAGGAGGTGACCTCAAGGAGGCCGGGCTGGTTGGAAGACTCCATACCAACGAGGCATCCGGTTCCGACGGTGGGGAAGGTTTTGGCGGCATGGTTGATGAGCTTCATCACAACCTGCGAGAGTCAGAGGGCTGGTGGGGCAATGGTAGAGAGTGCGCGGGTGGCATACCAGGGCTTCAACCTGTACCGCCTTGATAGGCGAGTCCTTCAGAGCGTCGGCCATGTTTTTGGTCGTCAAGAAGGGGGGAATTATTGTGGTGGGGCTGCGCAGTTCGGGCGTGTTGGAGTCGTCGCGAATTTCGCTGAGTGCGAACAGTGTGCCAAGATTCCCTGGCATACGCTAAGGCTGAACTGGGCGTAGCTCGACCGGTTCATGCCCAGCCTTCACCTTCACACTGCAATCGACAGTCTCCAAATAGTAATTGCTAATTACCGAATTAGGAAGTTTGTGCATCACTCACAGAGAAGGATGCTAATATACATACTCCAGTGCTGACTTCGCGCAAGTCATCTCATCACACTTAAGTCGGTACCCGCCCCACCATCCCCTCCCAAAACGCACACCTCTCCCCCGTCCCCCTCCCACTCCCACGCCCCCACAACCCCAAATTCATTCCTCAACCCCGGCTCCCGGAACTGCGTCACCTCAACCCCAAACTGCGTAGTAGCTGTATACGCCGTCCCACCCGTCGTATTCAAATTCATCATCCGCGCGCTTTTCCCATCCGTCCACTTTGGCCAGTGCTCCAATCCAGCTTGCGATGACACAGCAGGGTTGCCACTCGTGATGAAATTTCCCCAGATCTGGCGGAACGCGCGGGAGAAAGAGGGGGACTGTTGAGCTTGGTTGGGACCTAAGTACGCGTATACGTCTTCGAGGTGGGCGGCGAAGGGGACGGAGTATTGGTAGTGGTAGGAGGGTTTGGAAGCAAGGAGGTAGGCGGTGCTAAGCCAGTAGGAGGGGCAGATGAAGGTTGCTTCTGCTACGATGGCCTGCGCTGAAATTAGTGCATTGATACTGCATGTTGGAGGTGTATGGATGGATACGTACGTTGGCGCGTTGAAGGTGGCCGGTTGCGACCTGGCTCATGTTGATGTTTGTCGCACCGCTAATACCATTCGTTGCAAACTTGAGCGCGTTCGGATCGTCTGGTTCGTCCGAGTTGGGATACATGGTAAGTATCTTGTCAATGTCTTCATTGCTAAACAGGGGGTACTTCAAGTGCAGCCATTCCTTGAGTTCATCCAGATTGCTGATCTTGTCTTGCGGAACAAAGAGTGCTCCTTCGTTGGCGTTCGAACCAACTAAGATAGCTCTACCATTCACCTTTCCCCGGGAAAGCGTTTGGCTAGGTCTATCAGTGATAAAGGTTCCATCGGTCACAGGGTCGAATGCCCAGGTGCGATACACCGGACCGTTGACAGTGACATTGCCATTCGCGTTTTGCAATGTAATCGAGTCTTTGCTGCGGAGGCAATCCAGCACTTCTCCTGAAGATCCACAGCCAGCTTGAGCAGCAAAGGCGTAGTACTTCTTTGTAGGAACTTCGCCATCGTAATTGTGTTGGCCGGGTAGGTACGGTGAAGCTGCTATGCCTTGGAACTTCGTTTTCACGTTCGGCGCAAGACTAAGGTGCAGCAAGGCGCCTGCTCCAGCTGATTCTCCGGATACCGTGATGCGGTTCTTGTCGCCTCCAAACTTGTGGATGTGCTTCTCAATCCATTCGAGCGCAAAGGCAATGTCGAGAAGGCCGGCGTTTGGTACGCCTTTCGCTTTGACTTCGCTGGAGGAGAGAAAGCCGAACGGACCCAGCTGTAGAAAGTCAGCTAGTTAGTCGAACATTGTATTGAGATCGTGTACTCTGTATTGGATGGAGACAATTATGAAGGTCTTGTCGTTGTCATTGATCATGGAAGTCATGTCAAACATCTTCCCATCGCCCCATCCGTAGCCTCCTCCGTGGATCCACATCATTACCGGGAGCTTCTTTGAGTTCGCACTGGGCGGTGCGTACACATTCAAAAACAAACAGTCTTCATCACCTGAATTATGGTCAGCGAGACACAATTGTACCATGCGCTCCTGATCCTTACCTTCTGGCATCGGTGGTGCACCCTCAATCGCGGGATATGACTGGAAGCAGACCGATCCGTAGTCAATAGCATCTTGAACACTCCGATCTGTTTCTGGTATTCGCGGAGCTTTCCATCGAAGCTCACCATAGGGCGCGGCTGCGTAACGAATTCTGGAGGATATCAGCTGCCTTAACATGTACGAGCTAGGAATAGATTCAGCGCACCCTAACCATACATCGAGCTCGGCAGTGGATTCATAATAGCCTTTGTATACGGCGTAGTCGAGATCGACTAGATGATCTGACACTCTTGAAGACTCTGTACGCTCGACATTGCTCACATCATCGACGGTCACCCCGAGTATTGTCTGAGGCAGGAATGATAGCAGTGTAAGATTGCGCCACATGATGTCAATACACTGAAGCTCTGGAAAAATAGTCTGGGTGCAACCAACCCACTAATCAAAAACATGTCTGAAGGAGCACAGGCTGTAATATAAAGCTTTTCGCCTAGCAACCCGGTTTACGACCGCAGCAGGCCAAGCTATTCTTGTATCGATGCCAATTGGGACATCTTTATTAGTCGTGTTGGTTTATGACTACCGTTCCAATCAAGCGCATCTCATTCCTCGCTTAGTTTGAGGCTCTCGTTAGTATTTCCACGTTCGGTTGCAAACGTCTTTCGGTTTCCGACGAAGAAGCCGACAGCAACAGAAAAGTCTCCAATACGAAGCAAATACGATGAGCAAGGGTGGCATAAATCACAAAGAAAATTTCCGATGCGAAGAGAATACGACGAACAAGAATCGCCAAAACGAATCATGTTTAACTACTGTGGTGGAAAAGAGCTTGGTTCACGAGCGAATTGATCAGAATTGCTACATAAGAAAGGAAGGCCAGTTTGGCCAAAATTATACACGATCTCGGAGGGAGATCTTCCGGTTTCCGTACATAATCGCCACGTGATTGAGTAGCTCAGCTACCAGTTCTTCAACAACTAACCAGCTCACATCTTCGACTATCGCGGAGCAGATCAGTAGACGGAGTAAATATCAGTTCGAACTATGTGACGACGGTTCTCACATAGAACTTCAGCGGGACAGGAAGGGCTTCACACTGCTTGATGCCAACCTATTCGTGGATACATGGGAGAACGACTACATTCTCTTCCCTGTCATCACTGGTAGCATCTAGAGGATTCTTTTAGTTTGACGCTGGTGGTCAGTCACGGGTGCTGCATGCGGCGATGAAAGACTCGCTGCTATCATGTCTGCATAATCTACCCCGTGGTTCTTGGAATATTTCATAGTATAGTTTACATGCGTAGGCTTTGTCTGTCTCGTCTTGCCGATTATTCGGTAGGGAGCGCCATTTGCTGGATACCTCCTGGGTGCATACGGTGGAACCGATGCAGGCCTCGAGGCCTTCCGGTCTGCTGTATCTGATGCTAGCTCTCCGACGTTGGCCAGTGCAGCTTTGATCTTGGTGGCTCGTTTGATGAAGAACTCGAGTCTTTGCGCGCGTTTGAGAAAATCAATGAACGGTGGAGTGGGCCAGCAATTCATGCGTCCGCATGTCTCAGCGGGTTGTCCCGATGAATTTCCCCGGCGATACGCGCTCCACATTGATACCACCTCTTCTCCAGCCAGCGCGACCCGCTTAAACACCGATACGACTCTAGGCAAGGCTGCGGTAATCCAGTCATTGTGTGGGTGGAAAGCCTCGCCAGCAACCTGTTGGCGCCCGTGGTCTCGAACACATCACATCGGGACCTGTGAGGTACTATCTCTTAAACCACCGTCAACGCTGTACGTCGCTTCCCTCCTGCCCACTGGACCACCTTCCACCCACCGGGTCCCCTTCATATATGTGAAGTGTACTTAACCTGCAGCGCTGCCCATCCGACGCCACCTCACCGGACCAATAACCAGCGTCCAAACCACCGTCCCTGCATGCACGCATACCTTACTCAAGAAGCACAGCACCGCAACATAGAAGTCGCAGCATGAGGCGCCGCAACCGATCGGCCCCTCGGCTGTGTCAACACCCCTCTGTCGTGTCCACCCAAACCACCACTCCCCAGCGCCACCACCTCGCACGACCTCGCACAGCCCCACCACCTCCTCACAGACCGCACGTTCGCGCCACAAGCCCACTGCCGAAACGCCCGAGATGAGCGTCCCCCTTCACGAGCGCGCCCTCGCTTCCACCACGCAACGCCATGCTGTACATCATTCGAATGCTCGAGTCGCACGACCCGCAGCCATCCGCCTGTGATCACCGTCGCTTGACACCCGGCTGCGACACAGGTAACGCGAGCGCGACCCATCGAGGCGGTTATTCTCCGAAGCCGTTTGTGAGACGTCACGTCATGAGGAGTGTGACCCGGGTTGGGAGCTGCCGCTATGAACCTTTTGCGTGGTGGCCAGGGAATTTCGCGGAAGGCTGTCAAAGGGTCCCCGGGTCTTTGGTATGTTCTGTGGGGGGAGATTGCGTGCGACGAGGGCGGAGTGAGGTGAGGCTGTAGGTGATACCAGAAAGGCGGTGAGGTTGGGTGCATGTTTGTATCTGGGATGTCGTTGGGTTAATTGCTGATGCGGTGAAGTGTCGCTGGCCATTGGATGAGCAGTCGAGCTTGCAGTGGGCGTCTTCGATGTTTGATGCCTGTGAATCATGGTCAGATGCCGTTGCAGGTGATTTGTTCTGCTGCTGACAGTAGACATGATAGCGTAACGAAGACGTTGAGTTGACAGACTCATAACGGTTCACTGCATAACCGTAAAACAGACGCAACGATCGTAGCTGGCATAGAGCGAGGTATTGGACGACCGTCTGTTAAAAATTAGATTGCGTTCATTCTAGTCCCTTCCAAGTGCCTTCAAACCATGGCGGCTATCTGCCGCGACACAAACGCATCCAACACCATCGCTACATGCCCGAAATAATCAAAGAACCGTGGTGACATTTCCACAACTAGAAAGTACAAAGGATGCTAATCACAAAAGTGAGACAGCGTGGTATGTAAACAGACGGAACCGGGGGATATCTTGCTGCCGTGCTCTCGTGACCCATGCAGAAGAGAATTTAGCGCAGTCGAAGTAATGGGGGGTAAATGGTTTCTTCGGGAATTGAACATAATCTTTTTGAGCGAAAGACAGACTCGGACCAGTCGGAACAGGCAAGGAGATGAATCGAGGAAATGATGCAAGTCAAATAACCATTCGATACTGTTACATGAACGAGAAATTTGAATAATCAGAGCCGAGCGCAATCGGGTAATAACGGCTCAGTTGGCCGCTTGATGCTCCATCAGACTAACGGGTGGAGTTTGTAGAGCGCCAGACTATGAGCTTCTGCTGACCCTCCAGGACAAGCAAGCCATGTCGCAAACGCGAGCAATGACCTGTTGAGTCCCAGATCGGCACTCATGGCTGATGAAGGACATCGCGACGGTGAGCTTATTGACGTCGTTTTCCGGATCATGCGTGTGGGGTTGGGCGACTGCATCGGGAAAGCCACGGACGCGGTTGCCAATTTGTCGTGCTAGAGCAATGGAATAGATAGCATCGCGGACCTCTCGCGCTTTGAGAACATTTCGCATCCTGGTAAGCGATACTTCCGCAGTTCCATCTGCCACAGCCTCAGCGTTGGCATGGACTACGAATTCACCAAGCGAATCCCAGAAAACGAACTTGTCATTTTCCTCCTCCGAAAGCCCACCGGGGTACGAAAGCTGACGCAGTGGGTTCGCCTCCAGGATCTGGTTGGTCAAAAGGGCCTCTAGAACATCAAATCTAGCTCGCGTCTCCTTTAATGATAAGTCTTCGTGTTCAGCGTTGGGGGCGTTGTCGTTGGCGCTGTTTGATGGTATCCGGCACGTGCCCAGCAGATGCCAGATGAGGCGAGCTTCTTGGCTGAATACCTGGCTCACATCTGCGGCGCCAGTCTTGATCTTGACAGTTTCAACGAAGAAATGCGCTTCCTCGTGGAGATTCTGGTCGCTGAAAACCCGACTTATGGCATTGTTATTTGCCGAGAACCAGTTCGTCTCCAACATTGAATCAAGTCCTAGGCAGTAGTCCTTGCTGAACATGTAAGAGAACTCGTCATCGAGCTCGTGAGGAAAACCTCCAAGGCGCGGTGGAACCTCTGGTGGGCTGTATCCACAGATAGAAAATATCTCTTCAATCCGCAGGGGCCGGCCTGGTCAGATTGTCAGTACATATGCCCGGAATGAAGCACTATAAGCCAAATGCACTGGATTTCTCACCTTTGAGGACCGGTGCTTCCGGGGGGGCAGACGAGTAGGGACTGCCTCGGAGCCCGGCCTGCAGCGCATGCGCGCCGTTGTAGGGCGGCTGTCCATTCATCGCAGGGTCAGTGGCAGCGAGCGCGGGGTCGATAGCAGGGTTGTTGAAGTTGTCGTGATGGGAGGGCGTTGAGCTGGCCGTCGAAGCAGCAGGTGCGTAGCCGACAGTAGAGGCGGGAGCGTAGCCCTGGGGCACCTGTGGACTGTATTGCGAAGATGCGGATGCCGGCGGGGAGGCGGCAGGTACAGAGGGCTGGTGCTGCGCCGTGTTGGGAGCGGGTTGGAGGTTCGCGGGCCCCGGTTGTTGCTTGAAGATAGGGTCGTAGCCCATGCACTCGCGCTTGCTTTTCTGGCAGTTGCGACACACAGGGTGGGCTTCGTCGCACTGTAGTCGTAGGGTTAGCTCGAATGCGCGAAGAGGTGAGGTCGGATTAGAGGAGCGAAATAGTTTGGATCGCTCGCTTCATGGTGGCTCGGTTATAGACGACACCGCGGTCTCGAGGGTGCGTGCCCGCACCTCCTACACGCTCACGCGCACCGCGGCGCGTCTTTGATCGCGCACCATTGCGCTTCGTCTGATGCCACACGTACCTTTATTCTGCGCTTGCGACACGTCAGGCAGCCCGTCTTGGTGCGCCGCTTGATCTCCTTCTTATGGCGCCCGCCCGACAGTATCCTCTGCTCTCCGGGCTGGGGCGGCAGCTGGTAGCGCATCGCGAGATGCTGCGAGCCCATGGGCATGGGCTGGCCGGGCGGCGGGTGGCCTGGATGGGCGTAGTACTGCGGCATGCCGTGCTGCTGCGGCGGGAGCGGCGAGCCCATGGGCTGTCCTGGCTGCTGATGCTGATGCGGGACCTGCTGCTGGCCGTCGACACGTATGGGCGGCAGGTTGAGCGGCGGCAGGTTCATGTTGGCGCCCTGGGGCGAGCGGTAGGGCTCCGCGCCGGGCTGGCCTTGGGGCGGGGGGTAGGTGTAGGCGGGCATCTGTGGTGAAGGATAGGAATGGCCGGGCGACGGGTAGGAGGGATTTTGTCGCTGGTGGTGGTCGGCCATGTTATTGGCCATCTGGGCGTGCGAGGGCGCCTGCGGGTAAGGCTGTGGAAAGGACATCGAAGTGCCACCGCTCCAGGGCAGGCACGACCCTGCGAAGCTGTGGTGCCTCTGCGAAAGGGCACAGCTCAAGCGAGAGTTAAGACTTCGGACGCCAACAGACGAGGCGTGATGGATTTGGCGAATCGAGCTAGGAGGCGAGGCCAGGGGGGTGCCTCGGTTGCGCGCCGGCTGCTGCAGGTGCTGTAGCACTGCGCGAGGAGGCGTGGGCAGAGAAGGTTGGATGGCGAGAGCTGGGGTAGCGAGCGAGGTGGGAGCGAGGGCGCGTGAGAACCGGCGCGCAGACAGCAGCGAGGCCCACCTAGGTATCTCTGCGCAGGGAAGTGAGGGTGCCGTGGCGGTGCGCGAAAATGTGTGCTGCCGCCGCGGGCCAACTTAGGCTACTGGGTGCTGGGATGGTCCTGATGTCGCTCGCTCGCTCGCTACGCCTAGCAGGCAGGCTGGCTGGGGGCTCGGGCGTTCTGTCGCGGCGCGCTGGCTGCACCGTCCCGGGGGCTTTCAGATCCAGGGCAGATCCAGATGCGGTGGGTGCTGTGAAGGGAAGCGCGAGGACAATCAAGAGCAGTGCGAGAAATTACCTGCTGCCACCGCTGCGCTAGTGCCGCTCTGCAGCCGTCACGTGCGCCTCTCTCGCCCTGCCTGCCCACGGTCCAGAGGGACGCTGGACCCAGTCGCCCACCTCTAACCACACCTAAGCATCCTGTGGGAGGACCAACACAACCCTGCCGCGCACCCGCGGGACAGGCTAATGCTCTCGTCCTGGACCCCGGCGGCTGTCGACCCTTCACGACGCTGAGCGCACTCGTCCATCATGCTGCATTCGCTGGCAGTCCCGGGCGAGCCTCTGCGTGCATGCAGCGCGCCTCCCTAGCCCGTTCAGCTCACGTCCGATAGCCTTGGAGGTGCGATACCTGGCCTGCCCTCGTGGGTCTCACGCCGGACACACTTCTTTCCAGCCCGTCCCCAGACGCTGGGCGCGGACCGGCAACACTACGCTACGCTTCGCTTCCTAGGCGCGTCCGTCGATGCCTCTCGGAACACATTTGCCTCTTTCGTCGTGTCTGGATCCGTCCCAGAGGGCACAGCAACCTCAGCGTCATCAGGCGCTTCGCAATCGCATATGTCGGCCCGCCCATCCTGCGTGGTGGGACTTGGAAAGTACCGACGCCGTGCTGGGACGCGCTGACAAGGCGTGTAAATTTCCGCTTGCGCATGCCATTTACCCGTCGATGCCACATCTGGAAACCACCTTCGTCGACCAGCCGCGTGAGAATCAGTGAGCCGGACCAAGCGTTGCGTCCTCAGAGGCACTTATCAGGCTGAGTGTTCGAGACAGCAGCCTGTGTCACAACACCCACGCAGCGTTCGGCCGCTGCACCTGTTGCCTGATGGCCATGTGCGACATTCACTCTGCAGCAGAGAGAACTGCCTGGAACTCGCTCAGCCGGCGGCACAAGGGAGAAGCGGCGTGAGTGTATGCATGGATGGGAATCCGGCCACCCTCGCCGTCTTTGCGCACCAAAGGCACCTATTCGATACATGCAGTTCTGAAATCTAGCTGCAGGGGCTCAGCACGTACGTGTCGATCTGCGGGCTTGACGTCCTCTGGTATACGGTGACAGCCCATCGGCGCGGAAGGCGTTGTGTTTCTCCGCCGCTGTACCACTGCAACAGGCTGATGCAATCTATACAACATCCGTTATAGCTATGAACGTCGATAGAGCGGATGCGCCTGCCAGGACACCCTTGCTTGCACACGCGAATCTTGGAGGCACCGAAGGGTTCTGGAAGCAACTCGGGGCCAAGACCACCCATCTCGACCTGCCATCGCTCTTCGGAAGCCACGTTGTCGTTCGCGAATAGTAATACTCAGGGGTTTTCTGCAATTTGTGCTATGCCGAGTTTCCTCACCGTGAAGCGTGTGCAACACAACAACTTGGTCGGGGCTGGGCCCATTGCCGCTACTGTTGTCTCGCCATCATCACACGAGCTCACACCTATGCCTGGTGCATGGAAGAGCCTCGCAACTACTGCACGCCGTTAATTCAAAGGTTTCTCGGCATGACCCACTCTGGATGGCATCCGCCAGCCGCTCGCCTGACCGTTGCTACCCGCGTGGATCGTGACAGTCATCGTCAGGGTCGAAAACAGTCGATATGCATGACACACTCCGGAGAGATCCTAACGCAATCACGAGCGCTGCGGTGGAGGCTCAAAGATCCCTCTGCAAATCTACGAAAGCATTGCCCAATCGGCTACCTTAGCTATTTTTTGCTTTTTCGCAGCACTTTCGCGAAAACCATGCATCCCTGCTGGGCGCCTAGCTGAGCATCTATGGCCTCAGAAAGACTCTTGATAGTAGCAAATTGGTCGTGAGCACGTGTCAGTGTACTTACCTAGTACTTGCGTCTTTTGTGTACGTCAGCCAATTTTTCCTCACTAACCACAGTTCCAGGGTGACCGAAGATATGCGCTATGGTCTTTGTCACATGCGCTTTCTCCTCTCCGGCCATGAAAGTGCTTGCCTGAGGCAGACTATCCGCTCCCGTCCCGTCTCTTAACTACAGGCCAGGCAATCCTAGTGGACGCACCCAGCAAAACGAAATACGGGACATAAGACATTGACAGCTTACCACAAGCGTCCGTACCAGAACGTCCGGACACAGCCTTCTCCCCACACGTCATCTCGTAACGTTACTCGCTCCTTCTTGACTAGGAAGTGCGGGTCGAATAGGGAAGGAGCAAAATCGAAATCCCTCAAGCGATTCTTCACGTGGCCACCTCGTTGCCCAGGTGCATGATCGCAAAGATCCGTCAACAACTCTACCAACTTTCAACCGTCCTCGTGTAGCTGACCCCTGAACACTGCATATGAGCCGTTCGCCTCTGATTGAGATCGGTCAGCAAGGCGAAGGTCTATACTCGATACTGTACATCACGTTATCCACGTGGAGAAACCGTACCACCCCAGGCGTAATGCCAGCCCGGCAGGAACCGAGGGCTTAGCCACGGAGTCCAATCCAACACATGCAGCTCACCCAGTGACCAACGACGTAAGAAGGACGACATTGTCGTGCGCATCCTGCTGCGATCGGGACATGTTACATAGCACTTGTCCATGAGGATCATGATACGTTCGTCGCTAACTGTCCGACTCTAGGCTTGGTTAGACCAGGTTAACTGACCAGTAGCGAAGTACCACTGACAGGAGAATTACTCAAAAGCCGATACCTCGATCAACCCAGCACAATTTTTCCAACACTTCTCAGAACACTATCGACTTCCTTATCCGTCGCAGCTCCTACCTGGGCTGAGAGCAACGTGCTGCCTGGGCCAGCCAACTATTAACGTCTGACCTTTCGATCAATAACTACAGGAACGCATCGTCCACTAGCATCGGCTATCGTGAAGTCGAATCGACATTGGATCATACTGCGCCTTTTCGATATCTGAGTTCTCGACCCACCCTATCAAAGTAGTAGTCTGCTAGTGTATTGCTCATCCTTACGGTCCCAAAAGCTATTAGCATACGCCTTACTGCTGAGACCTACACTGCTGAGATCCCCAGGTCATGACTCCCTACCGAGCTTCCCGTCGAGGATTAGAATGACTTACGCGACATGCTGAGCTTTCGTCATGATCATTACATACCCTTGTCATTGCAACTCGCTCCTCTGACAGACAAATCCGAGAACAGCTTTCATGTCTTATCCAGCGCCTTCCTGGGTGTGAGGATTCAAATCCTGTAACAGTTCCGACTTCTATTCGCCGGGTGAGTCATCCGATCGGGCAAAAGCAGCATTGTCTTTGTCTTTGAATGTTGGTCGCCGTGGATTGGTTCGCAAGGCGCAGCTACAGTCAGACATAGCTGTTGCCGACCGTACGAGACTGGATTTTCCTGCCATCTGCAAGTGTGTACTACGTCGCTTGCAGCATAGCTTCACTCATCCTTACGATGTGAATTGTACACAGCCAATCATTCAGCACCCATCTACGTCCCCGCGCTTGCCGCCCGCAAATTCCAACACGTAGACTACACGGTGTACACGTGGATCGGAGTGTTGTCGGTAATGCCAGGGATCGCGGCCTATTACCAGGATGCACCAACGTGGATCAATCGCTAGAGCGTGGCTGAGGGAAGCGAGAGCACGCGCGTCTGGGTCGCCTAACGAGAGCCTCGCAAGCCTTGCGGGAAAACGAGGGTGCGGTTTGTATAGGGTGGGTGGGTGTATGAATGCGCGAATGGTGCTGGGTAGTGTAAAAATGTAAATGAAGAGGAGGTCTGAAAATGGTACTGTGGTTGTGGGCATGTTTGACTTTAGAAATTAATGTTTCTTTGCTTTTCGGAGTTGAGTGTATGATTTGGAGGTAGTCCAGCATGCTCATTGCTCAGCAACACCGGTGGTATTTTTACAAGAAGAAGTCCGCAATGGACCGATCTTGGACAGAACAGGACATGGTACGCTAGTCTCTCATCATCGGCGAACCTTGGAACCACTATGTAGCTTTCGATGTTCCCAAGCCAACATTAGCCATGCGACCACGCTTTTTCAGCTATAGCGGCAACCCTTGACAGCAAAGCTCGCTACTTCGTATACTAGTACCAAGCCAGATGCTGCTTGCATGCGAACGTATTCACCCTTCCAGATTCACTCTGAACACAATCGAAGCGTAGCGACACTAACACTAAACATCTACTTCGATTCAGAACCGATGCGATTCCATCTTCCTTGATCCCACACTGTATACTTCCCACGTCCCTACTTCCTCGTATCTCCCCACACCTCTCCATAATGACTCCTTCCCAACCCATATCCCCGAGTCCTCCCTCCCTCGATCATACCCAACAAAACCCTCCTACCTCCCGCAGAACACCCCGCAGAACACCCCGCAGACCGCCGCCCCCAAAGACATTTCCACCACGTCGTCACCACCTCCAACGGCGCAGCCATCAGCCAAACCAGCGCCATCCATCCGCATTACAAAGCCCTATCCTGACATACAATGACCTACGCGCCAGCACCATCGCGTATAACGCTTCTGTCTCTCCGTCCTACCACTCACCATTCCTGCCCCATGCGCATCAGCGGTCGATATACACCGTTGGATCCAGGGCTGCTGTTGTGTTGTACGCTTCAGCGCTGATCATTGGGTTGTGCGGTACAGCGTATCATTAGCTCGGACTTTTGTTCCGGTCAGGTCGGGGAATATACGGTTATGAGATGAGGGAGCGTGGTAGGCTTGGTGAGGTGGTACTGTCGATTTGCATAGATTGGTGAGAGAGGTTGCTAGGGAGGAGGTACGAGAGGGTGTGCAGAGGGGAATGGAGTCGTTCTGAGGCGGGTTGATGCGGGGGATATCGTATAGGAGAGGGCTTCGATGAAGGTTTCTATGTTCGTGATAGTGTGGTACGTGGAACTGTCGCGTTCTGGGAAATATGATATGTACACAGTGATACATCTCATCCGTACATGTAGGACCTGGTGCCTGATATCATGGCAGCTCAACGTCCTGTCCTGTACTGTCCTTTGAAAACTATTACCCTCGCGTACCAAAGGACCTTTGCTTTGCCCCAACTCGATACTACGGCAACCCCCTCCCCGAGTTCACCGCATTAGCCACCTGGCTCGTCCCCGGCCTATTCTCCGCATACCGCTCATAGCTATCCAGATATAGCTGGTCATCGCTCGTCGTCGCCCTCACGCTCGCCTCCCCCTCAATAGCATCCACCCACGCCTTCCATCTACTTCCCTCCTCGGGCTCAGGCCAACCCCTATACGGCCCAAGCACCTTCTTCAACCGCACCACCCACGGCGCAATCTGTACGTCCACAAAGCCGAAGTCCTGCCCTAGGAAAAACGGCCCTGTGGGATCCGCAGCGTCAACGAGTTTCCCGATGTCCTCGCGCAGCTCCGTCGCGTGCTTGACCTGGTCCTGCGGATCCTGCGCCTGGATAAGGCGGTAGAAGCCCGGCACGATGTGGCGGTTTACATGGTCCGTCCAGAGGCGGCACGTTGCGCGTGTCTGTGGGTTGGGAGGGAGAATGGCGGGGCCAGTCTGCAGGTCTTCGAGGTACTCCATTATGACAGTGGATTCGTGGGTGGACCATGTTGGGCCGTGGCGGATGGCGGGGACGAGGCCGCGGGGGTTGATATCTAGAAGGGACTGCGGCTTCTTGTAGGGATCTACTTCGATGTATTGGTAGGGCATCTTCTTGTGCTCGAGGGAGATCCAGACGCGTTGGACGAAGGGACTGTGGGGGGTTAGGGAGTGACGTCACATGATGTATGGAGGATGTTAAAGCTGGAGAGAGGAGTTAGAGAGCTTACCAGAAGCAGCTGCCGAATAGCTTGAGGTCATCTTCTTTGGAGTGGTTCTTGACAGTGACAAGGGCATTGCCGGTCGCTTTCTTGTGGTATGTCTTCTTCGCGGGATCACCAGCCTGGTTGGTATCAGCCATCTTGAACCGAGCAGAGATACTGAAGTTCTTGTGACGTGCAACGGCTAAATTAAAGATTACTAGTAAAGGTTTGGGGGATGACAAGGGATATGTGTAACAACGGCTTGTGTCAGGCACGGTCCGCGTAATCACAGAGAGGAAAGTGCGAGGCATGATTACGAGGAAAAGCCACACAGGAGCCCGACATCATTCTACAGACGCCGCGCATGCGGGGAGTAGGCGAGAGGGTCCATGACGTGTATATCATGATTGGTAGTCGTTCGCGCGGGCGCCATGCAGTGCCTCAGTGCTGCTATAAAGCCAATGCGAATGCGACTGCGTGTAACAGGGGCATCCAAGCGGACAGCAACTCTGAGCGCGTATGCACGATCACGCAAAAAGAGAGAATAGTGCATAGGATGCGCGGGAGTAGACTTACCTGCGCTTTCTTCTTTTCTCGCTCGTTCTTCATCAGCCACCTCTGCACGCTGTTCTTCTTCACCCGGTCGCTCTCTTCGAGCGTGTGCTTGTGCGGACCTGCAACGCCGTCCCCCTTTCCGTTACCGCCATTTCCGTTCACTCGTTGCAGGGTGTAAAATTTCTTGGGCTGTCCGTTTGCATGGGACGCTTGTCGCATGTTCATGGTGGGCGTGACTGGCCACTGCATGCCGCTATTATTCTGGCCAAAGAATTGACCTCCACTGCCGGAAGCTTCGAACGAATCAATAGGTGGTTGTAGACCCGTCTGCTCCGTAAGCTCAGCGCCGTCGAAATACTCGGTGATCTTGATCTTGACATCGCAGAGATCGCGCTCGCGAGCCACACGCTTTCGCTTCTTCTTGTCTGGGTCGGTCGACTTCTTGGTGCCTGGCGGTCGCCCTTTGAGTCTACAGTCCCAGTAGTGGGAGACGAAGCGTTTGCGCTTGTGTCGTTGGGTGGAGCGATGTGAATAGACGTTGTCGACGTGCGGAAAGTAGGTCTGGAACCTGCAGCACCTGTGTAAGTAATTGACATAGTGTGGAATGGTAGTGCAACATACTCCTCCTCCGTCAATGTGATGGTGTCGTCCACATGAAACAGCTTCTCCCTCCACGCATCGAGGTCTGGCGGATTGGGGATCAAGCGTAGGCCCTCGATCTGGCCGTGATTTTGTATAGGCGCCTCATCACCTTCCGGTATTTGTTCCTGCACAACAGACTGCTCCTGAGTTTGTACAAAGGAGCCCCTATGCTCCAGCTCCTGTAGTTGCGGCGGTTGTATGTGAGTAGCAACTTGAGCTCTCTGCGGTGGGGGCGGGGCTTGGATGTGGTGATGTGGCGCTGGTGGAGCAGGATTCGGCGCATTTATCTCGAACCTCGCGTAACCGCCTGGGAAGCTCTCGAATGGGGGCTGGGCCGGCTGTTGTAAGCCATGGCTCTGGAAGTGTAGCGCGTGCGGGTTGGCTGTATGCGCTTGTAGCTGTTGAGCATATCGGTGCTGGAAGAAGGCGTCGTTGGCCTGGGGTGAGAGCTCTTCAAGGGGCTGTAGGCCCGGAGGAATCTGGTGCAGTTGCAGTGCTTGGGGCTGCAGGTGGTGTAGCGGCAGCTGTGATGAGTTCATGTTTCCCAGGAAGGTGTCGCGTGGTTAGACGCGCTCCGATGTTAAAGCAGCGCTGGAATAACGGCGTCGACAGCTTGGCGATAGAGCGGGCGATGCCGTCCGATCCATGGCCCTTCACCATCTCCGGCGCTAGCCCGGCCCTTGTTGCCGGGACCAGAGCCATCATCAACACGTGCTTCTATCCATCATCTCCGACCCCGACATCACACAGTCTTTAAATCGCTTCCTGGCTTTGTTGCGTCAAAGAGTCATGCGCGGAATTACCTGACAATGCGCCGCCTTCAACAAGTAGCCTTCCAATGCTAGCCAAACCCTCTTCACCCCAGCGTACAGTGTGGAAGCTTCCCCAGAGACCACAATGCGGACCCCAAATCTGAAGAGAAGGGACACAGGCGTGAACACGGAATACGAGACTCGAGATGTCTGATTGGCTAGCTCTGCCAGGGTGTGGGGGTTGCTTGGCCGTCACCTCGCAAATCGAGATTCAGCTGCTGAAAGATAGCGTCTGTTGCAACAACAGCACATCGCACAATGCCATGCAGGCACCACGATGTTCAGGTTTTCGATGGCCTTCGGTGCTGTCTGGCTTGTGGGGAGACAATTTTCGATAGTAAAGAAGAGCAGAAACCTGACTTACCCCGCTCACAAAACGCGCCTTACAAATACGCCCACCTCAACTATGCATTAGGTCAAGAGATCAGGCTATGCGTACTGTTCTCCGGACGACCTACAGACGATCTTGTAGTAGACCTCGTTCACGTCAACATTGGGCACCGTGCCAACAGTTTTGCGCCTTACGAAGCACTGAGTTATGCGTGGGCGACTCAAGACGGCGATGATTCGCTTTCTCAAACGGTATACTGTCACGGCGGGACGATTCGAGTAACGAAGTCATGCGGTTCAGCTCTAAGACAGCTCCGCTTCCCGGCTCGCAAAAGGTATCTTTGGGTTGACGCCGTCTGCATCGACCAGACGAACGTCATGGAGCGCAACCATCAAGTCGGGTTTATGGGGACTATCTTCGCGAATGCTTCACAAGTAGTCATATATCTCGGTTCCGGCAGCGAAGCAACCGAGGTCATGCTCGACTACCTGAACGGTAACGTAGATGCCCTTACAATCGTTGAACGCGACCGTGTAGCCAACGGTGCAGGCGATCTCATCAAAGATTTCTTGAGCCTTCGGTGGTTTGATCGCGTTTGGATCCTCCAAGAGATTGCATTGGCAAGACTCGCAACAATGGTAGCTGGGCAGAAAACGGCTCGTTGGACCTCAGAAACAATCAACAAGCTTCTCATTCTCTGTTCGAGGATGTGTATCGAACCACCCAGCGCCTTGAAATGGTTACCTGCAAGTGAGCCGGAACACGATGTTCTGTCTGTCCTCCAACGTTCCAGAAACTGTTCCTCGAGCGATCCAAGGGACAAAGTATTTGCGGTCCTCGGTCTTGCTCGCGCCGATTTCCAGAGTGGCTTTCCGATCGATTACTCGCAGACCGTGGAGCAAGTTTATACTCGGCTCGCTACCCATTTGATACACACAGAAAGGGAGTTGCGAGTGCTGAGATATGCCACCGGCTTAGAATCATGCGATGGCCCTAGCTGGGTACCGCAGTGGAATATCAAGACCGGATATGATCCACTCCCGCCACAATTCAATGCTGAGGAGCGAGGAAGACTTTCTAGCATCTGGTCTACGCAATCACTACAACCGCACAACCCAGACCAGAAAACTCCGAACGAGTTACTACAGATGTTTTTGGAACATGTTCCTGAGAACCAACAGCCTCTTCCTACAACAGCGTGGCTGCAATGGCTTTCGCATTGGATTCTCGAGCCTAAGCCTTTCCGTTTCAGAGCCAAGTCGATAAGGTGGATTGATCTAGATGACACAGCATTATCGCTCACACGCATCTATGGTTCGGGCTTCCACTTCGCTACGATTCCTCTAAACGACCACTTGCTTGATCATTATCAGGAATCAGCTTACGCAGATGCATTTCCACCAAATGATGTTTCTTGCCTACGAGTTCGCGCACATCAGCTTGACACCATCCAACATGTCATTGGCCTTCGCTCAGTTCACCAGGTCCATAACTTTCCCACGGCGCTACCACGTGTACTAAACCAACGTCGGCTGTGCGTCCCTTGCAACAAACATTTCGTAGCGACACCCATCTGTCAACACACACCCAGCATACCCCACACGATGTCCGAAGAGCTCCTCCGAGATATTAGCAGGGTTCTCGACGACAAAAAGACGATGTTTGAGACAGAGCGGTCGGTTGGCGTGGTGCGGGCGGACGTGCAAGTCGGCGACTATATCTATGCTTTGGATGGCGCCGATGTTCCTTTTGTCCTGCGACGAGTCGACCGACATTACGTGCTTATGGGCGAGTGCTTTGTGTACAGGGCATTAAGGCACAGTCTTTGCACGTGTTGTGGGTGCGAGCTTGAGCCGTGGCCGATCATCACGCAGATCATTGATATATGGTGACGAATTGTTGGATTTGTGGATCACTGAACACCATCGGCTAAATGCATAACGCTCGGAATCTATACATCACGATGTCCACCCAATTCCAAACTTCCCGGTCGCATCCCCATGACCACCGTTTTTGTCACTTTTCCAACCTACTCCCCGTACACCTGCAAACTCTTCTCCAAATGCGTCTTCTCCTTCGCCCCCGGCATCTCCCCGACTATCCCGCCAAAAACCAACTGCGCCTTCAACTTCCACGTCTTATCCAGACCGTACTTCTCCTGCAGATACGGCGTAATCCCCGGCTGATAATGCTGCAAGCTCGCACCCACGCCCTCGGCCGCCAACGCCGTCCAAACAATCAGCTGGTTCATACCAGAAGAATGTTCTTCCCAGTCAGGATAGAGTTTAGCATGAGCTTGGAAGCGCGGCGAGAGAAGTTCGTACGCGGACGGATCATCGAAGAATAGGACCTGTATCACTGTTAGGTTCAAAAAAAAAAGGATTGGTAGGGGAAAGGACGACTTACTGTCCCCTTCGCAGCGACGAAGCCCTTTATCTTCGGTCCTAGTATACTTATCGCGGCTGGTGCAGTCTCTTCAGTGACGCGATACGCCTCTTCCCAGAGTTTGTCATGCTCGTCACCAAAAAGCACGATTGCGCGCGTGCTGCGCACGTTGAAGGGAGAGGGCGCGTGTTTCAGGGCTTCGGTCACGAGTTCTGAGATGCGGGCGTTGGGAATGGGACTTTCTTTTGAGAGGGTGTAGACGGAGCGGCGGGAGGCAATTGCGGTGAGGAAGGGGGTTGTGGATGCCATGTTTGCTTGTTTTGCTGTGAGGTTGGTGTAGCAATGAGTTTGGGCTGGTTGGAGGTATGAAGAGAGATCGTGTGAAAGCAAATTGTAGATGGAAGGCTGGCTCGATTGTGATGAGTATATTATGTCGCCCTCTACTCTATATTTATATACCTCCCATCTACGACGTCGGCTCCGTACTCTTCTCCTGCGCATCGCGCAATCCCACATCGGCGGAAGCACGATCTCCGATATCAGCACGCCCTAGCCCCAATACACAGGTCGTAACTTACTGACAGCCTCGCACTGCGTGTACATTTCAAAGCATGGTCGCTCTCGGTGCCGAGCATCGATCGGGCTTGCGGCGTGGGATGCGCCCCGTGACACTGCAATGGTTAGATTGGGGGCCGAAGCGGTCGTCGGCCGCACGGCCGTCGGTGGGGTCGTAACCTCCGAGGGGAAAACCGATATCAGCGAGGCCTCAACGCCTGGGCAAGCTCTCTCGCACGACACCAGTAATTTGTTTGGATTATTAAGAGCATGGAATTGGTAGTCTGAGTTTAGATGATTGTTAGTCTTCATCCATCGAGGCAGGTTGCGATATCACACTTTAGCATCGAGGACTCGGCCACCACATTACGTGCGAGATACACCACGCTCCATCGATTGGTTGGGCTTACAAAAGCTTGGTAGTACGTCTTGCTTGCGTTGGGTCGAAGTCTGTGGTTTCCTTGAGATTCGAGCGGCGCTACTTGCTCTACCAACTTCGCTGTTGACACAATCGGCAATGTTCAAACGTATTGGATGTGAATAAGAGAACTTTAACGTGGTCAAAGTCGCAAGGTATGACCGTGTACAGGATACGGGCAATGACACTGCGTCATCAGCCTAGTCTATCTCACGACGTCGGAATCTCAACCGTAGATCTGCTGCCGCATCGAAAACGACTCGAGAGCGCATCAATGGCACCACACAGATATGCAATGCGCGCTGGTACGGTAGTGTTTGAGCCGCCATGGAATTTACTGGAAGCTCAAACATCAAATTCAGAATGAGGATTAGGAATTTCCGTGGAGGATACGCCAAACGCCGTCTTCTTTGAATGGATAAGGCTTGGTGGTGACAACGGGAAGAACTTCAACTCCATGTTTTATGAATTCGCGGAGCCCCATGGTGTGGGTATCACCGTCAAAGATGAGATTAACGTGGGCAGGTTGCAGTGAGCAGCGCGGGCTTGTGGATGCAGAATTGCCGACACAGCCAACGTGAGGCTGGAAAACCTACCGACGAGGATTCATGGGATTGAGGCACGGAGTGCTGTCTAGGGCAAGTGATATAGCAACTGACGACGAGCCATATCGTGAGGCACGTGCGGGCCAATTCACTTGCCAAGGATACCTGTGCGTTCGCTAGCAGTATTATCTGCTTCTCCAGGTTTCATATCAACCTCACCCCTTCGTCGCGGCCCTTCGGCCTCCGAGATATACCGATATCAACAATCTCGAAGTCTTTCAAGAAGCTCCAGAGATACCACCCTTCATCACAACAATGGAAGACAACTCGCTTCTCAATGCTGGTTTCGATCTCTCCAAAGCCCCCAGAGGACCGTGGAATTCTCTGCCCAAGTACAACGAATTCCAGAAATGCGCTGCCAAGGGTCTAATGCTCATGAACGCCATGACAGCTGGAATCTCCGACGCGGGAAGCTTCTTCAAGCCGCCGGTTGAGTCAGCAGAGAGCAAGTTCACCTCGTCTCCTGGATGGTGGGACTTGTATCTATCGGGGTACTACTTCTACGATGCTATGGATATAGATCCATGGTACGGAGATCTCGAGCACAACTGGGGCATAAGCAATGCTCTGCAAGCGAACAACCTATCGGATATGGTCGACTCCAAGGGCGGCAAAATAATGACCCGCTATGTCGAACATAATATCCCGAACGGCGAACACAGCGCGTATGAGCAGTGTTACGTCATGGGCGGGAAGCAATTCACCGTGACTACAACCCTTCTTCACAGATCAGACACACTTTGACTAATATGTATCTCAGTGCACGGGGGCAACCTGCATCCTCGCCATCAACCCTGAAGAAGGCGTCCTCATAGCCCTCGATCGAACGAGCCCAGTGCACCGCGTCAAATGCCACGACAATCTCATCGACCCGCCTGTCCTCGCTCACACATCCGACATCATGTTCGCCCTGTGGAAAGACTGCGCTAGGGCACGCGGCACCAGCATTGATAACTTACACTATTTCCTCTCGGTCTGCATCGACAACGACACCGCCTTACGCATCATCCGCGAAGTGGCCCCAAGCAATCTGCCGTTCTATCCAGGTGTTGTGTTCTCGACCAGGGAGGTAGAAGGACAGGCTCTCCTAGGGACACCGAATGGGGTGGCGATTGGGTATCTTTTGTCTCAGCACAAAGCTGTTTTGGGATTAAGGTATGTGGATACTGTGAGGGTCTTTAAGAGCGAGAGCCATGATCAACTTCCGTGTTGCATGTTTCATATTGCTAAGGTTGAGGACGGTACAAGGAGGGATGTTGTCGAAGCACAGAACAGAAGGGCAAGTAGTGGCTATGGTAAGGAGTGAAGGCTGGGTGAATAGCACGACGGTGTAGCATAGTATAGAGTCTATGCGCTAGACTCGTGTCTATTTTCCGAAAAAGAGAGGAGGCGTGGAGTCACTTCCGCGAAAAGGATTGCGAGGCGTCGCACTACAAACTCTTGGCCTTCTGTCCATCGTACGTCGAGCTTGACCAAGCTACCCCATAACCTCAGTGGTCTAGAATCAAGATTCGCGTACCGGACTCACCACACGCCATCGACCCAGCTAGAGCCCTATAATGACCCAAAGTCTCCAAATCCTCGTTGCCAAACTCGCACGACTCCGTTCCCATTAGAGCTAGTCATGCTCCATTAAGCGAAAGTAGAATCCTATCTGCAGCGATACGACGTCCAGATTAGCCTATACATCCCAACCCGCAACCGGGCGTACACGATAACGTTCAGAGTGCTAGCACCTCGTATACCAGCTGTCAAGATCGTGTCTGCACGTTGTGGGGATTTTGCCGGGTCGCGTCCGAGGTGGTGGGACGACGGGCACGTGTTGACTACCAGTGATGACCAGAGAGACAGGCTGGAACATGCCCTGAGGGAAAGGCTCGCTGAGTCGGACAAGCCTAGCGACCTCATCCACGTTGTCGAGTTGTTCTCTTGCTGCCAAATCGGTATCATTTGAAGGTCTCAATCAACATGAAAGGGGTGCGCACCTTTATAAATCTTGGATAGGATCACGTATCGAAGCGACCTCGCTTCAATACCCGCAGCCACAATGGCAATTTTTACCGATGGTGAAAACCGGGCGCTGTACAGGAGGGAGATTAGCAGTGTGCAGATACGAACTGCTGTGCCTTTTAGGGGGTGTTTGACGGTCAAGGAGGAAGTGATGTGACGTCTGCCGCGTCCTGATCTAGGAGACCGGATGCAATTATAGGTAGAAAGGCACCGAAATAGCCCGAGGGCGTGGTCAAAAAGCCGTTGGAAACGTGTCGTTGTATACAATTGTGCATATTAGCGAGAATTCGTCCCACGGTATTGGCGCAATGTGAAATCTAGAGGATTCTTTCCCTCAGGCCAAGAGAAGTTATGCATTCGGACAGGCCGAGAAGCTCGTGTTGTTGCTGGGCGCAACACGTTGACTTTGAGAAACGACTAGGATATACGTCATCCGGATAGAGCTGTTGATATCGTGAAGTTCAAAAAAACATAAGTAATGACCATCTCTCCTGATAGTCGCACAAGCACTGTAGATTCTTAGCTTAATGTCAATCATCCCCACACCATGATATCATCGTTCCTAATCCCCTCCCTCCTCCTCACCTTTACCCACCCAGCCCTGGCCGACACCTGCACCTCCGTCGAAGCCCTCCACTACATCAACGTAACCTGCCCCCTCTCTCTCGCCTACATCGAAGAGCAATCGCAATACTGGTCCACCTCTTGCTCAGCTCTGCTCCCCTCTTGCATCATCTTTCCCAAGTCAGCGGAAGAAGTCTCCACCGTGGTGAAGATCCTCACAAACACAACTGAGAGATTCGCTGTCAAAAGCGGCGGGCATAACCCCAATAACGGCTTCTCGAGTGTGCAGGGTGGGCCGCTGATTGTCACGGAGCATCTTGCCCAGGCGAACGTGAATCAGGCAACTGGAGTCATTGATGTGGGTCCGGGGAATCGGCTGGATGGTATTGCGGCGAAGTTGCAGGGGAGTGGATGGACGTTCGTGGGTGGTAGGATTGGGAATACTGGGGTAGGTGGACTGGTGCTTGGCGGTGGATTGTCGTATATGTCGGCGCAGTATGGATGGGCGGCAAGCCAGGTGCTTGAGTATGAGATTGTTTTTGCGAATGGGACTGTTGGGCATGTCAATAACGACAACTACCCCGATCTTTTCAAAGCTTTAAAAGGTAAGAAAATGGTTTGTGCTCCAAACTCGGTGTCTAACTGCATTTCAGGTGGCGGCAACAATTTCGGCATTATCACGAACTACAGGTCAGTGTCGATGCGTGTACGGTTGGGACACAAGGGCTTACCGGGTGCATAGGTTGCAAGGACAACGCCAAGCAAACGTATGGGGCGGCAATCTGGTGTACTTGAGGACACCGGAAAAGGACAAGAAACTTCTCAAGGCGGTACGCGACTTTACCGAGTACAACGACGACCCTAAGGCTGCTGTCATCGTAACCGCAGAGCGTACGAACGTCAACGTGGTGGACTCATGGATCATCTTCCTCTTCTACGATGGCCCATCTCCTCCAGCAGGCAAGTTCGATAACTTTACCGACGTCAATCCGCTGCTAGACACGACACGAGAACGCACATACGCCGATCTGATGGCCTTGAGCAATTGGGTCGTTTTGAAAGGCGAGGTAGTAGACATTTCGACGGAAACGATCCCAATCCCAACAGCTGAAGACGAAGCGAAGGTGATGGAGGAATTGCACAAGCACTGGAGAAACATCACTGACACCACGCTGCTCGAGCCCGGAATCGTTGCGTCCATTGCATGGCAACCATTTCCCAAAGCCATCGCCAGGGAAGCTCGTGCACGCAGCCCTGACCTCATTGAAGCGGATGACTCTGTCCATCGGATCATCATCGAGATGAATTACGCGTTCACCCTCCAGTCGAGCTACGATAGGATGGCCGACACGATGGAGGCAACGTACGGGGGCGTGCGAAAGAGGGTCTTGGACTGGCAGCAGGACGGGACGCTTCCGGAAAGTTATAACCCTGTGTTTATGAACTATGGTTTCTTCCGCCAGGATTACTTTGGCAGGTTGAAGCCGGAGAACAGGGCGCTGGCGAAAAGGGTGCAGGAGGAAGTGGACCCGGACGGGCTCTTCCGATCTAGGACGGGCGGATGGAGGCCCTGAATGGTGTGTGCCTCATCTTGTAGTGTATGTACGAGTCAATACAGGTGATTTTCGAATGCAGTCTATTAAGTCAACTTTTAGGAGGGCATGTTGAGGGGGCGCCGCGCCTGCGTTGCCTCGGGCACGCGAGAAGGGCTTAGCGTGTCCCGGCCAGCCACCATGCCACCTTCCTGCCCACTTGCTGCCTTCGTCTGGCGCGCCCCGCCAGCGCTTCCCTCATCATCAACCATCGCTACAGCCTTGTAGTGCAATCGTGCTCTGCGAGAGCTCCATGGGCGAAATGGACAAACGCAAATCTCGCGCGGACGCAGAGTCTCCAGTCGCCTCTGCGCGAAAGCGACGAGGACGAGAACTGCAGCCGGACCAAACGGAGCAACAACGCAACCCTGTGAAACTATTTCATGATTATCTCATGAAGCACTTCCGACCATATTCAGAAAGATGCAAATGTTCTTAGTCTTTATGCGAGTGTCTGTGGTGGTCAACATTGACTAGCGGTAATCAGGACAGCGAGCTTGCGAAGGCCGCGGACATGCTGGTAGGGCCCTGGAAACTTACGCCATGGGAAATCGTAGAACACTTTGAAAGTCTCGCAACGCAACACATCATATGGACCATTAACTTTGTCTGGGATCTTCACGGAATTCACCGCGCTAAAGAATTACCCTGGAAAAAAGTGTACGGGCTATTGGAGGCTAGAATATGGGCAGAGGACCAGACCAAGCCCATACCTAGGGTATTCACGAAGGCGGAATGCGATATGGCTTACCGTAGTTTGCCTGGCCTTGTCGCAAAGGCGGCCACGGACCAGATCTCGAGACCGAGTCCGATAAGCGACGCAGCTGGCAATGTAGAGCAGACGCCCTTGAGACACGGTACGAGAAGCGGCGCCGAGCAGGCAACACCGACAAACAGCTCTGCTGAGCGCGTAGGACATGCCCGAAATATCACGACTTCATCAACCCCTCTAGAAATTGCTGTAACCCAAGCTTCGACCAACTCCAGGAGCGGAGACCTCCCTCCAATGCAACCCTCAAGCCTAACACACGTACAAACAGACCCGCTAAGACGCCGAGTTGATTCCGATGCTTCGATAGACCGTGAGAATACGCCCGTACAACCAGACCCGCTTGGCCGCCGAGATGATTCCAATGCATCCATGGACCGTGAACATACACCACAGACCGATACTGCTCCGTCCGACACCTCAAGAGCAACGGGCCAGGCGGTGGAACCGGACCAACGGTCGGTAATAGATGCAGCTCCGTCGGGTGACTCAAGAGCACCAAGTCAGACGAGGAAGATAACACGACTGAGGAGTGCCACCATAGTCGAGGATCTCAACTCGTCCAGCGCCCTGAGCACGCGTACCTTAAGCCACATACTGGATACGTTCCTCCCGACCCACAAGGCAGCCGTACGTCCAGAAGACGACTTCCTTGAGCTACTGCCGGCTAAAGTACTCGATTTGTGCACGCTTCTTCATGCACCATCCAGCGGGCAGGCTCATGACCAAGAGGCCCTAACAATGGACGGCACCAACGGCTTCAGCGGCGATAGCCACGACATTGAGACTTAGTCCCCTTCTAAGCTTGACTACGATGGCGTTAAAACGTTTGTACTTCCCTTTACCGACTTATCTACAAATGACTCTGTCATTTACATACTTTCGGTCCAAAACAAAACCTGTTTGGTTCTTTATCCTGCCGACAGGCGAGGCAACATCATTCTCGAACAAACGATTCCGACCAAGCTCCTAGAAACTGTTGCTGATTCGGGTGATGCGACTTCCTGGGGACTCAAGGTACAGTCTCACGCCGAAGATTCGAGCTGGCTCAATCCAGGTCTCTACGTACTCAAAAAGTGCTTCCATTATATATTTATCCGAGGAAACGAATGGAATTTTCCTGCCATGGAACCCTTGAGCTTCTTGCGAGCTCCACTTGCTACGTTCTTTGATGATTCTGCTAGGCTTGTGTATTTCGAGCGTTGGCTGGATGGAGAATTGTCTTCTTCCCAGAGGCCTGCACCGCTTCGTGGCAGAAACGGTGCACAGGTCCCCTTTCCTGACAGTGGCCACCCCGCATTTCGCCATATGCCGAGGTATTTACAGTCTTGCAAAGAGTTGGACAGAGTTCGTCAAAGACAGGCAAGACTTGCAGATGCGCTCAATGATCATATACCAAGCCTGGAGGCTCAATTCAAGCTTGCAGTGGAAAGACTTGATAGCTGGCTTGGCAAGCTGAAAGCTCAGCAGGACGCCGCAAAAGCAGATACAGATAGAGCCTTGAAGGACTTCTATCAAAAAACACTTTTGGTATACAAAGGGCTTCTCTTGGGCGAGGATCAAGAGGTCTACGAAGCTTACGCTCGCGATTCGACGGAAAAGGCAAAGCCGAAAAAATACCAGAAGCTCGAGGAGGACCTGCGTCGACTGCAAGCTCAGAGGTCGGATGCGCAGGACAAGAAAAGAGTGTATCTTCGGTTTCTCATTGTTCTTCAGACAGGTAAAGATTTTGCAGAACGAAGGAAGGTGACAGAAGACGATGAGGCTTCGCAAGCCGAGACACGATTAGCGCAGATATATCTCGAGGAATTAGAGGCGTTCACACAGGATCAAGAGGAGAGGGCGCAAACGAGGGAGCTTCTGCATTCTCTCGCTCGGCCAACGACATCAGCAGGGGGCCAGGTTAGCGTCAATGAGGACGACCTCGCGACGCGACAGCCGCAGTCCAGGCCGGAACCCAACGATGCTACAGCTGACGCCAATCTCTCAGTCATCTCAACCTGACAAGTCCGCGTTACTCGGTAAAGCCATGCGCGCTACAGAAGCCAGGCAGAAGTCCTCAGAAGGATCAGCCTCGCGAGGCACTCGCCATCGATTGCAAACCCGTCCCAGAGCGGTTGAAGTCGAGGAAGACCCAGCCGCGCTTCTGCAACGCTTTCAGAAGGGAGGCTCGCTTCCGACGACGAGGCTGCAAGACTGTGGGGAGTCAACAGACCCGCACGGAGATGACTTGGACCTTGTTGGACTGAGGAAGTCTCTGTTCAAGATGTGAACACACATGCATGTATCGGATGCCTGAACAATAGATGAAGATGTAATATATATCATCAAGAGCTGGTTTTTCACATTTGACGTTGAGGGTAAGAGCACAACTTAACGCCTTAATGTATCTTTGAAATACCGTTGTTTCTGTTAAAAGATCACTATCGTGTGGCCTACTACCTGTTCGAACAGCTTCGTTCTTCGCGTTCTACGCCCGGCGCGCCAGACCGGACATGGTCGCGGCTCTGGCGGTTGTTGGTGTCCGTTGTGGGTCTGTTAGTGTACATTAGAGCGGATGACGTGAGCTAGAATACGGTACACTACGGGTTTGCTGCTACATCCGCACCGTGGAATTGCCGCGATGCGTCCTGCACACACTACGGCCTTACTCGGGAGCCTTCCAGACTATAAGAGCTTAAGATGATATCTTCTCACACTTTTCACCTCGGCAGCCATGCCAACCCAATGCTAAGGCCACCGTTCTGCACCGTAGTCTGATTCGTGGTCTCGAGTCGAACTTGATGTATACACGCTTACTCTACTATTGCAGCCTCGGCCGGCGAGCGCGTAGGACCGGTGTACGCCACGATTTACACTAAGATCCTAACGTATGTCGTCGGTCGACCAGGGTAGGGTTCGACTGTGAAATAGCCGCCGTCTGGCCCTCAGGCCCACACACCCATCATGTCACGAGAATCAGGCCATCCCCAACGCTAGCTCAACTCACCTGCATGCGCGATATCCTTCCACCCTCGAGAACAGAATCGACGCCGTCAGCATACCTACCAGAGAGAACGGGAACACCCCACCCACGTGATGTGGGGCTGCAGCACTACCATACCATACCTCCTCGACTTACCCATTCATAAAACCAACAATTTCAACAGCTTATACCGACAAAACGAGCCCTCCCTGACACGAATCCTGCTCGTCGTTCACCATGGCCTCGGACTCTTCCCCACCCCCAAAGTCCTTTAACCTCGCCATCATAGGCGGAGGCATCTCAGGCCTCACCCTAGCCATCGCCCTCCACACCCGCAACATCCCCATCACCGTCTACGAAAGCGCCGCTTCCTTCGGCGAAATCGGCGCAGGCGTAGGCTTCGAGGCGAATTTCGTGCGTACCATGGACCTCATTGCGCCCGGGATTAAAGAGGGGTTCCTGCGCTGCAGTAAGAACCAGGAGAGCGTACCGCCGAAGTGGTTCGACGTAAGGGTGGGAGATACGAGGAGAGCTGATGGTGAGGGCGTCGTTCATGAGAAGGGTGGTAGGAAGATTAAGCTAGGGGAACCGATTTTCACGATGCCTGCGAGGGCAGGGCCAAGAGGGGGTGTGCATCGCGCGCATTTTTTGGATGAGCTTATCAAGCTTCTTCCTCAGGGGATTGCGCTCTTCAAGAAAAAGCTTGTGGATGTGTCTGAGGGGGAGGGCGGCGACGCGGTGTTGCACTTTGCGGATGGCACTACGGCGCAGCACACGGCTGTCATCGGTTGCGACGGGATTAAATCACGCACCAGGGAAATTGTTCTCGGACTGGAAGACGCACGGCCTGTTTTCTCGGGGAAGTATGCGTATAGGGCTATTGTGCCTATGCAGAAGGCGCTTGAGTTTTTGGACGAGGAGGAAGCGACTACGCCGCAGATGTACTGTGGGTATAAAGGGCATGTGCTGACGTTTCCCATCGCGAATGGCACGATTTTCAACGGTGAGTTTTTCAGCTAAGTCTTTTGGTGATGAGGGAGGCTAATGGCGCGCAGTGGTGGCGTTCAGCTCGAGATCCGAGTGGACCGACCCCGAGTGGGTGGTCAAGACGTCAAGAGAAGACATGCTCGCGGACTACGCAGACTGGACCGAAAAGGTCAAATGCATCATGGCTAACGTCAAGAATCCGGACATATGGGCGCTGTACAATCACGTTCCGGCGAGCACGTTCTACCAGGCGCGACCGCGAATTTGCTTGCTCGGTGACGCAGCGCATGCAACTACGCCGCATCAGGGGTCTGGCGCGGGCATGTGCATTGAGGATTGCTACGTGCTTGGCGAGCTTCTTGGCGAGATATCGAGTGCGGATGAATTGGAGAAAGTTTTTCGGGCTTACGATGCAGTGAGGCGGCCGCGGGCGCTGAAGTTAGTGGAGACGAGTCGACAAGCGGGGATGCTGTGGGAGTTTGAGGGGCCTGGAGGTGATGATCTCGACGCTTTTGAGAAGGATGCTATCTCTAGGATGTCGTGGATATGGGACCACAAGATTGAGCGGGATCTCGAGAGAGCAAGGGAGTTGCTGCGGGCTTGAATGCATGCGTGTCATCGTATCCTCACTTTTGCTAAGTTGAAGGCAAGACTACTTGAAAGACCACAGTGCTCGTTCTCGCTACAAATATACCTTGACCCGCCCCCTACAGCACAAATCGAAACTCAGGATGTTCCCAGCCCAATTTCTCCACCTCACTCTGCTCAGTCACCGGCTCCGTCCTCCCGCTCTCGTCCCTCTTCTTATTCGTCAACCAACACCCCACAAAATACACCGTCGACGCCGCAGCCCCCATACACGTCAGCCCCAGCCCGGTGCTAAACCCAGTGTGAAACCTAGGCGTCTCCTTGAACAGAAACACATTCGACGACACGAAAGCACCCGCAGTACCGAAGTTGATAATGGCTGCAATAGCTATGGCCCGCTTGTACCCGCTGCCCGCGTTGACACTGACCCAGATGATGCTGATTGGCATAGCGACGTATGCGCCGCATGCGATGAGGAACATGCCTGCGTATCGTGTCACAGCAGATGGCGGGTAGACCACCTCGATGATCAAGCCGGCGGCTAGAATGCCCTGTTGCACCATGTATTAGCCGCTGGGAGCAGGAAAAGGCAAAGGAAAGCGAAAGGTAGGGGAAGCTTACACATCCCAAGAGGTAGAAGCCATAGCGGTGGTTCATTCGCTCTGAGAGGAGGCAGAAAATAACGGAGACAGCGGCGCCAGTGAGGTAGACGGGGATGGTGTGGACTTGAGCGGAGGTGGCGGTGTAGCCAAGGCCTTTGAGAATGGTGGGCTGGAAGTTTGCGAGGGAGTTTGCGTTTTCGGTTACGCCGAGGTTCATGGCGACGCTGTTATCAAGTTAGCACTGTGGTTATATAATATTTCTTCCGTTCTCCTCATCTCCATACGTTCGCAGGGGTAAAAATCGATACGGAGACGGAGATGATAGAGAAGAAGGGGACATACCCAGCCCAGATCTTCCAATCGCCCAGCTCGCTTAGGACATCCCTAAAGGTAATGGTATCATGAGGATTGTGCCCTCCCTCCTTTACACGCCTTAGCATCAGTTCCTTCTCCGCGCCGTGCAGAAAGTTGCAGTGTTCCGGGAACGGGGGGACGAAGAACCAACACCCAAGGGCAATGACAATGGTAAGAATTCCCTCGATGATGAAGATCCACCGCCAGGCAGAGTACCCGCCCACACCGCTCATCTTGGCGATCAAACTCGAGATGAACCCGTTCACAGCCCCAGCAATGATCCCCGCGGTTAGGAAAATTACATAGCGGCCCAGATACTCGGCGGTGGTGTAGTACGCGCCGATCAAGTACGCTGCACCGGAGATGAACGCAGACTCGCAGATTCCTTCAAGCAGACGCGTTATGACGAGCTGTTCCCAGGTGCGGACGAGGCCGCAGCCGATGACGGTGACGGCCCAGAGGAGCATCATGACGCAGAGCGACTTGGGGCCGTATTTCTTGAAGAGGATGGTGCAGGGGATGCCGGCGACGAGGTAGCCGAGGTTGAAGACCCAGACGCAGATGTTGAAGCGTTGGCCGATGAGGTTGAGTTCTTTTTCCATGCCGGCGATTTTGGCGTTGCCGATCTGGGGAGTGAGTGTTAGTCGAGGTAGCACAAGGTGTTGTGCCACCTGTCTGTCTAGGGTTGGAGCGTTGCAATCTTGCTTTTTGCACGGTGTCTATCTGAGAAGATGCGATTGGGACTTACATTTGCTCTGTCGATGAAGTTGCAGAGGTAGAGGATCCATAGCACTGGGATGATACGCATGTCCAGCTTGCGAACGAGGCGCCGCTCAGCGGCGCGGTCGACGGGTTGCTCATGGGAGGAGGTTAAGCTTGGGGAGAGAGCTGCGTCTGTGACGGCGGTCTGCTTCTCTGATGAGGTTGTCTGGGTCGCCATTGTTGCTCCCTCAAGAATTCCAACACAAGACCGAACACTCTGCAGCTTCTGCAGCTCGACGAACAGGGTAAATACGAAAAGGAAGAAACGAGGGAGACGCGATCCTGAACTTTCTGCGGATGTCGGGCAAGAGGAGCACGAAGCGAAAGCGAGGGGATGGAACAGCCGACCCAGAAGAGTGGAAGACGACAAGGTTGCTGCAGCACGAGCGAGGTCTGCAGCGGGCGAGACCAATGTCTGTCTTAGAGGGGTTCAACAGCTGCTGCAGATCGAATCACACCGCAGGGCAGACATTCCGAAGTATAACAGCAAGGCGAAGATGAATCGTTCCATTCGAACGGTGTATCATCTCGTGCCCCTCTCGTCGCTTGGATGAAAGGACCCTGCATACACCCTTACATCGCGTCCCGCCTCCGCAGAAGGGCCGACCGTACTTGCGTACACACATTGTCCTGATATCAGACTACGCCAGGAAGGGATCATCGGCCGTCTCAAGAAGACTCTGATATTCTATCACCACTCACCGCAACTTCCTCCTCGTAATTGCAACAGGCTCTCAGAGACGCGAGATTACAGCCAAGACGTACCGGAGAATCCAGGCCTCCTCCGAGTTCCCATTGCAGCTGAATGTACCGCTGCAGACGCGGCGTAAACGCAAATTTGCGACTGCCGAGCCTGTAACAACGCCACAAGACCCCATCCAGGACGCGGGACGCCGGCGCGGTGCCAAAGGTACCGCTGTCGTGGGAATGGTGTGCCATCGTGGGGTCTTCACGGAAGGATTTCATGCGTGCCGAATAAGGCATCTGGTTTTCTGAGCGAATCGGACCGTATTGTTGAGTACATGGGTGTATTCGTGGCATACGATTCCCTACCGCATGGTGGGGGATCGCAGCTGTCAAAACGCAAGATCTTACTGTTGTATAAAGACAGGTAAGATCGTCTCTCCATCGCACTCGTATGTCCATCCCACCTTGGTTCAGTGTAAGCTTTGCTGATCTTTGGTAAACTACCCGCTGTACGGACACCACCGAAGTAACATCTAGGCAATCAGACAGAGTGGATCAATACGAGGCTTCTGCAGCGGCTGTAGCGGTTGCGGGCCAATAGCTCGTCCCCACACCCCTGCAGCGGAGGAAGCGAACGGTCGCGGGAGCGTCACCCCGAGCCCCGGGCCGTTTAAACCTTGGAAACCTTACTTGATCCTTCACCCGGGCGCCTATTCGCAGGAGCTGTGCACGGCCCGGCAGAGAGGGGCCGAAGAGTATACGAGCACGAAGGTTTGCGTGCTCGCGTGTTTATGCAAGGCGCAACTGTGCCACGGTGGAAAAAGCATCTTGAGGCTCATTAACGTTCACGAAGAAGCTGGCGATCGCGTGCGAGGAAGCGAGCGGGAACGTTGGAACATACCCAGGTACCATAGGTAGTGAGCTTCTTCTTGGGGACAAGGATCGACGTTGCTATTACACATGTCTGCAGCGTGGAAGTCACTCTAGCGTTGCAATTCGCGCAAAATTCCCGTGAGACATTGCAGAGCTAGGATGATCGCTGTCGGCCCTACCCAGCAGCAGTGACATGTCCTCACTGTCGGACGGACGCTGTTTCGAGTAGGATTAGTACTCGTTCATCGTACGATTGGATTGGGGTAGATAGTCAATACAGAACGTTGGGATGAGGGCCCAACACCAGATTGCGGGATCCTGGTGGCACCCGCAACGTGCGAGGTGAGTATCGTAATAAGCCACGTTCAACTCGCCATCCACTGAGGTGGACGTTTACTGCCTAAGTTCTTGAAATAGCCTGGAGAGGTACTTTGTCACCCTGTTTGTCTGAGCAGTCGGTCCGCCTTGTTGGAACCAAGTTCGAAGTGGAACACTACCGACTGGGCCGCCTGATGCCTCGTATGCAGCAATCAAAGTTGCCCGGTGCTGGCCCGGTGCCCTGGTAAAGCAGGCTGTCAGAGCACAACAGGCAGGAAAAAAAGACAAACTCTGATCGACGGGGCCGCTTTGCGCCTCTTGGGACGTCCCGCTCTCTGAGTGCGTGCCCCGACGATGAGCCGTTCGCTCTTTGCACAGTCTCTTCTTTGCTAAGCATCCATCTGAAGAAGATCAACCTCACAGACAGGTGATCGTCTATAAAACTACTTGTACCGCATAAGCTTCACGATCTGAGATCTGAACGCCGTGGGACCCCTTGTTTATGTCTCCTTGTACGACTCAGTGCGACAGCCAAGGCAGTGTGCAACCATGGGCACTGTCATCTTCTCAGCTTACGCGAATGAGCAGCGCGATCTGAGATGGGTGTCTGTCTCGTTGTCTGCAGTAGCGCTGGTGCTGCTCACGATGCGTATGACGACCACATGGAAGAATCGTGGGTGGTTTGGTCTTGAAGACGCGTTTGTTATCGCTTCTACTGTAAGTTGAATCTAGGTACACTCAATCACGACCATGACTGACCGACAAGGTTTTCTTAATTATCTTTGCAGCGATGGTCTTCGCATCTACGCACTATGGCTTCGGAAAGCACGTGGTAGACATCAAGGCGTCGGGAGGCGATGTCCGAGAAGCTCTCAAGGTTAGTGGCACTTGGACGAGAAGGACTCACCCATACAACGAGAAGGATTCACCCAATTGACAGAGACCCTGCAGTACTTCTATCTAACAGTAGTCTTCTACACCCTCACAAACGGCATGAACAAATTCGCCTTCCTCATGCTCTACCACCGCGTCTTCCCCATTTCCGGCTTCCGCAAAATAATCTACGTCATGATGGCCATCAGCGGCCTCTGGACAGTCGCCTACCTCTTCGTCGGCATCTTCCAGTGCAATCCCGTCGCACGCGTCTACGACCGCACAATCCCAGGTACATGCATAAACTTCGCGTGGCATCGGTACGTCCCTTCCCCTTTGAAGAAAGGATTAGTCCAATTAGTGATTGACAGCTGGACGAACGCCATCTCCAACCTCCTCACCGACCTCATCATCTTCTTCCTCCCCATGCCGCTCATCCTCAAACTAAACATGTCCCTCGGCAACCGCATCGGCCTCGTCATCCTCTTCAGCATCGGCTTCTTCATCTGCCTCATCACCACCCTGCGCATGGCGACCCTCCCGCAGACGCTCAAGCTCAAAGAACCAACGTGGGAGTCCGCGCCGACAAATCTCTGGTCGTTCATCGAGGCGGCTGTGGGTGTCATTTGCGCGTGCTTGATTAGTCTGCGGCGCACGATTTCGAGGTTTTGGCCGCAGAAGTGGCGGAGTAATAAGGGTACGAGCGCGGGGTATTATGCGCCGTATGGAGGGGGGAGTACAGGTGGGAAGGTGTCGAGGGGGACGTTTGGGAGGGGACAGGCGGGGAGTTTTCATATGGAGGCGCTGAAGAGTGCGAGGAAGGAGGCGAAGGGGGACGCGGTGGTTACGTTGGTTAGTCGGAGTGAGTCGCAGGAGAGAATATTCGAGGGGATCACGGTGACGAAGGATATCCAGGTGACGAGGGATTAAGGCTATGAAAGACGATCTAGTTATTGTCAGGTGCAAAATTAGAGAGCAGCAGTATTGATCATTATACTGTCTATGATACAGAAAGACATCAGCAAGGATGTCCTCTGTGTGTGCTGCGAAAATCTATTGCTAAATGCATAAATGTTGTTGTATAATCCCGCCGAAACGCAGAGCATATTGGTCGCAGACGAAGTCGCTTCAGGTGAAACATCAAATCGGCTCATCGCGGGGCTCGATGAGAATTTCGTTCATGGCGACATGGTCTGGCTGCTTGAGCGCATAGATGATGGCGTTTGCTACATCTCCAGGATCCAAGACCTTGGCACCCGAGGGCTCGCCGAACTTCTCCAAGGCCTCTTTATCCGTCGACATGCCAAGCAGATCCGTCGCTACGTTACCGGGCTGAAGGCTTGAAATACGTAGACCGGTGCCTGCAGTCTCAACTCGCAGAGCCTGAAGCGTAGCCTCAACGAAGAACTTGCTAGCGGAGTAGACACCAAGACCAGGGAATACTTTGCGGCCTGCATCTGAAGAGATGGCAACGAAGTGACCCTTGCTGCGCGCGAGCATACCAGGTACTGTTGATGAGATACAGTTGAGGAGACCCTTGCAGTTGACGTCCACTGTACGGTCCCATTCTTCGGTTTGCACGTTCTTCATCATCGTGAAGTACATGACGCCAGACACTGAGATGAAGATGTCGATCGGCCCAAGTTTCTTCTCTGTCTCGGTGATGAGCGCCTGCACCTGCTCTCTGTCCGTGACATCTGTCTTTTGGCAGAGGACTTTGCCTTCACGCACAACAATGCGCTTCTTCAAGTCCTCAAGAGCATCGAGGCGTCGAGCAGCAAGTGCAACATGGCACCCTTCACGAGCCAGCGCCGTAGCGGTAGCGGCGCCGATGCCAGACGAAGCACCCATAACGACAGCCACTTTGTTGTACAGCGGACCCCTCTTGGGCAGCTGGCCAGTACCACCTGTTGCATTCGCGGTTGCTGGCGGTTTGGGAAGCCATCCACGGGCGTACCAATGGCGAGTGTATGTCTCTAGGAGGATCTCATCCACTTTGGGCCGCTCTACGGCAGCGCGGAACGGTCTAGTCTTTGCGTTGTCAAGCACGACGATGTCGCGGAGGAAATCGACACTAGGCATACCACTACGGAGTATGTCGATTGTGAATGCACCGTCTCCGCCCTTCGCAGAGCCTCGCTTGTCGTCCCACAGCTCAACCCACTTGTTGAACTCAAGCGGTTCCGTGGGGTAACCGAGATGGTTCAGAGTCTCGAACACTGCGCTAGTATCGACAGGAGTGGGGTCACCCAAGTGGAAGATGACCTGGTCCGCGTCTGTCTCGTTGCCTAGATGGACGATAGCTTTGCTGACGAAATCGACAGGAGTCATCTCAGCGCGCCAACCCTTGACGTTGGGGAAGTGGCCAATGCGGATGGATTCAACCATGAGTGCTGTTAGAAGATCCCAGGCATTTGATGCACCGGATTGGCTGTGGCCGCTAATTGTACCGCAACGGTGAACCTTGACTGGTAGTCCTCGCCGGCCCGCTTCCAGGACCAGCTGTTCAGCGACCCATTTTGTCTGGCCGTAGCCGTCTGCGAGCTTCTCTGGAACATCTTTAACGTCCAACATGGCATCCTCGGGCCAGCCTGCTTGTCCAGATGCGGGAGGCAACACTCCGTTTGTAGAGACATATTGAACAGTGGCCCCACCTTGGCAGGCAAGACGAAGGATCTCTTTTGTGCCGATAACATTAGGCAGTCGTAACGCAGCATAAGGATACACCAAGTTCACAGTTGCCGCAGCATGGACAATGACGTCGACGCGATTAGCGACGTCTGCGAAAACATCCGGGGACAGGCCAAAGCGCCTCCGCGACAAGTTTCCGGGAAGAATCTCCACACGCTCCATGATAAGATCGCTCCATAAGCCGAAATCGAGCAGGTTTCGTCTAATCCTTGCAATACCTGCAGGAAGGTCGTCCTGCGAAGCATCGCTAAAGCGCACAAGACAGATGATTTTGGCGGAAGTGCTGTCGAGAAGGTCGCGAAGCAGGAAAGCACCCAGGAAACCCGTCACACCAGTTAGAAGAACCGTGTTCGCGTCCTTTAGCGCATTCATCTTTGTATTGGTAGGCTGAATGTCCTTATCGAGCACAGCGTCAGCCCGCAGTACAGCAGGTAGGTCGGCTTGCACTGCAGCAGTTTGTCCATCACGGACAGATCGCACTGTGTCTAGATGACCATTAAGGGTGGCTGGATCAGCAAGCCGAGCGACTGGGATCTTCAGACCAAACCTGTTCGACAATCGAGCAGCAAGGTCGGCGAGTAACAGGGAGTGGCCGCCTAGATCGAAGAAATTGTACTCCGGCGTGATTGAGCTCGGCTGGATCCCGAGAATGGAAGCCCAGACTGAGGTAATTTGCCCAATATCAATGGGGTCCTGCTCGTATTGTGCTCGCTTTCCAGTCGGCGACTTCGTCCTCTCATTTGGCGGAGGAAGTTGCTTAAGATCTACTTTGCCTGACACCTCGTGCGTGGGCAATTCATCCATCTCTACCCATACATGAGGAATCATGTAGTGCGCAAGGTATGGCTTGAGTATCTGCCTAGAACTCATGCTACGACCTTCGTTGTCAACCTCGATATCGGGTCGTTCAGAGGAGGAGGCTTCTTTGTCCCGCACAAAGTATGCAACCAACTGTTTGTCTATACCCTCGCCATGAGCCACGACCGCACAACGACTGGCGGATAGATATTGTACGATTGCGTTTTCCACCTTTCCAGGAACAACAGAATAGCCGCGGAGTTTGATCATAGCTCCGACTCTTCCAGTGATCTCCAGCAGGCCTGATGGAAGCAGACGTGCCTTATCACCGGTCCTGTACATTCGAGCGCCAGACTTGGCACTGAAGGGATTCCGGATAAATGCCTTCTCTGTTGTCTCTGGAAGGTTGAGGTATCCTCGAGCAAGAAGATGGCCACCAACAAAGAGCTCGCCATTGCTACCGTCATCAACTCTCTGGCCGCTCTCGTTTAGGATGTAGATATACTTCTGGTCGATTAAAGGAGGGCCGACCGGGCAGTAGAGGGCTTTCGGATCAATCTTGTCGAGCATCTCCCGGATATCACCACAGGCGACTTCGTGGGTCTCACAGGCGCTATAAACGTTGAGCAAGCGGGCGTTTGGTAAGATCTTCAGACCACGGCGGGCAAGATCTGTGGTCACTACTTCGCCATTCAACCATATAGTCTTCAGATTAGGCAGTCGGTTGCCCAGGTTCTGATGTCGCGATAATATTGCTGCGAACAGTGTCGGTGTGAAGAGGGTTTCAGTGATCTTTTTGGAAGACAGCAAGTCGACAAGCATGCGAGGATCATAGCTCGCCTCGTCGGGAACAGCCACTACAGTCGCGCCGCGTAGGAGCGGTCGAATGCATTCCCAAACGAAGAAGACATTGCAGGCAACGCGGTCTCCTGGCTGGAGGTCTGACAGTCCGAAGCGAAGGTCATATGAGAGAACAGCTGCTCTATGAGAGTTTGCGATGCCCTTGGGCTTGCCTGTGGTCCCACTCGAATAAGCAACAAAGCTTAGTTTTTCGAGATCGGTCTCTGCGGGCAAAGGAGGAAGCTCGCTCTCTTGTACATGGCCGTTGCTGTTGGCGGCCTCTTCGTCCAGGCTAATGAGGGGAACTCCTTGCTTAATCTTGCCGACTTCGGCGCGTACCGTCACAACAACCACCGGGCGGGCATCGTCAATGACATCGGCTAGCAGATCCGGGGGATATGCAAGCTCGAGCACCAAAAAAGCACCACCTGCGCGCAAAGCAGCGAGACAAGCGATCACGTAGTCAGCGGACCGGGGTAGGAGAACGCCGACCAAGCTGTCGCGACCAACGCCATGGGCTCGGAGGCGGTCGGCTAAAGCTGCGACCTTTTCGTGGAGCTCAGCATAAGTATAGCTGTGCTTGTCGTCTTCTAAAGCAACAGCATCTGGAGTCGCCTGCACTTGTTTTGAAAAGAGCGCCGAAAGGTCTTTCGTCGTGTCGATGATGGGCATGTTTTGGCGGGGGTAGTAGTGTGAGGTAGGTAGATGCCGACTGGGCATTTTGACGTATATAACCCACCACGTCGCCCCCGCAAAAGCAAGGAACCTCGATGTCAAAATCGGTGCACCAGCTTTGACTGTTGAGACGCTTGACCAGTAATGTCGTTCGCTTATCTCGGCGGTTGCTTGGTCTAGGGCTCGTTCGCTCTAGTGTGACTTTTGCCGATGACGTTATTTCGGTTGGCGTCGCCTTTGACGGAAGTCGGAGCCTGATTGAAACACGAACAATAACGAGGACGCGAATGGAAAGTTGCCAGTTCGTAAAAGTCCCGGGTGCGTAGGAGAGACGGCGTGGGGGAGGAAGAGGTGAACAAACGTGAAGGCTTGGCGCGTGCGGACAGCCGTTCCGTTCCTCTAGCGGCAAAGCGGACCGACCTCTGTATCCTCTACAAGATGTAGGAACCGTTGTTGACTTTAGAGATAAGAGGGTTGTATATGTACTATCCAGTGAGCAAATCATTCGGTGAGCGTCCCGAGGCTATGAAAGCTTGATGTTGGACCGAGCGGTCTTGCGCAACTGTCGATATGGAGCGGTGTGCCTTGCCAACGCATCACGATAGATACATGCGTTCACTTCCTTTGGCTTGTGAGAACGTATAGACGTGGTCGCAAATGGGTCAATTCGCTTTGGGTCAAAGGTCGCGTGGGCTGGTTCGCACAAGATACGCATGTCGGAAGCCGCAGTTGTCGTGGCAGTGCCACAGCATGCATTGGTTCCGGTACACCACATTGCATTGGTAGAAGGGCAACACGGTCGAAGCACAGAGGGTTTTGCAACGGCTGAATGGATGATATTGATAAGCTTGAAGGCTGTCTGCTATATTGTTAGCTAGAAAGTACGCCAGTAGGAAGCCAACCTCTTCTCGGTGGCAGCTTTCCGGCTTTCCATCGTTCAGATAAGCTCACATAGCTGCTTCTTGCGAGCTGTGTATCCGTTGACGATCGAGGAAGGTGCGACCGAAGGGGCAGCTGTGGCAAGAGCTTAGCGATAACAGAAGCCCCTCTCGTAGCACCGGTCGCGAGCCTTGGGAGAGCTCGACGGCTATTGCACACTCCGAAAGGTGTCGACAGAGTGAAGTGGAGGAGAGATGGAGTGAGGTTCAATTTAGCTCTCCATGTCTCAACAGAACCGGGTCGCTGTTGGCTGGTCGGCCCACATTGACCCCGCACGTGCACCCTTACCTCCTTCCTCGGGGCTGAAGTGGCCCCACGTGTCTTGCCTCGACACATCCAACATCCAACATTATCGAATACAGAACACGGACCTATAGGATAAAACTAACGGATGAAAAGCCCTCAAACAGCGAGATCATGGCCCCCATTCATCATGCGCACACCGAGTGCTGAACGAAGATTCGATGGATCAAGGTCAACACTTCAGGACATGACCTGTGTGTAACACTGAAGGTGACGTATTCGAGGTTAGAGCACTTCAAATCAGAAGCAAGAGATGACATCCACAGATAGACTAGAGCTTGTGGAGGTGTAAGCACTCGGCCGCGTGGCGCTCGGGTCGTCGGGAAGCACCACTGGATATCGAAGCGAGGACAGCCTAAAGAGAACTCGACTTAGGTTCAAATGCCTTCACAGTGTTGAATTGCTGCAGGATGAGCTCTCAAAATGGCGACTACAACCTTGCCATTTCACCTCAGGATTCGCTACCAAACGTGCCATCCTTCTGCTTGAACAACCGGTACCTTTTTCCGCCCCCGCATACGTACTGCTCATGATGTTGCCGCTGGCATGGCCCGGGAATACACTCGTATCCACGACCCTCAACCCCATGATCGACTGGTCCTTGCCATCCATGACCTAGACGATCGTTGGCCACTTCGCCCGTAGCGGCTGTGCCAATCAAGTGGTACTAAGTCGAGATATGGTTCTTCACCCACCATCTGCTCTTCCGTCTCTACCGTGTTTCCTGGCGGAGGTAATACACACTCGGCTAGGAATTTTGCGACCAAGATGTGCTTCAACACCTCATCGAACCATTTCCGACCTGTTGCAAGGATCTTTGCGTCAGTTCCGTGACGTAAGTATCAAGGGTCAATGACGGGAGGCCTTGTTAGGTCTGGAGAGGAGATGTGTACGCTGCCCCGGGGGAGCAGGTGTTCGAGGAAGGCCGACAGAGAGAGTCTGTTCTTGCAATCAGGTGGTGCGCTGGAAGATTCGGCTTGCAAATGACCAGCGCTGACACACAGCTGGCAGGGGATGCAGAAGGGTTGTAAGTTCGCAGAGTTGGGTCCACTAGCTGAGGGTTAATAACCTTCGAAGTATTAGTGCCGATCTGGGCGGGGTTTCCACAGTATCGTACCTTCTCCTGCGCCTTCTTCAAATTCGTCCTCGCATGGCTCTTCTTGTCGACGTCCTTGATCGTCTTCCGAAAGCTGGTAATCACCGACTATGCTGGCATAGCTTACGAACCCCATCAATATCCCTGGACTGCCATATGGACCATCGTGCGTCTTCTCGTACATAGCCGACTGCATTTTTGCATGATCCTCATCGAGCAATGCATTCCTGCTCTCGTTGCCATTCTTGGGGCGTCAACTGTATGCAACCAGCTATACTCGGGTCGGCCAATGAGCGAAGGAGACAGTGACGGCGTGGATATCTGCTTGTCGACCATACGTTTTGCCCTGCCTCAATCCGACTTTCACAGTTCACAGAGGAGTACTCCGCGAGGCGTGCGGCGACCACGAGGCCGGCTGTGGTTTCGCCTATCACTACATAGTCGTAGTGTTGGGAGATGAACTCGTTGAGGGCGCTCGAAGCCGGTCGAGATGTCATTGTTCAATCGCAACTTCTCGAATGCTCAATTTTCACACGCAAATTACGCGTCTCCTTCGAGGATTCCGCATCCAGACCAAACCATGCTCACGCGTTCGTAAACCCGTCTGCTCATCGGAAGGCCGCCGGTAATAGCCTACTTCCATCGTGCGGGATGGTGTCGGCGCTGGCACTGGCGACCTGCAGGTTGCGGGAGAGGCGCAAAGGGTCGGATCGCACGGCGTGCGGGACCCTAGTAGGCGAATAAAGTCGCGATGTCGCGATATGGTCCAGCGTCGCGTGTTGTGCCGGATCCCGACCCCAGGCGTTCGGTCTGGGAATATATAACTTCGCTTGCCGGTCCTTGCGTTCCATTAAGATGCCGGGTCGTTCTTCGGCTCCATATTCGCTAAACGTCAATTTAGACGTCTCTCAAGATAATCGCCACTCATCCTTCATGCTGGATTGACTGGACGCGGAAACACATCAAGGTCGCAAAGAGAGTCGACAGGAGGGAGCACCAAACAAATGGAACATCATTTCTGAAGCTAAAAGAGCTCTACGAACTCCTTCAACATCAACAAAAGCATCGTAACAGATGGAAGAGAGGGATGTCGGTTCTATCTCCATCCAAACGCCTACCCTTCCTTCTGGTGGTGATTTGCTGACCCCCACGTCGCTGGAAAGGGCAAGGTGCATTGCAGAGCTCTCTCAAACACCCCTTGATTACTGCGATTACCCTAAGGCCGGTTTCGAACATTCCCGAACATCGGACAAAGCTTTTCGCAGGGTATAATAGCCCTCAAATATTGGGAGGGACGAAGTGACGCGTCGCTATGCACTGTGCCGCCCCGCGGACAGAGACAGGAGCACTGCATACGACTCATATGATCACGGGAACTTTTCGCACCAGTGTCATGAAGGATGGACCGACAACCTGACGACACATTGTGGCATTTCACCGGGTGTTCTTGGCGATATCTAGATGGTGGTTCTTGCAGAGGTCACCGGACGCGCATGTCGCGCCCTCCGCACCACTTTGCCGTAAAGCATGAGCAAGCATGAGGCTAACATTTTCCAGCATTGATCGAGTTATCGATCTACTTCAGCAGTTCTTTTCACTCATGGAAGAATTAGTTGATGGGGTCCGTCGCACATCGTCATCTCGTCCAAACACTACCAATAGTATTGTGGGCGATACGCCAGTTACGGAGGCTATGATCAATGCTTATAGAGTAGACGACCCATGTTTCGGTGGCGCGAAGCGTTCAACTTGATGCATTTCGCAAAACCTCCGAGTCGAATCGCGTCATGCCACAACACGTTGAAACGTGCGTGAGCAGCTCAGACAGCTTGGCAAAAAAACCCACTTAATGCTCCACCCAGGGTCATTATTGGAGGAGAAACAGAACAATTTGTTCGAAACTTCGCTTTCCCGAAATTGGGCTAGTTTTGTGGAGCTTCCCGCCTCCCGATCTCACGGCAAACCCTGGTCAACACCACGGCTCGAAATGAACAGGAGCTCTCCGCCCGGTAGCGAGAGGCAAAGCTTCGCAAGATGGCGGAAGGCCAAGAAAAGCCAAGAAGACGGTGCGATCGCGAGTTTCAAGCACAACGTACTCGTTCGGATGGAGAACACAGGGATGCGTATTGACATGCGCAAATTGGGATGAGTAGCATGACAGCGAGCTGTATAAAGACGAAGGCGACGCCAGGTTAGAAATGCCACTCTTCACCGAGCACACTCACTTCATTCGTTCTTACACATTCGCTTTGCTTGACGCAATCCGTTCTCTTCAACCATCATCTTCTTGAACCGCTTGAAACTTCCAATCTTTTCAACCCCAAAACCAACCACCTCTATCACAATGAAGGCTTCCGTCGCTGCCGCCATCTTGGCTTTCACTGCCTCTGCTACCGCTAAGGGCCTCTTCAACAAGCGCGCCGACTTCCCCATCCCTTCATCTGCGGGCACCGTTACCTACGATGCCGCTGAGGAGATCTCCGGCACCTTCGATGGTGGCCTGAAGACCTACGGCCGTGGTGTTTCCTGCACTGGTCAGGACGAGGGTGGCGACTCTGACGCTGTCTTCATCCTTGCGGACGGAGCTACGCTCAAGAACGCCATCATTGGTGCCGATCAGATCGAGGGTGTTCACTGCGAGGGTTCTTGCACCATCGAGAACGTTTGGTGGGAGGCTGTCTGCGAGGGTAAGTTCTTCTCACTTCTCCGTCTAATCTACATAGTATTGACCATTCTATAGATGCTCTCTCGCTCAAGGGTGATGGCGATGCCACTGTCACCGGCGGTGGTGCTACCGGTGCTGAGGATAAGGTCATCCAGCACAATGGTGCCGGAACTGTCACCATCGACGGCTTCACCGTCGTCGACTTCGGCAAGCTCTACCGCTCTTGCGGAAACTGCAAGGAGAGCGCCGAGCGCCACGTCGTCATCAAGAACGTTGTTGCTGAGTCTGGCAAGCTCCTTGCTGGCATCAACAGCAACTTCGGTGACACTGCCACCATCTCCGGCACCTGCGCCACCGATGTCAAGGCCGTCTGCACTGAGTTCGAGGGTACCACCCCCGGCAACGAGCCTGAGGAGACTTCTTCCGGCCCTAGCAACGCTTGCATCTACACCGAGTCTGAGGTTGCTGCGTGCTAGACGGTGAAGTGAGCGGATGAGCATTCCATGGAGTTTGGGATGTGTCAACAGAAGGGTTGCGAGCCTTTCGTGCGAGTTCTTGTAAATATACATTCGACGCACATGCCGTGCATGTAGATATCTTATCAAAGCCATTTTGCCAAAGTCATCATTCTCTAAAGATGTGCACATATGAGTCTTAGTGAGTCTTTGGACTCTTCGCGCGCTCAACAGCGATCTTTGTAGCCTCATCAATGTCTTCCTGTGGCAGCCCCAGCAGCCTATTCAATGTGCCCTTCCCATGCTCAAAATCACCACAGCCATCAGGGAAGAAGACTCGGGTGTACATCACCTTACCAAAGCCGGACCACTTTCCCTCCTTCATCTCCTTGAAACCTGTATCGAACCTGCCTTGAGCGTCCTCATTCGTTACCGTCCACCCGTCTCGCTTGCTACCAGTCACTCGCAAAACCGAGGCGAACATATCTTCCTGGTCCACCGAGAAAGAGCTGACGTATACCACTTTGTTCCTGAAGTTGTCAAGGCATGCCTCAGTCTCTGACTCAATGGGCAAGCTGAGCAATGCGGCGACAGCGCGACCGATCTACCACTCCTCAGTTCCTACTTCTTCTATGATTAATTCCCGAAACATACCTGAGGCCACGTCGAGGTAGAAACCTTTGTCTTCCCCTCATCAAACAGCGTAACAGCTTGATTATTCAGATCGAAACCATAAGCGCCCGGATTCGCCAGCGTGTACTCGTACCAGAATCCTGTCACAACAGATATGAAAGAGCTCTGGCCCAGCTTCTCGATGGTTTTTCGTGTCGCAACTAGTACATAGTAAGTACGGCCCGTACCACGAATCACCTGTTTTGTATCTCTCACCTTTTGGTTGAAACATCGGGACATCCCTCACAAGCTCCTCGTGTGCAGTGTCCGGCGACCACTCATTCGGCAGGATCCACGGAACTCCTGCCTCACCGGCCGCTCTCACCAGTTTCTCCTCGATCTCTTGAATTGCTGCATGACCGCTTAGGGTGATGACAAGGGCATCGTGACCTTTGAGTGCGTAGACGAGGGAAGAGTGGGAGGAGTAGTCGACTTGAGCGACGGATACGCCATTGGGGAGCTTGGACTGGGAGTCTGTTCGTGTGATTGCCGTGATGGTATGTTTTCCGGTTTTTAAGAGAGCTGAGGCGATGAAGGAGCCGACGTTGCCGCCTGCCTGTTGTTTTGGTTAGGATAGTGGATCTGGGCAATCGGGTAGTATGCTCGACGGTGGTACTCACACCAACGATGGCAACTTTGCTGATCTTACTCGACGACATTCTGAACACAAAATAACGAACAGTTGCAAAGATCTCAAGCACCTTCAATTGCTTTCAATCTATTCAATTCAATTCAATTTTCGATCTTCACTATATGTTAAAGAGTCAACATTGCGCGGTGTTAACCTTCGGAGTTAAAGTCGTTGACGTACACGCGCTACCGTCAGGGTCCTGGTTCGACCACAACCAGCAAAGTGTACGCAGTGATGTGCCACAAGCCTCAGTCAAGATCTTACAGCTCTCCCAAACCCCCTACCATAAGCCCCATCACTCAAACACGGGCGGCTGGAGCTCAATCAAATTCCCATCCGGATCCCCCACAAACGCACTCTGCATCACCCCCGTCCTCACATCCCTAAACGCCTCCACAATCGCTTCCAGCTCGCCTTCTTCCAAACTCCCTATCGCTTCAACCCCAAGCCCATACGCATTCGCTAGCTCATTGTTCGTCACATCCGTCTCCTCGCCCGCACCCTTAATCACCCTGCCACCCCACGCAGCAATCCGCCCCTCTGCCTCTTTCACATCAGGCACAACCAGTCCGAAATGTGAATATGTATTCGGCTTCTTCATCGCCGGGAGCGGATGGTTTGTCGCGCCCTCCAGATGGATCAACTCAATCAGTCCCTTAACTTCGTTCTTTCGTTGCGCAAATTCCGCGCATGAGGTGAAATTCGCGGTGTCGTGGCCTAGGTACGCAACGTGATATTTTGGGATGGGATTGTAGGTGAAGATGTGCTGGAGGCCGAGGGCTTGGGTGTAGAACGTTAATGCTCGCGTGAGATTGGGGGTGACGAGGGAGAGGTGGTTGATGCTGTAGCCGTAGAAGGCGGGCTTGAGATCGCAGGATGGCGGGAAAGTGAAGGAGTTGGTGTGGGGAGGAGTGGTGTTCAGTCCTGTTGTCGGCATGTTGGCGAAGGCTGTTGAGTAGAGACAGGCTAAAGTGCCGAATAGTACGCTGGTGGGTACCATGGTAGGTTCGCTTTAAATGCTGGTCTCGAATCGTAGTCGTGGAGTAGTACAAGCTTAAGTCGGATCTTGGATGTGAAGTAGAAAGGCACATCTATTGTTGGGTGAATGGTTTTGACCATGCAAGTTGCAACTTTATTGACTTTTTGAGCATGCCGAAGAATAGGCAGTCTTCCTCGAATACTCCATTCTTACGGCCGCAAGTACAAGGAAAAGGCCACAACCAGAAGTTGGGGGTGGGGGCCAAAATATCTTAGGTAGTCCACATTAGGAGAAAACTTAACAGGTTCTCACACTACAACGCCATAGTCGTCGAAACACTTGGGTAGTAAGCTGCCCAGGCCCGTCAGACTGTACCATTGTGTTTTTGGTTCTTGCGCTTCGATCATTCTTACCTGCGATGAAGCTTCTACTCTAATCAGAAAGTGGCAATTTCAGGATGAGAATCATTTCCGCAAGGCGTCGAAATGCCTCATACAATGTAAGTGTATAGTTCATGAGCCACTTTCGCCATGCTCAACACATGCAAGACGGTCGTAAGCAGTTTAGCTCCGCGCCACATTGCACCGCCCCACCCCCGATGTCCCGCAGCTCGCACGTCCTCACCGACTCTCGCGTCACAGCCACGACGGAACCCTGCAGAACCTCCAGCTCTCCACAGACGCGATTGTTCACCGTGAGATGGGCCCGCCCAAATGCAGCCTACAATTGCGATAGTGCGCCATGACGTATTGGCCCATCTCCACGCCCTCCGTGTTTGCGGCCACCAAGGAGACGAGAACCCAACCAACTCCATTGTCACACGATGGCGCAGATGACGCGACAAACAGTTCGGTCGCAGATCCGGAGGAGCGCACAGAGAGTGAAATATCAGAGAAGTCGGAAACAGGGAATGGGGTAGAAGAGAGGGATGCCGTCGCGCAATTGCATCCACAACGTCCCCAAGGGAGCCAACATCTTGCCGAAGATGACATTACCGGCGAGATCCTGGCTATCAAAATCACCAGGAGTGGTCACATGTTTGCGACCATAACACGGTCAACATTGACCATTTGGCAAACCAAGGCATGTCTTCAAAGCTATGCGCCCACCCAATTGCTAATGCGCGACCAGCCGACAACCGTCCTTGCTTCCGTCCTCCGCTCTGATAAATCATTGAGACAGTACGGTCCGAATGTGAACATCCTCCTTCGTCCAGACTCGCAGATCTTTGTCGTGCAGACCACACTCGGGCATCTGATCACGTATTCTACCGCCACCGATCCCTCATCGCGCGTGTATAAGGCACAATTCGTGCATACTAGCGTCGGACATGCTCGAAACAAAAGCTCCGTGAGCGGCTTCAAGATACCCAGGCAACATGACCCCAATGCCGGACCAGGCGAGGGCAGCGGCATCAAGGAAACCGACCTCAAGTTCCGCATGGTGATAAGAGTTGATGCTGGCATTGATCGGGTGCTTGCGCTCGACGATGAGCTCATTGTGGCTACGACGAAACCGGCCGCGGTTCAGTGCATCAAATGGGCTCCGGATAGCAGCGGGAGCCAGACGAACACTGAGCTCCTAAGTCGGATGACTTGGTTGAACAAGAATGTGGCCTTGATTGACATGACCCATGACCGGCCCATGAATCTATCTGCATGGATTACGAGCGATGGCAAGGCGTACGCTGTACAAAGGCTTCCACCGAATACCTTGCAAGACGGCAAGTCGCACCCTAAGCTTTTCCGTGGTCATGCATTCCACAGTCCTGAGAAGGATGATGAATTCGGTGTCAAGGCAGCCATCAATGCACGCTTCTCATTGCTAGCGGTAGGCTGCAAGAATGGAGAGATACATGTGTATACAGCAAAAGATTACAAGGGCGATATACCACTTTCGCATAAGCTGATACCGAATGCAACGAGTACCGGAAAACTGACCGTGTTGGCCTACTCTCCGGACGGATACTGCCTCTTTGCTGGCTACGAGAATGGGTGGGCTATGTGGAGTGTGTATGGAAAGCCCGGTGCTACGAGCTTTACCACTAACAGAACCTTGTCCGAAGCGAATGATGAGGGATGGCTGCTCGGTATCAGAGACGCTTTCTGGATTGGCGGTGGAGCTGAGCTCTTGCTGTTAGGGAACAACGACAACCGACTTTTCGTGCTCGAAATGGCTCGTAGCGCAGTCACTGGGTGCTTTTCTTCCGCTAATGTGTCGCGATCTTTGATGCAAACCAGCAAGGGCTTCATGATGTATCGCGGTTACGAATTGCCAGACCTCACAACCATTTCTTCTGATGTCTCACTGTGGCATCACGTTCAAGTCCCTTCTCACTATCTCATCGACCAGTGGCCGATTCGATGCGCGGTCATCTCGAATGATGGCAGATACGTTGCTGTTGCTGGAAAAAGAGGACTTGCTCATTACAGCGTGAACAGCGGACGGTGGAAGACATTTGACGATCCGTTCGTCGAGAATGAATTTACCGTTCGTGGAGGCATGTGCTGGTTTCAGCACGTCCTTATCGCAGCCGTTGAAGCGCAAGACTCACATCAAGTAAGGACCTGTGAACTGGCACCACCGGAAGATCCTAACGTCGATTTTAGATTCGCATCTACTCCCGCGAGCAGGCTCTCGACAACGATCATATCATGCACATTCAATATCTACCTGCACCTATTGTACTAATTGCGCCTTCAGGCGAAGATTCACTTCTAGTCTATACTTACGAGAACATTCTATATCACTATGTAATTGGCGTTACGAACGCCACAGTCACCTTGGTCCAAGTTGGCCAGATAGCTTTGCACGGCATTATACGTGCACCGCCACGAGTGCGTGCGCTTAGTTGGATCCTGCCAGAGGATCAAATTCGTAGGTTCGCCCAATGTGCCTTATTCGCGCAAGGCTGACGAGAAGCAGACAACGGCGATCCATCCCAAGACGTAGCTGTGGCGACCATTTTATTTGCCGTAGACGGTAAGCTCGTCCTCCTCCAACCCACCACCACGGAAGGCGGCGAACTCAAATACGAGATGCGCATCATTGCTCAGAATGTCGAAACGTACGCACTCATGCGCGATCACCCGGCGTTCGCGCTAGCTATGCAAGACGACTCTTTACCGCCTAGCCCATCTGCAGGGCTGACGATCAACGGTGTGCATGGCCACGATCTGCGCGACAGCTTATGGTTCTTCGATGGTCATGATGTCAAAGTTTGGATCGACATACAGGACGTACTGAGGACTGTGAGTGCAGAACTGGGTAGGGAATTACCTACGCCCGTGAAGATACCAGTGGACTTTTACCCGCTGGCCAGCCTGATCAACAAGGCTATCATCTTCGGTGTGGAAAGCGAATTGGTGCAAAGAAGAGACACGAGTTTCGCGTATCTTCGCTTCGGAACGAGAATGCACCTCTTCCTTCCAGCGCTGCTCAGACACCACCTCGCGCAGTACAACCACCCCGCTGCGCTCCACTTGAGCCACCACTACCAGCATCTCCTGTACTTCCCGCACGCCCTCGAGATCCTCCTCCACGAAATTCTAGACGAGGAAGTAGACTCCCAGCCCGCTGCTGAGCACGCTCTACTCCCCTCCGTGCTGTCGTTTTTGTCCAGCTTCCCCCATTACCTCGACATCGTCGTGCAATGTACCCGCAAAACAGAGCTACGCTCATGGCGGACGCTCTTCTCCCATCTCCCTCCCCCAGAAGACCTGTTTGAGGAGACCCTGCAGAAGGGGAGTCTAAAGACCGCGGGCGGGTATTTGCTCGTGCTGCATACATTCGAGGAGTTGAGGACGGAGGGCGACCAAGTTGTCCGCCTCCTCCAGCGCGCAAAGGAGGAGGGCGACTGGGAGCTCTGCAAAGAACTCGCGCGCTTCCTTATGGCGCTGGATGAGTCGGGGGCTACGTTGCGGAAGACGTTGGAGCTCGTGGACCTCAAGTCTCCTGGGGCGGAGGTCGGGACGCCTGCGTTTACGTTCGATATGACGAGGCTCAGCGTGCCCAGGAGGGGGCGGCGCACGAACGGGGCGGTGGGAATGGGCATTTCTATGGAGGAAGCGGAGAGTAGTGGGGAGAGTAGTGCGAGTAGAAGCCCAACGAGTGCGGTTAGTCCGGGGAGAGCGCGGGTGGGCACGGGGGCTATTTCGATGTTGTGCCTGGGGATGGACGATGATGTAGATGTTGTTCGCAATGCGAATCTTCTTTTTGGACGTAGTATGCTGAGCGGAGGATGCGTTTGTCGTGCTTAGGTGAGCGCTGTTGTGTTTGGGCTTGTACCATTTGGCATCGGTGAGCTCTTTGTGTGTTCGTAGGACAACCTGCACGATGACTTCTCAGTACACCTCGTTTCAGGCTGTGCCTGGTGGATAGCCGTGTTAGGCTTCGTATCATGGAATGAAGCCCAAAGATATCAGCTATCCATATTGACGCGCGTTTTCACCTTCTCGGCCAATGCTACAGTACGACGGCTTGTGTCAATAGAAAGTTGAGCTGCTGGGTCCAATGGGAACAGTGCCAGTTATGCGGAGCTTTTCTGGATCCGGATAAAGAAGCGGTGGCAGGGCTTTTGGGGTAGGTAGTACAGGTAGTACAGCACACGAAGTCAACACGAGGGTCGCTTCAGCTGGTGCTGCTATGTAGGGAGTACGCGTCGTGATGCAAGTTGGAGCACTCTAATGTTTTCATGTAATTGGTTCTTGCGAACCAACCAGTGAAGCCTGTGGCCTAATTCGATATCCCAAGCAAGCTCGGCAGTTGTGGCACGGAAACAGAAGCCACGAGGTCCCTCCATGTTGCTATTCACCGCGTAGGAGTAACCTCCTTCATTCGAGTTCACCAAGCACATGTAGCAAATTCTATCATGGCCACATCCAAGCCTTCCCTGGAATTGCGGTGGCGTACTTTGTGGAGGTAGGCGCAGGCCTTAGTAAATCGAAGGGGAGTATTGATTGGCCAGGCTAGCGATACGAGGCGTTTGCTGCACCGCTTCTCGAGATGCAGCTGGCGGTGTAGGTCCCTGCATTACTCCTTCGATGGCTGCTTAGTCGGCGCCTGGGGCGTCAGCACTTCACGTGCCTGTAACACAGTGATTGAGACACAACCGTCCGGTCAAGATAGATATCTTCGACTATGCATTTTCGTGTACTGTAAAGGGTACCAAACGTCCCAAGTGCCTCGCTTTCGTTGCGCGCCATGGGACCAAACGATCGCACCACTTCCCTGAAGACCAGCGACGGAGCCATACAATCTCAAACATGACGTTGGCTCTTTGGATTGTAGTCCATTGCCTTTTCAGAACGAACCAATCCCTAGCCGTGTGTCGCCCGTTGTGGCCCCCTGCGCTGCGGAGAGCCAAGGGCCGCGACACTGCCACTCTCACCGTAGCCGTGCGATCCCCAACACAAACCGCGCCCCCTACCGTCGCTGCGCGATTTGCGTGCATGACGCACGATGCGATGGTTCGTATTCAGATCTAGCGGAGGCCTCTTCTGCGCCCGTATATATCAGGCAGTGAAGACATATGTTGGCGTAGCAAGCGCATCGCACATCAGTGAACGTTGTCTTAACAGATCACATCTCTTTGCACTCGGCATCAGCCTTACAATCTTACAAGTCCTTGGTGTCCGCCTTCTTGCGTGGTAAAGTCCGATAAAACGTGGGAATACCGTTGTCGGACATTTCACCATGACGGCCCCCTCGTCGCAGATGCCCCTCTTTAGCCTTAGCGAGCCGCACTTGCAGGCCAGGCCATCCTTCTCGCCTGCCGCCTCGAATCCGCCATATACTTGGCCGACTACGGGCAGAAAGCGTACGCACTTCTCACAGTTTGCGTTGTTCCTATTCTCTGTACGATTGTGTGGTTTGGTTCGGATTCATATGTGAAGGCTAATAGAGGTGGTGCAGGTTCACTACACCCTCGGCAGTCAATGACTTCGCCGCCCAATGAACGTAATGAACGCAATGGAGCATCGGATGGGTTGCTTTTCATCACGGGGACGTCGCTTGAGGATTTCAAGTCGACGAAGAATATGACGACTGTGAGGAGGAAGGCCATGGGCAGTTATCTGAAAGAGAAGAAGCCACGTGGGGCACAGAAAGAGCAGCAAGGGGGACTAGGAGAGGACTCGTCAGGTTCACGGTCGAGCGTTGGCAGTGATCAGCAAGACATCACCTCTAATAGCGAGGCAATACGACTCATGAATGGGGACGGCAGGACGAAATCGTCACAGAGCACCTCGTTCCCACGCAGTCCGAAGACACGTACAAGAAAAACACCAGAATCGCAGGTCTCGCGACTTCCGAGAATATCCATGGATTTCGTTCTCCCTAGCGCCCCCATAGTCATCCCTTCTCGGACAGGAGTACGTTTACCCTACGATGAAACGTGCCCGAAGCCATTCCAGTCGATAGGCAAGCCGCTCGATCCGTTTCGGACCATGCCCCAAGCGAGTCATCCGCAAGTTTCAGTAGAAGAGCTGAAGTTCCATTGTTCAATAAGCTTCGGCACTAAAGCAATGGGCATGTACTGGATACCAACACTAATCAAGTCTCCGCATGCCTTCCTCAGCACGCTCTGCATCGCGTCGGCGCACTACGATGCGGTCAACGAGCGGCCTTCCGAGAGCATCCAGACACTTGCGTTACGCCAGGAAGTCATGCATTTGATCGGCCAGAATATGCTGAATCCAGAGTCGCGAGAGGACGATTATAATGTCATCGCACTGACACAGCTGCTTACTAGTGAGATCATCGTTGGAGACAATATGCCTCTAGACTTTCATGAGAACGGCATTGAAAGAATGGTCACCCAAAGAGGAGGGCTCGAGCAGCTCGGCGTAAGTGGACGTCTGGCGTCTACATTGTCCTGGGTATCCCTAGAATGCGCCATCCTTCGGGAAGCGAAGCCACGATCACAATACATCGACTATGCCGCGGCAGCGTCCACAAGAAGCTATCCCAACACCGCAACTATTCCCGAATCCCCCTTATACTGCCCGCGCAGCGAGTTCGAGACCATCAAACGCTCGTCGAGGTGCTCGCCGCAAGCGCTCGACATGCTCAAAGACATCCGCATGAGGATGGATCTCTTCCTGCACGAAACGAAACAGAGCCGCCACAACTCGCTCTCGCTGAAGAACATTCACAAAAAGATCACCACGCAATACCCCCCCATATCACAGCTTCGAAAGAAGAGCGTTCTAACAGCGAACGACTGGCGCTACGAAGCAATCCGCATAACCGCGATACTCACCGCAACCGCAATAGCCCAACGAATACCCCTCTCCGAAGCACTGAAGCAAGTCGCAGAGGCAGAAAACCCCGACGCTTTAGATACATTCCTGTCAATAGCGACAACTACCACCCTCCGCCAAGACTTCACAGCACAACCCACGAACCCTTTCGCCCTCCCCACCACCCGCCTCTCCTTCCCCTCCCCGCAGCACTCAAACCCCACCACCTCCCTCCTCAAGCACCTCAAAACTGCGCTCGAGCACTCCAACCTTTCCGACTGCTGGGCCGACATGGCAGGCGTGCTCCTGTGGGTCGCGCTCACAGCCGGCGCAGCGAGTCGCAGGAACGAGAGCAAGGTGCTGAAGAAGTGGTTCCGGGCGCTGGCGGTGAGGGTGTCGATTGTGCTGTGCTTTGAGCATCCGGAGGCGATGCATGCGAGTATGCTTCGGATGGGGATTTGGTGGGGAGCGTGGGTTGGGAAGGGGAGGCGAGGGGGAAGAGGAGGAAGGAGTGAGTAGGGTAAGGGAAATTGTGGTATGGAATGTGAGCGGCGTTTTGGTCGGATTTCCTGGGAGGGGGTCTTAGGGTATTGGTACTGTTCTTTTGTTGGTGGTGTTCATGCGGGGGTCGGTGTTTTGAGTTTGTGCTGCATCTTGCTGCGATAGAGGAAGCACCCTGGTTTGGGTTTATGCATATATACGAGCAATGGGATTCGGGGATACCATATGTTTTAGATTCTTGAACCGCTTCACCATCAGTGAACCCTCCACTCCCTTGTGAAAACTAAAGACATGCTCGTGCAATGTGATTTACTTGAAAGCCTAGTTTTCATACCACCATGTCAAATAGTCGCTGACAAAACCTCGAAATATTGTTCTCCCAGTGTATCATGGCAAGCATTAATCCAGATGAATTCCCTTAGCCGAGCCCGTATATCAGTCCACTGAGCGCCCTTTGTCAATGTCGCGAGGTCGTCGTGCCAGCGCCTGCGGAGCCACTGTTCGTGCGGATCCAGCACAAATGAGACTACACCGACCATCAATATCCAAAGCGTGAGCTCCTGCAATCGTGGAGAGGAAACGTCGATGGCCTGACACAGTTGGTACATCCGAGACTTGGCATGTTCGTAGTGCATTCTCTGGCCTGGTGTAGCCCATGTAGTAGAGAGCAATACCAGTAACGTTAAGCGTAGGCACTCCTCCAATGTCGTGTCAAGCTGTTCTTCAAGTGAGAAAAGGGTACTTTGCGCAGATAAAAGTACATGATGGAATGTCGATTCTGGCACTGCGTTACCACTCCTCAGGGTAGCTTCATTGGCGTTCCGTGCTAGCAGCTGTAAGTCACGAAACGTTCGCGATAGCCTATAATCGAAGGGTCCCTGTATAAAATTTTCGAAGCTTGGAATAGTCGGTGTCTGATGATGTAAGGTTTTTGATAACGGCATGAATCCGCCAGCTAGAAGTGCTCTTTCAGAATAGATAGCTCCGGGCTGCCCTGTGCCTAGCGATAACTGCAAATCGAGCCTGTGACGCAGACAGTCAACAATGGTTGTTCTCACTCGGTAAGAGGCTGCAATGGGGTATACTCTTACCGGCTTATGCTTACCAACAGGTGCTGGTTATCCTGAAAGCTGCCCAAGCCCCCGCGGAGATGGATGATCTGTCGTAAACCTGCTACATGTGCAGATGAAGCAGTATAGTCGGACGGTATAGATGATGCTGCTCCGAGGTTTATTACTGTAGCCACGGTAGTGTCTTGGAGAGCTAGCGCTTGACTCGATAACATCTTGTTCAAGTATTCCACAGCTTTCAAAGCGTGGTACGTTGTACTCCTAGATGTTGCGCGCCCAAAGAGACTGTCTCTAGCGGCACAAGAAAGAGCCATGGCGGAATGGGCATAGGCAACGTCTTCTGTTAGCCATTCATGCCATCGGGAGGTTTTGATGTCGCGCTCAAAACCAAAATTAAACAAGGAACACATGCCCAGAACCTGAGGATGATCTGAGAAATCTATTGTTAGAACTCTGAGATAATCATGGAGCTACACTTTATCTAAGGTCGGGCAGTGGGAGACGTACAAGTCGAGAGTATGCCGAAGGTTTCTTGATCGGCGTCAATGGCAAAAGGTGGCACGAAGAAGGGTTGACGTATCACAGATGGCTGGGTGATACTGAAGGTCTCGGTCAAGGCGGGTGCACCGCCGTCCTCCGATTCACTCCGGCTACAAACATTCTTTGATGTACTCTTGTCTGTTTCGGGTTCGGGCGTGAGTCGGAAAAGGAAAAACTGCCTTCGAGCAGCTGGAGGAAGGGAAGCGCTCACGCGAGCGTCTACTGCCATGGGGCTAGTGATTTTCCTCTTCCTTTTGCGCATGACATGACTCCTGACGCGGCGTTGGTGGGTAGTGCTGAGCTTCCCGTGGCTGTTGCTGGGGACGAAGATTAACATCTCGAAGATACGGCGACCTCGCTTCGGCTTCTCTGTGTCCTTCGACTTGGGTAATGTTCATGATCACGAACGAGATAAGCTTGTGGATACCTATGGTATGCGCTCGGCTAGTTCGGGTTCCAGTGAGGTTGCCTTTCGTTCGGCTGGATCCTTGTCTGGTCAGCGCTTAGCCTAAATCGAACGCCTTGTTTTTCCTCTTTAGGTAAAGGCTGGCATGGTCCTTCATCCCATGCTAGTCGTACTGAGGGTGGCTGGAAATGCCAGCTACTGTTATTAGACTGCGACTCTTTACTCCGACGCGTATGCTGCAAGTTCCCTTCAACAATGGGGCTCCTGCCTCGACTAAGACGTTCTCTCTCCCCACTACGTTACAAGTACGATTCGGTGTCATATAAGTAGATACATTCTTATGCCGGTGTTCTTCGTATGGCAGCATCTAGGTTTTAGTCATTTCCCTACGTCGAGCCACCCTCCTGAATAACTCAATTTCACCCGACCTCCGAAAAGATCATGACAAGAGAGCACTGCATCAACGTCCACAGAGCATCTGCACCCTCTTCATGCCTTCTCGAAGTACACACCAACCACACTAATGACAGCACCCCTCACCCCTTCCCACACACCCCCGAGCACTCATAGCACCCCTTCTCACAGAAACCCGCCGCTGATAAGCCCCCCGTAAGTCCCATGTGGTAGATAGTATTCCACTCCTTGCCTCCGCAAGTATCGGTGCGTCCGCATGCCAGTTGGGCAATCTCACTTTGTGTGTGGTCTGGCGTGTGTGAGCGACGAATTGTATCAGGCTGATGAGAAGGGTTGAGAAGTTGGGGAGAGGGGGAACGTACGGAGCTGGTCGACGGCTTGCCAGCCGCAGAAGCTTGGGTAGCATGGCTGCGCGGAGGTGGTGAGGGTGGTGAGGGCGAAGGCAGCTAGGATGGGAGTTTTCATGGCGAAGTTTTGATAGATTTGCAGAGGAAGTGTCGATGCTACAAGCGAGTGTGGCTTTGAGGGGCTATCGAAGTGTGTGCGTGTGGTTGAGACTTGAGAGCGTGGACTTCTTAATCAAGAGGTCTTCAACATTTATATAACGATGCTTTCGAGCGCCTCTGAAAGGCTTGGTAGGTCTAACGTTACATCGGCGGTGAGAGGTTGGCTGAGGAACTCAGCTTCATGTTGAGGCTGAAGGTGGAACTCGGGTCCAGACAGTCGCCGACGTCGGGCTTCGCAAAATTACCAAGTACCTGGAACAGCTTTGGTAACTCACACGACGGATGGGCTCTGTGAACAGTTGTAGACTCGGTTAATTCCTAGATGCACATCCATCTCCATTTGTCCAAGACATGATTCTACCTGATCCCCACATCAGGAAATAAGACCTGGATCATCTCATCCAAAAGCGTGAAAGCAAGATGCGTATTCAAGCGGGGGGTTGTTCACCGTCGCCTCCAACTTCTTCGCCGCCATCTGCGCATTTGACCTCCCCACTACACTCGCTGCTAGTTCTGGGACCAACGTCGAAAGCAGCACACCTGCCTCCTTCCTGCTCTTCGCTCGGTCCTGTGCTGTACGTTCCACACTTTGCTTCATCTGCCCATTTGGCCACATGCTATCCTTCAGTGTGTCGATGTACTTGGCAATGTTGTCTTCTGACATAACGGTGTTAAACGAATCTCGGACTTTGCGCTCAATAGTGCCGCCGAGGAGTTGATGGAGAACGACTACGACGGCGCGACCGCGAAGCCAATTATTCTCGCGGTTGAGTTCGAATGTCTCAAGAAAGATGTCGCAAATGGGCTTCACAAAAGGCTCCAGTTCCTTGTTCTCGAACGCGAGTAACTCGGCTTCGGCTTCTGCATCGGTGGTTGTTTCAACACCAAGAACAGCCCCTGCTGCAAGAGGGGCAACAGGGGTTCCATTGCTGTTGGCGAGCTGAGTGGTGGCTGCTGAGATGAGGTTTTGACCGGCCACAGAGAGCTGGTCTAGAACAGGAATGTTGCCAAGAAATTCTTCCATGCCATCTGCCACAGAGCTATAGATACGAGATACAAAGTCGTTGGAGGTCGGTTGGCTTGATGCAGGGTCTGAGGCGGAAATTGCGGCTTGGGAGAGGAAGGAGCGGAATTCTCGACTGCGGCACACAGCTGGAATCAACAGCAGGTCCTAGCCGATAGTCAGTATGAAGAGAATAAGCTGGCACAGTCCACTTACGCGAAGATACTTTTCCAAACCCAATCTCCGCTTCTGCAAGAAATCCTTTTGCAGCTTCAACATCATCTGCCGCCGAGGGGAACTCCAGGTTACGGACTTGAGGAAACTTCGATCTCAGGCGCTTGTTCAAGTCATGGAACTCGCTGTACCTCCGCGAGACTACCCATGCAGCGGCGGGCATCTGATCACCGGCACGCTTTCGTACTTCGATGACATCTATAGAATTGATCAGTGATGTCACTTGGAGCACTTTCGAGCACTTACACATTGCGAACTCCTTCCCATCTGGCTCTGTACCCACCATAATCGACTGAATGAACACAGTCGCACGGCCATACAAGCTGTTGTCACTCTCTTGGACAATATATTGCTGCCTTTGTAGCTCCTTTCGATGAATCTCGCGTTGGAGACTAGACTTGGACTTTCGTAAGATGCGTAGCTCAGCAGCATTGTTCGTCAGCTCTGCTTTGGAAGTCAACGAGTCCACGATAGATTCTTGCGTGACTAAACGCTCGATGTCCGCTGTCAGCGCATCGATGGCCTCCGCTAAGCCAAGATCACCAGGGGCAGCCTCATGTATGTCTTCCTCTTCAGCAGCACGATGCGGATCCTCCGTTTCGTCTTCCAGAAACTTCTCTTCATCGCCGAAAAGATCGTCGATGAACACACCACGGGTCCTGGGCTCGCCCACCAGGCCCAGAGACGCTATACTCGGCTTGAGCCTATCTTTGCCGTGCATGGCCAAAGGGCCTGGAGAAATCGCGCGTGGGAGTTCCATGGATCCTCGCATAGAGTCGTTGTCTTGCGGGGAAGCTAATGTACTAATCTCTGAGAAGAGCGAGCCTTCAGGCTCGTCACCCATGATATCGTTCATCGCAACTGATAGTGCTTCTACAGCTCTGGTGTTATCGCTAGGCTGTCGCGAGAGGCCTGCATCGGTATCTAAACTTGCGGTAGAATTGGCTAATGGGTCACTGTCGTAGTCATCGTCAAATAGCGGTGCTCGAGCAGGTGCGCTACTGTCCAAAGATCGCCGTGGTGGTGGGTCCAGATCCAGACCTTTCCCAAGTGTCTTCAGGTCAGAAGATGATGCAACAGCCCGTCGAAGGTCGGGAATATCTAGTTTGGTGTTCTTCTGGGAGGACTGCGACCGGACCATCCGAGCGGACGCAACGGCTGAAGGGTTTTCGAGTGTTTGTGCAACCATCGTTGTGCTGACTGCACTTTTCTGCACAGTGGCAGCTTCATCCATGGCCAGCCATTTGTAGTAGAGGTTCGATCGCTTGAAACGTCTAAAGTGAGGTTCTTGGAGTCGATCGTAGACAGCAGTTTGGGCGTGGAGGAGTGAGCGTCGCGCATTATGATATTGTTCAGGTGTTGCAGCTCGACCAGCTTTAAGAAAGGTAGTCACAGCCTGACGCGCTTGCGGAAGGATGTCGAGCTCCGGCTGGGTCAAATATCCTTCGTTAATCTGTGCCATGTCTGTTCTGTCAGAATCAGTCCAGGCAGTCAATGAGCCACTGAGCTCAACAGGTTCATCGGTATCTTGCTCGAGCGGGTTTCGAATCCCATCGACTACTATCCAGAATTGTACCAATCGCATCAAGCCAACTTGGTCCATATACTCCATGAAGCACGATAGCCCCGCGGAATCGTACAGCACATCGCGCAACGAAGCATTCTCGAATCGCGACGTAGTTCTTTTATGCTTTGGCTTCTCTTGAGCTGCAACTTTGCCGCGCACCGACCCGCCAGCCTGTAAGTTATTAATCTTCTGATCCAAGATTCTCCTTGCAGTTTCCAAGCGACGCAGATGCACTGGATCTTGACCTTCAATCATAGAGTCTTTGCGCAATTGTCCAGATATTTCGCTCCGAAAGCGGCGAGCCTCTGCAAGTGTGTTCGTTTGTCTGATCGCTCGGACGAATCTTTCGAACTTCCGCTCGTTATCACCTGGGGCGAGCTTCGGAAACTGTACGTTCTTGGGAGTCTTCGGCGAAGGTGGCGCATGCTTGTCCAATTCAGCGCGCAACTTTCGCACGGTCTTTCGTTCTTGGAGCAGAGACCGACCCTGTGCATGTTAATTCGGATCCTTCTGAAGAGCAGACAAGCTTACATATCCTTCCATCAGCTGGTTCCATGTGTCTGGATCGGCAAGCATCTGCATCACGGGAGAGAGAACGGCGCAAGCCACAATTTCCTTGATCAGGACATTCACAGCGGGGCTCGTAGTCATGTTCTGAGGCATGACCTTGGGCAGCAGCCGAGCGACAATGCTGCGGAGGTGCTGTTGCTGGACGAGTTTGGTATTCGAATATGCCAGGGATGCTGCAGGATGCAGTCGACCTTCCTTGTACTTGGCTGCAATGGCTATATCGAGCTCCTCCGACTCGGTGACGTCGCGGGAGAGCTTTTTACCACGAACCACGCGTTCTGCTTCGTACGCAGCTCTCAAGTGTTCCGTGATCAAAGGTATCATTCGTGAAACGGCAATCTCTACCATGTCCACCGCCAGCAACCGGTCGCGTATCTCGCCCAGGGCTGCCCGCACAGCGCGATCGACTTCGTTCACAAACGTCGGACTTTTGCTAATGCTGCCATACCAGCTCTTGACAAAGTCGCGTAGTATCAATCCGAGCAGCACGTCTAAGCTGTCAGATATGACGAACGAGTCGGGGTATAGAGGCTCCATCATGTACGTAGAACGCTTCGTAAGGGCTGCCTTCTCCGCCTTCCACTTGTCTGGCGCCAGGAAGGCGACATGGCGCGGTCCATAATACACGTTCCCTCCGTTTCGAAGGTCCTTATCCCAAGCAGTGGTGAGCATCAGCCATGCTTGCAGGACGACGGTCGCGAGGACACCGGCGACGAAGGCGTAGGGCAGGAAGCGGAGGGAGGGGCTGTAGTGGGTCAAATAGCCCCAGGCGATGAAAACGGCGACGGCGGCGAGGACTACATCTCTGCGCTTCAGGGCCATACTCGTGCGGAGCGCGCCGCATGCATCTTGCAAGCGCTGGCCTGGTGTTGTCGTGTCTCGGCGTGGGATGCCTCTTTGCTCCGAGCAAGCATGCACGGGCCCTAGCTTCGTCATTGTTTGGGAACCCACACTCATCCCTCACAGAGGCTCACACCTTCAACCAGCCATCGCCCTGTGAACCGACATTGAATTATTCAGGTGACCGCCTTTGACGCCATTCAAAACTCAAGTGGTATTTGTGATCCGGATGCACGCCGAGACTTTCGCTTTACTTGCACATGTCATGTCATGTCATGTCATGTCATGTCGCCAGGAAGAGCACCACTTCACTAACACGAAGGTGGTACGAGGCCAATCGAGCAGGTCTGGTGCAGAGCCCTAGAACACTCGTATCGGATATTCAGATACACGGCGGCTTCCGACGTCTTCTGCTCCAGTCTCGGTTATGGTGCCCCTGCATTTGAGAGGCGACGGCGTCGCAGATCCCCCACGATATGTTCAGGAGACAGGCAGATAACATCGTACCAGAAACGCACAGGCATAATGCTCAGAGGCCGGGGTACAGATAGCGACTGTCCAGCATGGCTGCCATTCTGGCATCTTCCCCACGGTACGATGGCACCAAATGAACCCTCGACATGTCTTCTTTTCGGTGCTTGGTCGCGACGCTCATACACTCTTATCGAAGTCTCCATGCCCTCTTCTAGAGTTGAGGCGCCGGCGAACGTTAGACTTGTCTGTGTAACAAGCCACCAAAGTGCTTAATCCGGAGCATGCATGTGAAACAACGTGGGGTGGCGTTTTTTTATACGCGCTTCCGCTTGGTAGCGGTTATGGCAACTATGCGCGTCTGCAGAAAGTGTGTCTATGGGGAATTGTTGAATCTTGAGACATCCAAGCACTGGACGGATCGACGCGACATCAGCTCGATCAGTCGCAACTCCTGATCATTGTTTCAAACCCTTCTCCGCTGCATGCATTCGCCGCAGTCACGTCCTTGAGACCGTCTCCCGCGCACCGTTATGCTTGGGCCATGTTTGCTTTTTCCGCGGTGCCCAATTAGGGAGATAAGCATACGACACAGCGCACCTTGTAAACCGTATCTTCGAAGTACTTTTGCTGAATCCTTCGACTCAACAGGGCAATCTTATAACGCTCTCCTGTTCCGTGTATTCGTTGGTACATTCACGATGCCATCGACAAACCTTACAATCCTCCGCGAAGAGAATCCACTACTGATGTGACCATAATGGACACTGCTAGCATGGTTCAACTTGTAACGAGAGCTGCGTTGTCGGCACCTGCACTGCCTCACGAAGTGCAGGTCCTCAATGAAGCTATTCTTGCAGTGTCGGTCTTGAGTATTGCGGGCGCAGGATGGATCATTTTAAGTTTCTGCGTAAGTCAATGATCAGTATCGTAAAGGATATGGTGACTTATGTTGATCGTTCGCAGCTGTTCAAAGAAGTGAGGACGTTCCGCCATCAGCTTATTCTGGGGCTCGCGATCTCGGACTTCTTCATGGCCGTCAACTTCTTGTCATCATGCGCGGCAAATTTGATTGGTTATAATATCGGAAAGCATCAAGCATTCTGCAGCTTCAACGGCTTCATGACACAGTTCTTCGTCGTGCAGAGTACGTCTTCCGCCCGCAACAGTCCGTCAAACCTAACCTGAACAGCTGACTACTGGGTGATGACTATTGCGATCTGCACATTTCTGATTCTTGCGAATTACAAACATCAGGTGACCTGGATGCAAAAACACCGGATCCTACTGTGGTGTCTACCATGGGGATTTTCAATTCTGTGGGCTGCGCTGGGTGTCGGGTTGGATGGCTACAGCGACATTGGAGCTTGTAAGTAATTGTGTCTGGACAGTCATAGCATGCGCAATAAGACTAATTGGCCACAGGGTGCTGGTTTGGCTCCGACAGAACTAGACTTCTAGTCAACTTTGTCCCCAGATGGGTCATCATAGTCGCGATGCTAGGCCTCTACGCCCATCTTTATCGCATCATTCACCTCGCACATGAGCAATTCATCTCCTTCCAAGACGAGAGCTCGTCGCGTGGCCTCGCCGGCATCTCATCAGAAACCGAGAACGGTTCGTCAACGCGGCGCATCGGCCGCCCTTCGGCCTCTATGCACATAACCAGCAAAGATGGTACAATCGAAGTCGAGCGGTACGGAACCAACGGAAAAACACACGCAGACCGTCCGAGCTCTGTGCTGAAGAAGCTAGCTAAACAGATGATGTACTATCCTCTTGCGTATATGTTGATCTGGACAATTCCGACGTCCATCCGGATATACCAGAGTGTAAAAGGGGTGCCAGCGCCTTTTGGCATTGCTACTGTCGACAAGGTCAGTAGTTCATGCGCCATTGGAGATCTCAACATCGCTAATGATAGCACAGGCATGCATCGTAATTCAAGGCTTCGCGGACGCTATCATCTACGGCTTTAACGAGTCCTCGAAGGGCGTATGGCGCAACAAATTCCGCAAATCGCCCCCAGTAATGGACGTCACGCCTATGCAAGTGAACGTTGAGCATGAGATTCGGGTGGAACGTCTCTCGACGATACACACTGAAAGCGGAAGAAGCTCCGTCTACATCGTGTGAGACATGTCGCACCACCGCTTCTTCCTTCTATTTGGTATTGTCTAAACAACCGAAAAAAAGGTCCCTTGAAGTTGAGCTTCAGATAGATTCTTGGGTCTTTGTGTCCATACTGTAAAACACAACTATAGGTTCTCAATTGCAGTACCCACCAAAGATGACCGCTATTTGCATTGCCAGAAACCTCCTCACTCTTGTTACACCAGCCCGAGTCGATGGGCGGAAACAATAGCCGGTCAATACACGCAATCAGATCATGAGGTTGAACACCGTCATCCTTGACTCTTGTTATTTGTTTCACGACGTCCCCATGACATACAAAATTAGACCTGACTGGTCTTGCCCTCCAGCGACACGTCCTCCAAACTACTGTCATGCCATTCGTCCTCTTCGAGGTGAACTTGTGAATAGATTGCCTGATGTTTTTCATGACGTGGTGCCAACCATTTCGTCAAGTACGTTCTGTCTAGCTCTTACAGTCCCTGATTCAGGCTGTCCATCACGGATCACGACAATTCACATGGTCGTTCCTAGCTCCTGTTGCGATCCTTGCTTTTGTTATCTCTACAACTTCCTGGAGCCGTCCTCAAGCAGAACTAAACATACCAAGCGCACATATTACCCTTTCCAGCTTAGTCCGCCTCGCGTCCCAAATTTCATTCGCTCGCCGTCAACGCGCATGCATATTAGCATCATATTGCCATCACACCATCCCATCCCATGCATATTCCGTCTCCTACTTGTTCTTCTCAGTCCTCCTCGGCACCTTCAGATCAAAGATGGGTAGTCGAACTTGTCACACCCGAGACGACCGACGAAGTCGTAACCTTCATCAACAACGCGCGTCATGACATGTTTCCCACGTTGCATACCCAGCTCGCAGATGATGTCGCTCGCTGGGTGCAAAGCGGCTGTTTCTTGCTTTCCCGAGAGACAGCCACCCACAGGATTATAGCAACGGTTGGCTACGTGCCGTATGATCACCGCTTTGCAGGTCTGCACTACCACGACATGCATACTGTAGAAGTCGTGCGGTTGTATGTTTTGCCCGTCTATAGAAGAGCTGGACTTGGTGCACGATTGTTTGAGGACTTGAAGAAGAGGGCTGAAGAGCAGGGGGTGCAGAGGCTGTATTTGCATACGCATCCGTTTTTACCTGGTGCGGTGGAGTTTTGGGAGACGAGGGGGTTTGAGGTTGTGGGCGTGGAGAAGGATGAGGTGTGGAGAACGACGCATATGGAGATGCTGCTGAGACCGAGATGATGGTAGTCCCAGGGGGAGGGCGGTTGAAGGTGGTGCAGGAACGCTTTTATTGAATCGGGATGGGCATCGCAACGGTTGTACTGCCTGTGGTGGACCAGATTGAGGCTGAGCTTATCCAGCCTTGAGTACACGTCATTTGGAAGGTACATTGCAGCACTCAAGAGCAATTTTACGGGCGACCTTGAAAGAAGGAAAACGAATCGCACGTAGGGGTCATGTCCGGTCTCAGACACGGGTCGGCTTCGCTTCTCGCTCTGAGTCTCCCCATCCTCCTCCCGGCTTCGCTTCTCTCTCTCGGGCTCCACATCCCCCTCTCCTTCTGCATCTCGTCCCCCAAGCTCTTCCACTTCCGCTCGACGAGGTCGATCAAATTCGGCCCATCTTCTTCCCAGCTCTTCCATATTCCATAGTATTGGCCCAAATGCGCCACCCACTCACGTCGCCGTCTAGCCAATCTATCCTCAACGAGATCCGGTTCCGCCTGCACAGCCAACGCTTTGCGCGCCTCAACGATGCGATATGAAGTCTTGATGAACTCGTCTCCCGGCTCCTTTCCGTCCATGCCCATGACACAGTGGAATTGCACAATGGATATCTCAGTCGCGATAACGTTGTTCTGGAACTTGTATCTCTCGTGATCTCCTATTTTGCTGCGGTCCAGATGAGGGGATGGTCAAGGCCAAGGTTTGTCTGGGGGCCAGTCCGGGGTGGATGGATCATCGCTGGAGCTGGAAGTGGCGGGCTCCCTGCCCGGTGTTCTGACAGCGGGAGGAATTGCATAGGGCAGTGGGGGTGTGCCTGAAGGGAGGTCATCTGGATGCGAGTCCGACTCGCTGTTGGATTGCATGTTGTTCTTTACAGCGATATGACTTAAGATGCATTCTTACTGAGTTCAAAAGGTGATGGGAGGGCCTATGTAGTCGACCCATTGGATGTTTGTTAGTAGACATTTGCGAAGTTCGCAGCCCAGTCCTGCTCCTATGGGCGTGACCTACCGCAAGCTTTGCCTATCCCACATTCTATCATTGGTGGCATCCGACTGAGCAACAGTGGTTTGGCGACGCAAAGTTACCACTTTATTATGGCCTTCTAATGCACATGTGGATGACAACATATATATGGGAAGCAACGTCCTGTAATCATCTTTGGTCAAGTAGTGACAAAAGCGAGCTACCTGCCGGCATGTAACAATTACACCGGTCTGATGATAGGCATGCAAGACGATGCTGCTACAACAGTATGGCGTTTTGTAATTGTACTTCTTGTGGTGTGTGAGGATTATGGGTGAAAATGGCAGGTAGAGATAGGAAATACCCAGAATAGGAAAATCGCATGGAATTTCGCTGGAACGGGAAGGCCGCTGTGTATTGTAAACACGAACCTTGCATGTGCATTTAGGGCCATGTCGGCTCAACAATTTCCGCCTACAAGTGTCGGCCGAACCCTCACAAATCCCTTACCTTCGTAGTCTACCTTCTAGTCAGTTGAAGTTTTCATGTACGTTCCAATCACCAACGCCTTCCGACCTCGGAACTAGACCCTGGGCCGAGGCAAAACGGGAAACACCAACCAGGTCCAAGCGCCATTCACTGACCGCAACATCATCGCATTGCGCGCGTCCAGCACCAGACCGCCTAGCGCCTCTTGGATGTGGAGCACTATGTATTCGTCCGCAAGGTCTGCCGCATGCAGGCACGCCGCTTTTTGTGGCCGTCGGAGCCAGGGTGTACCTGTCGCGCCGGTCCGAAAATATTTCCCGAATATAAGACCAGACGTCACCGCCAGAGGTACCTTGCAAAGTCGAGCAAGGTGGCAGAGTACTGTTTCTGAAGGTAATTTCCAAGCATATCCCAATCCTCCATGGATATCTGTATGCTTGGAAGCGCATATCTAACTCAAGCACAGCATCCCAAACCACTTCCAAAGGAACGGCAGAACCACTTCCCAAACCCAAACGCCCGCTCTACGTCCGCCTTCCCATCACCCTCGCCCTTTCTCTCCTCACCTTCACCCTCGGCTTCACTATGGCCGCCGCCCCTACCGCCCCGGTCCTTAAAGACCTCATAACCCCTCCCACCGACGAGGAAACCCTCTCTCTCTACACACCCGCCACCGAGAAAGCCGCCGCAATCGAGAAAGCCCTCTTCGAGCACCCGCTCACGCGCTCCCTCATGCAAGATGAGAAGTACATCGCCTCGCGACCGCACCTCAAGATCCCCGCGCAGCTGCGCGCGCAGAGCCTCACAGGCGGCACGCTCATGGGGGATGACAAAATCGAAGTTCCGCCCGTGCAATTCGGGACCGAAGATGGCAAATCTTTCGTGTCCCTGCAGTACATCGGCACCGCTTTGTGCGGCCACCCCGGCATCATCCACGGGGGGTTGCTCGCCACGCTTCTAGATGAGGGACTCGCACGATGCTGTTTCCCCGCTCTGCCCAACCGCGCGGCTGTGACGGCGAGTTTGAAGGTGGATTACAAGGCGCCGGCTATGGCGGGGCAGGTTTTGGTGTTGAGGGCGGAGACGACGAAGGTGGAGGGACGGAAGGCGTGGGTTAAGGGGCGGTTGGAGACGCTTGTGGATGAGAGCAAAGGGGAGAAGCCGCTTGTTGTGACGGAGGCGGAGGCGCTGTATATTGAGCCGAAGATGGCGAAGCAGATGAACCTGGTGAAGGGTTGAGCGACAGAGGTCGACACGAGCATTGGGCGGCGTTATTGGTGTTCATAGAGGCAAGAGGCAAGAGGTGGAGAGCTGTAATCTTGTAGCGGCCTTGTCGTCGTAGATCTAGACGTCTGTAATATGACTGTATCGCATGTTCATCCCAGGACTAATTCATACACTCGTGGACTGCCAGCTCAGCAGCATACATCCCAGGCGTGACTTGTGTAGATCTGTTCACCACCCACCAAGTATAGCCATCCTCAACCCCTCGTAATCTGCCCTCACATGCTCCGCCAATAGTTCCGCATCCAAGAGCACATCCTGTCCATCATCTGTCCTAATTAACATCACCGTCTTCCCGAACATCAAGTTCGCTGGAGTGTCCTCTGTACCGCCCTCTGTACCATGTACCGGTCCATACTCCAACCTCCCCAGCTCGTCAAAAGACGCCCACTCCAGCCAATGGCTCATCCACTCTTTCCTCTTCCTTCTCAGGATGTCTTCGTGCCAGGCGGCGTCTATGCTCTTCGCAAGAAAATAGCAGCGATCAACAGTCCGAATAACAGCTTTGATCGCCTCGTCTCCAAGTCCGGCGTTCACGCAATAAAACTCCAGGATGATAATCTCAGTGACAAAGCGTGTGATAGCAGCGGCCTTCGCCCTCTTAATCTCTTTGTCTTCTTCCTCGTTTGCAGAGCCTGGAAACGAAGGGTGGACAGCCCACGGACTCCAAGTATTCCAATGTACGCTCCATTCACTCCTTTTCTCGTCGAGCACTTTGGTGAAGAGATCGGGGTCTTGGCTCATGGCTTGAGATCGGCGGACATTTATGATGGTCATCAGCCTGTTCTTGGAGTTGGAATCGATCTTGGCGTGGGCGATTGGGTATTGCAGGAGGGCGATCTCGAGGGCGAACATGTGGACTGATTTCGTTGCTTCGTCGGTTGTCTTGTTGGTGATTACTTTCGTGATGGGGGTTGGGGAGTTTGCGTCCAAGTAAGACATCGTAGTAATGTTGCTTCGTGCGACTTGTCTACCAGAATGGTCGGTATCAAGTTGATGGTGGGCCTGGTACTCGTTATCCAGGTCGAAGGAGTGCTCTGGTCGTGTGTGAAGCGTCTGGTGTATCTTGACAGAGGTTGAAGTGGCGAGTGCTGGGCGAGGAAACGAGAGTGTAGTAAGAACGGCCATATTTATATCGGAGGCCCGCCGAGGTGTCAATTATGCTTGGGTGCGGTTTGAGGTGGAGCAATCGTGCTGATGTTTGGTCCACGAGCTGGGTTTTTGAGGACGCTCAAGATTGTCGTTGCTTCCATGGTGACTGAAGCTTTGCCGCCACTGTTTAATTTGTTCACGCCGCATGCAACATGCGCTAGATTCAGCGATCGTAAAGGTGGATCCAAGTACTGAAACTCGACGGTGAACCAGGCTTTAGAGCGCACTCGCCAATGAGACCATCATGAGTCGTGATATGCTTCGCGTCTGTTGACGTTGAGCAAGACATTCACGTGTGCAGCCAGACATCTTGTGTCCATCGAAAGACCCGTCCACGCCCATCTAGTACTGAGCCTTGACTGTTGCCGGATTCATGACAGGCGCTGTGTGTGGAAAAGAGCTGGTTAATAGCAGCCCTGCGTTGGCGAAGAAGTGAATGACACTCCATGTTGGCGCAAAAGTGAATGATACTCCCCTGCCGTGCGTTAGAAAAAAAAGCCATTAGCAAAAAAGCCATTTCACCCGCAGGCCCCGGCTCAAACTTGTTTTGATTCGGCCTAGAACCGGTGCACTGTCAACGAGTACTAATGTAGTGGTTTCACCCAACTACGCCAGACTCTCTATGTGTCGGTCGAAGGATGAAAGCCATGCCGATTAACGCGTTTATATAGTCGTATAAGTTTGTTGCCTTCTCCAGTATGGCAAAATGCTAGGTGTGTGTGTGTGTGTGTGTGCGGATAAGGAAATAAGGAAATTGTCACTCACTTCACTCGCTCCGTCATTCACCAGCGCCACTCTTTCACTTAGTGAACAGCAAGGACCATCTCGACCTTGTCCTCAATCCAAAGCCTAGGCTCTCAGTCCAAAAGGAGTGGGATATCAGCCAGCACCTACATCAGACCTGGCGGGGTGGAGAAGGAATGGGCGCTTTCTAGTAGAGGTACTTACCGTGATGCCTCAAATTCTGCAGTCCACGAGAGGCTAACACGAGGACTTGAGAGATAGACGGACCAGACGAAATCTTGGACAAGATTAGAGAGAGTGCAACGGTAAGGAAGAGGAGGGGTGAGTTAAAGAGGCAAAAGTGTGTACCTGTGAGCCATGTCCGTTCAAGAACAAAAAAAAAAGAACAAGAAGAAGAGGAATATGCAAGCTATCTCTAGAAGAACAAGATAGCCATTGCGGACCGAAGGTGGCCGTCGAGATAAGGAAGGAGTATGTGTCGCTGCATTTAGAGGAAAGAACGTATCGCGGTTCAGCATGACATGAAGTCTTAGATGACCAATTCGAAAATATCCAGAAGGAAGAAATTGACCGAAACGCAGAACATGAACAGCGACTAAGTTTTCATCCAATACACATGGTCGTATCATCTCAATTGCCCGCCCTCACCCCTATCTACCCACACTATACACTCTACATTTCCCACTAGTCTCACGTAATCAACACATCCACCCTCTCATCTTTCAAACGTAATATACAAGGATAAGAGTGGGGAAGTGTATCGTAGCCTCATCGTGCCACTTCCTAAGCTCACCGTACATGAGCACATGCGAAAGAACAGAAATTACATGCCCTGTATTCAGGGAGCAACAGCGGTAGTAAAACAAGTCAAAAAGGACCTTTTGAGAGACGCCTGAATATGCCGGAAGACCGCCGGTGCCAGATGAGACAGATAGAAAACGATGCCAGAAAAGGTACAGATTTTGGTACAAAGCAAGATTGGGGAGATGGTGGACGGTGGGATCAAGCGAGTTGCTCAGTAGTAGTCTCTCGCGCTCTTCTGCAGCTCGATGAATCTCCAGCCTCTGGTCTCAGGGTTGCTGACGTCTTCTGGTATCCTGGTCACACCGATAGCATATGTGACCTGCTGGACTTTGTCGTCCATACCGGCAGCGAGCTCGCCGGTCTTCTTGTTCCTGTAGGTGTGCACTTCTTGCGTCCTACAGGTGAGGATGAATACAGGGATCTCTCCAGGTTCTAGCAACTTGGCATTCAGGATATCAACGCCACGGATATCGACAATCTTGCCGTCCGACTTCAGGCCTGCGGTCGTGTATTGTTGCATCAGGGCCGCATATACCTGATATTGCGCTGCGGACAGCCAGAGCTTCAGGGTCTCGACGTCGCCCTTCACATACGCGTCTAGGACTTCTGGAAGTATGTACTCTCGCATTTCCGTTAGGAAGGGCTCGAGCTGGAAGTTAGGCTCCATTTCGCGGAACTTTTTAATGACCATGGCGGTCTCGTTCTCGGCAAAGAAGCCAGTGAATCGGTCCGTGATGCTGCGAGCGGTCGAGATGAGAGGGTTCTCCGACTCGTTGTACACATCTTTCATGCCTGAGAATCGTCGCATGATTGGGGAGTTATCTTTGAAATCCCGCCAGATTTCTTTGTATTTGGCATCCTTGTGCAGGGTAACGTTGGTACCAGCTCTGGTATCTGTTAGCAACGAAGTAATCATAGTAGTAACGGCATCTTACTCTGGATCCTCCTCCATCGGCTCCATCGGCTTGCCTCCGGTTCTCTGCAGTTCGTTGAGTTCCCTCAATTCCCTTCGCTTCTTGCGCTCCTCCTTCTCGACCCAACCTCCGTATCTTGACGAGCTACCATCATCCACGGTCTCCTTCACAGCCTGGAATGCCTTGGACTGGCGCACTGGGCGCGTGACATATTCGAGACCAGTTCCAGTCACATTCGCGACCTTACGAACGCCCTTCACAGGCATCGTGTCCCACGTCCATGCTGCACCCTGACCAATAGCCTTTCCTGTGGTCTTCAGAGCTTCGGCGGTTGTGGTCTTAGCCGCACCCGTCACCTTGCCGTAGGTTTCGGCAGCCTTCTGGACACGAGGGTTCTGCGTAAAGTCGTGTACGCTGCCCGACAACTGCTTTGTACCCTCGTTCCACTCCTTCGACGCCTGGAACTCGGTCTTCAGCGTTTCCGTGAAAACCTGCCATGGCGTCTTGTCACCGTGAGGCGGAGGTGGGGGCTTGTCATCCTTCTTCTCTTTTTTGCCCTCCTCACCCTCCTTCTGTTCGCTGGATTCTTCCTCACCGGCCTTCTTCTCCCCAGATTGTCCCTTTTCCTGCTCGCCTGCTGTCTCTCCCGCCGCGCCCTCCGATGTCGCAGATTGCTTGGTTTGCGATTTTGGGTCGTTTACATCTGGCTCAGGCTGCTTTTGTGCTTGTTGAAACTGCGCCGAGCGGGAGGAGAATTGACGGGCGTATACGGAGGTAGTTCGGAAGAGAACATCCTGCGGGAGGAAGTTGCTTCTGAGAAAGAGGAGCGGGGAGCTTGCGGAGTCGGAGGATGATAACGATCTCTGAGAAGTCGGCAATGACCGCGAAGTCAGAGGCGTTGTGGATATCCGCCTATATGCGGCTGCTCGTCCGGTGATGCTTGCGGGAGAGGGTTGGGCGCTCCATCGTGCCCTAGCCAAAGTGTTCGCAGCTGATGGTCGCATCCTATGTAAAACCAGACGATGTGACGGCACAAAGAAACAGAATATCGAACTGCCGGGAGGATGAAGAATGCACAATGGAGGGATGGTGACGGCAGGTGGGAGGAGCGCAGGCGGCAAGATGTTTTTTCGGAAGGGTCGACCCTATGATGGGCGCTCGGGCCTTCCGCAACTTTTGCTTCGACCTACCTCACCAGCATTGCTCCCTAGCTGGCACTCCCCACTCAATTCCTCCAGCATGGCCAATTCTACCGCGCTACGCGCCTTCCGCTCCGTCTGCGCATCGTGTCGCACTTCATTCCCTACCGCGACACCTGCGCTCGCCCGTCCCCTCTCTCAGAGCCATGCGGTCCGCGCAGCAAAGGGAGATAGTACCATGGACAAGAATCTCACAGCCATCGACCAGCACATGTTCAGCCGTGCGAGTTCTCTAGGAAGTGTGATCCCAAACAATCCCAACGCAGACTTCGGCAACTTGGCAAAGGGGGAATGGGAAGAGGATGACCGACACCACCTCCACGTCTATGCGCACAAGCACAACACACACATCACACTCACCGACCCGAAGCGGAACCCCATGGTCTCAGTCTCATGCGGAAACATTGGGTTCAAAAAGGCGGGACGGGGCTCCTACGATGCGGCATACCAGCTCACAGCTTTCGTCATGTTGAGAATAAGGGACATGGGATGGCTGCCGAGGATCAAGAAGATTGAGCTGGCGTATCGTGGTTTCGGAAAGGGAAGAGAAGCCGTGACCAAGGCGATTCTGGGCAGTGAAGGAAAGGACATACGGCCGTTGATCAACAAGCTATCGGACTCGACGCGGTTGAAGTTTGGTGGCACGAGGAGCAAGAAGCCGAGGAGATTGGGCTAAGACATGTTTGGAAAGAGATTTGTGTGGGATATTTGTATATTTGGCTGCTGTTTGCGCATTTTGCGAGAATTCAGCCATCTCGCGCGTGGTGGAAAATACCTGTACTATATCGCATCACTGGAGTACAGGAACATTGTAGCATACGGACATGTATCAGCAAGGTGTACACATATGAAACCGGAAGATTGTTGACGGATTGTCATGTTATTCTCTTGGGGAGCGGTGCTCTTTCAGCTGCAGGTATCGCCCGATTCTCAGTGTCCTTGACGATTCTTGGTGCATGATCTCCGGACGCATACCGAGGATGCCCTCTTGCGCCTCTTTGCTCACTTCCACCGCTAACGCTAGATAACCTCTCCTCCTGCGCGTACTCCCAGTCCTGCGCGTCGTCCTCGGTGGCCCGCAGGCGCCGTCTTTGTTCATCGTGTCGTAACATAGACGATCTTTCGTCTTCGAAGTCCTCGTCAAGGAGCTCTCCATCCGCAGTATCATGATCCGGTGGTGATATCCATTCCCGTGGCACAACTATTCTGAATCAGCTGCTGTTACGATAAGAGTAAAAGGGTGGGTACGCACCGCATGGGAGAGCTACGCCTATGCTAGCGGCGCGGTTTAGCCAACTTGGCGCGGAGCGACTGGTCAGTTTTTGACAGAGGTAGGAGGTGAAGTGGTTGCAGTTCTTGGTGAGGAGGTTGTAAGAGGTTCCCATGAATTGTTGAGAGGCCTGCACAAGTTAGCCGAGGGTTTGGTAAAGGCACAGTATGGCCGTGTTACCTCGTGTATTATTGCATCCAATTCTTCTTGTGGCCGAAAGGAGAATCCATGAAGGATCGCTTGTCGAAAGGTGCCGCCTGGTGGTTCTTGTCCGGGCTTGGTGTAGTAGACTCCACTAACGCCGCGCTGGTCATGGCCACCGTACGCATACTCTCGGTCGCCAATAACGACACCCGAATGCAGGAGAGAGCTGCCGATAGCCCATAGCACCGTGGACACCTTTCCTGGGGGCAGCAGGTCGTATATGTGTATCTTGATCTCCGTCTTTTGTAGTGAAAGGGTATTGCGGTGATTGGAAGAGCTCTTGCGGGTCGGTTTGGGGCGAGAGGAGGAAGACATGTCGGGTCGTATGATGCGACGAGTGGGCCGTGGCTTCGTGCAATATATATGCGTTGTGAGTTTGTGAACCACGGTATCGTTCGCTCAGCAGCTCACGCGAGCTCCTATCGGACCATGGGAGGCATAAATGGAATTGAGGAGATAATGGTCTGGTCTATGAATAGGTGGATGGTGAGGAGGGAAGTGTGAAGGGCGCAAGACGGGGACCAGCCCTTCAGGAGAGGAGCGAGTTCAAGTATGCGGGGAGGACTCAATGAGAGATGGCGGAGACGATGATGGAGAGGTTGAGCTCGCGCCAGCAGCTGCACTGTGGCCCAGACGAGTTAGCGGCTTCCTCAAAAACCGACCCACGGAACCCAGCCGAATTTAACAACCTGCAGCCCAATCGCTCATTACGAAAGCCGTTTTCTGCTGCAATAGAGGGGCGGTCTTAGCTGCCCCTCCCCTTTCTTCCTTCACCACGCCTCCCACCAGGCACCTCGCTTTTTCCTTTTCTTCTGTGATACCCACCTTTACCCGACCGGCAGCAAGTACTGCGATCGACTTTTCTGCCGCACTTAATTTTTCACCCACCCTTCGCATCAGCTTCAGCACATCAGCCCGCACCTACGCGCGCGGTTCGTCCAAGCCAAAGAAGATGCCTCCCAAGAAGAACGTCGTAGAGGAGAAGGTGCTCCTCGGCCGGCCGGGCAACAGTTTGAAGAGCGGCATCGTGAGTAGGAGCCCTCGCGCTGTGGTCGTCACGTTCTCACGTTAACAGTAGACGTCAGGTTGGGCTTGCGAACGTCGGTAAATCGACGCTGTTCCAGGCTATCACGAAGTGCCATCTTGGTAACCCTGCCGTAAGTCGCACTTGTACTTCAGCGATGGACGCGCATTGACCCGCGCAGAACTTTCCGTATGCCACAATCGACCCCGAAGAGGCGCGTGTCATCGTCCCCGACGAGCGCTTCGACTGGCTTGTCGAGCAATACAAGCCCAAGTCGGTCGTGCCTGCCAACTTGACCGTGTACGACATCGCTGGTCTGACCAAGGGCGCTTCGACTGGTGCCGGTCTTGGAAACGCCTTCTTGTCGCACATCCGCGCCGTCGATGCCATTTTCCAGGTTGTGCGGTGTTTCGACGATGCCGAGATTATTCACGTCGAGGGTGATGTCGACCCTATCCGTGACTTGGACATCATCAGCGAGGAATTGCGCCTCAAGGACATCGAGTTCACCGAGAAGTCGCTTGAGAAGCTCGTCAAGGAGACACGGAGAGGCGGTCAGAGCTTGGAGATGAAGAAGCTCAAGGAGGAGCAGGCCACCGTAGAGGAGGTCCTGCAGATGCTGAAGGACGGTAAGGATGTCCGCCGGAAGAACTGGAGCCCCAAGCAGGTATGTCACAAAATTTTTCCTCCGTGCACACGCCTCCGAAAGATGAAAAAGAGCGATTGCTCTATAATCCCAGCTCTTTGATGCCCTGTTAACGCCAGGGCTTCATGAGATGACGTCCGATTCTGACTACCTCCTCTCACTCAACATGCTCGAAAGTTGCTCGTGAGAGTTCCACGCTAACTGCGTCAAGGTCGAACACATCAACCCACTCTTCCTTCTCTCCGCGAAGCCTGTCGTCTACCTCGTCAACCTCAGCGAGAAGGACTACATTCGCCAGAAGAACAAGCATCTTCCCAAGATTGCTCAATGGGTGAAGGAGAACACCGAGGGCGACCCAGTCATCCCCGTTTCCGTCTCGCTAGAAGAGCGCCTCGGTGCCATGACTGAGGAAGAGGCCGCCAAGGAGTGCGAGTCCCTCGGAACCCGGTCGGCACTTCCCAAGATCGTCACTACTATGCGCAAGGCCCTCAACCTCGGCAGCTTCTTCACAACTGGTACGGATGAGGTCCGGCAATGGACGTTACGGAATGGCACAAAGGCACCGCAGGCAGCTGGTGTCATCCACGGTGACTTCGAGAAGACGTTCATCCAGGCAGTCGTGTACAACTACAAGGTATTGAGAGAGGAGGGTGATGAAGCATCGGTCAAGGCCAAGGGAAAGATCATGACCAAGGGCAAGGACTACGTTGTTGAGGATGGCGATATCCTGCTCATCAAGGCCGGTGCTGCCAAGGGTTAGATCTGAAGTATCTAGTCTTTTAGTGGGTTCTGATGCTTCGGCGCCCGGTAGCTTGTGGCCGATCTCTGGTCTCACGATGGAAGCGCTCCTGATGAGCGTGTGACGAAAACAAAAGTCAAATAGACATGTCCGCATTTGAAAGCAAAATACTCGAAGCTCTTACAACTGTTCCTAGTCTCTAAATACTGTGATTATCATATACTTTGCATCATGGCAACTTAGCTCTCCCTCTTCGTCTCCGGTGCAAGCATCCAACTGTTCCCACACACGCAATGCTTCGCAACCCCCATCAACCAACTGACATGCGTCTGCGCATACCCGGGCAACCCCAGCATCACATCCTCCATGTACGCCCCACACCTCACACACTTCCTCAACTGCTTCTTCCTCTTGCCGTCCTCCACAGGCACAACGCTCTGAATGCTATCGCTCCTGCCGCGCCCATTCTGCCCGTCCCTACTCACAATAGGGTGCGTATGCGTGCCCGTCCCGCGGATAATCATCTTCTGACAGACGTCCACGGTGTGCGTTTCGAACCACGTGGCTGCGCGGCGCGAGGGCGTGAGCCCGAGCCATGTGGTGTCGAAGAAGAGGATCTTCGCCATGTCGACCTTGTCCGCGAGACAAGTGCCCTGGCCGCCGTGCTGCGGGGGGTCCGCGAACAGCGTGTCAGTGACGAGTCGTCTGGCAGCTGGGAACAGCACGGCGGGGATGCGGCCGAGGAGGAGCTCGCGCTCGATGGCGTCGCGGTCGTCGGCGCTGCAGTTCGCTTGCTTGTAGCAGCTGCGGACGAGGTGTTGAGCTTCGCTGATGAGGTGCTCGAAGTGGCGCCAGTCAAGCGGGGCCTCCGTCAGCGCCTGGTGAAGCGGGTAGTACAGTTTGCGCATCTCAGGCGACGAGTTGTTATTCTGGATGTACCCGTATGCCGTCCTTTGGACCCACTGTATGGGATTCGCCCAGAGCTTCATCATCATGCGTGGGAAACTCGACAGAAGGATCAACAGCGCTGGTTTATTCATGGAGGCGAGTTTTTCCTGGAGGATGGCGGGCGTGAGGAGGGAGGCGGGCGTGGACTGGAATTCGTGGCCTATTTGGAGGAGCTCGTCGATTAGGTAGACCATGAAATGCATGATCCAGCGGCAGATGCCGATGAATTGGGGGACGACCTCGGGGCGGACGGCGGCTTTGTCGATGTTGCCGTGCATGCGGGCGATTGTCGTCAGTATCTGCGTGACGTATTTTATGTTGAGTACCATCCATGCCAATTTGCTTGTCAACGACCGATCCACGCTGTCTTTGAGACCAAGGAGGTGCAGCGCGGAGAGGGTCTTTACGAAGAAGGGCGAGCGACCGAGGAGGATTAGGTGATTCTGGTTTGTGCCGTCGTCGACGATGCCGCAGTCGACTTTTACGTTGAGCGCCTGGAACATGAAAAGGATGAAGTCGCGCTTGCGGTCTTCGCTGAGCTGCCCCATGACGGAGAATATGTCGTCGCTGCAGAAGTATTGGTTTGCTGCGGTGGTGTGCTGGAGGACGAGGGCGGCTAGTGCGGCGGAGGCGGACTGGTCCTGGTCTTTGTCGTTGACTGCGAGTGAGCCAAAGTTGTATTGCGTAGGATGTAAGTTGATCTTGCCATCGTGTTGCAGAGAGGCAGCAATGCAATGATTTGGGGATAAAGCGACGTTGAGTGGGGAGTCTAGCGTGGGGAACGTGAACCCGGCCTGGGCCATTGATGTGACCTCCTCGGTATTGTAGTCCGGCGTGATGGTTTCTTGCGTCTTACGCCTCTTGAGTTCGATGGTACCATCACTGTAGCAGAAAGCGAGGATCATGCTATACCACAGCGGAACGCACGAGAGGATGACTTGGTTCATCTGCGTCATGGTGTCCGCTTGTCTCCTCAAGTGCCAGACCGTGCGCGCAGGCACCGAATTCACGCTCTTCTTCTTCGACGTCACCTTGTCAAGACTGGCGTGCAACTGATTCTGCTCGGAATGATGCACCTCCCATTTCGCGACTATGCTGGAAGGGCTTGGTTGTGGATGTGTCGGATCAACTGTGATCATGTTTGGCGGAGTTACAAAGATAGCTTGGACGGTAGGTACGGATCCGTCACCGTCTTCAGGGGTGATGGGGAGGAAATCGAGATGCGTTAATTGGGCCGAGACTGGAACCTTGGATTCTGAGCCGCCTGGAAGACCGCTGCTGTCGATCATGGCAGGGTGGCATTCATCCTCGGTCGCGAGTTCGGTTACCTGAAGTTCTGGCTTTTCGTACACCTTTGGAGGCGCCTGACCAGCGGCCGGTGGAGGAATGTTCCATACTGCCTCTATACGATAGAGGTGTAGACAATGAGACACATCGTAGGCGACCATCAGAAGTTTATTGTCTGTTTACGTTAGGGATTGTGCATGGCAATGGCGTATGTCATACCGTTGTTTGAAGCAAAAGCAGCGTGCGTAAATGTATCTTTCGTCGATAGGACGGTTCTCAATGGAACAAATACCTCTGACCAGCTGCTATCTGGTTGTTGAAAACGGAGCTTAAGGTCACCCTTTCTCATCAGATACACCAAGCATGCCTTTTGATCGACAGCGTGGTGCATGTCTCGAAACATTTGCGAGGTGATGTTGAAACTCCACTTCTCACCACTCTTACTTGCCGACCATGCGATGTGGTTCTACAAAGATCAGCATCACTGCCAGTAAGCAGATCCGAAGCTTCTGACCTTCTGCTCATAAGGGTAAATCGCAAGCCAATGCATACCCACTACAGCATCGATCTCGTTATCTGACTGAGCCAGCTCTGTCCTCGTGAAGTTCATCCGGTCCAGAACCATAGCACAAGAGAAAATCAACACATGGCCGGCCGCATTCACCACAGCGAGATCATTGCCGAGATGACTCCAGGACAGGTGCACCAGAGGAAACTCTTCGTTGTGATGCGGAATATCGAGCTGAACGTCTGTACCTAGGTCCCATGTCTCTGTTGAGCTGACCCGGGCGAAAACTCTTAGATTTACGCCGAGGCCGTCTGGGGTGATGTAGGCGAGGCAGCCATTCTTGGACCATGCTATCCTCCTGCAGCAAGATTAGCCTGGCGTGAACAACAGAACATCATCGAGAACTTTAGACCCCGTTATGATTAGAAACGTCATGGAGATTTCGCAGCAGTATAAGTTACTTACGAGCAGCATCCGCTGGTAGCTAACTCATCCAGTCTCTTTGCAAGGCCTTTCACGGGCGGGGCGGCTGTCATATTCATCGGCGGCAGGGCGACCTGTTCCGAGTCCCCAAAGAGATCGTCGACATCCATACTGTTATACGTTTGGTCCTCCATTGTGTTCGACAGGGTATGTGGTGAAGAAGTAGAGCAAAACTAGGCTGAAGAACACAACACGTAAGGCAGAAGTGCTCCCTAGCGCAGAGCAAACAACATCGGATTGAAATCCAAGTGGCGAAGAGCGCCGGGTATCACGAAAACCGATGGTGAGAAACGATAGGAAGCTACCGTGGATTGTGAAGCCATGTGCACCAGTGTGAGAAGGTTAAACGATGCGAACGACTGATTGGTGCGGGTCTTAGCGCAGCGCTAAAGGGACTAGCAGTCTTTTCAGCCTCATCTGTGGCGGTGCGTGAGCCTTTCGTGAGAGTCTCGTGTGATGCACGTATCCGCTCTCACCTCGGAGATGGGTTACAGCGCAAAAACCCAAGTGTTAGATCATGATAGAAACAACAATTACAAAACACATTCCAGACTGACGGGGTGCCTGGCTTGTTGCCCTCCAACTTGTTTGCCAGAGCGGGTCACGAACCGTGGATCGCAAGACAGCAGACTCGAGTCCACCCAGGTCCACATGTGCCAATGCGGCGCAAACGAAGTCTGCTCGTGCTCTACTTGGTCGCAGTGTGCCAGAGACGAAGGCCAGCAGACAGCGCAACGTGTCAGCGCAGTTGCGCTCCACACGATCGTCTCTGTCGCACATGACGACGAAGCGTGCAAGCCGCAAACCGAGACCAGAACTGACATGATGCGCTTTGATTAATACAGCAGCACAGCATGCACAATTGCCGACTAAAAGGCGAGTGGAGCAGCGCAGCTCGTGGGAACCGGAGGTGTAAACAAAAGGCGCCCGGGCCACTCGTGCGGTTTCCAACATGTCGTCAAGCGATACCCCGTCATCCCTCTGCGCCAACTGCGACCCAACCTCCTCCCTTTTAACACGACCGCACCCCCCTCCACGCGCGCCGCAACGCGCGCCAGATACATGCACAACTATCGCGCTAAGCTCCGCGCACTCATGAGATAGCAAACGCACCCCGGATCCCGGCGCTCCAACGACTTGCGCAATCCCCCCGACGTGCGGTGCGGTGACGGCGTCTTTCGCTTGCTTTTGCGCTCTGCAAGCTGCCTGCCGCTGCACATCACAACCAAGCAACCGCCCCGACCGTGCCGCCTGCGCCCTCGAGCCATCGCTGTTACCTATTGCATTCCTTCCTGCAAGCTCCCGGGTCGCGCCTTCCGCTACTCATCATGACCTGGCCCACGACACAAGCGCCCAGCTCACCATTGAGCTCTGCACCTTCCTCCGCACCTTCTCCTGCCGCCTCCGACTCGAGCCTCTCTGAGCTTTCCGACTCTGAGCTCTCAGAGATGTCACGCTCACTCGCTCCCCGCCGCTCGTACCCCTCCCCATCCTCCTCCAACCGCTCTTCCGCCAAGGCGTCGCCCGCGCCCGAGAACATGCCCTCACCTCCCTCCAGCAACGACGACGACGACCGGCCACGCAAGAAGCGGAAGGTGGGGGACCCAAAGGAGCGCACGACCCAGCGTCTCGACCTCCGGCGGGACCTGACGGATGAGGACAAGCCGCAGCTTGACCGCCTTTTGAAGACGCTCCACAAGAAGCGCAAAATCGTCGTGATCGCAGGTGCTGGCATCTCAGTCTCGGCAGGCATCCCCGACTTCCGATCTTCTACCGGCCTTTTCAAGTCGCTGCGCGACGAGCGCAAGCGCATTTCTTCTGGCAAGGAGCTTTTTGACGCCTCTGTGTACCAGAATGATTCTTCCACGTCCAATTTTCACGAGATGGTGCGCACGTTGTCGCAGCAGACGAAGAACGCCGAACCGACCGCTTTCCACCATCTTCTTGCTACCCTTGCCCACGAAGGCAGGCTATTGCGCCTGTACACTCAAAACGTCGACGGCATTGATACATCCCTCCCACCCCTAAAGACCCAAGTGCCTCTCCCTAAGAAGAACCCCTGGCCAAAGACCGTACAGCTTCACGGCAGCTTGGAATACATGGTCTGCTCCAAGTGTCACACAGTTTCCGAATTTGATTCGGAGATTTTCGACGGACCAGCTCCGCCCGCCTGCCCGAGCTGCCACTCTGATGATCTGGCAAGGCAAGCTGTCGACAAGAGAAGCCACGGGGTCGGTCGTCTGCGGCCACGTATGGTGCTTTACAATGAGCACAACCCGGACGATGAAGCTATCGGGGCCTGCTCTAAGGCTGATTTGCGAACAAGACCTGACGCCGTCATTGTTGTTGGCACAACTTTGAAGGTACCTGGAGTGCGACGGATCGTACGAGAGATGTGCGCAACCGTGCGAGACCGGAAGGATGGCGTGACCATTTGGATCAACAACGAACCCGAGCCTAAAATCAAAGAGTTGGAGAACATATGGGATCTGATCATTCAGGGACCATGTGACGAGGTCGCGCGACAAGCTGCCATGCAGAAATGGGACGATCCCGTCCACAAGGAGGTTACAGATGATGAACTGCCGAAGCAAAAACCTTCCGTGGTGATAGGAACGCCCAAAAAGGTTCTCAAGATTCAAGGAATGCCCACGCCCGCTCAGAGCCCGCGCATTGGCCCACAATCGCGGGACTTGCCAGGAGAGCCAGAAACACCTTCCAAGACCGCGAGAGGGACGAAGAGGGCTTCCGAAGGTGCTTTGAAGGTCAACGCGTTCAAGCAGTTGAACGGAAAGCCCAACGCCAAACCTCAAACCAAACGGGCAAAGGCTCAGCCCAAGAAGAAGACGGGCGCAAAGAGCAAGGCCACGAAGGTGAAGAAAGAGACGAATGTGGCGATAACAAACACCTTCAAACAGACGAAAAGCACTGCGAAGGTTGGACCTGCTCTGCTCAAGGGCAAGCTGGTTGCAGTACCCAAAGAAGAGAACGCGGACTCGATCGAACTACCCAAAAGGTCTCCCTTGACCCCACGAAGGGATGGAGCCAAATACACTGTGTTCAAACAGCTGTCGGCTGCTGACTTCCGGTACAACCTCTGCATGGAGCGTCCTCCAGTGGAACCGTTTAGCAGCCCGCTCAAGCCGCGAACGCCAAGTGAACAGATTCGACAAGAGAACGATCTTTTCCATGCGACGCAATCAACGAGCGAATCGCGTCCATCAACCGCGGACTCGACTTCTTCACGAATGAGCATTGGAAATCTGCTGAATCCGGAACCCGTATCTTAATACACCTCGCATTTTAAGGCGTTATCAACCGTCAATGGTTTATTTCTTTCTGCGACACGAGTAGAATTGTCGGATGAGTTATTGTCAGTCAGCGGCATACATGGCGTTATGAGATGCAGAAAGATTCTGCGTCCTGTAGTATAGGAATGATGGATTTGTCATATTCTTGGTCTTTTTTACTTTCAGCTGCACAATACCCCGTATCATATCCCGGCCATAGCTCTGGCAGAGGGAGTGCTTTAAAGGGGAGAGTAAGCTGCACATCGCAGCGCGTTCTATGGCTACTTTTGAATCAAATTCGCGAACAATTTCTTGCCGTGTGCTAGTGATGACTCGATGTTGTTACTGCCACAGCGTTTATATGTGAAGAGCTCTAAATACAGCTTGAAGAGAAGATTACCTGCCAAATGGCACTCCAGGAATGGCAACAGAGGGCCTTTCGTGGCCGACTTCGATTCTGAGGATCTTTGATGTGCAATTAGGGCGTCTTGGCGCTGTGCTTTCGAGCCGAACGTGTGTACCTTCCTCCCTCCTTCATCTACGTACGAAGTAGCAGTTGACCTTTCGGCTTGGTCTTGATGTCAAATTTGTTGCCACTCTCCTTTCGTTAAGATAACGTACAGATTGCTGCTATACCACACGGCTGTGAAATCTTCACGTTACGTCCCGGACATCCAGACCAATACCTTGCATCGAACCTTGGAAACCTTAGCTGGCTGGGCAACTTTGCTACGTCTGCCATTTTGAGGATTCCAGTCCTTGGATGGCACCACTACTGATACTCCGCAATCTTACGTCAAATGATATAATTATCAAGAGCTTGGAACGCTTCGAGGACCCGAACACGAAACAATCGAAGGCGACAGCGTTTCCGTCGGCGATAAAGAATGCCCAAACGATAGCACCGTCGGCGCCTGAGTTGGGACTACATGTTCAAACATTCAAGCGCCGGGATGTAGATGTTACGCTCGCGCCATTCGAGTCGTATACTCTACAACCCCAAACTATCGAAGAGCCCAACCCAAAACCATCCTCAACGCTATCAAGCACCACTTTAAGAGTCACGATTGAAGATGAGGAAAGACAACGCTTTCGTATCGACACTAATCCTACCTACACCCAGAAAGGTTCTCGCACGTTCACACCCCTCGCTCCCAATCCCTCCAACAGCTACACCGCTCTGTACCATCCAACAGCGCCTACGGCCCACTTAATCATCCATGCACATCATCTCCCCAACTATGCGAAGTGGATGCAGTCCCTACCCGACACGCTTCCCTTGTCCGCCATCAGCATCCCCGGAACGCACAATTCGCACACGCACTACCGCGCCTTGCCCTCAGTCCGCTGCCAAGTCGTCGACATCAAGACGCAGCTCGAAAACGGCATCAGATTCCTAGACATCAGGGTACAACCCGCCAGCGCAACAGACACCTCAAAACGAGATCTCTACCTCGTGCACGGCGCCTTCCCCATCAGCCTCACAGGCGCAAAGTATCTCGACCCCATCCTCACCGCATGCTACTCCTTCCTCGAGCAGAACCCCAGCGAAACCGTCCTCGTATCTCTCAAGCGCGAGGGCGTAGGCAGTGCCACGGACGCGCATCTCGCCGCCATCCTAGAGGAGCACTACTTCGCGCCCTCGCCAGAGAAATGGTACACCGGCGCGCACATACCCTATCTCCAGACCGTCCGCGGCAAACTCGTCCTCGTCCGCCGCTACGACATCCCATCCGCCCAAACGCAACGTGGTCTCGACGCCACAGACTGGCCTCATAATGCCACGCACGCCCTCCACGGGCCCTTCTGCGTGCAGGACTACTGCGAAATAATGCACCCCGGCGCTATACCGGATAAACTCTCACATGTGAATGCGCACCTTGTGCGCGCGGCGTCTGTCACGCACTTCATCCCTGGACTTAATACCGATGCGACGAATCCTATTCCGTCGGGCCCGCTGTATCTCAACTTTTGTAGCGGGAGTAATTTCTTCCGCGTGGGCACGTGGCCGGAGAGGATTGCGAAGGTGGTGAATAGGGGGGGGTGGAGGAGTGGATTTGCGCGGGGCACCATTTAATTGTACCTATTGGGGATCCTCAGGAGCCTGGGACCACCAGTATGGCAGGGGATGAAGAGGTGGGCGGTTTCGCAGGCATAGAGGATGGGATTAGGAGGGTTAAGGAGGGGGACGGAGGCGCGGGCGTGGTGGTCATGGATATGGTTGGCGAGGGGGGAAACTGGGATTTAGTGAGATTGGTTGTGGGGTTGAATATGGGGGTTTTGGAGAAGGTGAGGAGGGGCTTTTGAGGGTGAGGTGGTGATAGCTTCACGTAACGCCGTCCTATACAGAATCACATCCGATTCTGATCATCAAGGACGTCTGGCGCCGTAGTGAGGCGTACGCATTCATGTCTATGGATCAATTTGAGACTATAGAGATGAGACGTAAGTTCGGCCTGCCGCATCCGGAGTTTTGTTCCTTCTTGTGGGGTGGTAGTGACTGGGAGAGGCGCAAGGGCGTGCGTAGGATGTGTAGTTTTTAGCGTTTGCGGTATCAAAGATGGGATATTCTAAAGATGGGATATATCGGTGTCGAAGGTATACACCGCCGGTACAACAGCCCTCAATCCATCGCCCGCCTACGAATCCAACAACTTATGCTTACTATCGCCTCTCTCCAGCGGGCCCCCTCATAACCCCCATCTCCATGTCATTGCCCCGGTCTACAGCTTGATATCCACCATGTCCCTGATATCCTCCATGCCCTATATACCCCGTATCCTCCCCAAGCCCCCTGATACCCTCCATCCTGCCCGCCCGCCCCGTCTTTCTGCCTCAAACTCATACCCGTCAGATTAAACCTATCGCTTCCCGCCACCAACGTCGGCACATCGAGCTCCTTGCCTCGCCAGGGGCCTACACCGCGGCCCTCGGCAGCCATGCGCTGCACCTGGAAGGCATTGCTCTCGACCCACTCGAGGCGCTTGTACGCGCCTTTGCCCGTGCGCAGCTGCCAGTGTGCCGCAGCCACAGGCAAGATGGTGCTAGTCAGTATAACCATGAGGCCGAGCCCGATAAGGAGGCCGAGTCCCAGAACGGAGAAGCTCGTGTGGGCTTTCGACCGCATCTTCACACTGTCGCATAACGCTTTCATCCCGGTGCTCTCTGGCTCTTTGATGAATCTTAAAATGCTGTTGCTAGCACCCGGGATGTGGTTTCCGACGTCAAACTCTGGGGGCTGCGCAAAAGCGGGAGCAGCACGTTGCAACGCGGCGAGGCTGACGTTGAAGAGATTTGAGACTTCTGTTTGCCAGTGGTTGGAGGGGAGGGCGGCGGAGAGACCGAATTGGGTGCCGCCGTCCCAGAGGTAGTCGTTTGCTATGAGGTTTTCGCGGCCGATGAAGATTAGTTGGAAGTTGAGTTGTGTGACTGGATGGTAGTTGTGAGTTACAATGGTGTGAACGGGAGGAGGGGGTACGTACACCATATCATCTTCCACATGAGCTGGAAGACGGCTTTCTGCGTGGGGTTTAGAGCCGTCAGATTCTTGTCTTCGTGCGGAATGCCGTAGATGCCCGTGTACGGGGAGCAGAATGATCGATCAACGGTGCAGAGCTGGTACCGTTGGCGGCATCCGAGGAAAGATCGCGGATGGGTCGCTTTATAGCTGTCGTTGTTATAGGAGCTAGCTGAACCAACGCTGTGGTTCGTTGCAGTGAACCAGGGATCTTGTATTGGCTCTGGGTACGCAATCCTGGAGGTCAGGCCCATCAGGGTCACATCGGCGTCTTGAATGTCGAGTTCGGGAACAGGATTGAAGAGCGGTGCATAAGAGCCGTTGTAGTTCACGAAGGAAGTGGCAGATCTGTGCCGGATTAGAGACTGAACCATGAAATCGAGTGGTCGCTCGAGTGTGACGTATCGCTTGAAATTGCGCCATGCGACGTTCGAGCAATGCCGCGGGAATGAACTTACTTTATGTCGTACGCAGCGTCACCGTACTTGAGAGAATTCCTCGTGAGGCAAAAGAGGAAGGACGTTTGTCCAGTCTCGTCAGTCCCGAATTTGTAGCATATGCGCTCCTCCTCCCTGGGTACCTGTTCATCCCAGCGCCCGCCCGTGCTGATATCCATGTGTAGTTCATTCGCGTCGCCCCATGGCGTGGCCCATGGCTCTGCATCAACAGGCACACAAGTCCAAGTTTGACGCAAGGTAACAGCACTTTCTGGTAAAGTATTGATGCCGAGATCGAGATCGGATCGAATACCATCCATATCCGCTGTCATCGCTGTTCCGTTACAGACCTTCTCGTTGAACGGGCACGGTTCCGAGCGACTGACGTTGTAGGGCAAAGTAGGCAGTGTGTAGATCTCGCACGCGTTCGAAGAGTTGTCGCTGGTCTGGGCGTAGCATGATCGTGCATAGCTAGCACTTTGACGATATCCGTATCTTGCCATGACCACCAGTCCGTTGAAAATCTCGAAATTTCCCGGTTTCTTGAGCTCTTCCGTAAGCACCACGGATTCGTTCTTGGCGACCTCATCCATCCAACCGCATTTTCCCTTTACGGCGAGAACAGCATCGCTGCCAGCAATGAACCTTGAAGAAAGACCACCAAGAGCGCCGATACCGGCGGCGTGGACCATCGCGAGTACGATCAGCCAGTACGTGCGACCGAAGGCATTGACTCTCGAGCCCTGGTGAACGGCGCCCACTCTGAAGAGCTTCCAGCCCAAGCTGGCTTCCGTGTCTGTGTTGCGGAGGGCCAATTGGATTTGGTGATAGGTATCATCTTGATCCGCAGACGATGCTTTTGATTGATGGATGATGAAGCATATGATGGACCAAAGGTAACTACCAGCAAGCCTAATGAAAAGCGCAAGAAAGGCAATCAGGATCAAACCCCATTGTGTGGGCAGTGTCAATGTCGACTGAGCGTGTTGCTTGTTATCTAAGCGGGTTAGCGGCTGAACGAGAGTGAATGAGATTGAACTAACTGACCGAGGTTTACCCAGAAACCGCAATGGAATCTCGTGCAAGTCTCCCACCACATAGTGAAAGGTCGTGGACAAGCCTGGATCGAGAGATTTAGCGAGGACAAGGAGAAGTGGATTATTAGCGCGTCATCACAATAGTGCGTGAGATGAAGAAAAGGCAAGGCTGCAAGGCTAAGGATGCTGGAACGTGGGGAGCTCGTGGTTTTGTTGTCGTTGCATAAAACTAGCGACTAAACTATGACTGGCAAGTAAATTGCGAGTCGCAGGTGGACCACGCTTTTGCCTTCTATGATAGGTGGATTCGCGGCCCCCACGGCTCAGAACCAAATGGCTGAGTAGGGCTGACTTCTATTCTAGAACGCGCCAAGTCGAATCCTCTACTTCAACTAGTCGACGTTCGTGGTGGGTTCAGAAGACGCCCTGTGCGGTCAATGCCAGGGCGAAATCATCGGCTGCAAGGCCGACAATCGCACTGGAAACACACTGTGCTTGCGAGTGGCTTCACCCTAGGATGACTTTTGTTGTGTCAAGAGATGCGGGGCGTAAGTTAGCTTAATAGCGTGCATGTCGCCCGTTCAGCCGAGCTCGATGGCTTGCAATGCGCTGATGACTTCTTCTGCGACTCCTCCCTCTTCGACCACGATCTTCACGACCTGAGAGATCAGTGCCCTCTTCATACCACCCCTTGGAGGCGTCCAAACTCCAGAGGTTGCGAGAAGCTCCCGCTGTGTTAACGCATCGGCGCTTGAAGCTGGGACGGTTCCACCAGTGGCAGAATTCATCGAGTTCGGCACGCCTGGAGGTGTGAGGTGGGATGGAGGGTCGATGGTTCGAATAGACACTATTCGTGCACGTGTAGACGAGGAGGTCGCGTTCGCGCATGCAACTGCGAGCACGGCATCCGCGACGGCCAGTTCCTCCATGCACGGGTCGAAGATGATGTTCGGCCCTACAGCCATGGCGAGCACAATTACGGGAGGCTTGTCCTCAGCGGCCCCGAAAAGGCTTTTGCCCTCGTTCTTGGGATAAAGGAAGACGGCAGCATCCCAGTCGTCGTCGAACAGCGGGTCCTCGTCCTTTTCTGACTTCAAGGCCGGCAGGCGAGACGTGAGGAGGGCAAGGTGGGTAGTCATGGACAGGAGGGCTAGCGGGTAGGAAAGCGGCGGCGAGAGGAGGAGAATCTGATATAAGTCAGCTTGAATCGCGTAAGAGGAAGGAGCCACATACATCGATGTATAACTTCCAGTGGAAGCGGCTGTTGATGTACAGTCTGTCCTTGAGCTCCCCACTAGCAAGCAAGCTCTCGGTGAGCATCGAGGCGAGGAAGACGGGTAGCGGGTCGTCGTCGCGGAAGCCTGGAATCTCCACGCTGGTCTCAATCCACGAGTTCTGTCCCTTGCCCTTGCCATGATTCTCAGCATCGGTGTCGCGCATTTCTGCATCCCCCGCCGCTACTGAGAGTGTATTGCCCCGCGCATCGGGGGAAGGCCGCCGTTGTGACTTTTCCACCTCTGCTTTGACGCCTACTAGTGCTTCGGTGCCATCCTCGAGGGCGATGCGTGCGCTTCCGTTCGCTCCAGGCAGCACGTCATACTCTGCGCGCATAGACCGGAAGTCCTTGGGACCCTTGGTGTGGTCGAAACGGATGGGGGGTGACTGGACGAGGGTCGATCGCAGGAAGGATAGCTCGGCCGGGGACAGGGTGACCTGCTGCGGCTGGTTTGGCGCCATGTTGTCTCAGTGGTGTGGTACCTCGTGGTGTTGGCTGCAGCTGTACATATTTTTGAGAGGTCAAGCGCGTGGTTCTTTCCAAGCTCGGGCCTAGCTTGAGTACGAGTAGCGCGTCATGCCGCTTGCGCTGGCACAAGTCCGACCGCTTCTTTAGTTACGGGAACTATGCTAGCAGCAAACTTCTCTGAAAGAAGCATTCTCCCATTGCCTCACTTTCTGTGTACAGGACAACACTCGCTGCCTGCCCGCGGCTATGACGTTGCAGTAATACCAGTGCCCACGCGACCTTGTACCCTGTCACACGCGCCGAATCGCCGCAGCGCCGCGGCATGCCATCCCGCCAGATGCGGAACAGCAACAGCAATGGCATCGACAAGCTCGACTACCATCCTACCCGCCCCCTTCTCCATAGCGACAACGAGTCCGCTCCGAGTCGATCATCGCGAGACACGAGCTACGCTGGCAGCTTCTTCGAACAGGTGGCAGAAGGCGTCATGGAGCGCGACCGCGTGCGTATCCAGCGCGAAGCTGTGCGATGGCTGAGCTTCATTTGGGCCCTCATCAACTGCCTCTGCGCTGGTAGCATCACTGCCTACTCGCTATACGGCCATCTGTTTCAGTCGAGGCTGCACTACACCCAGTTCCAGGTCAACATCGTCAGCATCACTGCCGAGCTGGGCATGTATTTGCCTGTGCCTGCCTTTGGCTACCTCTGCGATCGCGTCGGCCCCGGCACTCCATCCGCTCTATCTGGTGTATTATTTGGATTGGGATATCTGCTAGCTGCCTTTGCATACAAGAGCGGGCCTCCGCCGTCTGCGGGCGGTCATGGCTGGCCGTTCGGCGTCATGGTACTGTCGTTCGTCGCGATAGGCATGGGCACGAGCTGCATGTACCTCTCGGCCGTCACAACGTGCGCGAAGAATTTTGGACGCGGAAAGTGGAAGGGCATTGCTTTGGCGGCGCCCATTGCTGCCTTTGGCCTCAGCGGGTTCTGGCAGAGTCAGGTCGGCAGCAGGCTGCTGTACGATGTGAAGCCGGACGGGACGAGAGGCGATGTGAACGTCTACAAGTTCTTCCTGTTCCTGGGCATCACACTCTGTGTTGTCGGCATCATAGGCTTCTTCGCCCTGCAGATCGTAAACGAGGAAGAGATGATAGACGAAGCAGTAGATGAATTGGAACGATCAGGTCTGCTGGCCCACGACGAGTTCTTCACCCAAGCCGCCAGCGTTCACGGGTACGGCACCATGGAGCCTCGCGAACTCTCCGACTCCACATTCGACTTCCTCCAATCCGAAGCCGAGCGCCTGAAAGCCCAAGCCGAAGAAGAAGCCCGCAAGAAGACATGGCTCCTGAACGAAGAGACCAAGCGCTACGTATCCGATCCAACCATGTGGTGGCTCGCAACCGGCTTCTTTCTCGTCACCGGCCCCGGTGAAGCCTTCATCAATAATCTCGGCACCATTATCGGCACCCTCACTCCGCCTCACACACAGGCCACTACCTCCCCTGCAACCCACGTCTCTATTGTAGCCATCACCTCTACCATCGCCCGTCTCGTAACCGGCACCCTCTCCGACATCCTCGCCCCCGTAGCCCCAATCCACCAGCATCGCCGTGGCCCTGACTCGGTCGCCAACTCTACATCCTCTCTCTTGCCGCAGCATAAGAGGTTTTCGGTCTCCCGCATCACTTTCCTCCTTACATTCGCCTTCATCCTCTCCCTCGGCCAATTGCTCCTCGCAAGCGGCTGGGTCCAAAACCACCCCTCCCGCTTCGCAGCCGTCTCCGCCCTCATCGGCTCCGGCTACGGCGCCGTCTTCAGTCTGACGCCCATTGTCGTCTCGGTCGTCTGGGGCGTCGAGAACTTTGGCACGAACTGGGGCATCCTGGCTATGACGCCTGCCGCCGGAGCAACTGTCTGGAGCGCGATCTATGCGACGGTGTACCAGAAGGGGGCTGACGGGGGAGAGCCAGGCATGGAGCGCGATGCTAATGACGTACTGTGCTACGGGAGGGGGTGCTATGCCGTGACGTTTTGGGCGATGGCAGTGAGTGTGTGGGTGGCGATGGGGCTATGGCTGTGGGCTTGGAGGGGCCCCGGCGGTTGGAAGAAGAGGGGGATTGCTGTCTGATCTAGAATTGCATATATGTGGGGGTGGATTGTACAGGAGATGGATGTGTGTTTGGACTTGGATTTTCTCTTTTACGACTATTGTTATGACAGCGTGCATTGCGGGTTTGTTTATCTAGAAAGGCTTGGCTGGGCTACTGGGATGGAGCATTGGCGTGGATGTCATGCTATACTACATACTGCATATTTCTTTTTTATATACCACAATCTATCCATTACTGTATGGGGAGAAGGAGAACACAGCGTGACGGTTGTTGAAGAGGTTGCTGTATCAAGGCACGTGATCGTCCGCTCTCCACGGTTGATAGTCTGAAGTCACAGAAGTGTGCGCCAACCTCTTGGAAGGGAGGTTCGCCATCTGCCCGCTGGTTACCAGCTACATTCATCCTGCCGCAGTAAGGGCATCGAGATCCTTCAACAATGTGCGCTGGGCCGCCACGCCAACGACTGACAATAGCTTCTTTTTCCTTTCAGAGTGCCCCGTAACGAGCATCCAATTCCAGGGGCAAGATCTTCGGCCTGCTTAGACTTTTACAAGCGGACAGGCTATCTACAATTCCTCCTGGTGCCGACCGACTTCATCTGTATCTCAAATCACTGCCAACGACCTTTACTGCTCCAAGCCGACGTACTTTGTTTCGAAAACGCCCGCATCGGGACCATCGCCCATCTTCGGTCGTTCTTTGATTTGGGGACTGCATTGCTGATTTTTCGGTAGCTCAGGATACGAAATGGGTGTTGCCCCATGCTACTCATTTTTTCCGACGTATTGTTAAATCGCTCAGAGTGAGCAAGTCAGGCATCCCGGGCGCAGACAACAGCTTGTTCACTTACGAGTGCATCGAGGCTAACAAGTGTCTTGGGCGATATAAGGGCGCTATTCTGTCTAACATGCTACGCTTTCATGGAGAAATGGCGATGACTGATTTTGCAATCGCGAAAGGCAAGGAAGTTCGTGACCCTTGGAACCTTGGAATGCTTGCTTTCGGCTAGCGCATATAGCAGATAAGTCCGTACAGGGGGCCGACCCGGGCAACTTCTTGTACTGTGTCTGCCATGCCAACGGTGGGAAGGAAGCGAATGCCGAATATGAGATCATTGAGGGGGCAAGTGGACGTTTCATAGTGTTGATGCCTTTTCGGCCCATCGGAAAAAGTGAGGAAATTTTTGTAAAGTATGGGTGGGTGCATGAAGTTCCTTTTCCAAGAGGGCTACAACTCGCAGGACCACAGCAAAGACTTCAATAGGTTTGGGGAAAAGTATGTAGCAAAGAACGAAGAATGGTGGGAGCAGTTACCAGATAGAAAGGATTACAGCATCGGGAAATATGTCCTCATTTATGGCAAGCCGGATCAGCAGGACGCCGAGGTTTGGGTTGGGAAGATCGCCGAGAAATACGAAGATAACAATTACGGTATCCAATGGATGTACCTTAAGGCCGAAGGTGACGAGAAGACGCACGAGGCGCTGTCCCGTACAAGACACCGCTTTCCCCTTCGGTCGTATAGAGTCTAAGTGTTTGGGGACGAATTGCCTGTTATCGGGATCCCACCAGAGGGGAATTTCGTCATGAAGTATCTCGCGGAGAACCCGGACTTGGTCGACGACAATGGCAATTCTCAGCGTATGGGGTAACCATTCAATGAAACTCGAGGAGACCTCACTCAATCCATGGGAGCTACCAGCTCGTCGCCAACTGATAGCGTTCAGCATCCGGCAGTGGCAGCAAAGAGTTATATCTAGCCTGGACATCTCAATTGGGGACAAAAGAACCGTCACGTCAAAGCTCTGAACGGACGAGGATGTATCTTGCATTTCAATTCTGAATCACTACGGTCGAGCTTCTTGATTTTTTAAAGCCAGTACTTCCGGCATTTCTAGCGCATGCCACTCCGGTTCCAACGCTCAGCGGTACTGCATCTGGTCAGCGAGTATCATGCGAGCGCGTAACATACTGCGTACCTTGACGAATCCGATATCTGCTGCCTTCTCTCGGAACGCCTGTCGGCTCATGTTGAGGCCATATTTGCGGATCAACCCAGCATGCTTCCTCTCGCCGGTGACGACACTACACCTTGGTTTCAGCACTGGCACATTCTACACGAAGCTGAACAAAATTCAGCTTTCTGGGAGAGCTTACCAGCTTCGCGAGCCTTTGCCGTATGTGCGCGGGCGCGAGTACCAGACGTTGTCGTGGGACATTTTGACTTGATTTCGATAGCCTGTTGGAGGATAGACGCGATTCCGTGAGACGAAGAGGGGTATATTGAGTGGTGAAATGTTTTTGTGCGCGATGGCGGGTGGACTCAGTACCTTGATGGTTACCTGGGGTGCGCACGGATGTTTGCCACAAACCACGGCGAGATGGAGGATTAGATCTTCCGATGCGATCTAGGTCTGCGACGTGGAATTGATGTTCGTGGTATTCCGGATTCTTTATCGTGTAGTCATTTGGTGATGAGCATTGGGTGAAGGGGCCGGCGGTTTCGGAATCTCACTTTCATCAACCATTGTATAGCACCGTGTTTACGATGGAGCTGAGCGAGCATTGCATTATTAGTTACCTCTCGGCATTTGTTAGCTTTTGTGTCTTCAAGTATGATTAGCCTTCTGCTGCGTTGAAGCAGCGAGCATGTAATGTATGCTTTTCTCTGAGAACTGATGCAGTGCCGACCAGGTAGAGCGTCCATTCGCTCCTATCCTTGATCTTCCGACCACAACATCCTTTCTCCATCAGCGACCAGAAATAGTGGCTGTCGGTAAGCCTCGCCTTCACAGTGAATAGCACGCTCGACTACGCTGTGGGGTAACGTCGGCCTCGGACATCAATTCAAGCACCGATCCGATGCATCTATAATCGGTTACATGTATATCCAACCTCGCCGACCACGAACACAGAGCCCAATTTCCACCGCAGCTGCTGAAGATCAGCTTGAAACGTCGTAGACAGGCCGGCAAATAGGCCGCAGTTGTTTGTCGACAGAACGAGCACGGGAAGAAGTCTGCCGAGCATGCACAAGTGATAAAAAGGCCCAGATCTCCACAATCTCCAAGGCCACATCTGCAACAACTGAAGCTTACAATATCTGTTCAGTAAGCCCAAGACAGCTCGCATTCCGGAAATCGTCCGCTGGGAGAGTGGGCTCGAGGCACACGTACGAGATTGGGCGCTGGTGTTGCACGAGCGGAGGAGGCCTGTTTGACGCTAGCTAGCCAAGGCATCGTTATTGCGAGTTATCTCCTATTGGATAATTGTCTTCACCGCACATGTGCTGTGTGATAGTGGTGTTGGCGGCCGTTGGTAAGAAAGACCCACTCCTACTGCATTCGGTTACGCTCGAGCAGTGTTAGGGCGTGGAGCGTCGTGATGACAAATGCCCAGGCTCAGGTACTTAGGTATATCCATTCGATATTCCCGTAGAACCTCACATTTCCGTGTAACAGTTGCAATTATCTAAATCCGTCATTTCTACGATCATGTCTGAGCAGATTATCTTCTACGACCTCCCGACCAAGCCTCCCGTCAAAGGATGGTCATTCAATCCATGGAGAAGTAACCGCACACGTGCTGTATATCCTCCAGCCGCTGACATTTCCAGTACGCATGGTCTTGAACATCAAGGGCATCGACTACAAGACACAATGGGTCGAGTACCCGGATTTAGTCCCCACGCTCAAAGCCCTGTACGCACCTCACCATCTTACCCCCACAAACAACTAACCCACCCAGCGGCCTCCCCCAAACGACCCCAATGACCCCGGCTACTTCACAGACTACACCAGCCCCGCCATCCGCTACGCCGACGGCACCTACGCAATGGACAGCTGGAAAATCGCCAACACCCTCGAGAAACAATACCCTCCCCATCCCTCCACCTGACCACCCCATCGTCGAAAAAGTGCGCAACATGCCCTGGTCAAACCCATCATCTTCCACCTCCTCCCCAAAGTCCCGAAGAACCTGCTGAGTGAAGTCTCAGCGGAGTACTTCAACCTCACGCGCGAGGAGAGCTTCGGCAAGCCCCTGCCGCAGCTAGAAGCCGAGGCAAAGGAGGAGGCATGGGAGGAGATGAAGCCTATTGCGAAGGATGTTGGGGATTTGCTTAGGGAGAAGGGGGCCGTTCTTTTGGGGAGACGGGTGAGTTTTGATTGTGAGTGAAATGTGTTGAGAGATGGCTGACAGGACGTAGTTTCGTATGCGGACGTCATTCTTGTGACGATGCTCAAGTTTATGGAGCTTTTGGATGGGGGAATTTTTCAGAGGTATTTGGCGCTGGATCCGGCGTTTCCTAAGGTATATGAGGCGTCGAAGAAGTGGTTGGCTAGGGACGATTATTAAGAAAGAGAGGGCTATTTACGAGCATTGCTGCCTGGAGACGTGCTCGCGGGTGCGGGGTTGAACGTCGGATGCAGAGGGGCCGCTGCTCGTTTCGTCCATGCAGATTGTCCCGCCACGGTGCGACACTGTTGTAGATCAGGCGTTTGAGTTGGAAGAATGCTAGCCAACTTCCGTGTCCCATGATTCATGATTCTGAGATTTTCTGATCGTGCTCCTTCTTCAGCCTCTGTCTTTTTACCGCTTTTGCATCTTTTGCAGCCCTCCGCGCAGCCTTCTTCGAGATGGTTGCGGTCTGACCGGGGCTGCTCGAGTTTCCTGGGATCCGCTTTGACTGCTTGAGTTCCATATCTAAAGGTTCGATCCGTGAATATGTCATCTGCAGCAGCGACAGGGCTTTCTGCAGCAGCTCTCGGTCGTTTTGAAAAGTGAGTGACTTGAGCGCATCCCGCCACGACAGGAAAGAAGGTAGATATTTGACTTCTCCTGGTAGCTTTCCCATATCCTCATCCCCTTCCAGGGCTGCAACGAACCACCAGATCATCTTGGTGCCCTTTCCGTTCTTCAGCGTGCGTATATGGCACATGAAAGGCTCTGTAAGGTTCTCGCACACTTGAGCCTTGTCAAGTACATCTGCGTGAGCGTCAACCGGCGTGGCTCTAGTCGGCATGGTGAGTGGCAACAAGCGACAGCGAAATCCGGTTTCTTCCATGACCTCGCGAACTGCTGCATCTTTGCGGGCTTCACCCTGGTTGCGGCGGCCTTTGGCGAAGTGCCATTCCCCAGAGTCTTTGTGTTGTATCAGGCATGTTTTGATGTCGGTGAGATCTGATAGGTCAAATAGGATAGCACCGCAGCTTTCAACGAACTTTTCAGAACTGATGGATTTGGTTTGAAGTGTGCTTGCAGCCATTGTCGTGTTTATGTGCGGACTTGGCGTAGGAGGGAGGGGTGCAAAGCTATTGTATGGTCCACGTTTGGGAGGCCGGCAACAACGTGAAAACAGTGAGAGGCCTCTGCATCAAATCTGAGAGCACCGATAATAATGGCCTGATGTAGAGCTCTGCGGCACGTTTGGCAAGCAAGCATCAACACCACATTTTCGCGATAGGTGTACACAGGCTAACGGTATTCGTACTAATACCTTCCACTTCGAGCCTGATGACGTAACTAGCAAGAGGAGGAGACAACGTTCTCACCCGACAGCACAGGTACTACCAGTGTCACTCACCCACAAGAATTGCTACGCAGCCCCTCATAGTAGTTCTATCTTACCATATACCTAGCTCACTAACCAGGAGCCTACACAGCAAGCTTGCGGAAGAAGTCATCAACGAGAACAAGCCTTACCGGTCTTGGCGATATCAAGATGGGGAACGCCGTGCTGCATCGATGCATGCAACACATGTTCGGTCCTCCCCCAGTATTGGAAGCTGTGCGAGGCCGCCCGCCAAGGCTTACACAGGCTGTTGCCTGATTGCGGCATATATGTGCTTTCAGACAGACAACCAATCTTCTCTACCTACCGCATCTTCCCCTTCTACCCCTGGAAGTCCCTCACCGTATGACTCATTTCCAGTTGCATCTCCGCTGCATCACTTCGTATCTTGGACGCAACTACAAGCTATAAGAGGCACCGAGTTTCACTTACTCCGCTCCACTTTGGTTCACCTCGACCTATGTTTAGGCCCCCCTTTTCCACCATCTGATCATATCTTTCTCCGATAACCTCTAACACCATGGCCTCTTCTGGCAGCGTATTTTCCCAGACCTTGCAAGACATCACCACCACCAAGTTGGAGGAGCTTGCTGGACAGCGCCTTGCTTTCGAGAAGCAATACAAGCAGCTGCTGGACAAGACCTCCCATTTTGACGACCGTCTGGAGAGAGTCTTTATCCTGGCTGATGGCATCAAGTCATGCCTTAGCGTTGTTACAGAGTCGTCAAAAGATGGCAAGAGCGGCCGCGTTGTGGTAGGCTCGACTGGCAATAAGCGCCTTGAAACAGACTTGAAGAACCTCGATCAGTTTCTGGAACAGGCCCGATATGATCCGTCTGTCTCGCCCAAGGTCCTCGAGAATTGGCAGAATATGCTTCTTCGGTATCTTTCCATCCAATCGGCCAAGTACCAATACGCAGGTAAGTCTATCCCCCGGTAGCTCGACGCATGTCTCACCCGCCTACAGATCTGTACGGACGGATCGTCACCGAGTGGCTGTCTTCAGAGCAATCTGCTCTTAGTGAAGACGACCCCAAGTCGGGCGACAGTTTCGAAGAGCTGCCCGGAGCGAAGAAACTTGAAGCCCGCGCCAAGTGGGAGAAAGTGGTCTTCGAGCCTGCTAATGTAAACGAAGAAGGGCTGAACGACTACCTTAAACGCCTCTTCTCTGTAGAAGAAGAAAGCAAGACAGACGAGGAGGGCAAGGAAGCAGACTCTGAAGTACGAACTGCCTTAGAAGAGCTGCGTCGCAAGGTTACTGCCTTCGAAAACAGTCTCAGCGGCTCCCAGCAGTTCAATGTCCAGAAGCTGAGATGGGTTGTTCAGGGCCTGCAGGCTTCTGACCTCCTATCTAACGAAAAGCGCGAGGTCCTCAAAGACTTCTTGAGCAACGATGTCATCTTGCACGAGATCGCAGATGTGCTCAACATGCGCATGGCTGTCCTGGGGCGATGGTCGTGGGGCGACCACGTCCCGCTCGAGGAACGACGAAATGTCAATGGCGGCTACAGTATCCAAATGCACGAAGATCTCTTGCAGGCTATCTTCCTGCATTACATTGGCGTAAAATGGTCCGTCTTCTTCAAGAATGCATTCAAGGATTTCCGCAAGGAGGCTTGGGAGACGAACCAAATCACCGTCCCGAAGGGTGACCGCCTCCGCCGTGAATACTACCTCGGCAGCGATGGCACCCAGGCTTACCCCAATCTTCAGAAGAATCGGGCTATCGGCCACCGGAAAACCTACTTCGCTCACCAGCTGCTCGACTACGAGCGTCAAAGCGTGGAGACGGAAGAGGGAGAGGAGGAAGCTGAATACGGAGGCTACGCGCAGCAACCTATGGCGGCGCAACGATTTGCAATGCACCAACCTGCGGCGATGCAACCACTTGCAATGCACCGACCTGCGGCGGCGCAGCAATCTATGCAGCAGCAGTTCACCACCGGTCGCACTAAACAAACAGCTCGTAAGTCCATTGGCAGGGCACGTCCCGCGCAATCAGCAATGCGATATGTTAGTAAGTGGAGGTCTTGACTTATGGCCGCTTATCAACCGTCTTCGGTTACGCGGTAGCCTTTACAGTCTTACCCGATGTTGACTTGCACTGACTTGAGCCCCGTCTAGGCGAAGAAGAAGTAGACATGGACTGTGAGGACTATTCTGATGAAGACGACGACACCGATGAACCAAAGAACCCGATGGCCGCGAAACAGAAGCTTGTTCACACCGTGGCCACCGAGATTGTTCTGAACACTCGCCTGCACGGGGAGTTGACATGCTTCCGTTCTACCTTCGAGTCGTGGAACCCTCTTTTACCGCATGAGACTATCCTTAAAGTGCTCAAGTTCTTCGGAGTCGGTGATAAGTGGTGCTCTTTCTTCAAGACCTTTCTCCAAGCTCCACTGAAGTTCGCGGACGATACGTCTTCGTCTCCGCGCCTGCGTCGCCGCGGTACTCCCGGGTCGCATGCGCTGAGCGACGTGTTTGGCGAGGTCGTGCTTGCGTGCCTTGATCTCTCTGTTAACCTGGAAACTGGTGGCGAGATGATGTATCGCCTCTACGACGACATCTGGTTTTGGTCAAAGGACTATGAGAAGTGCGCAAAGGCTTGGGATTGTGTAAAGCAATTCACCGCTGCTATGAATGTCGAGGTATGTTCCATCAACTCACCTCAAATGAAGCCCGTGGCAATGGCGCCACACTCCATCGTTATCTCAGGTTCACTAATTTCACCAGATTGACGATGTCAAGACCGGCAGCGTCCACATCTTCGCCGACAAATCCAAACACCAATCCACCGACGTAGACATGGACGGACGCCTCCCAGCCGGAGAAATCCGCTGGGGCTTCCTCTACCTCGACGGCTTCACCGGCCGCTTCGAGATCGACGAGAAAATGGTCGAGGGCCACATCGAGGAGCTCCGCACGCAGCTACAAGGCAAGTCCAAGAGCGTCATCGACTGGATCCAAGCATGGAACACCTACGCCGCCACCTTCTTCAGCTCCAACTTCGGCAAGCCCGCCAACTGCTTCGGCCGCGAGCACGTAGACAGAATGCTCGCCACGCACCGCCGCATCCAAGAGAAGATCTTCGACGGCGGGAACGTCGTCCAGTTCCTCAAGCAGACGATTGAAGAGCGCTTCCAGGTGGAGGACATCCCCGAGGGTTTTCTCTTCTTCCCCGTTGAACTGGGCGGTTTGGACCTCAAGTCCCCCTTCGTAGGCCTCCTCCAGATCCGCGAGTCCGTTAAGGAGAACCCCTACGACTTCCTCGACGAGTTCGAGAAGAAAGAGCGCAAGGACTACGCCGAGGCGAAGACGGCTTTCGACCGCGGCGACGTGGGGAAGAATCGCAAGGGCCAGGTGGAGCCTGAGTTTAAGCCTGCCACGGGTGCGGACGAGTTCTTCTCCTTCGAGGAATACGTTAGGTACCGCGAGGAGTATGCGCCGACTGCAAAGGCGGATATCATGCGCACGTATGGCAGCTTGATGAGGCGCCCGCAGGAAGAGTCCATCGATGTCAGCACGCAGATTCAGGACGCGACGTCGCAGTTGAATGGGCAGAGCAACCTGAAGGGCATCACGGCGTACTGGGCTGCCATGGAACCGTACTGGAAGTGGGTTGCGCAGATGTACGGGCCGGAGATGTGTGAGAGGTTTGGGGGCTTGAATGTCGTGGACCCGGGATTGCTGCCTATTGGCATGGTGAGTATGTTCCGCGAAAAGAGGATCAAGTGGCAGGGCTAGATGGGGGCTGTCTCAATGCAATGCTCACGAGGATGATACTGCGGATGTCTAGTTGGTACACTTAGGTCGTTTGTATGGCACATGAGATCTTTCAGCCTTGGGAAACCGTGTCAACTGTCTCCCTCCACCACGGACTATAAATTTCACACCGTACACACAACCACAGCGCACGACACTGACAACGAATCGGCTCCACGAGTGTCTCGCGCCAGCCCGAGAGACGGCCACGCAGCATCAGCTCGCAGCTCTCAACACGTACTATACTGCAAGTTCCTCCACGCCACCCTTACACACACATAGTTCGACCCTACCTTAACACTCGGTATTCATTTTGCGAGGAGTCAACGCCGCAAAGTCCATCTTTTTGTCGGCCACAGCGCAACTCACCTTCACCTTCACCTTCACCTCCCAGACATCAATCACCTCACCCAACTCAACTCGTTCAAAGCATCCCACCGAACACTTCCCTGATAACTCCTCTCGGAGATCCCTAACCCATCCATCCATCCATCCATTCCACCCCGCCTCGCCTCCTAGCGCCTTTAACCCCGCAACATCTTTCGCACTGTCCGAGTCCCCACCCACCCCATGTCAACCCTCACCGCGACTGTGGCGTCCCTGTGGCGCAAGCGGCGTAGCCGTGGCTGTGGAATCCTACTCGCCCATCTATGCCAGCGCATCGTCGCCGGTCGATCCGAGGTCGATCCGCAGTCTTGTAAGGTATCCCCAGTCTTAATTGGGTTTGTACAAATGGCGTCATGGCAAATATTGATTCAAGCCTGCATCGCCACTGTTATGCATTGGGCGGCAATAGCGAACGAAGGCAAGGCTTGTTTGGAAACATTGCGAATCGCTGGCTCCGAGGTTGCAGATCTCAAGGAGGGAGAAACGGCCGTCTAAAAGTAGAAAGCGAAGTGATTCGTCATTGATCCAATGAACGAGATCTCCGACATCTACATGTCTTAGCTATCTACACTATACTATACTACAATCCATTATCATTAAAATCGCCGGTGGGGGGCGTCGTCATCATAACCGTATATCCAGCCCATGCTAGTCGTAAACGGACGTGATCATGATGCTACGCTCATCGAAGACGCAATCATCCAAGGTGTCATCTATCTATACAGAAGGTCATTAGCGCAATGCTTCAAAACGAAATTCGTGAACCGCATTCCCAGCCCAATATGGCTTCCTCCTCATGTTGTGACCAGGGTATTCAGCCGCGAAGAAGTAATGCAGATACCCAGCCCATATGTGTTTTGTTTCCATCTCTTTTTGTTTGTAATGCAAAGCGACATGCGCTAGTAGTACGTGTCGACAACGTCTTGGCCTGCTCGAATAGCCCATTCGACAATCTCCATGCCACCGAGCCCACTGGCCCAGAAGCTCTTGTTGCACCCTTGCAGCCTGTTGAGGTACCCGTACGCTCCATTTCTGAGCGCCTTACTGCCGAAGTGAGGGAAGTAATCCCATTTCTTGAACATCTTGATCTCATCAGAGTCTAAAGGTTCAGCTTTCGCTGTCATGTTCCTTGGATCTTTGTTGATCTTCGAGAGAGTTGTCTTCAAAATGTCGCGAGCGGCAGACTCCGACTCGTACTCGTTATCTTTACCCCAGGACCAGGATGTCGAGACGTTGGAAGCAGCGCTCAGACGCAGCACGGCTACCGGCTCCATATCATTTGGCGGAGGGACACTGGAGTTGGAGCTGTTGGCGATATACGATACGCCAAAGGGAAGCTCGAACTCCACTGCAGAGGAGTAGTAGTTGTGAGTGACGACTTCAGAGAACACATCCTGTTCTTCTTCAGTCAGGTCCAGGCCCACTCTTTCTAGGTTTGCGATCGAAGGCGGAAACGCGAAGATCAGCGAATCGCATTCTTGTTTGCCCCATCGATAGAAGTTGCTGTAAGGCTTGGGTGCAGTGTACTTGACGACAGGGTTCTTCCCGGATCGATCAATGCAGCGAACCTCATGCGAAAGATTTATCTTTGCCTTGCAACCCTTCTTCTTCAACCACTCGACCCAGATCTTGTGGAAATCGGTGTAGTATACGTTATGCTGACCGAGGAATCCGGTCAGTATGTCGGGCGTAAAGTACTGCATGATGTACAACTGCGAAGGTCAGTGGACTGTGCCTAGCTTTGATTCTTTGAGGTATGCTTACTGCCGGCACAACTCTGATATCTCCATATCCATAGAGGGCGATAGGGTTAACGAGCAGCTGAGGAAGGATAGTGAAGTTGTTCGTCTTGAACCATTCCTCCCCAGAAACGGTTAGACTGTCAGGTACACCTTTCTATTCCAGAGTTAGCTTTCCTGCTATCGATGCGGACACTCTTCCACATACCTTGTAGTTTGTAGCGCTGATGGGTGCAAAGTCGCGATTCCAAAGCTGAACGTATCGCGGTACCTCAGCGGCTACGAGTTGCAAAGCTTGTGTGGACAACGCCGGATAAGGATCTGTCGCGCCGGTTGTGATGTTGAAGCGGAATTGTTCTCGTGCACCTGCAAGCGCGAATTCTTCGATGGACACGCCGGACTCGTTGATGACTTTCAGGGTCTCGGGATAGCTCGCGTTCGAAAAGAAGGCTGCGCCAAGCGGGTGGAATATTCCTCTAGGAGGGTGGTCAGCCGCGTCTAAGGCGCTTCGCTTCAACGTCGTGTGTAACACTCACTCATCGTCGTAGTATGATTGGCACTTGCCGCCGACAGCAGCTTGTTTTTCGAACACCACGGACTCAATGCCCTTTGCATCTAGCCTCGCAGCCGCTGTCAATCCTGCCGGTCCTCCGCCGATGATGCAGACAGGTGCTTTTGGTGGTCTCGTAGGCAAAGCTGATGCTGTCAGAGACAGATATGTGAGTACGGGTAGCGCAAGAGAGCACTTCATGGAGTACTTCATCTTGAAGGATTTCAAATGGGGAGCAAACTGACGCAGCGACGTACCTGGAGCTTATACTGCAGCTGCATGCATAGACCCACGACCCTGCGTATCTTCCTGAGGAAGTATTGACCCTCGGCTGCACGGTGCGTTGGCAATGATTCGACTGAGGAGCGCTAAAAGCCAGGTTGGATCCCGCCTATACGCCATTCCTCCGGATTACGAGCCTCGACTGGGCAACTACTGGGCGGAAAAGTTACCGTCTGAGAAAATTGGGACGGCGGTTGCTCGTGCGCAGAAGCTTTGGGCTTCCATCATGACGTTCCATGGTCCGGGAGCTGCTGCAAAAGCGTTAGAATTAATTTAGAAACAACAATGCCCCTGATCATAGCGGTATCCAGGGAAACGATGCTTTGCACAAATTGTCGTGGCTCGCCTCGTCATGACCGATCACTTTCTGCTGGACAATTGTTGGCTCGTATGTCGGAACGTTACTGCCGACAGTGTAGCGAGGCGATCGGTATCGATATGCGGTGTACAGCTGTACAACAGATGTCATGCTGCATGATTGAACGCTCGTTGTGCATGCAGATGCAAGCGCCGATTGCGCGGTGCCGAGGCGCGCCATTTCAGCCCTGGCCCAGCGCTACGTCTCAGTTCCACCTGCTCCAGATACTCGGGTGGCTCCTGACCCTTCATATGTGTCGCATGGCCTCCGGATCGCGAGCATTGAAAACCAGTCGTGCACCGGGCATGACACGACGGAGATGAAATGTGTCGAGCTGTCCCGAGGATGTTGGGCACGTTGGCGCTGCTACCGTCGACAACACAGCTAAGCCACAGAGGAGGCGCTTGGTGGGCCAGCGCAGCCGCCTGCCAGCTCACCAAGCTCACTCGGCGACCTTGATCTTTGCGACCCAAATGGCGACCTCCAAAGGAAACGTGAGGCAACGAGACGAAAGAAAGCGACGTGATGGTGAAATGACATCATGAAGCACAGACGTGGAAATGGGGAGCTGAATAGCGAAAGCGAAAAGGCGAGGGCGGTCGCACCATGAACGACGGCGAGGAATTCAGCTGGCCAACATGGCGCTCGAGCGCAGCGACTGACTCTGTTTGACTGACCTGAAGGTGGCTTTCGTCATGGTCGAGAGTGAAGGTCGTCAAGTGGACAGTGTATAGGAGAGGAGTGGTGTCGGAGTGTAGAAGCTGACTGAGGCGGGAACAGACTCACCGTACCTGGGTCGTGCCTTCTCTTCTGAGCTCAATGACGTGCTGCGATGCGAAAAGGAAGTTGCGGCAGGACATACCGGAGGATGAACGTCAGGCGCGAACATCAAACACGAATCATGAGCGAACCAGGATTGAGTCGACATGATTTTGATTGATTTACCTCGCCAAACACCTTTCGCTAACAACGTATGAGGGGATATCGTGCGCCCAGAACCGTAAAAACAAAAATGCCCGCCCAAACGACCGACCAGGGTGACTGACTTTTAACGGAAGAGGTGAAGAGACGAAGTGAGCGGGAGTGATCCCGTCGAGAATCTACTGTCTACTGTCGGCGCAGCATAGGCGCAAATTAGTGAAAGAAGAAGAAAGAAAGTAGAAACGAGCGATCGATCAGTACATGTACGTCTTCTGTTGCTCTATATCGTAATCGAACCGACTCTTGTCGGTGGCCCCGCTCATCGGTCGCAGACCGTGGCTGATTTGCACGTGTGCAGTAGCAGTGTCCGGTCTTGAGTCGGTTTGGGTCAACTTGCGCGTGTCCATCTCTACTTGGTCGAGGACCGGCGTCACCTTCTCCTTCCTGCGGCTATGGGTCGAGCCGTTGGCATATTTGGAGCCGTTCGCGCGAGCCCTCACAGGGAAGAGCAGAGGTTTCAACGCGGGAATGCATCCGCACATCACTCCGACATTGGTCTCGATGGCAGTCCAGAGCCAGATCTCATAACCATACCAAGTGGTATCGTATGTCTCGTATAGGACGTAGTGGACCCAGTAGGCGCGGAAGCTGCCGGCAACGACGATGACGCCGCCGACGGAGAAAAGGATAACGAGACCGACGCGCTGGATCATGGGAAGCGACAAGCTGAACAGGGTAGGGATCGGAAGAGCGTATATCATGAAGTCGGTTACAACGTTGACCACGGTCTGGGTAACCAGGGGAGGACCTTCGGCTATGCAGTCGCCATCTCCAGCGAGCAGAGTCCAGTAGCTTGAGATCGGTCTGCAACTGTCAGCTATGCCGACACTGCACGCAGGGCAACACTTACATGCACTGCAACCAGAGGGCGATGAGGAAGGTGAGGAAGGCTGCAATTACAATGCCCAAGGTGACCCAAACGAGTTTGCGGAATGTCGACTTCTGGGGCGCAACGCGGAAATACGAGACAAGGATAGACATTTTGGCGAAGCTAGACGCAAGAACGAAGAGGCTCTGACCGGCCAGTGATGCCTGCACAGCGTTAGATGGCGGCACATCCTACAATGAGCAGTGAAGGTGTACCTTTCGACCATTCTGCAACAGTGGAATGGTTGCATCCCAAACATGGAGGTTCCATCCGTACATCTGGACCGCCATGATGACCAAGGCCGTTGTGAGACAAGAGAAGATCTGTTTCTGTTCAGCTAACGTTCTTCACCATTCAAGTGCTTCACCTACCATGGCAACCACCATAAGGTAGTCATCCCACCAACTCTTGTGAAGCCATCCGATCCGGATCCAGAGCCGCAGGATAACACAGATGAGAGCAATAGGCACTAGGGTCAGCTCGACTATCATGAGGCCAGGTCCTCGGACAACGGGGTCGACATAGTTCGGCTTGGGCCAGTGCGCGCGGACCTCTGCTGGTGGGAATCTCATCGTGAATAGGGTATCGTCGGAGGACTGCGGTGCACTCCGACGATGGATACAGCTCAAGAAGCAATATTGACGTTAAGCACCCTGCGGCTACTGTGGTATTCTTGTTCAACGAAGGTAGAGACAAGACTTGGACGGAGCGTCACTTCGCTTCTGAAGCACAGGACAGGTAGTATTGATATATGGTCCTCCACGGATGGGCACAGTCCATGCTCAGCTTGCCGGGCCAGGGCCCATCTCCACAATGGCGAAGTCGGTGCGGCCAGGTACATGCAGGATGCTCATGTTTGTCGCCCGGAGTGGAACAGTCTCAAGACGCTACGCGGCAGTATACCGTGGGCACTGGATGACATGCCGCGACCCATTGCCAGGGGTCCAGGGACTTGATCCTCTCAGTCAGCCTGGACGAAGCGTGACTTGCGACCACCAATATCAGGCACTTTTCTCAGTGGCCATAGGCAGTGGGTCTGGCCGCCCCCAGGCACAGGCAAGTGTTGATGTAGCATCCCAGTGGTCAGCTACGCAGGGCACCTTCGGGAAGCGCGGGCCAATGAGGTGCGGGAGGCAGGGTTAAATCGGTGGCGGCGCTTCCGGCCGCATAGTCGACCACCTTGCTGCGCCATGTGATTTGGGGACCGTCGTGATGAGCCTGTATCGCCTACTTGATGGGGGCTTGAGTCGAGATTCTGTTGGAAAGCCCCGCCGCACGATGATGGCACGACTACTCACAGTGCCGGAGTCGGACGTCTTTTGGCGTGGTGGTTTTGTGCCACACTCGTTTATCCCGCTTTCGCTTAAGCGCTGCGGATGATCGGCCAATGACTTACTTTCCTGAGCAAGGACATCCTCGATACGCACTCTCCACCACAGCAAATCAATTCTCCGCACTGCTAGCAGCTGTGATTGTCTGTGACGACGCCGTTGAAGCGGACGAGGGAAGAGGGGCCGCGCTTCGAAGCCGCCTCCCTCCTCGTGGGCCGCACGCGATCCGGCCGTCTGTGGACCCTCAGCAATTCTTGTTCCAGGGTGCTGGTCCGTATCCGGCTCTACTTTCCCTGTAGCCGTCCCATCAGCATTCGTATCCTCCTCGACGACAGTGGAGATTATCGCGAATCTGGCCTCTTCGAGCTGTTGCCCATGAACAACCCACAGCTTCGAGGGCAGCGAGCTTGCCCGCTACCCCTGAGAATAACGCCCAATTCTCTCTCACAATGTCTGTTCAATAATAGGACACCCTAGAGTTTCCTGCCATTGATTGGCTAATACTATCATCTCAGTGTAAAGCCTGAATCAGGACTTATTCAATACTACCTATGGTACACGTACTGGACCACGCGAACACCTGTCCGCATCATGCAGGTGTCCCCCTCTGATCCGGGTCGAATCACTTTGCATGGTTGCATCCTTTGGCCTGTCCTCCGATGTGGAGTAAAATTTCCGCCTGCAGTACATTGCAGGCCTCTGTTACATTTGTGGATAAGGCATGCGCCTACATGCCCAATCAGGTCAGCGGTCAACAGTCCCAAATGGGCAGGACACCGTTCAGGGACCTGCAGACACTTCAACGAATTATACTTCCCACCCGCCTCGCAGTCGTTCTTCAACCCCTCTTTCACAAACATAAGTGTCACTTCCCCAGGGACGGGCCCGCGGACGCACGGCATGCCTCCCGTCTCAACAAAAGCGGCACAGCATCCGCTCTCACCTCCGGAGTCATCGAGTTTCAATGGTGCAAAGGTTCTCGAACGGTGAAGGCATCCTGGCAGCGTGCGTATAGTTCGCAAGGCAACCGGAAGGCTCCGTCTCAACAAGTGCCGTTCATGAGCAATCCCCGGGTACGAATGTAACTTCCAGTCCCTGTTTGATCGTCGTTTTGGGAGCGCCACCTTATCCCGCTTTCCAATTCTTCCACCGATCTCGTAGGTAGTATGCCAAGCTAGGAGTGAGCGAACTCCGCTAGAAGATGGCACGACGAGGCAGACACGATTGCCTCATTGACCGATTATACTTCTCGGGAATGAATGCTTCTTCCAGAAGGTGTCGGCGTCGCTTCCACGGCAGAGAAGAAGGCGAATTGCCTTGTCGGAAGATTTCATGAGCAGCTCCTAGACGGAAGAGCTCCATCTTTCAAGTCCCGCTCAATTCCATCAGTCAAACACATTACTAAACTGGATATCCATGCTACGGCTTTTAGCAGACTCGCAAACCCGATGGCCTCTTACGCGCCTCCCGCTGGGCTCCTACCTCGGAGAACGAAAGTGATATAGCTTTCCACGGTAATGGTCACTAGAAAATCAGCGGCAGCAGTCTATGCTGTGCATTTACTCGCATTCAGTGCATCAACCTCACAAGGCTTGTTTCCAGGAATTTAACTCGCGGCCTCGCAATGTCTTCTCTCCCGTAAACATGCCTCTACCATCGCTGTCACCAATCATCCCGTTCAACGATGCTCCCGCATGAATTGAACACCTTTTTCATTCTCTGCCAGACGGCAATCCCGCAAAGATCATGAACAGCTCGGATGCGGCAGGAATCTAGCCTGCGTGTCACCCCTCCTGCACGCGTGATATGCTGTGTTTCGTAACGTCGTGCAAGGAGCACGATCCCAAGTCGACGACCCAGGACCGCTGAGAATGCTGTATGTGAGCATCTGATCACTGGACTACGCGTTCTTCGTACGGAACGTTCTGATAGGAGAAGCGAAACGTAAACAGGATTCAGCATTCTAAATCGGAACACAGGCGTAGACTGCTCGTCCAGACCATTTAGCAACGGAGGGACTCTCACAAGATGTCACCCCTTGAGTACCATTGAATGCGACACTAGACACGGCAGCATTGAAGATCGAGTCCGTTTGTAGGGGTTCGAGTGTGCGGCGTTGTACTCCGTCTGACCCAGCAAGCCATCTCATCGTCCTACCCCAATATTCGGAGAGAAAGCAATCATTTACGTCGCCAGATAGCCACGGATAGACAATCGGCGGGATGTGCTAACCTTATCTTCCAACGCCAGGACTTGCGTCGTACCGCCTATAAGAGCTACGCGATCGGCAGCCCCTAATCCGAATTGGGCAGGCTTTCCCTACACAACCCCAGCTATTTGTGCGGAGATACTCGAGCTGCATGCAGCACATCTTATCGCTACTCCAACTTGGAGTAAGCAAATCTACCTGTCGTCATCTACGGCGGCTACTCCAACGGTTCCCGCGACTTCACACTGGTAGTTTGTATCGGCATATCGAAGTCTTATGTACCGAACAGTATAGTCTGCTCACTGCTTTCCGCCAGGGTTTCTGATAAGACACATAGATATAAGGAGATGCGGTCTCCCCACTTGCTCCGCTGTGTAAACTTGGACCTGCGCTCGAAGCGATCATGGCAGACTCGGCGGCCGCAATACTGCCCGTTGGAGCCGGCTATGGCGTCGTCGTCGGCATCGGGTTCTTCTTCGCCTTCCTGATGATGGGCATCTCGTGGATACAGAATCGTTACACTCCCTACTCGACGAAGCAATCGGAAGAGTTCAACACGGCCTCACGATCTGTCAAGCCGGGCCTTATAGCATCGGGTATCGTCTCGGCATGGACGTGGGCTGCTACACTACTGCAATCGAGCACGGTGAGCTATGCGCTTGACCTTATGGTTGTAAGATATTGATGTTAAATAGGTGGCGTATACATACGGTGTGGCAGGTCCTTTCTGGTATGCAGCAGGCGCCACGGTCCAGATCCTATTATTCTCTATTCTGGCCTGTAAAGTCAAACAGAACGCGCCGCGATGCCATACATACCTCGAGATCATCAACGCGCGATATGGACGCGAAGCCCACTTGGTCTTCATGGTGTTTGCCTTCATTACGAATATCCTAGTCGGCAGTCAATTGCTGCTGGGAGGAAGTGCCGTGGTCACGGCATTAACGGGCATGAATGTTTATGCTGCTATCTTCCTTATTCCCGTCGGTACGTGTTCCGACTCCAACTCGTTGAGAAGTCACTCATTCTCTCAGGGGTCTGCGCGTATGTGATTCTCGGTGGACTTCGCGCGACATTTCTCTGCGACTATTCTCACACACTCATACTCATGATTATCATCCTGTACTTCATGTTCGACGCGTACGCCACCAACTCCTTAATTGGATCGCCCTCCGCAATGTATGATCTGCTCCGGAAAGCTGCAGTCCAAAGACCCATCGACGGCAACCAGGATGGCTCGTACGTCACGCTGAAGTCGAATCTGGGTCTCATCTTCGGCGTCATCCAGCTCTGCTCTGGCTCAGGGACGGTGTTCCTCGACCAAGCCTACTGGCAGCGAGCCATCGCCTCACAGCCTTCGACCGCCGTCAAAGCGTACATCCTCGGCGGGATTGCGTGGTTCGCAATTCCATTCGGTTTCTCGACGACGCTGGGCCTGGCTGCAGCGGCACTGACAGATAACCCTCACTTCCCGACGTATCCCAATGTTCCAAGCGCACGTGAGATTTCGTCCGGCCTCGCGGCGCCTTACGCGGCGATCGCACTGCTGGGGAAGAACGGCGCTGCTGCTCTGCTTGTCGTCTTGTTCATGGCGGTCACGTCGTGCGCCTCTGCGGAACTCATCGCGGTTTCGAGTCTTTTGACGTTCGATGTGTACAAGGCTTATATTCAGCCCAAGGCTACCCCCGAGCAGCTGATCTTCGTGTCGCACATCATGATATGTGTGTTTGGAGTGGTAATGGCTGTTTTTGCCTGCATCTGGAATCTGGCGACCATCGACCTGGGGTGGCTATTTCTGTAAGTGGTCTCCTTGTACAGCTCCTCTTCGCAATTATCGCTAATATCTTCCGCAGGGTCATGGGTATTCTTATAGGCGGCGCAGTATTCCCAACAGCATTCGCCATCGTCTGGAAGAAGCAGACTCGTGCGGGTGCTATCTCCGGCTGTCTCACTGGCCTCGCAGCAGGCCTCATAGCGTGGCTTACCACCGCATACCAGTATTACGGCGAAGTTACCGTCGCGTCGACCGGAACAGAATATGCTACGCTTGCAGGTTGCCTTGCCAGCATCATGACGGGGCTGATCGTTACCGTCGCCGTCACCCTCATCAAACCCGACGACTTTGACTGGGAGGTCACGCGTGCCATAAACGCCGTACCAACAATACAAGGCGTGGGCCAAGACTCTCCCGACTCACCGCGAAGTACCGCAGACGGAGAAAAGCCCAGCCAACCCGAACCTACCTCAAAATCCTCCTCGTCGACACCACCAAATGAGACCGAACCCGAGGCCGCAATGCCTGTATCGAATCTGCAAGAAGATTCGCCCTCATCCTTGCGAAGCGCTTTCAAACTTGCATGCATATCGTCGTTCCTGCTGACCTTCATCATGGACTTCTTGCTTCCGATGCCCATGTTCTTCAGCCACTACATCTTCAGCAAAGGATTCTTCACCGCGTGGGTAGTCATTAGCTTCGCGTGGGTATTTGTCAGCAGTGCTATAAGTTGCTTTCTGCCGCTGTGGGAGACGCGAACATTTTGGGGAGAGCTATATCGGAGTATGAGGAAGGGTGAGACTGTGAAGTGATGCTTTAGCTCGACATAGAATGAGAGTAATGTTTACCTTGAGAATACAGCAGTATCTTACAGCCCTGTCTTTACGTCTTGCATGCTATACAAAAATAAAACAAGGAAGCATTCGGACGCGCTAGGATTCGAACCTAGGTCTCTCACAGCCTCCAGCGCCTGTGCTGCGCTGTGCATCTCAACACCGTAGAACCGAGCACTGTCGCACAGGACGCGTCCTCAGAACCGATGAAAAGGCGTGATGTGAGTGCCTTACCACTGGGCCACGCATCCTATACCATCTTCCCATCCTCTGATCCCAAGATAAAAGGTACATAAAACGTGATCCAAAGCAAAGAAAATGGCGGTGTGCAGGGCGAGGATCGCAGTGCTGGACATGCATGCATGTACCAAACTAGTCCGCTATCGCTCTACCGCCTCTCCGATGATCTGATCAACATGACAATGGGTAACTTGGGGACTGAATGCAGATTACAAACTTGAGAACAAAAAGCAAGTGAGACGCGCTGGGGATTGAACCCAGGTGTCCCACATCGGCCTAAGCCCTGATTGAACTCTACGAGCCCACACTTAGCTTCACCCCCGAACCACGGATGTGACCCACCCAATGGAACATGAGGCGTGGGCGCCTTACCGCTAGGCTACGCGTTCTATATGGTTTTAGATGAAGAAGCCACTGAATGGATTATACTTAAAGTGGTTTGATGTAGGGTGGGAACATAGGGTGTTGTTGTTTGCGTATAGGTGGGTGTCTGGGAGCCTGCATATATGCAGCAAACATGCACTGAAAAAAAGGCGGAAAAGAGCAGAGGGAAAAAAGACAAAGAAGATTTGACATGCTCAAAATCGAACCGAGGTCTCTCACATCACCACCAGTCCGAAGACGGCACCCGCATCTCACGGTATTTGCAAGGAAATGTACGTATTCTTGTGCATGCACTAAGCTTAGGGTCTTTGATGGTGAGCGCCTTGCCACTGGGCCACACGTCCTGTAGTGTGATTGATGACAGATGTGGAAGATTGGGATATATATGAACATTCGAAAGGGATGGACAATTACGGATTATGCGTGCGTGGGAAGGCGAGCGCGGAAGGGCGGGGTGGCCGACAGAGGAAGGCACAGATAAGAAGGAAGGTGCGACGCCAGATCCAGGTAGGACCAAGAAACAGAGCCTATGTCTGTTCCAGAATCGAGTACTATTGGCAAATACTTAGCCTTTTCTATACTCCACTACGAATGAACTCCTCCTGAACTTGTCGAAACAATCCAAAGCCTTCTCAGACTCCAGACATGGGCTTTTTATCTTCGCGTAACGGTGTTGTGAACAAATATAGGAGAACTTTCATGTAAATACAGAACGAAAACAAATGAATATTATCGTTTTCATGAGCCCTTCTCAGGATCGATTGGTTCATTGACTTTTTCAGAGGTAACACGGTAATAGGGATCTGTCAACCAAATTAGATGACCAACCACCTAAGGGCTGATAGTCATGATAGTCAGAAATCTCTTATTGAACATTCTTCCACATGTTCTCTCATGGTACTCGTAAGATGGCCACAAGACTTATATAAAGCACCGATAAGCATAGAGCATCGTGCTGCTCATCGGCGACCGTGAACAAGGAGCGCAGCAAATTCAATGAGACGTGTCGTCACCGCGCCACGGTGACAGCTGATAGGCTATCTGAGTGCCACGAGGCGTTCCGCATGTGGCACAATATGCTTACGAGAACGTACGGTGTTGCTATTCGTTGCGCGCATGGACGTTGCTGAGCAGCGAACGGGCTTAGGCACCATAATCTATGTCAATGCCGCCCCGCAAGTCTTCCTATTTCCGCCCCTGGTGCAGTCACGCGCTTCTGATCAGACTCAATCAATCATGGCCCCAGAGCTCAACGTCGCTGTCACTGGTGGAGCAGTGCGCCTTCTCATAATCTACTCGCTCCCGAATTGCCTCTAACGGTTCGAACAGCCTTTCATGCCTGGCAAGAATTTCAACACCTCCGCCATGGTCCGCGACGCGCTTCCCGAAACCATCAAGCTCGACGACTCACGTCTAATCAACATCATCAAGTATCCACATGATATCCAGGCCTCCTGGTCCGAAGTTCGAGAGACTGTTCCGCAAATTCTCAGTAACAAGCGCCGAGTGTTCATGCCCGATTGTGAAGACCCAGATGCAGAACTTCGTATTGACATACTGGTACAGCTTGGTATGCGCCGCAGCGAGGACTGCATTGTGTTCGAGACTGTTGCGTGGAGGGACGGGTATGTGCAGCTTGATGTAGATGACAAAACGCTACCACCCGGCGACGTAGAACATGGCGGTATCTGGGAGGGCTTGCCTGAGAAACTGGCAACCTGTTTCTCGATATCGAAGCTGCAGCGCAACAGGTGGATAAAGCGTTTCCGGCAAGTTTCCACATGCTCGTCACGTACATTGGCATTGATTGTGTGCCTCCAGGATATCCCGATTCGTGTATCTCAAGATGCAAACTCGTTCATCTGCGAGTTTCAATTCTACTCGGCACTCGCGGAGTTGTACAAGAGGCACCTCCCCGCACGGGTCATATTTGTGCACACACCGCCGGGTACGGCAGAGAAAGATATACAGGACTGTGCAGTTATTGTGGAAGCACTCATCAAAACGCTTGTGGAGCAAAGCGGGTTGTGATTGCTCGATTCGCAACATCCACGAGACACGGATGAGTCCAATGAATCATTTCCATACAAGATCTCACTTCAGGCTGCAATTACGCGCCCTGCGCGATACAGCTGTTCAACGCTAAGGGAACGATGCATGCTCGCACACGCAACTGAATAATAAGAAGTAAGTTGTTTGCTTGACACGGATGCAAATAAGGAGTACAAGGGAGGAATACAAGAAAACGCAGGAACGTACACCCGCCCACCAGCACCACTGCACGCTCGAATACCTGCAAAAACAAAAGAAAACAATTTGGACATGCTCGGAATCGAACCGAGGTCTCTCACATCACCCCAGCGCCCGTCGACGCTGTCCCTTTCTCACATGATCTCGCAGAATCTCGTTGGGAACCTCTCATGAGGTGGATCGTATGGTGTGAGCGCCTTACCACTAGGCCACAAGTCCTGTAGTTGTTTTGATGCAAGAAGGTCGAGCAATGGAGTATATATACGCGCATTGGCTAGAGGGAACTGAATTATTGTGTGTGTGTGCGTGGGTGGGGGAAGCGGGGTGCTGGTGAGAGAGGAAGGCGCGGATAGAGAAGGAAGGAGCAACTAGGTGTGGACTTCGTATATCTCTTTCAGCGGTTTCTCCGCGTGATTTCTTTAGACAGACATTGCAAAAGTATAAACCAACATGACAATATAACCCAACACATTCAAGCGCCACATCCACCTCATCCCGTGCGCCCGAGTGTTGAAAAGAGCGTGTTATCCAAGTATAAAGGAAAAAGGGCACTTGCGATGCAAAGCCGGGGTATCAAGATCGTAAGAAACGAAAACGAACGTCCTCATCTCCGCCTTCCTTTGCTTCCCTCTCTCGCTCAGTTACCATCCCACCAGCATTAGATGCTCTCTCGCGGCTGCACCGCCTTAACCGGCCTCCCCATCGCCGCCTCAATCGCCTCAAAGCTCCCCCTCGGACTCTCCTCCCCACTGCTTTCCTTCGCCCTCAACTCCCAGCTGCCCACGCGCTCGTGCACGATTCTCTTATTCCCGCCAGCAGCGCCAGCAGGGTCGGCGAACGGATCGCTGGTCGCAGGGGCAGCGCCTTTGGCCGCAAGTCCTAGATCCGGGTCCGACGCCAACTTTGCGGACCCTTTGAAGCCGCCGAGCGTGGAAGACTGGCGGGGGCGGCGTTCCACGCGGTGCAGACGGATGCCGCCGAGGAGCATGGCGAGGCCGAAGAGGAGGGCTGCAACGGCGAGGGTGACGACGGCGCCGATGACACCTGCGACTGCGGGGGAGAGCTTGGAGGGGGAGTTGTTAGAGGTGGTGAGCGAAGTGGTGGTCTCGACGGTGGGGCAGAAGACGCTTTGGGAGCTGCACGTTGCGCACCAGTCGCTCGACGTTTTGACTGCGACTTGGTTGATGCTGTCGGAGAAATCGCGCCACGTTATGTCCCCTCTTGAAGGGCCGTTGCGGAACATGGAATAAACTTGGGGTGCGGTGTCATCGTAGCCTTGGGTGCCGTTGTGGTAGGACATGTGTACCCACAGGTTGTTCGGGTCGTCGGCGGTGTTGTTGCCTGTGGTGAAGAGCTCGAAGATGATGGCTGAGGCGAACTCTGGAATCTCTTGCCGAATGCTGTTCTCTGACTGGTAGTAGTCGGCGTCGATGACGGATAGCAGAGAAATCATCGTGTCGTACTCGCCGAAGAGGAGACTTAGGGGCTGCGACATCCCATTTGTACTATTGCCCTCGTTCGCGACGATTTTCTCGAATCTCTCGAGAATGAGCCCCGCAAGCGTTTTGCCGCCCATTGCGCGGTTTGCACTTGTTGCATCTGTGTCTGAGCTGACATTGCCGTAGCGGTACCACGCATCCTGATTGGCAAGATACCGCACCTTGTCGAGGACGCCGGAGTTGTTTCCGTTGTTAAGGTCCAACATAGTGTTCATGTCGTGGGTGTAATGGTACGACAGTGAGTCGTAGATGCCATAAGCGTTCCTGTAATCGCTGTAGGTAGATTATCAGCACTGTGACCATTGCTCTATCCATACATAAAACTTACAGCATTTGCTCCGGTAGATCGTCTTTGAACCAGCTCATGCTCAAGCTCTTGTAGAATGCATCCTGGGCCACCCGCGTACTGACAAAGTCTTGCGTACCCTCATAATTCGCGCTTTCCAAATACGCCCACGGACACTGATTATGCCCATCAAGATAGATACTCCCCGGATCATTTACTCCCAGAGTCAAAACATTCGCATACTGATACCCATCCAACGGATAGTCGACCGTCGACTTATTTGCCAAAATCCCCACGGCATCTGGATAAGGCCCATTCCTCGTCTCGTTCAAGCTGTACTTTGGGTACAGACCCTGCATGAACGCCTGCGCAGCAGCAACCAAGAACGGCTGGTCGAGCGTCTGGACGAAGAGCTGGTCAGGATTGATGCGGTTCGGCGCCATGCCATCGATGGGGCGCACGCCGAGGCGCGTCGCACTTGTTTCGTCGTCGACGATGTAGCGCCCTCTAAAGTTCTGCCCTAGCTGAAGCATCTGCTGTGCGCCCAGAGCTGAGAGCGTCTCAGTCCCGGAACGCACCCAGGGCGTGCGCTCGCCTGTGCGGATGAAAGCTACAGTTCCATAGTTGTTGATTTCAGTTCCGAAGTCCTGCCCTTGGACGACGTGGGCCGCGACCAAGAGCGCAAGAGAGAGCAAGGACATAGCGGCCTCGAGGAGCTGAGCGAGAGCTCAATCGTGGGAGGGTGGCAGAAGCGCGAGGCTGGACAGCACCACACTGGACGTCAGCGCGTACTTATTGGTAGCTGTGCTGAGGCGCTGCATGCGACCTTCCCATATGCATGCTGAGCCAGGCACCGAATGCAATCATGGTCGTCACTAGCTTATCATAGAGCTTGTAGTTGGAGCTCCCCAGAGCTTCCTTTGAGCTTTGTAGCGGGGTAGCTGCAGCTCCGGGCATCCTGGCGGGCGTTCGAGCTGATGATTGGTTGGTTGCGTACTCAGACAGTGAAAGCCCGACTGGGGATTGGTGGTGGAAAGCACACCATCGCAGGTACGGGTTGATTGCAACAAAGAATGGTAGCATTCCATCACCGTCTTGAGCCGCATCCGCAGGCTTCCACGCCTTGTCGCGCGTTGCTGCTTTCCTTTCGCCATCAGCTTCAAGCGCGAAATGACACCGCAGAGGGACTTGAGATATCGTGCAGTACACTCACCGTTCGTCAACACCGCCCAATCTCGATACCTCAGCTCCCCAGCCCTCGCCGTATCCCCCGGGCGTGTCTTATCAGCGCCATCCCCAGTTTAGCCTAGCCTCGTCTTACACCTTCACATCATCCATCACCAGCCTTGCGCAGGTGGCATGTGACATACGCCCGCGGCGCGGCAGTCATCCTCCGTCACAACCTCGTACCTGGCCCTGGAAATTCCCATGTCGGCCCCCGATAAGCCTCGAGCCGGTGCCGCGTTTTCCGGTGGATATCTCGCCGCGGGGTCCCGTACCACCTGTGCCGACGTCCGCTTCCTTGACGGTGGGTCGTCCTTGCATGTCCAGGTGGGATGGAACGTAGAATCATCTCGCTTGCTGTTGGAGCAGAATGCTGTACCGTGAGAACGGAGAGGTGACATAAACGGGCGCTAGCCCCCTTCATTGCAAAGCCGTAGCGTGGTTGGCAGCCGGTAATCCCCAATTCTGGTACGGTCCGGAGCGCAACCACGGAAACGCAGACGGCAACCAACTTTGAGCCTGTGGTAGACAGAACGCTGATAGATGGCATCGGAAAGCTCATACTGTAGAGCTTATATTAAGAATAAAGATACTGTTGATGACACCATATGACATTGATATGTTTGCATTTTGAGCAGGTTATTAAATCTTCGTACGTCAAGTGGCCGAGCAGATTGGCAAAGGCGACCAACACTGTCCCGAGCCAACCAAAAGGCCGTTTGAAACTCCGTCCCAAGCTGAGGGCCTATTGCGACACGAGTCATAGCAGCGGCGGCTTGTTTTTTCTAGCACAAGCACGCCAAAAGCGTATCTAAAAGCGTGAACCCACATTGATATATCCTTCCCTTTTTTCCTTATCCAACAATTACAAGGTAACCTCAACACGACCCTCAGCACCCGGTGCACCGCCCTGCTGGAGCGAGGGGAGGAGGTAGGTAATGTCGTCCCAAGGATGCCTGTACAGACCAGTCCTGAGTCTCTTCTGGTCGAGGAAGTGAGCAATAAGACCAATGCTGCGACCGAGCACGAAGAGACCGTTGAGGACACCCATGCGGAGGTAGTCCTCAGCCTCCTCGGAAGAGAAAGCACCGCAGTTGCGCATCAGGTCAACGAAGCAGACAGCAATGCAACCGTCAACGTTGAGGATGAGGTTGTCCTTCTTGGAGGTAGTGACAGACTCAACAGCAAGAGCGTAGTCGAGCAACTTAGTGCTGGGGAAGTTCTTCTTAACGAACTCCTTGACGAGCTCGACACGAAGATCGGGGTTGTTCCTCGACTTAATCCTGTGACCAATACCGGGGACTAAACTGGGTTAGCAACGGACTCCGGTATAGTCATGAAGAGACTTACTGAGCTTGTTCTCCTTCCTCATGGTGTCGACAAAGTCACGAGGGCTAAGACCCTTGTCGAAAGCCCTGGTGAACTCATCAGCGGCACCGTCAAGGGCACCACCGAAACGAGAACCAATGGTCAAAAGACCAGAGACCAACGCGCTGATGAGATCCTTACCAGCACGGGTGGTGATAATGGTGTTCATGGCACCGGACACGGCAGGACCGTGGTCGGCCGTCAGCATGAGCACCATCTCCAAAAAGCGGCTGGCGTAGTCGGGCAGGCGACGACGGAACCAAAGCAGCGACATGACACCACCAATGCCAATGTTCTCCTTGAAAACATCGGAGATGGGCATACCAGCGTAGAGAAGCTCCTGACCACGGTCGTCGGAGATGGTAGAGATGAAAGCAGCGGGCTTTCGGATAAGGCCAAGTTCCTGAGCCCATGAATAGTCAATGGGGATCTTGGGAACGGCAACCTCTGGCTTGGGCTTAACAGTGCCCTCCTTGAGGAGCTTTTGGTAGACCTGAGCGAGGGTCTGGGGGAGATCCTCGAAGGTCTCTGGCACGTAGATGCCACCCTCCCTCATGGTCTTGTTCTTGGTGGCCGCAGTCTCAAGCTGAGAGTTGGCGAACGAACCAGCGTGACCGAACTGGACCTCGGTCTTGAGCATACCAGCGACGGTACCGATAGCCCATGCAACGATGGGCTTCGTGATCTGACCGGACTTCACAGCCTCAATCACACGGTACTCCTCAATACCACCGACCTCACCAAGCAGCACAATGAGCTTGCAGTCGGGGTCGGCCTGGTAACGGAGGACGTGGTCAATGAAGGTGGTACCGGGATACCTGTCACCACCAATGGCAACACCCTCCAAAACACCGTCGGTGGTGTTGGCGATGATGTTGTTCAGCTCGTTAGACATACCACCGGACTTGGAAACGTAGGAAACGGATCCAGGGCGGTACAGCTTGGAAGCAACAATGTTGTCCATCATACCACCAGTGTTACCGATCTTGAAAGATCCGGGCTTAATACCACCGACGGTGGCGGGGCCGATGATGGTGACACCCTTCTGCTGGGCAACGTACAGGATTTCTCGGGCACGCTACAACTGTCAATGTCGGTTCGGGAGCTGGCAAACGTCAACCACTTACTCGCTCTGGGACACCTTCAGCAATGATGGCGATGGACTTGATCTGGGGGAACTCCATCAATTCCATGGTGGACTGGTACACGGATCGGGAGGAAGCGAAGTTGACAACGGTGTCAACGTCGTTGTGCTTGGCCATGGCCTTGCCGACATCCTGGTAGACGGGCAGCAGGGTCTCGCTGGTTCCCCAGTACCTTTACAATTATTAGCATTCCAATTCCAATCGCACAGTGACTGTGGGCTAACGCACATCTTGCTGACGAACTGACCACCGAAGGTGTAGATGATACCGGCCACGGAGGGTGTCTTGCGCTTGCAGATGAAGTCGAAGTCGAGCATGCCCTGCACGGCACGGGGCTGGAGTCCGCTGTTGCGCTGTTAGTCGCATATCCCCTCCTGACCGCCTTTTTGCGGTGTTGAGCTCCAGGAGTCTTACTAGACGAAGCATCGTGTCTTCGGGTGGAAGAGGGTGTGCGAGGCGGGCGGGCTCATGGGCCGCGAGGGAGCAGCGAAACGGCGGATGTTATCGTTGGCAGAGAGGCTGTCCGACGAGGTAGCCGCCTGGCTGGGGGTGGCCCCGTTGACAGGCGCGGCGGAGGGCATGTTGGCCACAGGTGTTGAAGGCAGTCAATCGGCGGAGGAAAGAGCCTACGTGCGGCACGACGGTCAGTATTCGTGCAATTGATAGCGATCTCGACAGCTGGGTGGGGTGCCTTTGCTGACAGGGAGAGGAATGAGACGGGATGGCAGAAAAAAATAGCGGCGCAGCTGGGGCAGGAGCACACGCGAGGTGAGGCACGGCGGGCAGATACAAAGAGGGATGGCTAGGGCAGCCGGCTCACCTTATTGATTATTGCGCCAGGGACTGGAAAAGCAGAGCTGGCGTAGGCGGGATGGAGGGGATGGTGAGAAGAAAGACCGTGATGTTGCTTCCCGAAGAATTGGGCGGTCCAGCGTGGTCGGCGTTGAGGTCCCTGCGCTTGCTGCTGGATTTGTTGGGGTATGGCCGAGCTGGCGCGCTTTGGCCGCATCCCGACAGCGGTGAACGGGGAGCCGACCCAGCCAACTCCAGTAATACCCATCGCAGGATGTTGGAAAGAGGCTGTGGCGGCGGCCGCGGCGCTTGCAGACACTGGTAATGCCCAAAAACCAACGCGACAGGGCGCCCCGGGGCTCGCAATGGCTCTCCAAGCTGTCTTCGCAAGCTGCGAGGGGCGCTGTCCAACTCCGATACCCCTGTCGCTAGCGCGGCCCTGGTTGGCTGCCGAAGACCCGCACCGCCGAGTTCCTGCACGGGCCTCCCCAACCTGGCGCCGACGCTCAACACGCAAAAAACATACAGACCGCCGTTCCCCACGTCCTCAATTGCTGCTGTTCTGCCTCCCTGCTGCGTCAGAGCCGCTTCTTTATCGTCAGGACCCATTTGTTGCTGCTCAACCGATAAGGTACGTCCCAGCAAATCCCGCATCAGCGTTGTTTTTTCTTGTGCCTGGCTCCTAGCTGTCCGATTGAGTTGGGCCGGCGCTTTTCGATAAAACCCAGCGAGGATATTACCGGGGCGGTGTCGGGCTACGAGCCTCTGCGAAATTTGTTAGACGCCAACCCTGACGGCCCCGTCGATAAACCACTCGTCCCTCTTTTGACTGCATGCCCGCTTTTGCTCAGGAGTAAGCACTCACTCAGCTACAGCTCCATCCCTCCTCTTCACCACCATGTCCGCCAAATCGATCCTCGAGGCCGACGGCAAAGCCATCATCAACTACCACCTCACCCGTGCCCCCGTCATCAAGCCCACGCCGCTCCCTCCTTCTGCCACACACAACCCGCCCTCCAAGCTCGCATCGCTGCACTTTGCCGCTGATGCGGACGTGAAGGGCGTGCTCGACCAGGCTGAGGCCACCTACCCGTGGCTGCTGGCGTCGGGAGCCAAGTTCGTTGCGAAGCCGGATCAGTTGATCAAGAGGCGAGGCAAGAGCGGCCTGTTGGCGCTGAACAAGACCTGGGCTGAGGCCCGCGCGTGGATCGAGGAGAGGGCCGGCAAGGTCCAGCGGGTTGAGACGGTCGATGGTGTCCTGAGGCAATTCTTGGTCGAGCCATTCGTTCCTCACCCGCAAAACACAGAGTACTACATCAACATCAACTCGGTGCGAGAGGTATGTGCAATTCCAGTTCCGTGTGCGAGCGCATCGTGGGAGCGCAGTCGAGATTGGGCTGTGAAGAAGAGTGGAAAAAGTGCAATAAACGGTTTTGCAACTGCAGTGCAGTGCGAGCGGTGCAGACGCGATACGCGGCGGGCTTCGTTTTGTTAAACGGCCGCTCGGGCGAAGGGAAAAGTGATCCTGGCCCACTCCGCGAGCACACGCCTTCCACTCTGCGACGCAATGTCCGCTTTCCAAGCATGTGACAGTCCAAATGTAGCGGCATTGGCGCGCGCGCCTGCCGTTTCTGTCGCCTCATTTCACTCCAATCTTGCGGCTCTAGTCTGCCGCTCGGCTATCGCACCTCGTTACCAATCACATCCCGATCCATACGCTAACATCCCGATCTAGGGTGACTGGATCCTCTTCACCCACGAGGGTGGTGTTGATGTCGGTGATGTCGATGAGAAGGCTGAGAAGCTTCTCATCCCTGTCGACCTCAAGAACTACCCGTCCAACGAGACCATCGCCAGCACCCTGCTGAGCAAGGTCCCCAAGGGCGTCCACAATGTTCTCGTCGACTTCATCTCCAGGTTATATGCCGTCTACGTCGACTGCCAGTTCACGTGGGTTCACCTTGTCTGCCTCCACATCCCGAGTATCAACGCTAACCCAACGCAGATACCTCGAGATCAACCCCTTGGTTGTCATCCCCAACGCCGATGCCACCTCTGCTGAGGTCCACTTCTTGGATCTTGCTGGCAAGATCGATCAGACTGCCGAGTTCGAGTGCGGTGCGAAGTGGGCTGTCGCCCGCAGTGCTTCTGCTCTCGGCATACCAGCTGCTCCTGCTAAGGAGGGCAAGACCACTGTCGATGTCGGCCCTCCTCTTGAGTTCCCTGCTCCTTTCGGTCGTGAGATGAGCAAGGAGGAGGCTTACATTGCTGAGATGGACGCGAAGACTGGTGCGTCCCTCAAGCTCACCATCCTCAACGGTAGCGGTCGTGTATGGACTCTCGTTGCTGGTGGTGGTGCCTCCGTCGTCTACGCCGACGCCATCGCCTCTGCTGGTTTCGCCAGTGAGCTCGCCAACTACGGCGAGTACTCTGGTGCTCCCACGGAGACCCAGACCTTCCACTACGCCCGCACCGTCCTCGACCTCATGCTTCGTGCTCCTCAGCACAAGGAGGGCAAGGTCCTCTTCATTGGTGGTGGTATTGCCAACTTCACCAACGTCGCCTCCACCTTCAAGGGTGTCATCCGCGCTCTAAGGGAAGTTTCGCCCCTTCTCATCGAGCACAACGTCCAGATCTGGATCCGTCGTGCCGGTCCCAACTACCAGGAGGGTCTCAAGAACATCAAGAGCGTCGGCCAGGAGCTCGGCCTCAACATGCACGTCTACGGCCCCGAGATGCACGTCTCAGGTATTGTGCCCCTTGCGCTCGTCCCGGGCAAGACCTCCGAGATCCCGGAGTTCTCTGGTTAGAGCGCTGTACAGTAGGAATTGCGACGCGTGTTTTGTCCATGATATGAGGCTTTGGGAACGGTTAGACAAACAGTCAGCATGGGTTGCGTGCGTGATGCTAGGAATGGACTTGGTAGCGATGCGATTCCCCTAGACTGGTGCGCACTGCCGGGACGTTGTTCGGTGGGCGCATGCAAAGTACAAAATTTAATATATCCCCAGACGTAAACTTGTGTTGCAGTGCGCGCGGTTACTCTTCTCTATGGAAGCTCTTCGATTCCGCTTGTGCGTGGCGTTCTTTCATACCTGTGGCTTGGAGTTGTCCCGGGCGCTCCTTCCTCACTTTCGTCCCAACGGCATGGCACAGCTCACGAAGTGCAGTAAAAACATCGCAGCACTCGCCTTTGCCATTCTTCATGCCGCAATCATGGCAAGTCCGAGGGCCTTATACTCGAACGACCTTTTCTACCCAGAACTAGATCCCATAACGTCAACCAGTCCTAGTATATTCGAACCCCAGCGGGAGTCAGCCCCATCCCAGTACCACGGCAGGTCCGTGGAAACCAGTGACAGGCAACAGAAGCTCCTTAAGTTCAGCCAGGAGCACTCATCACTCGCCAAACAGAGCACACGTAAGGCTCTCCAAGTTATGCCCAGCAACACTAACAAGATGAAGGAAAGCCTAAAACCGACCACGAACTCGAGGTGGAGTTGCAGCAGATGGACGACAACCTTGCCACACTCGGTGAAGCGAAAAGAAAGAGTGAGCAAGAACTAGCTCGGGCGAACGAGAATCTTGCGAACCTTCAGAATAAATGCGAGAGCATCTCCATTGATTATGGATCGCTCCGTAGAGAACACCATCAGCTGCAGTGCCAAAATGATACCATGGCTCGTCACACCAGAAAGAACCTGAAGGAGTTGCATGAGGATTTGCCCATGAAGGACGCAGAGGTGGAGACTCCTAGGGATCACATCTCCACCGTCTCGGAGCACAGGACTGGTCTCGCCGAGCAGCTCGAGCAGCTACAGAAGAAGTCTGGAACCTAGCATGACGATCTCCGCAACCAGACGAACGCATGGAACAACCTGGAGAGAGAACCTGAAAAGCAAATCCGGAACCTGAATAAGGAGGGCAAAGACCGAAAGGCATCTCGGGAACCTGCAAAGACGAACTGGCAAACCGATATTTCCATGCTACAGGAGAAGATTACGATAATGAACAATGACGCCGTCCCTAGAGCTTTGAAAGATGACCAGTATCTTCCGCTCTGGAGCCGCGAGAAAGCAAAGCTCGAGGCACAAGTCCGGGATCTGGACAATGAAAAGTCATCTTTGGTACGCGAGAAGGGCAACTTGACCTCTGAAATGCAAGCCCTGCATCAAGAAAACATCAGATCCAATCAGCAGTTCATTGATATGACCTCTCGTTATCGCGACGCTGAGCAGCGAAACGGCGAGCTATTGATGCATATCAGAAGCCTGGAACAAGCAGCACTCACCACAGCCCAGGAGCATGGCAAGGACTCGCAACGCTGGAAACAGGAGAAAGTTACGCTGTCAACACAGATCCAGATCCTAGAGCAAGTGGCGCTCACCACTGCCACCTCAGAGCAGACGACCCTTCGACCCCAGGACGGTGTGAACGATGCCAAGGGGAAATTTGAAGACGTAAAGAACATGCTAGATGTGTTAGAAAACACCGCAGATCAATTTCGAGTTATGGGTGAAAAGCTCAAGTTCTCGGAAGACGCCGCCAACGAGCTACGGACTCGCGAGTCGAAGGCCGACGCCGCGCTCATACACAGACAGCGCTCACTTGCTGCTTCCAAGCGTGAAGTTACTCAGCTCAGGATCAAAAAGATTAGACTTGATAATCAGCTCGCTTTAACCAACGGGCGCTTGCAAACTGCAATGCAGACCGCCGAGGACCTTCGGAATTCCAGTGAAAAAACTCTAGACAGGCACCGAGAAAAACTCGCCGAATATGTTGATGGGGCCGTCAAACATATGGACTGGCAGGATGAGAAGATACGTGATGTTGAAGCCATGCTTGACGAAGTTTGTGATATAGCCACAGAGTTCCGGAACGCGTACAAGAACGTCTCGGAGAGTTTCACACTCGCCGATGGCAAGGTTCTGCCCTAGGTCTCACGTCAATCTCTCACAACAACCATCTCACAAGCCCTTTGGCGTATGCTGAAAGTCCCCTTTGGACTATTCGATATTACAAGCCCTTTGGCGTGTATTACTCGCAGCCCCTTTGGGCTGCCCAACATCACTAGCCCTTTGGCTGGTGTGTCTCGCTGTCCCTTTGGAAGGTTTCACTGGCTGTAGGCCCTCTGGACAGTCCCCTTTACAGCTGCTCCTCTGGACAGTCGATCCAAACTGCTCCTCTGGACAGTTCACAGCTGCTCCTCTGGACAGTCCAATTCACAGCTGATCCGCTGGACAGCCCGACAGACTGCTCCTCTGGACAGTCCGATCCACAACTGCCTCCTCTGGACAGTCCACAGCTGCTCCGCTGACAGTCAATTCAAGCTGCTCCTCTGGACAGTCCAACATCACAGGCCCTTTGGAATGTGTGTCTTACCGTCCTTTCGGAAGGTTCCACTAGCTGCAGGCCCTTTGGACTGTCTAATATTACCAGCCCTTTGGCTCGTGCGTCTCAACATCCCTTTGGAAGTTTCAACGTCCTTTTGGAAGCTCACCGTCCCTTTGGAAGGTTTAACAAGCCGCAGGCCCTTTGGACTGTTCAAAGGCTTGGTGATAGGGCATGTAATTAAGAAACCAGTTTAAAGTTATATCATATGCGTCAGGTGAATTTGCTGCCACTCGTTACAGCCTTGTGATCGTTTAAATGTCTGTCTTGAAGAACTTCCCCTCGCCGACTCGCACTGATTGAATGGATTGCTGAGCTTGCGTGAATTAATTCATGTTGCCCGTTACATCTCACTATGGCGCGTAATCCTCAATTAGAGACGTAATATGCCGGCCTGGTGTCACTCAATGCCATTACAATGCACCCACGATCGCTAGACCTGACGATCCTGAGCATCAATGGTTGCTATGCGTGCCTTGCGACGCTTCCAAATGCTCAACGGGGTCTGAGGTGCCCGGGCAGGACTTATCTTCCTACTAAGGCCTCGATCAGCACTGCAATACATCATCCTGTATCTACTCAAGGTTACTAAGTGGTAAGGGACCAAAAGTTACCATCCAGGGCATCGCGCCCATGATCATTCATTGACCAAGTACACATGTGTCCATGTGATTCATCATTCCCCATTGAGTCCATCCTAGGCATGCAAGAGGCACTGTTATACATCATCCTGTGTATACTCAAGGTCACTAATAGCGGCAAGGTATCATAATCTCCATGGAGGGCATCGCGCCCATATTCATTCATTGACTAATCATCATTCCCCGTCAAGTCCATCCCGGACATGGTATCATAGAAAAGCCGTTTCCTTGAACCTAAACGCCATTCTCACCCCAGCCTAGACGCCGCCTTCATCAAACGGCCATTGAGGCAACCCTGGACACCCTAACGCACCACCTTGAACTCGTGCTCACCACTGCAGATCTCGCACTTGATGCCGAAGTCCACAATCTGGTGCTTGAACACGGGGGACGGCTTGAGGCGCGGCTCGACAGTGTAGTTGTTGTTGTCCAGCTTGCCCTTGTCGAACGCCATGTCGTAGTCCTCCTCGAGCATCTTGAGAATGCAGCACGGCGAGCCCTCAGCCTTTCCATGCGCAGCGCGGTGCATGATCTGCTCGTGACGGAAGATCTCACGAATGCGGACATCCACAAGACCCTTGGCTTTGATGCCCTCGATGAAGGTGTCCTTGAGGAGGTTGCAGAATTCCAGGGCGAAGAGCCTGCTCGCCTCGCGGGAGATGGGGCGGTCGATCTTCTGGATCAGGCGGCTGGGGACGAGGGACCAGTTTGTGCGCGAAAGGGCCTTGAAGAGAGGGTTCTCAGGATCTGTTTGAAGGTCAGTACATCCCATACAAGTACTCAAAAGCAAAAGGCTTACCGATGAACCCAGAGATGTCGATGATGATGGTACGCTTGATACCGAAGCGGTGGGTGAGGTTCCCGCGGAACGCGTCGTGGATCACTTGATGGAGGACATCGACGGGTTGCTTTCCATTCATATAGTCCGGGTTGCTCGTGTACTGGTGAGAGATATCGGTAGCCTGCCCAAGCTGTGTAAGCATGTTGCTGGTGATGAACTTCGCTGAGCACTCGATCAAGAGCTTGGTCTCTGGAAGGAGACCCTGCTCAGATGAAGTGCTCGCCGCCATCTCCGACGTCATGTAGCGTGGAGTCATGTCCGCGATCCAATCAGTCTCGGCCTCTGAAGTGGTGTCAGAGAAAGTAGCGACGGACGTCTCGTCGAACATCTTGTCGCAGATCTTGTCGGGCGTCTTGTCAGACAGCCCGACGGACATCTCGTCGGACATCTGGTCGGTCATCTTGTTAGAGATCTCGTCAGACATGTTGAAGATGGTTTTTGAAGTAGCGGTTTCGCTGACTTGACGATGACGGCAAAGTCAATCAGCGGTACAGCAGCGACGCAAGAACAAGTTTGATACGATGAGGGACAGCTCCTCACGTATAGACCACAGGTGCTGCGAATTTGAGGTTTGACGGAGACCCAAAGATTTGAAACTTTGTTGAAGTTGAGGTGCAGGTGGTAAGCAGGTCAGAGTCAGAGCACGACGTTGGTTTTGTTGACAGTTGTCGTACCTGCCTTTCACGCGGCTAGGCAGAACCTCGCACGGGTTCAAAGTAAACAGCCTGCTTATGGCAACCGAACTGGTTGATGCGTGGTGAAAGACGGGACTGCGCTAATCAAAGCATGCCGACGATATGCGTGCCTTCCTCTTATAGCACGAATAGAACCTCAGCATCAAAACCTCAGCTGTCGACGATGTTTGTTCATGAAAAACCGAGTCTGAGATCAGTTGCGGTGTGCTTGCCAGAAACAGTTCGGCTGGTTCAGCTGGCATCCGAAGGAGTGAATGCAACCCATGCGTACGAATGTGGCTCCAGATCTTGCTTTCTTTCTGCCGCAAAGTTGAGAGAAGAGTCGTATGTTCAGGCAGTGGCAGTGTACATGTGCTGCAATGAGGACGCGACACACTCGAGAACGTTCATCGCGTCATTGTGATTTTGCTTCCCTAGGCAGACTCTTGCCCTCTTGACAGCATTTCGAGTCGGGGTTCGACAAAGTCGAGATAGTGGACGCATCAGGGCGCCCATTTCCATATTCGACTTTTAAGTCGCTCGGAATCCTGTCTTTTTACAATGAAGCAGTGCCCTCTCGGCAGCGGGTTGACGAACTCGAAGCGTGCTGCGTGTCCAGTTTGCCTACTATACTATAGGAGGATCAGCGAGGTTCAGAGCGAGACACGATAGAGAGTCAAGGAAAGCATCATTACTTGGGCCGAGGGAGATGTTTTAGCTTGTATCAAGGTGAGGGAGTAAGTGTAGTGGGATGAATGAAGAGCGCAAGAATATAGGCGGTGTGGAAGACCGACATGTTCCCAACAATCTTGGAAAGTGCGTAGCCTCGTGACCAATGATACCAACGGCAGGAGCGACCCCGCCTTCCACGGCATCTATACAAACAGACTTGACGTACAATCAGACATGTATGGAATAGCGCTGGCATTACGACTATAGAATTAGCTATCCAATGTTAAAGAAACACAATATGATAATGCAAGTTTGTCCACAAACAGCCGTCCCCATAGAAGTTACACATCATCGTCATATAATCCTTGAGACATCCACATTCCAAGGCATGTCGAATCGGCATCACCCATCCCATCGAATTAGAGAGTGGTTTATAGCCCTGCAACAGCGAGACCGAGGTTCTTCATGCACAGCACCGAAACCGCTGCCCTGAGGTTGATAACGTTGCCTGGAAGAGACAGAATGTTATCAGTTAGAGTAGTAATGGTTGTGATAAGATTCGTCGGGTCAGAGCTGACGGGAAGAGTCCTGATGAAAGCAAGGTCGGCTGCGGAGATAGCAGCAGCAGCTTGCGAAAGAGCAGCGAGGTTAGTAAGGCCAGCAAGAACGCCAAACTTGGTGGGGTTGATGGCAGCAAGGAGCTGGAGACAACCAAAGGTGGGGACCGAGTCCTGGACGACGGGAAGCTTGAACAGGAAGTTGGGGACGATGCCGTTGAGCACGCTGAGGATGCCGCCGGTGACGCTGCCGAGACCCTTGCCTCCGGGCACAGCAATGTTCTTAGCGATCGAGCCGACGAGGAAGGAGAGGTCGGGAGAGACACCTGATATGCTGTTAGCTATGTAGTGCGACGAGGAGAATGAATCCGTACCTGGGATACCGCTCAAAGGCAGGCTACCGACGCCAACGCCAGGAAGACCAGTCGAGAGCGATGGAAGGGAGGCCTGGCGCTTCTCATGCGTATTGAGTTGGCGCCTCTCGATCTCGAATGCGTCTGCCAACTCTGGAAGGTCACGCTTGATGAGACCACCGGTACCTCCCATGCCACCGAAAAGCGACAGAGGATCCTTTTTCAGGAGACTAAGCAGAGTGGCAATGATGGAGATGGACAGTCCACCAACAGGATCGGATCCGGGCATCTAGGTGATGAATTAGCAACCATTGTAAACGTATGAGCGGGAGACTTACACCCTGGTCGAGGGGATACGGGCCAGGCAGAACGGTGTTGACAGTACTTTGGACGGCAGCGGGAACACCAGCAGCGGCTCCAACGACAGTACCGAGAGCACCTCCTACGGCGCTACCTACAGCTCCTGCGACTGGGGGAATGGCACCCAGAGGACTGTCAGAGGTCAGGCCACCAAGTGCACCTGCAACTGGGGCAACGGCACCGCCTACAGCACCCAGAGGGCTACCAGAGGTGAGGCCACCAACGACACCTGCAACTGGGGCGGCGGCACTTCCTGCGACGGGCACTACAACTGTTAGAACAAGACCGATAGAGCCCAGCTGATCACGAATGCAAGGATTCACTTACCGCTCCCTACGGTGTTGGCGACTGTTCCAGCCACACCGCCGACAGCGCCCAAGGGCAGGCTTCCTCCAGTAAGACCACCAGTGACGCCACTGATAGCACCCAAGGGGCTGCTTCCACCAGTAAGGCCACTAGTAACACCGCCAACAGAGGGGATGCTGCTTGTAAATCCACCCACAGCGGGGATGCTGCTCGAAAGTCCGCCGACTGCGCTCGATACGGTGCCGAGAAGATCGCCGCCACCAGTGAGGCCCGAGGTAAGACCACCGACCAAAGGAAGACTACCCGTGGCTCCACCAACAGTGCTGGCCACGGCACCAAGAGGCGACGATCCGCCAGTCAAACCGCTCGTCAACCCACCGAGGAGAGGAAGCCCCAAAGCAGGGGTCGCGATGGCCAGCCTACTCGAAGACGAAGACGAAGCAGCAGCCTGTCGCCTCTCCAGAGGAGTGGGAAGGGCAATAGCAGCGATAGTGGCATTAACGGTGTGCGCGACCACGACGCTGGACACGATGGGGGACACAACCGGGACAATTGGGAGAGCTGGGATTTCCGGGACGGAGGGGATTGTGAGATCAAGGCCGGCAATCTTGGAGGCCGCAGCGCCCTTCCAAAGGAGGCTCAGAATATTTGAGAGGACAATCTTGCCAACCTTGACATAAGAGTCGACCGCGTCGTCTGTGGTAGGGAGCGGAATAGCTGGCAGTGGAATTGCAGACACTTTGGGTAGATCGCCGAGGGCTGGCAATGAAAGAGGCAGAGCCAGGTCTGGCAGAGGAAGCTTAGGTAAGCTACTAAGCATGGGAGGAGAGCCATCCAACACAGGAAGCTTGGGCAAAGCTGAGCTGAGGTTGGGGATGGCGAGGGGAACTGGTGGAATAGCAATGGGCGAGACCGGCGGAAGCGAAAGTCCTATAGCGAAAGTGTACGTTAGTACCTTCAGGAAGGTCGAAATACAATACGCATATTGGTCTGGAACCGGCAAAAATGCAGGGAAGTAGTGGCATGCCGATTTTCGACTTTCGTGACGAAAGACAGATCTCCGAGGTTCAGAAATACCACTTACCGGGAATAGGAAGATTAGGAAGAGGTGGGAGGCCGGGAAGAGTTGGTAGGCCCATAGGCGGAGGGGGTGGAAGGCCCATAGACGGAGGGGAGGGGCACCGAGAGGAGGAAAGGATAGAGGTGCAAGGCCGGGTAGTAAGGGCTTCGCAGCCACAATACTCGCTGTAGCAGTAGGTTTAGCAGGGACAAGTCCAGCAGCTATTTCACAATGAGCTCTATGTCTTCAAGCGGAGCGATTTGACGTACAAGCACCGGCAGCCGTACCACTGGCAATAACGAGTGGGACGACTGGAACGAGATTGGGGAGCTGGGGAAGAGCTGCCGCATCAACGGCCTCGCACCAGGCCAAAATGACCGCGGCGATCATCGTATTCATCTTCATGATGACGTGAAGTCGAGTCAACCGACTAACGAGCGGACAGGTGAAGAGTGTTAAAGATTGAGTGACCCTAGCGAAGGACTGCCCAAAGAGAAAATCGGCAGAAGAGACCGTTGTCTATAAGTACCAGCAATTGCAAGGACTGCATTAAACGTGACGACATTTTACGTTGTCTGGACGCGTCGCAAAACTGAAGCATTTTTCCCTGAGGGGTTGCTGAATGTAAGGATTCTCTACATTCCATAGCGCTGTCGCTGCGATGCCAAGACGATGCCACAACCAAAGTGATACGAACGGTGACAGCACCTCGCGAAAACAGGTTTGTTCGGGTCCGTCCGAGTGGAAGTTTTACAAGCTGAAGAATGCCGTGCAGGGGATGGGCCATTGGTACGACTCTCAGTCATAGTAAGGCGCTTCTCGTGATGCTACCGCTGGCGTCCGATCAAGACACGTTCTATTAGAGTATAAATTAGAGGACAATGGGTCCTTCCTGAGACATAACTCGTGATATTCGGCAGCATGGGCCGCTCTCCCGCAACATGTTCCTGGCGTGGACGGCCAATGACAGCCAGCGCGCGACATATAGGAATGTGGGCAGCTCCGCCACCTCGTGAAGTTGACAGAAGGTGTGATCGTGAAAAGATCTGATCGTCCAGTGAAAGCGCCGCGTGTGGCACGTCATAGTTACTGTTAGTCAACCATTGCTGTGCTGAGTGAGCTCTGAGTCCTGGCGGGAGCTTGGAATGCCAAGGGGCAACAACGCAGGAGTCTGCATTGAGACGGCGTGCATCGTCAGGATGATCACGACACAGTGCCATTTCGGTCTCCCCTAGGAGCGAATCCTCTTCCACCTCTAATTGTTGCCTGGGGCCCACGAGGCTCACGGATTGGCTTCTCCTGATTGTTTGGTGTACTCGGTCGGCTTGTGCTTGCATCCTTCTTCTGGACAAAGACGGACCCTGGTTTTGGAGAGTAGGCAGGCTCGAATAGCTGTCGTGAAGCCGAGGGCCTGGCCGGGGACTGCTCGTTGCTCGAGCGCGGTTGGCTGTCGCGTCCACCCCGACCTCTGCCTTTCCCAGCTCGCCTTGGTGAGGCGCCGCGGGACTCATCCGAGTTCGCAGGAGTGCCAAATAACTTCTCGCGCGCCTCAGCATACCTCCGCTCTTTCTCCGCCCGCTCCTTTTGTGCACGCGCTTTGCGCTCTTCGAACTCGGCTTCGCTCTTCTTCCGTCTCTCCTCCTCGCTTTCGTCACCATCCAAGCTAAGCCCAGCAATGCCGGCAGGAGCTTTCGGTTTGCGGGCAAGTAGCGTTACAGCGGGCTTAAATGTCGACTGTACGGGTGCTTTGTTCTGGGCATCGAGAAAAAGCATGGGTTCAGGGTTCTCCCTGTTAGACACTTTGTCAGACGCTGAAGAGCCTCTAGAGCGATGCATACATACGCTGAGTCCCACAGCATCCGCTGTTGCTCGGCATGCTGCGCTCTGCGCTCTTTCTGTGATAATTTGACTTTGGGTACCGGCTCGTTCTTCTGCTCCGCATCTACTTGTTTCTGCGTGTTGTTAGCCATGTGCGCGCCAGAGGCTCCTATAATCGAGATCGTACATCAGCGAGGGATTCCCAGTCATCGTCCCACGCGTCAGCCAATGCGCTCTGCTTGGGCGGCATTTTCGTGATCTTGGTCGCGTTCAGATGTGAAGGGCCAGGGACCAAAACTCCAAAGCATTCGACTGTACGTGGGATTATATATGCTATAGTAAGCTGGCAATCAGAAGCTCCCCGTGCTTGTACGTCGACTACAGGAGAATCAACGTTCTGTGCGGAAATATAAAGTCGAGGAGGGGCACGGAAGTCGAACGTTAGCTGCAGGGCGGGAGCTTCTCGCTTCTACCCGGGGCTAGCGCGCCCAAGCTCCGCTCTGCCATCATTCACTGCTGCCTCAACCAAGGTCCACTGTTCATTTGCTCCAGAGCCAGCGTCTCTCACACAAAGCAACTAGCAAGAGCACACATACGTGGATCGAGTTCGTCAACATGTCAGGTAAATCCAAGCTCCCGCCAGCCTTCAACTTCACAGACCTCCCCTCATGAGCTCTCGCGTGCCCCACAGGCGCCTTGGATACTCGTATCTAACACCGCCTTACTACCACACAGACGTAGACGGCGACTCGACGATGCACTCGTCGCCATCGCTCGATGACGCCGACGAGGACGTCTTCCCCGGCGACGGACCCTCGACCCCGCGCAACGCCGCCAGCTTCGCCCTGGGCCCCGCCTCGGAACTGTCGCCGCCGAATTCGCAAGGTCGCCTCCCCGGGGAGAGCCTCTCTGCGCTCGCTGGTGGTGCGCCTGCTCCCTCGATGATCAATGCAAACGGCAAACGTGCTCACCCGTCTTCAGTTGCAACTGCCGCTCCCCAAAGCGCTGGCGACAAGAAGTCGGGCCCCGTGCAGACGGATTCTGTTACTGGATATCGATGGTCGAGTGCGGAGGATGCGCCGGGATATGATTGGAAGACCAATCGGGCGAGGGACGACGAGGCGAAGGCTTTGGACGCCGTTGTGGACAAGGGGTCCATGATCAAGAGTAAGGCATTGTAATGAACTGTCTTGAGTTATTGCTAATATGTCTAGCTCGTTACGGCGACCCTTTGAAGCCCGAGGTACCCATGACGCTCAAGCGTTGAAGTGGAACGCAGATTGCGCGCACACGACACGATATAAATGCATGATGACGGAATGAATAGACGAAGCAGCCTGTTCTAACGTTGTGTAGGATGGCTGAGCAAGGCGTGGGGAGTATTCGATGGGTAGCCAGAGGCCTCATGATCTTGCCGAACATGGGAATATCATATAGGGACGAAGACGTAGCTACCACATGCACGCAGGCTTGACAGATAGCCTGCCGAGATTGATCTCCAGAAATACAATGCCGGGCAGTCGTCCTCCTCTTGATCCAAATAGTGCCGCCTTCAGTTGTGGGATTTTGTGACCTGTAGTAAACGCCAGCAAACGCCGGCCGATGCATCGTTTCATGTCTTAGTCGCTCTCGTTCCCATCCGCCATCTCATCATCCGACTCATCTTTCTCCTTCTCTTCTAGCAGGTCCTCGGTGGGGTCCTCCTCAGGCGCATCCTCTTCTACTTCATCGTCTTCCACCTCCTCATCTTCTTGTTCCATATCCGCCGTCTCATCCACATCCTCATCATCTGACCCCGCCACCTCGGCGCCGTCCGACCTTCTGGCTCGCTTCGCCGGCGGAGAATCATCCTCCTCTGCCCCGTTCGTAGGCTTATCCTTCGCGGCCTTCTTCTCCTCGCGCACCTTCTTACGGTACGTATTGCGCTTGTCGGCCTGTATCGAGGTGAACTTGTGGACTTCGGCCTCGACTCGTTGGAGCATGAAGTCGAATTCTAGCTCTTGCAGGGCGTCGAACACGTCTTTGGGCATGACGGTCTTCTTGCCGCTGCGTGCGGCATGCTCGGCAGCGCTGTAACCGTGTCAGTTTGCAGGAACACTTGTGAGGTTTGAGGACGAGGTCGCATACATCGATGTGAGGTAGTTGACGAAGACGGTTGCGCCCTTTGACATGGCCAGCAGCGCATCTTTCTGTATCTGTGTGTTCGGTGGGAGCACGCCCTTTGCCAGGCGCTGCACTATTGATTTGGGGAGGTTGAGGTCCTGCAGCGCATGCTTAGTATTTTTGCGAACGTTGGAAAGAGGGCGCATACTTCTACGCTGAGACCATCGTCTTCGTCTTTTGCTGCTTTTGCGGAAGGTTTGGGAGAGTCTTCTGCGGGTGCAGTCGAGACATTGCTCTTTCTTGGAGGCATTGTGGGTGGGGAGCTATGTGGTCTTGGGATGACCTTCGGAAGAGACGAGCCCTCTCCGCAGATGCATCAGTAGTCTACTTTACGCGTGAGCGCGTCGTTGCAACGCCTTGGCGAGTTCGCGTCACCAGCTCAGCACGTGCGCACATCCCCGCTTTGGTGATCGCACTTTGTTCGCGCATTTCTCGTTGGATGCTCGATCAATCATGTCGTAGACGGTTGAGTCCGCACCAGCTACCGATTGGCCACCTTTCAGCGTCTCCTCCCCGGGCAGCACTTCTGAGATAACCTCGTCTCGTTCAACCTCGCCCGAGTCTCGCCTATACGGTATAGACGGTGTGGACGGTGTGGACTCGTCCTCTAGGAAGTTGGCCTTCCGTGAATAGACTGCTCCATGCGTACCTCCATGCCTGGGGCTTCGCGAGTGGCTTGGCCCGAGACTCCTGCATTGGGTTCACATGTGCCCCCACCCTCGATAGTATCCCGCCCGCACACAATATGCGCGCTGTCACTCAACTATGGGGCTATGGGGCTGTCCTGCAATCGAACCAAAACCTCGGGTCGGTTGTAGACATCAGGTATCTACATCTGCTGAATCTCAAATGGAACAATGGCTCTCTTCGTAAGGTGTCTGTGTCCGCTATCTGCACTCGAAGGGTCGTCAGCTGTGGCAGATCCAGACCCTGGGCCAAGAGGTCACCCGCTTCTTGGCTGCAGCGTGCTGAGCAGCTGTGAGGTACAGTCGAGATGAACACAGAAGCTCGTCTTACAAGTACCATAGTCATGAGGCATTTCGGACCGGCCCCGGCGCAACTGCCCAGTGTCACCGAAACTACCCGCTGGGGAAACCATGAACAGGCTTGTAAGACAGCGCAGCACCTACGACTGGGTTAAGATGGGTGTCCCCGTTACAAGCAACCCCAGTATCCGTCATTCGTCGTTCACCATTATGCACATAGGGGGGCGATTTGCCCTTTTCCTCTCCCCTGGGTAACCACGAGGCAGACATGTGGTAACCGTCACGCCTGCTCTCGGGGTCCAGCTTTTACCATTTAACAGCAGGCACGAGTATCCAGATCGTCGTCCAAGAATCAGGGCAGCTTCTCACCTACCTTTTTCTATTACTTTGGCTGCGGCCCAAGAGATCCCACATTCCTTGGCGGGCTGAATGGTCCCGGTAAACGTTCTCCCCAACCACTAAACCGATAAGGACGCCCTGCCGCAGAGAACCCCAAGGTTTTCGGTTACGATCCGAGTTTCTCATAATTAGGGCTGGACCCTGCATTTTTTGCATACGTGAGAACACCATGGTACCTGATCTGCGCATCCTCTTGGATGGCGATGTAAGAGTGTATCGTCGTGGAGACAAAGTCACTGGAAGAGTCATTCTAGGAGTCGAAAATGAGGAAAACATCGTCGCACTCAAGATCAGCTTCTTAGGGACATGCACGACTACTACGAATAGGCCGGTCCATACACCTCACCACACTGATGCCGACCGCTCGATGCAGAGGCATCAGGAACGCGTTCAACTGTTTCATTTCGAACAAGACTTGCTCTCGGGCTCCCTACTCTCAACGAACAAGGAATCTCGGACGTTCGACTTCAAGTTTCCTGAAATGACAGCACCGAGGTATTCAAAATGGCAACACGGACCGAGGTACCCCAAGGGTCCTCACCCACTACCACCATCTTTCCAGACCCACACGTCGGGTGGCCAGGCAGTCATAGCATACTCTCTGCAAGTAACGCTTTCCAGAGGTGGTAATCAAGGATCAACCGTAATTGAAGAAATATTGCCCTACCACCCAACTCCCGACGACATGCAACTGGAACCAAAAGCCCACTCACGCGTCCTCTACGCACAGATATGGAAGCCTCTTGCAGACAGTCGCACCGTAATGGACAAAGCCTTCTCTAAATTATCCCGCCGCAGATCTGCCGGCAACAGCGGCCCTCGGATCGTCCCTACCCTTCACCATCCCGAGATGATCGCTCCAGGACAGAATATACCCCTCTACATCTCTCTTGAGGATTCATCTCCCGCGCCTATACCCCGAACCTCACAATGCATACTCGACTCCGTAACCGTCAAGATAAGCACGCACACGACCTCTATCTGCGGCCAATCCGCCACCTCCCCCGAAGACGTCGAACTCAAGCGTGTAACCTGCCTCTCCAAATCCAACATAGCCAAACCCCTCCCCTTCCACACCAAAAAGAAGCTCGCGCACAACTTCCGCCTCGTCGACGACGCAGAATGCGTCCCCAGCTTCAAAACCTACACCATCACGCGCCGCTACGACCTCTCCGTATCCATTGGACTCAAATACGAGGGCCGCGAGTTCACGGTCAGATGCACGACGCTGCTTGAGATCTTGCCTCGTGTGCCGCGGGAATTGCTGCCTAATAGACCTGAAGATGAGGAAGAGGTTGAACCGTTGCCGCTGTATGTGCCGAGGGAGCCGAGCAGAGAGTTTGCACCGGAGTATGCGAGCATTTTTCAACTGGAGGGAGCGTCTTCGAGCGAGGCGTCGCTGGCTTATACGAGGAGTAGAGGGTCGAGTGTGCCGTCTAGTGTCGAGATACCTGCGGTTGACGTTGGCATGAGCTTTGAGGAGGTGGCGGTGAGACTGAGATAAGTGTGGCTTGCAGCATCGAAGTGTGTTGATCAACGGCTGTGCTCAGTGCTACTGCGTAGACAAAAGCTAATGACTGCAACATTAAGTTCGATTGCCGCTGGATTGGCACCCTACGACTACAGAGATAGTATTGTGCAACACATTACATATCCCCGCGCTATTACAGACCCTCGCAATCCTCACTTTCGTCGCGAGCGCCCTGCACGTGCTTGGCTTTCCCTCACTGGGGGTTACACCACGCGATCACCTCGAACGAAGGTGCTCGCACAAATAAACCATGAAAGCGATTAAACGCCCTGTCCATCTCCCCAAAAGTTGGTCAAAGGCAAGGCATTTCGTCCAACGAATATTTCGGAGCTAGATGTAGGCGCCGAGGCCATGTAGGCACACGCAGGGACTCAAGCGAGAGCGAGACTTCTCAGATTGTTAGGCTATTGGCGATGATATGTATAGATAGCATGAGTAGGACTCAGCTGGGTAGAAGCTGAAATGGAACGCGTCTTTCAAATCTCATAGTAGAACCTCGACTAGTCGCCGTATTCAAAGCTCGCTTGTACTCCGGCTTAAGCACACTGGCTGTTGGTTGTACGATGAGGATTCGTGGTCAAGGTACACGGGCAGAATGTGCCTCGCCTAGGCAAGGCTTCTAGGAAATGTAAGCTTGCTCGATGAGGGTCCCACGTCTGTGGATGGAATGGGTTTGGAGGGCTGTAAGTGATTGAAGTGCTAGCTAGCTGGTGAAACTTCTTTCAATCGGTATTCAATGATAACCTAAGTTCTTTGACTCATAACTTGTTTATACGTACTGTGAGTACGTCCTATTCCGCTAAAGCATCTGGAGCCATAGGACCATTCCTACATCTCGAATCTCCAAGCCTTTCGCCGTCGACAGACAAGCTCCTGTATCTGCTAGCGAGCTACAAAGTGGACAGCGACCTTTGTTTAGCTGTAATCTTCCTGTTGTTCGAGAAGGACACTAAGCTATCAGAATCACGTACGATATTTATACGCGCAGCCCCTCCCATTTGCGCGATATACACGCTTGCTATCGCCTGTTTGCTCCTGCCAAAGTTTGTCGGACCGGCAGCTCGGACCGACCCTTAGCGCGTTGTCGTTTGTACATATATATCGCAACACGCGCCTTCCACTTTCTTCCTCTTCAGTATTCAAAATGGCTTCTCATCTGCCGCAAAAAAATACTCGCGATAATCTAAACCAGACACCAAACCAGACTCAAAACCAACGACAGCCCCAGAACCCGCTCCATGCGGCACCCCAGCAGTAAGTCAATTTAGAAGAACGGCGCAATAGGCCAGCTTTGACACGTAACAGAACAGTCTAGCAGCTTGAATCAGAGGTGAAGAAACTGCAGTCAGACCTAGCGAGCGCTGTAGCGCGCTTGAATCAGCGCAAGCACGAATTAGGGCTCCCTCCAGCAGCACCACCACCCAGAAACACAAGGGCGGTACCTCCACGGTTGCAGCAAGATACGGCACTAAAGGACATCCTCATCTTCCTGGATATCATGCAAGAGCGCGTGAGGATGCGCACAGCCCATCATCTACAGATGGAGCGCTTCGAGGATGAATTCCGCGAAGAGCTACTATATCACCGCGGCTCAATCGTGTCGAAACGGACTCGGCAAGCCTTCCAGCGGTACGATCAGTATATTTCTGAGTTTAATGGTCAACCGCACCAGACCACGCTCCCCGATTGCCCACATGAGCGTTCTCCAGCTGTACCAGTCCCCGCTGGCAACGTCTTGGCGGCATCACTACTAGCTCCCAGTGTGCTAATGCCGACATAGAAGGCGCACAGACTGGTATAGCGCCGAGTGATCCGGCTAATCAGAAACACATAAAATCGGAGGCGACCGTGGTAAAGGACGACAGTCTAGCCAATATGGACTTGGAGGAGATGGTCGATTTGTGCTGAGGGGCGATGCATTACCTGATCCAAGTGCACCTACCAGAGACACTCTAGAGCACACAGCAGGGCCAGACCCGTCGCCTATTCAGGCATGCCACAATTCAGCAACTCAGGCATCCCAGCGAGAGCGTCGCAGCCGCATGACCATGTCACACGCGGATCTAGAACGCCGAGTCCAACGTCCCTCTGGAAGTTGTATAGACCTTCTGATCTGCTGAGTTTAACGTCCCTCTGGAAGTTGTGGATCAACGTCCCTTTGGAAGTTGTATAGGCCTTTCGGTCTACTAATTATAACGTCCCTTTGGAAGTTATCGTCTTCAACGTCCTTCTGGAAGTTGCCGAGTTCAACGTCCCTTGGGAAGTTATCAGATTCAACGTCCCTCTGGAAGTTGTCTAGTTTAACGTCCCTCTGGAAGTTGTCTAATTTAACGTCCCTCTGGAAGTTGTCAAATTCAACGTTCCCCTGGAAGTTATCAATCTCAACTTCCCCCTGGAAGTTGTTGAGTTTGACGTCCCTCTGGAAGTTGTCAGGTTCAACGTCCCTCTGGAAGTTGTATAGTCTAGTCTACTCGATCCAGTGATTACTCTTTATACCTACACCAGAACATAGCTCTAATCCAGCTTGTAACTTTGAATCTCTTATTTCCTTGTGATTTTTTCTCACTGTGCCTCGTCTTATGCCCTGTCACAACCCTAAACCATTCACGGACAACAATCCTTGCTCCGCCACTGGTATCTATCACGCCTTCAGGGACATGCCACTTGCACAGTGCTACCCCATCCTTTTTCCTGCTACGTAGTTCACTGGAAGTGGCTTCCTGGTCGGTCTGCAAGATGCTCCGCGAATGACACCTTGCTCGCCGTATAATTAGCCATCTGATAATGCATGGTGTCTTCTCGGTCGGCAACCCGTGTCACATATGAGAGCTCTTACAGACGCAGATGATCGCCCTCGTGGCAGTTTTAACCTTCATGTATCTCTAGAATCACTCAAGCGGGGCTTGTGTGTAGTTTGAGTTATTGTATAACATATGCAGAGCATTCCCCTATGGACTTCAAAGAAAATCGGTAGATAATTGTGCTCCTTCATCAAAACAGGTCTACATTGAAACCTGGAATACTCTCCACGCCCAAGCTTCGAAGATATTTCGATCTACAAGCGTATCACCGTAGAATATGTCATTCCAGTACTCAATCAGGTTGTCGTCATGCTGGTGACGGCCAACTTGCCGGACAAGTGCGCTCACACGGGGGCTTGGGCGACACTTCCCGACTTTCCACCAAAGCTGTCGTGACGCAGCTCTGTCTACACCTGGGTGGTCGTCGAAAGCCTTCTCCCCAGGGGCTGTGTACGCAATGCCCCAGGCCATGTCCGGGATGCATTCATCAACCAGCTCGGTTTCGTCGTCCTCGCTGTCATACGTGGACATCATGTCGTCGACGGAATATCTGAGCGGGCACCAGAGTGCGGCTTCCTTCAGGCGCGGCATGTACTTCGTGGACTCGGCGAACGCAGCGAGGAAAGGGCCGAGTGTGTCGTCGTCGGGTAGAATCCGATACTGCGCGGACGATGTATAGACCCAGTCCACGTAATCGACATTCATATCATCTTCCCTGTCCTCCGCTGTCTGCTCCAGTGGAGGATATGCTTCCTGAGGCTGTAGCTCGTACCCGCTAGAACGCCTAGAACGTAATCCGCCTCCGGGACCCAGGAAATAATAAGACCCTTCGGGGCTCGCCATGTGGAATTTGATGTTCAGGCTTTCGAGGTGTGGCCACGACGGTGTGCTTCCGTCACTGGGTATGAAGAGGGTCGAATCCACGACCGCGAAGATACACATGCGACGGAGACCGTAGGATAGTATGCGAATGCTCGAACTGAAGGGGTCGTGTGATGCTGGCGCGGTGAGATTGGGCATCTTCTCATAGTGTGGGAGCATCTCGACGTGGCTGCTGGGGCTGATGAAATTCAGCTGGACTTCCCTGAGGGCCGGGAGAGCTATCTCGTTAAGAGCAGCTGCAAAATCGTGTCGTGAATCTCGGCGCGGCCCTTGGTATACGCGCCAAAGTCTAGCCGTTACTTCATCTCTTAGGGGCGTAGGCCATTCATCCCCCCCAATTTCACAGCCAAGAACGTTAAGATTGGGAAGCTTGTTTGCGATGTCTACAATTACGCGCAAATCTAACTTCCGTAGCGTTCTCCAAGGCTCCTTGAATGGACTGAATGGTGTTCCATTGACAAAACGAAGGGAGCGGATTGAGCCCAGGACGGGCAGATTTTGTGGCGCGAGAAGGTGTATGCGCCAGCTTACAAAGGCGCGATGGCGGAAAAAAAGGTTGGGATCCACATCCATAAATGGTGTGTAGATAGTAAGCTCAACGTTACCAGGGCAGAGACCTTGCACGCGGACCTCTAGCTTCCGAATTACAGCAAACAATAGCCTGATCTGTCTGGTGAATTCCTCGTCAAGTGCTTTGAGGTCCTCCAGAGATTCTCGACAGGGCGAACGACCCGCATCAGGGTCACGCTGTGGAGCAGGAAGAGTCGTTGTAAAGCTGATGCGGCGGAGGTAGCGAAAGCGGTGACTGCTGAAGGTGTCGAGAAATTTCTGAGCGTTCTCCTCATTGATGCCGGCCTCTTCAAAAGCTCCTGAGTACTGCTCAGCAGCAGCTTGGAACTTTTGGTTTAAGGTAAGTGTTTGCTTTAGTTGGACGACATCTAGGTGGCTGCTGATTTGGTCGACCAACTCCTGCGGCAGCTTTTCCATGGCGAGGCAAGACCGATTAACGAGAATGTGATAGCGGAAATGTAGAAGCTGAGGTGAGGCGGAGCTGTTTGTTCCCTGCGGCGTAACAAAGAACGAGGCTAGACCGAAAGGTGCACTAGCGCAGGGGCTCGACCTGCCGTCTGATTGGACAGTAACGTTCAATCTTGAACGTTACTATGCGATCAACGGTTGTTAGAAAATACCCCATTCGGAAGTTCCAGATTCGATTTCACTGCCTGATTGGCCGGTAACGTTCAGATTGAACGTTACTCCGCGATCAACGACTGTCAAAAACTACCCTATTAGGAAGTTTCAATTTCCATCTCATCGCTCCTACATACTCCAAAGGCACACACAACCACCACATTCATGAGGCTCGAGATCTTCTCAAGTTAGTATCTCGTTCCAAGCATGCTGATCTATATATTGACGCTGTTTCGTGTTCTTGCCTTCATCCGCCTACACTCATCCAGGAACATTCCAGATAACGTGCACCCAATACTGGAACCGACTCGGCCACGAGAAGAACATATAGCAAGATCACAATGCCAAAAGCCCCACCAAGGGAGCATAGTAGTAACCGATTCTATGCATACTAATCTCTACATCGACGGTATTCCGTCTGCTTAAGTTCACGCGACTACACTTGTCTAGGGTCATTCCAGGTAACGCATCCAACACCAGAACCGACTCATTTACTGGAAAAAAACATCTCGAGACCACAACGCCGAAATCCACCAGGCAAAAAGTCCTCTCAAAGCCCGCGTCTAAGCCAAACAGCGGTTATCGTAGCCTCGCTCCGTCGCGCGCGCTAACGCTACCACCGCCTCGGACCTCAGGACCAAGGAGTCGGAACGAAGACATCGACAATCAGGCGCCTCGAACATCTGCCTTACATACGGATGCTAGAACGACATTTCCTCCATCGAGGCGGATATGTTCTAATAGTAAGAAACACACCCCATGTATAGGGAAACCACAATTTCCGAATCGAGACACAGTGAGCTGACGTCGGCCTATTTCGGACGCGTATGCACCACCATACGTACGCATACACGTCCTAAACAGGCCAGCAACGCAAGTCCGACGAAAATGTCAAAGTCCGTGGAAAGCCTTTGCGTCGTCACGCGCCTGGAAAACGAATACGAAGCAGGTACGTAGGGAGTCCACAGCGAAGTCCGAGGCGCAGTCATCATTTCTTCCACACTCCACAGTCAGCTCAATATCCGCACCGCACCCCAAACCGTCCACCATGGGATGGCTATCTTATCAATTCCTCCGGACCTCCACTGCTTTTGAAATTTCTCCCACGGCACACAATAACGACCGACGTTCGTAATTCCCACCACCGCTAGCCCCATGACTACCTCTGCCCTGCAATTTCTGAGCTAGACTACCGGTAGGCTAAGATAACGGGCGGGCACCGGGCTGTTATCGAGGGGCGCTAGGACCCGCACAAAAGGTACCTCCGTCCGTAGCATGTAGAGTGCGCGCACGTGCTGCATTCAATTCAATTTCACGAGAGACCACTTGCATTTTCGGAGCTACGCAAGGTCGCTGGCGATGCTTGATCGTGGTCTATAGAAGTCGTGATGATGTGTGCGCGTGACGTGTGCGCATCGCGCCGGTTATTTTTGTTCGGTCGGAGACTTCATGCGTGCTACGTTGGGCTGGGGTGATGCTAGGAGTGGGGATGGGGAAGCGTACGTGGAGAGTACGTGGGTGGGTGCTTGCGTGGAGGGTGGCGCTGCTTGCTGGTATGTCGAGGCGATGCATGCAATTGACACTGCAAGAGTGCGCGAAGGGGCTGGAGTACTTGGGGTAGGTATGGTAAGTAATGCAGGAAGGCAGAAGTATGGTAAGAATGAATGAATGTATTCAATATATCCACCTCGAAAAACCCAATCTGTTCCCAATCCGGGTATATACCGCTCGATCGCACCTCACAGAAAGTAAAAGCAGCTCGTCGACCCGCCGCAGAAAGCTTGCGACTGGTCTCCCTCTTGCATATCGAGCTGTACTGTACCTATGGTAGACCACCATAGGTAGATAATGAAGAAGTCTTTACATCGTATCGTAAATGAAACCCAATGAACGCCATAGTTAGTGAGTGCATCAACTGCCCACACTTGACAATCCCCAAGAACGCCGCGTGATCCAATCAATACCATACCCAGGACTCATCTATCTAAAACTTTCCATCCAAGACTTCGAAGATGCCGACTCCGGCGCCCTTGCACTCTCCCATACTTGGTCGAGGCTCCAGAACGTCGAGCTCGTGCGAGAAGAGGTGCTTCTCTTCTTCCATTTCAAGGTCCAAGACGCTCGGCTTGTGGCGCAGCATCAGGATGTCGCGGATGCTGTTCATGGAGCCGGAGCTACGGTGGCTGTCCGGGGAGCCGGTGCGGTCGCGGCCGCGGGCGAGAGGCGAAGTGGTGCCTGTGGATGAGGGCGAGATGCTGCGAGAGGAGCGGGTTGGCGAGAAGGCGGTGCGCAGGCGGCGGAGGGAGGTGCTGGGGGTGCGGGAGGGAGAGCCGAAGGAGAAGCGGTTGGTGCGGGTGTTGGCCATTTTGGTGGGTGGTTTGAGGTTGAGGGTGTCGTATATTAGTTGGTTGAGGTTGATTGAGGTTGATTGAGGTAGAGTGATTGCCGAGTTGCAATCAATTGAGGTGTATGCTTTGGAGCAGCGAGTGTGAGCGTTCAACAGGTCCAGCTGTCCAGCGTAAAGAGTGTGGAGTCTTGTTGATGGATGGAGTCTCAAGCGGATCCTCGGGGCGTACGATGTATCGTTACACGACGTTCGAACTTCCCAGAAGGTATACAAGATATGGTAGGTAGGTATGTACGTGAACCAGCTCTCAGTGTCTCAACCGAAAGGATGTGCGTCGAGCCAGAAAGAACAGAGTGACAGAAACGAATGGAGGTGACAAGTCGACGGATGAATAGATGACAAGCCAGCCCAGCGGACGGACTCTTGTTTAAGCACTCGCAGCGCTGCTCGCCGGCCAAGGTAAAACGGGCGCTGCATGCTCTCATGCGCCGTCCGGGCCAGCCTAGCGAACGCTAGTCCACCACACAAGACGAACCACGAAGCTCAAACAAGCCAACCCCTGCCCGCCATTCAACGAACATGCTTCCTTACAGTCTCCCTGTTTGATCGCCCGGAAGGATAGGTACCTGGCCCGTCCACAATTGGCAACGGAACAAGCGTCCTTCGTCCCCTCCATTGCGAGAGCATAATTTCCGTCGCCGGAGCCTGCTCGCTGGCACGACGTCGGCGGTGCTGCGTAATCGACCGCATCACAAGGTGGAGCGCGCCTTGCACGGACGGTCAAGCCATGGTCCCAAGGGCAGCGACTCTCCGGCTTACCGTCCATGTCCTGACAAACGCGTGTCGTACCTGAAGGAGCTCGCAGTGAGGGGGAAACCTCTCAGCTTCCACCTTACCTCCACCAGCCGTCTAGCGCAACACGTCTCCGCAGCTCCGCCTGTAAAAAGCTCGTCAGCCGAGCACCTGAGTCGCTCCGTGTCTCTGACAGCCCATCTCGCCTGTCTCAAGTCCGGAGCGACGCCTTTGGATCTGAGGCCCGCGCGTCAGCCAAGCTGTCTGAGAGCCCCCGCCAGCTGCGCCAACCGAGTTTCACCATGAGCGCAGCCACTGCAAACCGCAATAGACGCGTCCACGCGAACATGCACGCCTGTTCAACACTTGTCGACGAGAGAATAGAAATGGTTTGCTCAAGAGCTGGAGCGTACTTGATGCTTGCCAACCAGCGCCGTCGCTATGCAGCCCCTGCGGAAAAAAAAAGTTACAAAAGAGCTCCTCCACCGCCCAATTACCACGCCGCAAGCCCTTCCCCCAAAAGCATCTCAAACCGTCTATCAACTGTGATTCCAGGTCGTTGACACATGCGCATGCGCTCAATAAATGCAACAAGGCAAAGCAGAAGAGATCCCGAACGCACCATAAATGCCTCTTGCGTTGCTCCCCGCTGTTACGCCATTCCCAGATGGGAGGTCCAAACATCAATGCAACCGTATTCGTTGTGCAGGATGCCCCTGTACAGGCACCTGCGACCTATTCCGAGGCCAACGCAGGGCTCGCCTTCCGCGACCCTGCACCATGCACCCCTCTCCATCGTCATATCGTAGATCATCCGCATTCGAGACAACAAATGGGCACCATTTTTGGAACACCCAATAAAGCGGACGGTTCACCTCCCGCCCGACCGCCGCTGCGTGAAACTCCTCCGGATGCTCTCACCCCAGGCTGAGTTGTCGAGCACCTCCAAAACGTCGGCTGCACTGACAGCGCTGTTTTGCCTGCTGCGGTTTCCGGTTGGGCTCGGCGCCGTCAGCTCTCCTTCGCCCTCGAGCGGACTGGGAGGTCGACTGAGCGCCGATGCGAATTGCCACTCGCCATCCGGTGGTGGTGAGAAGGGGGACGGCCCCGGCGATGCGCGTGTGGGAGAGAAAGGAGTAGCTCTTGTGGGTGAGCCGAGTGGTGTCGTCTGTATCGAGTTTGCTCGACTTCTCAGCGTCATGTCGGCTGGAGGTGAGGGGGCCCGCGCATCGCTGCCTGAGGCTCGCCAGCCTGCCATGTCTATGTTCGTATGCACTGGTGACAACATAGGACTGCCGTGGGCAGAATGTTGCCCGCGGTGCACATCTGCTATATCTTCATCGTCGATAAAGATTTCGGGTACTGTGAACTGCGGAATAGCAGTCATACGGCCGTGTTCCTTTTGCTTCTGCACGCGCCGGAATCTTCGCGACCAGTAGAGCGTGTCGAAGAACCCAACCACGACGTTTCGTCGCACAGCCTCTTCTACACGTTGCAGGCGTGCTCGGCGTCGGAGGAATTCCTCTAATCTGAAATCATTTGTTAGCAATATGTGTAGTCGAGGGTCTCTCAGTGCCTACCTCAAGCTCTTGTTATCGTTAATAACCTTGTGATGCGCCAAGATCATAAGCAGTGAAGTGAACTGGATACCGCGGTCGGGATCACTTGACACTATCACCTCCTCGAAAAAGGTGTTCATGCGCTGTCGCCGACGGCGGATCTCGACAACATCAAGCTCGGCCAAGCGCCGGTTGAGTTTCTTGATATCGATCTCGACAGGCTCCTTCTGACCTTGCACGGGTAGCCCTGAGGTTCTCCTAGAGTTTGTGCTGCACTCTTCAATCAGACTACCAACAGTGAAGTCGCCGTCGTAGATTCGCATTTCGAAGATACCAGAAAGTTCCTAGCAAGCTGTCAGCGATTGTCCAATGTAGTTCTGCGGCTGCACTTACCCCAAGCAGTCGGGGAAAAACGTCCTTGGAGATGAAGCCCGTGCCGTTAGGGTCAAATTCGGCCCACGCCTGCTTGAAGCGACGAATTTCTTCTCGACTGATGACCGACAGCCCACTGCTTCGCTGATACACATAACTGAAACTTTCGTATATCAGAGACACGAAGAGATTGACAAAGATGTACATGCTCAGGATGTTCCAAGTAACGAACAGAGCCCGAGCCCACTCTGGACTGCCGCAATCGCTTTCAAAGTATCGCTCTCCTTCGGTGCAATAGGGATGGTCGATAGACGCGAAATCTTCCATGAGCTCATTCCAGCCCTCACCTGTGCTTGTTCGAAAGAGGAGAATGAGAGCTTTTGGCACACTGCGAAAGTTGATGTTTCCTGTCTCGTTCTCACCGAACCGCGTCAGACCGAAGGTCTGAGTGAGAGCGATAGCATACACCAAGAAAAGCACAAACCAAGTGGCTAAAAGGTTCATGATGGATGCCAAACTTGCCGCCGCCGTTTTGAAGAGTTGATCAAGTTGGTTATTTCTGGGTATGAGGAGCAGCGCAATCGACACCAGACCCAGCTTATGAAGTTGAGCAAAGACTCTTTCGCTGTTGTTGGTCAATCGCAGGATCGAAGTAACAAATGTACCGGATACTGCGAAAATAGAGAACACGTCCCAGGAGCTTTTGCGAAATCGATGCCAGGACAGGCCGATGATTCGAATGACCACATTGGCGATGAATATAATCGTGAACAGGAGGAAGATGTAGTCGCGTACTTGGTCCCATACGCCATACCCGGGGTACCACTCTAGGCAAAGGAGGACAAGGTGGGCCAGTAACAGTCCTGTTATGAACCGTTGCCAGCCGCCAGTCTTGCGGACAGCACGCCGGTAACACCACTCTTCCCATGTCTCTCGCACCTTTGTCGAGGACGGGCGTTTCGACGGGGAGACTTGACGGAGCAGTTTCCTCAGCTCAAGCCATGACCGCTGGTCTGTGGTCAGGAAAGCAACACCAGTCTGTTCTGTGTAGTTGCGCATGAAGACAGATACAAAGAGCGTCAACACGAAGACGGCGCCAAGCAAGTTGAAGATGACGAAATAGACAGCGTTGCCTTGGGAAGCGAATGGGGCTGGCTGAGTGAACACGCCAGTGATTTGTTCCGATGCCCACATGACATCAATCCAGCCTTCTTGGGATACAATCTGAAAGAGGATGAAGAGCGAGTTGCCGAAGTCGTCGAAATGATAAGACGGGTTTGCGGCGCGGCGGGGGGCAAGAACATCCCAGTCATCGTTAAAAGGGTTGCTAGTGTACTCGTTGACGCAGTCGTTCAAATCGAAAATATTGGAGCTGTCATCGTTGCACGATTGCATTTTACCAACGAACAAGTTCAGTCCATATATAGCAAAGGGAATGAGCAAGCTCAGCGAGACAAAAGCGGCCTGTCAACGTCAGTATTGTCACACGTTGTGATCAAACATAGCTAGTCATACCGAGATTAGCTTCCACCAGCCGCGGACGATAAGGGAATGGAAATGATCCCGCGCGCTGTCGCTAATGTTGAGGAGACGCAAGGCACGTAGAGCTTTGAAAGCGCCAACCGTACGTGTGATCTGACCTTCGTTGAGCAATGACGTGAGTACGTTGATCCAGAGTGTAATCAACACCACGCCATCAATGAAACCCCAAGAGCCTCGAAAGTAAGCGTTGGGCGTGAATAAGAAGCCGTCTGCGATGACTTTGATCAGAGCCTCCGCAGTGAACAAGACGGCAAAGCCCATATCTGTCCAGACAAACCAATTGCGGACGCTGAAGTCGTGGGTTTTGAAGTACTCCCTCTGGTACAAAGGCGTCGTTACGCAGGCTAGAAGGACCATGGCAATGATAGCCGCATAAATGAAAGCCGAAAACGTGTACCAAACGGGCACCGATGGGGCAATACCTTCCATACGATCTTTGCCGCGACCTGGACCCACGATCTTTTGGCAAAACCTACGAATCGGATTGTAGGGCTTGAATATGAACAGTGACACGTTGTACTTCGGATGCTTTCGAAGATAATCTCGTTGTGCCTTCTTTCTCCTTTCTGTCGCATCAACTACCTCTTTGGCCATTCTTCTGGGATCGAGATCTTCGTAAGCGCGTCCAAAGTCAAGCGGAGCGTAGAATGGATTCTGCTCTTTGTCGGTGAACCGCCGCTTGAATCGCTGCCAGAATGTTGACATTACGCCCGATCCGACAATCGTTGGCGCTGGTCGGATGCCAGGCTGCGGGTCCTCGTGTGGACTCTCATCTCCGTCTCCGTCTGCTTCATCGAGGAAATCTCTAACCACGGCGTCTTTCAGAAGCATTTCGGTAGCAGCAGATCCGTAGTCTAACGGGTCTTTCCGGCTGGCCTGACCCAGTTTGAAGATAGAGGAGAGTGACAGATTACTATGAAGCTTAGCCTAGACTCTGTATAGCAGAAGGTAACTTACCCGTCAGATGAGTTGAACCCCTGTTCTTTCTTTTGCAGAAACGCTTTGACTTGCTGTAGACGCTTTTCATCTTCAGAGACATCGAAATTTTCCTGAATGACAGCAATAAACATATTCAAGACAATGACTGTTTCCGATGTCAGTGCAATCGTAGCTTACGGCGTGACAACTTACAGTTTGCGAAAATGAACCATATGATACAGAACGTGGCCCCGATCCAGGAGGTCCCCCATTGTTCCGTAAAGGTCGTGACGCTGTACATTATAGTTGTCCAGTTCTCACTGGAGAGTATTTGGTACATTCCGAGAAAAGAGTTGTATATCGTGAAAAAGGATATCACAAGGGTGTCGCCGTCTTGTTCGGCCTGAATCTCCCCACGAAACAGCTGTGCCGCAAATATAGAGGCGAGGAACGTAAGCAGGAACACAAACAATATTAGGTTGAGCAGACCGCCAACATTTCCAAGGACAATCATCTAACGGCTTTAGTAACAAACGACTTTCTGGAGAGATGCAACTTACAATAAGTTCCCGCGTCATTGGTACGGCCAAGACAACTCGGTAGATTCGGATGATCTGGAATACGGAGAGCCAAGCGTATGCCTGTCCGCCATGGGAACCTTTTATAGCTGGGATTTGAATGACACACGTAATAACCGCGATGAGCAGATCGGTAATATTCTGCTTGCCTTTAAAGAAATGCCTCCAATCGACGACGAACCGAATGACGATCTCAAGCACCAAAAGGAGAGTGACCCCGATCTCAGACCTGTCAATGAATTTGGCTCGTGAAGGTGACATCTCTGCGCTTTTCAAAGCCTGGGCAATGAGCCCATAGGAGATAATTAGGATCCAAATCCAGGAGGTCTTCTTGTACAACTTTTTCAGGTTGCTCACGCGCTCTTTCGGAAGGTTCTCAGCATCTTCCTCTTCAATCTGTTCGCCAGTGAAAGCACTTGTCTTGCTCTCTTCACGGATGATCTGGAACGATGACGTAATGACCGCGATGAGTAAAGATATAAGCCAAAGACTCAGTATGAGGATTGCACCAGCAAAGAACAGCGCTCCTATGAGGTAGTCGCTGTCTGCGATTGTATACAGCAAGTCGGAGTACGTGTTCGAGGACATGATTACGAAGACCAGTTGAAGGGATTGCAGGATGTTGTCGAAACTCTGAGTGCCACTATAAGGGTTTTCACCCTCTATGCACAACGAACCTTTCGGGCAGATGAATCCTTTGTCGGTACCTTCTGGCATTCCAGGGGCCTGGATGTAAGGTTTCGGATGAATGCCGGATACGTTTTCGAGATGGCCACCGCAGAATTGCGCTTCATTTGTAAAGTTTTTCTTGCCTTCAGGATCGATCCAGACACAGTGTCTCCTGAAACTCGATTTGAAGCTCTGAACACCAACAATGGCAAAAAGAAGCCAGAAAAAGCTGATCAAGAAGGCTACGTTTACGAGTAAAGGCGCTGCTTTTTTCAAACTCCGTAGAATGACTGAGGTGCCACTCGTCAGGTTGAGAAGACGGATGATGCGCAGACAACTCAGCATTTTGAAAATATAAATGTGCTTGGCGTGTTCGACGCCGGTGATGCTTAGGACAAACGAGATCCAAAACGAGACCACGGCGACGAAATCGGTACGGTTGAAGGAATGGCGAAGATATGCACGATGCGCAAGCCGAGCCCTTTGCTGCTCTCTTGCGTTGCCAGGGCCAATAGCAGGGGTCATTTGTGCAGTTGTGAAAGTTCGGAAGACAGAAGGAATCTGCTGCTCGATGCTGGTTTCGGCACGCTTGATCGACGGCACCCGCTGGGGTCCAAACAGCTTGCGGGCATTGCCGAGGATAGCTCGCTTAAAGCTGACCTGTCTGTTAATGGTACTGTATTCGGGAGCATTGATGATGAAGCCTGACACAATAATTCGAATGATGGTTTCCATGGTGTACACGACGAACAATCCAAGTAAAGCAAAGTCGATGTTGGAGCCCCATGTCGCGTCCCTATGATGCTCGAATACGTTTTCACTTGCATCCACGGCCAGAAGCACAGTTTGAACAACGATCAGCACGAGAAGCAATGGTTCAGTAACAGGGTGTACCAGGAGGTCACTGAGCTTTAAGCGCAGCTTGTTGTCCGGGCCGAAGATGCCCAGTGACCTTCCACGAAAAGGATTCGATGGATGGTGCCACTGTGCACTGGGTTTCGCAGACTGGGTTGGCGAGGGCGGCTTCTCAATTGGGGTGGCGAGCGGCGAAGAAGGACCGTCATGAAGATATGTTGGCAGTGCTGGAAACGAAGGCGGCTCCTGAAGGCGGTCCTGGGGGTGGCGCACTGAGGACTTCCTGCGCATAGTTCGCTCAGCAATCTCAGGTTCATTACTGATGTTGACAACGCGCTGGGACATGTTCCGCATTATGGTTCCTGCACGATGCAGCGGCGACTCGATGCTACCAGGCGAGAGCGACCGCTTCCGGCCGGTGGACGTCCGGAGGCCGCCCGGTGAATGCTGCTCAAGATCATGCCCCAGCCCAGGTCCAGTGGTGGATCCACCCGGTGTGAGGAACCGCACGCTCTGGAAGCTGGAACGATCGCCCGGTGTGGTGGGAAGGGGCGGTGCGGCACCGCTTATAGGTTGTAAGTTGCGCGCATCGGTCAAGCGTGCTGTGTCCCTATCGTCGTAGGCAGATGGGGCATAGAAGCCGTGGTCCTCGGAAGTGCTCCTGCTCAGATAAGGGTCGCTGCCGTATGGGGGATATGACTTTGCGGACGTCATGGGAGGGGGCAATGGCGGGGATGTCTCGCCCTGGAAGCCCAGGCCTGAAAAGCCGATGGCAGCTTGGAAAGCGCCGATATCGACGGGCGAATAGTCGCCATCTTCCTCGACGTGTGCCGGCCGTCGAGATGCGCCGGCTGCGATGTCGACATGAGGACGGCCACGCGTGCGCGTTGGGCTGGGCGATGTCTCCGCTATGGGCGCATACTGTGAGCTCCAAGGCTGTCCCGAAGCAAGCGACCCAGAGTGTCTCAGTAGCTGTCGTCCTCGGTCGCTAAGGGTTCTGCGATGCTGTTGCGCCCCTTGCTGCCTCTCTCCAACGTACTCGTCCGGCGGGCGATGGAGGTCTCTTAAGGGTATTGACTGGTGTGTCTGGCTTCGGCGGTGGCTGTTGGGACTGTCGGGGGAGGACATCGAAGCGAGTGGTGCTCGTGCGTGGTGCACAATCTACATCGAGTCGCGCTTCAGCTCATGCGGTGCGAGCATGTAACATTAGAGATTATACGGCGCGGTGGGAGGGGCCTAGCGGCAAGGTCGAGCGGTCGAGCGAGCGATGGCACGGCAGAGGCAACGGTGCAAAGGATGCGCGGGAATCAGACGGGATACGGTCACAGCGAGGGTGTAGGAAACGTTACGAGCTGTCAGATGCGGGTCCTCGAGGTCGATAGTACTAGGCACGGCTGCCCTGAAGCGCGTCCCCCCAATCCCAGCCGTTGCCGTTCAGCCACAGCCAAGGCGGATCCAGCCCTAATACCTGCAGATAACCGTGTCCTCGGCATCAACCCGCGTATTTTTAGCTACCGCAGTGCAACCTGTGCCTGGCAGCATCACAGTCGCCGTTCACATGTACCAATATGGCGAGAGAGTGCATCGGCGCTCGTGAAGGGTTGCAATCAACAACACTCTATCTTCACGAGCCGAAAAGTTCCCTTCGTGCAGTTGGATTTTGCAACACTTCACGTCGCGGGTTGACAAATGATTAGTCCTACTGCACGTCACGGTTAACGCTGCTATCAGAAAATTGTTCGCCACCAGAAAATGATACACTTCTATGATATGCTAGTTTAGGGAACAGCATACCCAGTACTCATCAAAATTGCGCTCAGCAACACGTATGTACGGTATTTCCAAGGTCCATACGAAAGTACGAGTACGCCAAGTATCCCCGGCCCGATATCTATCACATGAACAAGCAAACATTTGAAGTCGACGTCGCATGCAGAAGAGAAACCTTGTAATTTTTGTGGTGGAAGACCTCTACCTGATCACAGCACTAGGTGATGAACCCTTACAACACCCACATCATCAGCCCCATCTTTATCCCCTGTCTGTAAAAGAGGCGCAAGCGACATTGTTTGTACCAAGGTTTCGAGCAATCGCCGACGCGTGGGAAAGCCTGGGATTATGGAGCGAGGCCTAAATTCAACATCGCGTCACATTTCGAGAGGGGATGTGGTCGCGAAGAGTTGAGGCTAAGAGGCTGCCCACGTCCCACGCTCGATGATGTACTTTTTCCGAAAACGACTAGCGCGATAGCCGCGGTAATGTAATGTGCAATCATCCTTTCGGGGCCTCACGTTCCTGGCCGACCTCACAAACACAAACCGCCCAAACCAGCCCACTTGCTCGCCATATTTCTACTTTGCACGCGCCGCGCAAGTAGGCCTACACTCCAGTTCCCCCTTCGACGCTGCTTCGCCCGAATCACCCGCCCTTCGATACGCGTCGCCGCCTGGCTCGCTCCGCCAAAATGGTCGCGAGAAAGCGCGGTCGGGATGAGATGGAGACGGAAGCACCTATCGAGGAGCCGACGACACTGCAAAAGCTACGCAATATGTGGCAGTTCGCCAATTTGGCACAATACATCTTCCTCTTCAAAGGGGCTCTCAAAATCGACGAGGACTTTGGTATCGAGGTACGCGTTTGCGCCCGGCGCGCTCACAAAGCATACGGCCCAGGCTTTGCGCATTGGATGCTAACGATCGCATAGGAATTAGAGACGGAATGTCTCTTGCCACAGCCCTCGGCACAACTGGCCGCCATTGGCCTCGCCCTCCTCAAGCACGTCTCGTCGCACAAAGGCCTCACGTACGCTCATATCATTCTACAAGCCCATTCAGATATTGACACATACACAGACCCGAGATCTTTGATGAATACACACGCCGCCAGTTCGTGGCGAAAGCCCCGGCGCGCAACCCCTTCGGCACCGAGGAGATTCCCAATAAGTTTGACGACTTCGATATCTTCACCAAGATTAGAGTGCTCCAACAGCTATCCGTTTGGACGCTGAACAACCCAAATACGATTAGGGAACGACTCAATCCGACTGAGTCGGAACAGATAGAATGGGTAAGCCACAGCACTGGCCCTAGTATTACACACATCTGACCTATTGCTGCAGCGCTTCAATCCGTTCGGATACGATTCCAAAGGTCGTACACTGTTCGTGCTCGACGACATGCGCATGTATCGCCGGACCGACCCACCTCCACCGCCTCCCCCGAAAGCCAAAACGAAAGCCAAGGCACGCAAATCGCGCTCGTCACGAGGTTCCAAGAGGAGGAAGACGTCGACGCCGGAACCTGAGGAGCCTGAGGAGGTCGATGAGGCGACTGAGCTCCCGCTCGACGCAGAGCCCGAGGACGATGGCTTTGGCGGTATGAAGTGGGAATGTGTCTGCATTACCTACGAAGACTATCAAGACTTCCTGACCGGCATACGCAAGAGTCGTCATCCTGATGAGAAGCAGTTGTACAAGGACATAGAAGCAGATATAATACCAGAACTTGCCAAGGTGGCAGAAGCCCAGGCAAGGAAGGAAGCCAAGAAGATGAGAGAGCTGGAAACGCTTCAGAAGCTTGCTACTGCCAAGCGCTCGTCGAGAATATCCGCAAAGATGGACAAGCAAAGGGAGGTCGAGGAGGCCGAGGAGGCAGCCCGGAAGCGACGTGAGGAGATCGCCATGGCAAAGGCGGAGCAAGACAGGCAGCGCAACATGGAGGATGTAAGTACTAAAGAGACTTCTTGGCACTTCGACTAATAACCCGCAGGCGCACGAGTCTCGCAGGCAAACACGAGAGCAACGCATTCGCGAGCGCGAGGCCCAAAAGATCCTACAAGAGGAGAACGTCCGCAAGTTGGAGGAAGACGAGAAGAAGCTCACATCCGAAGAGGCCAGACTTTCCGAGCGCCATCTTACAGCACAGATGAAGAAAGCTAAGAGAGATCTGGAGAAACTCAAAGAGAAGGAATACTGGCTTTTTGACTGTGAGAAGTGCGGACTAAACGGAGAGTGCCTTGACGACGGCAAACCCCAGATACAATGCGACGAGAAGGACGGCTGCGGCGTGTGGCAGCACTCAACCTGTCACGGCATATCTGCGAAGCGGGCAAATATGGAAGACTTCAAGTTTCTTTGCGCTTCCTGCACACGGAAACAGCAAGCCGCAAAGGAACCCAAGCTTGCTTTGAAGCTCAGACTAACATCTGCCTCGCCTGATGCCCGACGCACTTCGCAGGCTAACGGCAATGCTCAGACAGAACCCGCACATCAGCTCAAGGCAGTCGATGTACCACGTCCAATGCCGCAATCCCCACAACGGCCGGTTCAACCCAGTCATTCTCTGATGAACGGTCCGAGCCTTTCACCTCGAGGACAAGCTCTTGGCCCGCCAGGCATCCAACGATCAGAGGCAGCCTACGGTTCACCAGTAGTTCCTGCTGGTAGCAGTTCGCCGACACGCCCTCGACACCCCAGTATACAGGGCGGTGTGAATATGCCTAATGGATTAGGTTCATCACCACCCCGGTTCCCGCCCCATGCTATCAGTTCTTTCAGCAATGGCACGCCAGTATCACGCCAGAATGGCAGTCCTTTCAACAACACGAACCCTTTTCAATCGAATTTCCACCCCACTTACACCAGCAGCTTTAGTCGACCTACGTCCGCTGCCGGCACCACCTCCTTCGGATCTCCTATCAAGCATTCTTCACCTCGCCCTACGAATGGCGTTCCGAACGGCTACAACTTCACGAACAGCCCTCACTCCTCCTTCCCTCCAAGCAATGCCCAGGCATCGGCCATGTCCCCAACTAAGCATAGCTCTCCTCCGCCGCCCCTCCCCCAGATGATGTCTTCACCGGCACCGGCTCCTGTATCATTCATCGCACCATCGCCAGGTCAAATGCCAGCACAAATTCTACCGGATCCGATCCCTGCGCCTTCGAAACACGATGGCGCTCGCCCACCTTCAAGCCATGAGATGTCAGAGGCACATGTCTTCCCGCCGATCAAGTCGCTATCGCCGAGTGTTCCTCCTCAAAACCTCAGTCCGCCTGTGAAGAAATCGTCGCCGGCACCAAATCGGACACTTGACGTGCCCATGAACGGGAACCCATTCGATAGCTCCATTTAGGTGAAGGAGATAATGTCAGGTTCAAGATCGTCTAAACTTGATGAAGCTTCGTTGATGGGTCGTATTGGGAGTCCAATGGAACGAGATGTACATTATTAAAAGATACGAACGCAAGTTGGACAGCTTTCGGTTATGGGCACGGCTCATTTGGTATTGTAGCATGTTTGTGTACGTTTGGATTGGTATATGGCGTCTGGGCTGCCCACGGGCATGTACGCTTTTGAGTGGACACGGAACGGATTACTGGATATTCATGTTTGGTGTGTTATTACACTTTGCAGAACGCGTTGCTATACGCGACTTGAATCGAATGTCTAAAATGTTCAAAACTTGATTTATACATGGCACAGATTGAGGCGAAGACAGCAAAGATTGTTGGAGAACCATGTTCATGGCGTTTGATTGTGTCAAACGAGCAGACACAGGCCCAATACTGAGGTAACGCGCGAAAGGGACGATCTTTGCACGACCCCAGGCACGTGAGGCGTACAAAGATTAGCGGCGGAACGGGGCGATTCACCCCACAATATACACCTGTAAATGCGGGGTAAACTCAGTGAACCCGAACACAAATCTCGAGAGCGAGTTCAGAGAGAGCACTCGCACACATCCAGTGATTACACAGCCGATGCTCCTGCCCGTGGCCGAAGGCGCAATGTACTCAAGGGTCCAGCTTCCTGGCACAAGCTCAGGATGTATGCATTCCAAGATGGCATCAGCATCCGTTCCCTTGCATACCGGAGCCAGTAACCGTCCATTGATTTCAGCAGGCTAGCAAACTTTCCTGGTAATCAGCAGCTACGGCCTGACCATTGGTCGTCCAGCAGCCGATCAGCATGTCCCTCGTGGACAGATCGATGCATACCGGTAACCGCTAGCTTGGAACCATACACACCCGAAGGGAGCCAGGACATCCCACGCACCCAGCTGCGGAAACAGTGCGGAGGCTTTCCGGTCAGCCTGGGCCCTGCATAAAGAGCGTGGTAGCTTACGAGGGCGTCCACCCTGAGCCTTTGGTTCATCAAAGCTTGACTCAGCCATCTATAGCTTTCGCAACTATGTCTCTCGAGCGTGTTGATTCTGTCGATCCGTCGGAGGTTTACGACTACATTGTGTGCGGGTACGACTACAAATGCACATTTACATAGCCTTCATTCTCTCTACTTCCATCAAGTCGAACGCAAACTGACTTGTAAACAGAGGCGGCACATCAGGCTGCGTAATCGCCGGCCGCCTAGCCTCAGACCTCGACGTAAAAGTCCTCGTCCTGGAAGCTGGACCCGACAATGCGGACCTCGAGAATGTGCACATGGCTGGTGGGTGGAGTAAGAACTTTGACAGCGAGACGGATTGGAATCTTGTGACAGAGCCGATGAAGACGATTGACGATAGACGCGTGAAGCTTAGCCGAGGAAGGTTTCTGGGGGGGTCGAGCGGCGTTAATGGGACGTTGTGTATCCGCGGCATGAAGCAGGACTATGACGACTGGGGATTGAGCGAGTGGACGGGGGAAAAGATGTTTGAGTTCATGAAACGGGTAGGTTGGGCTTCTACTCCCTTGTGAATTCGTGGTTCTGACCCTGTTTAGGCGGAGACATTCCATGAGAAAGACTGGCATGAGGCGGATAAATCTGTTCACGGTACGGATGGGCCTCTGCATACTGAGCCACACGACCTTGCACCGATCTCAGAGCGTGTCAAGGAGAGTATGATTGACCAGGGCTTGCCTTACCATCCCGATATGTTTTCTACTGGTGAGACGCCACATGGCTGTGGTGACGTGCCACGGACAGTGCATCAAGGTGTCCGGACCACGGCTGCAGACTTCATTACCAGGGGGCATAAGCGAGAGAATATAACCATCAAGACTGAGGTCACGGTAGACAAGATTCTGTTCAGCCAAGACGCAGAAGAGCTGACTGCGATCGGGGTTGCCGCGATCTCGACGAATGGCAAGAAAGTCGAATATCACGCTCGGAAAGAAGTGATTGTTGCAGGAGGAGCCTATTGCAGTCCGCCTCTCTTGATGCGCTCTGGTCTCGGTCCCAAGGAGCACCTAGAAAAGCACGGTATTGAGTGCCTAGTAGATCTCCCAGGCGTGGGGGGAAACCTCATGGATCACGTCGTAAGTATCCCGAGATTGACATGTTACCATCGCTGCGTCGAGAGAAGCTGACGATCCCCAGCTCTGCTTCATCTTCTACGAAGTCTCCGAACCCAACCTCACAAACGACCACCTCGCCTACCACGACAACGCCATCGCCTCCACCTACAAACTCTACCAAGAAAAGAAAAGCGGCATCCTATCCACCTTTCCCTTCGGCATCTTCGGCTACGCGCGTCTAGACGAGCGCCTCAAAGACTCTGAACTTTGGACCAACGCCCCCCGCCAGGGCGGCAGAGATCCCATGGGCCTGCTCCCTTCCCAGCCCAACATCGAGCTCTGGAACACCGAGCTCTACGGCGGCCCAAAGCAGTACACCGACTTCCCCGTCGACCACAAACACGTCTTCGCGCAGTGCGCGCTCCTGTTCAACCAGCATTCTCGCGGCTCGGTGACGCTGAAATCGAAGGACCCGTTGGAGAATCCCGTCATCGATCACAACTACCTAAGCGACCCGCTGGACATGCTCGTCCTAAGCGAGGGGTGTCGACTCGCAAATGACATCGTTATGAAAGGTAAGGGAACGAAGGATGTCATCAAGGGGAGCTGGCCGAGTAACTTGACGCATCATGCCAATGCGACGAGAGAGGACTGGGAAGAGCATGTGAGACAGCATGCCACAACCTGTGAGTCTAACTACCGGACAAATTTCAGAGCTGCAGACGCTGATCGAGTGATACAGGCTACCATGCATCAGGCACATGTGCGATGGGCAAGCCTGACGATAAGGATGCTGTGCTGGACGGACGGTTGAGGGTCCGGGGTGTGAGGAATCTGCGTGTGGCCGATTGCTCTTCGGTCCCGAGGGTTAATAATGGCCATACGCAGATGGTGGCTTATGGCATTGGCGAGGGCGCTGCTGAGATGATCAAGGAGGACGCTCAGGGCTCGCTCTCAAAGTTAACGTCTGGAGTAGCTAAGTTGGCTGTGTAAAGATGCACAACGGCGGAAACGGGAGCAGGAGTCTGCGGAATGCTCGGTCCTGCATGCTGTGTCTACGATATAGAGTTGTGATGGTTCGCGGTGATGACGGGCAGCGGATTTTCCCATCCAGACGGTGCGCTTCGACACGAGGTCGATGCAGTTGGGAGGCAGATTACTAGATATCTACGTCTGATGTATTATTGCACTTTTTATGGCAGCATCCGTCGTTGTACACAATCTGAATCGAAGTACAAAGATGCCGTCTGGAGCGTGCGTATGATGTCATTGCTCTGAGCCTGTGAACCGAACCTCAGCTCCAGTACACTGTGCTCGAAAACTAGACATCTACAGTTCATGGCATTACTACCTAGGCGCATTTGTCATCTAGAGTCATCTTGTCCCAAGCTCCTTGACGGCCTATCAGCGCCATTTGTGGTTCTTGTCCGACGAATGGCATTGTGTTGACTGCATCTGATCCTGCCATTCACCGCAGCGATCGACGCAAGGATAATATGACTAATCCCCGGTGGTACACGATGTTGAGCTTAATGCGTAGGCGATACGAGATAGTGTAGGGCGCGATGATGTCAAACAGTTACATGCGCGGTGGACTTTGGATTGGTCGAGTGAGGGGTACTGGTACCTTGCTTTGAAATGCGATCACAGACAGACAGATATAAGAACTCTGGAGCAGCGCATTTCGCGTCATCGACGCTTCACACAGCAGCCTACTTCACTTTGTCATTGAGTCCATTCGTGACGCCAAATCCTCAAGACCTCAATTTCCCATCATGTCTTCCCCCGAGCCCTATACGGTCAACGTCCCTGACGCTCACATTGAAAAGCTAAAGCGCAAACTAGAAGATACAGATTATCCAGATGAGCTTGATACCGACGACCAATGGCGTTACGGTGCTCCAGTATCAGACGTAAAGAGATTGGCAGAGCAATGGCGCACCGGTTTCGATTGGCGAAAAGCAGAGGCCGAAATCAACGAGCTACCAAATTACCGCAAGAAAGTAAATGTCGATGGATTTGGGGATGTAGACATGCATTTTGTATGGCAAAAGAGCGAGGTCGAGGGCGCGATCCCATTGCTGTTCTGTCATGGTTGTGAGTCCTTCTGGTCTCCAGAACCCGTGCTCAAAATCGAAGAGCATAATCAACATCCTAACATCAGGCAGGGCCTGGCTCCTTTCTCGAAGTGAAGAAACTACTACCTTTGCTCAAAGGAGGCGACGGAAAACCCGCGTTCCAGATAGTAGCCCCTTCCCTCCCCAATTTCGGCTTCAGTCAACGCATCTCCAAGCCCGGTTTCGCCCTCGAGCAGTACGCACAAACATGCCACCGCCTCATGCTCGACCTCGGCTATTCCAAGTATGTAACCCAAGGCGGCGACTGGGGCTTCTACGTAACCCGCATCATGGGGCTCCTCTACCCGGACGCAGTCCTCGCATCCCACATCAACATGATCCGCGCTCATCCTCCCTCCTTCACCTCACAACCCACACTTGCACTGCAGCACGCAGTAACTCCGTACTCCTCCGCCGAGAAGCAAGGCTTGCAGCGCAGCGCCTGGTTCACCACAGAAGGCCAAGCATACCGCCAACTCCAAGCCACAAAACCGCAAACCCTTTCTTTCGCTTTTGCCTCCTCCCCCGTCGCGCTGCTCGCCTGGATCTACGAGAAGCTGAGGGACTGGACAGACGCGTATCCCTGGACCGACGACGAAATCCTGACCTGGGTCTCAATCTATTACTTCTCGACAGCGGGGCCAAATGCACATATCCGCATATACTACGAAGCCGGCCATAATCCTACGGAGATGGTGCCGAGCAGGGAGCGCGCGAGCGAGTGGATACCGCGGGTGAAGCTGGGCTTAGCACATTTTCCACGAGAGATCACTGTTGTGCCGAGAGTGTGGGGAAAGACGCTGGGAGATGTGGTGCATGAGAGTGTTAATGAGAAGGGAGGGCATTTTGCGGCGTGGGAGAGACCGGACGTTATATCTAAAGACCTTCAAGATATGTTTGGGAAGAAGGGGCCATTGTATAAGATAGTTCCTGGGAAGAGTGGGTATTGAGGGGGCAAGAGAGGGAAAAATGAGTGGAATAATTTTCTGCTGGGTGGGCTGTTAAGGATGGTACTGTTGAGTTTCTGGTACGGAAACTTGCTATTCAGTGCGATCAATGGACAGAAAAGAAGTGCTTCATACAGAATACGAAGGTCGGGCCGATTTTATGTCACATGTTGAGTTGGGTGATCACAGGAGCACCCATTGTCAGTCGCTGATATGGAAAACCTGCTTTTCCCGCTACAATCAATGACGGGAAGAACTTGCTTGATGTGGTATATTCCCATATCCGGGAAGGAGTGACAGAAAACGACGTGACTTCTCGTTGAGCTGGCCGCTGAAACCCCGCTAGCAGTCTCTGGCACGAGTAATAAGCCATTCCGACTGCAATAGCTGGTCGAGAGATGAATTGCCTAATGTGGCAGGTTTCATCGTTCTGTAGCCTACGGCTGGAAGGTGAGCGAGCTTGAAACGTGCTGCGGTTCAAGTCTATTGCTGCGCCACCACCTACAGGAAAACAAGTGCCAGAGTTTGGCTTTTCACGCCCCTGAGTAGGTGGGGTATGGACAGGGACTGAAGAGAGCTGGACGAACAGAGTGGGTCCTTCTGGGGTGTGTGAGAATGTGGGCGCCTTCGGTATCTCAGGTGGGCTCTTCCACACAGCGAAAGACAATAGGGACAAAGGCGCTCATTCCGTTCAACAATCTCCATGTACAGGCTACGCATATAGTCACAGATGGAGAGGAGGTCTTGAATCATATGCACATTGTATTCGTTATGTATGTAGCTATGCTATCGCAAGCCATGCAAAGCATTTTGAACAATTTTTGAAGTATCTGACTATCAACACCGCTTTCAGCAGTGCCGAAGCTCAAAGATGCCAGGGTATAAGCGCCAAAGTAAATGCAGAAATGTGTCCAAGTGAAAGAAGAAAGAATCGAAGTCAGCCATCATCCAGTGACAGCCAAAGATGCTATGTATATGCAAACAAGTGTGGTGTTAGCGGCTAGTCACTGATACCCCAAGACAGAGTGTCTAGAAAGAAGCGCGCTGAGCAAGGTGCGCGCGGGCGTGCGGGTGCGTGAACTCGCGCTTCGCGATCTGGCCGTTCGCGCACTTGGTGCCAGCGGCCACTGCCTGCCACACAACTTTGCCGTTGTCGCAAAGACCGAACTGCGACTCGCCGTTGCACACGATTGAGCCATTGCTAGAGCAAGTGCTACCCGAGCCTGAATCAGCGCCGCCGGTAGGTTGAGCCGCTCCAGTGCCGTTCGCGGGGACAGTGGCGGATGCACTGGGAGCGGTGACAGTGAGCAAGGTGCGGACGGTAGAAGTGACAGCGTCCGAGGGCGAGGCAGCGGGTGCAGAAGAGACCGCCGGGGCAGAAGAAGCACCGGGAGCGAATACACCACCAGCACCGCCAGTAGCCGAAGCAGCGGGCGCGGAAGAGGCTACAGCAGCAGCGGAAGTTGCAGCCGCACCGCCCTCGCCGGCGCCGGGAGTGTATTGACCGTTGTTGGCAGCGCCAGAGCCAGCAGAAGCTGAAGCTGAAGCGCCAGAGCCAGAGCTACCACCAGTGCTACCGCTACCCGCGTCAGAGGAAGCCCCGCCGCAAACGTCGACGAAGGGGCCGGAGCCGACCTTGTCGACAGTGTCGCCATTCTGGCCGACACCCTCGAAGGTGTAGTCAGAGCTCTCGGTGGTCTTGCAAGTTGCGCCCTTTCCAACGGCGACGTTGGCGATGGCCATGTCAGGGAGCTTCTCGAACTTGGAGTTATCAGATGCACCGCCGCTGACTTGAACGTTGGCGCAGTTCATGTACATCTCGCGGTTTCCAATGTGGTTGAACCAGGTCCAGGCCATGACGAGCTCGCCGTCAGGCAAGGCATCGGGAACCGTGAAGTCGAATGTAGCAGGGCCATCGACACCAGGGCAGCCACCCTCGATGGAGTGGATGACCTTGAACACGGAGTCCTTGGTGGGGTTCTTGTCGGTAGTGACAGAGACCTGGCAACTACCTCCACCGTGGACTGCGGAGCCCGTGAAAGACAATTGCTGCTTAGAGCCGACCGCGAAGTCGTTCATAGGCCCAGCACCCGCGGTTGCGGAGGTCATCTTGCAAGGGTAGTTAGACCCAGAGGGGTCAAGCGGCGAGTTGTCGGGCGATCCGAATGGCTTGGGAGTGGCCAGAATCATGTGCGACTGAACAGAGGGAGCCATGGAGAGCATGGCGACTGCCAGAGTCGAGAGTGCTTGCGAAGTAAACATCTTGGCGGTGTTGATGATCGTTGGTAGAAAGAGTGTTGGAAGTTGTTCGTGTGTTGAAGTTGAAGTTTTCAGATAGCTTTTCCGGAAAGCTGTGCGTTTTGATCTGTCTGCTGGAAGGGAGCGTAGGACTGAAGCCTTAAAGTAGTGATAAGGAGGGTTGTGAAGTTGCCTGAACTGTCGTGAAGTGTATCTACAATGAGTGCGAAGACACACAATAAGAACAATGGCACAAAGAAGGTAGAATGGACAGGGTGAACACCGCAACAAGAGAATGTGATAAAAGTGAAGGTAGAATCTGAACGACTGGCGGACGCACAATGTTTATGGTTTCCACGCCGTGGAGCCAGAGTAGGGATCTTCGCTACGCGCCCACTCCGCCACCGCATGAACAAGGTGATCGGCTATTATTCTCATGCCGGAAGTTTGTCCCTGAATGCGGAGGCTTCATTTGAGAGGTCGTAGCCTTTCAAAGACTCGAGCGCTCATTCGAGCGAGGTTTCGTGAACCTGGATGATCGGTGCAATGAGTGGCTGAGAGTTTATGCGCGGCAGGAACATGAAACAGGGCAAAAAATAGACGCCGGAGCCCACCAGGGGAACCTCGGTCTTGCCCGCTGATCACACGCATTCATAGAGCGCTATCAGGATTTCGTTTCAGGCCGCTTGATTCACGGCTAAGTCGTACATGAAGGGAGCTCTTCTCGACCAGTCCAGGCAGCTGCTCTCCCTGTCGGTGGCAAGCTGATCTGTTTCCTCGATGCGAGTGACATGGCTGTGGTGCGGATGACCGGCGAAGTGTTTGAAACAAACTGCTCACGGCGAGGGAAGTAAAGCGAAGATGGCGACGACGAGACTTACGTATTCACATTGGAGGCGGGATGGTGATGGCTCGATCAAGTCACGATGCGAGCCTCAGAATTTGCCCTAATCCCAATGCACTTTAGCGGCTTGGCACTCGGTGCGTGCCGTGAAGCATCGCGAAAGATTGACGCAGTGCGCGGCAGCAGCATTCACGACTTTGGAAAGGCAGTCCATTGCGACATTGAGTGGTCTCCGCCAGCTACCAAACCCGATATTGCACATTTCGTGCCTATCAACTTCGTATAGGCGGCACGCGCCCGCCCACGACGCGTCTGGCCCTCTGTTGAGCTTCCTCGCTTTCGCAGCAGCCAGCGCGCCATAGCGACAATGTTTACATCGACGGGGAGGACAGCGCCGCCACAGGCCTTCATATCAACCTATGCGCCGCGATTGCGCTCGTATGGAAACTCCCTCATATCGCCCATTGTCCCGCCATCAAACACGCTGCCCGTGCCGCGCACGACGAAGCGCGGAACAGCTGTAATCAGCTATGCGGAAGATGGCTACGACGACAACTTTGAGGATGACAGCGACAATCCGCGCCGCGCGACCGGTTTGCGCAGTCTGCGCAGAGACGAATCGGCGCTGGATAAGACTGCGCAGATAGCAGCCTTGGGCAAGGAGATTAACACACCCGTAGATGTGCAGGGCATCTGGCGCGACTGGATGGGAAGGCCGAAATACACGCGCACTGAGAAGCAAGTGCAGGTCCAGGCTGTTCTCCCTGTCACTCTGATTCCCATACGGATCGATATGGACATTCAAGCCTTTCGCCCAGATGCGCCGCTGCCCACGCCTTCGAACGCGCGCGAATTCGGCATCGACGAAACCCTACCAGCATATAGGCAACCAGACATGACTCCGGCCTACCGCCTGAAAGACACTTTCCTGTGGAATCTGCACGAGGCTTTGATGACCCCAGACCAGTTTGCCAAGATCTTCGTGGATGAGATGGACCTGCCTGTCGACCGCAAACCAGTTCTCATCTACAGCATTGCCACTCAAATTCGGCAGCAGCTGGAGGAGTATGCTGGCGTTGCTCTGCACCCGCTGTTCCATTCGACGACATCACCAACCGTACAAGGCACCACGACAGCTGCACCATCGCAGGCCGAGTTGACTCAGGCAGTGCCATCTCGAGACGGAACCTCAACACCCGCAGCGATAATCACGAACGGCGTTTCGACCCCAGTGATTAATGGCAATGCTCCAACGAACGGCACAGCAACACCCGCAGCCATTCCGAATGGCATAAGCGCATCCGCAACGGCTTTGCCCTCAGAAGATTTGCACAACCCTGACGATACATATCGCTGCATTGTCACGCTCAATGTTAACTTGCTTAACCGGCTGTATAGCGACAAATTCGAGTGGTCTCTACTGCACCCACCGGGCTTTGCAGAGATGTTCGCGAAGGTCACTTGTGCAGATATTGGATTGGCAGGAGAATGGGTTCCCGCAATGTCTCATGCCATCTATGAGGCAGTCCTCCGGTTGAAGAAGGAAACTTGCGAGAATGGAGGCTTGGTCGGGGACGGCGAGATCGACAACGACGCAGTCGACCCCGTCATAGGAGCAGGCTGGAGGTATGACCCGGAGCATCTATGCGATGAGTGGGAACCGAAAGTCGAGATCCTCTCCCCAGAAGAGATCGAGAAGCGCGAAGGTGATAGAGAGAGGCAAATCCGGAGGCTGAGGAGAGAAACAGCACGATTTTCATCCACGGCAAATATGACGGGCACACCACAAAACGACTTCTTTGCAAACCCAGAGCAAACGGAGAACATGGGTCGCGGCGAGCGTAGCAAGAAAAAGAGGCGGTTCAGAAGTCTCAGTCCACAAGGGCGGGACACACCAGACGTAGGCTCCGGATACGGAGGATCGGGTGGAGGCCTAAATGAAACGTATGTATATGCTCTACTAAGTATCATTGTCGTACTAACGATCAATAGCGAACGGAGGGAATGGAAATGCTCCCACTGTCTAATCTGGGGCGATGCTGTCTGGGCTGTACGCGACGGTCCCGCTGGTCCGCGAACACTCTGTGCGAACTGTGGGTATCTCTACGAGCGCGACAAGAAACTTCCCCCCGTGGTCCCACAACCTCTTCTACGGAGACTGGCCGAAGCACTTTGTTCCAAAGTACCCAACAAGGTAGTACCCGCAAGCCGCCTTGTGCTTTCTTTTTCACCATCATCCCGTGGACCGGTTTGAAAGACGGGGGGTTTAGTTCTTTCAGGCATACGTATGCCACGATCTTATTGGGCATTGTACGTTTACTGTAGCATTTATGAGCGACGGCGTCTGGTTGTATCCAATATTCGAGTACTGGATCGGGCAGCTTCGACAGGGGTTGAGTTCGTCAGGAATGGGCGGTACGATAGTGTTGGAAGAAGAGGCGAGGGTTGCGCACTTTGCATCATTGCAGTTGTATACAGTGCGCATGATGATTACAATGTCAAGAACTTACTTCAATACTAAACGACCAAATCCTGATGCCGCTCATCGAGCCAGATGTCCAGAGAACACACCGGTGCAGACGATTGCATTCACACTCGTGAATCGCTTCTGTGCTGCGCCGTAGGGGCCCCCATACGGCAGTACAGTGAACGTGCCGCTTCTACAACAATTAGGTATGGGGATACGCCAACTACTCCGAACTGCGCCAGGACTTTCGCCGGCAACGATTGGCAGTCTATTTCGAACTTTCGTCGTACAGCCTCATCGGCAGATGTTCCAAGCAGCCATAACTGCGGCCTATAGCACTGTTGGCTCGTCATACAGCGCTAGCAAAGTTGGACCCGTTTCCTATTGTTCTTTGTGTGGGGCTGCCTTAGCGCGCTCCTATTCAGATCCTATTGATGCTATTGTGCGACACATGAAACGGGCTCGTAATACAAACCCCAGTGCCACACAACGCGCAACTCTCCGATCGCTGTCCATTGGTACTGTGCTGTCTTGATGGTCGCGGCCATGTCACACATTGCTGTCCTCGCCGCACTGTGCCTCGATCTCAGCGATGAGTCAACGCTGCAATGCCCGCAAGTTACGCACTATTACGTAGAGGCCTGAAATGCTCTCTTGGAGTGTCAGGACGTGCATCAGAGATTTCCCAAGGTTTCTCGTAGGAGGCTCACAATAGGAAGGACTACAACCGCGGAAGGGCGGATGTGGCTTCTGATAGGCTTGCATGGTCCTTCCGACACTACCCAGGTGGTAAGTGCCGTGGTTGCACAACGGCTGCTTGCTATTGTGTGCGGTTTTGGACTGTGTCAATAGGAAGGTCGCGGTTGGTTGCCTGGTGCGGGCTGGGTTATATATCCTGATTGCATATCCTCCTGAAAAGTTCCTTTCCTATACCCAGCACGGTGACGACTTTGAAGAATTAAGTCTCAAGATTGAAGATCAAGAATAGTGATCGGGACTGAGGAGAACATCACAAGGTATGTACGTCTGATTGTATTCTTGCTGTTCCTCTTGGCGCTGGAGTTTTTGCATGTTCGCGATTTTCTTTCCAAGGTATGGGGGAGTATGTACGAGAACGTGTGTCATAACGGAGTGCATACCCGCACCCAGAACGCCATGCACGTACGAGCACACGACACAATGTATCACGACACTACGGTTGAGCTACCGACTGTACTGCCGAAAGCACCCATCTTCCAGTCCAGGCAGCATAACACGACACTAACCGGCGGCTCTGTCCGACATAGTCGTACAATCCAACTTCCTCACCCCAGCATCACGCCACAACCGAGTGCCTTGCACCCCACACCGGAAATCGATCACCACACGCAGGCTCGCAGCCATATAGATCGTATGGACCCGTCACGGAATCTAGCCCTGCACAACGCAAAGCTGCGAACCATTTTGTCAAACTTGCAGAGTGTACCACGACAGGGGTCTTCGCCTACTGCCCCCAATCCTGAGCTTGAGAGTGAGAGGGACATTGATATGCCCCCACCTGCATACCACACCGTCGTCGACCCGGCAGAAACACTACCCGAAATGATGCACAGACTGTATGATACAGTGGAAGAGGAAGACGAAAAGAATGGAGAGACGCCTGAGATCAACATCAATGCCACGACGCAGATTAGAGGCCATGGGAACATCATCAGTATCGCGCAGATGGATAGCATGCGAATTGCGAATCTGCTCGCAATATTGATCCATGGGGGAATACCGCCGAATGCGCAGGCACAGCCTCAGGGACAGCCTGCCAATGCACCTGCGCCTGCACCTGCGCCTGCGACTGCGCCCGAAGTCGCACAACGTCCGGCACAAGAGAGGAGAGAGCTTCCGAAGATCAACATCAACATCAACTGCGGCGCTACTGTCATTGGAGACAGGAACATCGTGGGGCCTGGTCTGGGCGATATCGCGAGGCATATGCAATTGGCGCAGCAGCGACAGCAGGCGCAACAACAACAGCAGCAGCAGCAGCAAAGCCAAGCGAATCTTGCTTCGAAGATGGCACAGCCTCAGCGTCCAGTCTTCGGATATCCTGCTCTAAGTCAAGCTACATTAGCGACGCCGCCAATGAGTCGCAGCTCGAGTTTTGGAAGTGAAGGTTCTGCAGGCACGAAGAGGAAGGCTGAAGAACCACCTGTGGAGGAGCCTGTGAAGAGGGAGAGACGTCTGTGAAGAGGCGACTGTGTGAGACCGATATTGGTATGTACAATGTTTTCGGCGATTGATTGAACATGAGCTGGTATTGGCGTTCGGATGGCGGAATGTGCGCTGTTACTGGTGTCTGAGGGGTGGATTAGGTGTTGCTTAGCATTCTCAGCGGGCATCTGTTGGCGTTCGAGTGTACGGGGTTATGTGATTATGAGGTTGGAGGTTACGTGACTTCTTTAATACCAAGCCATCTTTATGCAACTTACATGGAGATAGCACAGTAGAGTAGATGGACGGCAGAGTATTGTGTATGTCTGGTTTCAATGAGATACGGTCCCGCTGTAACTGTTTCCGAAAATGTTGTTAGCCATTATATTAGGTGCATCCGAAAAGCTGAATCTAGCAATTCATGCTTGGTGCTGTCATGGTAATTTCGTGTCGCCGTACTCAGGTTCGCGTCGCCACTGGCGTTATTGAAGATGCCGAATTGAAGCTGCCAACGGACAGTGTGTTGCTAAAATTCGTACTCCGCGGAGATAATAACTGTGAATAAAGTGCTTTCATCTCGAGCACATTCCTTGCGTATACAAGGACAACACCAAGACGTACCCAAGACGCCACCAAGAAATCGTGTGTAACGTGCTTTTTCTGCGCGTAGGAGAACGAGCCTGCATCGCAACAAACTGTACTAGGTCGGTCCCTTGATAGGCAACTGTTTCAGCCATTGCAGGTGCGTTAATTGTGGAGTGGATGTGCTCGAGATGTAAGTAGTCGCGGTACTGCTTGACCCTGCCGAAGCGTTCGGGGTAGAGAATAGACGGGGCCTCCGTTTCGGGGGGACAGGGCCCGTCCGGGGGAACGAGCTTCAGCAAGGTGGCATCTTTGCCGCCCCGCCTGAGGTACTATTGGCACCGCTCACCAGCGCGAGGCACTTCTGATGAAGAGGACGGCGCAGATTCGCTCGTAGACTCCACCAATATTCCAGACGAGAACGGACTGACCAAGGCGCGTGTCTTCGACGAATCTGCAGTCGCGTTGCTGGTTCGCGCTGACGCAGCTTGCGATCCCTTGGCAGCGTTGCTCCCTCCACCGATTCAGCGCTACGTACGCTTTGGGGAAGCGCCATCCTGTTGAGCGCACCTTCCTTAAGCTCCACCATCGGCCACGCCTCCTTTGAACTTCACTCCTCCCTTCTACCTTCTCTCAACTCTGCTCTCTTTTGTCTTGTGCCCTTCAAGTTCCAGGACTCACCTGTTGGCTGGGTGCCTGTGCTTTCCGGTCGGCAAGCTGCATCTCCGACCCGCAGCTCGCGCAACCTGTCCTCGAGCTCGACTGGCTGCAGCGTTCTTCGGAGCTACCTTCACCGCACTGCAACTCTGAGTCCTTTCTTGACGGCAAACTAAAGGACGTGCGGTGAATTCAACAGATACGCTCTTGTTCGATCCCCCAATTCACCTTACCCAAGGGTCCAAGGACGCAGCTGCAGTTGAGAGCTCTACTTGGTTGGCACTCACCCGAACTCAGTATCGCGATTCACTTTGTTCACCTCGAAACTCAACCACAACCGATTGATATCGCCTGAGCACGCTCCTCTCGTCCACCGCATACGCACATATTACCCGCCACCACTATCTGCTTAGCGTTACAGACTTCTATTGTACAACATGAGTCCCCTGACGAGCTGGGCCATCTTTCTGGTCTTCGCCGCGGGTATAGCGTGGAAATGTGGCGTCTTCGACAAGCTGAGTGGCAAGAAGCCCGAACAGAGCGGTACGAGGGGCCGCACCCTCAGTCGATCGACCGACACAAAGATGCCTGACTGGGTCCAGTCGGAGTCGAACACCAAGTCGAACACCAAGGCCACAAAGAAGCAGGCCCCTCGCAAGTCGGTCAAGAAGGCCGTTCAGGAGGTCGGCAACAAGGCGGAGGCCACCCTTTCAGGAGTTTCCTCCACCACAGGCGCCGATGCTGATGATGACCTCTCCCCGGACCAGTCTCCATCGCTCGCCGCCAAGGTCGCGAACGTGATTCCGAGCGGCAAGGACGTCTCTGACATGCTGGACCCCAAGATCGTTCCTGGGGTCTTGAAGATTGGCGCCTCGGAGAAACCCGCGCGCCCCGCTAAGCCGCAGCAGCAGAAGTCGGAGACCCAGAAACAGACTAAGAAGCAGGCTCAAAACGCGAAGAAGAGGGAATCCGAAAAGGCTGCCAAGGCTGAGGCTGAAGTCGAGCGCAAGAAGCTCCAAGAGCAGCAGCTTCGCACGGCTCGTCTTGCGCGTGGAGAGGCTCCTGGTACTCGTTATCAGACCTCTGGGCCAGGCACAAACCAGGCCTCCCCTAACGTCTGGAATAGTACTGGGACCCCAGCTGCCACCAAGCCTGTTACCGGCCAGCTCCTCGACACCATCGATGCCGCATCCTCCGCCAGTTCGGCTACCAACGGCACTGCACCGACTCCCGACTCTACCTCATATGACAACTTTCCCTCAGAGGAAGATCAGATCGCGGCAGCTTTGGCCGATTCCGCCTGGACTGAGGTCCCTAAGGGCAAGAAGAAGAAGACGACCAAGGCTGAGGTGGCTGTTGGAGATGGCAGCGACTCGGGCATCGGCTACGAGGCCCCTGCGCCGGTCAAGGCGACCCCCGCTCCAGCTCCGAAGAAGGAAAACAAGAAAGAGGTGAAGCCTGCCTCTCGTTATGAGGTGCTTTCGGCACCCGTTCCGGGGTTCAGCGACCCTCGGGACTCTGACTGGCCTGTCGTATGAACGCAGCGGCCGCCTGTCTTAAGGTAATGATCCCGCCCTCCCCCTTTCCAATCATGTTCCCCTTGCCTTGTATGCCCAACATCCTTGCTATTTCGAGCGAAGGTGGACTTCGTTTCATCACTTCATGTTTGGTTATTTTGTCGGGAGTATTGGCATGGCACACAAACGTCTTTTCCCAAGTGTTTGAGTGGTGATGGAAGTTTGGCTCACGATAGGAAAATTGATGGGGTCGGACAGGAGATGTACAACAGCATTATTGGGAGGCTAAGATTGGTCAGAGCAAACGGAGCAAATTTGGAAAGGGAGGAGATGTATTGCATGGGTCTGCTACGAGCAACCCAAGTTTTTCTTTTCGTTCACAAAAGCAGGCTGCTTAGGCGTCAGACCTGGGCATGTTCCATGTACTTTCACTATTGTACGAGGTTCAATCGCATCGGTTCTCACAAATCAGACTATCTGCTTGTGTGATCCCCCTAGAGACTTGCGTGCATCGTTCGAGCTCATGATGACATAAACAAGAAGTACGTCTCCGATGGGTCATCGAGATACGCTACGTCTTTCAACGCCAGCTCCCAAAGTCAATCGCCCAATTGGCATGCTCGTGGGCCGTTTTGGTGTTCGTCCTGCTTGTTGCAACCGTTCTTTGAACAACGTCACTGCCTGATTCAAGTTGGATAAGATTTGCAATACAAATAGTTGCCAATGCGTGTACGTTACAAAGTGGAAAACGATGTAATAATGATTTGGGCAGGTGTAGCTCGGTCGCGAACTCAACTTTTCACCATGTAGCATAGCACCCGTCTTGCACTCAGCGGTGTAGTGTTCTTGCTCCAAATTTGTGTTGTGCTAGGGCTTTTGTCTGGTGCTGTGTTATAAGTGTGATAGACACGTTGAACACCTGTTGATGGACGCTAGTTGGTGTTGAGTGTGAATCGGCAAGCCTGTGATGAGCAATGGTGAAAGCGAGGGAAAGAGCACACAGTCGCACCTGCCTGCTTCGCGCAGTGTCGGTCACTAACTTTCAACCTCACACAGCACGCTGCCCGAGCCAAAGCTACACGCAAGCTCGTAGCTAGATACAACACTCGTTACTGGCCTATGCTGCCCTGGCTGATTCTCTGATACTTCTACCTTGCCCAGCGTCTGCAGTGCTTGCCTTTCAGTACACCCAATCACTCCGCTCTCTACTCCGACCGTTGTCATGAAGCTTGCTACGACTTCCGTCCTCGGTCTTTTGGCTTCTATCACCTGTGGCTTAATTGTACCCCAACGTGCTCGCTCTGAGCTCTCACCGTCCCTGCACCTATCTCCTGGTCTTTCCCGAAGAGCCAACGAGCCCGCCTCAGACGACGTCTGGAACCGAGCAACGTGCCTAGGCGGAAACTTCGTCAAAGCCTTTCCCATGAGCGACAAAGACGCAGGCCAAGAATACTCGCCAAAGCGTGACTCGGCGCAGAGCCAGTGGAAGGGCGACCTCAAGGACGACCTGAAGAAGTGGGGCTGGACAGGCCAAGTTGATGAAGAGCGTTTGCGAATTCGACGACTTTGCGCTCGGCAAGGGCTGGGCCGACGCGGCGAAAGAGCTGGGGATTGGGACCGAGGGGTGGAAGGATATCTGGTGCTATCGGTTCACGCACGGGTCTGTGTGGGATGCTGCGGGGGACAAGAAGTATAAGGCGGATAATAAGGACTATCCGGTAAGATCAAGGTAGACCATAAAGATTGGATCGATGCTAATGGTATCAGTATACCGGGGCATACGGCCAGTTCGGCATCAACTCAGCAGACGGAGCCATCCTCGCCATGGACAACCTTATGCCCAGCTCCGCGTTCCGGATGAACAAACAGCGCGATCCTCTTCCCAGCGAATTACCCGCTCTCCAATCTCTGTCAGATCTTCTTTACGGTGGCTGGTATCGGGGAAGTCAGCCAGAAACATCGATGAACGCGGATGTGAAAAACATGAAGTACTTAATCTCGGTCTCTATAACGAACCCGGAATCTCTGAGCATCATTCAACGGGCGCTGAAGGCCAAGGAGAAGACGACAGTGTCTTACTGGCCAGGAGATACCTTTGACATGTCAACGAAGGAGGGTGAGGCACTCCTTGGCTCAGCCAACGGCAGGCGGTGGGGATATCTCTTAACTCAACGGAAGAACGACATTGGCATCAAGTAAGTCATTCTCGAACACCCTCAACTGTCAGACGCCGTAGGTCTCTGTTTCGGGCATCCGCTAAGTTTCCACGCTTTCCAGAAAGATAGATAGCGTTACGGTCTTCCGAGGCAAAGAGCATGCCAATCCCATTATGATTTTCTACGTTAAATGAGCCGGGGGGATCAAGCTCGAAGAATGGTGCTTCATAAATCTGTGCATATAGCGACAGGTTGCAAAAAGCTGTGAGGCATGGATACATCGACAAATGAACATCTGGATGGCAGATCTTCATGGGCTTTTAGAGAAAGACGGGCTGTGCGAGACAGCTGGTAGTGCGAAATGTAATCCTGGCGCAGCCGTTGAGCCTCGTACAGCCACGGACGGGTGGCGCCCCCAAAAATAAATGTCCGGGCAAGTGCACTGTGCCTACGGTAGATGTTCACCACGTGTGAGGAATCTGTTTCTCCGCTCCGGTACGGGAAACACTGTAACCGGAGAGGATGCCCTGCTAAGTCCGACGCAGTAGGTGCAAGGCCGAGGGGTAGGCAGACAAAGAACGTGTCTCCAACATTTCCAGACGGAATCGTGGTTTGGGATCACAATAAGAATCGAATTTTAAGACACAACATTCATTTAAACTCGCAAACACGAGCCCTCTAAGAGTGAATACCAATTAATTGCGCGATCTGCACATCCACAATCGCGCGACAGAGGTGAGGGGAGCGGCTCTGAAAGTGCATGTCATTGAGGTGTGGCTGACTTCGAGCGTCTTGGCAAAGCCATAGGTGTCCCTTCAGCACTCGGAGCTTCAGAACCCACTATATACCCCGGCCCGCCCACACAGCGTCTCGCCTGCTCAACCTTTACTCTCCTTTCAATTTGTTAATACACCATGGCGCAGATTCGCGGCACCGCCGGCTACCACCTGGGCAACCAGAGCCCCTTCGGCAATGGAGGACGCAGCGACAGCACTACCAACGACCCAAGCCCGCTCGACCAGCTGCGGGAACAGACGAACAAGATCGAGGACTTTTTGGACACGCTTTCGGAGCCTGTGAAGCCGTGAGTGCACTCAGAGACGCGCTGGGACAGTGGACATGTCACACGCGGCAGCTGTGCGAGAGGAGAGCGCTGACAAGACTGTTTAGATACCTGCCCATGATTGGACGATTTCTGATTGTCGTTACTTTCCTCGAAGATGCGCTGCGCATAATAACCCAGTGGACTGACCAGCTCACGTATCTACACGACTACAGGCATAGTACGCACCATACCAACCTCCCAGCATGTTGAGAACACAGCTAATGTGTGTCACGCAGTTCCCAATGGCCTCACGCACATCTTCCTGATCGTAAACGTAATCGCCATGACTGTCTGCTCCATCATGATCATCGCACGAAAGAACTCGGATTACGGCGTTATTGGACTCATTGGCGTGGTTGTTCTCCAGGGTCTCGGATACGGTCTGGTCTTCGACCTGAACTTCTTTCTGCGCAACTTGTCCGTCATGGGAGGACTGTTGATGGTGCTTTCCGACTCGTGGGTCCGCAAGAAGTTCGCCCCGGCTGGTCTCCCGACGCTCGACGAGAAGGACCGCAAGATGTACTTCCAGCTTGCTGGTCGTGTCTTGCTCATCTTCCTCTTCGTCGGCTTCGTTTTCCGCGGCGACTGGAGCTTCTGGAGGGTCTGTGTTAGCTTGCTCGGATTCGTGGCCTGCGTAATGGTTGTTGTTGGTTTCAAGGCCAAGTTCAGCGCAATCATGCTTGTCGTCATTCTCAGCATCTTCAACCTTCTCGTCAACAACTTCTGGACTCTGCACCCACACCACCCCCACAAGGACTTTGCCAAATACGACTTCTTCCAAATCCTCTCCATTGTGTAAGTTTCTCAACATCTCTCGTTAAAACCTATTCTGATCGTTCTTGCAGTGGCGGTCTTCTCCTCCTGGTCAACATGGGCCCTGGTCAATTCTCGGTCGATGAGAAGAAGAAGGTCTACTAGACGGCCTTCTCGCGTTCCACTACGTTTTACGAACCAGCACCAGAGCATGCTTGGACGACATATGTGATACCTGAAATTCATTTCATCACAACTATTGAATACGAAAGAGGGCGGCAATCAGGTATAACCGCCCAAGAAGCAAGCACAGGATGCAAGAAGGGATCTGGCAAAAACTTGGGTGAAGCTAATAGCACGGAGTCAGCGTGGCTATGGCTTTGTGTAGAATCTACTGTCTGGTCAAGCAGTATGGCGTTAGCATATGCGCAATTGGATTTCTTTAAAATGAAATATTCCTGACTACGGGTCGGGAATTCTACAGGACTATTGATGTGCCTGACGCTTACTTCGATTGGCTATGAAGTAGACACATGTACCTGACGATGCAGCCGTAAACTAGACGTCAATATATCGACATTCCCGAAAAGTGGATCGCCCGGTGCAGCTTTCACCGACCATGCAGACCCTTGCCCGTGCTTCTACAGCTATCTTATCTAAGCAGCATCGGAGACCTCCGATACGGGAATCCGATGCTAACCATTGAGAGCTAACATCTGAACAACAGCTACTACCGAGGCTGTTACACAACAACACCAAATCAATTTCTGTTCTAATATAGAAATTCGTGTAAAGACACCATGGCACCCAACCGCATCATTATAGACACTGACCCAGTGAGTTCGTGCCATTGACAGCTAGAGTGGGGTGGGCGTTGACACAGAAGTCACTAACCACCACTTTGCGTTAGGGCGTGGACGATGTTCTCGCTATGCTGCTCGCTTTCTCGGCGAAGCCTGAAGAGCTGGAAGTCCTGATGCTGAGTCTCACATTTGGCAATGTCGAAGTGCAAAAGTAAGGAGCTACCCCTCTCTCCTTGAAATATCCAGCATTCGGTATGGGAGTGCGTGCTGATAAGCCGCACAGTTGTCTGCGAAACGTTGTCACGCTTTTCCACTATATTGAGAAAGAGAAAGCGTGGCGGAAAGAGAATGGACGGCCCGAGGGCTTTGAGGGACTGGCAGCTAGGAAACCGATCGGTGAGTTCTGATTGTGAAGAGGCTGAGTGCTGGCTTTTGGAGGCTAATCAGGATTAGTTGCGGTTGGAGCGGAGGAGCCTCTTGCTGAGCATATGATGGTTGCTGACTTCTTTCGTAAGTGAACTGTTGAAAGGGAGTTGACAACGAGACTGATCGAGATAGATGGCGTCGATGGATTGGGTGGTATACATCACAGCGTAAAACACCCCCTGGTTCTATGAGTCTGAAAACATAACTGACTAGGTGGCATCAGCACCCTCACATGTCCCCCGAAGAGACATGGAAATCCCTCTTCAAGCCCACACCAGAGCCTCTCGGCACTGAAGAAGCTGCAGACTTGCAGAAAGTCAAAGATGCGCACAAGCTCTTCACACCATCGCTCAAACCTGCGCACGAGGAAATGTTGCAGTTGTTGCGAGACAACGAGCCGGACACTATCACTATCGTTGCCATCGGTCCGCTGACTAACCTTGCGATTGCTGCGGCAACTGACCCGGAAGCTTTCTTGAGAGTCAAGGAGGTCGTGGTCATGGGCGGAGCTGTGAACTGGCCCGGAAATGTAAGTAAATTTTTCATCCGTACATTATATTGCGGTAGTGGTCAACGAAGGCAAAGTGAAGGCTATAGTGCTCCGCTGAGCTACCCCATCAGCCGCCAGACTTACACCTCCTCTCCTCCCCACTCGTCACGTCTATCCCAGTCCCACCCTTCAACCTCATCAAACAACCCAACACGCCTCTCCGCCGCCAACTAAACATCCGAAACCAGATGACACCCGGCGCAGAATTCAACACCTACGCCGACTCTGTGGCCGCAGCCCGCGTGTACGCACTCACATCGCCCAACCCAAAAACCACCATGCCGCCCGTCGTCGGAAAGAAAGCACTACCACCGTACCCAGAGAAGCTCTCGCGCCAATTGAAGGTCAAGTTGTTCCCGCTGGACATCACAGAGCAGCATCTCCTCCCGCGGACACTGTTCAACAAGTACATCGAAGCAGACGCATTGAGCGGCTCGCCTCTTACAGAATGGGCGTCCCTCTTCCTCATTTCTACGTTTCGCAAGATTGCGTCCCTGGACTCGCATCTCGACCCCGATACCATTGGGCTGCATCTGCATGATCCGCTTACCATCTGGTATGCGATGGCGTCTGCCGACCCGCTGTGGAAATTCGTCACTGAAGACCTCCGCGTACGTGACCCCATACCTCCCTTCTCCCTCATTCTAGGAGCGTTCTATGCTGATCGATTTAAAGGTCGAAACATCTGGCCAATGGACGCGCGGCTGCTGCATCGTGGATCGCCGACAGAGAGAAGTGAAGCAGGACTTGACGGTCAGCTTGGACGAGGAAGTTGTAGGAGATGCGGGTGGGTGGAGGGATGCCAGGAAGGGGAATCGGATTGAGAGGGCGGTGGAGAGTCCAGGGGGTGAGAAATTCGCTAATTTGATATTGGAGAGGGTCTTTGGGAGCGTTTGAAGAGCGTTGGGTGGATATGACATAGAATGTTGGGCTATAGAAGGTAAAAGGCCCAGTACACATTACGATCTATGATAATGTATTTGTGAGTGAGAAGGCAAATACCATGCATCTATTAAATCTCCGCTAATGCTTCTATAGCAATGTGCACTCGAATTAGCCGCGCTTCGTACACTGTATCCTACAAAAATGCTCTGAAAGACTATGCCCTAACGCTCGCTCATAACAATATTAGAATGATACCAGGTCCAACTTCATACCGACGTCACATTCTAGAAGTCCTTCTTCGCATGCTTGCTCCTCTGTCTCAGTCTCTCGCCATATCTATACAGAATGAACGGAATCGGAATAAACGCCACGCCCAAGAAAGCCAGCAGGCTACTCGCCCAATTCACCCCCAGTCTCGTGTACATCGCTGACGCGAAAAGCGGGAACCCAGCACCGAACGCACTGCGGAAGAGATCATTCCCCGCAAACACACTCGCCGTATACGCCGGATACGCATCACTCAAATACGGCAGCACAGCCTGAAACAGCAAGAACGCCGCCACGCCGAAGAAACTCGACCCAATAATGGGCACAATCCAGTGCACATCGCTGCGACTGCTCCAGCCGAACCAAAACAGGCAGATGGGCACGAAGAAACCGCCGACCATGGCTGGCTGCAGGCGGAGCTCGGGCTTGATCTCGCCGTTTTCGTTGAACTGCTTTTCGAGGTAGAACCACATGTAGAGGAAGAGGCAGGTCATGGCTGTCAGGGAGCCGACGAGGATGCCGAGGAAGGCGAGACCTTCTTGGCCGAGATTGAAGCCGTAGATTTCGACGAAGACGAGGGGGAAGGACTCGAACCAGATGTAGAGGAGGCCATAGATGTGTTGGAAAGCTTTCGTCTGATCCTGTTTGAACTGTTTATTTGCTTTTTACTATTATTTGCTACTAGAGATATAAAATCTCTATTTCCTACATTGTAAATAGTTAACTCAAATCGTACTTCAATGAATCTACTTTCATCCCAATTGTTCTCTTGCCTTATTGTCAAAAGGTTATGAGCCCGGTGCGCTCTAACGCACAATCAACCCCTTTGACTCTATTGCTTCTACGAGAAAACCACTTCAACAAACACAAACAAACTCTGCCTGTTATACTATCAATCCCTACTGATTTAGACCAAAACGTTTGTTTTGATCACTCAGCAAGATCATTGAACATAACACAGTACAAAAGGTTTGTTTCTTAGTCTTGTACTAACGTCACAAAGATCAGTTGTCTTACTATTGTCTCATTGACAAAGTCCAACTTCCTACTCATTCTTGCTCTGTCTAAATTGTTTGGATCAGCATACACCTTGCAAACCCAGTAGCTCTAGACTATAAAGCTCCTTGCTGAAAGTCTACTACTTACTGGATTACACACCACTTCTTCATCTTTGCCTCCAATACTATCCATTTTCACTCCCCTTCTAACTTCTTTCGTTTCACTGACTTCTCTATTCTTTTCCAACGAGTCGACAACATGTCTAGTACCGCCGAGCCAGGCGACATGGCTGGACTCCCTAAGAACGCCGTTGTTCTAAAGGGCAAGACTAATTTCACTAGATGGAAACGCGATCTAAAAGTCATCGGAGAAGCTGAGGGATGGTTAAGTATTGCTGAAGGACGTGAAGCCATTCTTCTACCACCTAACGAGGATGATTATTTGAAACCACCCTCAATCCAGGCAAAAGAAGAACCTGACCCCATCCCACCATCAACAGACACCTCAACCATCAACTCCAATGCCTTCATTACGTCTGAAATGTATCAAAAGTTAACAAAAGAACATCTTGAAAGTCTGCTTGCTGCACGGGACATCAAAGCACAGATCCCCGACCATTCATCTGAACCAACCAAAGCCACTATGTCAGCGCAACTTGCTGCTTGGGATATTGAGCACTTTCAGTCTCACCTCTCTCATAATCCTCCACGAACGACGTCCACAGAATCAATAGCTCCCACGGAATCTCTGTCAGACAGGATTTCTCGGTACAGGCTCCGCGTCGATCAATATGAGAAAAACAACCGCAAAGTTCGGCGTGCCAAAGCTGTTCTCATCTACCTGTGCGATCCTACTATCCGTGGCTCCCTTCAACTTCTTCATACACCGAAAGATATTCTGGGGTATCTTGAGAAACGTTTCAAAATGCTAGACAGCCAGGTAGAGCAAATCGCCCAGGACAGCCTCGACAAGTTGAAATTAGTTTCGTGCACTGGAATTCAGGACTACCTCAACCGACTAGAAATGTATCGGCAAGACATCCGTGATGTAGGAGGAGAAGCCTATTCTGATCGGCAACTCATTCCGAAAATCATGATGGCCTTACCCGACACCTACCGACCGTTCATAGATCAACATGACTACTTATCCGGTATTCCTGGAGCTGCAGCTTTGACACTCGATGACATCACTGCCCGTCTTCTCACACATGAAGCTAAGCTTGAACGACGTGGCATAAAACTTCACAACAATGTCACAACTGAGTCGAAACCCACTGAGTCAAAATCCACTGCAAACAACGTTGACACACAATCTACTCCGAAACCTGAAAGAGTTCGACGCTGCCACACGAAGGGCTGCCGAAGTTGGTGGAGTCATGACGAAGACCGATGTTGGGTAAAACACCCAGAGCTCCGTCCAAAGAAAGATAAAGATGGGAAGCTTCAATTTCAGAACACCAATACAGGTGGCACCCCGACGTCTACACAAAACTTAGCAACCAAACCAACCAACACCAGCGAAAAAAAGGATAACTATTTTGCTATGGTTCAAGGAGGACGACTGGACGTAAGCCATATGATCAACATCTACGATGAAACCGATGATGATCTTGATGACGACCTTTCATTCGTTGACGTCCACATGGTTGAAGCCGTATCGTCACCTACACAAGACTCCAAGGAGGACGCCCGCACCCCGTCCCCCGCGCTCAACTATCGCAATCTCACTCGGCAAGCACTTGTGAGTCTTTGTGAGAAAAAAGGTCTTGATCCATATCGAAAGAAGGACGGACAGGCAAAAGCTAAGAGCACTTTGATCTCATCTCTAAGAGCACTTGAGCGAAAACAGGCGAAAGAAATTGAACTGTTGAAGTCATCTAACATGTCTCCGGTCTCCCAAACTTCCGACAACACGTCAGACAAAAATCCCCGGACCCCTAGGACTCAACAACGTTTCAAAGACGTAACGATCCCAGCAACTCCCACCGACACGTACGGTACCCCTATTACCGTGCCCGCCACCCCAGTCACCCTCGGAGAATTCTTGTCTCCCACCCGAAATGAATCCCACGACTCTGAAATCATACCAAGGTTGAACCAAGCTTTGCAGTTTAAACTCTCGGTCTCTACCTCAATTAGTACCGAAGAGGTCCTACTCCCGACTCTGAACGTTGCCGAAGCACAGGATATAGTTTCCAAAGCTATGTTGTATGTTCGCGAAGTTCATGAGGGCCAAGAAACTAAGCAAGGATTCACCGACTGGCTCGAAGCCCACTCTGATGATGCAGATGAAACCTTGAATCTCATTCGACCCACATCAGAGTCATGTCTCGTTCAACATCTCAATGTATCAGGTGATGGATCCAGCGACACTACGGTGATGAACGCCAACCAAGGTGGTACCAATGAATGGATTGTGGATTCAGGCGCTAATACACATCTCGTAAACAACCCTGCATGGTTTTTAACCCTGCAGCCCACCACGGAAACTGCGAGTGGTCCCAGCGCTGCTATTCCACTACAGGGACAGGGAATAGCTGCTATTCATTTGGAAGACAGTGACGTCACCCTATCGCTAGGAGACGCTCTTCTGGCCAACTGTGCCAAATTCAATATTCTGTCCCTATTTCGACTAGGCAAGGCGGGTCTCTGTGGAGAATGGGATGACGGTACCATCACTATTCGCGACAAGAAAACAAAGAATCTCATCGGTACTGCTGTCGCCCGCGGTGGACTTTATTATGTTCAAAAAGCTGGCAACTGCAAAGCATCCGTGCGACACCCTGATTCCCGAGAGCAAAAAGTCTCGTCTGCTATCTACGTAAACAATCTTGCACGAAAAGCAGTAATTCGTGCTCACCGCTGCATGGGACATCTCTCCTGGTCGGGGTTACTCACTCTTGTTAAGCATTCTACGGGATTCAAGTTCACTGAACAAGATGTTAAGAAACTCGTCGGCTCGATCTGCCCAGTCTGTGCTGTTGCAAAGCCTATAATCCACATTCCAACCCAACCTGCCTCCCGAACATTCACTGATCCTGGAGCTATGGTTATTGTGGATTTATGGGGACCTCACAACTACCCAAAGGGATGGGACAGAACAAACGAGCTTCTCTTCATGACATCGGCAGCCACTGGGTGGACAAGCGTAGCAAGGGTAATTAGTCGAAGTCATATCTTCCGTGCGTGGAAGGTCATGCACAAAAAGCGACAGAGGTCACGAGGCCAGCTCAACTTTTGTTACCGATTCGATAATATGTTTAACAACAACATACTTCGCGACTACTGTGATAAACACGGAATTGAGTATGAGTTCGCTGGAGCATACGCACCCCATCAGGTTGGGATCCAAGAACGAGGACATCGTACAATGAGGGAGCGTGCAGCCGCTATGTGGCAAGACCATAAACTCCCAGGAAACCCAGATGACTGGGAAGAATCATTCCGGACAAACACCTTCTCTGAAACTCTGCCTGAAACTCTGTGGGTAGAACTAGCAAGTCACGCAGTATGGTGTAAGAACCGCTCCCCAGCTGAGAGGGCAGGAGATGCAATCACTCCTTGGCGCGCTGAATTGAACGTTGACCCTGATTTCTCAAACGAACGTATCTGGGGCAGTCCTGCCTATGCTATCATCCCTCATGACAAACGAAGGGGCTCGAAATTGCTACAACCTCGAAGTAAAATTGGATACTTTGTTGGGATGGAGAATGAAACAACTATGAGAATCTACAATCCCGAAACCAAGACAGTAACTAGAGAGTGGACTTGTATCGTCAACGATGGGTATGAAGACTTCGAACTCGGCACACCGGATGAGCAAGATAACGATAGCCAACTTGAAGAAAACAACGACGACTCCACTCCCACACCAGCCTCTGTCCATGAAGATCCTCCTGAACCAAACCCTGAGCATGATCGTTTCTCTACTCCTGAACAAGCAAGTCCTAATCCAAGAGACGAATCTCCAGTCTCTGTGCAAACAGATGACGACTCAGACGACGGCCAGATTATGCCAGAAGATGAGATGACTGAAAAGTCTCGCTTCTTCAACTCAACCTCTATCAATTCTCATTTCATCATGATGGTAACTTCCCTTCCGTCTAACGATAGCGTTGTCATGGACGATGCGTATGACAAGCTCTTCTCCCAGAATATGAAAAGCAAAACGGGTACTTTGTACGATGAATTGCTCAAACTTGTCAATGACGCTTCCGAAATTCCTAGATACAAGATTGACCGGGCTCGACTTCTCACTCGACTACAAAACCAATGGGAAGACATACCTGACATCGAACCAGGGTCTGGAATGGTTACTAAGAGCTGTCCAGACTGTGGACATATCTTTCGAGGCTCTGATCAGAAAAGCGCTACGACTGGTTTAACTATGCACCGCCACAAGTTCGCCAAAGAGGGTCAGAAATGTAGCCACGTGGAATGTCCAAATTGTCATCGGATATTCACAGGGCGCAAACGACTTCACACCTTCCAAGTACATCACAAAGTCTGCTCTGAAGAACTGGTAGCGTGTCACGAATGCGTTTCCGTGGGAGTAGTCTGCACACCAAGCATTGGTCAAAAGTGTACCATATGCATGCTCTACGAAAAACCGTGTAAACCCGCCACTGAAAAGAGTTATGCCCAAGGAGCAGAATTTTTGACCAAGTGTGGCCACTGTGCAAGAAGAGGTATACCCTGCATTGCTGAGGAAATCTCACACGAAAACCCATATGGATATTGTAACCATTGTATCAAGGAACGAAGAATGTGTCAACCGCAAACCGAAGACGACAGAGAGCAACACCTGAAACTAGTCTATCGTCAATATCAGGACCGAGAAGCTCTTAAATCAACTACACCAAGGAAACCCTATCTGGTCAAGGAATCAAAAGCCAAAGTCAAAAGAAAAACCAGATCTCCTGTATCGTCCCCCCCCCAACCAAAGAAGAAACGTAAGTGGTTTGCAGTCAAGGATCCAATACCTTCTTCTGAAGCCTGTGATACCTGTAAATCCAAGAAAGCACCCTGTGACTCTGATCGTCCGTGCCAAAGATGTCGACGACTCTGCAATAATCCTATCAACCGTCAGCGACACTGTCCAAATACTTCAGATGATGGAATGACGATCACTCTATATCGAGCACCCGAAGATGAAAGTTTTCCTCTTACTGAAGATTGTACCTCTTGTGACAGGCTAAGGAACCGTATTTCAAAAGAGGCCGATTTCGAATGTGAAGGACATCCTTGCAACTACTGTATCAGTGGAGGAAACATGTACTCGACACCTGGTGGGATCTATCTGTACTGCGCCAAGACCATTGATTCACATACACGTATTTTGAAAGAAATACCCGGCATGCGCGAAAGTCCAGAATGGAAAGCCAACATCGAACTTCATCGGAATGAAAACCGACCACTAATCAACATGGTGGATCGAGCTACTGAAGGTAGAGGTTTCTTCTCGCTTGATCTCAGCTATCTGGAGGAGCCCGATAGCGACAGCGACAGCGATATCACAACCTTTTCCGAGGAAGATTCTAGGTCGAACGTTGCACACACTGCCTTCAAACAAGCCTCTGGCATTGCATCTTATCAGGCGATCTCACTACCTCCTCCTCGTCCAAGCGATACTCGATTTCCTTTTGATGAAGATGATTATGAGCCTTTCCAGTTCATTTCGCACCAACAAGACCAGGAGGCGTTATGTTACTTAGTCTTTGATGAAAGCACTGATTGGGCAACAGCACCACTTCCTCGCACATTCAAAGAAGCTATGCGATTCCCGGATAGTGCACAGTGGCTTTCAGCGTTTGAATCTGAAATTGACAGTATCCTCCGAGCTAAAGTATGGTACCCTGTTCCCCTTAACGCTGTCCCTCAAGGATTCATTATCCTGGATGGCAGATGGGTCACCAGGCGAAAACTTAAACCGGATAATTCGATTGCTCGCTACAAAGCCCGTTATGTAGTAAAAGGATACATGCAACGCCATGGTCTTGACTACAAAGAAACCTTTTCTGCGGTTGGAAAGCACACGTCGTTTATGTTGGTATTTAGCATCATTGCTCAACTCAGCTGGCTCTGTCACTGTATGGATGTGGTTACTGCGTTTCTTCACGGAGAAGTGTCAGAGATGGTATTCATACGAGCACCTGAAGGATTTGAACATCTATGTCCTCCAGGACATGTACTCCGATTAGCTAAAGCTCTATACGGACTTAAGCAGGCACCTAGGGTTTGGTATCTTAAGCTACGAAAGTATCTTATCTCCCTAGGTTGGCATGTATCAGCTTACGACCCGTGCCTGTTTTATCAGTCAGGGCAAGGCATTATTGTCGTATACGTTGATGATCTTCTTATCGCAGCCAAGGACCAGCAGTTTATCAACCACATAAAGCAAGGTCTCACTAGAGAATTTGAGATGGTCGATATGGGCCAGTGCTCTGAGTACCTCAAGATGCAGGTTGAAATTGAGAAAGGAGTAGTGAAGTTACATCAGCAGAGCTACGTCCGCCAGATACTCCGGCAATTCAACCTAGAAGGACTACGCCCAGTCAAAACACCAATGGAACCAGGTACCGTTCTCCGAAAATCTACGACGCAAGCCAGTGAGAGCTTTCGAACTACCTACGCACAGCTTGTTGGAAAGCTGAACTACCTGTCAACACGCACACGATATGATATCAGTCACGCCTTTAGCATAGTCTCTCGATACATGGACAATCCTAACAACACCCACCTGAAAGCAGTACATCGAATCTACGGATACCTTAACTTCAAACCACGCCTCAATGTAGAGTTCAGGGAAGACAAAGATCATGCTGTTAAAGGTTGGACTGACAGCGACTTTGGGCGTTGTTTCGACACCTGTCGCTCTATGTCAGGAGGAGTCTATACAAAGAGTGGATCACCTATCTATTGGAAAGCACAGCGCCAACGCACAGTTGCCCTATCATCTGCAGAAGCTGAGTTAGTTGCAGCGTCAGAGACTGGTAAAGAGGCTATATGGATCACTGGACTACTTCATGAGCTCAATACAGTCAAGATCCCCACTATCACTCTCGGCATAGACAACGAGGCTGCACTAGCGCTGACTAGAAATCCGGAGCACCATGAGCGATCAAAGCACATTAATATCAAGCACCACTGGCTCAGGGAGAAGGTGCAAGATGGCGACATCATCACGTACAGGGTTCCTGGCAAAGAGAACAAAGCTGATTTATTCACTAAACCCTTGCCAAGATTCACGTTTGAAGAGGGGCTTAATCGGCTCAAGGAATGAGTCAGTATTGCCTTATTTACACTGTCATTACAGCACAAACAGCACACAGCCGTGATTTGATTTTTCCCTTATTTCTTATCTTATCAATTTTCTTTTTACTTTTCAAATCACTGCACAATTTCGAACAAAGTGGACGGACGAAATTGGACACTGGGATTGCGTGAACGAGGGAGTGTTGGAAAGCTTTCGTCTGATCCTGTTTGAACTGTTTATTTGCTTTTTACTATTATTTGCTACTAGAGATATAAAATCTCTATTTCCTACATTGTAAATAGTTAACTCAAATCGTACTTCAATGAATCTACTTTCATCCCAATTGTTCTCTTGCCTTATTGTCAAAAAGATGAGGGCGATGTACAGATTTAAGAGGAAGACCATGGGTTCGGTGAGGGTTAGGGTGATGGGGCGGATGAGCGTCATTTGGATGATCTGGAATTGTTAGTATTAGAGTAGAGGACGTGGGATGGGGAAGGCATACGTCTTTGCCGGTCATCTGTTCGGCCATGAGCTCGGGCTCGCAGATGAGTTTTTCATTGCCTGTGAGCTTTCGTAGGCGCTTTGTGCGGCGATAGAGGATGTTCGCTGAGCTGGTCTCAGGGAGAAGGAAGAATAGGAATACCCAGCAGAAACCTGACAGCCACATCAGTTCCCAGATGGGCCAGGTCCAGTCCTCGGCTTGGGCGGCGAAGCCTCCGACTAAGGGCCCTAAGCATGGTCCGCAAACGGCTCCAATGCCCCAGATACTCAGGCCGTAGGCTTGCTTCGAGGGTCTGTACATGTCGGCTATCGTGGCACCGCCTGTAGCGAGAGCTGGAGAGCCGAAGAAACCGGTTAGAAATCGAAAGGCTAGAAGCATGCCGAAGTTCTTCGCGAGCGCCGTTGGTATCTGGAAGAGAACGAAGACCACTTTCTAAAGCATTAGCGTCGTGAGGAGTCAGGTATAGGTTGAAGCTTACACAGCGTTGCAATGTAGATAGGATTGCGACCGAACTGAGGGATTTCGCTCATAGGAGACCATAGTAATGGACCGACGCCATAACCGGCAACGAACAGAGTTAGCCCGAGTGTAGCAGCGACCTGGCTTACGCCGAATTCCTGCATTACGCCCATGAGACCAGGCGTGTAGATAGCGGAACCAATGTAAATGCTAAACGTCAGGAGCACAATTTCGCCCGTGACGAAGAATTTCTTAGACATCGACCAGTTTCTGGGGTTCTGCAATTTCGTCAGTCACCATCCCGTGCAGTGCGCATTGCTCAGTGACCACGTACTTCAGGATCATTCGGTCCATACCAATCCACCACATTCTTATCTCTCCCCTTCTCTTGATCGACTCGAACGCCACTGGCTTCATTATACGTAGCTTCCGTATTCATGGATTCTCGTGAGTCTGTTGCACCGTCGCCTTGAGCATCTCTTGTGCGCATCCCTCTCGCGTTCTGTAACGTTTCCTGCGAATCATCTTCTGGCGGAGCTGTGTCGCCATGGTGCGCGATATACCCCGACTTCTCTTCGTTCAGATACTTCTTCCAGTGTTCCGGGTCCTGCTCTTCGGGGTACTGGAACACGCGGTTCTTGGTAAGAAGTCGCACGATTTGGCCAAATGCCGTATCGCGGACAAGATGTCCGATAGTCATGACTACGAAGCGGCACTCCTGTTATCCGCACTGCAAGAAGAAAAACGAGATAAATTATTGTATCCTTCAATTGTTTACGTACATGCGCATCAATTTTCTTAAGACCCTTCCCATTCGAATGTCGTCATCCACCGACCACTTACCAATACAACATCGCACCCTCCATGCTGTCGCCCTCGCGCCTCGGAGGCTACAGCACGCGAGAAAGTGGGTCCAGATCTGAAAATGTTCCGATGGAGAACAAAGTGAGGCCTTGGCGATACATCTATGACGCGGGTAGAAGTACGGGCAAGATCGGCACTAGTGGCCATTGTGCGCCTTTGATAGGACAGGCATTGAGGCTCAAAAAGCTTGAGGGGCTCGGTGTGCTTATTTACCCGTGGTTGAATGCGCTTCTGGAAGTTCTGTTGACTTGATGCAGTTCGGATGGTGGTAGGTGAGGCCGACTCGCGCCGACGTACAGTATGACGTCGACTTGGCGATGCCTGAATTTGAGTTTTGACTGCACAACAACGCTTGTCGAATATTAGACGAATTGGAACAAAGATTCCCTTCTGATATTCTATTGGAGTTCTCTACATAACCAGCAGAGATAGTAAAAGTACCACAACGGTAAGCATGGCTGAATAGTGAAATCGAAAAGTGTATAAGAGAGCCCCGGTTGTAAAAGCAGCCAGTACCGTACATGCACGGTGAACGCGAGTAAAGTAGTAGCACTTTACTTTCCCGAGCGTTATCCCCTCTATTTGACTTGATCTGCTATTTTGGATTGAGTTCAGATCATTCAAAAACTGCACGAATTCGGACCTGAACGCCTCAGTGCATGCCGTCGATCGGAGAACTTCTTCGGTTGTTCTCCCTAGTCGGTCTTTGCTGGTAGATGCTTAGGAGAGGTGAATTGATTGATTGGGAGGCATGGCTAAGCATGGACGGGATCGCAAGGCTATGGTGCTAAGGTCAGCCCGTCTGCTAAACTCTGTACTGCCAAAAGCTTGCTTACTAGTGACCACCTTTTGTTACCGCAACAGCTAGCTGCAAAACATACAGTATGTCACTGCAGAGCCCATTTCTAGGTTAGGAAGATTTTCTTAGTCCGCGGAAGGTATCATGGGCCATTCTAAGGTAACTCAGCATACAGTGCACATCCCAATCGAACTCTACTGCATGCTAATCAGTTCACCGCCCCCAGCCTCCCTGACCATACACGCCCACCAATCCTTCCCCTTCCCTCCCCATTCTTCCATGTCAAACGTAACCTCCTTCACCGTCTTGAATCCTACCTTTTCATAACTCTTCAACCCCATCGGTGACGCATCAAGATACGTCCTCCACCCCTCCTCATCCGCCTTCCCAACGCCCCAGTCCAGCAACAATTTGCCCGCCCCTCTCCGCTGATGTTCCGGATGCGTCGCCAAGCTATCAAGCTTCAGATAGGGAGTGGAGGATCCCATAATCTCGTTTTGCGCAGCGCGGAGCGGGTTAAGAACTGCGGTCAGAACATCCAGACGGAGTTCGGGCGGGATGAAAGGCGGCTCTTCTTGGATGCCCCAGCCTGAATCTACACCTTGCTCACCCCCATCACGACGTTTCTGGTTCTGACCAGACAAATTGTGCGCACTCCACACCGCAATGGCGATAGTTCTCCCGCGGTTATCTTCCGGATCGTCTTCGCTCGGTGGGAGATCCGTATCTACAACTTTCCATTGCCAGGTGTTCGGCTTGTCGATATCTTTCTTGCGGTCCTGTGCTACGCTGCGAATGGAAGACTCGGAGACTGGGCGTGTATGAGTAAGGACGTGGAGTGGCCCGTAGTACGCGAGGGTTCGGATGCGGGTCCAGGCCAGGGTGTCATTGGTGGTTGTGGGGAGGAGGATGAGAGGCATCTCTGGGGTTATAGGATGGTTGTATTGGGGACTGGGTTGGAAACGATGATTCAAAACTGTTGTAAGGATTCATGTGACAAATCGACAGATCTGAATCTGTCTGAGATGTATGCGACGATTTGAATTTGGGCAGGAAACAGAGCGATATGTCGCGAAGAGATCAAGCCGACTAATCGTTGCTAAATTGTTGCTTAACGCGACTCTCGCAGATTATACTGTTCCTGAGCTAGACTGGATGTAAATAGCAATGAGCAGCGACAGGTGTGACTCATAATACAGCTCTTCGTGCCTTAGTGCGATAAGCACGCAACAAACACCTACCGCGACAGGGTTACATTGCTGATACTGAGTAGCGATGTTGCCATCGAAGGTAGCCCCTCCTTCGGATTTAAGTAAGCCCCGAAAGCGAATCTTCGCTTTGTTTACCACAGGCATAGTGGGCTCAACGATCGATTTTAGTGACGAACACTCATGACTTTGCAGTTGTTACTGGTACCATTGACATAATGATTGCAATTGAAAACCCCTATCTCAAGCAGCATCGTCCTGGGTGGCTGGCGAAGGGAACTCCATAAGTGCTACATGGCGTATTTCGGTAGCATCAAGCAAGATATGATCCCGAATTTCAGCATACTCTTCGAACTCCTTGGTCATCTTGAAAGCCATGTGTTGGTCTACATCCCTAGAAAGCGTCCGTAAGTCAGCGGTAGTCAAACAGGGGAGATTTGGGTGCTCTGGAGACGTACTTCCATGGGACGAAGAGAACAAACTCTTCTCTGCCATGCTCCTTCTCAATGCGCCACCCGCCGCTGATAGTACCCGGAGCATGTGCCTCCAAGCCGCCCCTACGTTTGTTGAAAGTGCTCTCAAAAGCAGCTCGCTTTTCGCTCTCCATGACATGCCGTCCAACGCTAAATATCGGAGCCTGCTCGCTGGGAGGAATCGAACCGAAAGACACGTCGAGGTGGAACAGGTAATCTACTTCAACGAAGGAGACTAGGTCCTTCAACAGCCCTTGATTCGCCTCCGACGGTATCCATTCGTTCATGTGCTGCTCCACTGACTCCCACTGACCAAGGATGTATATGTGATTCGCGTTCTCGATCTCTTGATAGAGGTGGAAGTCATGGCCCGTAAAGTCCTCCATGAGCTTCTTCGCACGCGAAAGGGCACGGATCACAACCGTTTTCGGCTCTTCTTTAAGCTCTTTCTTGAGGGTCAGGCGCGACAACTCGGTAACGGGCATAGTTGCGATGTGCGCGGAGTATGCGTCGCGTGGTCTGGTGTAGCAGCGTACGAAGGTAACGGTCGAGTTGTGGATTACCCTGTCGTTGGCTATTGGTTAGTGGCAGGTTAGCTGGTAGGATCAAATGCAATGGGCGCATTGTTTGCATTTATAAATTCACGTCGCAAAGGCAGAACAAGGTTGCGTGGTCATGTTCGGACGATCCACACTGCGTGTGAGAGGATGTTAGCATGAGTAAGCTCCACTTCGAGCCTTAGCGTCCCCACCTCCGTTCGGTCTCGCGCTCCTCTACAGTGCGAGGCCGGCCGGCCATCTCAGCTCGTCAAATATGTTCTATTCCAGGAAATCATCGGGCAGTTTCGGGAGCAACTGTGGAATTGGCGATCGCCATGTACTCTCTCCAATTCAGCTCAATCAGGCGTGACAGTGGCTGAGTACCGACCGTGCCTCAAAGGAGCATACAGTCTGAAACCCGCATGTACTGCTTGACAAGTGATGTACTCCGATGCTTAGAGCAGGATTTGCACATCGATGCAGGCCTAAGTTGCGCTGTCTGCTTTGCAAGTCCTGCGACCTTTTGGGATAGAGCTACGAACTCGACGTGTTGATAGTCATGAGTAAGCTCTGAACTCGAGTCTTTGCATGTCAATTACGAAAGGCCCAATATGTCAAGCTGCAAGTTACCAAATCGCCCCCAACTCGTGTATATCTATCTGACGCAGTTATTGCATATACACGGAGGGACTGGCGAACGAGATGATTGCTTCGTGACTGGGGGGTCGGGCCGATGACACTGAATGGTTGCTTGCATACCAGTATTCGACTGTGCCGCTGTGCTGCCTACTTACTTCGCTGTTGTGTTGATCTGAGAGGGGCACAGCTTCCATAATATACTACAGAGCTTCGCCCTCGAGTAGAAACACGTTATCTTACCTTCTACTCAGTCAGGCATTTGCGGCGTAACTTCCTATGCACAGTCTGGCGTAGGTGATTACATGCCACCAACCAACCCGAGTTGGTTTCTAATGTGGCCTGAGTGAGACATGTCGTCACCTGAGTCCGACCACGCAGTGTCACCCTCTATCGCTCGGACAGTAGTATATACAAATAGCGATACAACAAGAACCATAATCGTACCTATACGAACCACAGGTATGGCCCTTTTCACCATATCATACAGCTTTGTAGTCTTACCTTACCTTAGACTCGACTTCCGACAGATGGTCGCTTGTGCCAGAAATTACGTCCTCCGAAACCGGACCCGACGATGAACGAAAGCCCTCCAACGTTATTTCTGATGTATATGAAACGCCAGCAACGATTACACAGACCATTACCAAATCCCGCTCATCGTCATCACGTCCAACAGCTATCCCTTCAGCAACCGCACAACCTTCAGCTCAAGCCATCGAAAATGCGGGCCTTACATCTAACGCGAAAATCGGTATAGGTCTCGGAGTTATATTTGGCGTATTCCTCATTGCGGTCGCAACTTTCTTCCTATGTTTCTGCTGGCGTAGGAGGTCTCTTCACACACTAATGACAGAGGGTACTGTTGAAGACCTATTCAGTGGGGCGGCCAAGAAAGCGAACAAAGACGTGGAACAGGCGGGGAAGTTGCAGCCGCCACCAGAGCTTCCAGAAGTGGCGCAGCGGAATGCAAGTGAGGACGTGGACGAGTGGTTGCCACATAAGACACAAGGTGTAGTTCGATAGTTCGAAACATTCTGCAACAATTTGTCTATCAACAGCGGCCCGCAGGAAAATTCCATATCTATACAATTCTATATCAATTGATGTGTAACGAGAATTGAAAGCTTCGGTATTCTTGACTGTGCTCAGGATTAGGAATTATCGGATCACGAGCCCTGCTCCACGAGATCCTGCAGCCTCTTTACCATGCTTCGCGTATGATAGCCAAGCTCAGCCTCGACATCTTTCAGTATGTTCCAAATGCGTGCTTTACGGGCTATACCTTGTATGTGCTTAGCCGCGAAGAATAGGCCATGCGTCGCAAATACTCTCAAAGAGTCGGGGAACTCCGAGATTGCGATGTTCGTCAACCGCATCGCCTGGTCCTGTATCAGCGGCTTATAGCTCTCGTCTTGTAATGTGGGCTCAGTATAGAGCAAGATATGCGTGACGTGGTACCAGAACGCAGCGGCCGCCGCCGCTGTGACGGTGAAGTATACTTTTCGGAAACCCTCGGCGTCTTCTTCGCCGTAAGGAATGCCGATGAAGGGATCGGATAGACCGGAGCGCCACTCTTCTAGCTCTTGAAGGATCGCGATGCGTTTACGTTTTCCGGATGGCGTGGAGCCTTCGTCGCCGTAAATGAGGCAGAGAACGCGCGCGAGGATCCATAGGACTTGGTTGCCGAGCACATCTTCTCGCGTCTCGCCTTCCTCCCAACAAACATTCCACTCTTCCGGGTCAAGGATCAACGGCCGCCCTGTTGTTTGCGCAAACCCAATCTCGTGCCGCACATGGATCCAAAAGTTGGCCTTGTCCATCCCGGTAGACTGCGCATTGATATTGTGGTGCTTGATGAGCATGGTCTGGCCGAGGAGGTGGCGGCGGTGGTGCTCAGAGGCGATGCCTGCGATAATCTCATAACTGGAGAGAAGAATCGTAGCAGTCAAAGCGTGATGATGACTGGGCGTGTTGAGTGCTTGAATGAGGTAATGCAGAGCGAGGCCGTAGTGATGGCGGGCCGTGGGATCCCAATTAGTACTGCGACGGTTGGAGAGGGAGAGGTACTTTGCCGTGACTAGATAGTAAGTGAGACGGAGCTTTTCAAATTACTAGTTATGGATCTTACAGGCACAGACGCAGTGGAACAGGAGGGGTGAGGTCAGGGTCAATTTAGGGATAATGAGTTGGTATGTGGAACTGTGACACATAAGATCCATCCACCTTGCGACCGTTCGCAGGTACGTTTGTAGAAGGAAAGCAGTCTCAGCTGTCAAAGATATAGGCGCCTCGACAGATATGGAAGAGGAAGAGGTCAACAGAGGTGATCGTGGAACGGCAAGGTTCAACTGCGTGAACACATCGTTCGGTGGCGATTCGTCTGAGACTTGGTCTAGGCCGTCTATCCTGGTTCTGAAAATATCCCAAGTAGAAGCGGGTTGCTCGAAGTTCATGAAAAGAGTGTCGTCCGAGGAATCTTGGTTTTGAACGGGGATCAGTTGCATCTCATCGATGGTCAACTCTGGTTCCGGAATAGGACTTGGCTCCGCGGCAGGGGTATTGTTCCATGAGGAGGGCGCGATGAACTCGGATTGTTTGCATTCTAGATTCAGTCGCTCGCAGTTGCTACAGACCGGCTTTTTCTCATCGCAGCGGCTGTGTCGGGCTTTACACGTATGGCTGGTTGCATGAGTCATTGCAAATCTCAGGCGGATCTTGTTCGTTAACGTACCATCCTGTAAGTTGTTAGCAATGGTTCCGATCGATATCGACCTATTTACCCGTTTTTCTGCGTGGCCCACCACGCCGTTTCTTCTTTGGGGGCTCGAAGTCCGACATAGTGCTTCCCAAATGACAGCGTCAAAGTTCACCTCTCTATTCTGGAAGGATACTTCATCTTGATATCGTCAGCAGGGAAGGTCTGTATCAAATTGTGTCTTAGGAGTAGATCTCTATCGAGCGGCAGCGTTGTTGTGCAAGGGATATGCTGACAATTGTTGCAAGAGTGACCTGGAAGGCCCAGATTAGCGCGCAATCACGTGAAACACCCCACATCGGGTATGGCATCTAGCCTTATCTAGCTTCGGCACCCTATCTCTACATCGCTTCTTTTATGTTTCTCCTTGTCCAGATCACACCACCTTGCCTAAGAAAAACTCAGGGCGTTTTCTTCCTCAAGACATTGTCAAGTTGTCGCGCAAGCATCTGAAGGGCGACCCTAGAAGCTGTTGCTCAAATCGCGTAAGAACATGGACAAACCATTGAGATCGATCCATATTGAACCACCACTACTCAATTCCGCCAATCCATGGTGCTCTACACTGGAGCAACTGCAAGAGCTTTACGACTGCCCTCATATTGGTGCAGTGACCACAAGAACGTCATTACTTGAGGGTTTTCCCAACGATGAGAAAATCCACCAATTCGCTTTCTTTAATTCGTCGACACACGAAGCTGGTCCCGCTAATCCAGCAGGTCAAGAGAAGGTAGATGCAAGTGGCAGTCTGAACACGCTCGGGTATAGCCCGTTGCCGCTGAAAAAGTACCTTGGCTTCATCAAGACAATATCGGATGGTCTACCAGAGCCAACGTCGAGCTCAAATAGGGTTAAGCCATTCATAATTTCAGTCACAGGGGCGGTGGAAGAGGTCGTTGAGTGCTATAAGCAGATATTCGAGCTGCAACATCACGTTCGCATGGCGCTCGCTATGGAGGTCAATCTGTCTTGTCCAAATATCCCAGGAAAGCCGCCACCAGCGTATAGCTCGGATTCTCTCCTCGGCTATTTAGTTGCTCTGAAAAGGGAGATTGGGCGGCAGGTAGAGCCGGTAACAGCAGGAAGGCATACGCATGTCGGCACGATGCATGTCCCGGTATGCATGACCTACGATCTTTGTAAGCTGCACTAACCATTTTTTGAACATAGATTGGCATCAAGACACCGCCTTACACTTATCACGATCAATACCAATCACTGATCAATGCATTGCTCGAATCCGCGAAAGCCGAACCTGCCTATCTTCCCTGTCCTATCTCCTTTATAACAGCGACCAACACCCTGGGCTCCTCTCTGCTTCTCCGGCCAATCGCCGAACCTACAATGACCTCTCCAGAACCCCATGAATACTTCCACCACGTTCTCAACTCAACAAACGGGACCGGAATTGGGGGGTTGGCGGGCGCACCATTGCATCCGATCGCGCTCGGTAACGTCTACACCATCAAAGGAATGCTATTCCAGCACGACGAGCTCAACCACATCTATATCATTGGCGTGGGTGGTGTCGAAGATGCCGAGGGGTACAAGAGAATGAGAGCTGTGGGCGCAACAGCTGTAGGCATAGGGACTGCCTTAGGTCGCAAAGGCATCCAAGCCTTCGCAGACATTACAAAAGGGCTACTAGCCTCCTGAATATCATTACGTCCATATCACTTTAAACTAAATACCGTCAACTCCTTGCTCCCTCCAAGCCTTCCAAGTCCCACCCAAGTCGAGCAATCTTGCCCTGCCCGAAAAGCCACAAGTCTTTCCCCACAAACTGCACGTTATTGACGATGAAATCAGTCTGCGCCCTGACCAGTAGTTCTCCCCACTGACTCAGTACATCGACGCCGAAACCCGCCGCCCCGACTAAATACCCATTTCCAGCCACGTGCAGGCCGTCCACCGCATACTCTTCAGGATACCATATCGGTCGCTTGTTAACCAGATATTTCCCAGCAGGCGAATCAACAGTGTCGAAAGCGTAGACGCATTTCCCCGCCGTGGCACCCCATGTATACCGCGGTAAAACATTCGGATCCGCGTCTGTGAAATTGGTAACAGAAGTATCCGAGATATACACAGTGCGCTCATCAGGCGACAGCGCGATACCGTTTGGAATGCCGATGCTAGCTTCCACAATGCTTACAGCGCCAGTGGACGGGCGAAAGCGATATGTCTGCTGATGCAAGACTGGTGCATCCTGCGTCAAGTTCGACTTGGAGCCATACCATGGGTCGGTGAAGAAGATGTCGCCTGAGGAATCGATGACGAGATCATCTGGACTGGTGAAGCGCTGGCCGAAGTAGTTGTTTAGGATGGGCTTGGTTTTGCGGGTAATGGGGTCGAGTGTGTATATGCCGGGTGCTTGCTTGATCGTGGTGGAAGAGTTTAGGGTCACGGAGCCGCCTGCGACGGCCCAGTATACGGTGCCGTTGAAGTACCGGCCGCCGTTGACCCCGTACACTGGTGGGCTTGGTGTAAATTGCGATTTCGTTGGTGGTGTAGCGTTCAAGTGAATGATGATCTGAGACAGAGTGTTCGGGTCCAGTGGGGAGGCAATGATAGCGTTCAGTTCAGGAATGTAAATTGGAGCTTCATGGATCACGTCGTCGACAATGAACATTTTTTCAAGAGTTGGTGACTGGCCCAATATCTTGACCCCTCTGGCTTCGTCAAAGACGACAAAGCTTGCGTCACGAACGAAGTCGAAGGACGGGTCTGGAACGGAGGTATTGCTGAAACGATCAAGAGGGTTAGGTGACTTGTCCAGAGACTCTGGGCGTGAAAATGGAAGAGGGAGTACTGCAGCGTAGTGGTTGACACATGCGACATCATTGAGTGGAAGGGTTGGACATCTTGAGGCGATCAGATGGGCAGACGCCGCTGCCGTCCAGGAGCTTAACACGAACTGTGTAAGGGTCGATTTCATGTTCACGGTTGGACAGCTTCTAGGAGTTCTGGCAACGATCACAGCTATATAAGGAGCACTCAAGGATGTCGAACAGAGTCTACAATAAGTGGCTTTTTCGGACTTCGCGTGACATGTCACGACCTAAGGTCAAAAGACTGTGGAGTCAGCACATCCTTCTTCTCAATATACCTCATGACTGTTCAGTTACTCTTTGAGGGCGAATGCGATCCTTCGCGGCTGAAGATTTGGGGCTCAGCCGCGCCCTGTGCTTTCTCACGCAAGCATAAGAAACCTGCGAACCAATCACCACGCAAAAATACCTCGCAAACTATGAACATGAGTTCATAGGATGCTACAGCCTGCGCTCCCCTATACTTGTGATGCCTCACAGTTTCACGACCACCCTTCCTTCGACCTCCTCCATCAGTCTGTGTCCCTCAGCGATGCCTTCCGGTTCTTCCAGGGTTTTTCCATTGAACCTGTCTATTGCTATTGATCCATCCTCTACAGCTTCTACGATTTCATTCAGCGTTTGCCCTAGGCCGTCGTGATACTTATCCTTCGGACTTTGATACGATATAATCTTCTTTCCGCTTTCGATGCCGTCCGCTGGGGCCCATTCCTTTAAGGCCCACACCTTTGTCAGAACACCTGTAACACACACTAGTCTATACTGTGATGTGCATGCAAACCCGTTGTCGACGACAATACGAACATATTCTTCACCGTGGATAGCAGGCGGCATATCGGTAAACACCTCATCACTAGTGAACTCGCCCCGAGCATGTGGATCTCCAGCGCGAGAACGCAATTCGGAGCGATTGAGCCCACAACATTTGACTTGTACGAGTATGTGTTCTTTCTTAGGGCTTGGTGTTGGGTAGTCTGACTTGACTTGCGGTACGTCCGGGTCGCCAGGCCTTGTGCGCACGAGGGCGCGCATTGTTCTTGGATAAACAAACATGGGGCCTATATATCGACAAAGAGAGTCGTACGTTGTTCTAGAACTGCTTGTATGTATACTGCGTTATGAGGCAAAGTATTGAGCCACGCAGTGATGTTTAGGTGGGGCCATCAGCACGTGTCCCACTACTCTCCAGGGCTTAGCACAGGGTGCGACTACTATAGCAAGGTGTTGCTGACACTCAAAACATCATACTGTTACAAAGTTCAGAAGCACACAGCCGTACATCATAGATGCTATAATGCATGTGAGTGGGTATTTCATGATTCATAGTCCATTACATCAATTATGTTACCAATACACATCAAGAAGCTAGCACAGAGGAGCGTGATGCATGCCTGTCTCCTTCTGAAGGCTATTCAATGTCCATGAATGTGCTCAGTGGATGCCCATCCAAACTCCAGGCTCACAGTGTCATATATCTCGTAATCGAACGCTTAACCATAGCGGACGTTCTTGACGGTGCCCTGCTCATCGACGTGGACATTGAGGCGGTCGGGCCTGTGGTCCATAGTGCTCATCGAGTCGGGCTGGAGGACGCGGTGCTCCTGGGGGAGGTCCTGCTTGGCGAAAGTCTATTGAAGGCGAAGGTTAGCAACTGTACATGAAGATAATAGGAGAGGGGAAAACGTACGACCTCGTCGTGGTTGTCACCAAGCTTCTTGCCCATCAACTTGCTCGACCACTCATTGATCTGGTCTCCGCCACTGCTCTGGATTCCGGGGACGACGAGAGGCATGTTGTGGATAGGTTTGTTTGCGAAGGTTCGCTTGAAGAAGGTTCTTTGTAGGGAAGTCGTGGTTGATTTGTAGTCTGGGGTGTCTGGATGTGAGTGTGAAGAAAGGTGCCAGAAGGTATTTATGCAGGAGTTATGCACCCTTGCGCGTGATTGATAAGAGCCTTGGTCAATGTTGAGTACCGCGTTACGAATGTGGTGAGGGTCTGACGTCACAGAGGGGTTCTGAGGCTATGATTGTTGGGGAAGGTGGGGTTGATGAGGCTTGGCTTTTCGGAGTTCGGAATGGCAAGTGCAAGCGAGGTGAAGTTCTAAGCGAAGGCATATGTGAAAGACATGTCCATCACTCCATTTGCGTTGGATCAACGGCATCGTGCTTTTATTAGCGGTTAGTCTGGTTCCCATCAAAGAGCTGGATAAAGACCGAACTGGCTGTGAGAAGGAGCATGGAAAGATTGTTGATAACGACGTACTCTGACTGCTTACGCCTCTCGCAGACACAACAGATGTACATCCTGATGCAAGATGTCCCCGCCGTTCCGGTATGCTCTTAGGGTTTCGGAGCTTCGTTCCTTCACGTTAGAGACCATGAAATCTATTGCGTTGGTCGCATACTCCTCCAGGCGTTGCTCATTGGTTTCTTTAGCCTCGTCCCGGATCTCGTGGAGTCGCTTGAGCCAATACATCCATCTCCACGGCGTGAATCCAGTCGGTGATCGCTTTCCAAACTCTGATTCTACGAACAACCGGCCACCTTGCCCAATGATGCTTGGACAATCGTTCCATAAGACATCCGAGAGTTGAAGGAGATTGTGGCCGGCCTCTTTGATCCACGCACAAGCCGCTGGCAATAAATGCGCAATATCCAGACTAGCAATGCTCCGATGTGCACCTTCTTCATCCGGTTCCTCCGTGGTGCGAAGGTCTCGACCTTCCTCAAAGGTCCACCGAAATAATAAGAGGGCGATTTGGCACATCTTGTCTTTGCACACGCGAGCTGACGCCAGTTTGGCCAGGAAGGTTGTAAAGTTGAGACGTTGAATGCCCGACATAGAAGCGCAGCTGTTGATCCACATGTCGGTCATATCGGTGACTAAGAATGGTAGGTCATTCCACAGCGTGCCTTCAGCTGTTCGCGCGATGTCGATTCCGTATAGTCCAGATACAGGTCTGGTCAGCGGTCCCAGCCCTCGGATTCGAAGGATGTCAAGCACTAGTCGATCGTGATCACGCGTTTCATGTGATGTGTGTCGAGCGAGCTGGTAATAAATGTGCCAAAGGGAGTGCAGGTAGCCTTCAAGCGAGTCTACTCCGTCCCCTATTTTGCAGTATCGTTCGCTGATGATAGAAGTTCGGTTGTAGAAGGCTGCTCCTCGGACTTCCTCAAAGTCTCCTCGAGCGATGCATTCACACACATCTTGCCGATCTAGAGTCGCGTTGTCCAACATGGTGAGCTCGGATGGACCCTTCGGCGAGGGGCTCAGTAGAGTATCATGGAGGTGGTGCATTTCCAGGTGGCAGTAATATTGATAAATTGATCAGTGAATATCAGGGTGGAGATTAAGAAGAGAAGAACGACAGCTGTAAACCGGGCTGAGAACTTCGTATCGGTCTTTAGTTCTTCCCGACGTTTTGTCAGGCCAGAACAAATTTCGACACCCTGATCATATTCGGAGAGCGAACACCCTCTAGAGGACAAAGCTGTCCAATGCAATTCTCTCGTGCGTATATTCCTCGTCGTCTAACCATGTTCAGAAGACCCCTCCACACCGCTATTCAAAAATATGTGTCGTAGAAAACCCTCACACGCTGATCCGTACGTAAAGAATAAGCAGCGAACTACTCAGGCCCTCACTAGCATTGCACATATCCTTTAGTGTAATATAGTTAATATATCTATAAGATATTATTAAATTAAGTAGATTTTTTATATATATACTTCTTATAATAAGACTGCTAGATGTTTAGCTAATAGCATGCACCACTGTAAATAAAGAGGTTAGTACATAGGATTAGACGACGAGGAGGCAACTAGAGCGACTCCCGACAAGCAGTCCAAGTTCACCGATGAGTAAATTGAAGTACTTGACAGTGTGGATGTGACGGGCATGGTGAAACTGAGCAGCCCGAAATCAGTACACATGCACGCCAATGTGGTCGATACTGTGATTGTAACTCATCCAATACAATCCGACTGTTTCCTGACGTTGAAGTAGACATCCTTATCCTGATTCTCAGATGTTCCGCTACTAGGATCGAACAAAGGAGGTAGCCGGACGGAAGTGTCTTCGGAGCCGTTCTCCGTCAGCAGCTGGTACCGCAAGTGCGGCCATCATGTCGACGCTCACCCAGGCATGCCTCATCAGGTCGAAGATTTTCAGCGTGGATCCCTTGAGTTTGATGCAAAAAACATCGACTCCTTCACACGGACCGAAAGCAGCCAATCAAGCGACATCGATATCATAGAGATGACACGCACGTTGTGTTCCTTGTTTCCAGCAACACAGGCCGTACATTCCAAGGACTTCAAGGGCTTGAAAGCAGCAGACCGAGCTTTTGACGGGCAAGAAGAGCTCCCGCTTTCAGCGTACGCGCACCACATGATATCGGCCTGTGCCTGCGTAAGTGTAGCTTTCTACTCCTTCTTCATCGTGCTGACCTATCTAGTTTGAGCAGGTGATACCTGTACGACTGGGACATCCCATTGACCAAGCTGATACCACCACGCGTCGACAGTGGGGCTTCTTTGTAAAGATTGCATCCGAAATCTGGACCATTGTCCTTGTATCAATTTACTGCATTGGCTGCAAGGGCCTACCGAACGTCGATACCAGGAAACGTTGGCTGCAACGTCGAGGCGTTCTCTCCGATCCACGCTTCAAGAAGATCATGGAAAAATTCGCTGATCAACCTGTCGCCGCGGTTCAAGACGTACAACTCCTGACAGTGAACAAGCCGACGTCTTCTGATACAAACTTTTCGCCACGGCGATACCTGCATGATCTGGGAATCGCAAAGCACGCTAGGGACATCAATTTCATGAAGCCCTACACCGACGGCAACGGAACAGACGAGTACTGGACTCGTTCGGTCGGATTTGCTCATATAGGGGACAGTTTACTGGAGTTTTCACATGGCGTACGGGCTTATGACGACAAAGCCGTGCCAACGGAGCCATTCCAACGCGTAGAGATGAGTGCATTCGAATTCACCGATGTACCCATGCATCGTGCTTTGGCTACCTTCCTCCAAAACCATAATACAGCTACATCGTATCATCGGCGACTCAGATAAGTAGATCTTTACAAAGAGGAAGAATCAGGCGACGAAGGCGAAACGGATAGTGGAGAACAAAGCGCCGAACTGAACTCAGATGATCGACCCGAGAAGCTTCGAAGGACAACCGTTCGATCGTTGAAAAAACTCTCTAATCTTTCATGGAGAGGGGGACCAATGAAATAGCCTACTATTCGAAACGCTATCTCCGTCACTCACGTTGATGGCGATTGTCGATACGACCAACATAAACGATGTACGAAACCCATCATAAACTCCCTGTATAATGTTCCACTGCTTAGGTCTGACTACGTCTTGGATGTGTTATGGTAGTTGATCTTATTCACAGTGGCCGAGACAAAAGACTAGACTTCTCAGCGTCGACTCCTCCCAAAACCAACCCCTCTTGTTAAGATAGGGGCCAGCTATACGTGTATAATTTTATAGCGTAGGGTAACTCATACCATAGTACGTGTTCAAAGCTGCGACCTAATACTACACAGCAATCTCTTACAGTGGCGCGAGAATTGATTCAATTTTTAGTATCGCCTGCTGTGATTCGACCTTGAAGTCAGGTTGGCACTACACTTTGATGGAAATACAGGCAACAGCCCATTTCAGAGAGATTGGTTTTGTCTGCACTTCAAAATCAGATAGTCATTGATCCACTGCACTCCCATCACAATGAAAGTTATTATCTTTGGAGCAGGATGCCTCAAGATAGCAAAACAGGGATGAGGAGATGGTTGTGTGAGTATGATTCTTCCGTGGATTTTGAAAGGGTTGTCTCATGTAGGGTCCCTGGACAACGGCTTTAAAACATCTCAACTCACAGTGGCCGAGAGTATAACTGGGACTTCCTGGTAGTAGCAGCTTTTCCATGTGATCACCGATGATACCATATAATATCATAAATCTAGATGCTTATTGTAGAGTGAGTTACCCTAGGGTGTATAATCCTCAGTGCTATTTAGCAACCTTTATGTGCCGGATAGCTGACTTGAATCGCGAGAGAACATTTTATAGAAGTGAGAGCCTTTCGTTTGGCTTCTGTGCCCGTTCAGGCTTCCACTCGTTGAAACAGCTCGTCCTGATCTAGCGTTCGTGCATTGTTCCAAGTGAAAGGTAAAGGCAAGAAATTCTGGTACTATTGTCCTCGAACAAAGCGATGCGTATATGAAGATCCCTGCAAGAAGCCATGGCTTGGCTGGAGAAGGTTGCGCATGACGCAGCCCTTGCGCATAGTAGCATCACTCAACCGAATGATTTACCGGAGCGCATTGTGGTCCAGAAGAGTCAAGCGACACCGTCAAAGGTGACAAACCCTTCACGTGGAGAGCCTACTGGAAAGGTCGTCGGACATGGCCACGATAACGGAAACATCGCCACCGCAATGAGCACCAAGCCTATTTCAGGGTACATCCAGGACGCACCGGTGATCACTAACGATCAGACCAGTCGTCATTCTCTACGCATGGATGGATCAACGCTCAGTCCATTGTCATTCACCGGTGCAGACATCATCCACGCTGTACCGAAAATTAGGAAGACGCACATCAGCGACTTCTTCTCGCGTATTGCAAAGACAGAGCCCACAGGAGACACCCCAACGCCAAAGCCAAGGGTCGACAGCCAGACAATGGAGACCAGGCAAGCGGCTACGATCACAAACCAACAGATGGTGTTTCAGGGCGGGCGTCGAGCAAGTCACTGGATCCGCTACCCGTAGCAGTCAGTCTTAAAGTTTCGATAGCACAAGCGAATAGGCTAACATCACTATGTAGAAGCGCAAAGCCACTCCGACGCCTGGGCCCTTAACGAACCTAAAGCGCCCCCGTCGCTAATACGGCACCGAGAACGAGTGGACATTGAAGCGGAAAAGGCATGGACGACATTTGAGGCAAAGCTTTTGTAAGGATAGCATCGCGCGACACATATTAACGATATGTTGTGATATCTCATGCAGAGTACTTATTCACGGACAGCAATGTACCTATGTTTATTGGGGACTGGGAAGCACGAGCAAGGTAGTTCATGTTTACGCGCAACTGGGGTACTTTTTGCTATGTCGATTAGTTAAGGCATCAATTAGCTGAGGCAGTAATATCATGGTGCGGTTGAATCAAGAAATCCAGTTCCAGCGGGAATTCGCAGCTACGCCAGTCTAGCTCCATGCTTTTCCATGTGATCACCGGTGATACCATATTATATCTTAGATCTAGATGCTTACGGTGGAGTGAGTTACCCTAGGGTATATCATCCTTAGTACTATTAGCAGCCTTTTGGTGCTGGAAAGCTGACTTGAAAAGTGCATCTGTCAGGAGTGCGAGCTATTTCTTCAGCTTCTGGAACTACTCAGCCTTCCACGCATTAGAAGGGCTCATCTTGATTTAGCGCTCGTACATTTTTCTAAGTAAAACGTGAAGGCAGGAGAGCTTTGGTACCGTATTTCTCAAACAAAGCGATGCGTGTGTGAAGAACCTTGAGATTTTGACTGCGTAAAGCAGTTGGGTTCCTTATGGGTCAGAGTGAACACCTCAGTCACAGGATTTTAGCGCAAAATTCCAACAGTCCAGAGCTAGCAACAAAAGCGTACAGTAAATCCAACTGCATGACGTTGTGCGTAATGGGTAACCAAGTGCCATGCTGTGTGCAAATTTTCATTCTTCGCAACCGAGCCACTGGCGTGGGCGATTTCACCTGCCCCGCATCCAACACTAAAATTTCCCCACCCCACTCTGTTATGCAGAACGAGTACGTCCCAGCATCTGCTAACTATGGATGAGCTTGATTTGGAGTATTTTCCAGCTATATATACGGTGCAAAAGGCTTCTCCTTCATCAATCATCTCCCAAACATCGGTGAGATGGCCGAGTTGGTTATGGCGCCAGGTTAAGGTCTTGTCTTAACACTATTTCCTGGTCACGAAAGTGGCGTGGGTTCGAGTCCCACTCTCATCAGCATCGTCCGCTCGTAAGAGCGGGTTTCGGGAATACTTTTTTTGCTTTTGGTTCCTCCTCCGAGAGGCTGGATGGTGCACCAACCACAGTGACCGACACAACAAACTGGACTCCATTTAAGACACTGGGCAGCAAGCTGGAAGCTTACAAGGCAGTCTAGAGTAACTCGCTGTACAATGCGTGTTCGAAGTTATAACATTATCTTGTATGGCCGTATCTCATATTGGCGCAAGAGCCTGTTCAAGTTTTGGTGTCGGCGAACTGATTCTATTTTTTCGGCTGGTTGAATGGCCAAGAAAGATTAATTGCGCCGTGGTGTGGTGTGCGACCGATGGGTGTCTAAATCCATTGGAAGCTTGCTGATTTCATATTGCTTTTGGTACATACACTGCATCATGGAGGAGTCCCAAGACCTTACCAGCCACGGTGACAGACACAATAGACTGGGTTAATGGGTAGCCTAGGGTAGCTCGCTCTATTATGCGTGCTCAAAGTTATGATCTGATACTGTATGGCCGTATCTCATGTTGGCGCAACAGCCAGTTCAAGTTTTGGTCTCGGCCACTGTGGACTGACCCTTATTTTTTGACTGTACATATGGCTAAGAGTGAACAATTGCACCGTGGTGTGCTGTGCTACAAATGCTATAACCAATGGAGCCTTCCCGATTTCACATTGCTTTTGGGTACATCTGCGGCATTGCCAACACTGAACGCGTTCGACCAAACGATCAAGAAGCCTTCACAATCAAAACATCGCGTCTTCCCTAAAATCATCATTTCTCACACCTTCACCTCCTTATACACCTCCAACGCAAACGCAACACCCTCCCTTTGATTGCAAGTCGAGAACCCAGACCCCGCATGACCGCACAGCAGAATATTCTCATCGTCCACCAGACCATTCGCAAATCGCTTCGTCTTCTTTCCGTTCTTCTTGCTACTTCCCATTAGCCTCAACATGTCCAATTGCCAACAGCAAAGCTACTTACCTCACGTGCTTGACATCGAGTACAAAGTCCCATATGTCCTGATAGTCGTCGAGTTTGAACGACCAGCCCTTCTCTGTGCAATTTGCGAGCTTTGATGCAATTAGTTCGGTTTTATTGGTGCTCGAATGATTCATGGCTAGAACGTACAAATTCATGAGGATATCCAGTATTATACTCCGCGTACGGCCATTGTGTGTGGCAAAAGGTTGCAGCACCATCACTCGGATCCGTCACGTTGAATTCGACGCGATATACCGACACATTGTCTCGCCCTGATGGCTCGAAAGTGTACAAGTTTGTGACCTGAAAGGCAGGTGTGGTTTTGGGACGGGCGAGTGCAAAGGGCAAGAGGGAGATGGACAAGAGGGCGAGCATTTTGTGAGCGTGTAGACGACTGATAAATCGTGTGGTGTATTTGCAGGGGGTTGCAATTGTTTTTATACCTACAATAAACCTGTAAACATGTTCCCGTTGCAATCCTATTGCGTAAAATTCTCGTATGAGGAGTGCGCCACGATAATTGGCTCGTATTCGCAAGCTCTATTTTTCAGCTCGTGGCGGCGCTCGTGGCCAAGTGCTTACCTCTGATTTATTCAACTTGCTCTTAAAGTCGACCCACGTTCTCAGCCGCTCTATCTCATAGTGCCAAAAAACAAGCTTTGAAACGCATGCAGAGTTGTCAGGATCAACACTATCAAGCACTGTACCTGGCACTAATCCTGCAATAATGCAGCTAGAGGCCGAGCGTGCATTGAGCAGCAAGTCGAGCAGGACTCGGGTACCGTAGCGTCCTCTATATTGCCTGATGTGCTACTGGAGCAATGAAATCTGTCCAATCAACCGGAGAGGTGCACACGTTCAAGGAGTTTTCAGTAGCGCAGCGACAAGAAGGGCAAAGGTAACGCAGGATTTAACATCTTTTCAATGTTCTCAGCTAGTCACTAGAACATGCAAACATGAACCGAGCCTGCAAATAAGAAGGCAAGACTGCTACCCTGTGAGACATTACTAGACTCTAGTTGACATGTCTGCTCCGATCGAGGTCGCGGTTGAACCTCCATGCCCACTCATGCTAGCAGTTGAATAGCCGTCATACGGCTAGACATCCCTGAAGATCGGGAAAGACTCCGAAAATGCTAGACTAGTGTAGTCTCTGCCCCGATGAAATGGCCAAAGAAAATGGGTATCATCTGTAAACAGTTTCCCGCCATAACACCATATACTTCCCACAAAATACGTCCATTACCTTCATCTTGCCGACGCATAAGTCTGTGCAAAACTTGATAGCTTCGTGTCACACCGGTTTGGCAACAACCAAGGCAACATTACTCCGGCGCCTGTCTTCGAATGCATTAGATATCCTCCCAGTCGTCGTCGTCGCTTAGATCTACGAACTCCGCATGATGGCCATAGACGTGTGATCGTGATATATCGGCAATCTTGTCGGCGAGTTCATTACCCGGTACCTAATTCGTTGCCCTGTTAACTTACGGTTCCTGCGAGAGCCATTGAAACATTCTACTTACACCGCTGTGGCCCGGGCACCAATGCAAGGACAATGTTGGGCCCAACCTCGTCAGAGTGCGAGCTTTCCTGATAATGTACTGACCCAAAGGATGTTTGGAGTTTTGCGCAATACTAAGTGCGCCCGTTGAGTCTGTATAAATAGCCACCGCCTTGACGTGACCAGACATCTGGTTGATCAAGTCACAGGCTTGAGAAAGCGCTTTCATGATCCCTAGCACCTCCATAGTGTTCGAATCAAGTAACTCACCTTGAGCTGCAAATCATTAGAAGAGTGCACTTCCGCACGTTACATGTCAAAGACCAAGACCATACCTTGATACCCGGCAGCCTCCCATCGTCCCCAACCAGTCGCTGTGCTACGACGCCACGTCACAGCGAAACCCCGGCTTTTTCCATGCCTGCCACCGCCAGCTGATCCGTCAGTCCACAAGACTAGTCTCGTCGTGTCCAGCTTCTCGGCCGTGTGCTCGTTGTACGCGTTCCTCACGGCAGTCATTGGCGATCCGAGTAGAATTTCAACAGTTCCGGGGAAAGTCAACGTCGGCTGATGGTTCTTCTTGGAGGAGGTACTCCTACGGAAGTACCGATTGGGCACGACCGTCTGAATACTTCTTTTGTCAAACAAAGCGACCGCAGCACTGATCAACTTCATTTCTGGCCCAATTTTGAGTTCCTCCGCGGCTTGTTGCTTCCAAAAAGTCAGGTGTCTATGACTAGTTGTAAGCATCAGTACGTCTTGTTTCAATTTCTTCCCCTTCTTCCCCTTCTTCCCCTTGCTCTTATAAAGCTGGTGTCGTACTTGTTGCTCTGGCCTGCTGGGGGCGGTCGCGGATGTTTGTTGCCTTCTTGCGAAGCGTTCGTTTCTCGCCTGTCTTTGGATAGACGCAATACGTTCGTTTCTCGCCTGTTTTTGAATAGATGCAATACGTCGACTGGTCTCCTCGTAGCTGGTCGCGCCGTCTCGTTGACCAAGCGAAGCTAGAGGGAGCACCGGAGATGGGGCTGTTTTTCCTGCTCGACCTGTGGTTGCATGAGGGAGATGCGTCAAATGATAGCTTCCTTGAGTCTGAACTGTTGATTTGACTGCACGGTCTTCAGCTCTCGGCACACTCTCCTGCGTGGAACGAGATCGCTGTGAAGCGACCAAAGATGCGGTTGCTCCACCTGAGGAACCCCCGTTTCTGTACGGAAGATCTCTTTGATGGGCGTTCCAGTGAGGGAGCCCAGGTATTTGGGCTGCGAAGCTGCTCACATCTTGATGCGTCCCCATAACAGGTTGCTGCACGAGAGCATCATTCCGAACGATGGGCGACGGTACAAATGCCTCGCTATTCACGCTTCTGCGACTGTGAAGCGCTGCCCGCGAGAAGTGGTCCAGATTCGAGTCTTCAAGCTCACCTGCGTGTGTTTGATCTGTCCTGTAATAAGTCGTTACTTCAGTGTCAATTTGCCCACTCTGAGCATCCGCAGCGGCCCTTGCTTCACCTGAAGGTTCGTCTGAGGATGGTTGCCACAAGCTTGTCGCCGATGCAGGCTCCTTGCCATTGCAACCACTGCTGCGTACATGGCGAGCCAGAATGAGATCTTGTGCGAAAGGCTGAGTTGGAGAGGCCAATGAGTGGGTACCACTCGACGTGTTGCTCGCCTCCGCGCGCGCATGAGCTCGAGAGCTGGGGATCACACTCGTGTCCGCTTGGGAAGTGGAACGAGTCTGAGGGCCCGCAGTCTCAGCGGCTGCTTGCGCACGCGCAACAGCTCTAGTGCGGTATACACGCACTGGTGATTGCTCGGTGCTTTCAACGCGGGTTGACACAGACGCCACGGGAATCCGCACGCCAACTATCTGCACCTCGTCGTCGTCGTCCGACACGAGATCGATGGCGGTATTGGCCGAAGAGCCTGCGCCTGCTCTGGCCCTTCGCGGCGCTCGCATGTTGAACGAGTGGCGCGCCAGCTGAATTGGCTCGCAGGGTCGTGTCGAAGCGAAGAGGTGGACGTTGAGAGCTGGCCAAGCAGGTATGATAACCATTCAAGTACACCTGCAAACGCGCTAGCACGTGACGACTGTAATTAGGCAGGTGCAGGCATCTACCAAATCGAGGTCACCCAGGCAGGAGGACTCAACAATCATGTGAGGCTCAGTGAACACTACAGTTGCCTCCATTCTTTGCCTTATCTGTTCCGGCCACTGTGGTCCTGCTGTACTTCACGTCAGACAAACGTTTGACTGCTGGGTCACATATCGAGTCTTCACCCAGGAAAAGGTTTGGGGTTGAGAGTCATTATGCACGCGACGTATATCTAATGGACATCAACTGAAGTATGAATATGATACAATATCGCAGGCCTCGTTCTGAAGTCTTATATTCCCACTCGGACCTACTCTTACACAACACATGCTCCTTATACATCTTCCACACCGCCCAACGCGTTACTCGCCCACTGGTAGCTCCCCAAGAAGATCGCACCTCCAGTAGCTATCCATCCCACCCTAGGTCCAATCCCCGCAAAGAACGCCCTCGGGCCCGATTGTTGTAGTATTTGCTTCAACATGCTCATCATCGGCTGCTTCTCCTTTGCCAGCATCATCCGCGTCTTTAGCACATCCAGCGGCGTTGTTACCCCTGCTGCGACCGCGCCAGCGACACTACCCAGCAATCCGCCTTCCAGCCCACTGACCTCGCTCTTCCCGCTGTTGTGCATCCGCCACCGTTTCAATGCTTCCCACAGCGGGAACTGGATGACCGTGAAGGGAACCTCGCGGAGCAGAGTGATGCTCCACCCGCGGTACAGCTCCATCCACACGTGTCTGAGCCCATGCGTGTGCCTCTGGTTCAATATGTATGTCAAAGCAGACAGCGACGAAGGATGCTGACTGGCCTGCGCCCTCTGCTTTACAACCTCCGTCGGCACCCTAACCGCGCAAGCAGCGACTTCACCCAAGCTTGCAGCCAGCATGTGTACACCTGCCTCCCTTCCTCTTCCTCCTTCTACCTGCGCATACGGCTTGCCCTCGGCATTGTGTGCGATCTTCGGCGTTGACGGGGTCAAGTGCCGCTTGATAGAATCGTAGGTTATGAAGAAGAGGGCTGCGCCAGGAGCGGATCCCACGAATGCGGATCCAAGGCCCTTGTAGATGCCGCGGAAGCCACCGCTGGCGGCGAAGCCGGCGTCGGATTGAAGGCGGGTTTTGAGGGTGTCGAGGGGGAAGAGCGACATATCGACGGTCGTGCCTGCTAAGCCGCCGGCCTGGTTGTCGTTAGCTTGGGAAGATGCGCGCGACAGCACTTGTTTGCGTAGCTTGTAAAGGTACAAGAGCAACTCAACGAAGCTGGTAGTGACTCGTATAGCACGCGAGCATCTTGCGTGGTTTGTTGATTTGGAGTAGACGTTGGCTGGAAATGAAGTAAGAAAAGCATACGTACTATAAGAGACCGCAGGTACGGCGACTCAACCCATGCTTTCCCTTCTCGCGGCTCGAGGACATTCTGCATTATTGACTATGAAGATGACATGCCCTGAATCACCCCGATGTCGCCTCGAACTTTTGTCCGATGTTGATGGCCCAAGCTCCAGCCCTATGACGCTAATGACGCGCTAGTGTGATCCGAGGTCCTGGGATAACCGTCGCCTCGACACTGTCCTTCCGTCGCGTTCGAATGGGCGGTGCTACCATGTTGGCAGGCATTGTAGGTGTTCGATAATTATGAGTGGTGGTGTGGGGATGCGGACCTGGTGTGCCGCGAGCACTGCGTCAAGAGATAGCACTGCGCACAAAGAGCCGGGTGATGAAGAGCAGAATTCATCAGACGAAACCAAACAATACGCAGACGACACAGTGAGCTGTATTTCTGAGGCTCAGCTGTCGCCAGATGGCACGTGCATCTTCACCACAGACTATTCACGGAAGTTCTCCGTCTATCCGTTTACCTCCAATATTGCTGCCGAACAAAAACAACAGAGGCTGGTACCGTACGCACAATTTCCTTCATCGGATCCTATATGGGCATTCGCGGTCAATCCATACTTTAACGTGAATGACCACAGCACCAGTACCGTCTTGATCAGCCGCAAGGATCAGTACATCGGCCTTCACAATGCACTCTGGGATATATCCAAAAACCAAGAAAGCGTCCAAAAGTCTTCCCAAACAGGTCCTGTGGACATCTCCTCTAAGATCACTAGCTACAAGCTTGTCGACAAACTAACAGAAGCCGTGAAAGCACCAATAAGCCTAGCATGGTCCCCTTGCGGCGCCTACTTCTACGCGGGCCAAAAGAACGAGATAGCCGTGTTTGACCTCACATACACCGACGATCCTGTGTCCAAAATACGCACCATCCCTTCAACGCGGAACAAGCTCAAAGGCGGAGGCTGGGGCTTCAAAGGCGATGTTTCCGCACTTGCTCCTTCCACCACCAATGCAGAGATGCTGGCTGCAGGGACGCGATCGCGCTATGTCGGTATCTATGACGTTCAATCGAATACAGAAATCACACACTTCCCCTTGCCTGGCATGATCAACGGAAGACGAATCAAGAATGATAAATTGCAAGATGTCATCGGCGAAGGCGTAACGCAGCTGAAATGGAGTCCGGATGGAACATACCTCTACGTCGCGGAGCGAACTTCAGACGCCCTTCTCATTTACGACGTGCGCAACTTCAGCCTCGCGCTGGCTCACTGCGCTGGTCGGAAGGCACTCACACGCCAGAAGATGTGTTTCGATGTTTGGGCCCAGAAGGACGAATACAATACTGGAGGATCCCATGAAATCTGGGCTGGTGGCACAGACGGGAAAGTGAGGGTGTGGAGGAATCCATGCTTGCGCGAAGGCGCCGTGGAGGCGGATGAGGTCATTGATGTAGGAGAGGATCCGGTTAGCAACGTGCTTGTACATCCATATGGACACGCTGCTGTAGTTTCAAGAGGCAGATACGAAGTTGGTGGTGAGCAAGAAGGGAAAGGTATCACGAGAGTAGGCACAACGCACCCTACGTACAGTGAGTGGGGTTGTCTCGACATCTTGGGACTGGGAGGTTATTGAGGAAGTTTGGCATTTGAATATACCCCGTCGGCGTTTGAATTTAAGCGTTGTTCATAGACCCCGTGTAACGGGGCATGCGATCAGGTCGCCCCAACATGTGAGCACCCCCAAGTTGCCTTAGGTGCCACACTGAATTATCAATTAGTATATTAATATTAAAATGAATCAATTGGGAGCTCACGCCGGATCAAAAGTCGATGGCCGTCTTCCTAGCTCATGTCTCCGACGGTTGGTCCCACGTAGATAGGTAGACCCACAGTACACTAACGTAGCTTACCGCCACCTGATAGGAAGGTGCCCAACCATATAACAACACCACCGGCGCCCTCCGACACACGTTACAACACCTTCCATCCCACAGTCTTGACCATGGATCCGCAAGTCAAATACCTCCTCTCCCTCGAGGCAGTTCGGGACCGCGCCAAAATCGTAGGCGAAGCCGCGAAATTGGGGAAGCTGAGCCATTTCGATGTGCACGAGGACAGGCTGCCCGCTGTTGCTGACTACGTGACGGGTGTGATAAAAGTTAGTCATATCTCTAAAACTCTGCATCCTGCTCGCATGAAGCAGAATGAAGCCTATGTGCATGGTAGTCTGACGATCTACAGCGTGACTACGGACCTGACCGGTTCTCCGAGATCCCGCCCCACGGCCGATGGCAGCATTTCGAAGTCGGCAATCGGCCGCGCATTGACGACCTCCTTTCACAATGGAAGGCTGAAGGCCATGATGACAAAGAGCTTACTCGCAGGCTAATCGATTTGTTCTTCGTTTCCGTATTGTTGGATGCAGGTAGTGCTCAATGCCACCTCGTACACGTGTTGAGCTGACCAAATTAATTGTTTAGGTGCGGGAGACCATTGGCGTTACGTAGAGCCAGGCACGGAGCAAACGTATGAGCGGAGTGAAGGCATTGCAGTGGCGAGTCTGTACATGTTCAAGGAAGGTGCATTTGCTTCTTCGCAAAGCAACAAGATGATAGTGGATGGGAAGGGCCTCGAACGACTCACCCCCTCAACTCTAGCATCCGGCTTCCAAATCACAGCCCACAACCCCATGCTCGGCGTAGATTCCCGCGCCTCCCTCCTCAAAAGCCTAGGCTCCTCACTCCTCGCCCACGCCGACGTCTTCGGCGCCTCAGGCCGCCCCGGAAACATCGTAGATCACATGCTGGAAACCGCCACCGACGCCTCCGCCCTCTCCATCCTCGACTTCTGGGACGTCCTCCAAGACCTGCTCATCCCCATCTGGCCCCGCGACCGCACAGTAGTAAACGGGTATCCCATCGGCGACGCCTGGCCTCTGAGCACCCTCCGGAGCGCCTCTTCATCGGCCTCACTACCAAATACCTCGGACGCAGATTTTATCCAGCCGTTCCATAAATTGACGCAGTGGCTTACGTACTCCCTGACCGTCCCGTTCACACGCCTTTTGAACGTCACCTGGAAACATATGGAGTCTATGACCGCTCTACCTGAGTACCGTAACGGCGGGCTGTTCGTCGACCTCGGCGTGCTCAGCGTGAAGCCTGCGTCTTTGGAACGCGGGTTAGCTGCGTCTGGAAGCGCGCTGCCACAGTTCGGCGCCGGAGACGACGCGGTTGTTGAATGGCGGGCCATGACGTTAGTGCTGATCGACAAGCTGTATGAGATGGTGAAGGGACGGATGGAAGGCGTGGACTTGAGTATGGCGCAGTTGTTGGAGGCGGGGACGTGGAAGAGTGGGAGGGAGGTGGCGAAGGAGAAGAGGCCTGATACGAAGAGTAGTCCGATTCTGATTGAGAGTGATGGGACTGTGTTCTGATCCGGCTTCTTGTATCATATAAAAGGAGATAGCTATGAAGCGGTGTATCGTGAGCCAAGCGGCAAAGGCATACATGCATGCGAAAGCACGCACTGATCGACCAAACACACTCATCGAAATGCTTGCCCGCTCTTACGTAGCAACGTTGCTCAAAAATCCGAAAATCGAGCTCCTGTATTGACACGTATCATGGTACAAAATAATTCCGGTATTCTATACTCTGTATTACAATTTGATCCTATATGAACGATCCGATCCACTCCCCTCCACTACATCCACCAGCTACAAGAAGGAAACCAAACAACGTGTTTTATACAATTTACTTTCCCATTCCGGTAGACACACGGGTAGGAAATTCCAATCTAGCATTCAATTCGCACTGGGGGTATATCCATCCATGCTCAAGTCACATCGCTAAAGACAGCAGACCAAGTCCAAAGACGCAAGAAAGAAAGAAGCAAGCATTAAGTATCTTATTGAAAAAGAGAGGTGCGGTGACGAACAGCGTGTAGAAAAGGACAGGACGCTCAGATACGAGCTACGGGTGAAAGGAAATGTGTACATAGGAAAAGTGGTGTCTCATACTAGTGGTGGTGAGAACGTCACCGGTCAAGCGCTTGTCCAAAGTGTAGACCGATGGGCGTCATGTCTCCATCGACGGTGCTTTCATCGTCGTAGAAACCGCTTTCGCTAAAGCGTTCGACCTCTGCATCCTGGTCGTACGATGCTTTGCGGAGTAGCGGAGGGGTGCTGGGTATGGGCTGCTTGCCCAGGCTAGGGAAGCCGGCGGCGGAGCCTCGTGAGCTCGTCGAGTTGGTACGAAGCAGTGGCTGCGGGCGAGCACCTGAAGACGGGAGGTCGGGTGTCCGGCGGAGGTTGGACGTTGGCGGTGTCATGAGGCCGGAAAGGAATGATTGGGCCGAAGGTGGAGCCGGGCGGGAAGGGGTTTGATTGCGCGATGCTGGGTTGCTCGAATTACCTGCGAGAGCAGAGGCGGCGTTCTCACGACCTTTGCTGCGCCAGTTGCCAAAGGCGGCAGCGAGCTGTACGGCCTTGGGAGAAGCAAAGTTAGACAGCGTCGACAGCGTGGGAAGGGACTTCTGGCCGCCTGTGATCAGGCGCTCCTTCTCAGATTGCTCCATTTGCAGGTTCGTGCGGATGCGAATGGCAGCATCACGCACACTCTCGCGGTCGAAAGCAGGCTGAGCCAACGCGTTGATGAGGTCGCTCAAATCGTCAATGCGAACACCGAGGAGCTCACGGAGCCAGTTGATCTCTGTATCACGCTCCTTCAATTTGGCAGGAGCGTCGGTGTCAACTTCAGTCAGCTTGTGCTCGAGTGACTCGATGCGCGATTCGCGTTCCTGCAGTTGTTCCTGCAATACGGAAATGGATTCTCGCAGTGCCTGTGGTGAGATCTTCTCTGTACCCGAAGCGTATGAGGTTGGCGCGCCAGCAGGTGACTTCACATTTTGGGCAGCAGCAGCGGCGGCACTGGCTGCTTCCTTTGCCACAGAGAGTTTCTCTTCGAGGAGAGCAATCTTGTCGCGAAGATTGTCCATCTTGGAATCCGCAAGCGCCATGCGCTCGTTGTGGAACAAGGTTGCTCGTTCTTCGTCCTCGCGAGCAATGTCCACCACACGAGCGTGCTCCAGGTTGATAGCTTCCACGCGGCGTTCGAATGCCTGCTGTTGCTCGAGGAGGGCGAGAGTGTTCTTTTCCAACGCTTCTCCAACAGCTGCACTCTTCGCATCGGCAGCGGCCTCCAGATCGAGCTCGTGCTTCTCCTTGGCGGTGTCGGCGTCCATGCGTACATTGTCAAGCTCAGTGCGAACTCGAGCGATTTCGCTTTCGAGATCATGTCGGACGATGTTGACCTGGTTGTTGGCTTTGTCGATGTCGGCCTCCATCAGTGTACGCATGCGGCGAATTTCAGCGTGTGCGGCTTCTCTGGCTTCACGGAACTCGCGTTCGTACCGCTCGGCGGCTCGCTTGTGCTCCATGCTCCCTTGCCTGGTTTGCTCAATCGTCTCTTCAAGCCTAGCGTTGTGCTTCTGCGTCTGCTCAAGCGTGAATCTAAGCTTCATGAACTCACGTTCTTGACCCTCCAGTCGTTCCAGCTCGCGCTCGAGGCGTTCACGGGTACGACCCTCGGCTTCAATGCGAGCACTGAGGATTTCGTACTTCTTCATATGCTCTTCGTCACCCTTCTGCCATTGAGCACGCTCAGCAGCAGCCTGGCCGGTTGCAACAGTCACATCTTGCTGAAGCTTTTCAAACTTGGCACGCATGGATTCGCGTACTCGTGTGGCCTCCTCGGCCTGGAGACGCGATTGTTCAATAGCCAGGCGCATCCTTTCAGTCTCCTCGTGAGCGTGCTTAAGGTCGTCACGCCACTTGTTAGCAGAGAGACGGTGTTCCTCAAGGGTGAAAGTGAGGGCCTCGTTCTCAGCGGTGACAGCTTCGAGCTTCTTCTTTGCGTCGTATTCGGCTCCTTCAATGGCGGCGGTTCGGAGTCGCAGTTCATCATGTTCAACCTGCAACTTGGCGAACTTGCTGCGGACCTCGTCTTCCTCTGCTGCGATGGTATCAAGGCTGCGGCGAGACAGCTCACGCTCCTCTTCAAGGACGCGAATTTTTGTCTCGTCATCGGCAGCTTGCTCTTTGAGCAGCGCAAGCTCCTTCTCAGTGACGTCAAGTAGGCGTGCGCTGTTCGCTTCGCGAAGTTCGAGATCCTTGCGTGCTTCCGCCTCGGCATCGAATCGAAGGGTAGTCTCCTTGAGCATTTCCTCCAGATCTTCGATGCGTGCATCTCTCTCCTGGACAGCCTGGGCCTCTTCACGCTTAGCGACTTCCATGCTCTGTCGCTTGAATGCATCGTCAATGAGCTCGCGAACGTCTTCAGCATGCAAGTGATGGCTTGTAGTCTGTGCGATAGAAGCCTTCAAGCTGCCGATGACCTGGTAGATCTCAGACATGTCGACTTGAGGCTGAGGAATATCAATTGGAGCCTCCAGGACCGGAGCTTGCTTCTGAGCAGCAAGCGCTTCAGTAACGATGGCACGAATCGCCTCAGGTTGAGGTTCTTGAATGACTGGCAGAGCGGGAGGTGCAGGAGGCTGGTGTGACACAAGTGCCTCGGTGACAATGGAGCGGATAGTCTCCGGTTGCAAAGACTCGCTTGGCTGCTTGTGAGCTGTTAGTGCATCGTCGATAATGCTGCGAACAGCCTCAGGAAGAAGAGGCTCGGCGGTCTGCTTCTGTTCCAAAGCTTCCGTGATGATCGATTTGATGTCCTCGGGCCAGATTTGCTCGGGCACAGGCATGGGCGGTGCCGGTGGAGCGTGCGTCTCGAAAGCTTCCATTACGATGAGGCGGATATCATCCGGTTGAAGGGGCTCAGTGGTAGGTTTAGCGGTCTGCGCAGCAATTGCTTCAGCGACAATAGAACGGATTTCATCAGGCTTGATGGACTCGGTAGGAGCAGCGGGGTTGTGTGCCACAATGGCATCCTCTACGATCGCACGAATTTGGTCAGCCGGTACAGGTTCGTACTTGGGAGGGGTCCACTGAGGCTGGTGATGGGCAAGCGCTTCCATGATTACGTCGCGTATGTTTTCAGGCTTCATGTGATCGGCGGGTGCTGCTTGTGCCTGGTGCGCAGTGAGGGCCTCGGCCACAATGTCGCGGATCTTCTCTGGTAGTACAGGTTCCGGAACAGGCACAGGAAGGGAGGTGACGGGTGGCTGGTGCGCCTCTAGCGCGTCCCTGACGATTGCCCTGAATTTCTCCAACTTGCGGTTCTTTCCAGGCGAGCGGTTACGGTAGTGCGAATCAGTGCCCCATTCGTCATCCTCGTCATCAGCATCGCTGTCGAGACGTTCAGTAGTCGACAAGCTGCGACGGCCACGACCAGGTCGCTGCGACATCATAGCAATGGCATCTTGAATACTCTGCAGGTTCTGCTCCATCGGCCCGAGCCGGTTCTGAAGGAGACGCCCGATGATATCATCAACGTGCGTGTCGAAGAATCTACTGCGTGTTTGGATCTTGTCTTCGCCTTCGGACAGAATACCCTCATCCCAGTCACTCATGGGTACTTCATCTGCGTTGTTCAAGCGGTGCACTGGAGATTCATATGCGGCGCGATCGTCATCGAAGGGATCTTGAGTGACGCCAGAGGCTGAAGAGGCGTGCATGTTGCGTGGCGCGTATAGTCTACGGGGACTAGGACTAGGCGCGTCGCTACGCAGAATCTTAGCGTTCGGCGGCAGGTCTGAACGTTCAAAGTCATGGACAGATCTTCTCGGAGAAGATTGCTCCCACGATTCATCACGTTCGATTCCAAAGTCCGATCCTTCGTCGTTCATGTGCTTCATCACAGCGTCAATGTCGTTGAACGAAGCATCGCCAAGATTGTCAAAGTCAAGGCTCTCACTCTCAGGGTACGGCGCGTGCCTCCGTGATTCCAGTGCAGTCTTGAATGACCCATCGTCACTTGGTCGGAAGGTGGTCGCAGGACTACGGCTTGCGAACCGCGGCGGGCTCACATGAGCCTTGTCAGGTTCGTCGTTCTGAGATACAGATGGCTTCGTGATATGAATGCCGCCGAAGTCATAACCACCAGCAGGTGCAAACGGTCGGAACTCAAAGGGCCTGGCGGTCGCTGAAAGCGAACTTTTGTGCTTCCTGAAAGCCGGTCTCGGCATTTCCTCAACAGTAGGGGTAGCGGCATCGCTTTCGTGAGCTGACAGATCATCAATCGGCGTCTTCGAATCAGCAGACTCCTCAGCTCGTGATATAGGTATAGCAGATTCGATCGTGGATTTCGCCTTCTGCAGACGCTCAGGGCTCTTCGACTTGGAATGTGCCCGCGCAACAGCTGGAGAGACGTTCTCCTTCTGCTCCGGCACATCCTCTTTTTCGATTTCAGGGCTTTGCGTTGGTGCTCGGCCTTGTCGGAGTTCGCCCAAAGCTTGGGATGGAAGGAAAGGCTGCAGGGCGAACCTGGGAACATCGTCACCCTCATCACGGCCACGTCGCGCGCGCTTCTCGCGTCCTTCGGGGTTGGCAATACGACCCTCCTCGTCTTCGCGTTCTTCTTCTTCAGGTTCCTTCTCTGGCGTCTTCTGGCGTGTAGCGTCTGGGCGTACAATAGGTACGGCCTTAGAGCGCTTGGCAGGCTTGATAATATCATCCGCGGTGATGTTGACGTTGCCAAAGATGTTAGAGGAATTGCTTGATACAGATACACTCGGGTTGAACTCTCCGCTGCCAGGATCAAAAGCAGGAACCTCAGGCTTGAAGGACGGCCCATTGGAGGAGAAGCTGAAGCCGCTCTTAGGCATGAACGAGCTGCCAGGCTTGAATTCTGGAACAGAAGGTTTGAAGACGGGAGCTTCGACGACAGGCTTGAATTCCGGAACTGAAGGCTTGAAAGTCGGGGCATTGACTGTGGGCTTAAAGACCGGTGCGTCGATGGCGGGCTTGAATGAAGCTGCATCTGGCTTAAAGACTGGCGCATCCGGTTTGAAAACCGGCGCAGTTACGCTCATGTTGGACATGCCATCTACACTTGTTCTGTTGCTCACCGAGGCACCGTCGGCAGGGCTCTTGAGCGCAGGTGTAAAAGACGAAAAGCTGGAGGACAGGGATGGACTGAACGAAGCAGCGGGATTGAACTTGAACTCTTTAGCTTCGACGTTGAGTTTGGATATCGAAGACTGCGACGTATGCTTGCTATGCATCGCAGAGCTGGGCTTTCCAAAGGCCAACTTCGCATCTCTCCATGAGTTGCTAAGCTGGGATGCCGTCTTTGAGTGCTGTGCAGTATCGATCTCACGAACCTCGCCTTCTTCCAGACTAGGATTCGTTACGTCAGAGATATTGGTCTTTGCTCCATCGCTGTCACCGCGAGGATTCTCTTGCGCAGCGCCGAATGTGAATGCGGACTGCTGAGGCTTAGCAAGCGAATGGGCTCTGCTGTGCGGTTGTGGCTGGTGCAGGACGGGGCGTGAGCCTTCCCATATTGGTTCAGCTACAGGCTTAGATGGCCTGAGCTCCTCGGTTGTCTCCGGTTCAGTACTAAAGTCTCCTCCTTCGTTGAACTGTTTGTCGATCGCCTCTTCGAGATGATACTCAGCATCGCGTGCACCACGTTCGAGGTTCGCGCTGATGTTGTGACGATGGCCACGTTGAGGGCTGGGTACGAAAATTTCTGGCCCATGCTTGTTCGCATGTTTCATGAGCGGCAGCTCATCCTCTTCACTCTCAGCTTCAGGAACTTCTGCAAGAGTAGATGATGGTCGAAGTCCCATGACCTGCTGCTGTTGCTGCTGCATAAGTTGATTCTGAAGAAGCTGCTGCTGTTGTTGCATCTGCACCAGGAGATCATCCTTGGGAGCTTGTGGAAAAGGAAACTGCTGGTTGGGTCTCATGCCATATGGAGAGCTTGGAGAGGCAACTCCGGAAAGGTCGGGCCTGCTCAAAGGCAAGGCAGGCGAGCCGCCACGTGGTCCTTGCATACCGAAGTAATTGCCCGGAGAGAACGCGCCAGTAGGCGAAGCTGTGTGCTGAATGAAGCTGGCAGGCGAGAATGTCGAGTGTCTGTGCATGTGCATGCTCGGGCGGACGTTGGCAAATGCTGCTGGTGATGCAATTGACTGCCGTGACATGTGTCCGGGTGACGGCCCAAGTGGGAAGGACCCAGAGACAATGCTCCCCTGCCTTCCGCGATGGCTTCCTCCGGAAGGTGTAGGCAGCGGTGGAGAAAAAGGCAAGCCCGGGTATTGCACTGAAGCCTGTCTCGACATCGGCGAGGGTGTCTCTTCCTCTCCACCGATACCGACACCAAGCGCGGCAAGCTTCGCCTCTACAAGATGGTTCATGTAAGCATCCCACTCTTCTTTTCTAGAGATCCGCACGTTAGGCGCCGCAGACCGTGCTGCTCTGATGTACTCCTCATCTGGCCAAATACCTCGGTTCTGCGTAGATGGCTTTCCACCTGTTGCACCAACGTCCTGCCAGGTACGAAAGCCTTGCGTGTTGTAGCCTTCGAGCTCGAACTGCCGCAGTTTCGCGTCCACTGCCCCTGGACTCATCGGCCTAGGAGGATAGCCAGGTGTGCCTCGCGGGATATCTTGAGCAATGGAAATGATAACGCCCTTGCCCTTGACCATCACCTTCTTCCGCGTGCGCGGTCGAGCAACAGGCGGGGGTACGGACTGAGCGGGTGGACTGAGCAACGGCTTCTGCGACAAGTCTTCCGATGGTTGGGAAGGCTCTTGAGCAGTCTTTTCGACGGGAGAGGCGGGCTGCGCAGCCCATCTGCTGAGGCCTAGGCCGGATCGAAGGCTTGTGCCGGAACCCTGACGCGAATGTGAATCCGCGTCAGGGTTCGCGTATCTCGAGGCCATCATCTTGCCGAGTTCTTCCTTTTGACCCTTGCTGAAATGTGACCAGAAATCTTGCTGATTCAACGTCTTGTTGTTCCTCCTCGGTCTATGCTTCTTAACGGATGGAGATCCTGTGTGCTCTTGATCGAAGCTCGGTATATATTCTGGGTCACTACCGGCGGTTTCGTCGCTAAACCAGTCGTTGGTCTCGTTGTTCCAACGTCGTTCCAAAAACTGACGAACCCACTCTTCAGTCGCGTCTTGGTTATCAAACTTGGAGACTCGCGGCGTAGCACCAGAATCGAAATTGGGTTGCGTAGGCGTCTCGAGCGCGGCAGGAACGCGAGATGGTATTAGGTGCTCTAAATTGAACTGATTAGGCGATGCGTTGTCCTGCAGACGTGGAATAAGATGTTCGAGATTGAAGCGGTTGGGCGAGTTATCTCCAACAAGCGTTGGAGGTAGCAGATGCTCGAGACCGAATTGAAGACCAGAGTCGCCGTCCAAATCGTCACTGCCGAACTGTGTCGAAGGGTGCCGTTGGCGGGTGGAAGACGGAGGCGGGTGCCTGTAGGGGCTTCCCCAGCTGGCGGTGTAGTAGGAGGTATCGGTCCTATCTTGCCTTGCGACGGTGGAAGGAGTACGCGGAATGCCCCCGAGAGCAGAGAGACTTGCAAGGGTAGGAAGCTCCGGGCTGGAGTTAGCAAGCGTCTGGTTCGGAGACGGCGCTGTCCACAGAGTCTGCGCGGGAGACAGCGGTTCACGCGCCGCAGTAGAGTTGTTCCCTTCGTAGATGACCGATGGGGGCGACGATGGTGGAGGGAGCGAAACCGAAGAGGTACGTCGAGCCAGATTCAGCATTCAGCGGGCAGGTGGGAAGCCTAGAAGCCCGGAACGCGAACTTTCCAGGTGCTTTACGCGCCTAGTTGCGGGCAGATTGTCGAGCCAGATGGCGATTAGGGAGCCTCTGGAGCTGGCGGAGCAAATAACGCGTGCGGACCTGGTAGAAGTGCGGGAGGGTGACGTTGACGCGATATAAATTATGTCGACAAAAGGAAAGGCGCGCTGTGAGGCTAAGAGAGCGACATGGGGTTGGTTAGCACGGACGAGGAGACAGCAGTGAGCATCCCGCCGAAGCAGCAACAGCAAAAGGTCAGAAGGGACACCGTGGTGGAGGTTCCGCCGATGAAGTCGTCGGGGAGGAAATTGTGGAAAGGAGGGAAGCTTAAGTCAGCCACTGCCGATTGGCGGGCGTCCAACGTGTCGACAGGGGTACGAAGCTCGTGCACCCTTCCCTCACGTTGTTCCCACGCAGTTGTGCGGAATGTATCCAGAAAGCGAGCTGCAGGCAGTCCAGGGCGTCAAGGCTGCGAGTGGCGGTTGTGCACTCTAAGATGCTGTAGTCGCTCACGATGAAGCTCGCAGCAGTCCAGCGTCTTGACAGCCCGTAGAGCACATGCCCCTGGCGTTGGCATGCTCTCATTCGCAATCACCCCGAGTCAATGCGACCACACGCTGCATTTTCGTGTGCGCTAAGCTTAGCGAGCGATGCTGGCCGAAGAGCTTTCAGTTCAAGGCTGTTGGCAGGCGATCTGTTTGTTGTCCTCGCAGGTGCTGCCACGTCAAGCGTCAACATGTCGCGGCTAATGCCAACGTCTGGCTTCCGGTGCTCGACGACCAATGAAAGGAGCAAGTTGACAGTACTGACGCGCGAACCCAACTGGACGTCAACAAAGCGTTTCGAAAAAAGCATCGTTGACCTGGATGACGCAGTTCGAGGGAAATCAGGGTGCCTGGCTAGCTGCTAGTGAGCGGGCGCTACGGTGGCGTTCCGTTCAACCCAGGGCTGGCCTGGTACTGTGCCGACTAGAGTGGTGTCTCTGTCACACGAAGTCGGTCTCGGTCATGAGATTATCTACTCCAGGGCGTCACCGAGGGGAGGAGTTCGTACAGAGACATGTATTGTTATGTGCGATACATCTACACCTTCCGCCACATGATCATCCTTCTCAAAAAGGGCGACTTGGTAGAAATCCCTGACGTCTCTCCGTCTGTCTGAGCACCACTCCCTTCACCCTCAACAATGCCGTCCGCGCGAACTTTTGCCTCTATCTCTTCTTGTTCCCCAATCTTCCAAGCCCGTACAAGCCACAAAATACACGCGGCTCCCAAATACATAAAACCCGTGAACAGGATCGCCCCGGTGTAGTTGCCGCCATTGAAAGCAACGATTTCTAACCCAATCGGTTCGGAAAACGTCGTCGGCAGCGCCAATACCAACCACGTAATTGAAAGCGCACTGGACAGGTCGACAATCCCCATGACTTCCGTGGTGATGGGTGCGACGACCGCCCAGTAAGTGCCCGCAACAGCACCACCGATGATGGCGAAGAAAATCAAGACGCCAAAACTCTTGGCGAATATCCATATGAGGAGGCAGAAGATGCCGCATAAGGCGGTCATGGAAGCTGCCATGTTCAGTCGGCCGAGGGAGTCGCTGAAGTAACCGATGGGAGGGCGGCCCATTGCTTGACCGAGGTTCAGCACGGCGCCGATGATGGAGCCCTGAGAGGCTGTCATCCCTACCGTCCTCGCATAGTTTGGTAGAGAGAAGAGCAGTACGACATAGCCCAGCATGGAGAGGAAGCCGAACGCCAGAAGCCCCAGGAACTGCGGTCTCTTGAACAGGCGGTAGTCGAAGGATAGCTGCGTGCTTCCGATTTGCTTGTTGCGATCTCTGACAAGGAGTGAACAGGTGGTATTGACGACGCAAGCAATGATACCCAGTGTGCGGAAAGCCCACGGGAGCCCGATGCTCTTTATCATCGCTTGTGTAGACAAGGAGTACACGAGTCCTCCGAGTCCGGACCCAGCGGCTGCGAATCCGTTCGCAAGACTTCGGCGCGTCGTGAACCACTGCGGCGCTATGACTACGCTGCCAACGAATAGAAAGCCCATTCCCCAGCCGAAGCAGATGCCCTGGGCTAGAAAGAGATGCCAAATCTTCGTGGCAAATGAGGCCGCAATGAAAGATGCAGTCTCGAAGAAAATCCCGATCAGTAGAGTAGTGCGTGTTCCGTACAGACGAGTCGTCAAAGTGGCGACCGGGGAGACCATGAGCGCTTGGGAAATGGAAAGCCCGCCGATGAATGCATACGCGAGGGGTGTGCCGCCGGGAAAGACATTATTCGAGAGATAGTAGGCCAGGAAAACAGCATACGAACTGTTGAGTCCCCATGTGTGCTAATGAAAAGCAATCAGTCCTCGCTCTCGAAAAGATTGGTCGCCCTATCGTCTGGTGCCTGCAGGGAGGAAAGCTTCAGGGATGAACTCACCGCATTAATAGTGGCCACACAGGCAACACAAACCCAACCATATCCTCCGTTCGGTGGGACGTCCTTCTTCACTTCGTCACTCAAGTCCCGCTCTTTCGATTGTCCATTTGCGGCTACCACCTCATCCGTAGGGTTCGCGACATCACCTATACTCGACACGCCATCTGTATTCCTCTGGTCTGCATCCACCTTTTCCAGATCCGAGGTACTGGCCGTCATCGATTCGGGAATAAAACGGTCTTTCACAGTGCTGGTATCGATGACCAGCTTTTGTCGTAGATTGTCAGCGCACACTCTGAAGTCTAGTCGCAGCAGCCATTATACCCAGCGCAAAGATGGGGGGAGAATAAGCCCTCTTCAGTCTATATATGTTTCTCTCCGGCGCGCGCTAAATTCCTCCATCTTCGGAAATAACAAAACTTTCACGCGATAGCCTTGTTGGGGTCCAGCGCTCTCATTGGCCTGCCCAACCTCGCTACCCTTTGCGGCATGACGATGTGGAGCCGCGGATAATGCGGAGATGGTGCGGTCATCGGTCATAAATGGGCGTTTAGTGAGGGTGTGGTTTTCCATCGGGCAACGTTCATGTTATTTTGCTTTGCTTGAAGCGTAACGGGATAGCGTGTATGGTCACTGGTTCCCCAGACGTGCACCTCTGTGCTCGAGTCCAGTACATACGACTGCCGGAATAACGAGGTGAACCGACAGTAGCCTTGAGATAATCTTGAGCCTGATGACGGAGTCTCACACCGCCGTGTCTTCACACTCCGTGTACCGTGTAGGGCGTGTAGATTTTCCCAGTTACAGGCAATGACCGGATAACCGCGGGCGCAAGTAATACAGCGCAGCTCGTCTGTTTGAAAGCATATTCAGCTGGACCTTTCTTGTGCAATAGCCGAGGGCAATTCCGAATCTGGATGTATAATCATAACGGAAACATACCGCTGCCCAGTCTCAATGCAGATATAGCGCTCGTCATTGAATGTTCTACTCCTCTAATACAAGGACAGTTCTAAGGTGCTGTTCAATACACTGTTGTTTGTTATTCCGGTAATCCTATGTGACGCGGTACGTATGTTCGTCACTATTCATGCAAAGCCCCGTCCAACACTTTCACCAACCCCTCAAGATCCTGGAACACCGCCCAGTGCCCTCCCACATCCATATTCCTCGTCCATTTCCCCCTCACCCAACACCTCCCCGTAAACGCTTTTCAAGTCAAAACCAGTCCCATCTAGTCGCTTCTCCCCAACAGTCAGGACGTTAGTCTTCGCAGCCTTACTCGTAGTACTAACGTTGTCGGCACCCGCGTCGTCAACCCCTAACTTCTTCGTCGCCCTGCCAAAAGCCATGCAAGCTTTAGCATAGCCTTCAGCATCCTGGCCCAGCAGTGATATGCGTCTCGCAGCCAGAGCGAGCGGCTTCAGCATCATGAGCGAGTCTGCCTCTGTGGAACTAGCAGCAGAGTCGACGATCGCGGAGATCCCGTGTGTTCTTACTGTTTCCGCTCTCTCGTGCAGCCGCTTTCCAAGTGCCTCCGGCAGGGGAGACGGCGGCGGAGATAACAAGATAAGCTTAGAGATCTTGCCTGGATGTGAAAGAACGAACTGAAGTGCTATAAGGCAACCCATCGAGTCGGCGATGAGAGTTGCGTTGGCGGGCATCTCGGCGTGTTCGAAGATGCCGTTCAGATCTGAAGCTAAAGATCGGACGCTCAATCTGCTGAGTGGATGCGTACGTGACAGGCCGTGCCCTTCGAAATCGTAGAGGTGTATCCTGTACTTCTTTCCGAGATTCATGGCGCTGATCAAAGGCGTGAAATACTCGCTGGTTGCGCCGAGGCCATGAACAAAAAGGATGGGAGGGCCATCCTCTTTACCGAGTACCCTGTAGTACGTCGCTTTTCCGTTTATCATAATTAAGCGTTCATGTGGAAATCTCGTAGCATTCGCAATGAAGAAGGAAGACGTAGCGGTCTGGCAGCGTTCCAGTGTACGGTTGGGTGTGGAAAGAGAAGCCACACGATTCGTAAGAGTTCCTAAACCAGTGACAGACACGTTGATTTCATCTCCGGGCTGGAGATAGACGGGCGGCTTTTGTCCAAATCCGACTCCAGCGGGCTAGACGAACAGTGAGCAAGATTCAAGTTCTACCAGAAGTGGGATGACACTTACCGTCCCAGTGGCAAGCACATCTCCCGGAAACAGTGTCTGACCCTCCGACATTGTCTTGATCAGGATTGGGATAGGAAAGATTAGGTCTTTCGTGGTAGCGTCTTGACGCAGCTCGCCATTAACACGTGTCTGGACCCGTAGATCTTTTTCCAATCTCGAAACCGGCACAGCGATCGGTCCCTATAAGAAACAGTCAATATCCTGCGTAGTGACAGACGATGATATGCCGCACAACATACCATCGGACAGAAGGTATCCGGACTCTTCCCTATGTAGAACTGTTTGTGGTCCCGTTGACGCTCTCTAGCCGTCACATCATTAATGATCGTATATCCCCAAACATGATCCAACGCATCCTTCTCATCGATGCGGAACCCTGCTTTCCCAATGATAACCCCAATCTCGCCCTCGTAGTCTACTGTCTGCGTGAACTCAGGGTGCAGCAGGATCTCTTCGCCATGACCGATGATGGATGTGTATCTTTTAGTGAAGATGACGGGATGCGACGGCTGGTCCACCTTGTCGCTGCTGTCAAAACCACTGGAGTTAAATTCCACGGCATGTTCGGCGTAATTCTTCCCTACACAGAGGACATCGCGACCGGTCAAGGGAGCCAATATCTTGACTGAAGAGGCAGGACGCGGCTCGCCTGACTTGACGACATGGGAACCTGATTTATCGGTGTGAATTGTTTGAGCTTCGATGACTTGGTATAGGTTTGAGACGGGTGTGCCTGATAAGAAGCTCAAAGGTTGTATTGTATCTTTACCGAGATCGTAGTGACCAATGCGAGGCTTATCTGTCGCAGGGTCCTGGTACGAGACATAATTGGCGAAGGGGTCCTCTGCAAGTATGGAGGGTTGATGCTTCGTATTTCCTGAGGCAGTGGGAGCCATCCTTGCGGTTGTGAGCGGCGCGCTGCTGAGTATCAAATTCTCGCCCTTGGCTACCCTCGCGAAATAGTGCAGTGTAGATTTGTAGAGATCAATTATACAGGCGGGGTGATCGGAATTGTCTCGGAGTGGTGGGATGTTATTGCGTTATCGATAGTGGGGTACACTGCAATGGAAAGCGCAACGACCAGCAAGGTAGTCTACCTGGACTCGTAACATATGAACTGGGGCATTGAGCTGGCGCCGTAACACGAAGCTCAGCAGTTGGTGGATATTGGGGATGATCAACACTGCAGTCATGGCGAGAACTGGATATATTTTCACAGGCCCGAGGAAGCCACTACAAAGGAAAAGGGACTAAAGAGTGACCCAGTATCAAAACACAGGAACACAAACGCAAGTCCGGCCAATTTGAAGCCAATTGGTATCACTGATATCGCCCCCTCATAAAAGTCACCCCCAACTTTCTATCACGAGCTCGACTCACATTGCTCCATGAACCTGTATATGCCCTGAATGCCTTGATACTCCAGTGGCGAGTGCTGATCGAATTCATCAACGTCGCTGGTATGAAGGCTCTCGTAGCCCTCTTCGTCTGATATCACCCAAGGATTGTCCTGAAGCGCATCTCCCAAGTCCAGACCATCATCGGAATGTGTGGAGTAAAGGTCGGAATCAGAGCTCAATACGGACGAGACCATCATCGGCCGCCAATCGATCGGATATTGGCGTTCGGCTACATCTTTCTCGTAGAAGGAGCACTCAGAAGGTGTGCGACTCGACGCGAACGGGAAGAGGAGTGCAATATCAGTCCCGACGAAGGAGTCGAAGTCGTCATCTTGTGATACCACTCCACGCTGAACACCGAATTCGTCGCAGATCTTCTCCACAGTACCTGCGTCACAGCCAGGGAAGTGAACCCTAAGTGTAGAATGCTCGTATGTTATAGGAAGATCACCCAAGCTTGACAGGCGCTGGAGGTCTTTAAGTGTGCCTGCGAGTTCCTTGACTGCGCGAGAAAAGTCGACAGAGAGGATATCCAAAAAACCATCCTTGTTGAGCGAGTCCTTCTCTTGTGCGAAAGAAGAGGAAAAGCCCTTGACGGCGGTGAGGGGACTGAGTGCGGTGACGGTGGGGTTAATGTTAAAGTTGACACAGGAGCCTGGCGTAGCCTTCGGGGCCTTGTTTAGTGTACGGTTCACCTTATCCTGGAGTGCCGAGACAGACTTGAAGCGCTTCTCTCCCGTGCGTGGATCGACACCATCGAATTGCGCCTTCTGGCCACCAAGCATGAAAGCTCGAACAGCCTGTGACACGTTGGTGATGACTTGAGCCGGTGCTGCAGGCCCATGCGAGAAGTATCGAGCACCTCCAGCGCGTCCCGAACCCCAACCGTAGCCGCCGGCTGTACGGCCGAGTGTACCACCGGTGAGGTTAGGCCTCAGTGTCGATGCGAAGGGTGCTCGACCAGACTGTCTAATGACTGCATCGCCGATCCGTGATTTAGGGAACGATGCTCGGTCGAATTTGGGTCCAGCAGGTCGCGCGGCGGAGGTGAAGCGGCGGACGGTTGCTGAGATAGTGCTGTGAGTCGAGTACCAGCGACCCTTGCTCTGCTTCAAGAGAGCAACGCGGTGGATTGGGTGTTTCGGAGCAACTCTCGCGAGAATAGGCTGAAGTTCAGCCTGAGAAGGTCGAACAGATGCCGGAAGTTGGTCTTGGACGAGTTTCGCTGTATGCTTCCAGGCGGCCCTGGTGATGTCAGAGTTATTGGTGTACACTTCGGATGAGATTGTACTCACTTGAACACTTTCGCGTTCTTGGCCACCAGCTGATGTATTCGCGCCAATGCAGGCGCCATATTGGTTGTCCGTGACCAGTATGAAGAAGGAATGTAGGTGTGACGAAGAGTTGTGAGGGGACGATAGCCATTATCGCCACCCGCATGTACACCGGTTAAATCCGCGTGGCGCAGCATGATCGGCGTATCGGAGTCCTGGTAGTTCCCCACCACATGATTTGCATGCACGTGCTCATTATCCCGACTTCTGTACCCGCTACAAGCAAATTGTGTACTTCAAGTCCCTTTTACCAATGGAATCTCTAGTCGTAGTTATCACTCAACGTCTATGGAACGAGAGTTATTCGTCCCGCTCCGTCACGCTCCACATCTATACCTTCTCACTCGCGTCAAGATGCCCACATGCGTATCCGCTACACTCTTTCATCGAAATAGGTACGTTACAACCAACACTCTTTTTCATTTTCATATGCTACAATCAATACCATGAACCGACCTGAGCAATGCACTGAGCGAACAGCTTTTATTTACCCGGTGTTTTATACCACCGGTCGGGCTCCTTGTTCCCTCGCACCTACAAAGCAGAAGGGGAGACTTCCTCGAAACATCGTAGAAATAAACCATAGAGATGGCGCTATGCTTATTTTGTGTGTGGAAAAGGAGAAGGGAGAAGGACGCCTGCCACAATGCCGTCCCATGTAACCCCGCTACATTGAAGAAAAGACAACATTCAATTGCCGAGGTTGGGGAATTCCAAAAGACAAGGATAAGGTATCTCAGATATCTCGTCTGAAGACACAGCCCAGAGAAACATGGTCCTCCATGTGCTGATCTTCTCGGGCTGAAATGAAGGCAAAACATCGCAAACCCATGCTCGTGTATTTAACGCCGAATCGCAAACTTTTATCGTAGAGAAAGCGAAGAAATGCCCAGTTGTTCGGTGCAAGGGGAATTAGAAGCAACATGGTTCCAGTTGTAAAGGCGCCATGGATTGGAATCGTTGAAAATCGAAGAGCTGATCGAAGACTGGGTGCCCACATCGAAGCAAAAGACCAAAATCTATACAACCAGAAAATAGGAGTTGAGCACCGCCGGCCTTTGTTTTCCTGGCCTGGGGTAACGCAGAGCACTCAATTCCTGCCCTCATGTTGTACACTCGGAAAAGACGATCATCGCAGTGAGGCTTTTTGCTCGTCATCCAGAAATTCATTAATACGTATCCGGTTCCGAGCGTTCATTTTGTCATTATGTAGAGCCGTTTGTAGCTGTTGGAAAGCTGGACGACTAATTCGATTTTCCGACAGTATCAAGTCCACGAAGTCGTGCGCAACAACGTCACGAACGTCCTGACATGACAGTAAAGAAGCTCCGTAGAACTTGATCAGGTTGGAAACGCCGACTTCCGACAACCTGTTGCGCGAATCTTCCAAAGCAAAAAGGCGAAACTCGTCGTACATTCGGGCGTTGAAATTACGGACGAGGAAATGAGACCAAAACTGGTATAGCACGCTCATATCATACGAGCAGCCACCGGGAGCGGTTAGTTGACGCTGATGGAGCGCTTTCGATCGAAGGACAGCATAAGATTCGTGAAAACAACCCGGGGGAGCAACATCGACAGGTGCATCGTTGTCTTTCACCCAGTACTGAGAACAAGTCATCGATGAGGTTGATGTAAAAGGGCTCGGAGTTCTCCGAAACAGATCTTGAGCTTCGCTATCAACCCTGTCATATATCAGCACGCATTCTCGCGTTCCACATTCATTGGCAAGTGCTTACTCCGAGAAGGCACCAACGCCATTCGGCTTGGGAATGGCGCGGCGATCGACTCGCTCCTCAGACTCGTCCGCCACGTGGTTCCTACTGTGTCATGTATTAGAAAATGAACAGCTGTTTGAAGGAGGCAAAACTGGCTTCTGGAAATGGTCTTGCTTTCGGACAATGACTGTCAAAGACTCGACCTGCTCATCAGAAAATGAATCGGGTTCGCCACTCACAGCCTTTGTCGACTCGTCGATGGGGTGACCATTCGGAATGGCATTGCCGTTGCCGTTTTCAGTATTGACGCCGTTGGGTACGCTCTCGTTCAAGGTCGCAGATACATGTTGCTGAGCCCCAGGATGGAACCCATTCGCTGTGGGCATGGGTCCATCCGCAGCGTATACACCTGGGGCTGATGGCGACATTGTGTGCATGTCAGGATACCTCGGGTTGCCATTGGGGTCGAACCCATTTGGATGAGGAATTGGTGGATTGTAAAGCTCCTCTGGACCCTCGTTCTGCGCCGAAGAGTCTCGCTCCTCAACTGGCAAGACCCACTGCTGCCAGTTATCCCGCGCACGTAGCCTGTCCTTGCCGTCATGTCCAACGCGGAATTCAATCGCACGCGATTGATAGCATACAAGCTTGATCAGCTCCAGGTCAGTAGTTAGATGCTTTATCCGGTTGAAATCGGAGATGAAGCTTAGGAAAACGAAACCTTTGGAATCCATGTGCTTTCGTAGGAACATGTCCTTGCATAGGTTATCCAACGAGAAGTAATACTCGCTGACCAAATTAGTGGGTGAACACATATGATTAGAAACAAACTTACAGCTGGGTAGTAACCATGGAAAACAGCGCAAAGTGGTCCATTCCAATTTGACCAAACGGTGCAACGTTCATGGGTTGCACCATGGGGTAGTCGTACCCGTTTCCGCCCATATATGCGTTGATAGGAGGCATCTGTTGAGGACCACCAAATTGCCCAGGCCCACGATACATATTCTCATTCGTAACAGACTGCGAACGCGGGCCAGCCCTGTACCTCGATTGCGGGAAGTATGGGCTCTGTTCCGGGTTGAAGGCGGTAGGAGACATAGGTCCGGGATATGTGGAAGATGACTTCATGTGACCGTTTGCGAACTGATGGCCATTCGAGAAATTGCCTCCACGACCGCCGCCGCGACCGCCGCGGCGTTCTCGGCCGTTAAAAGCACCGTATCGGTCACTAGAACCCCGCTTCGACTGGTGAGGTAGCTGGCCTTCGGCAAAAGTTCGACGCTCTACATCCTCTGGCCCGTCTGTCTGGGTCGACGCAGAGGTATGGTCGTTGAGTACGCCGTTCTCCTTGGTGGCAGCGGCTGGATCGGTCTCCTTTCTCCTGTCCGGGCCCGGCCACTCCGTTCTCCTGCCCTTATTGGGTCGGTTAGAGGGGTACTGCCGAGGGAAAGTGTTGTGCTGACTGGGTCCAGAAATGTTCTGTGACTCAGTCGGCACACCATTCTCCTTGGATTGAGATTCAACATCGGTTTGCGTAGACTTCGGCTTCTCTCCATTAAACTGGGCAGATTTGTCCTTGGTAGCAAACGAGCTGGCGCTAGCAGTGCGCTTGGTTTTCGGAGAGGTCTCGCGGACGGGCACATCAGGTCGACCACGCCTTGGTTGTTCACCGTTGGCTGTGGCGGTTGGTGTGGAAGCGTCCTTTTCAGGGCCGCTTGTGCTGAAACCAGCACGACCGCCATTCTGTGCTCCACCTCGCGCTGCACTTCGTCCGCCCCTGCGAGCTCCGCTGCTGGGCAGGGGGGTATTGAAGTTGACACTTGGGACGAACGGGACTTTCACCCACTGTCCCTTGCTGCTAGCCTTGGCTCCGGTCGTCTCTTTGCGCTCTTTGTCCGATTTCTCAGTCTTCTCCTGCGCTTTCTTCCGGTCCTCGTCGATCGCGGCATCCATAGTCGGCCAGGACTCCTGATCACGATCGAGTGGTATCGAAACCGCATTGGAAGCTTCTCTCGCATCTCGCTCTTGGGGTCGAGCCCGCGTGTTCTTCCTAGACTTGTCCGAATCTGTCTCGGACTTTGATGACTGTCGAAGAGTATTGGCCTTCTCCTCTTGGACTCTGCTTTTCGGATCAACGTTCTCTGCGTCCTTAGGCTGCTTGACTGGGGAGGTTCCATTTGCAACACCGTTAGAGAGCGGTGCCGCCGCAGTTGGCTTGACCGGCTTTCTTAATTCAGCTCGTTGCTGCCAGATGTTGACAGCCGGTAGAGGGGCTTCCTGAAGAGGCTTCGCGGGTGCCTGCTCTCGCTTTTTGCCTTTGCCTTTCTGAGACGATTTATCGCTTGGCTCGGTCGACTTATCAACTGAGGTAGACGCCTGCGACTTGTTCTCCCACGTTGAATCCGAGGATGTATTCGGTATCGATGAGACATCGTCGTCCTTGGTGACAGTTGAAGCAGTCGATGCTCCAATCTCGGGAGATGATAGTGCGGCCGCCGTCAATTCACTGGGCGTTGCGGCAGACTTCGTGCTCTGTGTACGCGACTCGCCCGCGCCTGGGATCTTTTCGGAGTGGGAATCGTGGCCCTCGGCATCTTCTGCCCAGCTCATCACAGCTGCGGTAGACGTGCTCACTGACTGTGAGTCTTTGGCAGGTGTCGCAGCACCTGACGAGGAGGTTTTGCTAGCAGACGAACCTGGTGCGGCCACCAGGCCTTTTGCGGCTTGCGCATAAGAGAAGGGCACAGAGGCAGCATCGCTGCCTGTGCGAGAATTTGCTGTAGTTGCCATGGTGTTCTTATTTAGAACTATGGTCGTCCTGAGGATCACTCAAAAATGTGTTCGCGCTCGTCGTCCCTGGCGGGAGCACAGCAAGGAACGGCCAGTACAGGTACGGGAGCCTTTATGTCCGGAGAGGTTCAATGCTCGACCTCTCCGTACGTCCTCACTCGATGTTTCACCAAGGCCTTCTGCTCGGTGGTCAACAGGTGGACAAAGTATGCGGCGATGCTGCGCAATCGACGTGTCGTGGTGCGGCGAGGTTTCCCGGTCGCAAGTTCTACGTTCGAGACGTCTGAAAGTGGGCAGGGTATTCAGGCTATGCGAGATGCAGCTGCAGGAAGCTATTCGACAGTCAGCAGGTCAAGTACAAAGTAGAGTCAGTGTGCTCGCAACTAGCGGGGCTCCACGAGGGTGCTCAACAAGTGGTCACAGATGGCGTAGGGCGCGCACGATATGCTCCACGTTCAGAGACCAGCAGCAGTGTGGCAAGTACAGCGGTGAGTTGGTGATGAACAGGTGGTGCAGGTGTTTGCAAAGCCAGTGCCGCAGTGACGGTTGGGCAGCGCGGGGGTTCGAGGTGGTGTGGTGGGCGAGGCAGCAAGCGTGCGCCAGCGTCGGCGGCGATGATGTGGGCGGAACTGACCTGGAGGGGTGCTGGCAGGGCTGTGGAGCTCCAGCTGACGGCGGGCAGGCAGCAGGCGAGTGCGTGTCGCTGCAGAGGGCTGGGCTGGCTGCTGCTAAGGAATATAAAACGAGCCCGTGTGCGGGTACAGGCGCAGGCACGAGGTGAGGACGCAGCAATTGGGCTGGTCCAACGGGCGGGCAGACAGGCAACGGGAGAAGACGACGACGAAGGGAACGACTCGAGCGGGCGCAGGGACAGGCGTCGTCGAGGGTCGCCGTGTATTTTGGACGTACTGTGTGGGCGGAGAATAACAAGTGCACACGATGAGAGAGGGGAGCGAGAAATTTCTGAAGTGCCTCTAGACACCCGAGCAATGACCGTCGCCGCAGTCGGCAGCTGGTCCCACCAGGCCGAGGGAGCCGCTGGGTACTCGCAAAATAAAAAGCTCTACCGGTAACCCTGCGTGCTAAAGCGATAGTGCTCTGTGCCTGGCGTCCGTTGTTCCGTGGCGGCACATGCTCATCAAATACCTCCGCCCGCAGCAACCGCAGGCCATGGCTGCCCGCCCTCTCGTGGTCCATGTCAGTCTCAATCTACAGCGTACAGCTTCTCACTAGGCCGTCTTACCAGTACGTGTGCCGACGCCCAACACGATCATGTATGCAGGTGTGAAATGCATCAGCGGCTGCGTCAATTGAGCGACCCGGGCCTCTCCCGCGCCCCCCTGCTCATACACTATGGTGGAATCCGTCCACGTCCGGCCGCAGCCGATCTCTGGGCTGCATATCCGTCAATCGTTATTGACTGAAGGCCTCACTGCGTCGCGAGCTTGCGAGGCCTCCCCCTCCTCGGCATGCTGCTAGAGTGCTGCACGTTCACGCATCTGGTACCAGCACGAGCTCGGCCAATACAGCAATTTCCAATAGTCCTGTCGCTCCGTGCCATGCCATTCCGCCCATCAGCCATCTGGGAGGCATCAGCTGCTGTCGGTGAATGGCCTCTCCGCCTAGTGTTGGCTGACCGTTGACGTGCGTCTGCTCCGTGTTCCTGAACATGCATCCACAGCAAACAGCGACCCTGGACCGTACCCACGCCCGCTGCACGCTGGCCTTTCGACGAAGCTTGATTACAGGCCAGCTCCAGCGGATCTGCATCGCTAGGGTCCACCGTTAAACGTGGGCAGTCTCGACCTTCAGGGCCGTTAACAGCCTCATTATGCATGCGCTATGACACTCCCGCGGAACTACATAAGTTCTGAATGTTTGCCTCAAGCATGCACAGCACAGAGACTTGCCATCTGGCTTGCACAGTCGATTCTTTCGCTGCCCTGATCACCTGGGGGATCCTTTGGAATGCATCATGTTGTGGTGGTTCGACACTCGGTTGATCCTTCCTAGTTGGCACTGATCCTTCCTGTTTGGAATGGCCGTTTTTATAATGGGCAAGAACGACCTCGAGCAGCTTTATCGACAGATACACCGGATACTAGGCATATCAACTTGTGCCGTCCGGGTGGATTTGGTCCTATTATAGAAGCCCAAGGCCGCTTTCATTCTACCATGTCATATATCATCTGCTACCCAGTAGCTTGGAACCCATCTTCACGGTACAGTTCATCCACTTCGCAACTGTCGAACGCCGATGGGTTTGATGCTCAAGCGATTCAAGAACTCGCCCGCTGAACCACCAACTCTCTGGTAGCCCTCAGCTGGCGGAAGTACACGATATGTCTGTTTGTACACCCAGCCTCCTTCTTTTCTGGTACAAGATCCTCTCGTCCATACTCTCGCCCCTACTCTCACACACACTTGAACACACAGTAGGTAACGGCGATGCAACACCGACTCCGACAACATGTACGGACTTTGAAACGTCGCTCGGAACCGGATGACTGCGTATCCGGCAATACAGCGTACAAGACGCACGTTGTCTCGTTCTGGCCTGCCAACGGTCGCAACCAGAAACAGATCCCACGCGAACCGGTGGATATGAATTCCCTCATCGAGCCGCGTATCGTCCCTGCACCTCGTCTGCACATGTGTCGTCCACGACAAATACGATAAATACGGAAACCGTTCGCTTTTCCGGCAACGACGGTCATCCTGGCTAAATACAATTTGCAGCCCTGTTATCTTCTCGAAACATAAAGAGGCTCGTCGAAGATTCCACCACTGAGGGTCTCCCGGGGATATGGTCATTTGTCCTACAGGATTGTGAACACCCCGCCTAGGTATTTTCCAAATCGGTCGCAGAGATCGCCTGATGGAGCACTTCACTCATTTATACAAAGAGGAAATTGAGATCCTATCATCTGCACCCCATCACAAGCCTACCCCGCTTGCAATGATAACGGCACTTCCCCAGCCCTTGACGTGCTGCATCTGCAAGCGTCTCAAAATAGCGCTTGCGTGGCGTTTGTATAGTGCAGCGGATCTGGGGTACCGATCTATATTGCAGCATCATACCGCTGCAGCAGGGGTCGGATAGAGTGGTGTGGAAGGCATATCGCTGCTGCATGGAGAGTTTATCCAGGGACCTAATACAGGGTTTCCAGCGGGCTAGGTCGTGGTGTACGAAGGGACTTGAGGTTGTTTTGAGGCACGAGACGTCATCTATGGCGGAGCTGCTCCGACCTTGGAGATGCTGGATGCCGACAACGCAGGGAGTTACGTGTTTGTACGACAGAAGTTCAGCCGTGTTTGACTGAGGAATGTTTCGTAGCAAGGGCAGGAGAGTAGTCTGGACGATGATAGATCAAGTTGGCACCCGCTTCCGCGGGCATCACGCATCTTTGGGATGGGAAAGAGCGGGGATTTGGATCGACTCTATGTATGCCAGCCGTTGCATGGAGGCGCCTAGAGATTCAATAGAGCAGTGTGTGAACGCAGTCATTGTCATTTGATATCGCTCTGTGTTACTTTTGCATAGGTAAGGACGCGCATTTGTAGTCATTTGGTATTTGAGCCGTGTCTATGCACGCACCGCATGGTCCATGAATCCGTATATCGTAACAGATCCATAGCCTTAACAATATTTCTATGTTGCTCACATGCTCAAGTACACTCACCCACAGATGTGCTGCACCGGTACACCCTGCCGGGCCTCCATGGTAGATGTAAGGACACATGAAGCCCACTATAGTTCAATACCATACCTCCTCAACGTGTTCTTCGCCGTCGTAACCTTCATCCCAATCCTGCCGAGCACTTAGTATGACCGCGGTTCTCCACGGGAGCTGAACTTACCTAGCATCCAAATCGTAGCTTTCCCACCCACTGACCTCGAGCAGATACTTCTTACACTCCTCCAACATCTCCCTATGCTCTTCCGGCCGTCCATCCTTATCCGCCTCCCGCCAAATATTAGCAGCCATCTCGTACCTCGCGCACGGCGCGGTCCACGAATCTTTATTATGTCCCTTGAAGAGCGCCCTGTCATGCGAAATGATCTCCTTCAGTAGCGTCTCTTTTGCTCCGTCCGTCTCGCCTTTACTCCTCAAACACGCTGCGCGAAGCAGAGCCAGCATGGCTTTTTCGTCGAGCGATTCCTTGGCCCAGTGCGGATTCTCTGCGCTTTCGCTCCAGGCAAGACTCGCTAGTGAGGTGTCGATATGGCAATTCCGCATGCGTTTGTAGCCATTCCAGAAGTAAATGATCTCCTCGAGGGGCGAGACGCCGATGGCGTCGATGAGATCGCACTTCCACTCTTTGGCGCGCTCTTCCCACTTTGCGATTTTGCGGTTGACGAATACGTCGAAGGGGAGTTGGCGGGCCATGAAACGCTTTTTCCCAGTGTTGGCGGCTACGCGCTGGAAGTGCTCGACGGCTTTGGCGGCATGGACTTTCGCGGAATCGGGATGGGATGTCTTGTCGCGGCGGTAGAGCTCGACGTGGCAGGCACCGCAGATGTAGTAGTATAGTCCGTGGCTCCAATTGTTCAGGGCAATGCATTTGAGGAACGCGGCAGAGGTAGCTTCGTAGTCATGCATGTACATGGTATGTAGCGCTCGCTCGAACCAACCCAATGCTTCCAGCTGTTGAAGCTTAGATGACTTGGTATTGGCGGCGAACTCGACGGACTTTTCGAGCTCCTTCTCTGTTGCAAGCATACGTGCCTCTTCCACTAACCAGAGATGACTCTCAGGATATCGTTTCCGCATCTCGGTCAGAAGTGCCTTACACCGTGCTCGTGGGTACGAGCCCTCTCCTGTCTGTGGTATGACATCGCAGAAGCCTACGATGCCTTGGTAGTACATGAATAGTACGAGCCCAGCCATGGCACCGTGGATGTTGTGGAACTTGGTCGCCTGCCATAGCATCTGGATGCCACGTTCCCGGTCGCCTTTGAATCCGACGATTTTCAGTAAGGTTGAGAATGCTGGTGGAACCATCGAAATCATTAAGAGAAGAATACCGAAACAGAAGTTCGAGCCAGAGATGATGAAGAGATCAACGGGGTGGTTTCCAAAGAGCGAAACGTCCTCGTTTGCTTTCACGGTTTCCGCTAACGTCAGCTGTTCGAATTCTTCGACTGCATCCGGGACAGACGTATCCGGTTTCTCGTCCGTAGGGGGCAGGTTTCTTGCCGAGCTTGCGTTGAGGTCTAGCTCTTTCTGAGAAATGTCAAGCTCTACCGTCTGTCCCTTTTCGACCGGCACATTGAGATGACCCATATATTCCATTGGAGTCGGCACATTGTCATGTTCTTCGTCGGCATCGACGAAATCGAAATCAGCATCATCGTCATCTTGATTTGTTTTCTCCTTTTCCTTCTCCGCCGAGGCTAGAGGTGGCGCTGGCGCTGGTACTGGTTTCGTGTTCTCCTTATCCTTCGCCCTGTCCATGCTTGTACGCGACGCATCAGCAGTACTCTTCTCCGGCGCGAGGGATTGCGAGACAAGTGGACTTTCACGCCTTGCTGAAGCCCTAGAAGCAGGTCTCGACGATCCAGCCGAGCCTGTTGATCCCAAGCTACTTGTACTCCTCTCCTTTAAGAACTTCTTCTCCGCATCCAAAACACCCTCCAAAGTGAGATATGCTTTCCTCAGCTTGTAGAAGCTCTTGATAGCTTCTGTCAAACTCTCGTTCAGCACCCCGACGATTGCGCTCATCAGCTGTGCCTCAGCCAGACAGACTGCGTATTCGGTTCCAGCAGGGTAGATCGGCGACTGGTAAGCGCTGGGGTTGCGGTGAGCTCGGCGCTGGTTCTCGTAGGCGGTGGTTTCGGCATTGGACAGTTGTTCGGAAGCTGTGTTCTGTATGTCAGCCCTGTGCAAGTGGGCTTACGTAGTAGAGGCAGACCTTCTCGTATGATCTCCTGCTCGAAGCCTAGAGTAGCTCTCATAAACGTCACGACGCCTTTTCCGAGCTACGCCTGTGTAAGTTTCTATTTGCTGCTGTGTTTCCTCGGAGCAGCTCGGAAGCGTGGTGTACCTGGTGGAAGGGCGAGCTCCCTTTGCTGAGATGTGCTTCCGCGGCGTCGACATCGTCATTCATGATATAAGTAACAGCTATGGTCGCATCATGTTAATCTTAAGACACTATCTTGGGCGCAATGCCGTTTGTGATCGTACCAGACATTGCATCCTCGACTGCGGTGGTTAGCCGGCCTGCACGCGACACTCTGCCCAGCACGACTCACTCTGCGTAAGCTCATCTAGAGCGTTTAGGCTCCTGGTTTGCCCATGGGTTATTTTGTGCTTCGCACCGCCCAGCCATCCGCCGACTTTCAGCATCTTGCTCAGTTTCGCAGTCACTGTCCGGTCCACGGGGCACAGCGAGGGGCACAACAAGGAGAAGGAGTGAGGTTTCGGTGGGAGAACAGCATTAGGATCCGAATAAAGCTAATAGCTACAGAGCTTAGTGGGCCATTTTGCTTACATACTACATTCACATATACCGGACCTTCGTTGGCATCCTCCGAAACATTTATGCGTACGTCACAGCGTCGTGTAGAGCACGGACTGAATCCGCAGGAGCGTCGGGCGATCAATAGACCCGAATACGAATACGATAGCCTTCAATGAGAGCTCTCGCTAGCTAGATTCGCATGAAGACCAGAAATTCGTGTTATGACCAGGTCTCCAAGCTATAGCATGAACTAGCAACTCTAAGAAATGACTTGAACCTGGTGCTGCAGTGTGACTTTCTGAGCCAGAAGGGCTAGCTGAGACCCTGAACAGCACGTGACCCTGCCAAGCTATCAATCGACGCCCGCGTTGATCGCCGCCGCCATTAGAGCCGCATCGCATCAACACCAAGCTTACGAATTCCGCACACCAAGACCCGAAACACCCTCTTCACATCATCACAATGTCCGGAGCTGCACAAGGATCCGCCGCAACCACAAAGGCTGTCGTCGACGACAAATCGAAGAACGGCGAGCCCGCCGTCGAGAAGAAGCCCGCCGCACAGCTAGAAGAGGACGACGAGTTCGAGGACTTTCCCGCTGAAGGTACACAAGCCCTGGCAAACCAGAGTTAGAAAGGCTTTAAGGGTCTGGGAGCATTATGCTGACGGATAGCAGACTGGACGGAGGAGGACACACAAATCCCCGGAGGCAACACACATCTCTGGGAGGAGAGCTGGGACGATGATGATACGAGCGATGAATTCGCGGTGCAGTTGAGGTGAGTGGGACTGAGGCTATTTTTGTTGCAGTTGGGCTAATAGATGGGATGTAGGGAAGAGCTCAAGAAGCTAGGGCAGACGAAGTGAGGGACGGTACGAGCGCGAATACCACCGCATGCAGGCAGCTTCGAGGCTTGGGACGTATGATTGAACACGAATGAATGAGATGGAGGGGACGAATGATAAAATAGAAGGGAGCCCAGTTCAAAGCCCCCATATCATTATGGACATCAGACTATGTCAAAAGTACTAGTCGATTGTATCGAGCTTGAGAAGAGCCAAAATCATACATCATAACCTCGAAGAACCCCTTCCAATCTATTTTGAGCCTATCCACTCTCATAGCAAGCATGATCTACTTACTTTGATGACAGCGCCGACACACCAGGCAGGTCCTTGCCCTCGAGGAGCTCGAGCGACGCACCACCGCCAGTCGATACGTGCGACAGCTTATCCTCAACACCGTACTTGGCCGCAACCGTAGCAGTGTCGCCACCGCCAATAATGACAATCTTGCCGTTCTGTGCCGCAGAGACAGCGGCGTCCATGGTAGCCTTTGTGCCGTTGGCGAACTTCTCGAACTCGAAGACGCCTGGGGGACCGTTCCAGAGGATGGTCTTCGCCTCGTCGATGGTCTCCTTGTACAGCTTGATCGACTTCTCGCCGCAGTCCAGACCCATCCAGCCGTCCGGAATGCCGTCCTTGTCCTCAGCATACCCAGTCTGCGCGTCCTTGTCGAACTTATCCGCAGTGATGTAGTCAACAGGCAGCACAATCTTGACGTTGTTCTTCTTCGCCTTCTCGACCAGGTCGCCGACCGTCTTGCTGCCGTTCTCATCGAACAAGCTGTTTCCGATCTTTACGTTCTCGAGCGTCTTCTTGAAGGTGAAGGACATGCCGCCGCAGATGATGAGCGTGTTGACCTTGTCGAGGAGGTTGTCGATGAGCTGGATCTTGTCGGAGACCTTCGCGCCGCCGAGGATGGCGAGGAAGGGTCGCGCGGGGTTCTCAAGCGCTTTGGCGAAGTACTCGAGTTCCTTCTTGACGAGGAAACCGGAGGCCTTTTGGGGGAGGTCGACGCCGACCATGGAGCTGTGGGCGCGGTGGGCAGTGCCGAACGCGTCGTCTGCTCTTGATCAGTCTTCATCCTTGTATCATAGGAATATAAGTATACTTACTGATGTAAATATCCCCCAAAGCGGTCAATCCCTTCCTGAATTCGTCCACCTTCGCCTTATCCGCCTTAACCTTTTTGCCCTCTGCATCCTTGCTGCTGCCCTCCTCCTCGGCATGGAACCGCAGGTTCTCCAAAAGGATCACCTGACCATCGCTTGCGCCGTTAACCGTGTCCTCGACCTGCTTGCCGACGCAGTCCTCGGTGAAGATAACCTTCTTGCCCAATAGCTTCTCGAGCTCGGGAACTACCGGCTTGAGACTGTACTTCGGGTTGGGCTTTCCGTCTGGGCGGCCGAGGTGCGACATGAGGATGACGGCTTTGGCGCCCTGGTCGATGGCATACTTGATGGTGGGGAGGGCACCGACGATGCGCTGGTTATTGGTGATCTTGTCTCCGTCGAGGGGGACATTGAAGTCGACCTATTGAACGTATCAGAGCTCAATTGCTTCGGGATGGGAGGGCAATGGGAACTTGACATACACGGACGAGCACACGTTTGCCCTTGAGGTCGACGTCGGAAATGGAGAGCTTGTTGGAGAGAGACATGGTGGTGTGTCGCGAGTACTGTGGTCGAGGGGAAGGTCAATAAGGGTATCAAGCAAGAGAAAAGCTAGGGTTTTGCAGAGCGGATTTAGCTCAAATATGGTTCCCGCGAGGATTGACGGCAACTAGAAGGCTACTTACGTTAGAAACAGCAAAGCTGGTGCAGACGCAGGGTTTGTTGTTGAATGGGTCTATGTCATACGCGGGGCTAGAGTTGGATGGTGGGGCAAGCTTCAGCCCACCTTCACGCAAAACAACTGCTGTTCGGATCCTCATCGGAATGCAGGGGCAGGCAATTCGCATTGGAGGATTCGCAGTCATTCGTCAGATACACATAGTTATGATTTACAGCAACAACTTTTGTTCTTTTTAGTGAGGGCCATGATATTACTTCTTCCGCTTAATCAATCGATTGCGCCTTTACATCTTGACGACGCCTGGTACAACTTGACGCCCAAGTGAGATCTTCAATACCGCGGCTAGCCTGAGCCTGGGGTGACCTGATCCCTTGAAGCACGCGCAAATCTCTCTGTAGCGTGACGGTCCACTTTTCGATGTCTTGCGCGCGGCCGAGAGTGCAGGCGCGCGGAAGCCACAACAGCCTCTTCAACATCACAAGAGCCTCAAACCTTGATGGTAAGAATACGCCATTATCACCTAACTAAGGATAGACATGAAGGTACTATCGAAGCCTAATCTAATCGATTGCGCTGCCCATTCCCAAACGCCAAACTGCTACCGACCGGGTACAGTATGCAAGTGCGCTCTGCGCGTGAAACTCAAATTGTAACTCCAGTATGCTTGGCTTACGACCGATAATGCCTCGATATATTTACACGACTGGACCTGACTGCAAAGGAAATTCGTAGGCGGTAGTTGAGACTTTAAGCCTCCTCAGCCGAGTTAGTGAGGGAGAGGTAAGCGGTCCAAGCGATACCAATGGTGGAGACAAAGGGCTGGCATCAACTATTAGCATTCGCGAAAGGTGGGCATGGAAAAGATTCAACATACAATTTGGAGCTGAACAGGCATAACGCGGAAGTTGACGATCTGCACTGCGGGCCAGACCAGGTAGTTGGCTTTCAGAGACGGGATATAAATGTCCTGAAACTTGCGAGCGACGGCACGCTTACCACCGCCCTCTGCAACAGTCATAAAGGTGAAGAAACAGGCCAGACCTAGTGGAATTGTTAGCCGGGATCTCCGGTACGGGACCAAAGGTTCGACATACCGACTGGAGCGAACATCAGCTGGTCTAGAGCCATGCGCTTCAATGCGGGAACCATGGCAGAGGTCTTGGTGATGGGAAACGTCCTCGTGAGGAACCCGAACCACTTGTGTTGTATAGGTGCCATTAAAAAACCATATGACATGAATCGTGTCAGACGCTCAAAGTCAAATGGCGGAGGTAGCAACTTCGAGTCGGGGATGAGGTCGTGGTCTGATAAAGGGTTCCGCCTGTCCAATTCATGAATCTCGATCGCTAGGAAATCATCTTTGTCGCCCTTGCGCACTGCACGCTGCCGCACCGCGGTCAACGTCTGTGCTACTGTGTCCGCTATGCCTCCCAACACCTGCAGATATCAGCGACCATCCATATGTCCACAAGTTGTAGCGACGAAGGAAAAGCTAATTTAGCTCGAGAAAGCGAAAGAAGCAAAGTAGCGAATGTGTGCTGTTCCGTGAAGTAGGGGAAGGACGTACGGCGTTGGTGATCATAGTAGTAAGGACTGGTACATCCGTTAGTCAGAGTGCTTCAGTTGACGGGTGTATTATCGTACCTGGTCGCTGTGCATAGTAGGAATTAAATTTCCTCGTCAAGAGAGAAACGGCGGCCATCTGGAGGAGGAATACGGCGGCGTGAAGGAGTGGCTGCACGAGGGTCAGTTTCTGCGCACACGGGCGGCGGTTCGTGCGACTCACAATCTTGCCGTAGATCCAGCGCGAGTTTAGGTGGTATAGAAAGCGACGTCGAGTGCCTTCAATCATGATGGCTGCTGTACTGGGCTGGTCGGCGCAAGAGCCCCAGTGCGAATATCTGATGACGTTCGATTTATGATTTATGCGGGCCCGTGCTTATCTCGGCACAGTTATCCTATATCGCGATCTGTACTTCGTGAATGACACTCTCCTGGTTTGCGCAACGACGGGCGATGTGGAAGGCGGTTCAGCGGAGATGTGTGGTGTTAAAACAGGCGGCCTGGCGCATGGGGAAGATGTGTCAGTAGTTTCGGAGTCGTCTTTGATGCAAGGTTGCCCGCTGAGTGGCGGAGTCCAATCACGCGGAGAATAGCGACGTTCCCGATGACCCAGGGATGAGAACCACCGACCGCCATTCCGCTGCACACACGGGCACCTTGCAGCATCGGCGGGGCACCTCTACGGCTCGGACAATTCAGAAGCTAGATCAAAAGCTATCTTTAGTCGGTAATTGCACTCTCTTGGACCGAGTTTCTATTGGCCTCCGAAATGGAGATGCTCCATCAACGCCTGATGCACAATGAAATTGGACTCTGTATAGAAGTTTCCTAGGTCAACTCAGAGGGTCATACAATAGTGAGATTCTCATGGATGCTGGCCCACTGCGATTTTAAACTAATATAATAGGTACACCGTCAACTCTGCTCATACCTCGAACCCACGCTCTAGATGATGCCGTGGAACGTCCCTTGAACGCAGATGACTTTTCCACCCACTGCCTGCTTCTTGCTACTTCGTGATGGCTTGCTCGCAGTTCCAACCCATAACTTGGTGTAACCAATTATCCACGGATTGTGCGCTCTCTCGTCGATCGCGATCGATGTGATATTGGATCTGGACGTGATCGGAAGCTTGCGTTTCATAGTGTGGAAGTACCATCGCCCTCTTACTCGCCCCACCCACCTGTAATGCCAATGCGCCCGTACAATACCCGCTTCTGGACTAGCCAACAGGACCTCAGGTCCAAATGTCCCTCGAACGATGAAATCTGTGCAAGGAGGTAGCTCTGTGGTGCCGAAGAGGCTGCGATGTTTGAGATCAAAGCGCCGCAGGGTTGAGGGAATAGCTTCCCATGGCGAGAGATTGCTGGACCGAAGCCCAACGCGGTGTATGGTTCCTGCGGACGTACTCATGTAGTATACGATGCCACGGTGACAGGTAAGAGCAGTAATTCCGAGGCATGGATTGTAAAAGCCCGGCTTCGATCGTACAACAGGATTCATGTTAGAGTGCGCCAACTACACTGCACCTTGGCCGCTGTTAGTATCGAGTATGTAGATCCTGCCTTGCGTAGCGTCCGAGACCAGCACATGCGGAAGACGATTCAGCTCTCTCGGATTGAGGGATGAGAACGGCGGTGCCGGTGGAGGCAGGGGAAGTGTAGTAATTCCTCTTAAGCAGCCTGCATACGGTGCATCCACCAGTTTCCTTGCCTCCACCCATCCGTTTCCCGTTCCCCACCTCTTCAGGTCAAGAATCCAGATGCTGCATCGTCCTTTCCTTAGAGTCAATTCAATCCTGTGCGGTTTGACTAGCGTCTTCATCTCATCCTCGCTGGTGATGATCGCGTACCGCCAACGGTCTAACCTGGTCATTCCATGGCAGGATTTGACCCCTTCACCAAATTTGTGTAGCGTCTGCCATGCGCTGTTGTTACTCGGATCATTCCTTGTGGCTCTAGTATTGACCTCAAGACGGCGCAGTTCGGGTGGTTGTTGCATAGCGAGGAGCAAGTCGGTGCGCGAGTGTTGTATGATCTTGGAGACTGATGCTAGAGGTGGGAGATTGACGAGTGGAGTAACCCAAGGCCAGCGCGTGCTAGGCCCGTTGTTGCTCCTGAAAGACATAGCTGCGCGATGTTAGGACGGTATGTAGTGGAAAAGGATGGAGGTATTGAGGATGCAGAGAGATAGAGGAACTCTTGTTATGGTTGTCGTGTTGCGAGCGCTCTTACCAAAAGGAGCTCGATACTCAAGCAGGTACTTTCCTTCACAGCGCGAGAGTAAACGAAACAAGAATGGCGATGAGGAGTAGGCTCAACATCTTGCACCGCCCACACGTGGATAACCTTTTCCGTGTGCTTCTTTTTTAGTGACTAACAAGTCGGAGGAAATGAGGTTTTTGATGGTGCCTCATTTCCCATCACTCTGTCCAGAGAAAGGGACGGCTGCTAGGCGAGATCACAGTAATGCGTGGGCAAAGCGGAGGATAGTAATTGTTCTTCATCAATTTGGGATGCGTTCCGACACGGCAAACGAAGCAGTGACGGGGCAAGAGTGAGCGATCGGGGGAAAATACCACTTTCCAAGAAGTGTGGTACATTATATGCTTGCCTAGTCTGGTATAATTACCCGCATAATGCTACCAAAAGCAACGTCGAGCAGCCAGTCCGCTGCCAGGCGCGTCACCGGCGCGTTCTGCGTCAGAACCACGTCTTGGGCTTTGGGAGTACCTCAAGATACTGCCATGAGCTTGTTCTGCTCCTGCGCTAATGTCAATCCTTCGGGAGCTTGTCGGAAGAGCACAATCTCCGACTGTTTGAAATATCGTCGCGCGTCTATACAATGTTAGTTTGGTCATCGTTAATATACCTTGTAGACACATACCTTCGTCGATGAGGACTAGGCTGAGATAGTACCGCGTAGAGTACTTCTTATTTACCTCTCGGAACGTGGGGGTCAGGTCAAAACCGCCCAGGAACAGCCGGATTGGGATGGTTTCACCTAATTGCCTGTTAATGACCTTTCAGGTTCTCGCTTCACCAGAACCTACCCCTTGATGGCGAGCCGTCCATGATCTCGAAGCGCACCAGGGTTTCGCTCTCGTTATACTGATTGGGCGCCGCTCCCGTCGTTTCTCTTCGGATGATGGAAAGCTCCATGTGCTTGATCTTTAACCGCACCAACAAAAAATATATCCTCCCGACTATGACATCTTTAAGATGGTATTTCGACTTTGAGTATTCGAACTCAATGTGCAGACAGTCCTCAATGCCAACGTCCATCTTGATCGAGCTGTTCGTCTCTGGCGGTATCCGGTATGAGTATACCCAAAGATCCTTCTCTCTGACCACATCCGCCATACGACGTGATACTGTGACGCGCATGAAATAGCGTAGCTTGACGTTGATGCCATTGTAGGATTCGTACTGTTTCTCGACGTTCTTGAAGTTGAACTCGAAGGTTTGGGGATGTTGCAGCTCGCCCGGTGCTGCCAGTTCCTGACCTAGTGAAAGGAACTCGTGGTGATTTCCGCGGTCGAAGAACATCTCTGCATGCGGCATTCATTAGTACTGGCGCGTATAGATTGCGACGTGGGGATGATAGGCAGACGCACCAATTGTGCCGATGAATTGCACCTTGATGCCTGTGTGTTCTAGCCGCTTGCCATCTTTTGGCCTGATGGTGACCTGTCCCTTGACAGATTCTCCATCGAGGTATAGCGGCACCTTCTCTTTGCGATTCTTGTCGAGCTTCACGTCAACGGTCTGGCGGTCGTCCGAGTCCTCGAGGACAATATCGATGTCCACGGGTGTGGAGAAGAAGTATGACATGGCGGGCGCTTGGATGGGGCGCTCGGCACGCGGAGTGGATGGGCTGCGGCGTTGCGCAGTGGACCGGGGAGCTCACTGATGGTGTGGAGTTGATAGCCTACCCCAGCTACGCGGCAGGTGCTCTCGGCGGCTTAGTCATGCGACACCGCCCACACATTGCGTCCTGAGGCTGAACATGAGCCCCACTCCGGCACGATTGCATCACTGGCAGGGCTCAACCTCTGCCCAGGTGTGACCTCACTAGTCTTACACTCCAACTCACAGCGTGGTCTTCGCGCGCACGTCACCTCGACGCGAGTACAGAATGGTCACAGGACCATCTGCAGCTGTATACGCAGTCGTCGAACGGAGATAGGCTCACGCGCAGCCCTGTACTATAGTATTGCAGGCTGCAGGCGGTGTGCACGCGAGGACATGCATCTGTGAACTGGCCTCGTTTTCCGTTTCCCCGTTCCTCCGCTGCTATTCATGGTGCTTGCTAGCCCTGCTGCTAGAAGACATGGAAACCTCTCGCCGGTGCCCCTACATGACAAACTTGTGGGTGCTAGTCGGCCTTTACCTAGGCTCGCGTGACCCCCACGCGCCATTAGCCAACAGTGCCCTTTTCCTCTGCTCTGCTTCGCGGCGACCGGTGTAGCCGTCTTGTAACCCACCAGACGGAGACGAGCCCAATGTCCCGCAATATGCAGCGTGACACGCGCCCGCGCAAACGAGGGGACGATGCGCTGGCAGCAGTTGATGCGCCGTACCTGACGATGACGAGGATCATTGTGCGGGGAGCCAACCGCTGGCGGTGAGCGCCATCCCGCACTAGTCAACGCTGTGCCAATTTCCAAACGCCGACGAAGATGCCGACTCATCCAACTCGCACATTCCAGGACTTCCGGGCCACCGCTCCGGATTCCCCTGCGGCCCTGCTGATTCGTGTTGCAAGTCTGTGACTGGGCTCTCACTGTCCTGCGCCCGTGGGTCCCACCCTTGCCGTCATGCCCTCCGGCATCTTGACGTTTTTAAAGCCAGCACCAGGCCCGGCAATCTGGTTTGTCGTTTTCGATCTCCTTCATATTAGGCCTTCGCCCCTAGCAATATTGCCTCCGCAACGTTGAGCAGCCCTCCCGGTATAAGTTTGGCTTGCTTTGCCTTCTTTGCCTTCTTTGTCCTCCCCAGTACTGCGTGCTTCCCTTTTCGGCTTGTCACTGCAGACACTTGCACACGCCGTACTCTGTATCATCATGTTGCAAACTTTTGAACCCGCGCAATCGACTCCTCTCCACTATGCGGCCGCTCCCACGCCTCCTATGTCTACCACAGGAACGCCCTCGAATGCCTTATCATCATCAAATGCAAAGCCTGCGACAAACATGTCGATCAAACCCCAGCACAACATCCTCATCGTAACTGGGCCTGCGGGTTGCGGCAAAAGCACCGTCGCCAAATACCTTGCCGAGCGGTACGGGTTCCACTACATTGAGGGAGATGATGTATGTTGGCAACAAAAGCTTGTTCTGGGCAGTGTTAACATATGCGTAGTTCCACCCGCCTGCGAACATTGAGAAGATGTCCAAGGACATTCCCTTGACCGACGCCGATCGTTGGGACTGGCTCATCACTCTTCGCGATCAGGCTCTGAATCAGTTGAGATCAGGGGACCACGGAGTTGTCATCACTTGCAGCGCCCTGAAGAAGAAATACCGAGACGTCATCCGCACGGCGCGGTTGTACGATGAGGACCCCAACGCCAACGTGCGCTTCGTATACTTGAAGGCGAGCAAGGAGGTGTTGTTGCAGCGTGTTGGAGGACGCCAAGGGCATTACATGAAAGACACTATGGTGCTGAGCCAGCTTGCGGCACTTGAGGAGCCAGGCGAGGACGAAACCAGGAAACTCCACGACGTCGATATCATCGACGTATCCGGGTCACCCGAGGAGGTCGAGAATCTCGTGACCGCTGCCGTTGATAAGGCACTCGTTATTAGCTCATGACAATCACAGAGCTGGCTCGGACTTTCCCTACTCTTTCTCTCTGTCTTGGCCGCATTCCAAATGCGAAGGAAGCGTTGAACATATTGGGCGTCGGCATATTAGGTTGGGCGGAGAAATGGCGCAATGAGATATTATTATACCCCTGCGACAGGGATTCGGACACAGTGGTTGAATGGAGGGGTGCCTCCTAAACCGGACTTCTTCCGGAGACTTTAGCGAAGGATTTCATAGTGTCTGTATACGAGTATTCCTCACTACCAACATCAGGTAATATCTTCGAATACGAAGTATATTCAGTGCAGCTTCCCATACTTATGCCCAGCCTATTGACAAAGTACCTCAAACGCTGCACGTGAACTCCTCATCGACTCGGCTTGTCAGATTGATCAGACGAACAACACGTGCTCAGTGGGCGCGCACTGTCCTGCATCTCGGAAATCATGTTGTATGTTAATAATCAAGGTGAACACCTGCGATAAGGGTGAAAGTTCAGCTGCTAGCGCAAGAGCTGACCACAAATCACTTCAAAAGGAGCTGCTTCAAGGGCGAGCAAGCTAATGCGGCGCCAACATAAAATGTACCTCGGAACTAAGTGCACAGTGAACAACACTGAGAAAAAGTCTATACGACAGCGCTTATACCGATGTACCGTCACTGAGCGTTGACTGTGGGGATGCTCATAGTAGCGCTTCCCCAGGTTCGGCTCAAGCCAACACCATATTGGAAGTGCATTCGTTGTATGCTTCTACTGTTAGTATTACTAATTATACTCGCATTCATACAATCTGGAAAGCCTAACCTTTGATCAGCGGATGTTCTCACATATCGATCCAGCACTACACTTTGTTTTTTTGAGTTGTTCTTCGCATGCCATCATTCCTTCCTTCCAGATCCGGTTAGTCTATCTACCCCAGATGCATTACCCGTTATACCGAGCCAACGGCTACCTTCGGCGGTACGATGCTAACAAACATTCATGAATCCCGACGGCTTATGATCAGCGTCCTTTGCAAGCGATGTACCTGTCTCATTTTTCTTCACAAGCATTATGAAGACCGCCATGTCGCGAGAAGCCGCCCGCTTTCTCTGCCGTTCTGCGCTCGTGGGAAGGGCGCCAATTGCTCCCCGCACTGAAGCATGCACGCTGAATGTACAAAGAAGACGGTGGGATCAGAGAAGAGGATTCGTTGCAACACATCGGCTGAAAGTCGTGAAACCGTATATACTGGCGGACATCGGAGAGGGTCAGTAATGCTTGTTGGAGAATTCAGGTGAGGACTAATATGTGTAGGTATCACGGAATGTCAGGTAATTCAGTGGTTCGTCAAGCCTGGGGCTCGCGTCGAACAGTTCGATCCTATCTGCGAAGTACAGTCGGACAAAGCGTCTGTGGAGGTATGCAAATATCCCACGATCTCACGAAGATGTCTAACGAGGAGTAGATAACTTCGCGGTTCGATGGTGTAATCAAGAAGCTCTACTACGAGCCAGATGATATGGCTAAGGTCGGCAAGGCACGTACACTTTCTATGCATATCAGTGTCTGGAATACTAACCAGAGAAGCCTTTGGTAGATATCGATATCCAAAGCGAGATATCCGAAGCCGACGCAGCGGTCCTGGACAGCGCAGCAGGGAAACCAACAGAGGATGCCTCGAAGAAATCAGAACCGAGGGAGCAAGGTATAGAAGTGATGAGGAACGACACCGCTGCTGCTACAGGAAACGTACCAGCACAATCAGCACCATCTCTACCAGCCGAACACGTACAAGAAGAGTCGAAGCCTCGAAAACCGCCAGGGAAGCACGCCTCTCTCGCTACACCGGCGGTGCGTCACATGGTCAAGGCCGCAAACTTGAACATCGAGGACATAGAAGGGACGGGTAAAGAAGGTCGTGTTCTCAAGGAAGACGTACAAAGACACACCCAGTCTGCAAAGGCCGGAGCAGGCACTTCGGCACCACCAGCTGCGCCCGCGCAACAACTCGAAGACCGAACCCAACCGCTCACGCCAATACAATCTGCCATGTTCAAGAAAATGGCACTGTCGCTCTCAATACCGCATTTTCTGTACACCGACGGTGTAGATTTCACGTCCCTGAACACCATTCGCAAGAAGTACAACGCTTCTAGAGAGAAGTCGCAGCGTATCACTACGTTCCCTTTCACCGTGAAAGCTCTCTCGCTTGCATTGCAACAATATCCACTACTGAACGCGCACTTGGACACCCAAACAAATCCTGATAAACCGCAGTTGATTTACAAGGGCTCGCACAACATCGGTATCGCCGTGGATTCGCCAACCGGCCTTCTGGTTCCCGTCATCCGCAACGTACAATCCCTTTCCATCGAAGAAATTGCCGCAGAAATAGCTCGCTTGAGTGGTCTTGCACGCGACGGCAAGGTCTCCACAACTGATATGAAGGACGCGACAATCACCATAAGCAACATTGGCAGCATTGGTGGCGGTGTTGTAGCACCTGTCATCTCGACTCCACAGGTTGCAATCGTGGGCATAGGAAGGGCAAAAACAGTACCCGCTTGCGGAAAGGATGGGGAATTGATCAAAAAGGAGGAGTGCACGTTCAGTTGGAGTGCGGATCATAGGGTCATTGATGGAGCCACAGCAGCGAGGTGTGCGGAGGTCATGAAGGGTTATCTGGAAGATGTTGAAACGATGCTTATAAGACTGAGGTAAAACATGATCAAGCACCAAACTAGAAAATTGTATAGTAAACACAGCGACGATGATTACGATTCAAGACTAGACTCGCATACGTTCCGCATTATATAATTTGTGTCGAGATGCATAGGGCTGAAGCACCCCGCCAAAGCCCGCCGAAACCCCAAGCTAAGCTCCAGCTGCCCCACCTCGAATCGCGTGGGCATGTGCTTCCTACTCAAAGCCTCGCCGCTGTCGCATCCTTCGACCTCCGACCACATCTCATAGCAGGAGACTCCCATCACCGCAATGACCTCCATCGCGCCCTCGCAAACCCCGCTCTCCACCGCAACCACCGCTGCCGCATCCACACCCTCCACGAAACCCGACGACAACACCTTCACCTTTCCCCATCTACGCCTTCCCCCTTCTTCACCCTCCTCCAACCAAACCCCACAACCCTCTCCTCCCAACTCCTCTCTTGGTCCACCCTCATCCAATCCTACTGCCGCTTCCACCGCCTCTTCAGCCTCACCCTCGTCGACGCGCTCTCCACACCCTTATTCTCAAACACCTCCCTCGCCCGCAAACTCAGCTTGAAAGATGCGCGAACGGTCATAAACTGGATGGTGTCGTCCGAGGGCGGGAACCGCGCGGAGTGGATCACAGCGAGTGGGAGCGGGAAGGTGGCGAAGGGCGAGGAGGCGGGCAGAGCGTGGGTGTATTGGAAGAGGCCTGAGGAATGGGCTGCGGCGCTGGAGGAGTGGGTGGAGAGGACGGGGCAGAAGGGGACGGTGGTGACGCTGTATGAGATTGGGGAGAGCGATGCGACGCGGAGGGAGGAGTTTCATGGGATTGAGGGGGAGTTGTTGGCGAGGAGTTTGCAGGTGTGCGTGAAGAGGGGGAAGGCGCAGATTTTTGGGGCGGAGGGGAGCGAAGGTGTGAAGTTCTTCTGAGAATAAAGGGAGAGTACACACGATATCATATGCTAGCAAGGGAAGATCATGGGTGGAGAGAGCTGAATATGGAGAATTAATTGGAGAAATCAAAGGTATCAAGCTATGCATTCAACAATAACGCACAGTCGCTAATGCCGTCCAGTAAGATTCCATGACAACAAAGATAGCGCGCCGAAGCCGACTTGCGTAAGATACCCCCTTCATATGAATACAGGTTTCGAATTGTCCTGAGATGCTTTTGAAAAGTAGCCCATGTAGACGTGAATGTGTCGCTCAAAATTTGTGTCGCCTGTATGTCCGTGTATCAACGCCTGACGCTCAGTCTGATCATCATATCATAAACAAGTCCAAGCGATGTTGTTCTATACTCATCATCGCCTGCTGCGCGTCCTCAGAGTGGGAGTCCCCAGAACCCTATTTCTTAGAGACGTCCTCCTCTTTAAGCTCCCACTCAGGCTTCCAATGAATCTTCTGCGCCATAGCAACGTTGAGCAACCATTCAGTCGATACGATCCTAGGAATCATATCGTGTTTCTTTGCTAGCTCCCGGAATTTGGTCCACAACTTGACTTCCGTCTTTTGGAGTTCCGAGATGAGGTACAGCACATCGCCTTCGTCTTCCTCCAAATTCTGCGACACTTCCTTGGGCTGCGATTCGATCTTGCGCTTGGATGCTGTAACAGCTGTGGTGCGATTGTCCCACTTGAGGCACTTACCTCCATTGGCGGCGACGATGTCCTTGTACACATCGAATTTGGCCTTTTCCGTACAGAAGATCGTAAAGTCCTTGAGGAGCCGATGCTTGTTCTGCTTCGCGCGAGTGATGGCGTCGGAAAGGTCAACACCGTGCTGCTTCCTGAAATCACTATAGTCAAGTGGGTACTTCTTTGCATCAGGCAGCTTGTTGTGTTTGATAGCGTAGTCAAGATACTCGCTACCGACAAGCTGAGGGCCGTCTGCAAGAGCCGCGACGAACTTGAGGGTGCGAACGACCTTCGGCGCACAGAGCAGATCGACCTTTTTGGGTTCGTCCAAGATGAATAGACCGATTTCGCGCAGGCGTGCCTTGTCCTTCGATTCCTTGTCGCCGTCACCCTGCCATCGCTTGTCACCAGAGACGAGCATGCGATATTTGATAGGTGCAATCGGTCCTTTGCGAGCCTTTTTGCTCTTCTGTGCAGTTTCCTCGGTTTCTTCCTCCGTACTGGCGTCGTCGGCTTCGACTTCGTCGATGGAGCGCTTGCTTGCTGTAGACTCTCGACCTCCTTTCCGCTTCTCCTTGTCTACTATTTCATCTTCCTTCCGTCGCCGACCGCCATGGATAACCCCTCCTTTTCGCTTTGCCTCCTTCTGATACTTGTTGGCGTCCTCCATAACATCGTGGAGGTTTGATAAGGCGCGGTCTTTGGCCCCACGACTGCCCGTAGTCCCTGGAGTCTCGTTCTCCTTGCCATCGATACGACTTCGAGCAGGCGTTGCCACATCACCAGCGGTCTTCGTTCGCCTACCCGCTTTACCCGCCAGAGGAGTCTGCGCCTCGCCATCAGTATGTGATCGACTCACGCCTGCGGTCGTATTTGACATGGCTTCCGGCTCCTTCTTTCTACCCTTTGCGAAATACATCTTCTTCACTGCTTCCCGATTTATCTCTGTGGCGCCCAGGATGTCTCCCATGTTCATGCGCGGGGGAAAATACGTGTATCGTTCGCTTGTGAGGCTCTTCTCTTTGCAATCCGCATAACTGTCTTCCAACCAAAGGTGGTTGACGATGTTGACGCCCCATTCTTCCGCCGCCTCACATTTTTCGCTGTTCCTGTGCGCCGTAATGAGGTGCGTATTATCTTGCTTGAACGTCCTAGTGAATTCTGCGCCGAGAGCTTTGATCAGATTCTCGAGATAGACGCGCGCCTCTCCAGTATAGCTCGAGATGCTGATCTTATAGTCCTGGAAGTTACCAATCCCGGGCGGTGGTGGCCGCGGATAATGCATCATTCGACGCATCGGGTTGGTCCATTTATCGTGGGTGATCAGGAAATACAGCCAGCTCAAGTTGCCTACGTCTTTATTGGCTTGCGAGGCTTTGACGTATTCCTCACCCTTGCGGTAGTTGCAAACGTAGATGTCCGCTTGGGCGACGCTGTTGGTCATAGAGCCACCACCTGCCTTGATCATGCCTGTGAGAACATCTTTCAAATCTTTGTTCAAATTCAAATCTTCTCCTAGCATAACTTTCTTGCCGTCAAAAGCCTTGATTGCCCGCGGTTGCGCTAGATATGCAGGAGGTGATGCTGGAGGCCCAGCTGGTTCTGGATTCGTCGCATCTTTGATATCTGCGCTCGCGGTGGTGGGTGGAATAGCGCCAGCTTCTACGTTCATGATTTCTGGGTCGGGTAGCAGGTACGGTCGCTCGTTGACACGCCAGCCAACTTTTAGGCAGTCATTGAACCAATGAGGCAGAACGATCTTGATATTCAGCCTCTTCTTCACGGCCATTTCGCATCGGGGATCTTCCATGCTGAGCGCGATGAGATGTGTGGTCAGCTTTGACAGCTGGTTTCCATATTGGCCCCCCATTGCCAGCACTCCGCCAAAAATTGCTTCCTTGTCGCCCTCGGGTATGCCATCGCCACAGCATACCACCACATCGGACAAAAACAGCACAGGATCGGGGCTGTAGGTCCTGGGGTTCTTGATCTTGTTGATCCTCAGCGAGTCCTCCACCCACGCGGGTTTAACGACATGTATCATCAAATCGAGCGCGCGATAGTAGTCGGGGAAGTCGGTGGTTGCTGAGACGATGTAATCGAGCTCTTCAAGGCCTGTTATGCGCCCAACGTCGATGTCGAACGACTTCACTGTTCCGCCGCATTGTTCGATGTCCTGAGAAACCTGTAAAAAAAATCAGCTTGTCAATATAGATCCCAAGACGCGTCTAACGTACCTCGATAACGCGGTCTTGAGTGAGCGTCGTGGGAATGATCGTAAATGTGCAGCCTTCAAAGAGTGGCTGCGAGGCATCCATCATACTCGTGTCCGCCATTTCGCCAGTTGCATCCACAGTCACGCAGGCACAGTGGTCGAGGTGGTGGTGCAGCTGGTGCTGTTGATATTCGAAGAGCAATGCGCAGGCGCGTCTTAGCTTGGTCGCGCTCGCCGTCGCGCGTCACTCCCGCGGGCGCTTGCCAATTCACGTGACAGGCCCCACCAAAAGCGCTGCCCTCTCATCCCATCTTACATGCAGGATGCTATTCTCACGCTTCGCTCTGCATTCAGTGGAGTAAAAGGACACGAAGCGCACAGCTATCACTATTCATAGCAACTTTCAAAGACCTCTGATCCTCGTGAATGGTAAGGTACTGACCGTTGAGGACGCCCAGGATGTGGGGATTACCTCGGCCCGTCGCATAACAGTACGGCAGTTACTTGGCCTTCGATGAGCCTCATATAGTCTACCTTCGCGCTCTGTCTCAAACCTCCATTTCAATCTTAACGTTGTATTTGATTATTTTGCACAGCAAGCTAGAATCAGCACCCAGTTGATCGCTACCTTGGTCACCCCTGCGATCCTACCGGCAGCGGCCCGCATAGACCCTCAGGATGTCTTCGGAATTCTTCCGTATCGACGAGCATACTCTCGATGCTTCACATATCCGTGGTTTCCCTCGAACTACCTCCACACACCAAAATGAAGTTATGCAATTGGCGATCAAGCAGTACACGCCGCTGAACAATCCCCACCCTCAGCCTGGTGACATAACCATCATCTCCGCGCACGCGAATGCATTTCCCAAAGAACTTTATGAACCCCTTTGGGACGAATTACTCAAAATCTGTCAACAACACTCCTTCAAGATCCGCGGCATTTGGATAGCGGACGTCGTTCACCAAGGTCAAAGCAGCGTTCTCAATGAAGACAAGCTGGGGAACGATCCAGCATGGCTCGATCACAGTCGCGACCTTCTCCACATGGTCAACACCTTCCGCGATAAGATGCCTCGTCCTCTCATAGGTGTCGGCCACAGCATGGGCGGTTGTCAACTCGCGAACCTTGCCCTCATTCACCCACGACTCTTCGAGACCCTGATTCTCTTTGATCCAGTCATTCAGCGTCAGCTCTCCTTATCCGGAAACGTGGGCCCTGCGCATGCTTCCGCGAAACGGAGAGATCGATGGCCTTCCCGCGAAGATGCAGCTAAAAGCATGCTACGCAGCAAATTCTACCAGTCATGGGACAAACGCGTCTTCGAACGCTGGATTCAACACGGTCTCCGTGACCTGCCCACCTCGCTATACCCTACGTCTGATGCCACCCCCGGCCCTCTTCCTGCGGCTGTATCCAGCGACCCAAGCCTGACGCCAACACCACCACAGCCTAGAGAAGTGACATTGAAAACAACCAAACACCAGGAAGTCATGACTTTTCTCCGCCCTAACTTCGCCGCTCGCCCCGGCGTCGACTCCGAGCCTTCATCAGCTGAGTTTTCCGAAGCGAACCCTACCGCCATAAACCGCCGCACACATCCCGATCTTATTCTACTTCCAATGCCCCAAACGCCATTCTACCGTGGAGAGTCCATGCTTGTCTTCCGACAACTACCCTTCCTGCGTCCCTCAGTCCTTTACGTCTTTGGTAGCCTCAGCTTCCTGACACTTGATAAAAGGCAGATAGAGGAGAAAATGGAATTAACAGGCTCTGGACCCAGTGGCAGTGGCGGAGCGAAGGAAGGCAGGGTGGCGAACGTGATGGTTCAAGACGCGGGGCATTTGATTCCAATGGAGAAGGTGGAGGAAAGTGCGTTACATGCGGCAAGTTGGATTGGTAAGGAGATGGGAAGATTCTGGGATGGAGAACGGAGGACCGAAGCAGAGTGGCAAGGGAAGAAGGGTGTAGAACGAAGTCTGCTATCTGAACGATATGTGCAAGAGTTGGAAGGCATGGCGCCGAAGAAGGGTTCCAAGCTGTAGAGTGGAACGGAACAGCACTTTGGCCTATTCTTTAGCAACACTAGGAAAGCTGTTGTAGGTTTGAGTTATTTGACCGGAGGTCCCATTTCAACATTCCTACCACCCATCTCGCCTTCCCTCGTTCTCGCCCTGATCATAGGAGTTTTCTACTCCCTGACCGAACCTGTCGATATCCTGTCTCCCCTCGTTATAGTCGTTCTTGACATTGTCTCCCCACCGATCAACATCCTGCTCCGCATCCTGCCCCGCCCTCTCCACACCCCCAAACTTCTCACCAATCCATCCAGCCACCTTATCAATCCCGCCTCCAATATCAGAAGGGATATTCTCAACTCCCTGCACCGTGTTCTCCACACCTTGCTCAGCCCAGCGTGCAGCATTGCCCGGAGCGTCCTCAACAGCTTGCTCGTCGCGCTGGACGCGGTTCTCGAAGTTCTGCTCATCCTGGCGGAAGTCGTTCTCCATGTTATCTTTGCCCTGGCGGAAATTGTTCTCAGCGTCTTGCTCGTCGCGGCGGAAGTCGTCGCGTTCGTTATCGTAGGCTTGGTTGGCGCGGCCGTATTCGCCTTCTGTATTTGATTCAGCAATGCAACGCCGAAGACACATCGACATATCAAGGCAAACACTCACCAACTGCACCCGCAGCATAGCCCGCATTGCGAGCGAAGTCGTCGTCGTACTCGCGGTTGTTGTCACGGTCCCAGTTGTCAGACATCTTGTTTATCGAGAAGATCACTTTCTTTGTAGGTTCTTTGTAGGTTCCTGGATTACAACAGAGAAGGAAGCTCAGGGGCTTTTGAATCTAACGCGGGGCCACCCGCATGAACTGCCCCTCCAACGCCCGACCGCTCCTGACGTACCTGGTGGCACACGAGCAGGGGTCGCAACAAGGAAAGCTTCATTCCCGGCTAGTGAAGCTTCATCATTGGCCAAGGAAGCTTGTCTATGCAGTTGCGCCACTTATGGAGTGTTCTGGACGAATGGCTGTGTTTGAAGAGGGGCTGTGTTCCTAGCTAAGCTCTCCGGAGTGGGGCTTGTGTTCCGCGATCTGCGCGGACATCGATCACTGTGAAACAATCTTAGAATTCCTGAGGTAGCAGCAAGAAGGGTGAAAGAAGGGTTGACGATCATCCGTATACGCTCAGCGTGCATATACTCAGAAGTCTAGGACATTCCCCTAGGCATGGTCAAGCAACCAGACGGACAGTCCGTGCCGATTGTGTATCTAGTAGAACAATTTCGCAAGATCGTATGAGAAGCCGAGGTTGTCTCGAACGTGGAAAGCGGGTCTAGCCGTACTAGTTATCTCACAGCCGTCCTAGGCTATCCTTCCCACCTGAACCCATTTACCAGACCCAACCTTTGCTCATTTTCAGTGACTTTGGGCGAGTTGGTCCAGATCAAAGACAATTGATCGAGTTGCCGCCGAACATGCAAATCGCATGTGGATCCAGACATAACTTAGGGATCACATGGATGACCTGACGTAGTCCTTCGCCCATCTCAGGAATCAAAAGTCAATTATGAGAGATAACCAAAGTTGTCACAGAATTATGGGCACTTCAATTCAAATCCTGGGCTACCTCAGTGTAGTACACGTCACTTGAAATATGTGGAGTGTTATCGATCCAGTAGCTCGATTGTCCCTTCTAGACTATACAATCTTCTAGACTACATGACAGCCCGCCAGATGATATCTGTGCAGCAAGCTCACCTCTAGAGACCGAAGAAAGACATATCGTTAGACTCGTGGACCGGGACGGTGTGGCCAACGCCTGCAGCGCTGTAACCAACAAGCTGTGCGGTGTTCGAATCACCATCGCCATAGATAGTCTGCGTGTAGCCACTCTGAGGTACGTTGGACGCAGTCTTTGATGTGGTGAGGCCCAAGACGTTCGACCACTGCTTGAGCGATTCCTGGTCTGGAAATTGTAACCGTCAGTATTGCGCTTCGCATTGTGCGTATTGACAGGACTTACAGTTAGGGTAGCGAAGTGTGTTATCCGCAGTTCCGTGCCAGCTGTTGTCGGAAGTCAGTCACTGAACTCAACACCAGGAATCTTCAAGGGGTATGCGTACATTTGCATTCTGGGCCTGGTTCCATTGTATCCGGGGAAGTAGCCCCTTGTCGCATCACCCCACTGCTGTGCTGTCTTTGTAGTCTGTCCGTTGGCGCAGCTGTTGCTCCAGCCCGGGGGGTCCTGCGTGGCAGTGGCACCCTGAACGAAGAAGCAGCCGTCAGGTACGCCGCTGTACGCGGATGCAGCCTTGAACACATCTGGATAGGCACCAGCCATAACTTGGGTCATCATTGCGCCGGAAGAGGTTCCGGTTACGAAGACCTTCTCTGCGTCGCCGCCGTACTTTGAGATGGCGTATTTGACCATGTTTGCGACAGTTTGGGAGTCTCCACCGCCGTCGTGCGTGAGTGCTGTGGTACCGGTCAGATATACCTTTATTGATACTATCGTAGGACTACTTACTAGCAGTAGACGAAACATCGAAGCAGCCACCGCTCGATCTCGAGTTCGGGTAGATGATGATGAAACCCTTGGAATTGGCCAGTGGCTGGTACTTCGTTTCAGACGCGTATCCTGTAGCCGATCCCTGGCAATGGTGAATTGCGACGACGATCGGAGCAGGCTTCTTCAGGTTCGTCGGTACATAGACGTACATTCCCAGCTTCGTGGGGCCGGCGTTGAAGTCATTGACCTTGGTAGGAGCTTGCGCGCTACCCAGTGTCGCAAGGGCAGCAGTCGAGAGTACGGAGAGAAACTTCATCTTCGCAGAGGATGGCTTAAGACGTATGGTGGCTTGGAGTGCAGAAAGAGAACTTCTAGCTTGGCATTGAGGGACCGGATGCGGAGGTTATATAGTACTCTTGCATAGATGAAGGCGATAGAGGCGCAAAGCTTATTTGACATTGTATGCTGTGGCTGCTATTCTGGTGCTTTCACATGACCAGCGGATAATGAAGTTCGTCACTCGGTAATCAATTATAGATACCGACTTGCGCAGTGCGAAAACTGCGGGAACGATCCTAGTCGTGTGTGGGGAAGATCGCCGAGGCCGCAAGTCCTCCAGTGAAGGTGATTAGTGGTTCTTCATTGCTTTCCATGGCTCCACCATGTAGGAGACTCGCTTAATGTGATTATTTTGATCGGTGGTGCAGTCGTTGTTCGGGCCATCGGAAATTGTGTTGATGTTTAATGTAAAGCGGCTGAGGTGGTTAAATTCAACGTTAGTGTCCTCGTACATCTCCACAACGGATATGAATCGCCACTGGGAAAGACCTAGCACCCCTCAATCTCTTCTGTTTGGAAACTGCTCAATGTGGTCTCTTGGGGCATAACAATATTGAAAGTGGCTTGCAGCGCCGTAGAGGAAAGGTCATTATGATATGGTCTGGAAAGTTCGTAGCTCCGGTACACCTACACATCAAACATTATCATTTGGCATACATACGATTCAAGATAGATTCTATATGGCGCGGGATACATTGGTAGTGATACCCATTTCGGCATTGCGAACTGTTGGTTCTCCATTAATACTTCCAGTGGGACTCACGAAACTTGCGACTCCGGGAACAGATTTTTCCGATTTGTCCGAGAGTGATGAACGATCATTAGGATCCACCTCTTCAGACGTGATTCGTACTTCTTGTTGTTGCCAGATCTTCAATGGGATGTCATATTCTCCATTGATCTGTTCCTGGCTCTCAGAAGGACTAATGTCGATCGGGTGAGGGTCCTTTGGTTTCCTATCGTTGGTGTCTCTTGTCCGGCTCGTGAGATTTCCGTACGTTGAACGAAATTTACTCTGCCCAGTCGCCCTTCCTGACCGCGGATCCGAAGATTTGTTCCGAGAGTAGAAGTTACTCATGCCGAAGATGCGCTGTAACAGCGTCCATGTGAGTGGCAGATTCGCAGCTATGATAGCTGTGGACACTTCTCTAATGTACCAGTATATCCACTGCGTGCCGTACGGGGTACCCAAGGAATAGTATTTGCTCAAGGCAGCCGCCAATATTGTGAAGATACCAAGGGCAAAGACACAACAAAGCGTGAGCTTGCGCTTCCAAGGCAACTGAGAGCCGATGAGGACGGGCATTGGAAGTGCCACGATCATAACATCCGAAGACAGATTGAAGACAGCGTTTGTAATCATGTGGTTCGTTTCTGCCGAGCAATTCACTGTTCTCCGGTGTTAGCAGGACCTAAATGGGGCCGAGGTTGGTGGAGTACGTACGATTTGGCGCGGGAACCTTCCAATAGAAGTGAAACGGTCGACACCAGACGAACCACAGGATCTCCATCACAACGAAGCTGGCGCCCGTGTACCATGCCACGAACTTCACAAATCTGTTATGCCGCAAACTCATTCTGATGGACTATGTCAGTAGTATAAGCGGGAAATATTTTGAGCGACTTACGTCAAGCGAGAATACAAGATCAACAAGCAAGCCTTGACACTCCAAATGACTATCATCTGAAGGTGCTCGGTCACCAGCACGAGTTTCGAGCCGTACTCCCGTACTTTGATGTCCTCCGGTGTGAGGGTGATGTTCTCGGCGGGATCGATTAGATTGGTCGGAGTGTGGGTTTGAATGTTGATAACGGCTAGCAGTCCGGTATACACAAGCTGTAGTTCACTCGTTAGCACTGCCGTTACAATGTATCGATTGCGCAAGCTTACCATGAGGAACAACATCAGCCAATCGTCCGCCTGTAGAGCCTTGAATGACTTGAAGAGCGTCCGTCGGGAAAGACTACTTGGAGATCAGCGTCTGCACTGTGACGGCGTCGAACCTTCTGCGGGAGCAGTAGACTTACAACCGCGCACCAACAACCACCACCGTCAGGCCGTACCACGCCCACATCTCTGCTAAGACATCTGAAGCCATGTCGAGAGGGTGCCAACCCGTATGGGCAGAAGAAGGAGTGGAGTTGGTCGTCCTCAGGGAATGCAGACGTCGAGGGAACAAAGATGTCTTGCAGGCATCCTGCCTAGACGCAGGCAAGTCTAGCGACTTTTATTGAAGGGCTTAGATGCGTGCCCTTCCGAGCCCTATGCCACTAAAGCTCTTCTGTCAGAGCTGTCCATCCGGGTGCCTGGGACCGACCCTGCATTGATCTGCTAAGTAGGGGTACCTTGCCTAATGGCAAACCCTAAGTTCTGGTGGGATGCCATCGCAAGACGATTATTGGCGGCACAATTGCGGCACAGACATGTCAAACGCACCATCGCCCGTATTACAGAATGAGAACATTCATAATCTGCCCACTACACACGGATGAGAGCCGAGAAGATGGATAGAACGGGGCCGCAACCTTCGACAAGCGGGCGCAAAGTCTTCCGTTAGTCGGCGGGTCTGGTGGGTGATCACATCATGCCGCGTCTCGAGGCAGGAGGAAGCGAGAGGAAAAGCAGATCGTTATCGCGGAAGTCCCAAGGGCGTGGATAGAACGGATGGCCTCTTGCGCAACGCGTATCAATTTCCGTGTTGGGACGATCGCCGACAACGATGGCACGATTTTGTTCCACAATCAGGGGTTCCACGCGTGGGAAAGGACGTGCACCGCGTGGGACATCTGCGCTAAAAAGTCAGTCACGCCTCCGAGACTCGGTAACATGAACCGCGGTTGCTGCCACGATCTAGACTTGTGATCTTCGCTTCGCAATCATTCCTCCATGCAGGAACGGTCGACCTCGCTGACCTCAGGAGTTGTACATCATGTGACTACAGACATTCCACGCAAGGTTCCACCAATGCTGCATGGGAGGTTTGAGCGGATGCGGGGTAGCCGTCGGGATCAACTTGTTCCCATTCGCTTACTCGCAGACTCGTTCAACCTCGGTGCATTGGAAAGGTACCCCTCTCAGAGAAACAGTTCGCTTTGAAACATGTCTGAACGTCAAATTGACTTTACCATTGTCTGTGGCCAAGCTGAACCCCAGCTTTCCACTTCTCCAACTCAGCACAGAGCTGTGGTCTCCTTGAATTCATGCATCAGAAGAGAAGGTTTAGCGAATGACATTAGCGTTTAAGCGACCGGGAAGTTCGGGAAACGTTACTCGAAACGTTACTCTATCAGCAAGAGATAGCGAATAGTTACAGCCTGTACGGGAAGGGAAGAACTGAAACGTTGAATGGCTTGTAAGCCTCCTCCGATATCAATTCAACCTCGGCTTTATGTTCAATAACCACTGACATTGAGTAGTACCACTCCTCACTGGTGCAGCAGGCACAGCAGCGCTCGCCGCATACCTGAACGCCAAATACCATATTGCACATGACCTTCGCACCGGCCGAGGCGGCCTCATTCCAACCCAGGCTGACCTCGATTGGATAGACCAACGCTACTCCCAAAACAAGAAATTGACCTACCACGTCTTTGAGGACCAAGCACAGAAACAACCAAATCACACATTTCTCATCTTCGAAGGCAAGCAATGGACCTACGCCGAATTCCTTCAGGCTACTTTAAAAGTAGCGAACTGGCTGATCCGAGATCTGGATGTGAAGGTTGGTGAGATTGTGGCTCTAGATGGAGGTAATAGCCCCGAGCATGTGATGTTGTGGTTGGCACTGGAAGCCGTTGGCGGTGTGATAGCCTTCATCAACAACAACTTGACTGGCGACGGACTAGTTCATTGTGTTAAGGTGAGTCTATCGAATGCTCCAGTATGAAACATTCGGAAACAAAAAGATACTTATCTTCCACAGCTATGCGAATCTCGCTACCTACTCGCGGATGCCGATGTCCGCCCCAACGTCGAACCCGTCCGCTCCCAGCTCGAAGAATCCAACATCCAAATCAAAATCTACGATCCCAGCTTCATCCTGAGTCTTTCCGACACAGCTCCCATCGATACATCCCGCCACTCCACCATCACCCCCGAATCTCCTCGCACCCTTATCTATACCTCCGGTACAACTGGCCACCCAAAAGGCGTCGTCGCCCCCACCGCCAAAGAACTCCTCGTCGGTCGCACCACAGCACGCTACCTCCGCCTCAAGCCCTCGGACCGCTTCTACACATGCATGCCGCTCTACCATGGTGCTGCGCACAGCTTGTGCACGACGCCTACTATCCACGCAGGTGGCACTTTGGTGCTCGGCCGGAAGTTCAGCCACGCTAGGTTCTGGCCCGAGGTCTCGCAGAGCCGGGCTACAATTATACAGTATGTCGGCGAGTTATGCCGGTATCTGCTTAATGGGCCGAAGAACGAGTTTGAGAGGAAGCACTGCGTGAAGATGGCTTGGGGGAATGGGATGAGGCCGGATGTGTGGGAGCCGTTTCGCGAACGATTCGGCATTCCTGTTATCAACGAGCTGTATGCTGCGACTGACGGTATGGGAGCTATCTTCAATAGGAATGAGGGCGAGTTTACTAAGCATGCGCTTGGGCTTCGTGGTGCGCTATGGAACTGGAGATTTGGTGGGGAGGAAGTTAGGGTCAAGATGGACGTCGATACTGAAGACATTATGCGTGATGCAAATGGATTTGCGATTGTGGTCGGTGCGGATGAACCAGGACAGGTGCTGCATAAGTTGGACCCGGACGCACCTTTGCATCCAGGATACTATAATAATGATGCTGCGACTGAGAAGCGGAGAATTCGTGATGTTTTCCGGAAAGGCGACTTGTAAGTGTTCTGCCAAGAATAAGTATTACAGCTGATGAAGGCTTCACAGGTGGTTCAAGTCTGGCGACATGATGAGACAAGACGGATGTGGCCGTGTCTATTTCGTTGACCGCCTCGGCGACACTTTCCGCTGGAAGTCCGAAAATGTGTCGACCAACGAGGTTGCCGATGCTATAGGCCGGCACGCCCAAGTAGCCGAAGCAAACGTTTATGGCGTTAGTGTACCTGGATACGATGGCCGCGCAGGGGCAGCCTCTATTGTGTTAGCTGATGGTGTCACGTTGCCGAATTTCGACTTTAAAGGACTAGCGGATCATGCTAAGGCCATGCTTCCAGGCTATGCAGTCCCCTTGTTCCTGAGAGTTACATCAGCCTTGGAGTATACGGGCACACTGAAACTTCAGAAAGGGAGGTGCAAGCGGGAGGGTGTAGACCCAGCATTGACGACAGGTGAAGACAAGCTATATTGGCTACCACAGGGGAGCGATCGGTATGTCCCGTTCCGGAAGGAGGACTGGGAGAACATCAAGGCGAAGAAGTCGAGGCTGTGAGTTGCTCTTGGCGCGGCTTATGGCCAAAATGTTATCTCTGCAAGAACATCACGCTTTGAGCACCTAGAGAAACTAAAGTATACTGAAGACAATATGTGCATGCCAGCTTGGGGGAGACCAGCAACAATAGGATCTCACGACTAGTGACGAGTGCAACGCAAGGTATACTGCCAAATCCAGCAGCTACATGAGGCCTCGCCTTGTATCGAATAATTGTGTTAAGTACAAATACGAGACGCCCCTGTGGCTTTCTCAAGACCTCATTTTGAACAACATCACCACGGGATCACGAAGGCCAATAGTCAATCCCCAATCCGTCAGCACCTGCTAGAATATCGAGCTTGCTATGGTTTACTCGCCCACAGTCATTGCGCGCATGAGAGAGCACCCAGCGAAGGATTTATATCCTTCCCGGTCTTTGACTTCAACACGCCATGAGTGGAGTAAGAAAGAAGTGGATCGATGTTGAAATTAACGGAACTCATACACAGACAATACCATGCTCCGCACGACTGTGGCACTTCTCTCCTACCACCAGTAGCTGTGCCCGCATATAGCGCAAATATCTTCGGTCTGGAAATCCTTGCCATCTTTGCAGTAGTAACAGATCCATTCGCGAGGCCTCGAACCGCCGAACCATGGACTCTGTAGAGTGCTCACCGTTCTTGTACTGCCTTCCGCCCGGATACCTCCGCCTGCCGTCGCTTGACCAAACGTCGGCACTTTCACTTCCCCTTCCCACCAGCATAGGGGTGCCCAAGCTACTTTCTTATGCCACACAGGTAGTTCGTCCACTTGCTTTATTCCATCTGTGAAGGCAGCAGTTTGAACCAGGTCGAAGACTTGCTTTGAACTCCGCCCTTCAATAGCTTCAGCACCTCTTCCTTTCTCAACTACATTTCCGGAACGAAGCCGAATTGTGGCGGCCATGCAAGCCTCCGTTTTCCAAATTCGGAAAAGAAGACACCGCACGAAAATTTGGCAATTCCGGGTACAAAAGTTGTACTTGCCCTTGAACTGTTGTTGGTATATCTTTCTTGCGTACAGGTCGATTCGATGTGCGCTGAGATGCGTCCAATCTCGCAATACTGTGATCGGATGACTACCGCCTCGCCTATTTCGAGGGTGTGTGGGATGATGTCCGCCATCTCGAATAGTGATTTCCAGCTGACGCTTCTCGTGGTCATGTTTTCCTTCGTGATGCCACTTATCTGCTGGCACAATCTTCAACTCGTGGTCGTGAAGGCCGTACTCGTAAACCGTATCTCCGATCTGGATAGCCCAGTGACTGATCTTCTTCGTCGAAAAGAGATGGTCCTCTGGGGCGATATAAACGCGATTGTCCTCTGGGGCGACATCCAACCCGCGGCTCCAAACGACGATCAAGAGCGCGATCTCCATGTCCTTTCCAGGATGGTACGTGGGTGGGTTGCACCGAGTCCTTTTCCTAGGCTCCGCTTCGTTCTGCTGTTCATCATACTGCTCTGCACTGGCTGCATCTTCTCCTTGGCCCATCTCGTTAGGCCGGTCGCTGGTGCTCGTGTAGGTGCGCTTCCATCACAAAGACATCGTCGGTTGCTCACTACACTCAAGAGCTTGTAGTATCAGCATCCACGTTGATAAAGTAGGTTGCTAAAGAGGCGGAGAGTCTGCCACTCGAAAAATAGGAGGTTGGCCGTGTGTAAGGTTGCACAGGTTTCACAGCATGAAGACACTGCAATCACTAGCCAGTCTAGGCAACCTCAAGCAATGTTCTCATTCTAGAATCAGTTCACGCTACTTTTGAGATAGTATGATCACGTATCTATTGCTACAGAGCGACCGATCTCATAATGCATTCCTGGCTTCGAATGTATCTCGCTATCTTCATGCAACCCAAGCAGTCGCGCCCGAACTATACAATCTCAAACTCATAGTACACATAAGGCGAGTATTCTGCATCGCCGTGACCTTGCGCCTGCATTTCGTTGGCGAGAGCTGAGTCATCCTTCTTAGGCCGGCCCTTGTTGTCGCGATTGAAAGCGTTGCCGCCGAGGTACGAGTAGCTCGCGTCGAGATTCGTCTTTGCTTTCTTCGCAGCCTTTGCATTTGTCTGGGGCTCACGTCAGTCTCTAAGCCCATGAGCTCTGGGCAAATAATTTCACTCACCTGCACTAATCCACACACAAAGTCTAAAGGTAGGCCGTATCGTAGCACCGTCTCGACGAACACACGCAGAGCCAGCACATGCACCCAAATCATAGCACTTTCGCTGTAGCCAGTTCGCCCTAGCCTTAACGCTTCACCCCACAGCTTCTTTGCGTCTTGTTCGAGCTGACTCGCTTCCTTGGCCTCCTCTTCCTTGCCGCCCTCCTTGTACTTGTAATCACGCGGCGTCCACCGCTTTTCCCTGCACTTGTGTACGAAGTCGGCGGAGGTCTTCTTGAACGTAACAACAGCAAAAAGGGTGAACTCGTCGTCCTTGGCGACTTCAACGGCGGAGCGGGGTACGACCCTTTCAGACAGGGTTTCGTAGGATTTGTAGAATTCTTTGGTGTTCATGTTGGGGACGGCGATGAGGTGAGTATCGAGATATTCTGAGTCTTGGATGATATTTCGGGGGTTTACCACGGTGGTGAGGGACTTGGTGGACAGGTTGCCTGTTCTTTTCCGTTCTGCGGCCGCGAGGTTGGTCTTGGTTTGGTTATACTGGGAGAATTTGGCCTTGACATCGTTGTCAATGCCTGAAATTTCCTGCGCCACACATTAGATCTATCATTCCGATGAGAAGGGTCGGCCGCACCTTCTGCAGCGAGTCTATCAGCTCGGCGATAGGCTTGTCTGCCCGGTATTTGATCTTGTTCCACTGGAAGCTGCGTAGGTATTGATCGACAGGCTCTACATGGCATGTCAGCCCACCCTATGCACAGGCACTTTCCCATTAAGCTTCACGCACTGTCGCTGATGGTCTTGTGCTGCTGCACACGGTCCTCGTCCCCGTCGAGGATACTCCTCAAGCTGTCCCCCACCTTGGCCACGACCTGCTCGCACGCATTCTCGAGCTTCGCCAGGTCATCCGCCTGCTGGACCAGCGCATCTAATGTGCCGATCTTGAAGTTGGGTATCGCGAAGGGGTACGTTTGGCCATTATCACCGCCAATGGTGCTGCGCAAGGCTTCGAGGGCTTCGTCGTGGTGGTTCGAGGGCGTTATCGATGACGGTAGTGACACCAGCAGGTACTTGGTGCCCTTGGACATGTTTGATGCTTGGAAGGCGGGCACAGGGCGCGGATGCAGGGGTCTATTCGCGGTGATGCGGTGGTGGAGGTGAGCTTGGTGGGCTTGCTTGAGCTCGAAAGCTTGGGGTGCCAGGCGGCTCTAGCGGCCTGTCGTCACAGCCCGAGCATTTGGAGGGACAGCTCCGCCCACAGTTACACAAAGGGTCCGGGCAAGCAACACCAGCTCAATGCAATGGCTGGACAACAGCTCGGGACGGTCCTCGGAATCGATCTAGAGCTGCATGGACAGTGCAGGCGAGCGACCCGGATGCCATGTCCAAAAGCGGAAAGGAAAGTGTTGTGTTTCGGGGGATTAGAGGCTGGGCCGTTAGTATCCGTCGGCCAACAACTGTGAATCCTCCTTCCTACACCTCACAAAATGGCTTCCAAAAGAGCAGCTCAAGTACTGCGACCAGCGGTCAATGGCTTCAAGGCATCACCTGTGAGCCTGAAGCATGCTGTAAAACCTCAAATCACGACCAGAAACCTCTCGATACGCGCTGCTCGTCCCCGCCAGCTCAACCGGGTTTCAACGACCGCCGTCCGCTTCGCCTCGTCTGCAGTTCCCACTTCCGAGGGTCAATTGGGCAGGACCGGCCTCTATGAGCTTCATGCTAAGTATGGGGCAAAGTTCGTGCCTTTTGGCGGGTATGAGATGCCCGTTCAGTACAGCGATCTGAGCATTGTCGATTCGCACAACTGGACCCGGGAGAAGGCCAGTTTGTTCGATGTGGGACATATGTAAGACTCCCGTCTTGCCTAAATTCAGAGCCTTCCTAACAGCAGCGAAGGGTGCAGCATGACTTCTCAGGCCCCGGTGCTCAAGCTTTCCTAGAGCGCCTAACACCATCGTCCCTCTCGTCGCTCTCTGAGAACCACTCCACCCTCTCTACTTTGCTTCACCCCGAGACCGGTGGCATTGTCGATGACACAGTCATCACCCGCCTCCCCAACAGCTTCTACGTCGTCACCAATGCCGGCTGCAGAGAGAAGGACCTAGCATACCTCACCGAGCAATTGGAAGCGTGGAGGAAGGAAAACCCTGACCAGACTGTGGAGTGGAAGCTGCGAGACAACCAGGGCCTCGTCGCTCTACAGGGCCCTCTTGCAGCAACCATCCTCGAGCGTGTGCTGAACGAGAAATCAGCTTCTGCTCTCAGCACTTTGTACTTCGGCCAATGCATGCCGGGAACTATCAAGGGAACTGATGTGGAAGTTCTGATCAGCCGTGGCGGCTACACTGGTGAGGATGGCTTCGAAATTAGCATCCCCCCATCTGCCACCGAAGCTGTTACGCAATACCTGCTCGACTCGGCCAAGGATGAGCTCCGCCTTGCTGGCCTTGGAGCGCGTGACACCCTCCGACTGGAAGCCGGTATGTGTTTGTACGGGCACGATCTAGACGATACCACCACGCCCGTTGAGGCTGGTCTCTCGTGGATCATCGGCAAAGACCGCCGCGCGAACGGTGGTTTCCACGGTGACTCCGTCATCCTGCAGCAGCTCAAGAAAAAGTCCGAGGGCGGTGGTGTCACCCGGAGACGTGTCGGCTTGATCATTGAAGGTTCACCTGCCCGTGAAGGCGCTGAGATTGTGAACGAGAATGGCGAGAAGATCGGTAACATCACATCTGGGTGCCCCTCGCCTACGGCAAAGAAGAACATTTCCATGGGCTACATCAAAGATGGTATGCACAAGAGTGGGACTGAAGTTCAAGTTGTCGTCAGAGGCAAGAAGAGGAAGGCGACCGTCACGAAGATGCCATTCATCGGCAGCAAGTACTATAAAGCACTGGCGCCGGAACCAAAATAGATTCGAATCAACTGTCTCTGCCTTCATTCGCTGGCTATGTCCGTCGTTACTTCATGCTGTAGTTGAGGTGAAATTATGCTGAAAATTTACTGTTCAGACAAACACTCCAGACAATCTCGCATATAAACCTATGAGGACGAGGCCGCATTCAGATCTTGACAGAAGTTAGGTCGAAGGTTTCACGAGCCATGTGAAGTTTAGGTCTATTCCTAGGTGCGAAGCAAACTTTCACTTCAATATCTCACACTCACAGGCCCGTGTCGTCCAATCTCCAATGAAACCAAAGATTTCACCTTTGGAAATTCAATATTGATGGTATACATGAAAAGCTCGGCGCTACGCAATCTTCCTTGCGTGCATGATATGTCGCATATCCCTCTTCCATTTACGTACTCTCTCACGCTCGCGCATATGCTTGTGCTACAGCACCACCTCTACTAGACACTCGTCCAAGAGGTCGACGAGAAATACCATGCAGCAAAAACAGATCTATGAAGGCCAGTTGTCAACTGCAATAATTAGCTTCTATGCACGTACCAACTACTACGATGATCAACTTACTCGTAAGCCCCCGTGCGCAAGAGCACTCTGTCGAAGGGCCGTACAGGTATGCAGCCGTGTCCTGGTAGAAGAAGTGATTGGCACTCATGAGATGGATGCCGGGGATGCGATGGAACCAGTGCTGCACCTATATTTACAGTAAGCCAAGTTGTTCGAGTGGTAGACGTGAGTCTGCATTGGAGTGACCTACCTCTTCCTCGCCAGTTTTGCCGATCTCTGCACCCCGCAAAGGCTTATATCGATGATAGCAGCCGGACTGGTGGAGTTTGAGAAGAGGTGAACCGGCCTGCTCGTTCGGGTGAGACATCCGAATCTTTCCGAGGTGTCTGCCAGTGAAGACCCGACCAGCAACATTAGTCCAACTATGGGTATTGTACGTCATCTTGGAGCAAGTGTTGTCGCAATTGTGAAGACAGTGTCCTGCGATTGGGAAGCCGAGGTAGAGATAGATTTGTTCTCGTAGCTCGCGTGGAAGGCGTTCCAGGCGCGAGATGATCCGGACATATCGGGAACGCGCTGACAATTTCGATCCCATGGTCGAGGAATCAGGCTGAGGGGGAAGTTGAAAGGTGTGTGAGGTTGTGTGTTCCCAGAACTTGATCAGCTCGCGTGCCTTCATAGCCTGTACTTTAGTGCTACTCTCGGGGGGCGTGCAAATAGCTTTTCCACAGTGAAGAACGGCGCTTTGACGGACAAGTATTTCATTAATAGTGAACGAAATCACTTATGACTTTCTCACAGCTTGGATCTTCGGTCATGCTCTCGTAGTGGCACCCTTCTCCAATGTTTTCTATTGGTCAACTTTACAAAGGCACAGCCACGAAGGCACAGCCCTGGATGGCCGAGATTCATTCCTCGTCCTTTGCCTTTACAGATGTCTGAACTTGCCCTGTCAATCACCATTGATACTTGTGTTTTAACGAAACTGAGAGAACAGCGACTTTGCAATGGTCTGCTGGCCTCATGCAGCTGATCGCCGCCTCGGATTGTACGTGCTTAACTCGTCACATACATGGTGACATACGTATTTCTTACTACTCACGTTGATTGTGCATGGTATTGTGAATGTATGAGCCATAACTTGGTGCTCGACAAAAGCAAGGTCTCTGCGCGCCATCTCAATGGCGCGATAAGAGGAGGACGAGCAGGCGGATAGAAGCACAAATTAGCGTGACCAATAGTGTGCTATCGAATGGAAGGTTTGAGCCCTTGTCACCCCCTGACGATATACGCGAGGCTGTCAGTTGAGGTAGGCGTTCACCGTAGTACCGATGCGTCCTGCTTCCGCCCCAATCCGGAAGCGCCGATTGTTCAGCTGAAAACCGAGGCGGCACGTCGGCAGCTGAAGGCATCAACGACGTATATATATGAATCGAATAGCCTTGTAGGCTAAAAGTTTAGTATACACCATCCCACCGCAGGACCACTCATAGTGACCTTGAAAGTAATCGGTGCATGATGTTTTCGCGACTTTTCGGCAAGAAACCTAAAGCCCCCGCGGAGGAGAAACAACACACTGAGACAGTTGCGATGCACACTGTCGAGGTCAGATGGGATAACTGGTCTCCACCGGGAGAGAAAGATGGCACGCACAGATTCTCTGGCACCTACACATCTATAATTCTAACCCAAAAGCAGTCCGATCACCTTGCCCAGCGATCAATAGTCTTGCGAATCATGGCATCCTTCCCCACAGCGGCAAAGACATCACAAAAGCCGTGGCCGTCGAAGCACTCACCAAAGCCTTCAACGTTGACCCCAAAATAGCGAACGTCTTCGCAGCAAGCGGCATCTTCGCTAATCCCAACCATGATGCACACTCATTCGACCTAAACCATGTCAGCAAGCACAATTATATCGAGCACGATGCTTCGCTAAGTCGTGATGATGCTGCCTTTGGCGGAGGCGAGAAGTTCCACCAAGAGTCGTTCGACATGGTGCTCAAGACGTATCGCGAAGCTCATCCAGGAAAGACTGATGATGAAATCATGACGGACTGGATGACTGCGGGACATGCGAGGTGGGCGAGGGTTCTGGCGAGTAAGCAGAAGCATGATGAAGCGGAGAAGACGTGGATTTATGGGATCAAAGAGGCGATCATGAGTTATGGTGAGACGTCGCTGTATCTCAATCTGCTGGGAAAGGATGGGGTCGCGCCGTTGAAGTGGGTGAAGATTTTCTTCGGTAAGTTCGATTATAGATTGGGTGAGTGTCTACTCACGATTGAGTTTAGAACAAGAACGTCTTCCGCATGCTGAAGGATGGAGGCCGCCGACGAAGTTCGATCAGGCCGACCTCAACCACGGTTACTCGGAGATGATGAAAGGTGGTGAGCATGGAGTTGAGGAAGCCAAGTTGGTCGGTATAGGGACGCTGGTTGGTTTGAAGGCGGCCATCATGGGTCTAGGAGCGAGCTTCATCAAGGCTCCATCTGCACATTAGTGACATGGCGTCAAGTATTGGGATACCCATTGTGGCCTATTAAAAGACTTAGGCAAGTTCATTCATTGTGCACTGATTATTTTGATTTGTATTGCCTGAGGGTCAGATTCCATCACTTGGGTGGGTTCACACCAGAAATCCCCTGCAACTCATCCACCAACTTCTGCTGCGCCCGCTCATCCGCCGCCCCACGATGAAATGACCTCTCCTTCGAGTGGTACCAATGCTTGCCGGATCCTCCCAACGTGCCTTCAGCAAGTGCCACGTAGTTCTCGACTGCCGCTCCAATATCGTCACCAGCTCCCGCACCACCCATCTTCGTCTTCACCCAACCAGGATCCAGCGAGCTAACAATCGTCTTCTGGAACGCTGGCTGCTTCGCGAACCAGAACGCCAGCATCGTGTTGTGCAACTTACTATCACTATAGCTCGCAGCCTTGATGTCTCTCAGCGTTGCATCGCCACTATTATGCAACGCCGAAGACAGGAAGACAAGGTTTTTAGGTGGTGGCTGCACGAGACATGTGAGTATGTAGGGTGCAAGAGTATTTGTTGCGAACAGAGTTGGTAGACCCTCGGGACCTGTTGATGACGATGGAATGCGCATCATGCCAGCATTGTGAATAATGGCGTCCCACGGGCCTTTTGCGTTGAGATCATCAGCGAGAGACTTTGTTGCTTGAGTCGAAGAAAGGTCGGCGATGAGGACACCGTCGGCACCGGGACAGGCTTTGCTGGCGTCTTCGGCGCGCTGAGCGTTGCGGGCGTGGAGGGTCACATTGTGGCCACGTTTGATCAATGATTTGGCGGCTAAAGAACCGAGACCATCGGAGGAACCTGTTATGAAGATGCGCATTGTGGATTGAGGTAGTGTTGTGTTGTTACCAAATGCGTTGGAGGGAAGTTTTACTTCAGGAAGAAAAAAGGCTGACTTGACAGAGAGTAGAGCAGAAGTTAGGAATTTATGTGGGCCACCTGAGTGACATCGCCCGGAGATAATGAAGCTGTTCGCGCTCGCCACTGGATGAATATACACAAGTGTTCGATCGCAATGGATTACGTCATTCGGGCATACATCATCTTAAATCCGTTCAATTAGCTGACATGTAGTCGCTGACAGTACCGGAGTCGTTATTATATAAATGAAGGCCTAGAAGATCTGATATGTTGTCGATGCAGCTTGGTGGAGAGTGAAAGGGGCGGGTACGAAGCTTGAGCTGCAGTTGATGTTTCATTAGTCTGTTATAAGCCACAACACACGCGCTGGGGAGTGATTCTGACGTTAATGGGTTATCCACATTGAAATCTTATACACTTAACTTATTGTTTCAGAACCAGAGGACTCCAGGGTATCATGCAATCATCGCCACTTTCGTCCTCCCTATCCTATATCAGATCAATGCCCTCCCGTTCAGCCGCCTGCAATATGAACTTCCTCGTTTTCTCATCAGGCACCAGATCCAGCGCCACTTGATCGTTCGCATCTTTCTTGTCGAAATCAGCACCACTCGTGAGCAGCAACAGCGCCGCATCGCCATGTCCTTCGGCAATGGCATGATGCAGCGCTGTCATGCCATCCGCATCCGTTGCGTTCAGAGGGCTCTTGCCAGCACCTAATAGCTCCTTGACCATGGGAACGCTGCCTATGGCTGCTGCTCTGTGCAGTGGCAATTGGCCCCTCTTGTCCTTCACTCTCGCAGTCGCCTTCTCTTTCAGCAACGTCCTCGCGATGTCCAGGTTGTTCTTGCTGGCGCAGAAGTGCAGAGCTGTCTGACCGTTGTTGTTCTTCGCGTTTACGTCGGCATCTTTCGAAATGAGGAGAGAGACGATGGCATCGGCTTCCTTGCGCGAGCAGGCCATCATGAGGGGCGTCCAGCCTGAGCCGTCGACGGCATCGGGATCGAAGGATTTGGTTTGGACAAGTAGTTGGACGATGGGTAGGTGATTGTACGAGACTGCCCAATGGATGGGAAGGCGGTCGTCATCATCGCGGACAGAGGCGAGCTTAGGGTTTGCGGAGAGGAGTGATTCTACTCGGGAAGCTGTCAAGGTGGATTAGTCACCAGGGTTGCCAAGAAAGAGATGAAATTCGTACTTTGACCTTCGCGGCAGGCCTCGTGGATTGCGAATTTAGATCTTGCGTCTTCCATGGCGAACCTCTGATACGTTGAGGTTCGATGGCCGCAGACGTTGGTAAGCTCGAAGCTATCCAGATGCCACTACGAAATGCCCCACTGCGGGCATGCGGGAGGCTCGGCGAAGCCACAGGCGCGGGGGTTTCACCAATCACCTCAGTGGCTGACCGCCTTGCACGTGCGGTTCCTTGGACAACACACCAGCTGGTCTGGGCACATCATCGAGCCACCAGGGTTTGACTGCATCCTGGCTTCCAACTTCGTGACGTCTTCCTCGTGAACACCTTTAGGCCACAGGAAGACAATTTCTATCGCCCGCCCCTCGATCATTCCACAATTCCTCGCCTATACTCCCAATACCGCAGTCTGTTTACACCGCTCAATCGGAAGGCCATTGAAACAGGTTCCTCGCGCCACGGCGCATTCCTCGCATCAGAGTCCACTACAGACAAACCAATTCACCACCAAGAATGCGGTCCACATTGCTGCTCCTACCCGCGATTGCGCTGGCCGCGCCGGACTTTACTTCTCCGTTCCAGCCTGCGCAACTACAAGAGTCGCCCGCGCAAAGCAACGGCACCCTCGTCGATGATGGCACGTTAGAGCTGCTCAAACGGCAGACCGACCCCAACTCATGCGCTTCGGGCTACAAGGCCTGCACCAACATCAATCAACCGGGCTTGTGCTGCAGGACTACTGAGGTGTGCTCCATAGACAATGCAGGCCACGCAGCCTGCTGTCCCAACGGCAACGCGTGTACAGGCACTATCGCACCTATAACCCAGGGCTCCTCACCCACGTCCACTGGCACCCAGACGACGACCCCTACGGGAGCGACGACGACAATAGTAGTGACAACGGGCACAAGCACACCCTTCGTCCAAGGCTCCACAGGCGCAACAAGCTGGGTACCAAACACCTTCTTCCCCATCGCCTATCTTCCCACGACTTACAAATCCGCAGCCGCCTGCTCATCCGCTTATTCGCGCTGCCAGTCGGATGCTGCGCGCTGTACGTCTGCTCTAGCGAGCGGGCAAAACTTCGGCGTCACGGTTTCTGCGCCAAACGGCGGCGTAACGATCACAGCGGTGCCGAGCGTGGGAGCTGCCGCGGCGACCTCCATTTGCAGTAGTCTGAGTCAGGCCGCCTGTTCGGGGGACTGGAACGTGCAGGCTTGTTCAACATACGGACCGGGAGATGGTAGCAGGGCGGGCAGGTGTGCAGTAGGGAGGTATGGGGTGGGTGCTGGTGTAGCATTGGGCGTGGTTGGAAACATGCTGAGATGAAAATAAGGTGGGATTGTTCTGGTTCTTTGTGGATATTGTGTTCTTTGACCCTGTATAAAGAGGGAAGCGTGCATTGCGCATGGCCATGGAGTTTGGTGTTTTGGTGGATCAGTCGATGCATCGGCATGATAATGAAGGTCACGCAGTGGAGCGGATAGCGTGGGTGAATATTATGTAGTTGTGCAAATCAGACTGTTGAACAGGTAGTTCAACCAAAGCAGTGAGTGAGATTCGGTATGCAAGTGAGCATCGTGAGCAGCTCAAAGGGATGACTGCACATTCGTGAACGCACCAACTTGAAGAAGTGAAGATCCTTGTAAGGTTTGACTCTGTCAGAAGAGAATATTGCAATGGCACTGTGGAACAAGCACTGATTTCGTACTTTCATTGGCTTAAAGTCCGATCTGAGTGACGACCTGATCTTAGGCTACCGGATTGGGATGATCGACACTACATTGCGCAGTACTTCGCGAGTTTGATGTTCGGGTCTCTCTGCGTACAACGCTGCAGACTAGCCCAATAAGCGGTCCTCTATGAAAGAGTTGCTTGCGAGGTAGGTCTGCAAACACAGACCAATGCCAACAACTGGGTCTTTCTGGGGGGTGCAAAATTGGTTGCAGCAGTTGGAGCGCGGTGCGAAGCTTCACGTAGCTGTCCGTAAACGACTCAACTTACTAACTATGGAATCCATCCTTCCCCCTTATGAATCCGCTCACATCGATGCAAAGCGCGGCTTCGTGTTACGTCATCTACGGTGAACGAGTTCGAGCGAGCGGTGGGGGCTGAGTTGGGTGATCGTCCCTAATACGGAAGGATCTTGCATTGCCGGGGTGCACACGAGTCGACGCTCCTGCTGAGCCTCATCTTTCTTACTATAGCAATGTGACGTATATTTCATTGCCTCTTTCGGTGTCCGGCCTGGTGGAGTGCTCGGGGGTTTGTCGACCATAAACGTGGCCCGGGGAAATACTGCCCCAAGCATTCCTTTTCAGCCCCAGATTCCCGCGAGTCGTATAACACGAACGTAAACCACAGCTTAAACCAGCATCGCCAAGTACTAAAAGCCTCCCTCTGTCCCTCGCAATGACGAGGCCAAGCTCAGCAAAGGCATATGCCTCTCACAAGTCTGTAGGAAGTTGAGTCCGCAATGCGGCTGAGCCTCGTTGAAGCCATGGTACCAGACCACTCGATCGACATTGTGTATCGCAGTGCGACACTCTATGAAGTGGCAGGTCGTTCGTCTGCATATAAATCAGCCATCTTTTCCAGGTGTTCTGCTATCATCCAGCAGCCTTCTTCGCAACTAACAGCCAACTATCATCAGGACTTCATATCACACTGCAGCCATTCCTTCAACGACCAACACCAGTCACAATGGTCTACTCTCAAATCCTCGCCCTAGCAGCTCTGCCTGCAACATTCGCCCTCCCCAACCCACAAATATTCAATCCGCCGCACGAGACGCGTTACTGCGCAGTAGTCGACAAAACAGAGGAGGTCAACGGTCCAAGCTGGCAGACCGGACGCAGTGTTGACGGCGGAGGTGGTAAGTCTACTCATCATCACCTCGATCTCCCTCAGGCAAATACTAACAGTGTCCAGCTGTCACCTTCGAGTCCGGCCACTCCACCGCCTTCCAATGGCAGGTCGGCGGCGAAATCGGCCTTTCAGGGGGCACTCCCGTCAGTCTCGCTGGTGGCTTTGGCTTCAGCGTTGCCGAGCAGGTCACGGATAGCATCGCAGAGGCGTCCGATGCGGAATGTCCCGAGGGACCATGGCACTGCAGCGCAATATATTATCCATGGGGCGTCAAAGTAAGCGGGCACATGCAGAAGCAAGGTCCAAGTGATGGCTGTGAGACGGAATCGCTTGGTAGTTTCACGCATGATATTGAGGATGGGCAAGCGTGGGAGGCGTGGGTTCCTAAGAAAGATGCGGGAGGCGTTGGATTCGGGACGGTGGAGGTATGCACGTGCCAGAATCTTGAGCACTGGGCTGATGATGGGCATCCCGCTCTCCTGTGTCCGGAGCAATGCGCTAAGGGTGCTGACTCGAAGTGAGATGAGAGAGGCATATGGAGATAAGATGGATGGGTAGCTCCTGTGGTGCTTCAATTCGCACCGCGCACGCGTATGTTGCATGTCTGCGATTGATGTTCCTTTGTATTGAGACATTGCTCCTTGAACCTTTCTTTTCTGTACCGTATCTAATGCATTATACTCTTCTCGAAAGATTTCTATCCAGTGCGACAAGCGCGCTTGCATGTGGACGTCGGAAAAGCGCGCCTCAAGTGGCCGTGAAGAAAAAAAAAGAATCGTGAATGCTAGAGCTGAGCGGCCATTGATAATATGTCACGGTATCAAATGCATGCTGTGGCGCAAATGTCGAGGAAACCCGGATGGCGTAGATGTGTGAAAGGTGTTACGTAGAGGAGATCGATTCCCCGGGGACCCCGCCCCCGCCCGCATGCACAGGGCATATTTCTCACCAAGCCTTAGCGAGGCCCCACTCACCCGGCACAAATACATTTCACAGCAAGTCTCTAATCAACATCCCTTCCCTTCCTCCTCGTATCATCTGATATATAAAGCACAATTTTCCAAAAATTTACACCTGTAACGGGTCCAAATTTCAGAAGATAGGCCGTAATCTCGCACGTGCCTCCCAAGTCTTCACTCTAATAGGAGCCCAGTTCGAGTCCGGTGGTGGTCGTCTCACTCGCTTAGGTAACTAGCGATGCTGAGTGGCCCTAAGCAATGAATACAATCAGACGAGGGAAGCAATTCTGCAGTCAGGTATTCACCATTGGACGGCGGCGCTGGATTACTCTAATTAGGGTTGGGAGGTGTGAGCGAGGTGGCTGTTCAACTGATTTTTGCTTTTTCTTTTTGCGATGTATCTATCGCTTTGCTAAAATCAAGCCGAACATCACCCACTCAGAAAGTATGTTTTTTAACATCGCTGCTATTCTTACAGCTATGACTTCATATATCACCACCATATTATGATACAAAGCCATCATCGTCAGACCTTTCCAAATCCGGGGTATTGTTTCACTTCCATACATCATAGCAATGCAGTTCACCATGCTTTCCATACCACCGCCCAGCCATCTATCATCCGCCATGCTATACAAGGTAACTTGTCCAAAGCACCAAAATCTTTACATTCACAGACCATCAAAGGAAATATTCACCGCGGGTACCCCGTCCTGCTGGTACAGCGCGTCGATGGTCAGGTACAGCGCTGAATATCTGGAATTCGGGTTTGAGATCTTCGCCTAGGTTCATAATGGAGGCAACATTGCCGCAGCGGTAGCAGTAGTTTGGTGCGGACCAGACGGTGACAACATCTTTGTCTTTGAAATGGTACTGCAGAGAGTCAGCATGTACATGGGAGACGGCCAAGAGTTGCCGTACCTTGTAGCCCTCGTTAACAAGCTGATGCGCTCGAGCGATAAGTCGTAATCCGTTCACATGGTTGAACTGGAGCTTGTTAGCCGCGCACGTGTACATGCATATTGAAGTGTACGAACCTCTGATGAAACCTTGTCGCCGAAAAGCCATCCAGCTCCTCTTGGGGAGACCGCCCAGGTGTCGACTTCTTCCGGGTCGCTCCAAACTAGATCGCAGAAGGCGCCCTCGTGCGGGATCTCCTGCGCTCTCGCGACAACGCGAATTTGATCCAGCGTTCGGATTTCAGGACTGAGCCCTCCGTGGACGCAGAGAACCTTGCCATCTACAATGGCCGCCAGAGCAAGGAAATCAAACACTTGACAACAGGCTTTCCACACGGATGCATTGCCATACTTCGTTTGACACTCCTCGTAGAAACCGTAGACTTGAGTGATTTGTCTGGACTCGTGGTTTCCGCGCACAAGCGTGACTCGGTCAGGGAATCTGCGAGGTCAGCAATCAGCCAACCTGTCAAAGGGGACCATGGCTCACTTGGCTTTCAAGCACATCAGCAGCGTGAACGTCTCCAAACTGAAATAACCTCGGTCTACGAAGTCACCTAGGAAAATGAAGTTCTGTTGCCCGTTACCTGCGGGGACATTGGGCGCAGCTGATTCTTCCTCTGTACTTCTTCGGCCAGTGATACTCCTACTCCGGCCGCGTTCCTCCTCCTCCTCTTCCTCCTCCTCCTCCTCCAGATCTCCACCCTCATTGGGACTACTTGGGCCAGTATATCTTTCATCGCTCTGGAACCTCCTCTTCATTTTCCTTTTAGCTCTAGGGTCTTTTATCGTAGTTGGCGGCTCGATATCTTCGGGCTTTATGGTCGGAGGTATGGCGGGAGCAACTGGCGCGGTCGGGGCGTCGCTAGGCATGCCACCAGCAACGCGGAACAACTCGAGAAGGTCATAGAACTGACCGTGGATATCACCGCACACTGTTACGGGTGTCCGGACAGGCTGGATATTGGATTCTAGACAAATGGGTCAGTGCATGGAACCCCACCACAAGCGGATACACTGAGAGGGTTGCTTGAGGTATGTAGCAGACGTACCCTCCATAAGACACTCTTTGACAATCTCACAGAGGCGCTTCATCTCGGCCTCCGGCAGGTATTTGCACTGTTTGGCCTGCTCTAACCACTCGTCCGGCCCCGCGCCTTTCGAAAGGCGCGCGGGACCGGGTTGCGGCACATCGCTATCTTTCCCCATAATTACGGTGTTTCGCAGCTGTCAGTGACCAAACGGGCGTCTTGATGCGCCTCTTGAATTATTCGAGGCAGCAATGGCGGGGAATAGACAGTCGTGTGACGGGAGCGGTGGTGATTAGCAAGCGTGACGTAGCGAAATTCTGTGGTAACATCGGCGGGTGTGGATACAGCAGAACGCAGTGTAGGAACAAAGGCAAAGCACACAGGTTTCAGTAGCGAGCCTGGGGCTGGATATGCATGATGAGGTGGAAGCAGTGGGCCGTCGTCGAGAGTGCGGCGGTGGCAGCTGCTTGGCCAAAGCGCATCTGCCCTAGAGACCCGCTTCGGCAAGCGCCATGGGCTGGCGTCAGTCCCTGCGACATTCACCATTCTCACTTACCCTCTCCGCCGATACCAGTCACGCGTCTACAGCCAAGTTCCTACTATATTCGACCAACGCGGCTGCCCTCGCGTCGAGGACCGCTGTTTGTCAAGCACGAGTCCCACGTTTCCAATGTTTGCGCCTCTAAACCACCGTGCCACCCACCCTTTCGATTCCACTCCCGCCTCATAACCCGACCACACCCCCTGGGTCCCGCGCTGCTCTACTAGCTACACCTGACCAGTCGAAACGAAATGACGCCCCAAGCCGGCGTCAACGGCATCCTGCCTGTGACAGCGCTACAGAAGAATGTCCCCGCATCAGCGCCCCGCGGTCCCAAAACTCCAGCGCCGCGCTTGAAGCTCATATGCCGACGGCTCCCTCCTGGCCTGACTAGGACCGAGTTCGAAACCATGCTCGGAGAGGAGTGGAAGGTTGGCGCTGGCAAGCTGGACTGGATCAACTACCGGAAGGGCAAGGTTACCAAAGAGTATGCCCCGCTTCAAGCGTCGCAGAGGATAGACTGACATTCTTTTCAGCCTAGCGAAACCTTCCAAGCCTTCTCGCGCCTACATCCATGTCACGCAGCAACCTTTCGTTACCGCCCTCGGTGACCGCGTCCGCGAAGTTACGTTCCACGATGCCACCAAGTCTTTCCAGGACGGCGCCCTTATTGGACCTCCTGTCCTTGAATTCGCTCCTTATACGAAGCTGCCGGGCAACAGGCGTAGGAACGATGCTCGACAGGGCACTATCGACCAAGACCCTGAATTCAAAGAATTCTTGGAGAGTTTGACCGCTCCCATTACTAAAGCTGCCGCTCCCGAAGGCGAATCTACGAAGGAAGAGAAGGTCAAAACTACGCCGTTGATAGAAGCACTCAGGGAGAGGAAGGCAAACAAGGAAAAGCCTCAAAAGAAGGGCCGTGGGGAACACAAGGACGATGCTGGTGAGAAGAGGATCTTGGCTAAGTCTGGGAAGGAGAACGCCCCTGGGGAGAAGAATCGCAAGGCCACCAGAGCCGAGAAAGAGAAGGCTCAGAAGGAGGTCGTCAAGGCTGCTTTAAAGGAGAACGTTTTGGTTGACAAGGCTAACGCAGGCCCTTCCTCGGCTGCCCCGGAGCGCAAGCGTGGAAACGTCAACATCGCAAAAGGCATACTTCAGCGCGACCTCGGTCTTGGGCCTGCTCCAAATCGTCGACGAGGAACCAAGCGCGAAATCGCATCCGCCACACAGGAAACCAACCCTAAACAGGATGAGAACGTCAGTGGCAAGTCTAAGGGCAAGGAACCCGCCGTTGCTCCTGTTGCCACCATTACAACCGCAGAGAAGGTTACCCCAGCTTCGCCTAAGAAAGAGAGGCCATCTCGTGCCGAGCGCCGAGCGTTCAAAGCCTCGTTGGCCGAAAAGACAAACAATAAGGTAGAAGGAGAAAACTCCAAGGTTCCGGTGAAGCAAGGCACCGCGCCAGCGCCTACGATCCTCAAAAAGCCGCAGACCACACAGGCTCAGCCTGGCCCCCCACCAAAAGGCCCCGCTACTGCACGTGTTCCTCCCACGGGGCCTGCGGCTGCTCGGATTGCCAACACAGCGAGCCAGACCACGCCACCGAAGGCAGAAGCAGGCCCATTCCCCCGTCCAGCCAACCCTACACCTGCGCACGCCGCTACAGGTTCAGCTCCAGTACCAGTGGGCAAGCAGGCTTTCCTCAAGCACGCCAACGCATCTCAAGGCATCACGGAGCCCCTCATTGAAGAGGCACTGAAGGAATTCGGAGCAATCGAGAAAGTTGAGATTGACAAGCGTAAGGGCTTCGCCTATGTCAACTTTGCCGAACCAGAGGGATTGCGGAAGGCGGTCGCTGCGGGCACTGTCAAGGTAGCCCAGGGTGCCGTTCAGGTTCTCGAGCGGAAGGAGAAGCATCAGGTCCCTCGAGGCTTCCCTGCGCCTCGCCCGCAACCTCCCAGACCCGCTCAGGGCCGCGGCGGTTTTGGACCGCGTGGCCGTGGTGGCCGTGGTGGTGCTAGAGGTGGACATGTTGCCCCTGGACCTAATCCTGTTCCGGCTCAGGCACCAGTCGCTACGCCTACAGCTGATGTGGCGACGTGAAGGGACCTTCAAAGTGTTACGGTGTATCAGTTCACCACACAAAGTAGCAAATTCATGGTTACCGTACCTACGAGACCAGGAGAGGCCCTTACGCACCCACGAACGGAATGAGTCAGTATCAGCTATCATTTCAACATGTATCGGCTACCTTCAGAGCACGAGTTGATCGACAGCCTCCATAATTCCCGCTTCCTGGAAGGTCCGCCAAGTCACTCTCGCTTCGATTATATCGATCACCGGATCGGAACACGGCCCGGCACAACATTACCCTTCTGCGACATCTCTCCGAGGATCGTGAAACTGACGGCCAGTCTGCGCCAATACGACACATGCTTTGATGGGTATGATTGGTCGTGGGTGTACTATGGAATTGGATATTAGCACGTCGCGATAATTGATAGACAGTTGCTAGCTACTTCGATGCATATGAAGTATCCCTGCCGAAAGTAGTTTGCATCCATTGCTGGCTACGTGAAGCTCACATGTGTGTATCAATCCTTCTATATACCAAATCCAAAGCTTCTTCTCCACAACCCGTTCCGGGGAGTACCAATACAGTGGTATGCTTGAAATTTCCTCCTAAACGCCAGTAACGCCAATGCTTGTTATGCTCGGCCTCATATTCCCAGGTAGTACTTCCCGCGTTCCCATACCAGGAAGCTCGTCGCTGACATTGGAATCACCTTCACGTATCCAATTGTTAGTCCCACGAAGAACCCTCTCCACCCCTTCTCAATAAATATCCTCCTAGCGACCTCTGCAATCCCAAGTCTGTGTCCATCACCCACCACGCCTCCAACCTGCATTCTCCTCCGTATGACTTCCAATGGGTATGACACTGTCTGCGAAAAAAAGCCGGCGAAACCACCCGTGCTGAGTTCAGCCCAGTACTGCAGTTGCGCGGGCTTGTACGTGGAGGTTTCCGACTCGGCGCGAGATGTGTGCGGGAGCGTGGTGTAACGAGCTATGGCCGGGTGCCGGAGGAGGTCGCTCATGGTGTCGTGAGCAAGGAAGGATGCGCCCGCATACGGAATCATGCCTAGCAGCGTGGGCGTAAACCCGCGAAAGAAGTTTGCAAGACCGGTCTGTGGAACGCCCTTCTCTACGACTGTGGCGGCGGCAGCGGTGAGTGGGTTCGTGGGGTGGTGTGTGGTGGGCGCGCCGTGCTCGTTGTAGATCATCTTGCATATTCCTCTTAGAGTACTCCTTTTATCCGCGCTCGTCTCGAATGCTAGTCGCACCCGTATGACTTCCAAGGGGTATGTGAAGAAGACGGAGAACATCCCTGCGAGGCTGCCGCTGACGAAGCGCCGCCCAGGTGTTTCCTGCGCCTGGTTCTTTATGAAAACGGCGCGTATTTGGTCATAGGCGAGGAACTTGATGCCTGCATAGGGGAAGATGCGGAGGAGGGTGGCGGAATGACCCTTGAAGAGGCCGCGGACGCCATTTTCCCGGTATATGTCGCGGAGAGCGAGGTGTAGGCCTGACCAGTGACCTGCGTACTTCAAAAAGGCAGGATTACGGGTTTGGAGGAGGATTTTGACGCGGTCGAGGGGACCGACTACGGTTTTGGCCTGTGGTGCCTTTGTTAGCGATCGTCCCTGTATAGCAGGTATCGAGGCATAATGATGTAGGCCTGATAAACCTCATAATGCGCCCGTGTAGGTTTGTACGTACAGCGCATCCTGCCAGACCTCCCGCTATCCCGCTCTTTATTATATACTCCGGACTTCTCCTGTCCACCTTTCTCTCTCGCGACGGGCTCCGACTTCTCCTCCGCCCCTCCTTTACAGGAATATGTGCCTCGTCATCGGTCGCGCATAGTGGCGGTGCCTTCTGGATCTTCATATGGGGTGCAGTTGACTGGGTGGAGCCTGTCATGACGCGGGAATCTTTCTCTGCTTCATGGCGAAGGATATGCTCCGACATCCCACCGTTTCCCTGCTCTTTCTCCCTGACTGGTAATTCGGTATTATCGTGACTTGAACATGAAAGGCGACTGTGCGTGGGCGGTATTCTGTGTGTAGGGAGCGAATCGAGGTGGTCGTGTGTTGTTGCTTAGAAAAGCGGCGGCGCGATGTGGATGATGCGCTGGGTGACGTTGTTTGCCGAGGGTCGACGGAGGATTGCCGGCCAGCGCGGCCGGAAAAGAGCCTAGAACGGTGCCGATGAAAAGCGAGCTACAAGCGGCGCTTTTCCGCAACATCAAAACATACGATCACGAGCCGTCAACGATAGAGCAGAGTTGCAGAGTCGAATTACCTTCTAGAGGCGACTTGGGTATTCTCCAGCTGTTGCTGAGCTGTATAATCAACCTCGTCGCGACTGCTGATGACGTAATACCTAAACGAATTGTCACATGAGTAGACCTTTTCACTTTTACTCCTGTCGACTTGAAATTCCCAGATCAATTTCGCGACTACAGTTCCAGCATCCCTCAGCTTTACACATCTCGGCCTCTCTTTGATGTTCTGGGATCATACCATTTGATTCCGTTGTCGCAAGACAGCAGGATGCCGGGTATGAACTGCGACATGCCCAGTACATCGATCCTCTTCCAGAATGCTGACCGTGATGTCACACTCATTGACATCCCCACATCCATCGCAATAGCACAAGGTCGCTCAGATACTCTCCTCTCAACTGCCCCACTAGAAGTACCCTATCAATTGCACGAAGAACCCAAGACATCACAAGCGAAGAAAAATCACTCCTCGCATCTTACCGATCTACATATTGAGTACAAGAGCACAATCCATGCAGCTCTCGCCGAGATCCGAAGTCACATCTCAGGACCCTGGTGCTTGCCACGCAAGCTGATGACCCAGGTACCAGAACATGGGGAAATGCAACTTGACACTGTGCAGCACGAGGATCCGGAGAAGGAAATCGAAAGCCGGCTGCGTGAGTGGTCCGCTCTGGCTGAAAGCAAGGGAGAGGACACGCACTTCGACTTCGAGAAGATGATGGCTTCTATCAGTGCGACATCTGACCCGAATGCAACCGACTCTGAAACCGTTGCACACAAATGGTCGGTGTCGTACACCTCTCCACGCGACGATGCACATGTATACCCACACCAGGCGGCCGAACCATGGACCTCCTCCTTTCATAACCCGGAAGACCACCCGGTGGACATTCACGTGCGGGAGAACGTAACGCAGGCTGGCCGCGAGGCGCCCGCGTATCGTTTCACGATACCTCCGCACGCGACCTTCTTCCTCAGCGATTCGACACACTCGGACGCGTTTCGTGCTGCGTTCCGCGAGCTCACGGATGACTATGTGCTCCCGCGGCATTTCGACTTGGTCTTGCTTGACCCGCCGTGGCCGAACCGGTCAGCGAAGCGGAAGGGCGCGTACGAACAAGTCGGCGGGATGCCGCACATGAAGAAGATGCTTCTGAATATGGACATCGATAGCTACCTCGAGCACAACGCAGTGGTTGGTGTATGGATCACGAACAAGGAGTCGATGCGCGCACAAGTGCTTGGTCCTGGGGGTCTGTTCGAGAAGTGGAACGTAGGGTTGGTGGAGGAGTGGATTTGGGTGAAGTTGACGACGGCGGGCGAACCTATGTTTGACATTGACAGCGCGTTGCGAAAACCGTACGAGGTGCTACTGTTGGGCAGGGCGGCGCCCAATGCGTGGACGACCATGTCGCATGCGCGTCTTACGAAAAAGAAAGTCATTGCAGCCGTACCTGATGTACATTCTCGCAAGCCCTGTCTGAAGGAGTTGCTCGAGCCGTATATGCCGGATGCAAAAAAGTATAGCGCTCTAGAGGTCTTTTCGCGGAATTTGGTTGCCGGATGGACGTCTTGGGGCAATGAGGTTATCAAGTACAATTGGGAGAAGTATTGGGCATAACATCAACGTTAAATTCACACGTTCATCTCATGCAACGTATGCAGAGCGAACCATCTTCGAGGCTGGTGGCATAGTGCCGACCTTAGACCGCCTCTTGAGCTGTGTTATCATCGAGTTCGCATAGCTCGAACAATGTATAGAGTCATAAAGAGCTATTCAATGGAAAGTCAAATGAGCATACTTTCAATGATGCCACCCAGGGCTGTCAACTAGGACATAATGAGTAGGTGAAAGTGAATCACTGCCTTGATGACGTCCTTTGACTGTGGAGCGCTCCTTCCTCGTAGACTTCGCCCACTTATTGCCCTTGAAAGAATAAACACAAACGAACTTCGGACACGTCGCGTCCACTCTCCAACTTTTCGACAACCTGCTGACACTCCCAGTATAAGAAATTGCGCTTTTTACAGAGCATCCTTCCTGGGGGCTATTTGCAACGGTCGTATTGCTTGAATTGGCAGTAAGTCGCCCGAGGCGCCCGCTACCTTTGATCTTCGCTGGCCTAATTTATCAGTAGCGGCTTCGAATCATGGATCTCGGCGTTGTCATGGCATCTTCGCCCGCCGCGGCGCGTGATATCAAAGCGCTCAGACAGTACCTGCGAAGGGAATTCAACACCGAAAAACTAGACGGTCTCGACAAGGTGCAATTCTTACCGGCACGTCAGGGGAGCGGCAACGTGGAGAAGAAGATCCTCATCGGTACCTGGGGTAAATGGAGCATCTACGCAGCCTATAGATACACACTGGAAGGTGGTCGGACTGGCAAGCGGCTGACATTTCTCGCTGAAGACAAGGACAGCCAGATGGACTGCCACGCGAGGGTGCTGCGGGATTATGTGACTTATGTTGAGCCTTTCTCGCATTTGGTTCCACTGGATAGGAGACCCGGAGATTGGTTCAAGGGTATCCAGCAGTCACTTGGTCGGTACATCGAGGCTTGCTTCGTTCTGAAAGGCCTGACCGTTGGCACCAGTGTGGAGACCGACAAGATTTGCCGCTGGTTGGGCGTCGCAGTGACCCATATTAGGGAAGCTCAGCATGCAGCTGTTGGATTTGAAGCTGGACATAAAATCTCCAACGTTGCCACAACCAAAAACGAACGCCTTGACACTGTCGTGGAAGAAGGCCCCACGTCCACCACCGAGGAGCACGAGGAGTACTCCGCGTTCGACTGGAGTGATATTCCCTGCGACGCTGAGAAGAAACTTTTCGAGTCGATCACCGCACCTTTCGATCTGCTGAAGAGTTCTCGAAAACAGATCAAATACCATTTGGAGTGTCTGGGCCGTAGACACAACAAGGTCGAGAACAAAACCATTCACTTCAAGGCTGCTGTGTCCAATTGCGAGGACAAAGCGAACGACCTTGTGAACAAATCGACCGTGCATCAAAACCAATTGAACGAGCACCAACGCAAGTATCATGAAATGGAGCTCCGGATCAGGGTTAATCAGCATAGGCTGAAGAGGTGTGGTGAACATATCGCAATTCACGAAGCAGAGTAGTGGGCAAGCAGAATGGGTTCGAGAACGGAGTGAAAGTTACGCAAGCACGTTGTAATGAGCAGAAGACCGTCACTGTCGTGTATTTGGAAGGGTATGTCCCCAGAGAGAAAAGAACCTGAGCAGCGAGACCTTGTGGTCGTATCAAAAGTCATTGTTGTTCCTTCGAGGTTGAGCATGCTGTACTTCGTAGGCACGAAGCATTCAATGAAGGCTGTGCGACCAACATAGCCAATCTAAACTCCCGTATTGAAGCCTGTTTGAGTCGACTGTCTATAGTCTCTAGTTCGACGAACTGTTCGTTGTGGTTTCGTGCGGAATCACTGTCTCCTAGAACTCCTTCCTTATGTAGATGTTCAACCTTTCCACGACCGCCACCACAAGCCTCAAGTCCAAGCTGGACGCCATCCGACCTTTCCGTCCCCTCCCGAGGCCCCTCCACTACCCGAACCCCTCACTCACGAGTCGTACCTTGGTACCTGCGCTCCGAGTCTACACGATTAATGCACCACCGCCTGGCCAAGCTCTCCTACTCAGCTCGTGACGCCGACATGCCGTGCATCCCTCGGCCCACTCACGATGGAGTCCTCACATATGCAGGGACACCCTCGATCGACGAAGCGCCGGCACCCCACTTGTATCGGCATGACAGGCAGCAGACAAGGCAGAGTGGGGATGTCAGTGGGTGGAGTGTATCGTGGGGGAGGCGTGGGGCGTGTTTTGCTTGTGGCGCGTGGAGCGGGCGGAATTAATCACCCGGCGTCCAAATCAAAATTGAAGAAAACATGGTTGGAGGAGATGGCACATGATGGATGAGGATGCTACGTCTGGTTTGACCGCGTGACTTGAAACACATGTTGCCGCCGTGGCGACCGTGTTTCCAAGGTTCGTTGTTGTGCTGATGTAGTAGCATGTGAAGCGTGCGTAAACCGCGTACAGGACCCCGCGCCGCGCAACGCGTCCATCCGCCTCCGCCTCCTACACCGGACATATTCACACCGGCACGCTTTGTACCCGTCCAGCTCTACCGGACAGAAGAAGCTCGTGATCGCCGATCAAGCCGGCCCTCTCAGCTGTCAACACAAGATCAACAACTCACGATTGCATCAACGGAAGCACATGCTATATAGGGGCGGTCCGACATCACGTCAACTCGACGGTCCGATGACCCCACGTCGGTCTGCCGTGCCGTGCAAAGTGCCACTTGACCGGACAAGGCGCCATAGCATCGTGACTCTGCCTGTTCGGCCCTACCAAGCTTGCCACGCGCTGTCAAACTTGCTTGCTTGATGGCGACGGCAGACGCGGTGAGTCCAGCGTGCCAACTCACGGCTGCTTTTGCCGCTTGTTTTTCAATGGTGAGTCATCTGCCCACTGAAGTAAACTTGGAAACTTGGATTCCAAAGGGCCGGATCATGGAAGGGTGTGTCGCACAGCGCGGTAGGCGGGCGCGATACCGGGATTTGGGCTGAGACGACGCGTGAGGCCTCACCGCCACAGGAGTGCTTTTGCCGAGGGTGGTTATTGGGTGTGGGTGCACGAAGAGTGAGCAATAGCTTGTTCAATAGTCAAGGAAGGTGTTAAGACGGTGTTGCGCTGACGGGGCTGCGTTTGTGAGATGCTGACAGTAATGGGACAGTAATGGGTAGGGTTGCGAGTGAGCAGGTGTCTGGGGCGGGAGGGCAGTTCCGTTGCACTCCGCGCCGCATGCTGTCGCCCCCACGGAATCGATCTCCACGGTCAGTCCCGCCCGCTGCGCGCAGCGGACTGTGTGTCTCCGCAGAAGCACATCTGGGGCGCTGCTCAACACGATGTGCGCAGCAAGAGTCAGCCTCGTAAGCCCAATCACCGTTCGCATTTCGCACATGTTACGCCTGAAACAGTGTATCACTGCTTCATTTGATAAATGAAGATTGAAAGGATGGAGTCCGATGCATGTCCTCGCTGATATTGCGCAATGCACTTGAAGGCCTAGACATGTAAGAGGGAGGATCTGAACGCCGCAGGCAAACGGGCGGCGGAGGTGGCATTGCATCCCGCATACCCCGCCCTGAGGTGTCGTCGCTGCACTGTTGTCCGCGCGCTGGCATATCGATATGTAACCCGTATCGCGAGACGGCTTGCTTATCGATGGGTGTGGGGTCAGACCGAGATCCAGAGCACGGTGTTTCTGCCGGGAAGTGGGTAACGCGGTACCAGAAAGTCATCCAGACGTACGGATAACACGGAGAAACGGTGCATCGCGGTCTGGAGTATATAGCTACACATGTAACAAAGTCCAGATGGTGTTGGTGTTGGCCTGGAGCGATAGATCGGCGTCTTTCGAACGCACGACATGCATCTAGAGTTATTGTCGCATGGATAAGAAGAGATCTCCGGCGCGACAACCGCTTGAATAGCAGTGATTTGCAGTGTAGCGGACCGTCAGCTGCCTCTGTCCGCTGCAGGGCAAATCCTCGGGAAGGCTCCAACGTTGTCTGCAAGCCCAAGTTGGACAGCCATGTTCCTCCACCCAACACTCTATCCTTACCACCGGCTTCGCGGCCCACGTGTATGTTGGGTCTGGAGCCGATATGCTTTCCCACCAACATCTCATATGATTTTGTCACATGGAAAGTGCGGAGACGGGAAAACACCAGCCTGGGGTGGAAATGGAGAATACACGGAGCACTCCGTCGTGAATGTGACTTTGACAGGTACATCCGTACGCAGGCAATTTCTCCGCCTTCGGGATTCGTTTCTCCACCAGGTGGGCAGTCCCGGAGTTTTCCCTCATTTGTGTGGCGTCGGAAGCATGCCCCCTCGTGGCAACCAGACTTCGCTTTTGGTAGCCTATCCTAGCGGCCCCGAGCCGCGATGACTTTCACACGTGGAAGCACAGGTCGCTGTTGCGCCGAGCTTTACCCTCGGTCAACCACCGAACGAGGGTGAGAGTCAACCGACGGCTTCCGCTGAAAAGGTGTCCATATTAGGAAGTTTAGAAGGCTAGCGATACCACCGTCCCAGCGCTACCCGTCATTTTCGCGTGGGACAACGGGTCGGTGAGGAGTGACGAATTAGGAAGCTTTGATGAAGGTGCGCAACGTGAGGCGTCGCGAGGCGTTGGAAACGAAATTGGACATCTCGCGGGGAACGTTGGAAGACTGCCGCAAAGCTTCACGAATAATGGCAGACATGAGTCGTGTTTCAAAGGGAGTCACTGCGTCGCGGAAGCGGATGAGAACCTTAAGGCTTCAACGGTTGCTCACGACTCGTACAGGGGGCGCGGAAGTGCTGCCGCGAGCCTTGCACGGGAGGCGGTCTGCGTCTGTTTGCAAACAACGGGTGCTCCCACAGCCGAGTCGCAAACTTTGCAAGAATACGCAAACTTTTGAGCTGACCATGTTTCAATATTCGCATGACGGCCACGCGCATGAGCCCTCGAGAGACCTCCTTCGCGCGCTCTCCGTGAAGATTTTCCAGATGCAGGGTGCAGTGTTATGTGGATCTTCGGCAGAGATGCCCTCGTCCCGAGGCAAAAGGCTGGAAAACCCTTCTTTGCGCCTTCTAGCGCGTCTCCCAATATCGCGACATCGACCAGACCAAGGGTCAGAAATGACTACGCGTCCGAGCGTCCTGCAAATTCTCGGGACAGACGCAATTTACCGTTGAAGCCTGAATCTAACGTGGCTATCGAGAGCAGAAATTGCAAACAGCACAGAGCCGCAAGCATTCTGGCTGATTTAGCATTTCGCAAGGCTGTGTCAACCTGTTTGGGAGTACAGTAAGGGCAATGTTATTTCTGGCAGCATTGCAATTTGTGCAACTGCCCGATGCGTGCGGAAATTCCGGGAGGCGGGTGTGGGTGAAGATGACGGGAGCGCTGACTGCAGAGATGACTAGTCATTACCGGCGTGCTCAGCCTTGTGAACCAAAAATGCAAACCTGAGGTCGTACGAGACGCCTGTCTGCATGCAACGCAAGAAAGGAAAGCCCGGCGTTGGGGAGCTGACCACCTTCAGGCTCCCATCGCAGGAGGCTGTTGGTGTAGGTGGACGATCGGTCTGGCGCTCTTCGCGACGGTTGCTATGTGAATCACATGTGCATCCGGATGAACCCTCTACCACTGTGCCATAGAGTGGAGTATAGTTCACAGGCTAGAGTATTTGACGGAAACTAGAGGACACTGGACCCTTGGATCGTCGTCTCGAGCCTAATGTATGTACCCCAGGTTGCGATTCGGTTAAAGACGCAGAAACCTCGGACAGCGCTGCCAAGCTGGGATGCGGAGTCAGACAACGGAGTCCCTTCAGGCTTCAGGAAGGTTTGGGGAAGTGTTTCGTTTTGCAGCATGGCGGTCCAGTGGGAGACGAGAGGCGAGAGGTCGCTGCGACGACGCGCAAAAGCAGTGACTGGTCGTGGTGGCTCAGTGTCGCAAGCCTGTGCTCGCGTCTTGGGCGCGTAAATGGAGGAGCTCTCACATGGCGGATCTGCGGATAGCAACCCGCGCGGTGGACAGGATACATCCCCATCTGGCAATGCAAACGGGCGGATGAATGCGAGGGAGGAGCTCTACCGACAGCCGAGCAGTGATCGCCCCTAGGCTGACTGTAGGAGCTCGGGCGGCGTCCGGAGGAGTGGGCGAGACTGGATGCGCACCCCGTTTTTCCGCAAAGCCTCGTGGGGGCATGAACAGTGCCCGGTGCCCACGAAGTGACAGTGGAGTCGTGGAGATTTCGCCTTGTGATTCAGGGTCACGATGAGGAGGGCGCCACGAGTCCCGTCGCCAGGTGGCGGCCTGACTCACCCGCTGCCAGCTGGAATCGCAGCCAGCGCACCGCACAACACAGCTCAGCATGACTGTTGCTGCGAGGCCGCGACGAGTCATCTATCGCAGCCTGGATGCGATATCGCATGGGGAAAGGCGGTCGCGCAGGCCGGGGGTGGCAGCGGAGGTGGGCCACGGGGGCTTACGGGTCGCATCATGGCGGTGACAAGGCAGGCCAATCCCGTGGCGGCGAGTCAAGTAGCGGTCACTCACCGTAAGTCAGAAGAAGCAAATCAGGATCCGACAGCGCGCACCCGTTTCATGCGTGGCCTGTGTTGGAATTTGCGACGGAAGATATAACGCCGCAAGGGCCAGCATCCCGCATCTAGAGCATCTGATTCCGGTTCGAGACGCTCTGCGTGGTCAAAGGCACATTGCTTCTGACTCGGCCTCCTGATCCAGCCTCATTCCCACATCCTATTTACACTCGCCTCAGCCCTCGCTCATCCTGACTTGGACTTGACAACATCGACGCAACAGGTTTCGCGCCCGGCCCAAGACCGGCTTTCATCACCACTCTCTAACGCCTCGGATCCGGTTCCCGCTCTGCCACGCCGTCATACACTCGGGCCCTTTCCGCCTCCCTCGGTAGACCTACTTCACACTACCACCTGCGCTAGCTGAACGGCGACCACGCGAAAAGCGCGTCCGCAGTGTTTTCATCGCCCGGATACGCCCGCCAACAACATATAACATCCCTAGCCCCACAACAGGCGCGATGCATTTCGAAACTTCCCCAGGTTCTTCGCCTTCCAAGTCGATACCCATCTCCATCACCAAGATGTCTTCACCGACAGACTCCCTCTACAGCAACTGCTCCATCGAGTCGTCGACATCCAGCCGCGGCTCCTCATGTGCCTACCCTTCCTGGCCCACAGGCAGCTCGCTCGGGTACCGCAGCACGCCCAGTTCCTACATCAGCGACGCCGACCTTTTCGGCGAGGACTTGGATGACGACCTCTCGTGCCCCTACCTCCAGGAAGCACCCGCACCGCCACGCCAGCCACCGATGGCGCAGGCCTTCCCCATCTTGCCCCCACTTTACGCCTCCGAGAAGCCAAAGAAGCAGCAACGCAGGCGAAGCAGTGGCCGCAAGCCTCGCCGCTCCAGCAAGCCCATGACTCCCATCTCCGAGTCACCTGAAGCTCACCGAGACTGAACGACCATTTGGAGCTGATTCTCAAACTGTAAGCTTTGCCACGCACGCTTGCGGCGGGTGCATCCGCTAACAGGTTGTCCAGTCATCTTTGTTGTTAAACAACACCATCATGTTAGCGCACCATGCATTTAGCGCTGCATATCCATTCTGCCATCCATCATCACGACCTTGGAGCCTTTTAATTCTTGTTGTCTGATCGATGCGGATGTTGAGTCCTGTCCAGTATATGGATCAGTATGTGTCCAGACTGTGCGACGCTTTCAAGGTCGCACTCTGACCGGATCCGGACATCGACATCGACTACTCAGCACCCGGAACCCGATCGACCTTCGGTGCATCCTGAATGTGACAGGACCCTCGAGCATGACAGGAGCGTGTGGTTGCGGGGTGGAGAGTTACCGCCGCAGCTTTGTGTTGCACTCAACGTGCTATCTCACACAGTCGCGCTGTCGCGCTGACGTGCAACGTCTCTCGACATCTGGACCTTACCTGACCTTGCCAACTTCGTGTTGCCGGGTCTAGAAGGATCCACGCGTCACCCGGTTGTCGGACCGCAGCCGCGGTGATGTGAATGAAGCGGAGGAAGTCAGAGGTTGAGCAAGCCTCGCCTCGCATTGGGTGCTGGGGTGTGATGAGTTGTGTTGCATTTGCAGGCGTTCTGGGATTTGCATTTGATACCCCTTCCGATAAACGGAACATAGCGACTGGGAACGGGATGTTTCTTCATGCGCGGCATGCCGTCTCGCCTGTTGGGCTGTGATGGCGGTCGCGCCTTTCCTATTATGATACCCTCCATCAGATACCCTGCGAATATTACTTATTGATTGACCTTGCACGCCATTCGCCTTTGTTTTGTGACATGTTGCGATACCTCTGGTTCCGAGTGGAAGGCCTGGCCATGTCCCACCTCGTGCCCGCGCTGAAAGGGCTTGTGGTGAATTGGCGGTGAGGGCGAAAAATCCAATATCGGCTTTCATGGATCGGCTTTTCCCCCCTGCTACCCAAGTGAAGAGTTCGCTTCACTCAGGTACGCCTGGTAACAACAAGAGAGCCGCCATCTCAATGTCAGCTTGGATGTGCTTACTCGTCGAGACATCCATTGCGTAGGTTCACATGCCCTCTACTTCGCGCTCGTCTACCATACCGTTCGCTTCGCGCGCATAAAGAAAACAGTGCAATCTCATTTCTCTGTCGGTGATGAAGCATGCGATTGGCGCTTTGTGAAGAGTCACCGCCGAACTTAAGGTTCCTGAGTATCGAACCAGGTCACGAGCTGAATCCTTCACTGGAATCGTTGGGCATCACATCGGTGTGAAAGCCAACCAAGGTCCACGCGACGATGGCGAATGGACATGATCAAACGTACTAGACGCGAATGATGCTAATGCGAACGAATAGAATGGCTGTGACTTCCCAAGGAAAGTACCCAGGTACGCTCGCCACGAGATTTGGGCAGAGACCCGTGACCCTACACCGATCCAAAAATAATACCAAGCACCCGATTGTGGTAAGCCGCCATGCGGATTTAAGCGAATCGTGCTTTTGGTGGTGACTTTGCTGGGAAGGAAAGGCTTGCTTCCGGCTGCCGATGCATGCTCTGCGTTACACTGAGTCTCAGCGCGGACCCAGGAACTTGTGCCGTATCAGACTGAACTGCCGGGACGTTCTGGAAAGCGTGCATTCGAGGGGAAGGTTGCGTTGCAGTAAGGAACCCTCGCATCACCCTCTCGTTGTGGTGAGGAACGTGGGGTATGCTTTGGGGAGGGGCAAGTGGCTGGCCCGCCTTGGGCGTACACGGCAGGGAAGAGCTGCTAGTGCGGGCGCTTAGTAGCTTGCGCGCCGCCGCATAGCATTGTGAACATCTTGTTGGAGCGAAATCTAAAGTGTGATGAGCCCTGCGCCCGTTGACATTGACAGCAGAGGATACGGTATGGCCAGGACGATAAGAGGCCCCTGCCGAGCCGCTGCTTCATGCTGCTACGAATATTGAGGAGGCTGGGGCGGGGTCAATCAAGATGAGAGAGCCAATGTGCGGTTGCGTTTGGACCAGCGTGCATAGAGCACTGTGCAAGAGAACCCCCTCGCGGATCGACGAAGCTTGGACAGCTGTAAGTCACTGCGGGATGACGGAAAGGCTGCGGCACAGCTCCAGCCGAACCATTGCTTCGTGGAAAGCAAAAGCATGCGTCCCTGTACCTCAAGCCGAATGCTAGAGGACGTCAAATGAGGAAGTGGCTAAAGCGGCCGAGCCAGCATATGTATGTATGAACGGATCCGTATTCCCATTCGTAGTCTTGTACCTTGCGATACACGCTGCCGGGTCCCAGTAATGGTCGGGTAGACCGCTGCATTGGAGCCCTGCGCAGGCACTTCGCCCTCGTGTTGCATCTCGGGGGTGGAGAGGCACACGATCCCGTTCCACGAGACATGATGGCCATTTCCGAGCAAAGGAAGGGCCCGGCGCGGCGTAGAGGCACTGTTGCATGCAGATCGCCCCAGCAGCCCCCAATTGACGTCGTAGAATCGGCTGGGGGCTGGGAGCGATCGTGGTGCGGTCGTCGCGAGATTTCTACAGGATCGCAAGTATCGGTGGAGCGATGCCGTCGCGGCAGCGCATTGCGGTCTGATATATGCGGTCGTTTGCTTGGAGCGCTGGGTTGCACTACTTGGGCTTGGTCTGAAGGATGATCCATGCCGCGTCCATGCCACGGCCCGTACCAGATGCGGCTGCGCATCATGATAGGGCCGTTAGAGCTGGTCTTGTGTGATTAGGCTTGCCTCTGTCACCTCGTACCGCCCAATCACCTGACGAGCTGGCCCTCTCAGCCTGAACCCCGGTCGTCGACTACTTCGTCCCTTTGCCATCGCGGCCGTTGAGAGGCTGAACTGCTCGTCCCATGCAGGCACCGCGGTTTCTGCAGCGCGAAACTTAGCCAACGATGCGGTCGTGTCACCGGGGCGGCCAGCTTGGCGACCAGCATCTCGCCAGCGCTCGCACGTCGCCCTGCATCTCGCTGGTTCGTCGAGTCCGATGTCCATCTCGAGCGACCACGGACGCCAGCAAATGAATGAAGCGACGAGAGACCCCAGCCGTTAGACGCCTCATTCTCCCCGGTTCTGGTTCTCGTTAAGCACAAGCGTGTGGGTTCGAGGCTTTCCCTGACTCTACTGCTCCGAGTATTCGTCCTATTCTGAGCAGAAATCAATCCATCCTGCCCATCTTAAGCGCCGGCCCTTGATAGGCTCATGCCAGCTACTGCATCAACTCTCGCTCGTTCGCCCGCGCTTCTGCTCCTCTCCTCACACTTCCTGTCTCTTCTGCCTGCCGTCTGTCCCTCCAGCTGCACGTTGGTCGTGATACCGCCGTCCTCTGCAAACGGGCGCATGCAGACTCGTTTACCGCCGACTTGCAACCCCAGTCAGCCAGGGCGGGGCTAAAGTATACCGCCCTCTAAACGCCGTGGAGCTCGAGAACAGCTGCACTGCTCTTTAGCGCGCACGTTGCTGTGAGTCTCAATTCCCCGGCGCAGCCTTCTGCGTTTCATCGTCACTCTTCTGGAAGCCCCTGATTGTACTCCCTAAGTCTTTATCGATTCTACCTGCCCTCGCTATGCGCCGTGTGGGCGTTTCTGGACTCGACTTTGACTGACTGACAGCCACTCCTCAGGCCCGCGTACCATGTCGACAGGACTCGCCAGACAGCGCTCGGCGTCGCGGGGCTCTTCGGTGCGCTCAGATGTACAGCACAAGCCGCCGACACCCAGCATTACTCCAGGAAGCGACGAGTTTGCCTTCGAACCATGCGCTGCGACAGCTTCGTTCCTGCTCTACGCCCAGCGCAACGTCATTCTGTGCCTTCACCATGACACTCTGGCCGTGGAAAGAAGATTTACGAGGCATCGCGAAGACGTCTCGTGGATTTCCGCCGATACGGTCAGCGAGCGCGGTGCGGGCCGTCTGGTGGTGAGCTACGATGCGGGGAGCACCGCAATTGTGTGGGACCTTCTCACCGGCGACGAGGTGGCTCGATTTGCGTCGTATGACCAGATTCGGGTTGCTTCGTGGATGAGGAACGGCAATGTTGCATTTGGTGAGTCCAGGGAGCTCCATCGCTCTTTCCGCTCTGTCCTGACCAGGAAGCAGGCAACGCGCAGGGCAACATCATCCTTTTCGAACCTTCAACATCCGAGCACATTTCCGCGAGGACCATCTTCGACCCGATTACGGCACTGGCTCCTGCGGCAGACTGCCGGACGTTTGCAATTGGGTAAGCGTCGGAAACAGCGCTCACGTGCTGGGTACATTCATGCTAAGCAACTCCAGGTATCTCAATGGCTCGATTCTGATCGCGACGCTACAGCCGTCATTTACCATTCTCCACACTCTCACAACACCTAGAGCCCCTTCCCCTATTGCAGGGCTTGCTTGGCACGGGTCGTCCTCGAAACAGAAGTCTGAGATGTTAGCCGCTCAGACTTCGGACGGTGACCTCAGAGTGTGGAGCATCCCTAAAGTGGCTCACGGTGGCGACACCCCGTGTGTGATCCGCATCCTTAACAAATCGGACCAAAGAGAACCCGGCCCCTGCTGGTTCGCGTGGTCGAAAAATGGCCGAATCATCCAATACACGGAAGGGTACGTATCTTAGATCGCTCACACTGGGCTGCCCTGCATAGTGCGGGCGCCCGGCGCTTAATGAAAACATGCTGACCACTCATCCCTAATAGTCAAACAGCCGCTTGGGATGTGCGCACCAAGCGAGTCTCGTATGAGAGTATCCCTACGGTCGATAATGTTGCCGCCATTTGCAACTACGGCCCTACTGCTACGCTCTTCACCATGAGTCGTAACTACGGTGTGCAGCAATATGACTTGAATCCTAGTGGGACGCCAACCATTGTTCAAAACGTCCAGCATCCTCCTGCTAATACTCCCCCATCTCCTCCTCACTCCCTTGATGAACATGACAAGACTGGCAAGACCCCACTGACTTCTCAATCCAAGTCAGCCGCGCATGTACTGATTGAATCTGAAAGTAGTGAGGGCGAGGGTCATACTGTACTCTCGCCGTTACAGAAGATTGCTCAAGAGATGGACCAGTTGGAGGAGGAGCGTCGTGATCGTGTCGGCCCTCTCAGTCCTGTCTCCAGTCGGGGCTCGCAAAGCTCCAGGTCTTCAGGGAGCGGACGTGGACCACGCTACCGTTATGACAAGCCTGCCAACACCAGGTCTTCGAAGAGCTCAGGAGGTACAGTATTCTCGTCAGGCACTTCTTCGATGGTGGGTGCGTCTCGCGAGAGCATTTCTATCAAGTCTACGTCATCGGCCGCATCTTCACGTTTCACTTCCTCCCATCTTCGCAAAGAAGTACTTCGGAGCCCAGATGAGTCGCATCGTACCCAGCACATGGACCTATTTCCTTTCACCAAAGCTCGACTTGGTGACGTTCCCTACCGGAATTCTCAACTCGGCTCTGAAAGGTCTCCAGACGACCTCCGCCAGAACATGCTTCGCGTTGTGTTTGGTTGGGAGAATGACATCGAGGAGCTGATTCGTGACGAACGTATGTACAACTCTCTGCTGACAATGATGAACGCTAACGAGTTTAGTTGCCCGCCACCCACCAGGGTCAGCCGCGGCCGTCCTACTTTCGAAGTGGCTCGGTGACGTTGGGGCCGACCTCATGGCATCCATGGTTGGGGCCGAGTCTATGACTTCCTCGGACTGGATGTTGCTTGCTCTCAGTTCCATGGGTCAGGGTACGCAGAAGAAGGTCGGTGAGACCTTCGTTCAGCGACTCCTCGAGAAGGGCGACATTCACCCTGCCGTTGCTATCTTGCTTGGCTTAGGTGAGCACAATGATGCCGTCGAAGTATATGTCTCTCGTAAATACTTCATGGAGGCGATCTTGCTTACATGTTTGATGTTCCCGACTGACTGGCAACGGCAATCATTCCTTGTCAGGAAGTGGGGTGAGGCTGCGGTCTCTCGTGGCCAAGCAGAGCTCGCTGTAAAATGTTTCTCTTGTATGGGCCTGGAGTCATCCGAGCCTTGGTTCTCGCCGCGGGCTCAGGACGCAGTCTTCTCTGCACAGAAACAACATCTCCTGGGCTCGCAGCTCAGTCCGCCTCTTTCACCACCAAGCGCTGGGGGAAGTCGGATCACGGCGAAGATGTCTTCCCTCAAGCTTGTCACTGACTTCGGTCAAGGACCTCAACCGCAACAGATGATCCCCGAAGACGACGAACAGACTCCAATGCACGTTGGTGCCACGCCTATCGCAGAGTCTGCGATGAGTCCCACTGGTGGCAGGAACCCGTGGCTCGGCGCAAGCCTGAGATCAGCCCGTCCTCGTGAGGGCTCCCGTGAACCATCTTCGGCCAGGACTGCTACACCCGGATCGTACAACCGCAAGCGTCTTCCCTCTCAGTCGGGTACGGAGCGATCTACAACGAACAACGAATATCTTGCTTCTCTTGCTGTGCCGAACCGCGGACAGCGTGACGAAATTCCGCGTACTGCTGTTGACAACATCGGACGCGAAGCGGAAACACTGCCGTTCTCGAGCCGCCGCGCGGCATCAACTGGTGCAAGCGAGAAAGAGATTGTTTTAACCGCTGCGACCTATGATCCAGCCAAGCCTAAGGAGCATATGCCGTCTCCCGCCGCCGGTGTGTTCACCACCCTGGTTGGTAGAGACGAGGAATCACGCAACAGCTCCCGCAGCCGCAACGTACAAGACTTGCACCTTGAGGTCGTAGAGACTATCATGGACAATGGCCCCGACACAGGATACATCAATCTGAGTCCGCCTTTGACAGGAGCCAGCGTCAAAAGCGCAAAGGCCCGCGGCATTGATCAGTACATCAGCAGCTTAGAAGAGGCCAATTATTACTCTCGGAAGCATAGTGACCCCAAACCTGAGCCTCGTCCGGGCTCGCGCACCGACCCCCGTCCCGACAGTCGCACAGCTAGAACTCGCAGCCGAACCCGCGACGCCTCTGAATCTCGAGGACGCTCTGGCGCCCGCTACATCCGTCCTGCTAAACGATCCCCTTCATCGCCGGTACCCATGTCTCCTGAAGATGCCGGCATATACGCCAGGACGAGTAAAGAGGCCGCAACGAACACGGAGAGTTTCGAGGACGAACGATACTACAAGGTTGAAGTCGGCTCTCCCGTTGCAACAGAGTCTATCGGTAGTAGTCGAACTCACAGGAGTCGCGCAAGAACTGGCGCAAGCAAAGCCAGATCATCTTCCAAGGCTGCACGACGTACAGAGTCACCCGAACCTGTGCCACGCGTCAAGAGCAGAGGAGTCAGTCGTACATCAAGCAAACGTCGCAATGACGATCGCGGTCGCAGCTCCACCCGCGATGAGAGCTCCGCGAGGCGCTCACCTGGATCTCCTAAGCCAATGTATCGTGATGAAGCAGTCGGTCCAGAGAGCTACGAGCCAGTCCGTCCTCGTGAGCGAAGTACTAGCCGCCGCCCCGGCGAGCGTGCACAGAGTTCACGAAGAGAAATGTCACCGGATCGCCGCTTGCCTCGTGACCGCTCAATGAGTCGCAAAGCAGCATCAGCTCTGCGAGAGACCAGCCGACCGCGTGCCGTTATGCGAGATGCTTCACCAGAGCGCCTACCGGAAGTAGCTGCCGAGAGTCGACCAGCTTCCCGCCACTCCAATTTATCTGGCCGCTCTGGACATCGTCGACCGCCGACACTCTCTAGAAAGGAACTAGCCGCCAAGGAGCTGGAGGAACGTCGACTGTCACTTGCTCGACGCCCCTCTGCGCCAATGATCCCCCACCCTGGCGATCTGGCTCACCGACCTGTGCCTGCCGAGCGCTCCCACACGGACAGCGCAGAATCATTCGCCACAATCTCCATGCACCGAGACCCCATTCAACGTAGCCAGACTGCAGACCCAGAGATTTCGAAGAAATACTCGCCAACGAACAGAATGCACATGGGCGCTACTTCGACGGCCTCTGTGCCAATTGGCCTTCCGGCCACTCCACGAGCGATGCGTCATCCTCGGTACATGAGTGCTGATCCGCATGAGAGGGAGGGCATTCCAGCTGTGCCAACAATACCAGATTCTATGTATGCGGCTGCTCAGGAGAGTCAAGATGCTCAAGATGATCTGGGCCCGCTCTTACCTGCCACTACATTCGGCCAGCCAGCTCTGGCTCGCTCGGCTTCCGCGCCCCCAGAGGACCTCTCACCAGTCAATATGGCTCCTAGAATTTCGCCTACCTATCCTCTGGGCAGACGTGGTTCGTTGGGTGTTAACCGCGGTCACTCTAGAAACACCTCATCAGACGGTATCACTGCACCGAACTACAAGCGCGTTAGCCCTCCGCCCATCACGGCCAGTATTGACGAGACCATCCACGAGAACCAAGTTGTCATTCTTGATACGGACCCTGCTGCTCCCCCACTCCTCGCTGAGCTACAACACCTTGCGGGTCCACCTCCTCCTCCTCCTGCGCCTCTGCAATTGAACACCAGTCCAAAGAGCAGCATGCTCATCAACATTGCCATTGACGAAAATCCTACAGAGAAGGCGCAAGATGCCGTATCTCCCGTGGCTGCTTCGCCTCAATCGCACAGACGTGGCCGGGGCAGTGTGAGCGAAAACATCGGCATGACTTTCAAGCGAGTCACTGATAGGATGCGCAGCACTAGTCGCTCTCGCAACAAGTCCCCACCCATGCGGGCAGAGATTCCTCCTTACGAGAGCGTACCAGAATTCTCCTTCCCGAGGAGCGCGAGCGCGCGATCTCCTGTCGATGGCCATGGCAGTGAATATTTCGGGAAGCTCTCGCCCCCGCCTCCGCCTCCACCACCCCAGCCTATGGAGCAGGTTATATCTCCTATCGAAAACCCGCAGTTTGTTGGTTACAAGCATCCTAGGGAAATTCGAGCCAACATGCCTCCTGATACGCTTCAAGCTGGTGTTTATCAACCTGAGACGCCCATGATCTAGGCATCTATCCGTTAAATTATCTTCACCATATACGCATAATTTTGCGACGACGTTACGACCATTTCGCATCATACCTTCGAAACCATCATTCCGATCGCCTTTACTGTTTAAGCGTAGCATTTTTACATTTGTCAGTATCATTAGCGGGTTGTCCTCATCACATTGTTGTCGTGTTTAAGGAGCGTCTCTAAGGAGCGTCTCCGATACTCTAAAAGACTTGGATTGGATTTATTCCATGCGCTTCGCGGCGGAAATTTCGGATACCCTTTGCTTCTACCATCGTCTGCCCCCTTCATCTTCCCGACAGTACCTGGGAAGGCGGCGAAAGGGTTTGTCTATATTAGCGAGTTCGTTGCTTTGGCATGTTTTTAGCTTTGCATTTCTGCTTTTTTGTATTGTTTTTTCGACCGAGCAGAGCATTGTGCATACGGTGGCTTGATGCAAGAGTAGAAGGTCTATCGAGGAAAGCATTGGATCTTTGCACTGCCAGAACGACGAAGAAGGCGAAAAGGAGGATGCGGAAGCGATGGACGGACTTTTCATTTCTATGCAATGTACATTCTTGCCATTCAACTTTGTTTCCTATCACTGGTTCCTTATCTCTCGCTGAATGGTGTCGCTCCTTTCAATCCACACGCGACTATCGGTCTCATCTGTCGGTCTTCGGACCCTCCCGCAGCAATACTCCGCATCATCTGTCTCAGCTACCTCAAATTGATCACCAGCAGGCATCATCGGGATATTAATACGGCCTTTCGGTTACATTTTATACCAAAGACAAGCGCCTCACGGCACAAAAGTTCTGTCTGCCTTTCTTGGAGGATTAACTTCTGTCGGCCCTTGTCCTCATAGCATTTCTGTCGGGTGGCTTGAAGTAATGTATTCGGTGGACAGTAATTTAAAATGTCGCTCTCTATGTTGTTTGCATGCTTTCGTGAGGTCGTGCAGTGCACATAAGTCAGAAAGGTGACCACTGCTGCGCTGATTTTCTGCCTCAACGTCGCGTTGCATTCGAATGTCATGTTCGCAGATAGGAGAGGACCATGGCGTGGGCGTTCACGCACATGATTGGCTCAGCCCTATCAGAACCCTGAACCTCCCGACTCATCTTCCTGCAACTCTCGATGCTGGACAATCATTCACATTGCAACCGCTTCCCATTGAATCATGGGGCTACATCACGACTGACTAATGGCTTGCCTAACCTACCTATGCGCATAATGCCGCCGGTATTGAATGCGCTGTTTGCTCAGCCAAAACTTCGACAGTGCGGCTCATCTCGGTCACCTCCCGAGGTCGCAGCGCACGCACGTGGTCACTGTCAGTCTGCCAAAAGACATGTACAAGTCTCCGGGACGTGAAGTTGCCAGCGTGACCTCAGTGAGTACATTGCTTTGCAAACGTCAGTTGTGGACCTTCCAAACGTGATGCGCCGCCCAACATGGTGCTCCGTTGGTCGGCTTTGTATATACTCACATTGGGGTACTCAAGCAGCGAACGTGATTCCGTCCCGCGTTTTCAATTCCACTCTTCAATTCCGCTCTTCAATTCTACTGTTCGGTTCCGCTCTTCAATCCTACTTGAACAGCACACAATAGAGTTGAGACTGCGTTGCACAAGCTAGGCTGCTGCGACATTCAAGACGAACAAGAGCGCGTGCGCAACTGCCTGACACAGGTTAGGCTACACTACAACTTCCAATCAGCATCAATTCTTGCATACAGTATTCTACAACCTTGCAGGCTCTTCTGAAACGCCTTACAGCACTGCGAAATATTGATACGCATAGTAAAGTGCGAGGCCGTCCGGCATTCAATATCCACGATGGCAGCAATCATTCAATCCAAACTCATCGATACATCCTTCCCGACCGAGCTTGTCCTAGAGGTCATTGAGCGTTTACCCTACGGCGACGGCAGCGTCATCGCCAATCTATCCAGGACGCACCCCAGACTCAAAAACATACTCGCCATCTATGAGGAGTCTCTCGCGAATTGCTTTGCGCGCAAGGAGCTCAGGCATGCCGCGGTCGATTTCCCAACTACACAGCAAGGCTTCAGATGGCTGCAGAGTTGCGTCAAGCGCTACGATATTGTAGATGATCTGATGGCTATGCTCGTCAGCGAGCATAACGTTTTCCCAGTGCGAAAGCACAACATGGCGCTCGTCAACACTGGCCTTCTCCTTCTGTACCATCTCCAGTCTTTCGGTACGTACGCCTTATACGGCCTCCATTTATGTACTGCGCTAACCGAAGCCCAGAGTCACATGCCGCAAAGCTCACGTTTCTGAAGTCATTACCCAAGGATCCGCTGACGGCAATGTACCTCGCCGTCCACCACGCTACACTGACAGCCCGTTACCACGGCGAAGGCATCATCCACCAGCGCACTTACGGCCGCTTCATGGACGCCAACACGCTCTCGCTCCGTTCAGACATCGAGTTCTGCTTTGCTGAAGCGAGCTTGCAACTCGGACCCTCCTTTGTCCACTCATCTCTTCTTCCCACTGACCCACCTGCCACATCTATATCCGCCGAAGCCACTTTGATGAACTTCTATCATGATCACGCGATTCATGACTGGTTCCTTGAGTCGGTGATGGAAGGAGTAGATGTGGAGGGCTATGGTATGCCACCCATTACGCAGGGTCCAAGGAGGGCTATCAAGGAGCGAAGCTTGTGGACGACGTTGTTGGAGTGTATGGCTGAGCTGACGGAGTGTCCGTTGGAGAATGTAATGGGTGCGATTGAGGAGGATGCTGCGCCTCACAATCATAGTTTGGCGTGGTTGGATTTGCAAGGTAAAGCGACATTGATGAAAGGGGAGGACCTTGTTCCTGTTCTTGTTGAGGGATGAATCGATTGGCAGGAAAGACGTCGTACGGCGATACGGGCGTTTTTGCGAGGAGAGTGGGTTGGATGAGGTTATGGGAGGTGGTCGTCTTGCTTATGATTCACGTATGGCGTTTATGAGAATATGGATGTGGCGCGGAGGGTAGCCCACCTGGAAAGACGGAGTACGTGACTCAGAACACATTGTTTGATATGGGATCGGTTAGTCGTATTGTGCAGCAGACCGCCACCTTTGCGATAGCCCTTGTTTCTCGCTTATACTTAGAATTATTGATTTCCATCAATGATATGTCATCTTCATGCAAACTCAGGATAAACATCCGTCCGCCTTAGCAAGGGTACCTCCCGTCTTACCTTCTCCAGGTACTCCAAATCGATCTCCGCCAGCGCAATCTAATAGAGAGTCAGCGTTTTACCCATCAAATCCCTTCTCGTATCACTAACCTCGCCGACATCCAGCCCCCTCCCCTTCTCATCCTCCTCACCACCCAACTCAGCAAGCACCTTGCCCCACGGATCCACAATCATACTATGCCCATAACTCCGCCTCGTCCTCTCCTCATTATGACAACCTACTTGCGCAGCCGCAATAACATAACTCTGTGTCTCGATCGCCCTCGCCCGCAACAACGTCTCCCAATGCGCCTTACCCGTGGGCACTGTGAATGCAGACGGATATGTCAGGATCTGCGCGCCTCTATTCCTCAGCGCAATTCCTACCTCGGGGAAGCGTAAGTCGAAGCAGATTAGCATTCCCTAGACGCGGATACAAAGTCAGGCCAGGAAGATACATTCAATCAGTGCGTGGTGGTTTACTTACTACTTTCCCAACAGGTGTGTCGACGGGATCTTCTATCCTAGAACCGCGCTCTACGCCGTTGGACTCTTTGAGTATAGGTCCATCTTTGATCTCCACATCGAACAGGTGCAATTTTTGGTAACGGTGCGTGATTTGCCCCTCTGCGTCGATCCACAATAAAGTATTCTTGACCTTTCCACCTGAAGCTGTAGGCTCGTGCACGCCTACGTTGACAGGTAGCTTCTGCTTTTTCGCTTGTTCCTGGATGCCGATGACAAACTCGGATGTCTCTACGGGTTTGGCTAACGACACTGTCTCGGAGGCCTTTCCAGAGGCTATGTAGTCTGACGCTTCGGGGAGGAAGAGGGCTTTTGCGCCGGCGGCGGAGGCTTTTTGTATGAGGGTGGTGCACTGCGAGAGGTTGTGGGTCATGGATGCTGTGGAGCGGATTTGGCCGATTGCCTTTGGGGATGGTTAGTTGGGGTCATTGCTTGGATGGACAACGTAGTGAAGTTAACATGAGGATATGAAAGCGGAGAGATAGATATTCTGAGGATTTGGACTGGAGCCATTTATCGTGGGGGAGAAGGGACAGTGACATCATCTCCCGAGCGTGAGACCGTCGTGACAGTAGGGATGCAATGCAGAAGACTGTCAACATGGAACAGCAAGGCAGTTGCAGGCAGTTGCTAAGATAATAAGGCAAGACTAGTGTTTCGAGACCAGCTCTTGTTGCTCGACACTACAACGCCAACATGCTATCCATGGTGGGATGATAAAGTAGTAGTCCTCAAAGGTATTGTTAAGGGAAAATCCTACGTACTGCTAGAGGCATCTTTATTAATTTCATGTGGCTTGTCGCCACAATCCAAATGTATCGATAGTGAGTTGGATAAGCCGTGGTGAACGCCTGGAGAAGACGTGATAGAGGTACCGACTTACTAACCCAATCAGGAATCTGCGCACCGAGCACCTTGACGACTTCGTTTCATATAGGGCTCTTAATAAAACCCTGCCTCGAATTTCGGAGAAAATGGTTCCTTGCAATGAGACGATTGGTCTTGCTGTTTCAAAGCAAAAGGTAGTCTGACATCGGAAACTCTTTCCGCAATGCTGGCGGTCCAAGATCCTTGCAATTCTTAGCTCAGACCCGCGTTGGCGGATCAGCAACATTGTTTCCACCTGGCCCTACGCGCCTCACAGCCCACTGCGCCTGCGCCTCGTACAGATCCGACGAACTCTCTCAGCTGATCTACCCGCTCGTGCCGTCCTATCCATCTTAGCGTACAGGCCGACGTACAACCCCGGATCAACGACGTTACGTACGCGTATACGACAGCTACATATCGACCCCACCGCAACCTCGCGTTCTCAAGTGCAACTACACCAAAACTCCCAACCTGGCCTCTCGCGCGCCCGAACGATGAATGGGCCTAGGCGAAAGACGACCCGCTGGTGATTGATGATTGATACTAAGGCCCTTGAACACCTACACTCGTTTGCGACGACAGAATACAAAAGGATCACGCCGCAATGGCGCAGCGCAAGGGAGGTTGGGGCTCTTTCCTAGGCACCGCTGTGTCAGGCCTTGAGTCGCGGCTGGATAGTATCCTCACCGACGATGACCAGGCCAGCGCGAAGTCGAGGGCTGTCGATGCGGCGGCCAAGCAGGAAGCAGCTGAGAAGCAGCGTTTGCAGGTCGACCAAGGTGCGTGGCTCTGGATGTTCCGAGGCAGGACAAAGTGGCGGTAGGATATAGATGCTGACGGTAAAAGTGTCTCGTAGCTCCTCACGAAGCAGGCCGAACTCGCGATTACAGGACCGGCTCGCGAAAGCCGTCAACAAGGGAAAGGACGGCACCGACTCGAGGCCGTCTTCTGAACTAGGGTCACGGCCAGAGAGCCCTGCGCTGAAGAGCCCGGCAAATGATGTTGCAAGGACGAGCATAGACTCAAGGACATCGGAGACAGCACCAGAAATTCCGCTTGACAGCAAGCCTGACGTATCCAAAATCGAGGAAGCGAACCCTGAACCATCTCCCCGACCGTCAGTCGATGCCACGCCCGTATCTCCTCCAGCATTATCTGTCGTATCAGAACAGCCTACGTCTATGGCAGTCCCAACCATGTTCATACCTTCGATCCTCACTCCGCAAACCTCGTCACCCCGCCAATCCATCGACAGCGCACCGTCTCGTCCTTCGATTGAGATATCGACTCCCGCAGAACCCGCAATCTCGGCGTCGCACGACCCCGAGACTCTCCAGGTTGAACTGTCTGCGCTGCAAACGAAGCATGATGAGACGGTCCGCGAGCACCGCGAGGAGCTGCATTCCCACCTCGAACGTATCGATGCCCTGCAATCGAAACTCACGTACCTCTCGCAGCAGCTCACCTCGTCCGCGAAAGCCGCATCGTCAGACTCGGAAGCAACACCAGCAGACAAGAAGTTAGCGGAAAAGGATGCACAAATTGCAGCCCTCATGGAAGAGGGGCAGAGGTTGTCAAAAACGGAAATGAAGCACATGACGACCATCAAGAAAATGCGAGCGAAAGCTCTGGAAACGGACAAGGACATAACAAATCTCAAGCAACGGTTGTCCAAGGCTGAAAGGTCATTTGCGGAGCAGACCGAAAGGGCACGGCGCGCCGAGGCTGCTGAAAAGGCAGCGCAGGAGAAGCTCAAGGTTGTTGCGAAGATCGAGAAAGACATTGAGCTGATACGGTCCGAGCGAGAGGAGGCTGGTCTTACAATAGCAGAGCTGAGGAGACAGCTCAACGATGCGTTAACGAGAGCTGAAGATGCGGAGAAGCGCGTCAAAACTGGGTCTTTGGAAGCGGAGAAGCGAATTACGGCATCATTGCAAGAGGATATTGAAAACATACGCATCGAAAAGAAGCTCGCTGAGGACCGTGCAAAGAAGGACTTGCAAGAGGCGAGGGATGAAGCTACGAGGCAACAGGAAAGAGCTAAGGTCTCTGAAATGGAGCTGCGTGGCGAGATTGCTGTGAGTCTTTTGCAACCTCGTCTGAATATGTCCAAACTGACATCATCTGCAGAACCTCGAGTCCAAGCTTGAATTACTTCGAAGCCGCTCCGAAGAAGTTTCGTCTTCGGCATCCGGTGACTCTCAGGCCAAGTTGCTCCGGCAGATCGAGACCCTCCAGACACAATACGCCCTCGCCTCCGAAAACTGGCAGGGCATCGAAGGAACCCTCACATCACGCGTCGCGGCCCTGGAAAAGGACCGTGATGACACGGCAAAGCGTGAAGCCGACATCCGCCGAAAAGCCCGAGAGGTCAATTCGAAGGCACGAAGGCTGGAAGACGAGCTCGACAGCATCAATGACCGCGCCCGAACCCTGGAGCAGGACCTCACCGAGCAGCGCAGTTCAGCTCAGAAGCTCCAAGCGCGTTTGACTCAAGCAGAAACAGCAGCGCAAGATGCACGCGCAGACCTTGAACGCGAGAAGAAAGTCTTGGAAGCGGACTTTGCGCAAAAGCTGGAGGAGGAGAAAAATAAGTGGAGAGTAGAGATGCAGACTCAGGCGAGCCTTTCTGAAAACCATCTCAGGACTGACTCTCCTGGAGCGAGCTTGAGAAGACATTCGCCAGATCCTCTGGGAATATATGGTGCCAACCGACGGGGCGTGCTACCACGCTCGATATCCCAGGGCATGGACACACCAATGGACCGCATGCTCGAAGAAGCCCGCCGACCGTCTTCCTCCCGACAAAAGTCGACATCTACATATCAAAGAACCCCTGAAATTGGGTCACCGCAAAGGCAGGACTCGTTCCCTTCTATCTCATCAAACCTGATGAGCAATGGCCACAGTGTGTCCAACACTCCCTCCATCACCTTTGATGACGCTGGCTTCGAGGGCGGTTCGTCCCCGCATCGCACAATCAACGACATGATATCCGTCAGCACCGTCGGCGCCGGACCTAGCGTACAGCTTGTTGAACGTCTGTCTACCGCCGTACGCCGCTTGGAATCCGAGAAAGCCACCAACAAGGAAGAGATGGCTCGTCTCATTAGCCAACGCGACGAGGCTAGGGAAGAAGTCGTTACCCTGATGCGAGAAATCGATGAGAAGCGTGAACAAGGTGACAAAGTCGGGCGGCTGGAGAAGGAGATGCAAGAGATGAATCAGAGGTACGAGAAGTGCTTGGAGATGCTGGGAGAGAAGTCGGAAAGAGTTGAGGAGCTCGAAGAGGACTTGAAGGATGTGAAAAAGATGTACCGGGATCTGGTTAGCAGCAAATACTAGGGAGTAGTATGACTGGGGGCGTGTATGTTACATGTCGGCATTAGCATCGGGCGCTTTCTGGTTTGGATGACTATATCAGGAATATCTATTGGAGGGTTTCATGACCACCGAATCCCTTTGCTACAAATGGAGGTCTCCAACGCTGAGCATGGACCAGACTATCGGCCTCATCTTCTCATTCCAATTGACCACACAGAAGCATAGCTGGGGTTCAGCAGTTTCCCATACCTTGGTGTGGGCAAGAGCCCTGCTCATTTACAGGGCAACCGCCCACTAGCGTTATCTAAAGAATATTCATCCGCCCCCGCGCTGTCTTTATCCTTCCAATCCGAGTGCTATCAGCAACACGGTGGCAAGTTGTTCTCTAACATTCGGTTCAGCTGATGGACGAGCTACCGCATTGGTGCGCTGTGCACGTCACTTAGCAGCATCTGACCACCTCTCTGGGACAGCCGTCTCCCTTTGAGATAAGCGCAAATGGCTACATTCGCTGCTCGGGTCTCACTACGACGTTGTGGTGGCCGACAATGTTCCACCGCATCTGCCGAGTGCGGTTGCTCCCATGATGGCCCTGCTCAGCACCGAAGGGGCCGTTGTTTCTCAAATTACGAATTTATCCAGGTGGGGCCAGAGAAGTCCTTTGCCTTTTTGCTGCTACACTGGGTTGATCGTGGATTGGTTCCTCTGTATCAACGACCGCTGCAGCACGAGCCCTACCAGCTGTGCATCTGTATTCATGAACACGAACTTCAGCTCTCTACAAACCAAAGCTATCTTTGCCCTTTGATATGGCCCCATCTAGGCATAAAGCAAGGACCAGCGCCTATATCAGGTCTATAAAGCTCAAGGCTGAGAGAAACATGAAGAGCTCGTCGACAGATAACCCATACGTTCCGAACCGAAATTCTCTCTGGTAAAACCGAGCCTCTATCAAACACGCCATGTCTTCAGTCTTAGGCGTCGATAATCAGCCTCGCATTTTTCTCGGTGTCTGGATCAATTGGTCCAAAGGCAACGTCCTCGGCTCCACACTCACCGTGACACAAACGAACGGTGCTCTCCTCGTAGCCTTCGTTGCGCTTTTCGTTACCTTTGCTGGAACACGCCTGTGGAGAATCAGCTGTTTCTTTTTCCATCGTGGATATTCCGCCTCAGGTCCCCAAGATGGCATCTACCACCAGCGCCAGGCTGTCCTCAAGAACTCCGACAATGCTACTGCAGGCCTGATCAGCTGGTACTTACTTCTCAGAGCCTGGCGGAAGATCGGACATCGACCGTATCGAAGAATGGCACCCATCGCATTGTTTACAATTATGCTGGCTGTGTCAGTAGCTGCAGCCAGTCTTCTCTCGTCCAGAATTTCCTCGGCGATGGGACAAGAAGTGCTCATACGAGGGGAATGCGGAGTAAATCTCCTGGGTCACTATATTGCTGGGCAGGACAAAAACCCCGAAGTTGAGACGAGCCCGGAGTTCTTTACCGTGCTTCTTCCATTCTTGAGTCGCCGCTTAATCTCTTTTTCAAATTACGCACTCAGTTGTTATGCAAACAACAGCGACTCACGCGGCTGCAACACCTTCGTCAAAAGTCGACTACCCTTTACATCCAACCGCACTGCCAATTGTCCTTTCCAACAGGACATATGTCGCCTTTCCAATGGTAACATTCTCTTAGATACCGGTTACTTGAATAGCCATGTCGACATGGGATTTAATGCCCCCGTGCAAAATCGATTCTTCTACCGACGCACGACTCATTGCGCGCCGTTAGTCACTGAAGGCTATAAAAGCATCAAGAACTCATCAGAATCTGGCGCGAAGAGTTCTTACGCTCAGTACTCATACGGCCAACCATTGTCTTCATCCGATACCCAAGAGAATGTCACTTACATCTATCCGCAATTGTCAGTCACAGACATGTTCGGCGAGAATAAGTCAAGGACAAATATTCCAGAATATACGTTAGGGTGGGTCTTATGTATATCTAACCGATCGCTGAGCTGACTTCTGCAGCTATGTGTATGCTAACGTTATCAATGGCTCGCTCGCACACAACCGCGCATTCACTCCCATCGACGAATTGTACAGAAGCGATGCCGATGTCTCAGTCTTCTTTCTATCTAGCAATCAAGTCATCAGCCCCGTAGAGATCCATGACCCTTGGTATTCTGCTCATCAGGCAATCCCGGGCTTCCACCTCAACTTCACCGGATGGAACAACTTGACACTCGGGGGCTATTTTGGAGACGAACCCGCCGCTGTCCTTGGCTGTGCAAAACAATACCAAATTTGCTATCCTGATAAAGCCGGCAAGCCATCGCAGTGTTCTCGGCTGGGTGGCAAGCAAGAGCTCTATTGGCTCCTTACTAGTCTGACCCAAAATGAGGAGCAGCTCAACCGGACTCGGTGGTCCATCATGTCAGCGTTGACGGGGAATGAGCTGGACGCATTCGTGCAAACACTAGGAGCGGCATCTTTGACTTCTAGGTACAGTCTCGTCAGCGGTATCCAGGGACCGCTTCCGGATAACCAGTGGCAAGTGGACGTGGAGCATTGGCATGCTGCGACAATGGTAGCTATACAAGGCAGCGCCGTCGATGCCGCTTCTGGGCCCAGCAATCCGGACATGAGGAAGTTTTGGGCCGCCCCTTCGAACGACCAGGAGAGGTCTGTTTGCAACAGTCAGGTCAGTATCTCTTTCAAGATTTTAGGACACAAAGCTGAACCTCACCAGAAAGTTCTCTCGGACGCACACTCGAATTTCAGTGTCTTCGGTTTGGCTTTGACATTCGCACTCGGCGGTCTCGTAATCACGATCTCTTTCATCCCGGACCGACTCGCCGGCCTTCTACGAAAGAAGCACGACCGGGACACGTATTCGCGGCTAGAGTGGTGTGTCAATGACACTTTGCAACTGCAGCGTCTCGCTCATGAAGGGCAAGGGTGTGGCACGTGGAGTGCATGTACACGGAGCGTACCCACTACGTATGGAAACGAAACTCTTGCTCTTTTGGACGTCACGGATGTCGGTCATCCTGTCCTGAAAGGTAGCTCGCCAGGACTAGTTGTAGAGGCGGTTAAAACGAACGGTAGTGAAGACCAGATGGAAACAAGTGAAATTGAACACACAGAGGAGGTTGGCTTAGGAGCGAATGAAGAGCGCGATGGCACTGGGGTAGAGAGTGAAGTGGTTCAGAGAAGTACTAGAGATGAGGAAGGCAATGGTGCAGAAGAAGTGCCAGAGGGGACTGGATCACTACCTATAGAGAGGGCTGACGCTAGAAATGAGTGAAAAGAGTGATTGTATACTCCTTTGCACATGCTTCTAGCATGTAGAGAGTAAATCTAAAGATGTTGTGGTTGCATTGCTGATTGGTCCCGTGCTAGACCCGACCCCAATATACAGACTCAAAAGTCTTGCCTTCCTTCAACATTCCGAAACACCATACGAACTAATCAATACCAGTCGTCACACGACTGATGACGCCAACACTGACACCGAAAATGCAAAGCCGTGGCGAACATAAACACGCCAAGTCCGCAGTCGAAAAACGCCAGTACAAGATTGCTGGCGCGATCCTGAACAAAACCACTTCAATGACTCCCCTTTCCAGATAAATCGCTCATGGGAAACTGAGCAGCACGTTGCCTCTTTCTTCGAGCTCGCCTATTGCCACAGCCATTTTCGGCATTTCGTTGTACCGCAAAGGCAGGGCACAGCACCTTCTGGCGCGTCCTCCTCGTCGTCCGCCTCCTCTTTGTCCAGGTAGTCGAACGTGAGCTCCTCTCCGGCAGGTATATCCCTAATAGCGAAGAACGCGAGGTCGTATATACGGGTATCGTGCTTGTTGTACGAGACGGTGTACTGTCGGCAATTCGGTTCGCACGAGTGGTTCATGAACTTGGAAGGACCGCCCATGAACTCTCCATCGACGACGTAGACTGGAGGGAGACAAAGTCAGCGGGCCGGAGAAAAACAAGGGGGATTGGGGGTGGCTTACTATCTGCCTGTGCGAGACCTTCTGATTCCTGGTGTTTGTCTAGGCTGTAGAGGTATGATGCCTTTAACTTCCCGCCGGCCTGTTCACGACGGGTGGCCTCTGCGTCGGTAATGACTTCTCCACGGTACGTGTCGACGAATTGTCCTTTGAAAAATTAGATTGTCGAGTGATATCTTTGTAGATCCTGCCGTGACGTACCCATGAACAAGTCTTCTTTGCAGCGCAAACCCCAGCCACGACCGCTACCGGTCTTGAAAATCTCAAGCCCAACTTGTCTCCCAAACTGGACATTCTGATTACTTCAGTCAGCTTCATCCACGCTTGTTGTTTCAGTGGTCTGCGCTTACTTTGTTCCGACAATACGGTCCGCACCCGCAATTGTCGTTGCACTCGTAGATGGGATGCCGCGAATCAAGGTAGAAACTGACGAGGGTCCCAGTGCGTTGGCGCTTCGTGTCACCGGTGAAGTACGGAAACCGCTTCGGAAACCCCAGGAGAGAGCCACCGGTCGCAAGAGCTTTCTCATATCTATAACAGGTATTTAGCAATTGTCAAAGCACAGACCGTATACGTCTTGACGTATTCTGGTCATCGCTTACTGTTTCTTCGTCTCTGGAGTCAATCGAACTGGGTCTACGGCTGCATATTCCAGACATCCGCACTTCTGCGTGTACTCGCATCCTATACTCCGTCCCATGTCTGGTTTGCACTTCTGACAACCTTCTTGGGTGGCTGGATCTGCTCGATAGACTCCTTCTCGAAGTACATAGTCGGGGATGTATGAAAACCGTAACGAAGGCGTTGTGTAATCGTGGACGTTGACAAGGTGTATCCTCTTGCCGACAACCTTTCCTAGTCGCCGCACGTACTCTGCACGGATCAGCACATTCGCTGTCTCGATCTTGGACATTCGCGCGGTGCGTAGCATCTCCTCCATCGGTAGACTTCGGATGTTTATTGTAGCGATGTTCGGGCCTGGCGCCTGCTTTGTGTTAGCGCACAGTGCTCAAGCGAAACAACAGTATAGAATTATTGATAGTACGTACACTTCGACAGAAGATGAAGCCATTCCCGTCTGTATCAAGCACACCATTGTAGACATCGATGTCCGTACGAGGAGTCGGCACGGCAGATAACGAGGATATAGAAGGCGAACGAGAGGCTGATGGTGTTAGACCAAGGCGGCGGTCAAATGGCGAAGCTCTTCGTTCATGCTCAAATGCAAGATCAGGTGACTTCCGCTTCCTGGAGACAGCCTTGCTTCTACAAGTAAGAGGTAAGTGATGTATGCTGAATCTCATTGTCCAAATTCTCTTACTCTTCTCGGACAGTGATATAATCCTGAACCAGCTCTAGACATCGCACTAGCTCCGATATGCTGTGCCAACTTAACGGAGGGGTATTTGGGTCTCCCTTCCACCGCACGAGGAATTGCTCTTCCTATATAATCGCATCAGCTTACGTAATCCAAGGGCGTGAATAGTACCACTCACATTGTCCTTGATACGATTGCTGAGGATCGAGTGGACCTAGTATAGGTAAAATATTAGTCTGCAAATACTCGCTAAGGAATAGGGAACACGTACCTTGTCAATACGGACGCGTCGGGTCGCGGATTCCCCCGTGGTCGGAATGACGACCATCGGCGGCATTGAGCCCTGCGCAGCGCGTTAGTAATGCCATTAGGTGTAATAATGACCCCTGATCATTTTCGGGTAGCTGCAGATAGTGCTGGATGTGCTTGTATGTAGGTGTACGTACTGTCTAAGTCTGGGCAACCTATAGTAATCGGTCCGGATGCGGACTAGGATAGCGATTTCGCTCTTACAACGTTAGTAAGAGAACCTAATTAATGTATATAATAACTTACAGTGATTCTTCTTCCGTTTCGTAGAGCCTGCGGACACCTAGGTAATAGCGTAATGTGGTGTTACACTGTTAAGAGCAAGTGCTTAGCGTAATAAACGGTTTGCCTAGCAGTGCACGGGCCAACTAAATAAACCTATCTTAGTAGAGCTAAAATTAAATTATTTTCTAGAATTAATAGAAATTAGTATGAATTACCTATAACTACTATCTGTTACAAGGGGTTTCCACGTACCTAACCTAGGTCGGACCTTATGGGTATTTAGTAGACAAGAGTAGATAAATAATAATAGGGTAAGAGAATATTCTAGCCTTACTATAAAAGGTAAGGTAATAATTATATAAGAAGACTAATAGATCTTAGTGTAGAAGATATACTCTAATTTTAACTATAGAATTAACTATAAAGAATAGAAAATACTTAGGAGCTATCCTTAACTATATACTATTCTTTCTAGTCTTTATAATCCCTTACTAACCTCTATTCCTAGGGAGTATAGTTCTAGTCTAGAAGTAGCTTTTTTATTCCTACTAAGTTCTTTTACTCCTAGGATCCTATTATCTTAGTAGGATTATAGTTATATACTTACTAACTTAACCTTTCTAGTTCCTTAGTATCCTATAATATATTAGCCCTTAGCCTTATTAGCTCTACTCTATTAGTTATTTTTATTTATCTACTATTCTTCTATAGGATTATAATATTATCCTCCCCCTTAAGATTATTATTCTAATATTCTATAGTTATCCTGTAATCTCTAGTAGTATAGTTATAGGGTATAAAGGTAGGCATCTTCCCTAGTACTTCTATAGTATTATAACCTCTCCCTAGCTTCCCTAACTATACCTAAGGTACTAAAATAATTATTAACTAACTAGCGCTATACTTATACTAATAGGGTACGCCTATATAGCCTAGAAATACTAGTAAAGTGTAAGCGTTATATAAAGAAGAAAATTCTAAAGTGTTTTATAGACACTTTAATAGGGGAGTATACTACGTATATTACTATTTATATAGAGTATAGCCTTTAGATTTCTAAGAAAGAGTAGGAGCGCGTTTAGTCTAAAAAGTATTAGAAAAAGCTTATACTTTTTTCTATAGAAGCTAAGGTTACTTATTTTTACTTTAAGATTACTTAGGTAGAGAAGGAGGAGTAAGCCTTTACTATATATAATATTTATATAGCTAATATAATAGAGAGTCTTAAAGGGGAGGTCCTAAAGAGTAGGATTACTAACGCTTTATTTACTCTATTACTATTCTATTACGAACTAGATAATGGTAGGGAAGTTTAGGCGCTTATAAAGATAGAAGATATAATAACTAGAATTATAATAAGATAAGAACGCGCTAAGTTACTTAGATAGTAGTTATGTAACTTACTTAGCTGCTTAGGGTTCCTAAATAACTAAGTAGCTAAGAGTTATTACGTAACCTACTTAGTTATTTAGGGCTCCTAAGCAACTAAGTAAGATCCCTATATAGGAATATAAGGATAAACCTTTATACTTATATTTAACCTAAGTTTTAATCTATTATTTAGATTTACTTAGGCCTCCCTTATTAACTTATTACACTTTATAAGATACTTCTATATTAATAAGAACCCCTTCTTCCTTCCCTTAGTAAGTCTTACCTAAGAACTAACCTTAACCTATTTAGGATTAGCTACCCTTTCTAAATTTAACATATTCTTACCTTTAACTAACTTAGGCTAGTTATAGGCTAATTCTTTCTTCTTTAACCTTTCTAGTTTTTTATCTAATTTTCCCCTACTAGATCTTAATGCTTATTCTTCTAGTAGTTCTAGAAGCCCCTTAGTAATTTCTTATAGTTTATAAGGTTTCTTATTAGCTCCTATATATTATACTATTCTAGTTATCCTTTCTATTTAACTAGGTATCTCTACTAACCTTTAACTATTTTTAGGTCCTTAATATCCTTAACTTTATATTTATTATCTTCTAGTTCTAGCTAGGTCTTAACTAGAGTATCTAGCGGTGCTAGTTCTAGGAGGTTTTTATAGAAGGTATTATATATTTTAGTACCTATAGGTAAAAGTAATTTATTTATAACTAGTTCCTTAACTTCTTATATTTTAAAGGGGCCTACCTATAGGTAATCTAGTTTTTTACTTTACCTTTTAGTTTTTAGATTTTTTTATAATAGGAAAACTTTATCCCCTTCTTAAAGGTTAGTCCCTTAATCCTTTATTTATTTACGTTTTTAGATACTAAGAGGGATTTTCGTATAATTCTTTTATATAGAATTTTATAAAGTTTCTTTATTTTCTAAGCTTTATTATAAGCTCCTATAGAAAGACTTTCCACGTCTCTAGAATTCTAATAAATAATTAGTTTATATTTATAGTTAGTATAGTGTAGAGAGTACCCTATTAAGCCTAACCTAGAGCTATTATATACTAATTACGCCGTAGGTAAGAGTTCTACCTAATTATCTTACTATTTATTAACGTAGAACTAAAAGTACTATTCTAGTATCTAGTTTATTTATTCTATTTATCTATCTATCTAGGGGTAAAAGCTTATTAAGAGTTTTCTATATATACCTAGTGTTACGGTAAACGTATCCTAGTATTTAGATATAAAGAGTTTATTATAGTCTATAATAAATTCTTTAGGTAGGCTATATTTTATAAATAGCATATTATCTACTTTATATACTAGTTCTTCTACTAATATAGACTCTTCTATTAGCCTAAACTTAGTAGCTTTTATAAGTTAATCTACTATAACTATAATAGTATTATATATACATTTTATTCCTAGTTATAGTAATCTTAGAAGTTTTACTATAAAATCTATTATTACACTTTACTATAGCCTTTCTACTAATAGTAGTAGTTATAGGAGTCTATAAGGCTTATATCTCTTAGGCTTATTCCTATAATAGGCCAAATAGTTACTTATTTCCTTCGTAACCTTTTACTTAAATTTTAGGATAGTATATTTATTTATAATATAACGCGTTATTTCTTTAATACCTAGGTGTCCCTATTCCCTAGATTTATAAAGCTTCCTAATTAAGATAGGTATATATTAGTCTCTAATAATTATTCTTTATTAGTAGTCCCTCTAGGTTTTATTAAAACTATTTTAGAATAGATTATACTCTTCTCTTTATTCCTTAGAGAGTTAGGAGTAGTCTTATAAATTATATACCTCTAGTCCCCTATACTAGAAAGAGGCTACTTAAGCTTTAATTTTTAGTTAGTTATACTCTAGCGTTCTATTTTTACGCGCCTATAATATAGTATTATAGAGGTTAGCCTTATCCTCTATTAGGTCTAATCTTCTACTTAAGGCGTCTATAGCGCTATTAAGCGTTCTAGATTAATAGTAAATAGTAAAATTAAAGTTTACTAAGAACTCTACCTATTATACTTATTATCTATTAAGCTTCTTAGTTAATATAAAGCTAGTAAGGTTTTAGTAGTCTATCTATACCTTAGTTTTAAAGTATACTCCTATAAGCTAAGCTTTCTATTATTTAAAGGCGTCTACTACCCCTAGTAGTTCCTTATTATAAACGTTATAATTAAGTTCTACTCCTAAGAACTTTTATAAATAGTAGAATACTAGTCTCTACTTCTTATCCTTATCTAGCTATAAGAGGATTACTCCTATTATATAGTTAGATATATCTATTTCTATCCTTATAGGTTTTCTTAGGTTAAATATCTAGAGTAAGGGTACTATAAGGAATATTTCTTTTAGCCTCTTAAACACCTCTAGAGGCCTTCTAGTAATTAGCTAGATAGCCTTATTATTCTTTTTCTTTATAAAATTAGTTAGTAGTGCTATTATCTTAGAATAATCCTTAATAAACTTCTAATAGAAGTTAGTAAACCCTAAGAAGAACTAAATATCCTTTACTAACTTAGGAACTAGCTATTTCTATATAGTAGCTATCTTCTTAGGGTCTATAGACACTCCTTCCCTTAAAATAATAAATTCTAGATACTCTATTTTTATAACGTAAAACTTATATTTATCTAGGTATAGAAATAACTTATACTTCTTTATTTTCTTAAGTACCTTCTTTACGTATTCTATATATTCTTCTAGTGTTCTACTAGAATAAATAAGTACGTTATTAAGGTAGGCTATATAGAATATATCTAAGTATTTATATAGTATTTTATTTACTATAGCCTAAAACGTTATAGGCGCGTTTATTAGTCTAAAAGGTATAACTATATATTTATAGAGACTAAACTAGGTCCTAAATATAGTCTTCTACTTATGGCCTTTAGCTATCTATATATAATAATAACTATTACGTATATTAAATTTAGTAAACTATTTAGTTCTATAGAGCCTATCTATTAGCTCTATTATTAGTAGTAGAGAATACTAGTTCTTAATAGTAGTATTATTTAGCTATTTATAATCTATATAGAGTTATAGCTTACTATTTTTCTTAGGTACCTATAGGATAGGGAACACTATAGGGCTCTAACTATCTTAGATATAACCTCTTACTAGGTTTTTTCTTAAGTATTCCCTTAGTTTCTATTCCTAATCTATAGACATTAGCCTTAGCTATTCTAGTTATAGTTTTATACCTTTTTCTAGTAGTATTTTATAATTCTACTCCTAGTAGTTAGGAAGTTCTTCTCCCTTAATCTCTTTAAAGAGTTCTATATACTCTTTATATTCTAGTAGAATAGTTATCTCTCTTATTCTTTCTTAAAGATCTAAGTATTATATCTAGATAATTTTTACTTACCCTAGGTTTTCTTTTAGGATT